TTTTTTCTATAAATTATTTTAATAAAAAAGATAACCTATGTAACCATTATGAAAAGTAATATGCTATTTCATTATCAGATGAACTAAAAAATCAATATCTAAAAAATTTCTATGAGAAATTCCAAAATAAAAAAAAGCTAACGAATACAGATTTAAAAATTATGTCCTCTCTTTAGACTATTTTCAAAATTTGATACTAAAATTATGTTATAAATTATTAATTAAAGGCAATAAATATAAACCTTTTAGCCATTTAAAGTTTATCTATATTTTTCAAAAAATTAATTTTTTCTCTGTTTTTCTTTTAAAAAATATAATATATCTTTATTAAACTCAAAAATAAAATAAATTTATCATTCTTTATGTTAAGAAATTGATTTTCTATTTTAAAATCAAGTAAAAAATTTAATTTATAACTATCAAAAAAAAAATTTAATTAAAAAAAATATCTCTTTATTAACTTTATGTATAATTTTATTTAATTATATTTTTATTAATTTAAAAAAAAGAGAATTTATATTTATGTCTCTTCAATTTATAAACATATACATTATTATTCTTTTTAATTTTTTTGTCATTTACTTTTAATTCATCTTATAAAATTTTTTCCTTTGAGTGCTTAACAATACCTTATCCATCATAATTATCATATCTAAAATTTTTGAATAAATTTATTAAAAATAAATATATATTAATTAAAATAATTTTAAAATTACTCAACAGGGAAGTCAATTTGATGATTATCTATTATTTTTAGCTTTTAGAATGAAAATACCTTAATATCTAAAATTTCAGTGTATAGCCTTGAAAAAGGCAGTGCCCTAGGGTACTATGCATATATATAATTAAAAAAGAAATATTTCATTTGGTTAACTATTTTATTTGAGAAAATATAAAAATAATAAATAGTAAATATGTAATAATTAAATAAGTAAAATATGTAAATATTAAACAATAAAATAGCTTAAATATTTAAATTTCATCTTTTTATAAAATTTATATCTTTAAAGTGCTTTTATTAGACTTTTATATTTAAGTTCAAAAAGTCAATAAATTAAATTAAAAAATTATTTTTTGTATAAATATAGGTCTATGGACAAATTCTATCAATGCCATATTTATTTTAGGATAAGTATAAAAATAAATTAAAAAAAATTTTTAAAACAATTATTATAATTTATTATAATAAATTTAAATTGCATAATTGATTAGTGTTATTATATTTTATTTTCTTTTATTTTAAGGTTTAAAGCATAGAAACTTATTTTAGATCTACTCTTTCTTAAATTTTATTTAACTCTATGTTTGAAATATAAAGTAAAATAAATAGCTCTAAAAAACCAAAGATTGATTTTTTTAAATAAATTTTAGAGATAATTAAAATAATCAATACAAACCAGCCTTTAATTATTAGAAATATCATAAAATTAAAATCAAGTAGAATTATTAAAAAACTTTATAAAATTTGAATAAAGAGAACTAATAAACATAAAATAAATAATTAAGCTACAAGTAAGATAGATAGAAGCTATAAAAAAATGACTATTTCAAAGTTAGATTTGTTTTCATCTTATTTCTACTTTAATATAAGAGGTTCATCTAATAGCAAAGGCACACTCTTTGGGTCTATTTTATCTCTACTAATTATAACCATTACAATTTCATATTTATGCTACCTTTTTTAGCAGTATTTTACTAACTAAATAGAGCCTAATTACAGATCTTAAAGCTTTACAAATAGTGATTCAATAAGTATGGATTTAACTGAAGATCTTATAGCATTTAGGTATGAATCTGAGTTCAATCTAAGTGTAGATGTTTTGGAAGCTTAATAGAATAAGACTTACATAGTTTATTTAGCTTAATTTATTTATATGAATCAAGGCCAATAAAATATTATTACTTTAAATGTGGTATAATGTACAAGCCCTGAATTAGAAGGATATTACTGCTTAGACTATTCATCAATAAAAATGAGTTAATCCTTAATATCTGATAAAATTAACAAAATTTTGGCTTCAGTATAGATTTTAGTTTATGGGTGTCTTGATTTAGATTCTCTAAAAACAACTATTCCAGATAACTGCGCTAGCTAATCAGATATTGATAATTTAATGAATTCTATATATTCTGCATTAAAAATCTCTATAAAAACTTCACAATATAATACTAAATCTTAGAGATTAGAGTCATCCTACAGAAACTATCTAATGTTTACCCTATCAAATCAATTCATCTAATCAGTTTTAAAGGTACAAAAGCAAACAACTACTGTCAAGTAAGGCATACTGATTTAATCTTCAACTAATTTTACTTCTCCTCTATAATATACATCAGAAACTCAATCACTAGATAGGTAGTCTGCAATTCAACTAGCTAATTTAGCTTGTTATGCTTTAGGAACCATACAAGTAGATGAGTTGTATTAGGAAATTTATGTACAGTATCCTACAATTCCGACCATTTTATCTCTTGCAAACAGTATATTTTAATTATTAATGCTATTAGGATTTGTAGCGAGAAGATTTTCTATGAGCTCTATTAACAAATAATTGTTTGTAATACTACTTAAAAGTATATACTAAGAAACTTACTTTAAATTATTAAAATCAAATAATTTAATAGATAATTGCTTAGAAGAGTAGTAATAAATACAAATTAATAATAATCAATTATGTTTAAATTAAACAGATGAATCTGAAATAAAAAATATTGAGGAAACAAATAATGAAGATAAAACTTAGGAAAAATAGAACAAAATAAAGAGTTCTATCTTTTTAAGGTCAGTTAAAACGTTGGACATGTAACATTCAATCAATAAAAAAGTGATGGCTGATTAAAATTTTAAGTAAGATAATAAATATTCTGAACCCCCAAAGTTACACTAAATCTTCTAAAAAATTCAATAATAATAAAATTATAATTTATCAAATGATGAAGATAGCATGAATAAATCAAACAGTTATTCTTAGAACTCGCCAAATAGTATTAAAAATGAAAAAAATTATAACAACAGAAATTCTTTTTATCATCATTATTAAATTTAAAACGCAACAATTTTGTAACAATTTCAAGATTCAAATCATAATTCATTATCTCCAAGCAATTTTAAACTGAAAAACCATAATATTACATAAGATAATACAATATTTAATAAATGTTTATCCTTTTAAATGAAGTAAAAAAATTTAATAGGACACCCTGAGAAATAGTTGGTTTTATAGAAAAGGTTAGAATTATTTTAAAATAAAAAAATAACAAGTTAAATTCAAAGGTTACTTTTCCAAAAAAGGTATTTTCTCAATTATTTTAAATTCTCATCAAATAATAAAAAATTTATTTACTTATTTGGTATTTTTTTTATTGATTTATTTATTTATTGGTTTATTTATAAGGTTATGCCAAAGGCAAAAATCTGAGAATGACCCAAAGACCTTAAATAATAATTAAAAAAAGAAAATTTAAAATATTGTCTAAAAAGATTTTGATATCTTTTAATTTTATAAAGATATTTTGTTTTTGAAAAAAGCAGTAATGATTTTACTTGATGAAGATTAATTAGCTGCTTTACAACAAGTAGGATGCTCAAATTAATTTTTAGATTTAGACTTAAAAGAATTAGAAAAAGATACAACTAATTTAGGTAATTTCATTCATGCTAAATTATTTTTTCTATAAATTATTTTAATAAAAAAGATAACCTATGTAACCATTATGAAAAATAATATGCTATTTCCTTATCAGATGAACTAAAAAATCAATTTCTAAAAAATTTCTATGAGAAATTCTAAAATAAAAAAAAGCTAACTAATACAGATTTAAAAATTATGTCTTCTATTATCAAAATTTGATCCTAAAATTATGTCATAAATTATTAATTAAAGGTAATAAATATAAAACCTTTTAGCCATTTAAAGTTTATCTATATTTTTCAAAAAATTAATTTTTTCTCTCTGTTTTTCTTTTAAAAAATATAATATTTCTTCATTAAACTCAAAAATAAAATAAATTTATAATTCTTTAAGTTAAGAAATTGATTTTCTATTTTAAAATCAAATAAAAATTTAATAAAGCAATTTAATTTATAACTATTAAATAAAAATTTAATTAAAAAAATATATCTTTTTATTCAATTATTATTGCTATTCGTGGTTATTTTTTTTTTTGTAGATAGCAATCTACTTATAAAATTAAAATAAAAAATTAATTAATTAATTTATAATTTTGATGTTATTATAATTAAAAATGTTTTTATGTTTATTTTTTAATTTTAAATAAATTTAAGATATTATTATTTTATTTCAAAAAAATCATAAAATTATTTACAATTATGTTTTTTATTAATTATATGAATATTATTTTATTTAATTATATTTTTTAATATATATTTAAGAAAATTTATATTTTATGTAATTACCTTAATATCTAAAATTTCAGTGTATAGCCTCGAAAAAGGCAGTGCCCTAGGGTACTATACATATATATAATTAAAAAGCAAATATTTCATTTGGTTAACTATTTTATTTAAGAAAATATGAAAATAATAAATATGTGATAATTAAATATGTAAAATATGAAAACATTAAACAATAAAATAGCTTAAATATTTAAATTTCATCATTTTATAAAGTTTTAGATTTTTAATTTATATGTATGTTCTCAATAAATTAAATAAAAAAATTATTTTTTGTATAAATTTAGGTCTATTGACAAAGTCTTTCAATGCATATTTATTTTAGGATAAGTATAAAAATAAATAATAAGAGCATCTTTTCTTGAGTTAATTGTACAATATTAATAAATTTTTTTAAACAATTTTTATTTTAATAATAATAAATTTAAATGGTAATTCATTAGTCTTATTTAATTTCTTTTCTTTTATTATTAGGTAAAAAGAATAGAAACTTATTTAGCTGTACTCTTTCCTAAATTTCATTTATTTCTATGTTTGAAATATAAAATAAAACAAATAGATCTACAAAACAAAAGATTGAATTTCTTTAATAAATTTTAGAGATAATTAAAATAATCAATACAAACCAGCCTTTAATTATTAGAAATATCATAAAATTAAAATCAAGTAGAATTATTAAAAAACTTTATAAAATTTGAATAAAGAGAACTAATAAACATAAAATAAATAATTAAGCTACAAATAAGATAGATAGGAGCTATAAAAAAATGACTATTTCAAAGTTAGATTTGTTTTCATCTTATTTCTACTTTAATATAAGAGGTTCATCTAATAGCAAAGGCACACTCTTTGGGTCTATTTTATCTCTACTAATTATAACCATTACAATTTCATATTTATGCTACCTTTTTTAGCAGTATTTTACTAACTAAATAGAGCCTAATTACAGATCTTAAAGCTTTACAAATAGTGATTCAATAAGTATGGATTTAACTGAAGATCTTATAGCATTTAGGTATGAATCTGAGTTCAATCTAAGTGTAGATGTTTTGGAAGCTTAATAGAATAAGACTTACATAGTTTATTTAGCTTAATTTATTTATATGAATCAAGGCCAATAAAATATTATTACTTTAAATGTGGTATAATGTACAAGCCCTGAATTAGAAGGATATTACTGCTTAGATTATTCACCAATAAAGACGAGCCCATCCTTTATATCTGATAACATTAACAAAATTTTAACTTAAGTATATATTTTTCTTTATGGATGTCTTGACTTAGATTCTCAAAAAACAACTATTCCAGATAACTGCGCTAGCTAATCAGATATTGATAATTTAATGAATTCTATGTATTCTGCATTAAAAATCTCAATAAAAACTTCACAGTATAATACTAAATCTTAGAGATTAGAGTCATCCTACAGAAACTCTCTTCTGTTTACCTTATCAAATCAATTCATCTAATCGATTTTAAAGGTACAAAAGCAAACAACTACTGTCAAATAAGGCTTATTGATTTAATCTTCAACTAATTTTACTTCTCCTCTATAGTATACATCAGAAACTCAATCACTAGATAGGTAGTCTACAATTCAACTATCTAATTTAGCTTGTTATGCTTAAGGAACCATACAAGTAGATGAGTTGTATTAAGAAATTTATATACAGTATCCTACAATTCCGACCATTCTATCTCTTGCAAATAGTATATTTTAAGTATTAATGTTATTAGGATTTGTAGCGAGAAGATTTTCTATGAGCTCTATTAACAAAGAATTGTTTGTAATTTTACTATAAAGTATATACTAAGATACTTACTTTAGATTATTAAAATCAAATAATTTAATAGATAATTGCTAAGAAGAATAGAAATAATTACAAATTAATAATAATCAATTATGTTAAAATTAAACAGATGAATCTGAAATAAAAAATATTGATGAAAAAAATAATGATGAAACTTAGGAAAAATAGAACAACATGAACCGTTCTATCTTTTTAAGGTCAGTTAAAACGTTGGACATGTAACATTCAATCAATAAAAAAGTTAAGGCTGATTAAAATTTTAAGTAAGATAATAAATATTCTGAACCCCCAAAGTTACACTAAATCTTCAAAAAAATTCAATAATAATAAAATTATAATTTATCAAATGATGAAGATAGCATGAATAAATCAAATAGTTATTTTTAGAACTCGCCAATTAGAATTAAAAATGAAAAAAATGTTAACAACAGCAGTTTTTTTTATGATCATAATTAAATTTAAAACTCAACAATTTTGTAACAATTTCAAGATTCAAATCAAACATCTCAAAGCGTAGTTAAACTGAAAAACCATAACATTACATAAGATAATATAACATTAACATTTAATAAATGTTTATCGTTTTAAATGAAGTAAAAAAATTTAATAGAACAATCTGAGAAATAATTGGTTTTAAAGAAAAGGTTAGAATTATTTTAAAATAAAAAAATAGCAAGTTAAATTCAAAGGTTACTTTTCCAAAAAAGGTATTTTCTCAATTATTTTAAATTTTCAACAAATAATTAAATATTTATTTATTTATTTGGTTATTTTTTTATTTATTTATTGATTGATTTATTTATTTATAAGGTTATGTCAAAGACAAAAATCTGAGAATGACCCAAAGACTTTAAATGATAATTAAAAAAAGAAAATTTAAAATATTGTCGAAAAAGATTTTGATATCTTTTAATTTTATAAAGATATTTTATTTTTGAAAAAAGCAGTAATGATTTTACTTGATGAAGACTAATTAGCTGCTTTACAACAAGTAGGATGCTCAGATTAATTTTTTGAGTTAGACTTAAAAGAATTAGAAAAAGATACAAATAATTTAGGTAATTTTATTAATGCTAAATTATTTTTTCTATTAATTATTTTAATAAAAAAGATAACTTATGTAACCATTACGAAAAGTAATATGCTATTTCCTTATCAGATGAACTATAAAATCTATATCTAAAAAATTTCTATGAAAAATTCTAAAATAAAAAAAAGCTAAATAATACTGATAAAAAAATTATGTCCTCTATTTAGACTATTATCAAGATTTGATACAAAAATTATATTTTAAATAATTAATTAAAGGTAACAAATATAGACCTTTATAGCCATTAAAATTATATATATATTTTCTTAAAAATTAATTTTATTTCTATTAAAAAATATAAAATATCCTTATTAAACTCAAAAATAAAAATAGAATTAAGTTAAAAAATTGATTCTCTACTTAATAATCAAATACACATTTATTTAATAAAGCTATTTAATTAATAACTATCAAAAAAAAATTAATTAAAAAAAATACCTCTTTTCATTCAATTATTATTCCTATTTATGTTATTTTTTTGGATATAGCAAGCTAAAAAAGTTGTTAACTATAATACAAGCCTTAATATAATATTGTCTTAATATATCAATCTTTACGGTATTTATTTAAAATTAAAATTAAAATGAGTATTAATCAATTATTCATTTATAATAAACAAAATAAATTTGATTTATATTCATTATTTAAAATTTTTTTTTCAGCCATATAATTAATATTAAAATAAAAGCAGTAAATTGATTTAATGTTTTTAATAACATATATTTTTATAATTATTTCATTAGCAAAAAAAGGAATTAAAAACAAAACAATAACTTAATTGAATAAAAAGTAGAAGTATTGGAAAAATAACAACTAATTTTAATTGAGCATATAAAAAATAAATAATAATATAAATGGAATTTTTTTATAGATTTGATTTATTTTCTTCTCAATTTTACTTTAACATCAGTGGATCATAATCTAGAAAAGCAACTGTTTTAGGTACATTTTTATCATTGAGTATAATAGCATTTATATCATACTACTTTGCTTATCTTTTAGAATAATACTTTAACAACCAAATATAACCTAGCTATACAGCTTAAAATTATAGTAATAATCAATCCATAGATTTAGAGCTAACTACTGATTTAATAGCATTCAGATTTGAATCAAACTATAATTTAGGAATCGATGTTCTATAAGCAAAATAAAATACGACATATATAGTATATTATGCATATTATGTTTAAATGAATTAAGATAATTTTGATTTGATACAGCTTGATATTATTAATTGCCTTAATCCTAATTTGGATGGATTTTAATGTCTTGATATCTCAAAAATACCCGATAAAGTATTGACATCTAATAACAAAGATAGAATTTTATCTTAGATCCAAATATTTTCATATGGTTGTCTAGATATTGATTAACAAAAAACAATTGTTCCTGATAATTGTGCTACTTAGTAGTAAATAGATGATGTTATAAATGCTTACAATGCTGGTGTTAAAGTTCTAATTAAAACTTCTTAGTTTAATGTAAAATCCAAACAAATTGAGGAAGGCTACAGAAGTACTTTTATTTACACTTTATCAGACCAGAATATTTTAACAACTTTGAAAATTCAAAATTAATAAACAAGTGTGAAATAAGGGTTTTTCATTTAAGAGGAAACTAAGTTTGCTTCTCCTTTATCTTATGATTTAGAAAATTAAAGTCTCAGCAGATAATCATCTATTTAACTTACAAATATATCTGCTTGCAGCTAAGTCAATATTTTAGCTGATTAAATGTATCAATAAATTTATATATAATACCCAACTCTTCCTTCAGTTTTATCATGGGTAAATAGCATTTTTTAATTGTTACTATTTTCTGGCATTTTAATAAGAACATTGTCTTAGAGTTCTATAAAAAAAGATTTATTAGTTTTACTTCTCTAAAATGTCTATTAATAAACATATTTAAAAATACTAAAAGCAAATAAAATTTTATTTAAAAATGATAATTAATAATCAACAAGTCAAATACAGAATTAATAAGACGACAAAGAGTAAGAAATTGCAGAAGAAAATGATTTTTAACAAGATAAATCTAGTAATTTGATGCCATAAATTAATTTTAAGATTAAATAAAAATTAGATTCTAAAATTTAAATTTAGAAAAAACAGATTTGTAAATTAGACACCTAAGAGTAGAGCAAATAAGAAGATGATCAAAGCAATATATTTATCTCATAAAAATATCAATCTGATGGTAATTAGTAACCTTTTGATTAAAGCAAGCTCATTTAAGAAAATAAGAAGTTGAGATCTAAATTTCATAATATGTAACAATTATAACCAGATAAAAACTAAGACATTTTCCCTAGTCAAATACTTGATTAGCCTTTTAAAAATTCTATTTTATCATAGAATGATTAGGCCACTTAGAAATCTATAATAAATAGCTTTGATAAGAGTCCTTAATAACAAAGTAAAAAGAGATAAAAAAGTAATTTAAAAAATTTTGAAGACCAAATCAATACATAGTCTAATGTAAACAATATCTAAATAAATAAATACCTTTAACATTTCAGAACAATTAAAAATATGATCTTTTAAAAGTAAGTGAATACAATTATATCAAAAACGGTCAATTTTAGGTAGGTTATATTATGTATTTTATAATTATAATTTTCTTTTTTTTTAAATCAAGGTGTTGCAAAAGAAAAAAAGAAGAACAAGCCTAAGAGTCAAACTTTGTTTAAAACTAAGAAAACACTATATAAAAATAAATAAATAAAGATTTAAATATTTTAGAATTGTACAAGGATATCATATAATTAAAGAAAGCTGTTATGATTTTGTTAAATAAAGACTAATTTGCAGCTTTGGGACTTATTGGGTGTTCTTCAAGCTTTTTAAGCTTAAAATTAAACTAACTCTAAAAAAATTATGATGATTATCAATTAGGTAACTATAAAAATTTATATTTATCATGACATTTAATACTAATTTATTATTCAAAAAAAAAAAGAAAGTCACTATGAATAGTTGAATGCAATATCGATTTCAAATTAGTTATAAGAGAAATATATATAATAATTTTTTTAGAGATGTTTAATTAATTAAAATTTGAATGAAATTGATTAAAGAATATTATCATCAATTAATAATTTGATTGATTGATTGATTTATAAATATTTGTTGTTAAGTTTGAATTAAAAAATTATTTTTATTTATTTAATTAATTATTTCAAATAAAAATTTACAATTTTGATTTTAAAAAGAAAATTAAAATTTATATTAATTTCTAGCTAATTTTTTTGTAAATTTAATTTTGGTGTCCATAAAATATATTAGGATTATAATACCCATTAATGATTTTAGATGGAATATGTCAATACATAATATTAGATATTAATTGTCCATTAATGATGACTTAACCAAAAATAATTTTTTTTATAAGATTTTTAAAGTAATTTTTTATTTTTTAACAATTTTTCCTAAATAACTTCTTTAATTATTGATTTTTATTAATAGTTTAATTGCTCACAAGTTAATAAAATTTTTTGATGCGCACTAGTTCACAGACATAATTTTTGTTCTACTGAGCACAAGCCAAAATTTTGTGTGGCTTGCACATTCACAGTACCAAAATACCATTATTTAATATCTCAATTATAATTAGTAATAGTTAAATTTCTTACTAAAATAACAATATGTATGTACTTATGTTTATAAAAATATTTTTTATAATAATTTACTATTCAATCTTAAATAAAGCTATTATATTTTTATATTTTATTAAGGTCTATTTCATTAATACTTTGTGCCTGAATATTTTTCTCATCCTTTTTATTCATAATTGCAAATAGTGATTAAGAATGACTATAACTGTTGTTCTTATCTTAGTATTCATCAATTTATAAGGTATTATATTTACTAAATTTTGATGCTGAAAAATAATCAGTATCATAAAAAGTTTATTAAAATTAAATTGTATTGATATGATCTTCTTTTTCAATTTCATCTTCTTCTATATTTTCAATTTTTTTAAAGCTCTTTTAGCTATTTGCTAACTAATTTTCTTCTTTCTTGTACTTTTTTTGAGATTAATTTTAATTTTCTACATCTTCTTATTATTGGCAATCGTTTTATAAGCTTTTTTTATTTTTATCTTCTATAATATTAAGCGATTTTCTAGATATCCTAGATGATTTAACTGTTTATAATTAATCACAGTGTATTTAAGATTATTCTTCAGAATTTTGAGATGAAGAGTAATCATCTTAAAATTAACTTGTTATATTTGAATTTTTAGTTACTAACTATTACAAATTACTTACTTAAGATTAACGTGAAACAGCAAATTTGGAAGATCTATTAGCAATTTAAACTTTTTATTGAGTCTACCTTGCTCTTTTTGTTATCATTGATGATTAATTGAGCTATTATTAAAGTAATATTTCTAACTTCTTTTTTTCATCTTCTCTTTTTTATCTTTTATTTATTAAATTAATAAAAATAATATAATTAATTTTATTTATTCTAAAATATTCTTAAATTAATTCAATTAAAAATAATTTTTTATTTAATTTATTTTAAGCTATCTTCTAAAATATTTATTTTTTAATTTAAATTAAAAAATTGATAAGCATTTAGGATTTACATTTTATCTTATCAAAAAAATATGCTTTAAACCATGTATAAATATATATAGTTTTTTCTAAAGAATTTATAGAAATGCAATAGTCTGGAAATATTTATATTGTTGAAATTATTTTCAAGAATATTTTATCGTATTTTAAAACAAAAAATTATTTTTAAAGATATTAAAATTTGATATAGTATGAAAATACCTTCTTTTATCTAAAATATTGTCTATAATATTAGAGATGTTATGTTAGGGATAGTATAGCTTATAATTTCTTAAGACATCATCTATTGATTCATAATTTACTGCTATACTCATAAAGGATTAACAACCATTATCAGTTTATTTAGAATATTAAGAATTTTTTTGATGATTCACAAAATTTTATCCTTAATATTTTGGCTTAAAATTCATATATGAGGCCTCTCGATTTTATCTACGGTTATTTAAAATATTAGTTTTTATAATATTATATTTCTGCATTTCAACAAGTGCTGCATCCATATCGATATTTAAATCTTTTATAAAATTGATTATCTAATTTAAATGAGCTTAACTGCATAACTGAGTATTTTATTTTTTGTTATTAAGTTACTGATTTGCAGTATTTTATTTTTGGTTTTATAGTCTTTAAAGTTTTTAAGAGTTGAGAGATGTTTATCTTGTTTTTTTCCTTGTTGCTTATTTCCTATTTAAATTGAGTATATTCTATTCTGGTGATTCTTAAAAAATGGACCCTTCATCTATTTTTATTGCATTACTTGATTCATTTTCTTATCCCTCCATAATCATAGAGCAAACATTCTTTTTTACTTAAACTTAAAGCTGATTTATCTTATCTTGAGTTATTAAGGTATTAGTATTTTATATATTTTCTTCAGACTTATCACAGTCAATACTACTAAGCATCATTTATAAACTCTAATTATTGGCTAAAGTTTAACTATTCATCATTGCTTAATTTATTTTCTAGTTTTCAAGACTGAACCCTAAATTTACAATAAATTTATAAATAAAAATATAATTTTTAATTAAATTATACTTTAAATGTTATTCATTGGAATCTTTTATTGTTAATTTCCTGTTTTAGTAATTTACGAATTATTTTCACTATGATTCTCACATTGATTTAGTGAATAACATTTCTATATCTCTTCCCCTTCTGTCTCTATAAACTTATTTTTTTTATCATTACATTCAAAAATTTTATCTAAATTTTAAATTTCATCCTCTCCATCATCATCTTCTTCATCTTCATAGCCTTCAAAATTAATATCTGAAGATTGAATTGATTAGTTAGAATCCAATCTTCCTATTTCAATAAAATATTTTCTAAAATAAGCCTTGATTTCTTCTATGTAATCATTAACAAAATCTTCTATCCTTACTTATACGTCATAATTATTGTAAATTGCATTTTAACTTTTTTTACTTTTAATTCTTAACATTTACTAGCGTTTTTAATCCATGCCAGTTGAAAATTATCTAATTACGTTCAATTTTTATGGGATAAAGTGAATTATTGGACAAACAGATAAAGAATGGTCATAGCAGTTACAGCATTAGCATTTGTTCATTATAGAGCTCTTTTAGCTGTTATAAGTTGCTTCATCTCTTAGCATGCAAAACACTTCGTAGTCGTCTGGGTAATCTTTTAAAAGATTTATGAAATCTGCTCTTTTTATTACCAATAAAGTTGTAAATTCTAAACTTCTAAAATTAATATCTCTTGGTTCTCCAGTGAAGAAACTATATTCTCCAAAAAATTTCCCATTGCTAAGGGTGTATAATGAGTTTACAGTCTTAATTTTTTTGTTAAATGGAACTTTTTAAAATGTAAATGCCTCAACTTAACCTTTTTCAATAAAATAGATGGATAAATCATCTTATTCACCTTTCAAATATATGATCTCTTCTGGAGTACATCTTATTTCTTTTATTAGAGGTAGTATTTTTTATAGCACTGGCTCACTAAAAGTAGTGCTAAAAATAGGGCTTTCTCTTTTTATAGTTAATTAAATAGAGTTAATTATTAAATATTCATTATTGATTGAAAATCGAATAAAATAATTCATAAACACAAACCTTAGAGCTACTTTATTAGCTTCCATAAGCAAAGTTTCTTTCAATTTATGAGACAATTATTCCAAAATTTTATTCTTATAAAAAATAAAATAAAATACTATACTCATTATTAATAATTAAATACCTCTTATTCACTGTTACTTGCTTTTTCTTACTTCCAGTAATATTCCAAATATTCCCTTACTTAATATTATAAATCTTTTGATATTGTTTTATTAGTCATATAACTATTAATAATTTTCATATTAGCTTTAATTTCATTGTCTAATCTAAAGAATTTTTCAAATATGTTTCCTATTGAATTCACACTGTATGCAAACTATCCACAAGCTATCATCATATTTACTATACAAAGTACCTTTTCAGCAACAGTCCTTGGAGAGATATCTCCATATCCAACAGTAATCATTGTAACAGTAGAAAAATAGTAGGAATAAATATACTATACATACCAACCAGAGTTAGTTATACTTGCGCCATCCATCCATGTATTTTAGCAGCCTTATTTTATTTAAATAAAACCCATAATCAACCATGCAAGAGCAGAAATGTGCAAGTTCAAAATTATACTAAAAAGCAGCTTTATTAGCGAAATCACATTACTTGCAGTTGAACTTAAAGGAAACTCATCCTCAATCCTTTTGAAAACCTTATCAAATTAGAGTACCTTTTAATTAAATGGAGAATTAATATCAAAAGATTGCTTTATAATAATTATCATTCAATTCAAACTTCAAATTTTGCATTAAATTGTAGAAGTAGAATTAATAAAAAATATACTTTATAGAAGATCAATAAAATGATAAATCTGTGGTATTGATAATCTCCTGATGAATCTGGCTTTGAATAAATGAGACAATATATGAAAAGCGGAATATTAGAAACAAGGTCATACTTAAAATCTTAAAGGAGATAATTTTTTAATATAATAGACCTACTTGTAATTAGAACTCCTTTTAAAAAGCAAGACGTATTCAAGTTGACAAATATTTCTATTATTAAACTTAATGGAATTATTGTATATACAATCACAGAAGGTACTAACTACATTAAATCTATTTGAAACACAAGATGTATAGGAACTATAAATATGATGCAAATACTTAAAACCATTTAACTTATATCCCAAATAAGCTTTATTCTTGAAGATGGGTTAAATGGTGGAAACAATTTATTTAGTTTTTCTAAAAAATTGGGGCCTTTTTAATTTAAAAAAAGGTCTGTTTGGTTTTTTGAATGCTATTATTCTGGCAAAATGATTGAAAGATCATTAAGCATCCTAAAATTTTCTTTTTTTAGTTTTTAATAACGTTTTGCTGCTGTTTTATCTACAACATTGCCAATCTTTTATTTTAACTTTATACTTTGTAATGCAAATTTTAAGTCTTGCTTTATTGGTATATTAGTATTTTCTATATTTATATTGCTATATAATGATTTATTATCATCTAAAACATTAATATTTTCCTCTTTTAACATGATGTTCATCCTTACTTTGATATTTTAACTATTTTCCAGGGAATTACCATATAAAGGATATTGGCAACGCGAACCCGATTGCATTTTTAAAAATTAAAAAAATATGGTCCACCATTATTTAAGTTCCAAATTATTAGCTTGATAATAAAAATTGAGGGAGGTATGTTTCTCTTCTTTTTATTATTTTTACTAATTAATATTAATAAAGTTTAATTTTAGAAATAAAAGTTAGCAGCTAATATTTAATCATTTAACATACCCAGAAAATATATTTAAGTATGTTGTTGATAAATTGTCTTCATGAAAATTAAGAAAATAATTAATGAAAGCATAGTACCTTTATTTGGGGTATTGAAAATAATTTAAATAATTAAAGTTTTTATATAAAAGACAATACATACACTTTATTCTAAAATGTAATAACAGTTTTTGAAAAAAGCTATTTTTATTTTAATTTAGCTTTAATTTAATGAGTATCACTCTGAAGTATTATATGAACTAAATTTAGATGTTCATAGAAAATACATATAATTAAATAGTAATCTCAACTTTATATTAAATATTAGATCTTCTTTTTCAATTCCATACTCATTTTTATTCAAAATTTTTTTAAAGCTTTTAAATTCTTATACCCTAATATTAGCTTTATAATCTTAATTTCCTTATTAATTATCTTTTTATTAATTATTTAAATTACTATCAACAACATTGTTAAAATATTTTTTAGATTTTCTATGCTATTTTATTTCTTACAATTAATTCATATACTTAAGATTATTTTTCATTTTAGACAAACGATTATCATCTCAAATTATATATCTGAATTTAAATTATTAGCTACAAAATTTTATAATTTAGTAATTTAAAATTTAATAGAACAACCAACTTATTTAGAAGATCTGCTATTTATCAATTCGACTTAATGTAAAATTTATCTTGCTATTTGTGTTCGTTTGGTTTGCTATTTTATTTATTATTAGAATTATAATTTTTTTTCATTTTTCTCTCGATTTCTATCTTTCCCTTAATTAAATCAATTTAAAAATACGAAATTGAATAATAATTAAATTATTTTTTACCTAAAAATTTAATTTAGTCTTAAAATTATTTAGATTTTTTTTAATATGAAGTTTTTGCATGTAAGATTACTGCAATTATAAGAAGAGAACTCAAAACATGTTATTAAGAATTGTAAATTTGTTTTGATAAAATAGTTAACTATTGTTTCTAAATAGAATTTAAGTAAAAACTATAATTAAAATTTTTCAATATCACAAATTCTAATAATAAAGAAAAAAATCATAATTCCTACTTAAAATTGATTTTTAATTTAATAATAATTTAAAATTATTGTAATTATTTTTTAATTAGACTAATTCATAAACTTTTCTAAATAATCACATTTTATTTTTTTATTTTTTTGTTATTAAAAATTTAAGTTCAAGAGAGCATTTAATGTAAATATGTTTCTGATTTTGATTTAATAAATGAGCTAAAGTTATAAATTATATAAAAAAAATTCTGATAAATGATTTTGAAAGAAAGATAATTTTTGATGAATATTGAATTATAATTTATTTTATTAATAAATTCTTTTATTACTTATTTAAGAAATATAAAAAATAGTAAAATTTAGATTTAGGAATTGACACAAATAAATCAATTAAATACATTTTTTAAGCAATTAATTCAAGATTTTTGAGATTTGAACTAAATCTTTTGAATTCTAAATAGTAAAAAGATAATCTTAATTTATTCGATAATCAAAAAAATAAGATATTTTCTATTAAAATTACAAAAATAAAGCAAAAACAAATAAATTGAAAAACTAAAAAATATAAAATATCAGAAAAACTAAAATGAAATTCTCTTAGTTTGATTTATTTTCTTCATAGTTCTACTTTAATGTTAGAGGTTCATAAATTAAAAAAGGAACACTGATTGGATCAATTTTATCCTTTATTGTTATTATTCTCACTTTATACTATTTAGGTTATTTATTAAATCAATATGTTAACAATCAAATCGAACCTAATTACAAAGCTTAAAACTTCAAAAACGAGAAATTTGTAGATATTGACTTAACTTAAGACTTAGTAGCTTTCAGATTCGAATATGATTACAATCTCAGTATTGATTTATTGGAACAATAACAAAATAAAAAGTATATTGTTTATTTAGCTTATTACATTTATATGAATTAATCTAATTAGGAATAAATTTAGCTTGGTGTAATTAAATGCTAAGATCCTAATTTATTTGGATTTTATTGTTTAGATTTTTCAAAAATTAAAAATCAAACACTTATTTCTAATAATATTGAAAGCATTTAATCTCAAATACAAATATATACTTATGGTTGCTTAGATGTGGACTCTTAAAAAACAAGTATTCCCAACAACTGCGCAAATCAAACTAGCATAAATGATGCAATAAATAGAGTAAACTCGGGTTTAAAAGTGAAAGTAAAAACTTTCCAGTATAATACAACTTCAAAATCAAACTAAATTAGTTATAGAAACAGCTTAATTTACACTCTTTCTAGCTAATAAATACTTACATCGTTAAAAATTTAGAAACAGTTAACATCTGTTAAATAGGGATACTTTATTTAATCAGAATCAACTTTTACTTCACCTTTACAATATGATCTAGAGAACTAAAGCTTAGATAGGTAATCAACATTGCAATTAGCTAATATAGGATGTTATAGCTAACTCAATATTTTAGTTGATGAAATTTATTAACAAATTTAAATTTAGTATCCTACAATTCCATAACTATTGGCTCTTGTAAATAGTATTTTTTCTGCCTTGATGCTGTTTGGATTTATAGCTAGATAAATTTCATTGAAATCTATCAAAAAAGACTTTTTTATGATATTTTTACAAAATATCTTCCCCGATAGCTATTTTTAAATTTTAAGCATCAATAAATTGATAAAAAAGTAAGAAGATAATTAAAGAGATCCTTAAATTCGAATATAAAAAGATTTAAAAGAATCAGAGGAAATAGAAGATTAGCATATTCGAGAAGATAAATCGAATAACTAAATTCCTTCTATAATAGCTAAATCTAAGCAAATCTTGGATTTACAGAGCCAAAAGGATCTAAATAGCAACTTTGATTTTTAAAAATCATATAAATAATTATCACTTAAATAATAAACTGAAAATGATTTAACACTCTTAGAATAAAAAGAATCTTTAAATTAGACTAATAATAACAGAGACTCTTTAAATTTACCATCAATTAAAAAAAATATGCAAATTTTAAATTTAAGTTTTACTGCTGATTAACAACTACTACAAAACTAAACTTTTACTTAATTGAAAATAGATTTAGATAACTCAACTAATAACTATAAATTTAGATAAAAATAATAGAAATCTGTTACAAAATAAATTGAATAAGTAAAACCCTCTTTAATTACTGAAAGTTTTAAAAAATTCAGCTTTGATGGAAAATAATTTATTGATGGATGCCTACTGAAATTAAAATTAATAAATGATTCAGAAATTGCCAATAAAATCAAAAATATTATATTTAATAAAAAGTAAATAAATTTAATATTATTAATTAAAATTTAGATTTTTAAATTATTTTTAATTAAAAAAGGATTTTCAAAATGAAATGTAAGCCGAAATTATCAGAATTGCAAAAAGATAAAATATATCAATATGTAGATAGGGATTTAGATGTATTTGAATTTTATAAAGATATATTATTTCTAAAGAAAGCTGTGATGATTTTGCTTAGCTAAGACTAGCTCGCATCTCTTTAACTCGTAGGATGCTCTTCAAATTTTATGAATTAAGAATTCAGATAGTCAAATTCAATAAAAAATAAAATTATTAATTACAAGAAATTTAATCTTGAAAACAATTTTAATCATTACGAATAGTAACTAGCCTTGCAAATGTCTGAAGATTTGTAGTTCAAACAAGTTTAAAATTTTTTAGAAAAGTGCTAACGTATGCAAAATAATTTGAATATAATAGATCAAAGAATATTGTCATCTATAATTTAAAGCTCTTCAATAAACTGAAAATAAAAAAAATATAAATAAAAATATACCTTTTTACTTCTCTATTCTAAACATTATTTCCTTAATTTATTACATAATTAAATTTTGTTATTTTTAAGAAAAAAATTAAATTGGGAGGTTTTAATCAATAAATCAAAGATTAAATACAGTAGATCAAATTGTAAATCAAATTCTTTAGTTTATCATTTAAGCATTAAAATAAATAGATTTTTGATTTATAAATAAAAGACCAAATTTTTAGTATTTATAATTCTATGTAACTTTTGGTGCTGTATTAAAATATCATCTCACTAGCAACACAATTTGAAAAGGATTATTTTTAAAATCATCAAACAAACAAAATATTTATTTAGATAGTATATAGTACATAATTTTATAATCTTAATTCAATTATCTTGTTGTAAACTTAATGACTCAATTTAACTAAAAGAATGAGTTATAGTAATTTGATATATATCAATCATAAATTATTCATAATTAAAATAAATTAGAAATTGCCATAGAGAAAATAAAATCAACAATTCAAGCGTTGATAAAAATTGAACATTAATGAATTTTTTTAAGGCAATTTTAATTAATTTTTACATGTGAGCGTTAATACCTAATTATTATAATATGTCAACTTGATTTAACTGGTTAATATTAAATTAATATTGTTTTATATAGCTATTTTTGTAAAATAAAAATAATAATTAAATTATTGAGTTACAAGCAAAATAAGAGTCAAAAAACTTACAAGTTATTAATTATCAGCAATATAAAAAAGGAACAAAATGATACTGCCTTATATAGATTTATTTTCTTCTTAATTCTTTTTTAATGTGAAAGATTCTCATATTAGAAACGGTACAATATTTGGATCAATCCTGTCTTTAACAATCATTTCTCTTACTTTGTATTATTTTAGTTATCTGTTTTTGTAGTTCATAGATAATAAAATAGATCCTAACTATAAAGCATAGAATTTCAACAATAATGAATCTATAAAAATGGATTTAAGTGAAGATATGATTGCATTTAGATTCGAAATCAGCTACGGATTAAGTATTTAGAGTTTAGAAGACTTGACTAATAAAATATATATTGTTCACAAAGCTTACTTAATCAGCCTGACTCAAACCAGTTAGGAATAGGTTGATTTAGATGTAGTAAAATGTAAAAGTCCTACTTTAGAAGGTTATTACTGCCTTGATCTTTCTAAGTTACCCAACTCAAGCTTATACACAGACAATAATTAAAGTATTTAGTCGTATTTATAAATTAGCACATATGGATGTTTGGATACAGATAATCTAAAAACAACCATTCCTTAAAATTGTGCTTCTGCTTAGGAAATAAATAGCGTATTTAATTCATAATACTCAGGCATTAAAATAAAAATAAAGACTTCCTAATTTAATACAACTTCTAGATCAATTGAAACTAGCTATAGAAGCACTATTATTAACACTTTACAAAATTAGATATTTTTAACTTCAATAAAAATTCAATAGCAAGTAACAACAATCAAAGAAGGCTACCTTTTTTAGACTGAAACAAATTTCACATCAGCGCTTTCATATGGAGTTGAAAGTTAAAGTTTATAATAGTAGCTTGCAAAATAATTTTAAAATTTAGGAAGTATTAGCTAAGTAAATATTCGACTAGATGATTTATATTCTCAAATACAAATTTAATATATAACAATTCCAACAATTTTATCATAAGTAAATGGAATATTCTAAGTTTTGATACTAATAGGCTTTATTGGAAGACGTGTTTCACGAAATTAAATGAAAAATGATTTTATTTTAGCTTACTTATAAAGTACATATTTATAAAAATACCTATAAATGCTCTAATTTAATAAATATGAATAGCCAATAGATTAACTAAGCCCACAGTAAAAAATAGCAAGTCAAAAAGACCTAAAAAATTCAGATGAGTTAAATGAAAAAGATATTTTAGAGAAAACTAATTTAAATGAAATTCAATCTTGTTTTTTTAAACATAAATGCATTTTAGATTTTTAAAAGCCAAAATAAAATAGTTTTCAATTATAAGAAATGTTATATGGAAATTAATAAACATATGAGATACTAACCAAAAATTAATCTACTTTATCTCACTAAGTTGGCAATTAAAGTTCTATACAAAAAGACATGTAAAAATTTCCATTTATCTAGTAGAATAAATCAATTTTATTAGATGATAATAAACCTAATTCATTAGAAACTAATTATTTTGAAAAACTATAAAATCAGCTTGATGATAAATAAAACAGTACAAATAGATAAATAAAACCAACATAATAAATATAGCTAGAAGGGATTGTTAATTAAGTAATAAATCTCTCTCAAGATTAAGAAAATTAAAATAAAGACAAGAATAGCAAAGTTGATAAATAACACTCAAATATTTATTTTAAAATGTTATAGGTTCTAAAAAGTAGTGAGAATTCTGTGAAAGTATATAATAAATTATTTAAAAATAGGTAATATTTATTTATTTATTTATTTATTTGGAAATAGTATTTTATAAAATTTTTTATTAACTTGAATAGGTTTTGTAAAAAAAAGAGTGATTATACAGAAGAAAACTTAAATGAAAATTTGAAGCAAAAAATTAATTGCTTAATTACCAAAGATTTAAATATCTTTACATTTTATAAAGATATTTTATTTCTGAAAAAAGCAATAATGATTTTGTTAAGTTAAGAGTAATTAGCGATGTTGCAACTTGTTGGATGTTCTAATGATTACTTAGATTTAGACTAAAGTAATTTGGAAAACCTTTTACGAAATGAAGAAAATCATTTTAGCCATTTCGAAAAGTAAAAAGCGATAATATTATCTGAAGAAATAAATTATATGTATATTTAAAAATTCTTAAAAAGAAGCAAAAGCAAAGAAAATTTAAGTAAAATTGATTAGAGAATCATATCATCATTACCTAATAATATTAAAAATGCATGAGATGTATCTATTAATTAGTGCTTAACAAATCATATACCTTTTTTTCATATTAGTATTATTAATTTAAACATTTGCTAAGGAAAACTATTACAATATTATAAACATCTCATCAAAAATATTTAGTTAAATATGTTTTACTTTTAAAAGCAAAAAAATTAGTTTTTTTGAAATTATATATATTATTTAAATTTTTTTTTTTAGTAACATTCTTGTCTTTGTTTCGAAATACAAACTTCTTAAAAAAATTTAAAAAGAATAAAAGGATATCAAAAAAATTATTTCCATTTTTTAATAACATAGATATTGATAAAAAAATTATTTTATTAATTGATAATTTTGGTTTAAAAATACCTATCGTATGTTATTTTTATTATTATTATATTTATTTTTTTCTCTAAGTTTATATTAATTAAATTTGACATTTTACTGAAAACATTAATAAGCCTAATTATTTTTTATTTTTGCTTTTAAAAGCAAAAAATCGACAGTTTTTTTGAAATTCTTTTTAATTATTATCAAATTATTTTTTTAATTTCTTAGTAAATGCTTTTTAAAAAATATTAAAAATAAAAGTGGATAATAAAAACAATTAATGATGATTTTTTTAATAAATAGAAGTTAGATATAGAAATTCTTAATTCCTTTTTTTCTATACTTTATATGTTAATTAAACTTATTCATATTCCTTATAATTAATGTAAAACTTTATTACAATTATTATCTAAGCAAATCAGATTATTAAAAGAATAAAAAAAGAACAAAAGAATTTTGATAATGAACATTTCAAGTTTTGATTTATTTTCGTCACAATTTTTTTTTAATATAAAAGATAAACATATTAAGAAAGGCACTCTGTTTGGATCGCTTCTAACTGTTTTAATTATAGCTATTACATTGTACTATTTAGGATACCTGCTTTCATTATTCATAAATAATGAAATTGATCCTAACTATAAAGCCTAAAGTTTCTCAAATGTTGAAACAGTAAAAATGGATTTAACTGAAGATTTGATTGCTTTTAGATTTGAATCCAGCTATAATTAAGGTGTAGAGGAATTAGAAGCATAAACTAAAAAAAAATATATTATCTATTATGCCTTTTATTTACAATAAAATTAAACTAGTTCATAATTAACCTAAGTAGAAATAATTAAATGCTCAAGACCTAATTTAGAAGGATACTATTGCCTTGACTTTTCTTAATTACCCAACTAAACTTTATTCTCAGATAATGTTTAAAGTATTTAGTCTTAAATTTAAATAAGTACCTACGGATGTTTAGATATTGACTCGCTGAAAACAACAATACCAAATAATTGTGCTGCTGCTTAAGATATTAATAACCTAATTAACACTTAAAGTTCAGGAATAAAAATAAAGTTAATGACAACTTAATATAACACAACCTCATAAAAAATTGAAACAAGCTATAGAAGCAGTTTTATTATGACCTTATAAAATTAGCTATTCTTAACCTTTATAAAGCTATAAAATCAAATAACTACAATTAAGAAGGGTATTTTTTTTTAAGATAAAACAAATTTTTCTTCACCACTTTCATATGAAGTTGAAAATCAAAGTCTAGATAGATAATAATCTCTTTAATTTTCTAATTTAGGGAGTTTTAGTTAAATAAATATTATGCTTGACGAATTGTATTCTCAAATATAAATTTAATATGTCACCATTCCATTCATTTTATCTCAGGTAAATAGTGTCTTCTAGTTATTAGTTTTGTTAGGATTTTTTGCCAGATATTTTTCTCGAAATTCTATGAAAGACGATTTCATTTTAGCTTAGCTGCAAAGCACATATCTACAAAAATACTTACAAATCCTCTAATTTAACAAATTTTTAAAGAAAAAAGATGAAATAGAAGAATAAGAAATGGAAACTCATAAAGATATAAAAAATTCAGAAGAACTAAAGGATTAAGATATTTTAGAAAATAATTTTTTAAATGAAATTTAGTCATCTAATTACAAGCCTAAATATATTTTAGATTTTAGAAATTCGAAAATTTAATAAAATTAGGATATCAACTAAAAAATAGATTAGATCACTTTTAAAAGTTAATAAATTAGCTACTAAAATCCAAAAATCAAACTTTATACTTAAAGAGAGCAATCTGAAATTAGTACCTCACCAATAAATAAAGCTGATTCAACAACCAATAATAGATAAAATACTCATGAAATTAGTTAGCATGATTCCTTATAAATTCCTATTTTTAAATAGCAAAATAAAAGTAAATAATAAGTATAAGAAATGCTAAATAGATAGTTTGATAGTAAAATAATTTATGAAAAAAATATTTCATTGCTAGATGAAAACACAAACTATAAAAATAATTCTAAACTAGATAAAAAAATATAAAATATTTATATTTAATTAGCAAACTTAATTAAGAACAGAGTAGCTTCAACACAAATTCATAGCTTTTTATTTGGAAACAGGTATTTTTTAATATTAATTATTTAAATTAAAAATTGTTTATTAAATGATGTAGATTTTGCAAAAAAAGGAGTCATAATGATGGATAATGCTTACTTTCAAGATAAAAAGAAAAAATATCTTCTTAAATATGCAAAGATTTGAATATATTTTCTTTTTATAAAGACATGTTGTTTTTAAAAAAAGCAATTATGATTTTGTTAAATTAAGAGCAATTAGCAATGCTGCAACTTGTAGGATGTTCTAATGATTATTTAGATTTCAGTTAAAATCAGCTATAAGATATATTTGTAAATGTTGAAAATAAATTTAGCCATTTCGAAAAGTAGTAAGCTATTTTATATTCTTAAGATATCCATTCAATATACATTTAAAAATTCTTAAAGAGATGCTAAAGAAAATAATTATTAAGTAAAATTGATTAAAGAATTTTATCATCATTACCTAAAAATAAATTAAACGAATGATATACATATTACTTCATGTTTTAGTTTTGTCCTTCGTAAAGCTATTTTGAATTATTAATTTTTTGATGCGATGTATTTTTTAAGAAAAAAAATTTTATATAAACATAATAATAAATATTAAAAAATTAGTTTGGTTAAGTTATATTTAAAACAAAGTAATTTTTTATTAAATGAAAATCAAATTGCTAAATTACTAAGTGTTTTTTTTTATCAATTAAAATGAAATTTTTAAAAATAATAGTCTTTTTAATTTAATTTGGACCAATAAAATCAAAATTCAATTTATATTGATAAAGATTTTATCACCTTTTATCTACTTTTATTAAAATTTAAGTTAATCTATTGATTTTATATTTTTTATATTTAATGAAAAAAAGCATTTTATTTGAAAAATTTAAAATATTAACTGTAGATATTCCTTTCCTTTCAAATATGGTAGCTTTTTGTAAATACTATTAATTATAAATAACCCTCTTAACATTTAAAAAATTAAAATATTCTCAATTCTACTCAAAACTAATTACCTTATTTAAATAAATTAATTGTTTTGGAAAAATAAAAAGCAGAAATTATAAAAATTGCCTATTAACTTTTTCATTAAGTAATTATTAAAATTAGCGTTAGAAAATTAAATTAATAATTAAATTATAGGAAAAATGAAAAATAAATAAAGCTAATTGACTTGAAAAAAACTAATATTTTCTAATACTAGCAAAACAATATTTTTTATTAGTTTTAGCTTGTTTTTGTGCTTTATGAAAATCTCAATTAAAACTTTTTAATATTGTAAAATATTTACTTTTTTATTTTTTTTGGGTGATTTTTTAGTAAAAATTTTGCATTTTACAAGAATCAATCTTTTTAGCAATAAGAATATGATTAATATTTTTGATTTAAATTTTAAATTAACTTTTTGGATTCATTTTCTTAATCAAAGTAGTATAAACACCTAAAATTTTGCTTTTTTTATATCATCAGTTTTGTAATTTAACTTTAAAAATTTATAGGAGAAATTGAGAAAAAGACTTTTTGATATAAGCTGAGTTTAATTTTTAAAAAAAATTGATTAACCCTATGAATTTATAAAAGAATTTATCTCTTTATTATTGTAACTCTATTTCTGATAACACTTTCCTATTGATAATATCATTGCTAATAAGAAAGTATAAAATAATAATTACCTCTTCTAACCAGGTATTTATTTGCAAGAAATCATACTTATTAAACCTTTTATTATACTTCTCAATCTATATTTAAAATATATAAGAAATTTTCTGATAATCTCTAAGCTAATTTTATTTTACTCTACTTAAATTAATTAAGTTGATTTGGACTTTAAAGAAAGTTTTTTAGACCAAATGACAAATATTATTATTTATAATAAAAATATTAAAGAAGAAAATAAAAAAAAATAAAAAATGAATAAAATACTACTCACCCTTTTGGGAGTTGCTGCTATATTTTCTATTGGATTAACCATTGGATTGAGCTTTGCTAACTCAGACAATAATCTTGAAATTACTGGCGCTCCTAGTCCATATATAACATTTGTTGATAATGATTCTTTTGATACCTGTTTATAATAACTTGTTGGTTAACCTGTCTAAAAACAATTAGATTCTATTCGCGAATTTTTGTTTTAGCAACGCAAATTTATAAGAGGTGTTTAGATCTTATAAATATTATCTCTATTTAAAAGAGATGGCTATGCTCTTAACATTTCACCTAGAGATGAAGTTATTGTCATCATGAAGGCTTATATTGCCCCTCTTACAACAGAAGAAGCTATCTAAATAATATAATCCATTGGAAGCAGTAATGGTATTGGTTCAAGTATAATCATCTCTCAAATTTATGATTTAGAAAATCAATAAAATTAAGCTAATCTTAAAAATACTATTGCTTCCTACTAGAATGTAGTCTATAATCATATTGCTGTCCCATAGTAATCAAAGAATTTCTAGTAAAACTTCTTAATCACTTCTGAGGGAGGTCATGTAGGTTTTATTGTTGACCAATCTAAATCTATGGCTCAAGTTGCTTACACTGCTTAGGATGGAACTAAGGTAACTAGATATGATTTACTAAAGAATTTCTTTATCAACAAATCAGATATCCTTCAAAGCTACACTACTTTTTCTTTCTTATTCATGGGAAGTTAAAATTAAAATTATAAATGCATAGCTTGTGCTGTCGGAAGTTATGAATATAATAAGTCATTCAATTCATACGTTTATAATATCTTATACAACTAAGGAGATTCTAACCTTTACTCTACATTGGAATAACTTCTCTCTGATCCTTACAGTACTTTATCTGAAGTATTTATTTTTTCAGATGGTATAATAACTGAAGGTACCAGTTCCGTAAACGACTTCACCAAACTAATTTCTAAAACCAATGTCCCTAGAAGAAACAAAATCCGTATTAATACTGTTTCTTTCTTAATTGGAGGTGAGGAAGATGACACTGTTAAGTAAGAGGCTACTAAACTTTTACAAACACTTGCTGATGTTACTGGTGGTACTTTCATTCAAATTTCTCTTTAATAATGAATTAGATCATTTAAAATAAAAAAATGATCAAAATTATATAAATATAAATAAGAAAAATAAAATTAGTATGATGTGTTTTTTTATAAAAAATATTATAAATTGAACTAAATTTATAAATTTTATTTTATAACATGATAAAAATATATTAATTTTTTAATTTCAAATTTATATTTAAGATAAATAATATATATCATTGTCAAGTTCATATTTAAAATGAAATGGTTTAAGTATATACCATTACTTATTTCTTTAATAGGCTTATTTTTGAAATCAATTTAAATTAAAAAAATAATAAATTAAAAAATATATTCAATGCAAAGAATTTTATAGAAAATTTGTTTTTATTTAAATAAACATACATTATAATTTTAATATTTTTGATAAAATACTAATTGAAAAAGAGAATATAAACACTAATTTATAAAAATCAATAAAAATATAGTTACAAATTATTTCAGATTCTAGGACAAAATGAATATAAAAATATTTGTCTAATTTAAAAATAGTCTTAAATTAGAGGGCATTTTAACTTAGACAGCCCCAGTAATAAATAAATTAAAATAGTATAAATGAATATTGCTTTTTTTTTGAATTGTAAAATACCGTCAATAGTAAAATTAGCATAATCTAATTAAATAAATTAGTCTAAAATTATAGGAAAATAAATGAATTTGATTAATTTGAAAAAGTGTATATTTTCTAATACTAACATATTTCTATCTTTATTTAGTTCTTTGTCTACTTTTAAACTTTATGAATAGTCTATCAATTTAAACATTTTATTAACATGATAAAGCATTTTTTTTGCTATTTTTAACTTGGTTTTAGAATATTAAAATTTTAATTAATAGGAATAAGAGTATTATTGGTTTTTTATTAAAAATTTTAATTAAGTCTATAGATTCTTTTCTTAAGTAACATAGTATGAATGCTTAAAATATTGCCTCTTTTAACACTATCTTTATTGTAGTTTTACTTTAAAAATTTTATAGGAGAAATAAAATAAAAAAAATTTGTTCATACATATTAGCTGATTTTGTTATTAATATAAGAAATTATCTTTTTGATATTTCAAATAGATTTCTAATAGAATTATTCTTATCATCATAGATCTTTAAATTGACAATAAGTTTTCTATTAATATATTTTTTGTGAGAAAGATTCATAATAAATATTTTATACTTCTCAATCTTCTTAAATCTATAAGAAATTTTCTGGTTATTATTAAGCTAATTTTATTTTATTATTTTAAATCAATTAAGTTGATCTCTTAAAAAAAGGTTCTTTATGCTAATCAAAAAAATAATTAATTATAATAAAATTATTAAAGAAGAAAATAAGAAAAATATAAAATGAATAAAATACTACTCACCCTTTTAGGAGTTGCTGCTATATCTTCTATTGGATTAACCATTGGATTGAGCTTTGCTAGCTCAGATAATAATCTTGAAAAAGCTGGTGGTCCTAGTCCATTATTGACATTTGTTGATAATGCTTCTATTGATTTCTTATTACAATAGCTTGTTGGTTAACCTGTCTCATAACAATTTGATTCTATTCATAATTTTGTGTTGAACCAACGCAAATTTATAAGAGGTACTTAGATCTTGTAAATCTTATCCCTATTTAAAAAAGATATCAATGTTCAATAAATTTCACCTAGAGATGAAATTATTGCCATCATGAAGGCTTATATTGCCCCTCTTTCAACAGAAGAAGCTATCTAAATTATAGAATCAATTGGAACAAGTAATGGTATTGGTTCAAGTATAATAATCTCTCAAATTTATGATTTAGACAACGAATAAAATTAAGATAATCTTAATATAGCTATTGCTAGCTACCAAAATGTCATCTAAAAGCGTGTTGCTGCAATCTAGTACTCAAAGAATTTTTACGAAAACTTTTTAATTACCTCTGAAGGTGCACATGTAGGTTTTATTGTTGACTAATCAAAAACTATGGATAGAGTTGCTTACAAAACTTAGGATGGAACTGAGGTAACTAGATATGATTTACTAAAGAATTTCTTTAATAACAAACAAGATATCCTCCAAAGCTACACTGCCTTTTCTTTCTTATTCATGGGATATTAAAATTCTAAAACAAAATGCATAGCCTGTGCTGTAGGAAGCTATGAATAAAATAAGGCATTCAATTCATACGTTTATAATACCTAATTCATCTTGGGAGAATCTAACCTTTACTCTACATTGAAAGAACTTCTCTCTGATCCTTATAGCACTTTATCTGATGTTTATATTTTTTCAGATGGTGTTATTACTGAAGGTAACAGATTGGTCAAAGACTATGTCAAATTAATTTCTGATACTGATGCACCAAGAAGAAATAAAATCCGTATTAACACTGTTTCTTTCCTAGTAGGAGATTATGAAGACGATATTACTAAGTAAGAGGCTATTTAACTTTTGCAAGGACTTACTGATGTTACTGGTGGTACTTTCATTCAAATTTCTCCTTAATAATGATTTAGATCATTTAGAAGAAAATGAAATCTTAAAATTATATATATAAATAAGTATAATAAAATTAGTAAGAAAAATTGAATAAATTGATTTGTTTTTCATAGTTTTTTTTTAGAAATTGATAAAAATAAATTAATTTCTTAATTTCAATCTATTTTTATGATAAAAAATGTTAAAAATAATTTATTATTCAAAATAAAATGGCTTATAGACTTCATTTATTTTTTAAAAACAAGCATTAAAAAAATTAATTAATATTTTTAAAAATAAGGGAGGAAAGATTTTATATACTAAATATTCCTAATCTAGAAATTAAAATATTGATAATTTTTATTAAATTTATTTTTAAAAAAATTAAAAATAAACAACTCCAGCTATTATTTAGATTTCATAATAAAATTTTTACAATGCTTAACACTGTAAAAATAATTTTCACAAAATTAATAAAGATAAAAATTCATGAATAAAGCTAATACTTTATTTTATGAAAAAAATATGCATAAACTCTTTAATTATGTTGAAAAAATTTGAATGTTAAAAATTTACTTAATGTATATTTTAGTCGATACAATTTATCAAATTAATTTTGATTTTGTAAAAAACAATCATAATTTTATATTTTGAAAATAATAAATTAACTTATAAAATAAATAAATGTCTAAAGAAAAGCAAATTAATATTTCAAATTTAGAATTATTTTAAGCATTGTTTTATTTTAAAGTAAAAGGATAATAAATAAAGAAGGTAAAACTTTTTGATTCTTTGCCTTTTTTTAAAACTATATTAGGAAAATTATAATTATTTGGTATCTGTTGTAAATTTTCATAATAACTAAATCAATCCTAATTATAAAGTATAAAATTAAATTAAATTAATAATGAATATGCAGAAACTCAATTAGCTGAAAATTTTACTCTTTTAGATTTAAATGCAGTTACAATATAGGTGTCAATGTATTAGAGGCATAAATAAATAAAAAATATATTGTTTAAGCATTTTATTAAAATTAAAATGATTCTAGTTATGATTTGAATAAATTGATAATGTAAAATGCCAAAGTCTTTCTTTTTAAGGTTACTACTATCTTGATTTCTCTATCCCCTAACTAAAGATGATTTACTAATTTCATTTAGAACATTCAAACTATATAAAAGCACCTATGATTTATGGGTGTATAGATACAGACTATTACAAAATAATAGTATATGGTAACTGTGCTGATGCCAAAGAAATTAATGATTTTATGAATGCTGTTAATTCTAGTATAAAAATAAAGAAAAAAATACATCTGGTCAATTAACCATGAATGGGCACCATGTATTATATACTCCAAATGTTTTATTTAAACATAAGTTTTTATTTGGTCACTTGTATAAAATACATATTTAAATTTTAAAATAAATTTAATTTAATTAAAATTTTTAAGGTTTATGAGTAAGATAAATTACATGAGTTGATAAATAAATATAATAATAAAAAATACAATTATGCTATTTATAAAAAAGTCAATTTTTTTAAATTTAGATTCAAACTAAAAAGAAATGCACTCAGTAATAATTTGTAAATGATTTTATTTACATTCGTTAAAGAAAGTATTTAAATACTTTTGAAGATCTTTGAATGAAAGTTTTTTAAATATTATATTTCTATTTAGTATATTTTTTTGAAAAAATAAAAGTTTAACATTTGATAAAAATCAAAGATTCAAAGTTTACAAATGGATTTACTTACTTTAGTATTTAATGAAAATAATATTTTTTTATGCTATTACTTACAATGTAATATTTCTTATTTATTTTAAATATAAAATAACAAAATATTATCAAAATTATTTTTTTTAAATTAAATTTGAGCAAATTAATAATTCATAAAGCAAGCACCACATAATAAATCGATTTTATAAAGCAACAAAAATTATATTTTATAATCTTTTTCTTTAAATTTTATTAAAAATTTTTATGGTGCAAAATAAAAAAATGATTTTAATTATTAAACTTAATTTTTCTCAACTATATCAATTAATGAAACATTTTAATTCTTTTAATTCATTTAGTTTTTGTTTAAAGTTTTTTTAATATATTTTCATAAAATTTTTATTCATAATAGATTGATGTGTTTTTTATTTGAAGAATAATTTTTGTTGTCTGTTTTCAACTATTTAAAAGAATGATTCTAAATTTTAAATATTTATTCAATGCTATTAAGAAATTGAAAACTATAATAAAAAATTTTGTCTATTTGCAAATAAGATCAGAAAGCGCGAAATCTCAATAATTGTATTATATAAAACAAAAAGCTGTATCAGAAATGATTAAATCTGCTTTGATATTTTATTTTTATTTGTTATTAAGAATCATACATATCTGACTATTCAAAAAAGAGAGTAAGATTTATATATTTATATTTATTAAAATTCATATCTTTTATTCTTAACAATTAGCATAAAAATAATATTAAAAAAAAGAAAAAATGGCCGAAGAATAAGGTGATAACTGGTTCCCTCTTGAATCAAACCCTGATGTTATTAATCCTTACGTATAAGGTTTAGGATTTGACACAGCATAATATTCATGGTGTGATTTACTTTCAGTAGAAGAATGGGCTTAGGAAATGGTCCCAAAACCATGCTTAGCAGTTGTTTTCTTGTATCCAATTAGCGAAAATACAACAAAATATGATCAAGAAGAAGAGAACTAAGAATAATAGGTTCACCAAAGTGTTTATTTCATGAGACAATATGCTAGAAATGCTTGTGGTACAGTTGCAGTAATGCATGCTATGTTAAACATCGATCCTAGCTTAGTATCAGCTAACTCTGTTGTAGATAGATTTAGATAAGCTACTAGAGAAATGACTCCTGAATAAAGGGGAAATTACTTTTTGACATGCAATGACTTAAAATAAAATCATTAACAAGCTGTTTAGTAAGGTTAATGTAGCATTCAAGAAGAAGTTGATACTCATTTTATTGCTTTTATCCAAAAAGAAGGACATATTTATGAGTTAGATGGAAGAAAGAAAACTCCCATTAATCATGGATAAAGTTCTCCTGATACTTTCCTTCAGGATGCTTGTGTTGTTGCTAAAAAGTTAATGGACAGAGATCCTAGCTAATTAAACTTTACTTTGGTTGCTTTAGCAAAAACACAAAATGAATAAGAGTAATGAAATAACCAAAAATGTTTAAAATTATTATTAAAACTAAATCAAAGCTTTTTATGTTTTATATAGAGCATTTAATTAAGTATTTACTGATATTTGTTAAATTTTTCTTAGATAATCTTACAATATAATTGATAAATTGTTATTAACTCATTTTTTTGATTAGATTTATCTTCTTTAAAGAATGAATAGTCTATTTTATTTTAATTCATTATATCATCCTTCTTTCAAAATTTGTAAAATTTCAAAATGGAGATAATTTATTCCCTGTTTATTCTAAACAAATTAAATAAAATAATAAATAAGTATATTTTTGATAAAATTGATTCTGAAAGGAAAAATATTTCACATTTATAAAACTTGATTGAGTAGATAATTAGGTAAATTTAATAATTATTTAACAATTTAGAAGAAGTAGTAATAAATTTATCTTTGAAAATTGTTTATTATATTTTTAATTGTTTGAAATTAATAAAAATAGAAAGTTGTTTAAATTTTGATTGATATTTTTGGAAATAACAGAAATATTTTTATTTAATCAAAAACGCATCATTAAATTAAAAAAATAAATTTCATTCATTTTTTGTTTAAATTTTATTTTCATTTTCAAAGAAGTAGTTTTTAATTATTATCAATTTATTATCTATAAGTAGAGTATTTATTTTATCTTTTATAAATAATATTCATTTTATAATTTGTATGAGAAATGATGGTTAATGTAAGTTATATCTCTTAGAATTAGAAATATCTTTATTAAATAATACATTATTGAAGATTAATTAGAGTTTTAAGATAAAATAATTCAAAATCTTATTTTTTAATTAACATCTATTAAAAAATACACTTTAATCCAAACAATTATTACCTATATGTTTGAAAAATTTAAATATAGGTTATTCTTTTGTAATTTTGGTTTGAAATGATAAGAACTGACTCTAACATTAAAGATAAAGCTAAATTACAAAATATTGTTAGTTTATTTAATAAAATTTTAGAATTTAATAAGTATTATTAATATTCTTATTCTTGATCAATGAAAATGATCCTTAATAATCACTTTTTAACACTTAATTGATATTAGGTAAAAAATCTATCCTATTAAAATACGATATAAATTAATTTAATTTAATGATTAAATCACGTAGAATTCTCTCTAATTATTGAAATAATGACCAAAAATATATTATTATTTCAAGGATAAAATCTGTTAATTAGATTGATTAAATGGGATCAAAACATATTTTCAGATATGTTCTCCACCAATTCTCCTAACCAAAAAGTATCAAACTAATGAAAAAAATAAAAAAATAATTAAAATAAAATTATTTAAAACCTTTTTGGTTTAGAAAATTTTTAGGAAATAATAAATAAAACCCAAATTCTTTTTTTTTATTAGTTTTTTAAAGGAAATGGATAAAAATTATTAAGTAGATTTATATTAAATAACCTATTATTACATTTTTCTGCTTAATAATTAAAATAATTCTTCATTGTACTATGTTTTTAGATAAATTTTATACATTTTTTAAATATTAAGCTTTATTTAAATTAAGTAAGATTATGAAAATCTATATGAAATTTATTTGGAAATTATTTATTGATTACTTGTATCTATTTTATTGTAACAAAATTTAAATTTATTTATAAATAAAAATTTATTAGCTTCAACCAATCTATATTATCTAAACTATAATAGTTATTTTTTTTAGGTTTAATTATTCCTTTAAACATTTTTACAGATTTAATTTTTTGTATTTACAAGTTTTATCAATGAGTTGTACTGTAGCAAATAAAATTTCCTTTTAAATTCTTTCCTAAGTGAGTATAGATTATTTTTAATTTCATATTTATTTATTTTTTTCCTTGGGTGATTTAGCTAAAGAAAGATAAGATTAAAATTTTAGATCCTTATTTACTAGATGATCTATTTATTTTTTCAAAGCTTTTAAAAATGAAAATGCAAACAAATTATTCAAATTCTCCAGTGTTTATTTTTGCAAAGCTCTATGTTTAAAGCTAATTTAGCCATCTTGAAAGCATGAAAATAAGAAAGTTAACAAGCTCACAAATCAATTTGTGGTATAAAAGCTAATTTTTATCCCTTTTTCTTCTCAACAAAGAGATCGCTAAAATATTAAAATAACTAAAATTCTTTTCAATAATTGTTGAGGAGAAAATTTAGTGATTTTAGTGAGTATTAAAGGACAGTACGATGGTAAATTGTATTAATTAGTCTATAATATTTTAAAAATGATATTTCATAACTTCGTTTTTGTGAAAATATGACTTTTTTGTATTTTGATTAATAAATTGGCTTGAATGCAATGATATCAATCAGTTTGGTGAAAAAAAGTAAAAAAGTTTGATATTATTATATATTAAAAATTATCTCTATTAGGCTCATTTAGAGAGTCATAAATAAAATAAGATTATCTTTTCAATTGAGCCTATTTCTTTCTCTAATTAAATTTTTTGCTTAACCAAGCAAATACTTCTTTAAAAAATTTTGATAATAAATAGTTATTTAAAATCAAGTAATAAAAATATTAATAATATTTAAATAACAAAAAAATCAATTAAACAGTTAATAAAGACTTTCTAAAACATTAAAAATCTGAAAAGTAATCAAACTTTATTTTTTTTAAAAAAATGAGTTAGACTAATATTCGTTAGTCAATGAATGGTGTTCGATAGTCAACGTCGAATATAGCAAGAAAATTTGAAGAAATGAGACAGTCTATATAGCTTAAGAACTCCCAATAAGAAGTTAGATAGAGCTAGTAAATGCGTAGATATGAAGGTGATTAAGATGATGGAAACAAAGTGGCACATTACAATCGCGAGTTAATGGAAGACCATCAACCTATACATACTGAAACAATTATGCTTTAAGGTACTTCTTCTTAACATGATACTCACTAAAAACCATCAGCTCCAGCAGATAAAAAGGAGGTTTCTAAAGAAGATTAATCAAAGCAAGCTCTTGTAGAAAAAGTTGATCACAAAATTTCGTTAGAAGAGCTTAAGGAGAAGTATCAGACAGATTATTAAAAAGGTTTAACTGATTAGTAAGCTGAACATTTACTTAGAGTCAATGGAGAAAACAAACTTTCAGCTAAAGCAGGTGTCCCTTTATGGTTAAAGCTTTTGAGAGAAATGACCAATGGATTTTCTATTATGCTTTGGGTAAGTGCAGGTCTTTGCTTTCTTGCTGAAGGTTTACAGCCTAATCCTTCAAATATCTATTTAGCTGTTGTGTTAATTATTGTCATTCTAATTACTACAGCAATTACATTTTAATAGAATGCTAAAAGTGAGGCTTTGATGAACTCCTTCAAGAATTTTATTCCTGCAAAAACTGTAGTTATTAGAGGGGGCGATACTAAATCAATTGATGCAGCTCATCTTGTTGTTGGTGATATAGTCGTAATAAGACTGGGTGAAAAAATTCCTGCTGATATTCGTATTCTTGAATCTAACGAAATGAAAGTTGACAATTCTCCCTTGACAGGTGAAAGTGAACCCTTACTACGTACGATTGAATGCTCTCACCCTGAGAGTTATCTTGAAACCTCAAATATAGCCTTCTTCGGAACTCTGTGCAAAGAAGGTACTGGAAAAGGTATTGTAATTGCCACTGGTGATCGTACTATGCTTGGACAAATTGCTGATTTATCTTCTGGCGAAAAGAAAACTAAAACTCCTCTTCGTGTTGAACTCGATCGTTTTGTTATTTTGATTACAGTAATTGCAATCTTCCTTGGTGTCCTCTTTTTCTTACTCGCTTTATTGTATATGAAGTATAAATTTAATGATTGCTTAGTCTTCGGTATAGGTATCCTTGTTGCGAATGTACCTGAAGGTTTGCTAGGTTGCATTACTATCTCTCTCGCTATCACAGCAAAGAACCTATCTGCTAAAAGTGTCTTAGTTAAAAACTTAGAAGCCGTTGAAACTCTAGGTTCTACTTCCTGTATTTGCTCTGACAAAACAGGTACTCTCACATAAAATGTTATGTCAGTCAAAAACTTGTGGTACAAAGATAGAATTTACCTATCTAAGAATAAAGTCTAACTTAAGTAAGGAGAATTACCTGAATATGACACTGAAGATGTTGATTTTAAAATTCTTTAAAAGGCAGCTATGCTCAGCAGTGAGGCTCGTTTCGATACCTCTACTGTTAAGGACTAATAAAATATTGACTATTTGACCTGTCCTGTATTAGGTGATGCGACTGAAACAGGTATTATTAGATTCTATTAGTATATTGAAGATGTTAACACCTTCCGTAATAGATATTAAATTGCTAAAAATCCAGATGGTACATTTGGTAAAATGCCTTTCAATTCTTAGGTTAAGTTTGCTTTAACAATTATTGAAGAACAAACATAGGACAGCTTTTATACAGTTTACATAAAAGGTGCTCCAGAAAAAATTTGGACTTACTGCTCATCAGTTATTGTTAATGGAAGGCCATAGAATTTAGATCAAACTTGGTAGAAAAAATTCAAAGCTGTTAATCTTACTTTTGGTAAAGGAGGAGAAAGAGTGCTTGGTTTTGCTAAATTACATTTACCAGCTACTAAATATCCTCATGGATTTACATTCAATGTATCATCATTACAAAAATTCCCTTTTAAACTCGCTGACTTTTAATTTTGCGGTTTAGTCTCCTTGATGGATCCTCCTAAGACAAGAGTTCCTTATGCTATCTTAGAATGTAGATCTGCTGGTGTGAAAGTTGTCATGGTAACTGGTGATTAACCTCCTACAGCCGCTGCAATTGCCAAAGAAGTCAATATTATTCCTAGGGACATTTTAACTAACGAAGATCTTATGGAAAGAGACCCTACCCTTAGCTGGTGGGATGCAAGCAAACAGTGTGAAGCTATTATTGTTCACGGCGATAGAATTACAGAATCCTATGAAAAATCTTTAGGAGAATAAAAGGAAGAACAATTTTATTTAAGAAGCTGGGTTGTAAAGCCTTATTGTGTTTTTGCAAGAACTACTCCTGCTTAAAAACTATAAATTGTTGATGCCTGTTAAAAAGAAGGATTTATTGTTGCTGCTACTGGTGATGGTGTTAACGACTCCCCTGCAATCAAGAAAGCAGATATTGGTATTTCTATGAATCTGTCTGGATCTGATGTAACCAAAGATGCTGCAGACATGGTTTTAATTGATGACGATTTTGCTTCAATTGTTAACGGTGTTGAAGAAGGAAGAAAAATTTTTGATAACCTGAAAAAAACTGTAGTTTATCTTCTTACTTCTAATATGACTGAAATCGTTCCTTTCTTGGCCTTCATTATTCTTTAAATTCCTTTACCTCTCTCAAGTATTTATATGCTCGTCATTTGTGTTGGTACTGATGTTTGGCCAGCTATCTCTCTCGCTTACGAAGAAGCTGAGCTCGATGTAATGACTAGAAGACCTCGTACTAAGTAGGAGCATTTAGTTTCTAACAAATTAATTACTATAGCTTATCTTTAAACAGGTCAAATAGCTAGTGGTGCTGGATTTTTAGGTTATTACATAGCATTTAACTATTTTGGATTCCCAGTACTTTCTTTGTTCGGTCTAGCTTCTGCTACTGGTTATAGACCAAGTAAAAATGATTTTGGTACCTATTATAACCCTTTACTTTAAAGAGACGACCCTTACTATAACTCCAGGTTATATAATATTACATAATTCAAAAATTGTAAGGATATTGATGTAGAAAGCATCTCGTATACCATAGATTGGTTTACACTAGATGAAGGTAATTATGATATGAGAAAATCTTTGGTTAAATGTGATCCTGTAACTGGAGCTTTTATTCCTTGGATTCATTGGAGTGATTGTGATATAAATAAATAATAAAACTGGTCAAAACTAACATCCTAAACAGCTTGCTACTCGGTAGAAGCTATTAACTATGCTCAGAGTGTTTATTTCTTAACCGTAGTTTTACTTTAATGGACTAACGTCTTTGCATGTAAAAGTAGATCTACAAGCTTTACAACAACAGCATTTAATCCGATTATGATTCACGGTATTATTTTTGAAACATTACTTACCATTTTCTTATAATATTGTCCGGGAGTTTAAGATGTGTTTGGTGGTAGGCCTATGTTCTTCTGGTTATGGACAAGTTGCTTAGCATATACTATATTGTTACTTGTCTATGATGAACTAAGAAAGTTTATGTGTAGAAGATTTAAATGGTATTATAAGTATTGTTATTGGTGAAGAATTATAAATTCAACTTAATTAAAGTGTTTAACTTATTTTACATTTTATTTTCTTTACTACTTATTTTGTGATTTTCTTATTTTTTAAGAAATTTTTAAAAATTTATCTCATAATATATTATTATTTACTAATCTCTCATTACAAAATGTGATCATTTATTTAGAATAATAAAAAAATTTTTAATATATCATAGCTATTTAAACAATTTTTGAAGTAAAAGAAAAATTAATTTTAGATAAAATGGATCTAAATACTTACAAAAGTTAAAAATTCCCTTCCAACTTTTTTTTTTGTTAATTTTTAATCATTCTTAAAAATGACATAGTGCTTCAGGATAAAACTTGTAAAGAAAAATATTTTTTCTGATCCTGCTTTTGACTAAAAGAATTTTATTTACTTTATTGATAGAATTTTATGCTCATCTCTTGTTAGTTTAAGCTATAAAATATATTAAATTCAAAAAAATTTAAGTAGATATCATATTTTATTCATAATGACTATTTAAAACTAAGATAATTATAAAATGTTAATTAATTTTTGAAATAATTTTATAAAAAAAATAATTATTCATAGGCTGAAATTCATATTAAACTACGATATACAATTATTGATAATAAAAAATAAAAGAAAATATTAAAAATGGTTAAATCAAAATTAATTTTAAAAGTTATTTTTAGTAAAATTGAAACATGAAATTGTCCAAAGTAATTATTTTAAATGAAATAATCATAAATATCATTTTTGGGATGCCTAATTCAAATTATAAAGATGTGTTAATTTTAGAAGAAGAATAGGAGAAAGATAAGAATACTAATTAAATTGGAGAAGATAAAATTTGTTTGGAGTGTAATAAATATATCAGAATATTTAATTGATTTTAAGCAATGCTAAAGACAATAAGGATAAATATAATACAAAAATTAAATTAAGATTTATATAACTCAAATAGGTAGGTACATTTATAATTTAATTGCTTTATAATTATGTTTTTACTTGTTAATTTTTAATTTAAATAAAAGAATTTAGTATTTATTAAATGAATCAGATTACAATTCTTAAATTTATATTTATTAAGGAAAATTTTATTAAATTAGTATATTTATTTATTTACTTTTTTTGTATGTTTATATGATTAATTTGTGATAGTATTAAGCCTAAGCAAATATTTTTGTTTTTTGTTAGTATTTTATTTGTTCAAAGTTAATTAAATTATTTTGAAGGATGTGAAATATTTTTGTTTTCAATAAATTAAAAATTTGTAAGATGAATTTTAAGGTGGAGACTCAGACAGCCATTTCTTAGACTATACTCTTTATAGTAGAAGCTAAGGAAGGATTATTGCAATTTCCACCGATTACTGACATTTAATCGTCAAGATTAAAGGAGTCTTGAGATTCGCTCATGATGGTTATTATGTCATTAAGCTTACAAATATTTTGTGGTTATTCATTTTATATTCTTTTCTTTGAGACAGTAGTAGGTTTTAAAAATGGAGATTAGAAACATTAATTAATAAATTTATTTTGTTTGACTATCAGATATTTTTTATTTACATTACATTTGGTAGAGGGGAATAGATTGTCACTATTTTGAATTTGATTAATAATTTCGGCTTATTTTTTTACTCTCAAGTCTTCATCTTCCTGAGTATTTTCCTCATTGGAATCAGTTTAATAAGCGGTTTTGGTATTAATTTCATTTTCTTTAGAAGAGGAGTCGGTAGTTTTTTCGCTATTATAGTTATTCATTTGTCTTTTTTTGATATTCATATTGAGAATCTCAAGTTTTTTATTAATATCCCTAATTTTATCCTTCTTTCCTAGATCCTATTGCTATTATTAATTTTGAGTGTAATGTTAACTAAAGGGATTCTATTTTAATTTCGAGGGAGTAGTAGGGATTGTCTAATTATCCTGATCTTGATTCATAATCATAATTTGATCTTGCACCTTTTAAGCTTCTTCAATATAATCTAAATTTGCTATTCTGCTCTTTTTAGGAGTAATTTGAGTACTATTGAAGCAATTATTTTAGCAATTCATTAATTCAGCATTTTCTTTCTTGCAAATTCTGTTGTTTGATTCAACAGACTAGTTATTCTTGCTTTCCACTATGTTTTTATAGGGGTTCAATATTTTTATCATTTTCTTTCCAATCTTCATTACAACACTCTTTTGATTTCCCTTTTCATGGTGATAAGTTCTTTCGCAAGAGGGTTCATTGTGAGATTGATAATTAGTAATAGTTTCGTTATTTGTTGTTAAAGCAGCTGAATGTCTTTTAGTATGATTAACTTTATATTAATTATATTCGATGCTTTCTTACATAGCAGGGATAGTCTATGTGATAATTTGGTTGTTTTAGTAGAGCTTGGAGCTAAAAAATACTCCGCCAGCTGTGTTCAGAGCCTACTATGTAGGTGAAGCAGTTACAGTAGGAACAACTGTACCAACTGATTAATTATTATTTTCGGTAGCGTTGTTTCCGATTTTCTTAGTGGTGTTTGTATTAGGATTGTATAAATGGTAATTTTAAGAAGTACTTCTGATATTCCAGCTTTTTTTATTGCTTTAAATCTTACTTCTTGAGCAGCTATTCAAGTCATAATATTTTACTTCCTTAGGAGGAGTTTCTTAATGAATTTTATTTTAGTGATTTCTTTCAACTGATGCAATGAATTTATGCTAATGATAGCGCTGAGAAGGTAAAGATGTGCAGAATTGTTAATATTAATTATCAGATTCATTGCGAGAAGATGCTGTTGATGAGGAATTTGCTTCTTATTACTTTTAGACAGCGTTAGTGTTGTTTCCGTTTTAATTATTACCACTATTACAATCGGGTAAAAATTCATTGTATGCACTACTACTATCTTAGTAAGAATTCTTTCCAGTATTCTTTTAGTCGTAGAATTAATTTTTATTGAGAGAGTTCTTATTAATGATGGGAGGGCACTAGTTAGAGTTATTCTCACTCTCAAACCCTGTATAATATTAATAAACTTAATCTGCGTGTTCGTTATTAGATGCATTAGCAGTGTTATTATTGCTACTGCTGTTAGCGTTAGCGCTGTTAGGGTTGTTGCTCACACTATTAATTTTAATCTAATCATCTGAGCAGAAATAGTTCTATTGTTAATTTTAAGGAGCAACTTAATGAGGGTATTTCAAAAAGCTATTTTTAAGTATGCTGGAGAGAGTTTAGTTGCTTTATCTGCTGGTTCCTCCATTTATAGAGTTCTCATTCTGTTAATTGTTGGAAGTGTTGTTGTTGCGTTAGTGGATTTTATCTTGAATTTTGTGTCTTTGACTTTCGATTGATTTGACTTCTTGAGATTTTTAGGTTGAAAGCATTTTAAAGAGTTAGTTACTATTCGAATTTACGTCTTATCTTTACATAATTCTTTTTCTTCCGACACTAGCAGTGCGTTAAGTATTTAGTGCAAATTCTACTTCCTTTTTGAATTCAGCATCATTAGAGTTTAAGTTTTGATTTTAATTACCATTTAATATGTTATAGCAAGCTTTGTCAGAATTATTTTTTTTCCTGATATCTTTATTGATGTTTTCTATAACTTCGTCTTTTTCAACTATATTGTATAAAAAAATGATTACCAACACTGAAACATGTTAAAAATGACAGGTAAAAATCTAAAGGAAATTGTCTTTATTTATAAATTATTTTAATTAAATAAAATTGTAATTGTAAAGTATTTAAGCGCTTGTGAATCTGGTTGCTTAACTTGTCTTGATTAACCGAAATTATGAATGCATTCACTCATATTGTTTTAATTTGTAATTATTTTGATTAAAACTCATTTGTTTTGTTAAGAAAGCAAGCAAATAAGCACTAGCTTTGAATTTAAATTAATTCATTTAATTTAAATAGTATTATTGTATTTTTCAAGCAATATTTTTAATTTATGCAACCCCGAAAACAAAATATTATAAAAATAACCAATTACCTTGCTTGTTTTCTAAGTTGTTATTTATATAGTTGCGGTTATAGCTGCAACTTCTTAAACGTGGTAGGAACGAGTCCATTTGCAATCAATTGTCAAGGCGTTATTTAAGATATGAAACAGTTAATTTATATTTCTTGTATTATTTTTTAATTTGCTTTTGTTTGTTTGTTTATTTACTTTAGTTAGCGATTTATACAATTTATTATTCTTTTCTTATTTTTTTGTTTTTTTTAAACAAAAATTTGATTATTTTTTTACTTTAGTAATATTTTAACTTTTTTTCAGCTCCTACGTACGTATGTATGCCTATTTATTTTATATATTCATTAATCTAAATTTTTGTATAGTGTGAGATTACTTACTGTATTAATTGCCTGAACCTAAATTTTTTATTACTCATTTTCTGTTTCCTTTTTGATACGCTATTTGCTTTCTTTGTTTCTTTCATTCTTTCTTGCTTGCTTGTTTTCTTTTATTCTTTCTTTGTTTTTTTCTATCTATCTTTTAGGTTTTAACTCTCTAACTCACATATTACTGAGATGAATCTCCTTTTTATATATTTTATTATTTAACGCCAGCAATAATAAAACTATTAAACAATGGCTTATCTAATCTAAATCTGGAAGTATTTTAAATGGATTTTGTCATATCCAAATTAATTTTAAAATATTTTTATTTTGAAGCATTTTAAAAGATAATCATCTCACAATATACTTTAAAATAATCTTTATAGAAGCAAGTAAAGATATTTTAAGAATATATTACTTTGCGCATAAGACAATTAATTAATTAATTTTGTTTTGTACTATCTTGCACTAAATAAAAATCTGAAAGCTAAATAACTCATCTGAGAAAAACTTTTATTTGGTATATATGAAAATGTATCTTAAACTATTCTTGTAAGGATAGCAAAAAATAAAAAAAAATAGAAATTTAATTTAAATTTTAAATAATTTATGTTCTATTACTATTACTATAAAAATTAATTAAAAGTTTCAAAAGATAAATCATTTTTCTATTTTCAAAGAATGCATTCATTTATTAATTTTTACTACGATATTTACATTATTTAATTTATAGAATTTCAGGGTATCTTATGTTATTTATTAGTTCGCACTCAAAATTTAGCAAAAAATTTTTATAAATGATTTTTGATAAATTAGTCGATCAAAAGACTTACTTATCAAATTCTTAAAGAATAATTAATTAATTAATTAATTAATAAATAAATAAATATATAGATTGATTCGAAGGACTATCTTACTGGATCTTTTGTAGTAAATTAAATTCAAAGTCTATTGGCAAACTTCTTTAAAAAATTAATTAAAATAGATAGTTAGCTAGCTAATTAGATTTATTTAAATAAGAAGTAAAAAGACCAGTTTTTATATACTATTCTTCTTCTCATTCATTCATACCTATCCATTTGATATTATAGATATATTTACTGTAATAAATTTATGATCAAAGATTTTCTAAAAAAATTACGCTAATTTAAGTTTTAGTGATAGTGTTACTAATTAAAAATAAAATAGTGCAACTGAAATTAAATCTAAGAGCACTTATTTCATTCATATTATGCTGAATATTTAAATTATACTTATTGTCTTAAAATGAGCTGAATTATTAAATTAAATCGCTTCAAGTACTCAAAAAAAAAAGCTAATTTATTAATCTCGCTGTTAAATTCTCAAATACCCAAAAATCTTTATGACAAATAATAATTTTGGAAAAAAAAATAAAAAATAAAAAGAATAGATACGCAATAATGTGAAAAAACTTATTTCTTTATTATTTTTAAAACTTTGAAGAAAATTTTGATACAATTATCTGACAACAATCAAATCAAAAAAAAAAGTAAACTAAAGCGAGAGCATCACAAAAGTTTTTAATAAAATAAAAAATAATTCAGAAAATATTAGTCTATCTTTTATTAAGCAACACATTGAATTTAAATAGAATTTTAAATGAATTAAAAAAATAATAATAGCAATTATATTCTTTTACTCATTTAAATTTTTTAAAATTTTATCTAATTTAAAACTCGAAAAAATAAATTGGTAAGTAATATCATAAAAATGATAGACTTTTTTAATTAATTTGAATAATGTGTAAGTGAAGCTAGTATTTTGGATACAACTTTTTCATATACCAAAAACAAAATAGAACACAAAATACTCAATTGTAACAAAAAGTTAATACCAAATAGCTAAATTGTTAAAAAAATTAATAAAAAAATATATTTTAGTTTTAAAAAATTCTGATTCTTTTGAAGATATTACTTTTTCATATTTACTGGGAGTAACTTGAATATAAATACTCTACTCACTTTCTATTTAAAAATAACACATTTCAAATACGTTGATTTAAATTTTCACTATTAAAATTCTTTATACCCTATAAAGAAAATAGTTCCTTCATTTGAATATAAAAATCTAATATTATTTTACTAATATGAAAAGTTATTTATTTCAAATGCACTATGTTAAAACTCAGAATTTTAAGACAATAAACAATTTATTAAATATTTAAAATAAATTATCATAGATAGGAGAAAATAATAAAAATTGATTAATACTTTTCAATATTCCTCTAATATTTGATATCAATTCTCCCCTCCTGAAATATAATTTTGGAAATAGATTTCTTTGTAGATTCAAAATAAATTAGATTAAATTTTTTCATTAAATTTAATATAAATCTTTTTTGAAAGAAATTTATATTTTCATAAAGATTAATATGTGTTGTTATTTCTAAAAAATTCAAAGTATTTATTATTCAATATATTAAGGCTAATAAATTAACTTATTGTTAAATAAAATTTAATTTTAAAACGAGAATTGATTGAATTAATTAAAAATATTATGTTATTTCATAAAATATTAAGCAAATTTTGAATAGAAACAGTGTTCAATAATTTTATTATAATATTTTGATATCTAAAAATGAATTAAAATATAAATAATAAATAATTTATTATTTCTGAATAATATGACATTATCTTTATGTAATTAACTAGGAAAGGCATATCCTGCTAATTAAAATTATGCTTCTTTCTTTTTTATCACTCTTTCATTATTTTGTTTGCTAATAAGATTGTTTGTCTAAAACAAAGAAAAAGTTCTTTATTTTATTTGCATTAATTAATTAATATGTTTTATAATTCACTTCGCTTGATATTTAAACAAAAGCCTTTGCGCAGCTTACATTTATATAGAAAAAATCTATGTAATTTTTCTACTGCATAGCAAAGTAGTTTGTATGAAAATGAATTGAGCGTATTCCCTGAATATTAGGAAGCAAATGCTTTTGTATCATAAAAGCAACATTCTTAGGCAAATGAAAAATTTAAAAGAGTGATAGAAATTCTTGAATCTTCCCATCAAACTGCTAATCCTATTTATTCTCATATAATCTATCAGTAAATTAGTTGCCCATATTGTATTTTTGGTTTTTAAAATTCATATTTGCTGATATTTTACATAATCTAATATTTATTTATTCATTTATTTATTTTTAACATAATCAACAAAGGGCTTCCAAAAATATATTAAATACCTAAGATTTTAAATCAATATCTGCATACATGAAAAAAGGTTATGATTTGGAGTAAAATAAAAGCTCTGAATTAGCACAAAGATATTTATAGAATTTTATATAATCTACAGTTTACTTTGATCTTGATGTTGTAAAAAACTTATTTCACTAAATTTAGAGAAATTCATTAAATTTTTACTCAAATAATCATAAAAGGCATACAAAATGCTTGATGGAATGAAATAGTCTAGGGAGTATAGCTTTTTAAAAGGAGTAAGAACTAAAATTAATTTTGATTCAACTAAAATAATTTATTGTTTGAACTAAAATAATATATTAAAAAGAATTTATAAGAAAAGTCCTAAAAATGATAATATTTAGATTGTTATTAATTGACACATTAGACTTTGATTAAGCAAAACTAATTCTACTAAACTTCTAGAAAATTTTATTTAATTTATTTGCAAATAGATATTTAATTTTGCTACATTAACAAAAAAACAAACTAATAAATATTCATTTATTATTTAATAGAGCTTGTAAATCTTAAAAGGAGACAGTGAAGATGCAATCAGTAATTTGAAATAGTTTATAGAAGCGAACGAATCTAATTAAGACTCTTAAAAAACACTCTTATGTAACTCTCTTTACGTTAATACTAAATAAAAAATCATAAAGACAGTAATAAAAGCTATTACAGTATATTTTATGTAAAAATACTTTCCCCAAAATCATCTTGATTGATTGATTAATTATAAAATACCGAAAATTCATCATAAATTTGAGAATTAATCTACCAAAATATTTACTACAAAATGCTTATCTATATATTTTAAAAATAATAGGGAGAGCTTACAACAATTTGGGAGTTGCTAATTGGTAAAATCAGTACCCAAGATTCAATCATTTCAACGTTATGGATGATGTAGTAAAGAAAAATGAACCAAATGTGGAAACTGCTTTATACTTTAAAAAGGCCTTGCTTTTGAATAACCAAAATATGAAGGGTGATAAAGTTTATGATTAGATAGAACGTACATAAGATATAATTCCTAAAGAGTAAATAGCAAGAATAGTAATATAGAGTTTTATTTTACATAAAATATTAAAAAAGAATTTACATCGGTATAAATCGATCTTACATATCAATTTTAAATTATTACTTTTTTAAGCTTTGTATCATTTTTAGAGTCAGTAAATTATCGACTCTCAATTCTTTTACAAATCTATATCAGCCACTTATTTAATAAAAATATTTATAATTCAAATAGGATTTTTATTTTGATGAGTCTGGAAGTGATATTCCTTTAAGAGCTTTGAGTGACTATCTACTTGATGGACACCATTCTAAAAGACACGAACATACTCTTTGGACTAAATTCTACCTAAAGCACCATGAAATGAATCATAGAGACACTCTTTACCGTCCCTTGGTTAGTATAGCTCATCACTGCTAAGTTTCTGAAATGCTCATCAAATCAGAAGGTCTCTTTAACACAGCCTTAACAATGCTTGATAATGTAATTTCCTCAATAATTGCAATTTTTACTTTTTATTCTTATCATGTGTCATTAATAAAAGAACAAAACCATTGAAAAAGCATTGTGTGAATATTATTACGCCTAAATGATTGGAAAAATAGAAAAGAGAGAATAAGAATCAGAAGGTAAACAAATTATTTCTTGATTTTATTATAGTTATTTATTACCAAAGACAAATAAATTAAAAACCTTAGTTTGATTTGTAATTATGCAATCAGCAGGTTATTTTTCAAATAAAATGGATGATTTAAAATTCATTTAAAAGTAATTAATAAATAAATAACACTGGACACAAATGTGATAATAGTTTTCCATTGATATATATTAACCTTAGATTTATGAGTTATTGTAAAAGCAGACCAGTAAGTAACCCTATTTTATAATAATTAGAATTAAAGAAAGAAGCAAGGGAGAAATACAAGTAGTTCCCTCAGTGGCATCATTGGATGCTTTATGTATCACTGCCGAGTCTTCAATTATGATATATTTAAAAAGATACTCAAATATCTTGACAAATTTTGTCTAATACATGTTTTTAAAACCAAAAAAAAAATAATATTGTAATTCTTTTGTTTGTATTAAATGATGTTACTAATATAAATGTTTAATAATATTTATTCTTTGAATTCCAATTTCCTATTGATATTTTCAAATTTATTTGAATAAAATTTATTAATTTATAATATTTCTTGTTATTTAAAACAATATAGAAATAATTTTAGATTTATCTAAATATTTTTTTGATATCCATTCCATCAATAATCCATTTATTTAAAAAACTGATTCATCAATATAAAAGTTATCTAAGTATTTACATGAATATAATTTTAATTAAATTATATTAATTAAGTAATTAAATCAGATTTAAATAATATTTTTAAAATTCTAAAAAGATATTTTTTACTTTATTTTAATTAGTGTTATTCAGTAATCAATAAAAATATAATAAATTTGTGAGACTTAAATTATTTTTTACAAAAAGTTTATCAATATCAAATATTTTTAATATAGTTTTATTTAAATTCACTATGTAAAGATTCATGTAAATATTTAAATTATTTATAATTTAATATGAATTTTATACTAAATTAATTATAAAGCAAAGGATATTTTAAAATATTATTTACTATTTTTGATTTAGAAATACTAGTAGACAACCACTTTTTAAAAATCTTAATTAATTAATTAATATTCATTAATTTATAATTAATAAATTAAACAGTATCTCAATTATTAATATATTTAATTAGTACCTTTTATATTTATTATTATTTACTAAATGTTTAAGAAGAGAAAGGATACAAAAAAGGAGTAGGTTATTATTGAAGATAATTCAGATTTAGCTGAAAAAGAATAAGCCAGCAAATTATCTGAATAAGCTGAGTTTAATAAGGAAAGTAAAGAAATCTTTGCTGATGAAGAAATTCATTTAGTAAAACCAGTTGTATACAAAAAGCCTATTTCTAATCAATTAAGTTTTGTCGAAAATGAAGAAGAAGCTGATCATAATGAAGCAGATATTTCAGACAAAATTAAAAAGGAAAAACCTGTAAAATAAATTAATTAGTTTAAAATACCTTCTAAATACATTTTTTAGAAAAAGATAAATATGAGCAGTTTTCTAAGAAATGATGCAGCAGATATTGATTATAGCAATTTACAAAATAAATAAAGCGATTTCTACCAATCAGCATATGATATTAATGAGCTAAGAAGTAAATATATATCTAACAATTTTACATTAGAAAATTTACTTATAATTTTTATAGATGAAAGCAACAAAGTTAATTAGCAAACTCTTAGTTTCATAGAATAACTTAAACAAGACAAAGAGAATGGAGTCATAGAAGAAGAAGAGTTGTATTAAATGGACCCTTCAGAATATGATTAAAAGGTTAATTAAAACATTCAAAATATGGAAATAGAGTACTCATAATCAGAAAAATAATAAATAAATAGCATAAAAGAATAGAGGTAAACACAAAAAAGCACAATTTCTTCAGGTAGATTTACATTTTTATTGCCTTTGTAGTATAAATAACAGATTTTTATAAATAGATGATTACATTAAATTATGCGGTTAAGGAGACTTTAATATGGTAAATAATATGGAAAATAGAAGAATGGCTATGTTTGGAGATATAGATAATTAAAAAAATAATTTCGAAGTGGAATAAGATGATATAAGTGACGAAGAATTCAATTAGATGGAAGAGGCTTTTGTTTAAAATGCTATGAAACACACTAATTTGGTTAATAGGGATTTCACATTTATTAATTAGAAAGGCTCATTATAGCAGATGAAAAGAAAGAAAGAAGAATCATAGCTTATAGCTAATTTAGACAAAATAAATTTAAAAGAAACAATTTAGTTGATAGAATCAAACCATTTAACTAATTTTAAAATAAAGAATCAAGATGAAGAAAAAAAGAAAACAGTAATAAACACTTTATTTATATTTGTGTTTAATTTCATTTTACATATTTTAAAACAGATTACTTAAGTTGTGCAAAAGTCTAAGCAAGATATAGAAAAGTGGAATGAAGAAATTAAAATTATTGTAGAACAAGAAAGTGCAATCTTAGAAAATATTGAATTTTGGAGAGAATTTAATGACATGATGAATGAAAAATCTAAAGAATTAAAGGTGGCCTTCAAAGAAAATGATAAACTTAATAAAAGATTCCTTTTCTCAAATGAAAAGAGACTTTCTTCATATACAAATTCATTTTTACAAGAAATGGGTCTTCCACTTATCAGTAAAAAAAATTTATGTTAGTTATTTCATTAGGATTTTTATGAAAAAAACAAAACAATTTTAGCAGAAATGAAATGAATGATTTGTTTCTCATAAAATAATTCGAATAAATTTGCTTTAAAAATTTAAAAAAAATAAAAAATTTCCATAAAATCTTTTTTATAAAAATTAAATTTCAAGGCTACAAAGTTTGTTTGAAATTTAAAATAATTTTGGCATTCTTTTTTGCCAAATTTATAATAAAATGTTTTGAATAATAAAAATAGAGAGAAAACACCATGGAGAAGATGAGGCAGAAGACTTGTACGAAACTTTCCCATCTAACATAAGGAGATCTGCTATTTAAGAGAAAAGAAAATTGTAAGCAAAACATGAAGTAGAAGGTGAAAATAGAGTTGATGGATTCAGTTCTGATGAAGATTCTGATTTACCTGAAGAAGACAGAGATATTAATGATACTAAGGATTTCATTGATGAAAAAGTTGCTTTGGCTTCTGCTGCACTAGGGATTATGGATGAGATAGAAGACTATTATAAAGATTTTTAAACTTATTTGAAATACTCTTCTTAATACAATGAATTAGATAATTCAATCTAAACTGAGGATATTCTTTTCAGTTGCTTATAAAATTAAGTGTAAGTAGAACTATTCACTTATGACCCATTAGGCAGATACTCTAGCCAGCTAAACACAGACATTAATACAATCTCTTTTATGAATCAAATCAACACTGAGTAAACAAATGAAAATTCTATTCACAAGGAGCTTGTATCTAAGGTAAACTTTGATTTATTTAACAATATAATATAAAAACTTGCTTTATTAATATAGGTAAAATAAAAAATCATGGAGAAATATGTTTTTGATAAGCTTTTATAAGAAATACTTTACTGTTACAATCCTTATAGCTTAAAGTAAACAGTTTAGCTATAAATTTCGTTTTTACAATTAGCTGATATATCTTATATTTCATCTCAATACAAATCCAAAGAAGTACAAACAATATTCTAAAAAGTTATTACAGCTGTGATAAATAAATTTGAAGAATATTTTACATACACTTCGTCTTTTCCTTCATCTTTAGATTCTACTAAAATTAATTCTGAGTATTAGAAATTCTGTATAGGAAGAAACTTAAGACTTTTTAGTAATATTTTGGCTCTTATAAAAATGGTTCCTGCTTCTGCTATTTATTCTTTAGGATTTGAAAAAATAGTAAAAACAAGTTTATAAATAATTAATATTTTTACTGATCCATAAATGAAAGCCTTTTACTTAGCTAAGGTAAAATTTACTTTTGATAAATTGTCTTATTGAATTTAATAAAATTAATATATTTAAAGTTCCTTGTTCAGATCCCCCTCGAAGTTATAGATAGGAACAATTAAATTAAGTAAAGTGTAATTTAGATAAGCGACTTACTAGATGTATAGCTTGAGTCCATTAATAATGAAGTAATTATTTTTTTATATCTATCTAGTTAAACATTAATATAAAAAAAAGATAAGAAATTTGAATGAATATGAAAAAGAGCAGTTATATTAGCTGAAAGAGCGTATATAGTAGCTTTCTGAATGAAAAATGTTAAATTAAATGTTAATAATTTTATCAAATTGTAATCTTTATTTGTGTTTTATCTTCTTATTAAATTAATTAGCGATTATTTACCATTCAGTTTTATATAATTCAATTCCATTCATTTTTTGTGCATATCTTTTAATTATCAAAATTATCGGATAAAATGTAATCATATCCATTCATTTATATGTGATATCAATTAATTAACTATCAAAATTCTCGGATAAAATCTAATTTTAACTTTGGTGATTTTCAAAGCATAAAATAAAAAAAATACAAATTTATTATTTTTTAATAATTTTTATACAATATTTTTACTAATTTTGACATATCATTTACAATCGAACTTGTGACCCATATTTAATTTAGACTGATATAAAAAAAAAAGTAAAAGAGAGATAATTCAAAAAAAATATTTGTAGTAAATGAGATTCAATTTATTGCAAAGAAAAATTACTTTAATGCAACAATAATATTTTTAAATATTTAACTAAAAATTATTAATACAATTATTTTAATTATTTATATAATACTTATTTTATCAATTTATAGTTAAAAATTAGCTATATTTCAAATGAATTAAGCATGATATTTTATATAATTCAATCTTTAAAATATATCATATATTATTTTCATTAGTTTATTAATTATTATTGTTTGAGAGCCTTATACCAGTACCTGAAAATGGCTAGAATCTAGTTGAACTTTAATTTGAAGGACGATTTTGTAGTAAAGGTTGTTATATTTATTCTTATTAATTGTTATTTGTTTAGGTTTAAGTTTATGTTTATGTTTGGGTTTAGGATTAGGATTAGGATTATCTGCAGCAGCAAGTAAAGAAATTAAATTTTATCAAAAGATAGAAAAGTAAAACTAAACCTAAAACTATTATCAGAAAAACCCACCAAAAACTACCATAATCTCTACAGCATTTATTAATGTTACAGCATTTATAACCTGAATAACAGTAATTAACGATTATTTTAAAACCATAATTGTCTTCGTAACAGATATCTCTGTCAGCTAACACTAACTTGAAAATTATAACTATTAGGATTAATAATTTATTCATTATTTTATTTTTATAAATTTTTTTTCTTGTTAAAAATTATAATTTTTTTAAAGCAAATGAAGAAATTAAAATAAGCTAATAATTTAAATCAAAGTTAACAAATATTTATTAAATTGAAGTAAAGGATAAAAATTGAAAGAAAAATGAGAGGGGGACCTATGTTTTAATTTCATAATAATCATTATTGTAAAAATTAAAATTTTTACAAACTCCGCTGATTACATATATCCAATCAGCGGAAATTTAAAACCAGGAACTATATTTAAGAAATTAAATATTTTAGATGGGATCTCAAAATAAAAATAAAAGAGAGATAATTCTAAAAAAATATTTGTAATAAATGCACTTCAATTTATTGAAAAAAAATTACTTAATTTTAACTAAAAAAATAAATGCAAATATTATATTTTTATAATACTTAATTTATCAATTTGTGGTTAAAAATTAGCTATATTTCAAATAAATTAAGCATACTAATTTATATAATTCAATCTTTAAAATGTATCATATATTATTTTCATTAGTTTATTAATTATTATTGCCTTAGAGACTAATAGCATTTATAGTTGAATTTTAATTTGAAGGGCAATTTTGAAGTAAAGGTTGCTACTATTCTTATTAATTGTTATTTGTTTAGATTTAGGATTATTAGCAGCATTTACAGCATCCAAATTTATATAAGCAACAGGAAAATAAAAGAATAATTACAAAAATAGCTGCTATCACAAAAATCCACCAATAATAACCAAAATCTCTACAGCATGAATCTTAGTAGAAACAACATTTATAACCTGAATCACAGTAAGCAGTGATTACTACATAGTCTATCTCCTTTTAGTAACAAATATCTTTTTCAGCTAACACTAAATTGAAAATTAAAACTATTAGGACTAATAATTTATTCATTAATTTTATTTTTATAAATCTTTTTTCTTCCTAAACATTATAATTTTTTTTAAAGCAAATGAAGAAATTAAAATAAGCTAATAATTTAAATAAAAGTTTATTAAATAAAGTAAAGGATAAAAATTGAAAGTAAGTAAAATGAGGGACCTATGTTTGAATTGTATAATAAATATTAGTATAAAAATTAAATTTTTTTATTTAAAATAAAACTCGTTCGTTACTCAAAATTATTGTGGTAAAATTTTAGATTTTATTTTATTAATTAAAATTTGATATAGCATGCAAGAATATAAAAATTAATTTATCGTTTTATTATAATTTCGATATAATATTTTGATTCTGTAAGGTATTCTTTATTAAATTAAAAAGAAATTAAAACAATAAAATTCAAATAAATAAGAAATATCAAAAATAACCATAATTTATTTATAAAAGTTAATCTTTAAAAATATGATATATAAAAAACATAAAAAAAAATACAAGGGTTATTTTATTTGAAACATATGTACTTATTTTATTATTTTATAATTTAAATTTAGCTATATTTCAAATCAATTAAGCATGGTATTTTATATAATTCAATCTTTAAAATGTATCATATATTACTTTCATGAGTTTATTAATAATTATTGCTTTAGAGACTAATACTAGTTCCTGTAGTTGAATTTTAACTTGAATGGCGATCTAGTAGTAAAGGTTGTTAGTATTGTTATTAATTGTTATTTGTTTAGGTTTAGGATTATTTGCAGCATTTTTTTTTACATATAAGAAAGAAAAGTAAAAATACACCTAAACCTGATATTGCAACAAAAACCCACAATTATATATGATGATCTCTACAACATTTATTAATGTCACAGCATTTATAACCAGAATCACACTAAAAAGTGATTTTAAATTCTTATGTATATATTTCCTCACAGATCTCTTTTTTAGCTAACACTAAATTGAAAATTATAAGTATTAGGATTAATAATTTATTCATTAATTTTATTTTTATAAATCTTTTTTCTTGTTAAAAATTATAATTTTTTTAAAGCAAATGAAGAAATTAAAATAAGCTAATAATTTAAATCAAAGTTAAAAAATATTTATTAAATTGAAGTAAAGGATAAAAATTAAAAGAAAAATGAGAGGGGGGACCAATGTTTGAATTGCATAATAAATATTAGTGTAAAAATTAAATTTTTTAGATTTTTGAAAAAAGAATAGGTATAAAATTAATTTACTTATACCCTCCTAATTAGGAGTATTAGTTATTTGTAATTTTGAGTATATACCTTGCAGGTTTAAGGATTTCTATAAAAAGAATTTATTTCCTTATACTTAATTAAACTAACCTTCCACAGTTTACTGGTAAATTTTGAATAAAGTAAAGATTAATATGAATTTTTAAATATAATAAATAGCATTGTATTTAAACTATCATTTATTGATGGCGTGCGTCGATTCCTTAAAATTTTTAAATAAAAAAAGAGTTAAATTTATTTAAATGGTCAAACTTTGTTCAATGGATAATTAAAAGATGATCAATTAAAATTTGATCCAATCACACATTTTTTATTTAACACTTTTAGTTTATTTTTAGCCTCAACTTTTGAAAAAATAAAGTAATTAAATCAAATATTTTTCAACTAAATTATATTTATCCAATTTAATTTTGTTAATTTGTAAAGAAATGAGCTTTATATTAATTTATATCTTTATAAGTTAAAAATATTAATTCATGATATTTTTAAAATAAAATTAAAATCTATAAAATATCTTGTAATTAATTAATGATAATAATAAATATAACATGAATGAATTGAGGTTGATTGATTTTTAATTTTTATTCTTTATAATAAAATATTTCTTTAATTTCTTATTTCTCATAATTAAATGTTTGCGTCATTTTTTTATTAGCTATTAATTCAGAATGAAATATTTTTACAAATTTGCAGTTAAGTAATTAAATTAAGCTATTAATTATTCAATTTTAATTAGATTAATTTTACAAAAGTAATCAAGTTTCAATTAAATTGTAAAAATTTTTTACTTTTGAGAATATTTTAATCAGTTAAAGATGAAACTAGAATTAATATATTTAACATTTTTAATAATAATAATTATTATTATTATTTAATAATAAAAATACTATTTAATAAAATTATTATTAATTTAAATAAAATAATAAAATCTAGAATATTTGTATTAGTAAAAAAAATAATTAAAGTGAGCCTGGCTGAAGTTATCTTTTAAAAATAAATAAAATTAACTCATATTTAAACTCACTAATATATTTAATTATAAATTTAATAAATCTGAACATATCATATATGAAAATGAAATGATGAGAATATTTATTTACAGTTTTTACATAAATTCAAAATGAAATATTTTAAAATTGATAATAAATACATTTTTAGTTTAGTTTAAAAGTTTTTAGAGTTCTTTTTAAAGGAAATAAAATAATAAAAATTTACTTACAAAATTTATTTTTAGCAGAATTTCAATATAAAATCAAAATTAGGAATTAAAAGTTATCTTTTAAAATTTAAAATAAAAAAAATTTTTGAGTATTTAAACTCGCTAATGTATTTAATAAATCTGAAAATATATGTATAAAAATTAAATTATGATATTATTTATTTGTTGACAATTTTTACATAAATAATAAATTTAGATTCAAAATGAAACATTTTAAAACTTAATATTAAATATATTTTTAATTTAGTTTTAAAGTTGTTAGAGTTCTATTTAGAGAAAATAATATGTTAAAAATTGTAATTTTTTTTTCGCAGAATTTCAATATAAAATCAAATATCGGAAATTAATCATTTATTTTTTGATTCGCGGGATATTTAAATGAAGATACCAATACAGATCAGCAATTATAATAATAATTTGTTCGCGCTAAATTAATTGTAATATCAATAATAATTAAGATTTTCTAAATAAACACATTAAAGAATATTAGGAATATAAAAAAGCTTATATTATGTAGGGCAAATTACTATTTAAAGGTTAGGCCGCTCCTAAGGGTGCTGCTGCAGGAGCAAATACAAAGGATAACAATAGAATGGAAGAAGAAACTAAAACAGAAGAACTTAATAATAATTTGCTTCCTTGGGTTGAAAAATAGTAATTAATCAATTATTTTAATTTAGCTTATTTATAAATCAAAGATGATTTAACTTAATAAAATAGTCGTCCTAATAAAATTGAAGAAGTCAGCTACTAAGAGGAAGTAATAAAGTCTCTCTAAGGTGTTTTATTATCAGGAAATGTAATTTCATATTAGTAGCCAGTTTAGTTATTAGAATAAAATTATTTTTTGCTCAAATAAAAAGCTACCTCACTTGATTCTACATGGACCTCCTGGTACTGGTAAAACTTCAAGTATCCTTGCCTTTGCAAAGCAACTTTACGGGTAAATAAATAAATAATCAACATAAAGATGTTAAAAATATTTGCAATCCAAACACATAGGCTTATAAATAAATATGATTTTATTTTTAATCAATAGACCAACTTTTTACAAAGAGAGAATCTTAGAATTAAATGCATCTGATGATAGAGGTATTCAAATAGTCAGAGATAAAATAAAAAAATTTGCACAATAAGTTGTCTCTAAGAATCCAGATAAGTAAAATAAAACTGATAGCATTAGGTGTAGATTAAATATTTATAATATTTTGGATAAAATAGATCATTTAAATGCCCAAATTTCAAAATTATTATTTTGGACGAAGCAGACTCAATGACTACAGAAGCTCAGTCAGCTTTAAGAAGAATCATTGAAGACACCTCTTCAACCACTCGTTTTTGTATTATCTGTAACTACATTACTAAGTAAAATAAATTTATTTCAGTTTTTACTAAGCTATTATAAAGATATAAAAATTAACTACAGGTTAGCCATATTATTTTACTAATTTGTTATAAAGATATAAAAATTTACTGCAGAATAGCCATATTATTAAATAGAATATTAAATATTTCAATAAAAATTAATGTAAATAGGCTAAATATTATTAGGCAATTTAAAATTTTAATCTAAAAATAAGAATTTAAAATAGAATAAATTATATTAATTAAAAATGAAAAAACTTGTATAAAATAACAATATTTTAAATAAAAATAACATAATACAATTATGCAGCTATATTTAATATTTTTAACATATTAAATTTTTAATAATAAAAGGATTATAGAACCATTAGGTAGTAGATGTGTCAAATTCAGATTTAAACCTATTCCACTTGAAGCTTAAATAACTAAACTAGAAGAAATATGTAAAACAGAAGATATTGAATATGAAAAGGAAGCTCTTGAAAAATTAATTAAAATATCAAACGGTGATTTGAGAAAAAGTGTAAATCTTCTATAATCTGCATCTACTTTGTATGAAAAGGATATTAAAGTTGAAGTTATTGAAGAAATTTCAGGAGTAAATTATTTACTTTGTATAAACGTATTAAATTATTTTTAAATAAAAATAAAGAGTATTCCTGACAATTAAGTATAGAAATTATATAAACTTCTTATTGGCAAGGATTTTGATAAATTAAAAGAAGGAGTTAAATAGTTCTTATACTAAGGGTATTCTCCTGATTAATTACTTTACTAATTCTCAGAGTATATCATTAGTTCTAAAGATTTCAATGAAGTTAAAAAAGCTAGAATCCTTGAAAAAATTGCATTAGCTGATAAAGGTTTAAACGAAAGAGCAGACTCTGAGTTGCAAATATTAAACATGTTCTCAAGCTGTCTTTCTGTTTTACAAAATCCTGATACTGATTTAAAGAAAAAGTGATTTGTGTAGTTAGCTAGCTAGCTAGCTACATTCAGTAATAAAACAGTAATTTTTACTAATAGTTATAATGAGAAAATATAAATTTTGATAGTAATTAATTTAAATACAATTATTTCAAACACTATAAAATTGCATCTTTATTTATATCAAATACGTATTACTATTCTTATTAAATCTTAGCTTATGCAATTTTTTAGAAAATAATTATTTCAAACACACTAAAATATTTATTATTATTATTATTATTATTATTATTAATCTTAACATTAAAACCATTTTAATTAAGTGGTTTTAAAACAAAAATTCAAAATAAATAATAATTTTTGCAAAAAAATACAATTTAATTTATAAATAAAAGCATTTTTTCTTAAACAAAAATTTGAAATTTAATTTCACTAAATTTTAGGATTTTAAAAAAAATGATCTAAATTTTTACCAATTCCCTTAGATATAGAATTTTTGAATATGCCAAGACATATAAGAAAATATAATATTTTATTAATCAAAAAAGACTTATCAAAATAAATAAAAAAATAAAATGCCAATTATTATTGATAAAATTAAGAAATCAAATATTTCTTTTTAAGTAATAATGACAGAGATCAAATATTTTTATTATAGATCTATCTATAAGAATTATTTCTTCAATAAATAAGTTAACATGATTTATAATTTTATTTCAGCTGTTACGTGAGCTTAATTAATATTTAGAAGATTAATTTTCAGCCAATTAGGAAATATAATATAATTTGTTATAAAATACTATGGATATATAAGTAGTTAGTAATAATAAGTTATATGCAAATCAGAAAATAAATAAGTCAGAAACAAAATGAATGAATATAATTAAGGCTATATATTTGTTAAAAAAATATTATGGTCATAAATATTGCTTTATAATTTTTAGAAGGTAATAAATTAATAAAAGGTAACAAGCAACAAATAAATAACTAAAAAAACTAAAAAAATATGTGTATTGATTGTTGCATATGGATATAGTAAAAATCAATATTCCTATATATCTATCAATTAATAAGTAAATGAATGGAAGAAAGGTTATCAAATATTTACTTTTTGATATTATCTAAGAAATTTTTGAATTGAAAATTAATTAATTAATTTGTATAAATAGGCTTTGCTAATATAAAAATATTCAATTACATTTTATATTATTATAATATTCTCATTATTTTTTAAAGATAAATTCATTCTTATTATAGACTGATTACAAATGAATAGTAGCAGCAGCAACTAGAAAAATGTTATAAATTTTACAGTGCAAGTTTAGCAAAATAAAAATAGATAGTCTTTAGCTGCTTCTCCATTGCCATCAATCCGAAAAAATAAAAATGAAAATGATAATACCAATAATTAATTCCCAACATAGACGTTGAATAAATCAGTGCAGAACTCGCCTGCAAGAGCTGTAAATAAAAGAAGCAACAGCAGCTAAGCGAAAGAATAAAATCAAAATGGAATAATGTTTGTAAACTAGCAACATCAATTGCATAGGTACCAGCAATACTTTCAATAAGATAATAATAAAAAGGTGAACAGTTATTAAAATTCAAATAGAATAGCCAAATAGCTATTTCAGAATGATAGCGGAAAAAACATAGATAATGATCAGCATAACATAACTTATATTAATTTAAATACTACTTGCAGCACAAATAAAAATCAAATCACTCCAGCTGCTGCTAGCAATTAAAAATACCGAAATTCGTCTTAGAATAATTCAATAATTAATTTTTTTAAAGAAGCACATCCTATCCACCTTTAATCTAACTACAATTCTACACACCAAAATAATACTTTTGTAAATCACACTGCAGGAGGTAATCCGAATACTAACCGAAACAGTAATATAAAAGGCAGTAACTTGATAAATTAAAATAAAGAATATGAATTTTATCTAAATGGATGCAATAACAACATTAATTTTTAATAAGACGATAATCTCTTTTATATTCAACCTGAATTGGATGAATAAGGAAGAATCCTCTAATCAAATTCAAAAGAATCTTTATTAGATCCAGAATTATTTGTAACAAATGAAGTTTCAACAGAAACAAAATCTCAGATAACAAACTCAAGTATACAACATGATAAAACTATTATAAATGACAGCTCTCCAAAGGATGAGCTACTAAAACAGGAAGCATAAAACTAATAGAATAATCAAAAAGATGAAAGTAAACTTAAGAATCCATAGTAGGTTAAATACTTGGCTGAAATACAAACAAACTAAATCCTTCTTGATAACTTCAACAGCAACAACTGTAGTAATTAAAAAATTAACAGCACTACTAATCGTATAAATACTAGATCCTCTTCATCTTAGGCAGAGTGTGTGCCTTAACAACTCCAAGTGCTAGAAGGATAAAAAAAGAAATCTTTAAACCAATTAACACAGTAGCATCACCATCAAAATGCATTTAATTCTTTAACAAGTAGCAGAAACAGCAACAATAACAACTAATTCAATAATAAATAAATTTCATATAAATAATAACCTTATATAGATTTTTTATAAAACCCTAGATTTGAGTAACAATACCTTAAAAATGAGAATAACATAAGATAAATTATAAAAAACTCTCTTGTAGGAGGAGGAGATAATGTTTAATAATAACAATAATAATAAAACAGAAATATAAAAAAGTTTAAAATTGAGAGGAAGAGTATGAATTCTAATTATAACAACCTAAGCGATTATATTGAAAATAGTAATATATAGACTTTATAGGATTAGCCTCCATAGTAGTTTGAGGAAATATCATGCAGTATGCCAATTTAAACAGTTAAAAAAGTAAAATCTCCTAACAATTATTTGAGTATCACTCAATAGTCTATCAATTCTGATTCATTTAAAACAGGATTTACTCCTTCTGAATTATAAACAAATGGTAGATCTTCAGTCAACGCAGTTTACTATTAAAGATAGTGCAATTCCGTCAACAGGTCTTCTGTAAGAAACTCTTCTACAACAAAAGCAAGATTTCCATCCAGAGCAGCATCTCCATAAAGTCATTCATTTTCTTCAACAAGACCCAACTCGAATACAGACAAAGCTTTTTAAAAGATGTTTAGAAGGTAATTTATTTGTAAAAAATAATAATTTCCTAATTAATAAATCTATTAATAGGAGAAACCCAGAACATATTTCAATAAATAGCAATAACTTATTTGAAGAAAATAGTGATTCAACAGCAAGATCCCTAAACGTTAAACTGCTTTCTATTTTCAAACAATATGTAATATAATAATTGTTAATTCAAGATTATTATTATTTTTAGATGTTCACAAATTATTGAAATACTTTTTAAAACTTTTTTAGTTATGAATAAAAATAAAAATTATTAGCTAAAATTTTAATTCTAAGATCTTTCTTTCAAAAAAAATTAAAAAAATTAAATTGTGAAAAAATATGTTAATTTAATCAAAAAATTAATAAAAACATTGGCAAATCAATACAATGATATATTTGGTTTTTTTTAATTCTTACTAGAGTATTTTATGATTAAATTAGTGAATAAAAATATTTTTTTAACTTTAAAAAAATGAAAAAAATATTTTATTATTGATAGCCAACTTTTAAAAATTAGTAAAAATAAATTAAAATTTAAAAAATATCTATTTTTTAAGTAAAATTAACAATATTTATTTTGTTATTTTAATCAGAATAGTTAAGATATAAATAAAGTTTTAGTTAGCAAAAAAAGTTTTGAAAAATATTTGCAAACATTTGATCCAGAAAAAGATGAAAGTAGCAAGATGATGCAAAGCACAATAATAGAGTATTTCTAGAAATGGTCAGATAAAATAAATAATTCAGTTATTTATTTGAAGAATCAGTTAGAATCTTTTTGGAATGAAAACAGTGATTTCCAACAGAGGCAATAAATTTTAAAAAGAATGCCAATAAAGACCTAAAAATACTATGATGATTGCAAAGAGTTATGTGAATCAGCTCAATTATTCTATTTTAAGACTGATTAAAAAGAAACAATTGCACAAATCGTATAAAAGTGTTAACACTCTTTAGATATTATTAATTTGCTCAACACTTTACCTAAGCTTTATTAAGAAACAGAATCTTTTTTTATTAATCCAGAGCAGTAAAACAATGGCTAAAAACATTCATTTGAGTAGCTTCATGAACAAACTTAATTTATTCTCACAACAATGAGATCTTCTATTTAAAGTGATGAGTTTCTTAGTAAATTATCTTTTATTAAATTTATGCAGAATTTAAATGTTATTTTCCAAAAACAGCAAACATATCTAAGTAAATTGTTCTCCTTTAAGAGTAAAGTTAATTTGCTTGGGAGACCTATATGAAATACAAATAATGGAAGCATGATCTTCAAAGCCTCCTCTCTCAAAATCCTGCTAATCAAATTGGAAAAGTAGATAATTCTTTAGTGTTAGTATAGATTAAATCAAACTTAGAGTTAATCAACTAAAGTTAATTTTTATTTGAACATTTAGGCACCATTTCTAACTCAGATGTAAATAAAATTATTCTTCAATTTTTTATAAGTTCTTATTTTTAAAAATATTTTGATCAATCAACTCAGATAATAATTTTGTAAAGATTGTCATTGTTGAGAATTTAAAAAAATTTATAGATCTTTTTTAATCAATTTGTTTCTTGTTCATTAAAAAAAATTTTTTTGCTAAAATAAATTGAATTATAACAAGAAAAAATTAATGTTTAATAAAAATATTAAAGCAACTTCCTGAGGCTGTGAAAGACCTAGCTTTTAAATTTATGTATGAGCATGAAGAGGAAAGAAAAAAAGCAATTGTTAATATAAAACTCATATTTTAGGAAGTCATAACTACTTTTGAGGAGTTTTTGAGCGAGAAAATTCATCTGGATATTTAAGCCTGAGTATTTCAAGAAGGCAATGATTTCATCAACCAAACATTAGAAATTTTAAAAGACAATTAACCTGAAAGCTGCAAAAAAGACGAAGCTCTTTCAGATTTTTTTATCAATATTTAAAAGGCTAATATAACATTTAAAACCATGAAGGATGATATAGATGAAATGCATAAAATATTACCAAAATAAATTATTCTTTGTGATGAATAGCATGATAAAAAGAGACTTCAAAAACTTATCGATGAATGTGAGGTTTTTCAAAACAATTATAACAGCTTAATTGATAGACTTGCTGAGATGAAATCTAGTCTTAATACCTCTAATACTATTTTTAGTAAGAGCAAATAACTTCATAGCACATCTACTTAGCAAATAGGAGAAGTAAAAACTCTTGCAGGATCTTCAACTAGCGGATCATAAAATTAGTTATTATAATCCTAGCAATAAGCATAAAATCAAAAGGATACTTTGGTTAATGGATCTTCATCTTAAGTTTCAGTAACAAGCCCATAGAATAGAAAATTCTTGAAAAAACATAAAGATAAAGATTAAAAAAAAGAAGAAATAACATAAACTGAAAACAAAAGGGATTTGAAAAAGAATTAACAAAAAAAAGAAATGAGTGCTGAAAAAAACACTTCAAACAAATAAAAAAATAATAAAACCACTCTTTAATAGCAAAGTATCCAAAAAATATCAACAAAATCATCTGGTGAAGAAGCAGAGCTTAACAAAACCTTTGCATCTTAAGTAATAAATTTAAAGGGTAAGGAAAAAATAAATCTTTAAATTAGATATCTAAAAGATATTTATGAATTAGTCGTCATGCTTGTCAAGAGTAACTTCAACAAATTAGAAATATTTTAATCTAAACCCCCTGTTTTAGATGAATTTGATGATTTTGTAAAATTCAGAAAAATTATTGAAATGGACCGACATATAATATCACTTGTTGATTCAGAGAAGCATAAATGCTCTACACTAGGAAGTGATATTGTTCTGTCAACTTATATCAAAGAAATTAAATTATCTTAGGAACTTATCACATACACTCCTTAATTTTTGAAAGTTTTAGGGGATTTGATTCAAACATACCAAGAGTGCTTGACTCCTGATTTAGAAGCATATGTCACTTCTTATAATGAATTTGCTAAACTAACACTTAATGCTAAGAGTATTCAACTATTAAGGAATCTTTTTTACAATTTACTCTGCTTTATTGTGAAAAAGGAAATCATTTACATTAAAATACCTTTCTTCATAGAGAAAATAGAAAGAGCATTCAATCAAATTACAAATGACAGATTTTTTTTCATTAGTCTTAACGAAGAACAAAAAGAAATACAAGAAGACTTACAGTAAATTAACATAATAATCACTACATTCTAAGATAAAGAAGAAAAATACAATTAAATCACATACACTCTTTAGAGATTACAGCTGATTTATCGAAGAATCAAAGATTATCACACTATCTTTTTTAACAGCAACTCCGTTCTCCCAAGTTATAGCGAGTTCCATCCTTTTTTAAGAAAGCTCTACGACCACATATTCAAAGGAGGAGACGAAGAGCCATTGATCCAAGAATCATCTCTATTAATTAAAATGCTTGAAAGTGGAAATTATAAGTTAGAAAATGATTTTCACAACGTCAGCGAAAAGCCTAGGTTTATTCCTGTGTTAGAAAAAATGAATGATATAACAGAGAATCTCATATATATGCTAAAGACTATAAACTAATCAAGGGAAAGTATTAATTTTTTTAGTTTACTATAAGTGCTACACACAATTGGGGAGTATTTTTTGATAAAAAAAGAACCAGTTGTTCTAGTAAGAGACTCTAAGAATTTAATTGTATTTATATAACCTTTAATTAGAAAAGTAATATCTGATTTTTAGACTCAGTTACACTAAAATTCTTAAAAAGTTTAAACTGATTTTTGGAAAAGTTAGAAATAATCAATGGTGATTTAGCAACAACATGAAACAATATTGAATAACTAAAGCAAGAACTTTAATACATCAATGGTAGCTACATTAAACTAATCTCAGAGTATTTAGCACATGGATGAAATCATCAAATAAAAATCAGATATTTTGTAATAGAGCTAGATCATGGAAGATGAAAATTAATTTGTACTACAAAAAACATCACCGCTAGTACTTTAAATATAGAAAAGTCTTCTCTTCAATGAATACTTTGGTCTTTCTAAAAATACTAATCGAAACAGGTAATCATCAGAATAATTCTAGAACCAGAATGATAGTGATGAGTCAGAGTAAGAAAGGGAGTAAAAGTAAGACATAATTGATTTTGACTATTCAAAAGAAATGGAATGGTTTGAATATATGGAATAAATGGATGAATCTCGGATTATTACAGACGAAGGAGAAATAAACATGATCTAAACATGTGTTTCATTTGTCTACACTAGAAAGCAGCAAGCAGTGATAATTCTGATTCCCCAATCTCCTTTTTCTTAGTTCAACTATGAAATAGCAGATATTGATACTAATTAAATTATTTTTAATGGTTTTATTTAAAACAATAATCCCCTTTCTATACCTCTTCCAATCAGCTCGCCCTATGGCTTGTTTAGCTTGAGATTATTTAAAAAGTATTAAGAAGATAATTAAAATAACTTGTAAAATAACGCTTCAATTGCTTGCTAAAATATCTCAAATAACAAAAATAATAACAATTAAAATGATAATCTATCAAGATCACTTTACATAAAAACCATAACAAACAATAATGCTACAAACTCATTAGAATCTAATTATGCTCAATTCAATAGTTTAGAAACTAGCTAGTATTAATTTACTCGTTTTGAGCAAGATCAAGCTTTACTTGTAAAAAGTATGCTAGTAAATAAATACAACTTGTTTGAATTCCCACTGAGCTTTAAGCCATAAGAAAAATACGCAATTTTAATTCAAAGAAAAGCCAAAACTTCTGTTTAATATTTCATTTAAAACTCTAATCATGAAAAAACTAACATTAAATAGATAGAGTTTATTCAGATAATACCTGATAAACTTTAAAGCAATGCAAATTAAACAAATAAAAATAAAAACTCTCATATAAAAATAGAATAATAATAAAATTAAAAAGATATTATACTGGATGATTAGACTATAAAAAGCTAAAATGAGGATTTAAATGAGTAGTTGACTACAGATTTAATCATTGTAAAATAAGCATAATTTGAAGATTTTGAATTTATTTTAGAGTTATCTAACATCTAGTAAGTTTAAGATTTGGCTCTTCCTTCAATATACATTTACAAAAAGCAATAAGAAGCAAATACACCAGATCCTATGCCAATAATAATTTAGAATAATGTAAAGAATATCTAAAAAAGTATAAATGAAGATTAAAATAGTAATTTTGGGTGGAGAATAGCTTCTATTCAAAAGGAAGAAGTAAAAATAATTAACTCCTTTATTCCATGAATAAAAGAATAATTTATTTATTAAATTAATTAATCATTTTTATAATTTATTTTGTAAAAAAAATATATATTTATAATATTTATTTTTCAACGCTTTTGTTTTACTATTATTGTAACTAAAATGCTAAAAAAAATTTTAATCCAATTATTTTTATTATACTGTATATTATTCATTTTTGAGGCTGATAAAAGCACCTATTTTTTTATTTTTTACAAAATTATTTTTACAAAAATTTTTAAAATTCTTGTTTGATTTATGCTTTAAACACTAAATAGTTACAATATCTATTAGGATTATTATATCACTTGCAATAAAAATCACTTTACGAATAAAATAAATTGTAAATAATTTTAGTTTGAGTTTGTAAATACTTTGATACATTAATTTTGACTATCTTTTGTTCTAATGCGGAAATTTCTAAAATCTTTTTCCCCTGTATGATATATTTTTTTCTTTTGAGATTGTAAAACAATTTAGAATCATTTAATAATACTTTTTATTATAATTTATAAAATTTAAAAATTAAGATATATTTAGATATAAAAATGTGATATTTTAAATTCTTATTCAAAGCATGAACTTAAAATGAATTATTAATAATATAAATTCAGTCTTATTGCTAATTATTCCCTTCTTACTTACTAAAGTTTGGAATTAGAGGAAATTAAATTAATTTGGTAATATATGAGAAAGTTTGAAAAATACAATTTGATAAATATATTAAAGTTTAAGACTGACATTGCCAAAATTAATAAAATTACGGATTATTTATATTTGATTATATTCAAAATCATATTTAAGGAAATTAATTATCTCTAAATTAGTGAATTGTAATAGTAAATTTATACAATTTACATTGAGCAAAAATTAGTAAATTTGTGCTATTTTTTAATTCAATTTCATAAAGGAAATCAAAATTATTTTCTAAATTCTGTAAAATAAATACTTAAAATTTATATTAATTAGATTTATTTTAATCTATGATAAAGTAAAGTGCTAAAATAATTAAGCTGATGAATTATATTTTTCTAGAAACTTACTTGATAAAATCTGTTTTTGGAAATAAATAATTCTTTTTCTGAAGGTATTCTATAATAAATTAGGAGCGCCTACCAAAGAATTTATATAGAAGAAAAGAAAAATGATCAATGAAATATTATTTTTTAAAAATCGACAGAAAGAATCAAATCAAAATTAATGAAATAGAAAGAATTTTTAACTGAAAATTAAGCAATTCTTTTAATAGTATTATTACCAATTTTGTATGAAATATTCCTTTTGAATAAAAATAAATTAATAGCTATTTTTAGCATGCGAAATATTATTAATATTTGTTGACTCTTATTGTTAACTTTCAAAAAAAGTAAAAAATACTACTCTATTTTACAAAGCATGATTGTGAGTATATGTTATTTTAATATAACACCTCCTACTGAAAAGAATTTATTAGATATTAATTAATTTACATAAAATCTTTATTAATTGTAATTTATTGATTAAAATTTTCACTGCCAATGTAATTTATCTGATATTGTTTGTTACTAATTTATCTTACTAGCAAGCACCTTTCTATTATTTGCTACATATTTTCAAATTTGCACAATATAAAAGCTATCAACCTTATCTATGTTTTTGTCATTCTTCATGCATATTTCACTTACATTTTTTCTTTCATTTTCTTAATTATTTTCAATTTTTTTCTTACAAAAATTATCAATATTTAAAATATTAATTTTATCATTTACAAAAAAATTTTTTATGTAAAAAAAAATATGTGGCGAGATATTTTTTGGAAGTCAAATTGCGTTAAAAATTTTTATAAATTTTAATAGAAAGTAAAAATAATTAATTTTTGGTTGAAAATTTTTGTAAATTAGACGATATCTTCTTAATTTACAATGAAAAAAATAAGCTTAGTTACAACGCTATTTTACTCGTGTAATTAATTTTGGCTGCATTATTCAAATCCACAATTTGCTTCATTAAAACAGGCTTTCTTAAAAGATTACTTTTTACAATTAACAACCGCAAGTCAAACAAAAATGATGGATTAAAATTTTTCACCTTTTTGAAGGAAGATTCTTGTTGAATAAAATAAATATATTTGATTATGTTAAAGCTTACCTTAGATTGTGTAACCAACTTGAATACAAAGCAGTAGAAATCAGCTATTACTCAGACTTATTCGTATAGTAATTAATTTTTTTCGTGAATTTGTAAGCAAATAAAAATTTTTTAGAGAAAACGAATAGATAGATAAATCTTTTTGATAAATCAAATAGACTAATTTTTTATCTTGTGAAATCTTCAAAAAGAAGGAGGGGGATAATTACTAGAAAAATAATTTAAATACCTAAAAAAAAATTTAATAAAAAAAAAAAGATAAAAATAAAAAGTTAAGTCGATGAAATTAGTTAACTCGGAATACCAGATCTTTAACTAAGATGATACAAGTTAAACAATTGATAATCTTAGGTAGTTCTACTCCCTTGAGAGAACAATTTGTTTTGAAAAAATGTTTGTAGATGAACCTACTCATTACAAATTATTTAAAGCAATTGATTTTTTACTAAGGATAGCAATTATTATTTACGTTAGTGTGAATCAATTGGAAGATCCTATAAGTTTAGGCTTAGGTATAGTAGCAGCAATTTAAACTGGATTAAATATTGCGATCAATTACTATTACTACTAGGCATACTAATAAACTATGTTCTTAGGTTAGAACTCATTTACTAAAACCATTTTGAACATAGTTTCTTCACTTATATAAGTTGACTGGGTGCTATTCACAAACCAGTGCAAATTCAATTAAAAGGGCTAGCATGACGTTACTAATTATGATTATTCAACTGTATAGTGGGTTTATATTAAAAGATTAGCTATAGCTGCAAGAATTCACTTGATAACATATTGCTTTTTTTACTTTTCTTCTAGCATCAACAATTTCTCTTATGTTGTCTTCTCTCTTTCTTTTGTGTTGATGATATACTATAACCATTTGAATTCAAATAAATTTATTTCATCTTCTCTATAATCCCAACAACCTAAATTAGATTAAATTATCACAAACATAGAACTCATTATATAATTTCTCTAGTCTCTTCTCTTTACAATTTACATTGGTGCTGCATCTCTAGCCTGGGTAGCAGTTTTCCTTCCTTCTACAACTGTCCTTTTTTCCTTCCTTTCATTCATTGATTCAAGGTTCAAGTTCGAGCCCTTCACAATTGGAGTTATTGAGTACATTTTCTTAGGATCTAACACCTGTCACTTGATGCCTATCTTAAAGAATGACTTCTCCATGGCCCAAATTCATATTAGCGGCGTTTTGAAGTTATTCTTTTTAAGCATATTTTGTATCGCTTAGGCATCTATATAAGGATTGATAATTTCTTAAGGCAGAGACAAAATGCCAGAAGGCGCTTTCGAATTATAGGTGGCGTTGGTTTCAATAATAAATCCTATTATGCTGATTAAATCTACTAAAGTAGTAATGCATTTTTTCTAGTAGATCACCATTTAAACTAATTCATTTAAAGATATTTCTCCAAATTAATTTAAAAACTAACCTAAACAAGTAGTTTACTATCAAAATAATAAAATTTTATCACCTGAAGATTTGAATGTTTTCGAACAGCTAATTAACAAGGACGTTAGAGAGTACTATATCTTCATAAACAACTCTTTCTGCATCTAAACCTATCATAGACATGCTTAAATCACTGTATCTAGCATGAAAGATCCCAAAGACAACGAAAATTTAAACATAATATGCCTCAGTCTTCTAAACAAAGCCAAAAGTTTAACCATTAAGTTGAATATGAACCCCTTAAGTCACCAACATAAAGATATAGACAGATTCTTTATTTTTTTACTAAAAAATATGATGAATCCAAGTGAATCAATAATCTCATTTGATCAAACGCTATTAATCAATTTCATTATTGAGGGTAACAAAACAAAAAAATTAATTAATATTGATGAAATCTTCAACTATCCAAAAAAATCAATTCTTGAATTTATTGTTTTCGAAAAATATCAAATGCCTTTCCTGCTTAATAATCATCATTAAATTTACTACGACCTCTTTGAGGAAATGTGATGAAATAATAATCCTTGTAAAGTAAGTAACTTCACAAATTTAAAGGTTAAAATATAAAAACTGTAAACAAAAGCAAGCTTGATAAAAAAATGTAAATTATTTACGCAATAAAAAATACTAAAATAAACCACAAAATTAAGATATCTTACATCATATTAAATATAAAATAAATAAATAATAATTATTATCTTACTTCTATTTAATTAATTAATTTATTAAACCAACAAATAAAAAATATTTCCTACTCATTTTCTTGTATATATTAATTTAAAGCAAGTAATATTTATATTTACATATAAGTATTCTTTTAGTTATTTATTATCCAAAAAAAAAAAATTATTTACTCTTTTCGAACGAACACCTTTTGTTTCAAATTTTTAATTTTAAATTCTTCTGCACTTACTTATTTTATTAATAAGATTACTAAAAATTTTTAAAGTTGAATTCTCACCACTTCCCGTAAATAAATATTTTTAAATTAAATTAAAAATCTTTAATCCATCGATGTAATTTCAAAAGAGCTTTACAACAAATCATCCTGAGTTATCTAATCACTTTACACATTAAAATTAATTGAATATATTCTAATTTTTTATAGTTCATTACTTATGTAAAAAATATATATATTTCTCTACTTGAAAATCATTAAAAATATTTTTACATCTTTAAGTTACTTATCAATTAAAAATCCTTTATATTGAATTATCCTAATTATTTAGTACATATTTTAAATTTATTATCCTTGTTTTTTTAAATTTCTAATTTTAAAAATTGAAATTTTAAATTCTGCTAATATATAATTAGTGTTAATAGAAATATTTATTTTATATAGTTTATACAGTACAATTTAAAAATTTTCATATGAGCTTATATAAAATAAAATTAATAATGAATTTTTTATTTTTATATTTAAGATTAATTTTTTTTATAAAGTTTAAAAATAATTTTTTTGTTTATTTAATTATTAAATTTAAATAAAATTAGAAATTTTCTAAAAGGAATTAATAAATATTCTATAACAAATTAGAATAAAAAAATAAGAGTTGAATTTTCTATGATATTTTTGCATTTAATGAGTCCAACGAACTCATAATTTTAATGATTCTCGCTTTTTAGACTTAATCAATCATCAGATTGGCAATATCTAATCTGATAAATATTTATAATTATAGAGACAGTATTTTAGTGAACCATTTGTCATTTTCTTTAACTTGTTTGATTGATTAATTTTTTATATAAAAAACACTTTACTTAACAAATTATTATTTGCAGTCATTCATGATTTAGAATAAATTTAAAAGAAGATTTAAAGATAAGCGAAAAATAAATTAATATATTAGTAAAAATTTAATAAGAAATTCTATCCTAAGCATTAATTAGTAAGATTATAGAAACCAAAATTTAAGAAAGCCAATAGGGAGATAGAATATCAAAATATATAGGTTAAATCATAAAAAGAGAGAAAAATGAGCTATTCATATTTGTTTAAATATATTATTATAGGAGATTCTAGTATAAATATCATTTTTTATCAAAAATTTGAGTTAACCAAATATTCTTTCATTATTTAATTCAGGTGTTGGAAAGTCTGCCATTTTGCTTCAATTTATGGAGGGTAAATTTAAGGCTGAGCATGATACAACTATAGGAGTTGAGTTTGGTTCTAAAATTATATAAGTTAAAGGGAAAAATGTCAAATTGTAAGTTTGGGATACTGTAAAACGATATTTTTATAAAAAATATTCAATATCGCTCATAAAGAATTATTTTTTTATTTGATAAATAAAGGCTGGATAAGAGTCATTTAAGTCAATAACTAGATCATATTATAGAGGTTCAATTTGTGCTTTCCTCGTTTATGATGTAACAAATCGTGAAAGCTTCACAAATATTTAAAAGTGGTTAGAAGAGACTCAAAATTATGCAAATGATAAAATTACTCTAGTGTTAGTTGGTAACAAGATTGATCTTGCAAATAAAAGGCAAGTTTCTTATGACGAAGGACACGAATTTGCACAAAAATAAGAAATTCAATTTGTTGAAACTTCAGCTAAAATGGGATAAAATATTGATCAGGTAATGATTTAGCCCTTAAAAAATAATTTTAGAATATAAATAGTTCCTAAGAAAATTTTTTCATTCATTCAACACAAGATTTTTTTACGTTATTGAACTCATTAGGATTACTTTATTTATATCAATATCCAAAGAACTTAGAATAAATAAAATGATTGATTGATATATTTAATCGATATAAAGCCATTTATATTCTTAGCCGTCTAAAATTCAAAGGATGAATGCAAGAAAAATAAAAATTAAAAAATAACTACTTGAAAATTTAAAATCAAATAAATTTTTTCTACTTTTTCACATATTTTAATTTGAGTGTACTTTATCTGTTAAAATCTAATTCTATTAATTTTAAAATCTATTCCTTTTAATACAAAAATATATTTATTTTAACTATAAAATTTTGAATTAAAACAGACAATAGAGTACTTCAAATTTTCTAAAATTATTTTTTAATAAATAAATAAATTTACTTTTTATCTCAAAGTCAATCTTTTTAACTAATAATTCTAAACCAACTTATTAGATGGTAAATTAGAAGTTGTAGTGATTAATTTAAAGCCTAAAAATGAATATTGATATCATTAATCTTTTATTAATTTATAGGTTTTCAGAAAAAGTACAGAAGATATCTTGTAAAAAATAGAAAATAGATAGGTAGATGCTACAAATGAAGTAATATTTAGATCTCATAAATTAATTTACTTATAAGTTTTATTTTAAAATATTTATAGTCTCTTGGAATAAAGATAGGACCATAATTAACAGAAAAAATGGTTTCAGATACAAAAAAAACTAAAAAAGAATGTTGCTGATATAAATAAAATCAATTAATATTATTTTATTAACATATGTATATATCATTTAATATTGTAACAAATAATTGTTAATTAATTTTTCTGCTAATCAATCAATCTATTTACTTTTTGATTGCTTTTTTGCTTATTGGATTTTCTTAAATAATACTTTAATCTAAAGCAAAACAAATTTATAGAAAATCTCAATCAAAATTTTCATCTTAAAACGCTTTTTCTTTTTTTACAACATTTAATACTGTTTTTAGCTTTGTTATTTTTTAAGAATAAAAACGTTTTTAAAGACAAACATGAATTCAATTAATCCATTTTAGAAATATCTCACCAAATTAAAAGTAATTTTTTTTTAAAACTTTTATTTGATTATTTGATTATTTTTAAAAAATTCATTTCTACTACTGCAAATAATTAATTATAAGCTATTATTGCTTTTGGCTATTACTATATTTTTATATAATAAGCTATTTTTAGGTTTTTAAATGAATAATATTTGCAGAAGAAATATAATTGATAAATTAATATTTGTAGACTATTTGTGGAAAATAAATGTTTTAATTGTTGATAAAGATATTGAATTAACTAACATACGAGCATAATAATTATATATATATATAATGAAAAATAAATAGATAGATAGATTCTCTAAAAAATTATGTTTGGAATGGAATAGCTTGTTTGTTTATTATACTAAAAATTTAATGTATGTATGAATGAATGAATGTAATTATGAATTATTTAAATTAATTAGTTTTTTTATTAAGTTGATAAAGCTTTCTATTATATTTTGTTTAATTGTCCATTGATTTTTTTATTGGTTTATAATTTTTATCCAAATATTCATTTAACAATTGCTATGATAATGTAGAGAGCAATGCCTACCACGATTAAGAAGAAAATAATATTGAGCTTATAATTACGCCATTTCATAATTGATTCCAAGTCTTTTGCTTAACTTTAAAGCTGTTTTGATTAGAGCTACATTTTTTCACTTTTTTATAATGCGGTGTCAGCGTGATCCATATTGTTAATAGCTATGTTAATATTTTCTTTCATGGCTGACTAAGTAGCATCTATTTTACCCTAGATTTATTTCAACTTATCAACTCCGTCTGAATTGTAATGAATTAAAAGATTTTCAGCAGTGTTCTTGCCATGCATTTTTAAAACTGTATCTACCTCTTCACCATAATTATCGCTTATCTTTAAAAAGTGCTTTTTCAACTCCTAGATCATTTCGTAAGCATATCTCTCAGGGTAATCGAGAGTGCAAATAGTCAAATAAATAATATCTTAACTGTCGCACATGCAAAACCATTGGTATTGACCTCCTGTATTTTCTAAAGTAATTTTTTATCTCTCATTTGCAACAAGCCTTATTTCCTTTAGCTTTTTAATTACATACTCGCTCTATTCAATAATGCTCTTTTCTTAAGATCTTTCGTTAGATGCAATGTGTAAAATCTTGCCTGAATCAAAACGTCCATATATAAAGGCCTTTATTTTTCCCATTTCTACTCAATATATTTTATTATCTTATTTATTTATTTTATTTTGTGATATTTATTAATATTTTTTCTGTTAAAGCAATAAATCGCTTGCTACTCTTCTTTTACTATGATTTTATAATTTAAATGTTTTTTCAATAAATAATTCATATAAATAATAATGTATGCACAACTATTTATATTATCAAGTAATAAAACAAACAAATAAACATATTAGATACAGTACCAAATAACAAATAAAAATTTCATTTAATAAATTAACAAATAAATAAATTAATTGGTTTGTTTTTGATTAATCGCTAATTGATTTGCATGCATAATTAATAGAGTTACTTGCTGTGCTTATTATTATCTCTATATAGAATCTTGAAAATAGATAAACAAATATTTATTATCTAACAAATTATTATTACCTAAGATTTAAATTTTTGAAATAAATAAGTCTTCTATTTTCAAGGCAAACACAATAAGAATTAAGATTAACTTAAAAGTTAAATGGCTGGTTAATAAAGTTAATTTAATAAAAAAAGATACAAAAAGATGAAAATTAGAGAATATGAAATCCATATTTAATTTCCTTTTGAATTTAAAGTAATTGAGCTATTTATTTATGATAAGCCTTTATTTAAAATACCATAAATAGAAAGTTTGTCTATAAGATATTTTTTTGATAATCACAACTGATTAAGTAATTATTAATGTAAAAAGAGAAATAGTTAGATCAAAAAAATTAACTAAATATATTTTATTAAAACTCAGTGTCATATAATCAAAAAATATAATTCTCCTTCCTTAATTTAAATAATTTATTTATTGATTGATATTCTAATTAAAATTAGGATATTAATTTTAAAAATATTACTGATATTTCTAAAAATCGAAATTAATCATTAAAAATGTAAATTATTTCATATTTTAATTTTTTGATGCATATATTAATAAGTTGATCAAGTATTTATTATTTTGCATATATTTATTAGTTATTTTTTAATTAGATAAACTTATTAATAATACATAAATAGACTAGCAGTTTGCAAAAAATTTAAAAACAAGATTTAAAAATAATATATTATTAACTAAAATAATTTTTATTTAAATGCTAAGCTTGAAAATGATGAAATAAATAAATAAATAAAATATTTATTTTTATAATTTAAGAAACACTTTTAGCAGCTTAATCTTAAAATAATTGGACTAAAATTAATTTTTGAATGATATGTATATTTGAAATAAAAATGGATAAAACGATCTTGCAATGCTTATTGATATTTAATAAGACTTTAAATATAACAAAAATATTTTTCTTAAAATTTGTTTATATTTTATCAAGGATAATATTTAATATGTAAATCAGCTAATAGTAATACATTTATGAATAATCAAATCATTTATTTGTTTACTTAATTAATTAATTTGATTGAAATTTTAATCAACTAAATAAAATACACATAAAAATTATTTTTATTTTGTTAATCGGAAAGATTTGCTTTTTTAGCTAAAATATATTGAAGCCAACATGAAAATTTTAAAAATTTATAAAGTTTTTCATATTAATTTTACACTTATTTCATCAACAGTGCTTTTTTTCCAATAAATTCTAATTTAATTTATTTGAAAAAAATTATTATTTTATTTTAAATTTAAATAATTAAAAAAGAAATTATTTATCTTAATATCTAAAAGATTTTGACCACTTGAAATGTAAATTTTCCTTTTAATAATTTAATGCTATTGTTTCTAATTATTGCTACTAAAAAAAATACCTATGAAATAAATATTGTTATAAATATAGATTTTGAATTAAACTCTTCTTTATAACTAACTATATAAATAAATAAATTCACACTAACTCACTCTTTCATTTATACTCAAATAATTCTAAATATCTATTTTCAATATATGAGAAATTCTTTGTTTTTAGAGCTCTTTGGGCTTCAAGCTCGTCTTCGAATGTAACGAGAGCTGATCCACTAAATTTGCCAGTATGAGAGCAAAGAAGATGTATTTCTCTTTCATTGATGTCAAATCCTTTGAAGAACTCTAAAATCTTTTATTTAGTTACACTGAAAGGCATTCCCATAACCATGAGAGTTGATTTTCTTTTCTCTTGTGGAATATTTGGCATGTTATCTTTACTATAAACAGGAGCAGAATTAACAAAGTTATGTGCCATATAATTTTCGAATTCCTTAACTGTGGCTAAGAAAACTTCTATAAATCTGTTGTGAATTTTTTCCATATGAAAATTAAGAGCTTTATGAGCATCATCCTTGTTTTAAAATATTACAAAACACTCTCCTCCAGGTCTGCCACCAAGAATAGCTCTCTTAATACCTAATCAAATCAAACATAATATTTTAACAAAAAAAAGAAAAAATGAGTAAAGTATATTTATTTACCTCCTTGTAAAATAGTTAATCCTTTAAAGAATTTTTTAATATCTTCTTCAGTACAAGAGTAGGGTAAGCCTCTAATTCTTACTACTCCTGCTCCTTCAGTGACTATTTTATTGAGATCAAATTGAGTTTCATTTGGTAGCTCATCATCTTGATTTCTCTTTTCTGGGAATTAAGAAATTTTAGCTCTATTAAATTCATTTTCTGTAGTTTCGAAAATCTCAACAAATCTTCCTTCAACCTTATTTAAATTGTAGCACAAAGCTTCTTGTTTATCTAGCTAGCTGTAAACTCTTACATATGCTTCTCCAGAGAATTTACCTTCGCTATCATAAAGAAAAGCAATATCCTCTTTATAAATCCTAATATTTTTAAGTAATTCGTAGATTTCAGGTTCTCTTGCAGAGTAAGGAAGGCCTCTTATGCGAATAAAATGTTATTGTGAAAGGTTTTTAAATGGTTCAGGGCTTCTGCCTCTGACATAATTATTTTTTGACTTCTTTTCTCTTGATTGAATATATCTAGTCTTAGAGTCCTAATTGTCTAACACAACTTGATAAGAGTTATTGATCAATTTCTATTTATAATAAATAAAAAATATTAGCAATTATTGATGAAATAAATTTCTGCTCTTCTTGATATTATTTGAATTTGAAAATTGATCATTTTCTAATCATAAACAAGAAGGGCAATTATGTTGTTTTCAAGTCAAGTCAAGAATATAATTTTAATAAATTTAAAATGTTGTTTTAAAAATTTAAATTACAGGATGATTGAAGACATATCCGCTTCTTACAAGCATATTTACTAATCTTACTATGTTGCTCATTTCAAATTACCCTATAGATTAGTCTAAAAGTGGTTTTTCTTGGAGATTAGTGTATGTTAACATTTCATGTAGTGTTTTGATAGATATGGCATGAGAGAAATTCTTTTTGAATTCATTTCTTATGTCAAAATAAGTGAAAAAGTGGGAAGCAAGTTTCATTTGATTAAATTAAGCTTCTCTGGGTAAGATTCTAGTCATGAGAGCATCTCCGTAAGTGACTATGCAGAAACTCTTGTTTTAGCGTGTGAAATTAGTATATGTGTAATCATTAAACTCCTAAATAAGCTTGCTAAATAGCAATGCACCATCGAACTTGCTAAGAGTGATTTTATTTTTGGTAAGAGTCTCATTATTAACTAAGAAATCTTCTCCCTTGATGAATCTTTAGAACTATTCAGTGACGATTTACTTTTTAGTATCGTAAATGCACCAATTAAACTCTATCATCCTTCCAAGCTACTCAGTAGAATCATTATCTTCTTGGAGTTAATTTTAAAGATTGTTGCTTGTGCTCTATTTCTATTCCTCCTAATTGTTTCTCTCCAATTCTTTTGTTTAACCTGATGTTAATACTATTAAATAATCAAAACCTTGATTCATTTTATTTATTTAAAACTAATTATTATTCTTAAATTTCTAATTTCTAAATTTTTGTGAGAGATCTGCTTTTGGTATTGTCTAATTAATTAAACTAATTTTGATGTTTTTTATAATTTCAAAATTTAATTTTTTTTCAAAATTTTGCGGATACATGATTAAGTTTAATTATCTTCTCATCTTTTAATATAAAAAAGATATGTATATAAACATCAAGTTGCTTTATTAATTAAGAATAGCTTTAGCATTTTTTATAAAGAATTTAACTAATTGCTAATGATTCTAAGCTTTAATAATGCAGATTGTTCCCTCCATCTTATATTTTGATATTTCTGCATATAAATATATGCATCAATATTATATATTAAGTATATTGTTAAATATAAAATAAATAGTATTTGCTTGCTTTATAAAAATATTATTACAAATTATTCTGAGCTTAATAAAGTAAACACTCCATTTTATTTTATGATAATTTGATGTATAAAATATACATTAAGTTGTCTTAAAATTAAATAAAAATAAAAAGAATAAATGGTATAAATATTTATTGCAAAGAATTTAATTGCTAATTCTTTTATTCAAGTTAAAAAATGCAAACTCTCGTTCAAAGAATAGATAGAATTTGTGTGTTTTTCATATTGATTATTTTAAATAATTAGCTTAGTAATTTAAAAATAAATTAGAAAAAAGATAGTTAATAAATAAATATATTTGCATATGTAATATATTTAATTTAATAAGTATTTGGAAATATCTTATAATTTTTCAATATAAAAATACATTTTTTATAAGAATTTAATTAATTGCTAAGGATTCTAAATTTTAATAATGCAAATTAATTGTCCCCTCCATCTTATATTTTGATATTTCTACACAAAAATATATGCATCAATATAATATATAAGGTGTATTGTTAAATATAAAATAAATAGCATTTGCTTACTTTTTAAAAATATTATTGCAAATTATTCTGAGCTTTAATAAAATAAACATAATTTGATGTATAAAATATACATTAAGCTTTCTTAAAATTAAATAAATAGTATTAATATTTTTTGCAAAGAATTTAATTGCTAATTATTTTATTCTAGTTATAAAATTCAAAATCTAGTGTGTTTTTTCATATTGATTTTTTTAAATAATTAGTTTACTAATTTAAAAATAAATTATTGAAAAGATAGTTAATAAATAAATAGTTTAAACATATTTGCATATGTAATATATTTAATAAAATAAGTATTTAGAATTATCTTATAAGTATAAAAAAGATATTTGTTTACAAATGATAAATTAATTTAACTGATAATTCAATAAAAATAAAAAAGATAAACAGCATTAGCATTTTTTAATCAAGAATTTAATTTCAAATTATTATTTTTAATTAAGAATGCAAATCTCTTCAAACCAATTTATTATTAGAAGAAGTGTTTGTGTTTTTGCATATTGATTATTTGAAATAATAAATCAATTTAATCATAAAAATGAATTAAATATTTTCAATAATAAATAAATAAATCAATGAGACGTAGTTTGTTTGCAATTAATTTTGTTTTCTTTAAAAATAAATTTAATGATTCTTATTTTAATTAAAAATTTATTTAATTGTTTTATTAATCAAGCTTAATAAGTTGCAATAAAATTTTGCAAATAATTATATAAATAATTTTTCTCAACCAAAATAATTTTTCTGTAAAAAACTAATTGATAAATAGAAATTCTATTATTATGAAGTAAAAAAGCATAAAGATGATTTTGCTTATTTATTTCAAGCATATTTAATAGCAAATTTGTAGAGAATTATTTAATGATTTGTTATAATTTATTAAGTAAAGTAGATTGATTGGATATACATCAAATAATATTTATTTTTTATAAATCAATTTATTAATAACATTTTATTAAATTAATTTAATAATATGAATATCTCATTAAACGAATTCATCACCAAGACTCATTCTTGAAATTCTAGCATTTTTGTTTTTTGGATCATAGTCTTTAGCTTAACCGAAAAGGATAAGAATCCAAGCTAACAAGCCAGATGCACAAGGAATAACAACTGTAACAAGACGGATAAAAGTAGGATTGTTATTCTTATAATAACTACTTTCAGTAATAGCAAATAAAACAATACCTGTCATAAGCTTATCTAGGAAACTGTAAGCACCAAACACAAAAGCACCTCCAGCACCTCTAAGACCAATGACTTCACTAATTAAATTAATAGCAGTATTTAATTGAAGGGCTTGTGCTGCACCAACAACTAAGGCTAAAGGATAAATTAAGTTCTTTAAGAAAGAATTATCAGCTTGCAAGAAGCCCATAGGAATCAAAGAAGCAAGCATCAATACAACTCCTAAAGTGTAAGTTTTCTTTCTTCCAATTTTTTGATATAGCAAATTAAGAATAGAAGAAGCACCGACTGAAGAAATGTACAACAAAAGAGGAACCAAGGCCAAAGAAAATGTCATTTTAACTTCATCATCTTCTTATACCTCTCCATTAATTTAAATAACATAATACAAATAAAAGTTCATCATTGTAGTTACAACATTGCAGAACAAACGAGCTAACATAAAGACTAATCCGTATTAATAGAATTGCTTTTCCTTGAACCATTGCCTTTAATTTATAAGAAATTAATTAATAATCTGATAATAAATTATGCTTATTAAATTAATAAGTCTGAAAATTTCTTAGCTCATTATATTAATTTCATTAAAATGAATTTTAATTTAATCAAAAGAAAGGAAAAAATGAATAATTGATTATGTAATGTTTAAATTTAATCTAAGTTAAATTTTATTTATTTAACTACATCCTTTTCTAAAGAGTGTAATGAAAATAACTGATTATTTCTGCATTAAAGAAGATTTTTGTTACTTTTTTAAAAAAGATCTAAGCAGCATTCTCAATAAATTAATATTAAAAATAACCTAAAAAAAGTAGGAATCTTTCAATTTATTTTTAGATCAAAATTTTTAATAAAATTAATCACATAAAAACCTATTTTTTTTGGAGAAATTTGAATCTTATTATCTTTATCAAAGTGATAGTATTTAAAAACTATTAACAAATTTTTTTTAGAATCAAACAAAATGAATTTATTTGTTTTCTATTTATTTTCAATTTAATTTCTCACAGTGAAAGACTTAACTATGAAATAAAACTAATTATTTAATTATAATGATGATGATAATGATGATTTTAAAAATTATTTTAGTTTTATTAATTTATTTCCATTATAAATCTAGCAATTTATTTATTTATTTATTTTTAATATGAGAATTAATTTCAGTTTTTAAATTGATGAATTTTTCTAAACTAATTAATTAATTATATCAAAAAAGAGAAATTTAAAAAATAAAATTTATATTTTTACTTCCAATTAACGATGCTTTCAGACAAAGAACCTACTCTGCTTCCTCTGAGAACAGATGCTTTAACTTTTACTTGGCCATTATTTTATTAATTTTCATCTTCTTCGTCGTCTTCAAATTTATTATATCCTTCTTATTGATCTTTGTTAAAGATAACATCATCTATTTTATTACCATACTTATCGAAAACTTCTGCCTCTTCTACTTAACTTGTATCAATTTAATCATTTTCTTCTTCACTTTTCATTTTATTTTCTTAGCTTCCTTTAATTTAATTTTCTATGACTTCTTTTGTCTTTGAATTCAATACGACACTTTATTCGCTTTCATGATGAGATGAAGCTTAATTGATTTTTTCTTACTTGGTTTTACCACCATCTTCTAAAAGTAGAGACTACCTCTTATCTCCTTCTCTAAGCTTCAAAACATGTTTAATATTTTTAACAGCTTCATCACAGGCCTTGGTAAGAGGGACTTCTTTTACTGTTAATAAAAAGATAACTGTGCAAACAGAGCCAATAACTGCAACGATAAGGCCTAAAGCTTAAAATTGCTATTCACTAGTGTCAATTATTTAGAACAAAAGTAAAGCAATTAAGAGTAAAAGCATTTATGCAATAAAAGTAAAAGTATTTCTGCGAGCATTGAGAGTATCTCTATTAACTCTAGAACAAGTCATTGAAGGAACAAGTGAAATATGAGCAATATAACCAAAAGCCCATGTAAAATTAAATATAGAGGGGAAGAATATATAGAAAAAATTTCTAAAGTTATCATTATCCATAGGCAAAAAGGTGTTTAAAATTGGGTAGCACCACATAGGAACGAATGTGAGCAGCACAAAAATATATGATAAAATATACCATGGAATACGCTTTCCAATACGTGTATTGTATTTATCTGACAGAATACCAGCAGAAGGAGTACCTAATGCATCGAAGATCTGTCCAAATAACATTGAGTATGAACTATTTTCAAATTTCAATACTTTTGAAAAGTAAAAGAGCAGGAAGCTATTTATATATAAAAACAGTTGAAATGAATGAATAAAATTCAACAATCAATGGCTTTTTTATTTTTTTTATATTTTTGAATATTCTTTTAGCTCTTTAAAAATAAATAATCATTTTGCTTTCATCTTTTTTAAATTTAAAAATAATTAATTATTACTTGAACCAAGCTGATGCGCAAAGATCGTTAAAAACATGACCTACAGAGTAACCCCAATAAACCTTTGGAGTTAATCCATCGAAAATCATTCTTTGGCTCTTTTATGGTTATTCATTTTCGTTTTAAGGATCAATAAGTGATTCTTCAATTTTGTTACCTTATCCCATTTTTTATTACTTTTGTATCTAAAAAATTTACTTGCGTATCTTTATTATAAAATTTAATTAATTATAAATAAAGGAACCTTCAAAAGAAATATAAATATGCAAACATACAAACACTATTAATAATGATTAAATGAGTAGAATTTATGGGAATTAAGCTGATTTATATCAATCTTGCTTATATTTTTTTAATGATAAAAAAAAGTAATTAATTTATATATTATTAAGTGATCGAATATTAACAGATAATAACTTTATTACGTATTTAATTCTTTTATTACTCTGAAACATATCATATGGTAATACAATAACAGCTTTATAGATTCAAATTTAGAAGACTTAATCCATTTTACTCTATCATTGAATATTTTTATAAATATAATAATTTGTTTACAGTTATTTACTTTATCTCCCTCATTAAAATAACTACAAAACTATTTATTTAGATATTTTTACTTAAGATATTAAATAGAAATTAAATTTATATAATTTAAGTAAGTAAATTTGAAAATTTAAGAAGTAACTTAGAATTTTCTTGCATAAATAACAAGGTTGAATTTCACCATACATTTATTTAATTGTTGTATAGAATTGTAAAATAAAATGAACACTTATTTTATAAAAAATTAAATTTGAGTAAATTATTTCAATTTAACATATCTTACGAAAGTTAAGTAAAATCAAAAAATTTACAGTTTATATAATTCTTTTACTATGAATATACAAAAAAAAGTAAGAAATGCTTTCTCTTACTCATTGTTTTGAGTATTGAAATTAAATATTTGCATTTAATATGTAATTTAAATAAGTTTAGCTTCAAAATTTTAACAAAATATTTTCCCTATTAAAATTCAAAACAAAGTTAAAAATAACATTCTTTTATTTTTTCTTTAGAAAGTATTTATCCTTTAATACTTAGATTTTTAGTTTATTACTGATATTAGAGGAAGTATTAATATTTAGTTAGTCAGTCAGTCAATCAGTCTGTTTTCAAAGATTAAATGATTCTAAATTTTTTTATTTCTAATAATTTTTTATCAAAAAATATTATGATTCAAAATATGAATTATATACTCAATTTGTTACATCATAAGTTTTTCTGGAATTATTCTAAATAAAAACAGTACTTGCGATATATATAATTTCTAAGATTTAAAATTCATATTAGAATTTTCAAATGTGAATCAATATTAGCAAACAAAAGTTATTTTTACTAGAATTACATTTTATTTATTTATTTTTCTCCTTATTCTTAAATAAAATTCATTTATGCTTTCAATCAAATATTTATAAATAGATTCAAATAATTGTGTTTATTTATCAAATTTAAAAATAAATAGATTAAAAATAGTTAATTATTTTAACTTGATAACATTATTTTCTTGTTATTTTTATATTATATCAATTTTAATTACTTATATTCTTAGAATACATTTATGTTTAATAAATTATCTACTTAAATCAAAAACTAACAATATAATCCATTATTTTAAATATATATTCATCATATCTATCTTATTTATCTCTTTACTAAATAATTATGAATTTAATTAATTCATTTTTTTATTAAAATATAGAGTAATATATATTGTATGTTAAAATTTGTTTTATATATTTAAAAATGTTTCAATAAAATGCAATATTAAAGTATTAATATAAATAAATATACATATCATTAATTTTATATTTATACTTAATTTTGTTATATATATCTAAGGTAAAAGTATTAGAGGTGTTTGTTTGTTTAAACCTTTTAATCTTAAAAAATATCTCACTAGCAGCTTAAAAAGTTATTTTTGATTTTTGAAACTCATATTCATTATAAATTAAATAATATTTTAAAATGAACCATATCACTACATAAAAACTATAATAATAATTATTAATTGGTAAAAAATAAAATTAAATATTAATATAATAATAGCCAAATATTTGATTGTAGTGATAATAACATATATTAAATAAAATAAATAAGTTAAATACAAATTTTATTAATTTGGTTGAAGATAAATTTATATTTTAAAATAATTTTCAATATTTTTTGCAAATTGTAAATTAAAAGCTTAAAATGTAATTTATCATAAAAAAATAATCCTTTTAATAGAAATTAATAGAATATTTCTTATTTTTAATATAATTAAATTTATTTAAAACTAAGCTTACTATTGTTATAATTTTTATTCAATTTTTAGAACAAACAATTCTAGTTAAGCAAAATAAATAAATTTGATTCAGCTTATTATGAATATTAAAAATAATTTATACTCTGACTATTTTGGTTCTTATTCTCTTAGTATATTAAAATCACATACTAGTTAATTACTTTTACTCTTTAAATAAAATTTTAAATCTTTCTTTAAAAAACAAAAACAAAAATTTTAATTGTAAAATATTAAAATCAGTTAAATTTGCACTTATTTTTTCATAATTTTTTAATTGAAAAATCAATAATTATATTTTTTTAGCTTGTTTGTTTGTTTGTTTGTTTGTTTGTTTGTTTTTGCTTATGTGGTTTATAAAATTTTTATTGTATTCAAAAAAGCTGCTTTAATGTTTTTACGATTATTAAAATTTCATTTTCATCCTAATCATTGAATTATTAGTAAATAATTGAAGTGGCAAAATCTGTAGACTAGGTGATGATGGTAGAGAAATAAGATAATTACTTAATTTTTATTGGGATAAAAACTAATTTAGAAAGTTGTGGATTTAATGTATTCTGTGATTACTAAAAAAATACTTAATTTATAATGTATATTATTAATTATTGGTTATGGATTTAATTATTAAATTTATAATTGAAAATTGCCTTGCCTCTTTTTTAATTTATTGTTACATCTTCTAAAATATATCTTCATACCTTAATTAATAAAATCTGTCATAAAATTAATAATTTATCTCAAAAGGGCTTTTAAATATAAGTATTATTTACTTGTTATTTCTGAGAGTAAATCAATGAAATCAGGTTCTGAAGAGGAAAAAAAGCCTAATGGCTAAGGAATTTAAAAGATTTTAATTTAGGATATATTTATAGATGGTTCCAATACTAGTTTAAGCAAAGGAAGCAAGCCAAAGACTTATTTAGACAAGTTTAAAGATCAATTCTAAGAAACGTTTGATTAATTTAGTAGCAGTAAATTTAGGAGAGGTAGTCATTTAGTTAGCAGCAATTTAAATTATGGTCTTTAGCATAATAACGAAAAAACTTAGACTTTCAACAAATGCGATTCAATTATTTATCCTAGCTTTACTAGGGGAAGGAGCTAGTCTTTTAACTAAAAAAAGGAGTAGTTTGTAGATAATAAATATATTTTAGATTTATAAAAACAAGAGGATTAAGAAATACTCAAAAATACCTTGTAACTCAAAAATTAAATGTCTGAGTTCCAGATTGATATGCTCAAGAGGACGTTTGCAAATCTGAAAATATTTATAGATCTAGAAAAGTAGATGAAGAAAGATGAATATATAAAAATGATTCAAAATTTTGGGTTTTTGAAGCTCCAAAAGGGATCAGTAGTTTTTGAGTTTGGAGATTTAGGAGAGAAGTATTTCATTATATTGAAGGGTAGTGTTTACGTGCTGTTAAAAACGAATTATGGTGAAACAGTAAGAAAAATGAAGCCCATAGATGACGAATAAAATATCCTAGAAAAAAGTAGAAAGGTGGAATCTGAGAATAAATCTGGTAATCTTAGTCCATTCGGCAGAAAAAACACAATTGAATAAATTCAATCAGGAGATTAGAAATTACATGCTGAACTTTTTACAAAGAGGAGTAAGTCCACGATGGCTGACTTCGAAATAGATTCAGAGCCAGATTTAGAGTGTAAAGGAATTACTTTGAAATAAGAAATTAAATAAAAATACCCTCATTTCAGTATTGTTGCTAGTCATTACGAAGGAGAAGGATTTGGGGAGTACTCGCTTATAAAAAATATAAGAAGAACGGCTACAATAATAACATCGTAAGATACAGTTTTTGCAACAGTGGATAAAAATGAGTACAACGAAATTATGAAAGATCATATAGAAACTATTTTTTAAAAGAAAATTTAATTTTTGAGGTCATTTAAAATATTCGAATCCTAAGAAAAGAAATTATCGAATTTAGTTATGTGCTTTCAGAGTATTTTTTACCAGCGTGGAGATATAATTTATAAAGAATAAGATGATTCAAATAGTATGTATTTCATTTAAAGTGGAGAAGTTGAAATATCGATGTATGAATCAAACCTAAAAACCTAAAAATAAGCTGAAAATGAAGAGGAGGAGCTTGATGATTAAACAATTCAGATGAACAGATTATTTTTAGTTTCTTCCCAAAAGCTAAAGAGAATTAAAAAAAGAGTTACTCTCGCTATACTTAACGATAAGAGTTATTTTGGTGAGGAAGAAATTGTATAAAAGTAAAAGAAAAGAAAAACTTAAGCAAAAGTAATTTCTGCTGAGTTTTCAGGATTAAAAATCAGTCTAAAAAACTTTTTATTACTTTGCAGATTCACTGACGTAATGAAAAAATTACGCTTAAACTATAGAATGAAACAGGAGTGGAGAGATTCTTATCATGTAAACTGTGTAGAGACTATACAAAAACTTAATTCCAGCAATTTCTCTTCAATCTCACCTCCTAGATAAGAGGAAGCTCATTTCTCATAAGTAAAATTAGAAAGTCCACAAAAAACTACTAACAATGTAAGCTTTAGCTTTAATTCAAATAGTAAAAATTAATTCAAGACTCAATAATCTCCAATACTTAAAGGGAATAAATTTGGAGTTTCGTAAGAACTTATCCTTTAATAAAAAAAGTAATCAGGGTAAAATTAAAATAATTAGCATGATAATTAATAACAACATGATTAAAACTCAAGTTTTCTCCTTAAAAAAATTAATAAAAACACAATTCATCTAACAGATGAATTTAATAAAAGTTAGGTAAATATCAATTCGATTCCTAAAGACAATATAAATTCAAATGATAATGGTAACTTAATCAATCTTTAAAGCTTTCTAGGAAATTAAGAATAAATATCAATTTTTGGGCATCTATCATCAGTTAGCAATAAATTTAATTTCTCACAGTCACTTTCTCCAGATTAAAAAGCGAAAAATTAGGTGACTTCTGATTAAAAATAAGAAAGTTTTTTGTAATCCGATCTCAATAAATCCACCTAATTTTAGTCAACATGCTTTAGTCCTATCTAAAGAAGTCATATAAACTCTCTTGTTTCTAATAATGCAAAAAAAAGTAGTAATTTTAAGATAAAACAACCACTTTCTCTTCTTTCTTCTTATGATACAAACTAAGTAAATTATTTTTTCTCTCACCATAAAAATTTATCACTTTTGAAAATTTAACTTTGGGGATTTTTTTCTTTCCCTATTTTTTAAGATGTTTTTTGAATAAATAAAAGTATTTTAAAGCTTAAATGATATTTAATTTGAATTTAAAGTTGTTTTTTAAATAATAAAATTATAAAATTATGAGTTTATATAATTAAATTAATTTTATATAAATTACATATTAAGTTATTTTAATTGTATAAATAGAAGAACTTTAAATTGAATTTGCAACAATTTGGACACAGTAGACCGATAACTCCTCATCAATAAGAAGATAGAGGTGAGAACTAAATATCTTTTAATAGCTAAGATAATCAAGAAACTACTAAATTAAAAGATAGATTCTTAGATAAAAATTATTAAGCCAGCGAATTTGAAAAACTAAAAACTATGCCCTCTCGTGAATTGGTTTCTATTAGTAACGAAGATAAAATACCTTTTAGAAATGAAAATAATATGAAATATTTTAATTCCTTAAATTAGTCATTTTATAATAGCAGTAACATCATTTCTCCTTAAAAGAATTAAAAGTAGATCAGGGCTTATTCAACTGGGAAAAAGAATAATATTTCTATGAATTTAAGTGATTGTAATTAATAAAACCTCTAAAAAATATTTTAAACAAGTAACAGACTTTAAACATCTCCATCTAACAATACTGAATCAGAAGATATTTAGGAGGAGACGCGTGTTTAGTAAATGAATTAAGGCTTTTCTTATTACAAATATTTATAGTAAAATGAAGAAGGTCCTATAGGTAAGAAAGATAGAAAAAAGAAGGACCCAATTTCAAGTAGTGATAAGATAGATGAATAATTTCTTCTTTAGAAATATACATAAAAATTTGACAATACACAAGATATTTCAAGTCAATTATTTGGAGTATAATTATAGAATAACTCTCACTTAGTATATAATTACCAAAAGATACACCAAAAATTGATGGTTAATTCAAATCTCATTAAATCTAATGAAAAGGGCAGGAGAATGATGTAATATTACAACGACGTTTAGAAATGTCAGACAGGCACTTTTAAAAAATTTATTAGTCCATTCATTTTCTATAAAGAAAGAAATAAAGAAGTCTCAATATTATAAAATGATTATAAAAGGTTAGATGAAAGAAAATCATCTCTCAACAGGACAACCGACTCTGCATTTAAATAAAACAAGCTTAGGAACAAAAGCATGGATGCATCTTTAGAAGGAATCAAAAGCGATTAATTAAATATATCTTTAAATTAACAATATCCAGTGTAATAAAATAATGAAAAAACTGATTATAAAATGATCTTTTTAAGGAAAAAAGTAAAGAATTATGATAATAAAGAGTAAATTACTGATCAAAATAACCTAGTTTTGAGAATTTCGCCATTAAAAATTTAATCATAATAAAATAATTAAGTGAAATCATAATAAAATAATTAAGTGAAATCATAATAAACCAAATAAGTTTAATCCATCTAAAAACATTCTTAATAATGAATTATAAATAATTCGGCATTAAAAAAGCTTACTCAAAATTTAAAAAAAAAGAGTATTTTGTAAAAAAAATGTAAATATATTATCAAGAATATATAAAATAAGTAATTTAATAATATTGAAAATCAATTAAATTTATATTAATTCTATATTAAAATAATTTTATAACTTATTATTGGATATCAAATAAAGTAAATCGAGCTTTTTATCATGAAAAAAACTTTCTTTTTACTATGATAAAGCAACAATGTTTGATTTTATTCTGAAAGCTGTAATAAAATAATAAAAAATAGCTATTTAATTAATTTATAAAATATTTTCTAAGATAAAAATTAAAGAATTAAAATAACAGTTAATTTTTATTTAATTGAGCATTTTGCCAAAATAAAGTTAGTCATAGTAAAATATCAATTAATTTTAACTCTATAAAATTATATATATAAACAAATAAAATCAAAAAAACTTTATTTAGATGTATGTATGGTATAAAAAGCTTGTATTAGAAATTTATTTTTAATTATTAGGTAATAAGCAAAGATATAATTACAGTGATCTGTAAATTACAACCAAATTTACTTTAATTTTCTATTTATAGTAAAATAATTAAATGATCTTAATAAATTAAAAGTAAATAAATATAGCCTTAGAAATGAAGATTACCTCACTACTATGAATTACTTTTATCTTATTAATAGTAAAATAAAATTTTAAGTAAAGTATCTCAAAACAAGAAAGAATAAACCACATTTTTTTAAAATATGGAATTAATTTTTGTAAGTAAATTACTCACTTTGATTACATTCTCTTAAACTGTAAAATTAAACACCACAACTGGAAAAAATAAGATTGTTTACTCTACTATTCTTACTATGTAATCATTACCAAAATTAAAAATAAAAAGTAAGTTAAAGTCTTTAAAATATTAAAATAAGTAAAAGAATTAAATTAATTTAAATCAGCAAATTTTTAATAAAAACCTAATAAGCACCTCTTCTTACTTTACTTTTTGACAAAAGTAATACAAATTATAATTTTTCTTTATTATTTATATTTGCATATCCTTTATTTTCTTATTAAAATTTTTATTAGATTTAATTCTTTCTTTTGTGAATACATAATTCAAAAAAATATTAATCTATTAATTTAATTTATCATAAAAATTATTTCAGTAAATTTTTTTAAATACAGTTTTTTTTTTAGTTAATTAACAAAATTTAGTTAAAAATACACTTTTTTAAAAAAATTCACTTGTTATAATGAATTATTAAATATTTATTTCTCTCACAAATATTCACATTCGATTATTAACATTACCAATTACTTTTCAAAAATACTGAAGATAAATATTTTTTTTTTTTTTAAGTTAAAAAATAGATTACACAAGTACTAAACGCATTAAAATTTATTAATGCTGAGTAAATAAATTTATAAAATACTAATAACAAAATTTGAAAAGGCGCTCAATAAATATTTTTACTATGGAATATTAAATATTTATATTTTTACACTCAATTCATTTTTTAAAAAGCTTAAATGACGTAAAATGAGATTTATAGAAAAATAGAAGAAATGAAAGATTGAAATTAGATAATTTTATAGATAATTGAGAATAAAACACCTAGCTATTTATGTACTAAATAGATTAGAGTGTGTCATGATTTGGATTATCTGATTTGACAAGACGTAGGAAGTGTTAAATTTTTCTTTTAATTTTCTATAAAAGATAAATTTGTATATCTCTTTATAAACTTTAAATTTTCTCAAATGAGGCAATTTTTAACTAATTCTGAGAAGCAATTTTTGATTTTCTTTTAGATTTTTATTTAAAATAGTAAAATTTTAATTTAATTACTCAAAAATATCTTTAAATTCTGATGAAAAAGCATCATATATTTTCTATTTATGAGAAGTCTTATTTAATAAAAATTATTGAGTTAATTAAAATGTTGTAAAAACAGGAATATTTATGTCTAATTCCAATAACTATTTTGAATCAGAATGAAGTAGTTTTTTTATTTTTTTGATATCAGTATCTATCTATCTTATATCTCTCTATTAATAATCAATTTTGTATGATAAGGTATTTGAATTTCAGAAAATTTTGATAAGTAAAATATCCATAAATCTTTTTTTCCTTAGAAGTAATACGATGAAAATTTAACCTTTTCTAATTAATTAAAACCATCAAAAACCAAAAGAAATGCAATCAAAAATAGAATGAATCCTTCTTTCATAATTAATTATTACTCGCAAAAATTAATTAAATTAGCTTCTAAAAATCAAGCAATAAAAACCTAAAAAATTAAGATTAATGGCCATATCAAGCCCTTTCGCAAAGTTGCCCTTTAAAACAAAAGGCTATATTACCCTAGCAGGAGGTTTCTTAATTCACTTCATTTTAGGTACTTTCTACTTATGGGGTAATATGGGTTCATATATTGCCTCTTACCTTTAAAATGATGGCCAAGATTATACAAATAATGATGTAGGAGCTGTTTTTCCATTTATGATGCTTGCAATTAACATTGGTATTCTTTTCGGTGTCACAATTGCAAAAAAAATAGGATTTAGATTGCTCTGTCTCATATGTTCCTTTTTCATAGGCGTAGGTATTTTTACCAGTTCCTTCGCTCTCAAAAACTTTGCCCTTTTTACATTCCTTTATGGTTTCGTTTTTGGTGTCTTCAATGGTTTAGCTTACATGCTTCCCTTTAACTTATGTTATACGTAATTAATTATATTCACTATTGTATTCTTTAAATTACATTCATAAAATAAGATAACTTTTCAATTTTTAAAAGAACTCGAAAAAGCATAGGAATATTACTTTATATTAACACATTTTTAAGCCATACAAATAAATAAATTGGATAAATTAATTTTTAAGTGATTTTAAATTTTCAATAACTCCTATCAGCTTTAATATCACATCGAATTTTCAAAAAAAAAAAAACAATTGCTTATTCATAGGTTCAAATTTAGATTTACTTATATATTTATTTAGTTAGCTAATAAGTATGTTCCTTGATTCAATCATTCAAAAAAATAATTTAGAGCAAATATAATTTAATCTACATTCATAATGATTGAATTTATCTTTATATTTATTAGAATTAATAAAAGATCAATTAATTTTATCAAGCAATAAATAAATAAATAATTTATTATGAATATTTGACATTTCAAATAGAAAAATAAATAAAATTTTATTTAGAAAAAATAATTTATTTATTAATTTATATTATTTATAAAAATTAATTAGATACTTCCCTGAAAAAAAGGGTATAGTTAGTGGTGTAATTGCAGGCGCTTTTGGTTTAGGTGCAGCTGTGTGGATTTGGTTAGTTAATGGATTAATAAATCCTGATAATATAGATCCTATACATACTGATCCTAATGATAGCGATTCACCTAAATACTATCCTGCAAGTGTAACTGACAACCTTCCAAGGTCTATCAGAATATTTGCTATAGTTTATTTTTCTATTGCAACATTTGGTTCATTGTTGATTGAAGAGCCTACAAAAGAAGAATTATAGCAAATTGAAGAAGAGTAAAATGCATAATTTGAGAAACTTATTGATGGATATGAATAGCATAAAGAAGTTGAGTGCGAGAATCTTAAGGATGGACTTAAAACTCGTTTGATTTACATTACATTTGGCTTGGCAGCTATGTATGCCAGCTTCGGAGCTATGTTAGTTGCTAATTATAAAAACTATGGTCTATATTTAAATTTTTCTTCCAGCTTTTTAAGTATTGTATCAACAGTTGGAAGTATTTCTAATGGTTTATCAAGATTTTTCTGGGGTGCTGTGTATCAAAAAGTACCTTTCAAATGGATTGCTATCCTCAATCTTTCATTATAGTGTGTTATTAGTTTTACATTGAGATGGGCTTCATAGGTAGAGGCTGTTTACTTAATATACATTACTTTTATGTACTTCTTATATGGAGGTTGGTATGCTGTATTACCAGCCACTATTACCAAAATTTATGGCAAAAAAATTGGAAATATAATTTATGGTGTCACTTTTTCAGGTTTTACTATTGCAGGTTTCTTCTAGTTCTTTGTCGTAACTAAAGTTCAAACAGCTATTGGTTGGGGAAATATGTTCTGGGTCTTTACTGGTGTCTAACTACTTGCAATTATCTTTACATTTTTTGTAAAATTCGAAATTAATTGGAAGGAAAGATACGCTGCTCTTAGATAAAAAGACGAAGAATTCGAGTATTCTTCAAAATCTTTAGACACAAAATGAAAGCTTGGTTTTAATTATAAATTATAATAGATTTGGTATGATTATTTATTGTATTAAATTTACCTTTTACTAAATACTTATTTTTATGTTATTTTATATCTGTAATAAAGTTTCAAACTATTTTCAAATTTAATAAATAAATAAATAAAAAAGTTGCAAAATACCTTCATTTTTTCATTCAAAAAATCAAAATCTATTATTTCTTGTTATAGATTTAATTGTGGATAGTTAGAAATGGCTTTAATTTACTAAGCATATAAACGAAGCAATATATAAATTATTTATTACTATTGTTGAAAATAGCTTCGGTTTTTTTTACGTAAAAACCCAAACAACTTTTGAAAAAAATTTGAATAATGATTTGATTTTCGAAAGGAATTAATTGAAAATAATTTTTTTTATTTTTGCTAATTTTGCTATTTTAGGAATAAAATCAATTTATTTTATTCAAATAGTTATTTTTTTATGTTCAAATTTTTAAATAAAATAAAAATTTTATTCATTTTCATCCTTATTCATTATGAATAAACAGATAAAAATAAAAATTAGATGTGCTATTCACTGAGCAAATTTTAATAAAATTTATATTTAAATATAAAAAATATTTAAAAATTGAGCATTAATTAATGAGAATTTACAATATTACATATATCTAAAAAATATTGAACTATTCATTTAAATATAACTACCCTTTACAACTTTCTCATAATTCTAGGTGCTATTTATTTTTTGAATTAAAGATTGAATTTGAAAAAATACAATTATTTTATATTTTTGATGAGATCAATAAATTAATTTAATGCTTAAATTCTTCCATTATCTTAGTTGATATTCTCTTCTTCTTCATCATCAAAAATAAGATCAATATCCAAAATTTTAATAAATAATAGACCTTCTAAGCACTATCCTAGATAAGTTATTTAGCTAAAATTAATTTAATTAGAATATCCTATCTTAATTTAAAGCTAAGTTAGCTACTTGTTATACTTTATTCCTTCACATATTGATTAAAATCCTTAGTTAAGAATATTGTTGGATTCTAGAACAAGTTTTAATTTTTTCAAAATTCCATTCTCTTTTATACCTTTTGCTATGCCTTAAGCTCCTTTGGATTATATATTATTATCACATATTATGCACTCTAAAATTTCAAGCTTTTTTAAGCTTAAAAAACAATTTCCTAAAGCTAAAGCTCCTTGTATAAATATGTAATTATCATTTCCTATCTAAATATGAAGTTAAATTAAATTGTAAAGTTTGCTAATACTTTCTAACAAGGATTTAGAACCTTCTTATCCAATTTCATTATATTCAATAATTACTTACAATTTTGTTAAATTGAGTAAATTTTTTAATCCAAATCCCAAACCTATTGCTCCACTTGACTTAATATTGTTAAAGCTTCTAATTATCACTGATAAATCTACTAAATTACTTAAATGAGCTAATCCCTTTCCTAATTCGATTGCTCCTTCTTCTCTTATAAAGTTAAATTCTATTGATATATGAAGTCTTTTAAGCTTTTATAAATAAAGAAAACTTTTAGCTATAAATTCCATGCCTTCTGAATAAATTTGATTTCCACTCTTTAAATCTATACTTAAATCTTCTAAACTAGTAAAAAGCTGCAAACCATCTGATATTATTTTAGACCCGTGCACTCCTATTTTCTTTTGATAGCCAATCTTAAAGGACAAAGACTTTTGATAAGAAAAGCAATCTATCGAGTTCTTCAAATTACTTGAATTTTGTTCCTCACTTAAAAGTTAATAAAATTTTTAAAAGCTTTAAATCATTTTAATTCAAAATGTGTTTTAATTTTGAAAAACAATTCCTTCTGTTTTAAATATAAAATGTTTTAGATCAGTTTCTTTTTTAATATTAATTTTTTCTGTAAATTTATATTTATTCATTTATAAATAAATTATTTCAATTTTAAAACATCAAGCTTTATTGAAGTATTTTTAATACTCTTTAAAAATAATTTTATTCACAAATGGAATTTAAATTTAATATTGAAAATTATTATTTTAACTTTTTAAAAAAAAAAATTCAATTTTAACAATGAAAGTGAATCATAAATAATTAAATTCTAAAATTAAACCTTAACAACTAAAATTAATGTGATATGATGAGAATTATCTAGCAGAACCTACACAATAAATAGATACTTTGAATGTTTTTTATTGATCCTAAAAAATAAAAATTATCAACTGGATTAAAATTTTTCTTTTGTGTTAATGATTGATTGATGATCTGCAAGAAAGTATAAACTTAAAATCCTTAATTATGATAAAGTAAAAATATTGTTAATAATAAATATCTAATTGAAAAAAAATAAAATCACTTAAAATAAAATTAAGTATTTATTTTTAAATATTTTTATTAAAAATTATATTAAGAGATTTATTTTGAGAGATTTTTATTTAATTTTCATCATTTTATTAAATTTAAGAAGAGTTAATGAAATTTATTTATTGTTTTAAGAAAATATTTTAAAAATTTATTATCTTTAAAGATTTTAATTCTTTTAAATAATTTGGAAAAATATTTAGAATTTCAAGTTTTGAAAAATTGAAATAAAATATATTTGTATTTAATTATTTAAATTAGTTTAATAAAATAAAGAGTTATTTCAACAAAAAAAATTGCTAAATAAACAATAAAAAACAAAATTTTTTGATATCTTTGTGAATTATGTAAATATCAAAGCCATTTAATAGCATAAATATGTATTTATTTACAATTTATAATTCATAAATAATGAAAATATGAAATTTAAAATGAGTAAATTATTCAAAGTAACTATGTAAGATTTGTTTACTTATTCTTTTATAAGAATAATAATATTTCCAAAATTAGATTTTGAATATTAAAAATCTATCTATACAAAGGAAGTATTTGATGATAATAAATAGATATTTAAACATTTTGATTAACATATGTGTGCATTAATTAACTAGTTTCGGAAATTATAAGAAATCAAAAAAGAAAATTACTAGAAACTATCTTGATATCTTTTGAAAGAAAATCTAGAAGTAAATTATGGAGCTAGTTAGCTAAGGTTTAGCAACTAAATATTTTTGTATTTTTATGGCAATATCATAACAACATGCAATTATCTAATATTCAGACTAAAATTTTTGTGAAAAATGTAACAAAAATAAAAGAGGATTAATTATAAATTGCTATTATCAAATTTATTTTGTTTATATTTTATTTTGTTTCTTTTTTGTATTTTAATATCTAGAAGAATCCTTTAAGAGATAAATGAGTGGTATAACAAAATTATGTAAATTTGTAAGCCAAAATATATGAATGTTCTACTTTAACAGGATTTTTTATAATATTTTAGTTTTGTTTTAAATTTTACGACAACTTAGTTATACTGCATTGTAAAATAATCGATGCAAGCTAAATATTGCTAAGTTTAAATTACATTCTCGAATACGTCATAGGAAAAGTAAAATCTATGTAATCAGACAGGAAGGTTAAAATATTAGTTAAGTCAATGCAATTAATAAATAATCTGTACTACAAATAGTAAAATTATGTCATTTAATTATAATAAAGAATATCTTAATACGTAATTCAATCGGATTGATGGATATTTTCACCAAAATTTTATTCTATTTATTGCTTTAAAGGATTAACTTGGCATCGAACGCTTTGATAAATAATATTATATTTTATAAAAAATACAAAAACTTAACTAACTATTTAATATGGTCTCTCTCAGTATTCCTAATCCTTTAAATAAACTTTCTTTTAAGACGAGAGGCTATATTGCTTTGGCCTCTTCTTTTTTTTAGCACCTCATCCTTGGCTCTTATTATGTATGGGGAGGTATTCTTACTTATGTCACTTCTAGTCTAAGACACGATGGCTAATCATACACAAAGTAAGATGTTGCAATGCTTGCTCCTTTTGTGACTCTTTCTCTTAACATAGGTACTCCTTTTGGACCTATTTTAGCAAATAAAATAGGATTCAGACCTCTCATGTTCATTAATTCTACTTTGATGGGGTTAAGTGTGATTGCGAGTTCATACTTTGTCAACAATTTTCCTGCTTTCGTTATATTATACGGAGTCTTATTTGGTTTACTTTCAGGTGCTCTATATATGGTTCCTTTCAACACATGTTACTTGTAAAAAATATAATTTTTAAATTTTAATTTTTTCATATAAAATCTTAAATTATAGGTACTACCCAAACAGAAAAGGTCTAGTAGGAGGAGTTATTACAGCAGGATATGCTCTTGGATCAACTGCTTTGATATGGGTTATGTTTGCATTGATTAACCCAGAAAACGAGAAACCATCAGTCAAAATAGATGGTGATACTTATTTCAGTGCAGAAATTTGTGATAGACTTCCTTTCGCATTAAGAATTTTAGGAATAATTTAAATTTTCAGTTTCTACATAAGCACTCTTTTTCACCAAAGACCAAGTAAAGAAGAAATTTAGGGAATCATGAATTAATCAAGTCCTAGTACAGCTCCTTACTTATAACCTAAATACTCTGTAGCAACTTAAAATGGATTACCTACTTAAAATTAACTTAATAAACAAGAATCTGAAGCTACCAAATTAAATCAATTACAAACAGAAGTTAATCCTACTAGCAATATTATTTCTACAGATATCCTTTAGGAATAATAATTGGTTATTCCTGAATCCTATTATGAATATGATACAATAAAAGAGTGTTTAAAAACTAAATTTATATATATGAGCATATTCTTGGCAGCCATGTTTACAGTCTACGGGTCAATAATTACTTCCAATTATAAAATTTTAGGTGAAAAATCATCTTACAGTGACTCTTTTTTAAATGCCGCAGGCACAACTGGATGTGTAGTTAACTGCATTTCAAGAATCTTTTGGGGTAATCTTTTTGAAAAATATACTCTTCGCAGAATAGCTACTGTAAATCTTTCTTTCTAGATTTTGTTGAGTGTTACTTTCTATTGGTGCTCAAAAGTAGAACCTTTATTTTTCATATAAATTATTCTAGCTTTCTTTGCTTTGGGAGGCTGGCTATCTATGCTACCTGCTTAGATCGTTAGAGTTTATGGAAGAAAAATAGGAACAACAATTTATAGCGTAACATTTGTTGGATTCTCAATTGCGTCCTTTTCAGCTTTCTTTATCTTAAAATCTGCCTCCAAATCAGTAGGATTCGCGTATATGTTTTATATTTTCACAGGAATATAGACATTAGCTTTAATTATAGTTTAATTTATTGATTTTAACGTTAAATACAGGAAAAAACAATTAAGTTAAGAAATATTAAACTAGTTTTAATAAAAATAAAAAGAAGTAAAAATATGAAATTTAAACTGAATTTAAATATATTTATTTCTTTATTTATTTTGGTTGTTTACATTTCATCTATTTATCTAAATGCTAAATAAAGCATTTAATAATTAATTTATTAATAAAATATATAATAATGTTTAACGAGGGTTACAAAATAAATATATATAAAATGTATTGCTCATAAAAATATATTTTGAGTAAATATTTTATAATTACTTTTTTCTAGTATCAGGTTGGAAGCCTGTTTTAAAACCTTTATTTTATTTCTTTTAAATTTTTTTATTTATTAAATAATATTTATTGTCCTACTAAATATATTTATTTATTTCTTACTCACATAATATTTATCAGAGAATAGCTGCATAAATTTAAAATTGATTATAAAAAAACAGATAGATTTAAATACTTTTGAGTACTAACGCAAGATGTTAGGTATGAAACATGTAAAATAATTGAAAAATATAATTTGAAATCGTTTAATTTTATAAAATAATAATTTAGCTTATTAATTTTAAATTTTAATATCAAAAATTTAATTTACAAATTGCAATAATAATTAAAAGTAAATTAATTTTCATAATATTTAAAATTTAATTTAGATTTCTCTTGATATGCAAATCATTCAAAAGTATTCACAATTTTATCGATGCAAATTATAATTAATTTATCATAAATGTATACTAATTCTTTTAAAAATATTTTTATAGAAAAAGTTGTCTAATCAAATTTCAAGCATAAAAAATATAGGGGAATAAGTTTTTAAATCATTTTAATAAAAATAGATGCTTAAGAAATATATTTAGTATTTTAAAATAATATAATAAATATTTTCGAACTATTTTAAGTAGACAATTTTACCTTAATTTACTCAAGATATCTAATAAAAAATAAATTTAATTATTTTTTACTCTTTTATATTGATTATTCAGCTTTTAAATAAAAAAAGGAGATAATAAATGTTTTTGAATGATTTCTAACATATGAAAGAAATATAATTAATTTTAATTCTATGATCAAAAAAATATTTTTTTGTTATTTGATTTAAATGTATTAATGAATTATATTTCATATTTCAATTAGGCTTTAATAAATTCTTAATTAATGTTATTCAAATATTTAAATTACATATGAAGCGTTTGAAAATTATTTTAATTTATTTTAAGATATTATTACATTTTATAATAAAAATGGTAAGTATTAAACATTTTTAATTCGTTTTTAGAAAGTTATTTAAAAATAAACTTCAATAATTTTCAAATTAGGATAATGTACTTAGAATGTGGTCATAAACTTTTTTAATATTAAAAATAATCTGTAATAAAAATTTTTGATATTTTTCACTCTAATACAATTTGTTTTTTGTGTTAGAAATAGAAATCAAAAATGGTTTTTATGATTTTTAATAGAAGACGCTGGAAAAATACCGTTATAAATCAGGTAGTAATATTTGCTTTTGAGTTATTTTCATTAAAATTTACTAAATTAATATTTTATATCTTTTATAAATTCAATTATATTTTTGAAGGTTTTTGTATGAAAAAATATAATAATATTTCTTATTAAACATATGAAGGAATCTATTAACAATTTTAAATAAATTTCATTCAAAAATACTCATTACCTTTATTTATTGAGTAAAATAAATTTAATTTAAATTACATTTAAAAATGTTTAGAATTATTTTTCTTTTAAAAAATATTAAAAAGTTAAAAATTTTGAAAAGTTATTTTTTAAAAGATGTTTTTAAATTATCTTTTATATTTAAAATAAGTAATATTAAATATATTTTAAGTTGTTTTTATTCAAAATATTGATAGATTATTTTATATGTTATAAATAGAAGTAGTAAATATTATTTCATTACTTGAATTAAAAGATGCTAATGATATCTTTATATTTAAAGTATGAAATAATAATCTATTTTTAATGAATTTCATTATTAGATACTCCTCAATCAATTAATTTTTTTTAAGATAGGGAACTGTAAAATTTGTGAATAAATTTAATAAGAAAACTATTATGCATTATCTTTTGCACTGTGTGCATTAAATATATTTGAATAAACTCTATGAGATTATGCTCATAAATTATATTTTGTAAAAATGAAAATATGATGCTACTTTCATATTCTTATAGTAAAATTTAAGCAAAATATTACAGTAACTAAATAAAAATAAGACAAGTATATGCATTATTTAATAAAATAAAACAAGTAAATTAGAATTAAAACAAACAATTTAATATTTAAAAAATATTCTTTTTTAAAGTACTATCATTCATTTATTAAGGTCGCAAATAAATAATCTAGTTTTAAAGAATATTCTTTCTTTTAATTTGAAAAAACCTAAATTTAATACAAAAGTTTTTTCATTTAATAGATCTATAAAATAAGATTTAAAATATTTAAAAATATTAAATCTAAAATCAACATCCATTTACTGATATATTTTTCCCTTCTTTCCCTTAATTTATTTATTGATTGTTGATTCATATTTAAATTAAAATTTTGGAAAAAAATGTACACTTTTAATGAATGTGTATTAACAATAATTGAAATGCTAAAGAAGGATATCTTTCATACTTACTAATCAAGTATATATACATGAATAAAATGAACCTATTATGGTTAAGCTGATCACTATTTGAGGTAATAATAGAAAATTTTTTTTTTTAGTAAAGCATTTTATAAAATTTACTTTTCTGATTTGGTTTTTGTAAAAACAATAATGGTCTTTAGCAAATTTTTTTTGTTTATACTATTTTTTGAACAGAAATGTAAATAACTATGATTATATTTGTGTGTTTAAGAGCAAAAATAATAGCAGAAATAAACACAAGCGTTTGAATTTAAAACTATTTTTTACAGGTGAAAATTTAAAAAAAGTAAAAGATGATCGATTTTTGGTTGTTCTGATAAGTGTTATTATTGTTAGATGATTAGTTACTATTCTTATTAAATTTGTGTATAATTTGGATAATTCTGTAGCTTACAGAGTGAAAACTGATATATTTAATAAATTTGAAATCTGATAAAATCAACTATTTTGAATATCCCTTAAATTTTTTAAAGACCATGTAATCTAAAAATAATAAATATACTTTGTTAATCAAATGAAATTGGAGGCATTAATGTATTTTTATGAATTTAAAATTTGTAATTAAAAAGAAATGTATGAAATTGGTTTATAGTTTATAATTTTGGAGAAGTAAATTGAGCAATATTTAAGTGTAATTATAAATTATAAACAACAGGATAGCCAGAATTATAAAAAGAAAACTCTTGAAAATTCTTAGCTATAATAGCTTTAAAGAAGTAATAAATATTTTTTATAATAGCTTTATTGTCAGGAAAAGCAAAAAATTTGAATTCTAATTTATTATATTATAAAATTCTTTTCTAACGCACTAAAATATCGTCAGTATTTTAGTTTTATTCTAAAAGGTGACTTCCAAAGGTTAATAATGTTGTAATTAAACAAGTTAGAAAAAAAATAATAATTCTTTTTGATTATGCGAAGAAGTCACAAGCTGTATGTGTGTAAATCATTTGAAACTTAGATGCAAAAATTGACTTAATTTGAATAAAAAGTCTTTGCACCGTTAACAACCAGATATTATTTCTTTTCTATGCTTTTTATTAATTGGATATAGTTTTGAGTTGCTATTGGCATCATTTAAAGAAAAATGACTTTTGAAATAAATTAATATGAATGATTCCCAAGAAATTCCAATATTAATTGGATGAAAATGAGATTATGTGGCGCGCGAAGCTGTGGAATTATTTACTCATAAAAAAAAATGCAATTAAAATAACTAATAATAGAAATGAAAATGACTAATCAAAAAATCTTTTGAGTGGGTGGCAGCAATAAATAAATAAATAAATAAATGATGAAGACTTCTAGTAGGAAAAAGATAATAAGTTTTGATTATGTTTTATTAAGAAGTAGAAATATTCAAAATCAAATAGTATAATTAAGAATTTTTAATTAAATATAAGGACAATCTGTTAATAATTACTAGAAGAATACTACCGACTTGATGATAGACTTAAATATAGTCATATCAATCTAACTATCTAGCTAAAAAAGTATATAAATGATTCATTAGAACCTTTTCATTTTCCTTAATTATTAAAAACATAGATTTTAGCAGGCTTAACTCTTAGTTATACTCTTGTTTTATGCCGAATATTACTAAATATTAATTGGAGTGTTACTGAATTCATGTTCTTTATATTGTATTCCATGCAGGCTCAGGTACACATTTCAATCTTATAAAAATTAACTTTTTAAATACAATGAATTAAATTATTATTTTTGTAAGCCCGAAAAATTATATTTAGTTAAGAAAACCATCTAATTATGCTCTTCGATTAATTCATGTTCTTCGAGTTATTTGAAAACCAACGAAGCATGTTGACGTCAGGATATTCATAAATAGGCTATTTGCGACTTACAAATAATTAACTTACAACGCTTAAACATTGGTTTTATAAATAAGGGTCAAAACTTACAAAATAGCCATCCAATTAGCTAGATGTTTTTTAAAAAATAAATTTACTCAAACAAAGTGCTTATTTATCAACAAGCAGAGCAGGTATGCAACAGTTAAGTGAAAAAAGCCGGATTAGAACGAATTTTGTAAAATGTTATATTTTTAAAAAGCATTTTTATATTTTTTGGATTTTTTACTATTTTTAGTAAAGGCAAATTACCTAAAGACTAGCTGATTAATTTTTGACTATTACAAATAAGTGATTAATTAGATCAATCAGAATGATCAAAAGTAAAAAGTAATCGCATTAATTAAAATCACCAAAATAAGATTTTTGAGCTTTTATAAAAATCCTGGTTAATCAAATCTAAAGAACATATATTCTTTTCTAACTAACTAACTACCTACAAAATCTTAAATCAAAGTTTGCTGAATATAATTAGAGTTTAAATCAACCTAATTAATTTTTTTCTTTAAATTCTGTCTACAAAATCATTTAGATCATATAAATTAAATAATCAAAAACAATTACTTTAATTATAAAAAAAATAAAAACAATGGCATTTGAAAATCCCTTAAGAAAGCTTTCTTTCGAGACTAGAGGCTGGATAACTTTGGCTTCTGGTTTTGCTCTCCACTTCGTTTTAGGTACCTTTTACCTTTGGGGAAGTATCAGTACTTATACTACTTCTTATCTCCGTCAAGATGGTTAAAACTACACAAAAGAAACTGTAGGAGCTGTTTTCCCTTTCACTTTCCTTGCATTAAATATAGGTACTCCTTTCGGTGTTTACTTAGCTAGAAAAATAGGATTTAACTTGCAAATTTTCATAGGAAGCATCCTTATTGGACTCTCTACAATTGCTAGTTCTTTTGTCGTCCACATCTTCCCCTTGTTTGTCCTATTTTACGGATTTATCTTTGGAATTCTAAACGGATTACTCTATATGTTACCATTCAACTCTTGCTACTTGTAAATTTTTATAAAAAACTTTTACATTAAAGCGATTTTTCTAAAAATTTTATCCCTCTAAATGAAAGTTTAATTTTATTGCTTACGCTTTAGCACAATTTAAAGTTAAAAATTTAATAGAATAAAAATCATTAGGATTAAGATTTTTCTATTAATTAATTAATTAAATTGAAATGCATCACACAAATAGATAGATAGCTTATTCCCACTAGGCAAAATTAATTAGATAATTTCAAATTAGTTAATTACTGCATATAAAAATTAATCTAATGAATCCCTATCCCATAGCAGCAATAGATAAATAAATAAATATAAGATTTCAATTATCGCTTTTATATTTAAAAAACTTTCAAATTTTATAATGATTATAATCTTTTTAAAATAGATATATGCCTCATAGAAAAGGTCTCGTTAGCGGTGTAATTGTCGGAGGATTTGGATTTGGATCAACTGCATTTATCTGGTTAATTTATTCTATAGTCAATCCCAACAACGAAAAACCCACTGACTTGATTGATGGAGTTAAGTATTTTTCAAAAGACGTTTGTGATAGATTCCCTGAATCTTTAAGAGTTTTAGGCTTAGTTCAAATTGCAATTGGTGTCATAAGTTGTTTTATTCACATTAGACCTACCGAAGAAGAATTAAAGCTTTAAGAAGAAAAGTTGAAAGTGAAAACATTAGAAAAAGCCAATGAACTTGAATTCTGTGAACTCAAAAATTAAAAAACAGAAAGCAATAATTCAGAAAAGCAAGAATAAGAAAAGGTAGCTTCATCTGATTTAGAAAAAGGAGGCTGCTCAACTGAATAAGAAGCTTTATAGGTACATACTAGTGCTATAAACAAAGATGCTCGTCCTCATTTCGAATTTTAAGTTGAGCTTACTCAAAACGATCCCAAAATAAATGATTAATAAAAAGATAAGGTTGAAGATAAGAAAAAGAAAGTTGAAATCTATCACGAATTCCAAACTTTTAAAGATGGTATGCATACTAAATATATTTACATCTCAATCGCATTGGCTTTGATGTTCACAGTTTATGGAAGTATGATTGTTTCAAATTATAAATTGTATGGTGAATACAACAGTTATGATGATAACTTCCTCAGTACAGTAGGTACAGTTGGTAGTATATTCAATGGTTTGTCTAGATTATTTTGGGGAGGTATTATGGAAAAACTCAAAATTGAATAGATTATCATTATTAACATAACATTTTAAATGGTAGTAAGTTTTACCTTCCGTTGGGCTGCATAGTATGCTGCTTTGTATTTAATCTATATCGTTTTGTCCTATTTCCTCTACGGTGGCTGGTTCTCCATATTCCCAACTCTTTCAGCAAGAATTTTTGGTAAAAAGATAGGAACTTAAATTTATGGTATTACCTTCTTGGGTTTTTCTTGCGCTTCTTTCATTTAATACTTCGTCGTCATGGAAGTTTAAAAAGCTATCGGCTGGGGAAACACTTTTTGGGTTTTTACTGCCGTATAATTGATCGCTTTAATAATTGCATAATTCGTCAGATTTAATGCTGAGCCTCCAATTAAAAAAGAGGAAGTTAAATAAATCGAAAATTAGACTGAATAAATATAAGCTTGAAAGATTAATAATTTATTTTAAGAATGATTAAATTAATCTTAAAATGCATTAGAAATACTGATAAATTTTATTAAAATAACTAAAAGAAAGACTATCTTTCTTCTAAAAAATCAATTAAATATATTATTATTACATACATACACACTATCACTTTTACAATTATTTTTCTGTTTTAATATTCCTACTAAATTGTAACCATCTTATTATTAATGTTATATTATTACATAATCTCATTTGTACAAATTAGTTTGCTATGTTTTTATTTCATTCATTATTCATTTCAAAATTTAAATAAACTAATAAATACCTCATTTTTATTTTCTTTCTATTTATTTATTATCAGCTCTACAAGTTTATTGATTAATGCATGTAATTTTGAATAGAAAATATTTGCAGTTTTTATTCTATTTTGTAATTAGCTGATAAAATACCAGTATAAATAATTTGAAATTGTAAAATAGTATTTATATGAAAATAATTTAACAGTAATTGTTTTTGTTTGTTTATAATAACTTTACAGATGAAAAATGAAGCAGCAAAAATTTTGTAAGATTTATCACTGCTAAAAGTTTTCATTGAATTAAAAATAGTTTTCATTATTTAAATTGAAGCATTTTGCTTGTTATGTTTACAATAGCATTTAATACTTATAAGCACATTATAAAGAAAATATCTCGGTTAATTATTGTTACTATAAAATAATGTAAATTCTTAATGTATTTCAATACATTTTTACTAAATTATGTTTTTTTAATTTATTTAATATTAATTTAAGAATATATTAACAGTACACTAAAAACCTAATCAGCTTACTTGTTAAAAGAACCAAATTACAATTTATTACTCTTCTTATTTAATAATTCATTTTGCAAAAAGAACAATTTTTATAAAACTAAAAAGCCAAAATCTTTTCCATATTGGTTTAAGAATCTAAAATATTTACATATGATGAGCGAAAATGTTTAAATTAGTATTACATATTACATATAAAACTTATTAAAAAATATAATATTGTTTCCCATAATTTAATACATTATCTAATTTTGAAAATTAACAATCGAGAAATAATAATTTTTAATATTACATAATGGAAATAAAACATCTTTTTCTTTAATTAAAATATTAATTATTACAAAGATCAATGTCACACTCTAAATTAAAAGATTTGATAGATGAAATTTTTTTAAATAAATATTTTACTGTTTTTTTTTTTTTTGCATATTTAATAATCTCAAATAAATAGTATTTTTTTGTATTGGTATATTATATTGTTTTGATTTATTATATACATAATTAAATTACTAATGAATTTTAAATGGAATTACTTAATTAATTTCTTGCTGGTTTTCAAAAAAAAGGAAATTTATTTTAAGAAACAATTTTAAATATGGTATTATCATCATTCATTCATTATTTTTTAGAGTTTGTTTTTATTTTTAGTAATGAAAGGTTATTTGCAATATCCAAATTATAGCGTGAAATTTTACAAGAAGAGATTTAAAATATCAGTATTTTTCACACAAAATTATCCTTCTTGAAAATAATGAAATAAATGTAAATTTAGAACAATAACAATTTGATTAGGAATTTATCAAGTATAAGTTGCATATTAAAAATTCGTCAGTTTTTAGATTGATTATTGAATTGTGATTAATTAAATAATCATACAAATAATATAGTCATTTAATATATATTGAAATTAAAAGTGATGCAAAAAGCAACTAAATCTCATACTGGTTTATAATTTATAAAATTTTAATTTATAATTTATAAATACATTTAATCCTTTTTAATAATTGCTCAATAAAATTACAATAATAAAAGTTTTTGGAGAACAAATATTGTTTTAGATATGAAAATGAGTCAATAAACTAGGAATTTCGTATAAAGTTTAAAAAATACACTCAAAAATTGAAGTTTTGGATTATTTTTAGTTGTGATAATTGAAACTAATTTAAAAGTTATTAATTAGAATAAATGATGAAGTCTTCTAGTAAGAATATTAATCAAAATTTAATTTATAAGCAAACAAAGATTTAAGAGTAAAGTCCATTCTAAAAACTCAAGGATAATTTTTTAAGTATTACTAGAAATGCACTTGTTATTTCTCCATAATTATAATCCTAAAATGGAAAATTAATTTTATAATTGCTATTAATAGATTTCATTTTTACTTCAAACCTTATTTAATTTGATCCTTCGATTTACGATAAAAAGACTTCTTATTTGCTTCCAAAATTCATTATAAAAAAATAATTTATTTTTAAAGGTTTTTAATGGAGAAGGATTTATTTTTTTAATTTGCATGAATTATTGAAATCTAAAATTTAATTGTCTTTTAATATAAATTTCAATAATTGCTACTATTTTTAAAAAATAGCCAAATTATGAAGCTCGTTAATACTTGAAATTAATCTGATTTGAGTCTAAAAAATACCTTTTGATTTAGTCAGACAATAGTTAATATTCAAGCTAAACAAACTAGCTTACAGAAAATGAACTAAATATCAAAACAGTTTAAGCATAGAATTTTAACAAACAAATGAATTTTCTTTTCATTCTAATAATCACTCAGTAGACAATATCATGATGGAAAGCTTTGGTTAATGACTTCTATACGTATGTATTATAATCAAAAATAAAAAGGAATATTTTAATGATACAAAATGTAAGGTAAAAAATACATCTGTAGTGGCCAAAGGAATCGATTATTATTTTTTACTTCTAATTTGTAAAGTTATCAAACAATTATCAGAAAAAATAAGAATCTATTTAAAAATATTAATTTATTAGGTCTTACCCCTTATTATATATATACATTATGTATGTACTTAATCAACATATTTAAAAAACTTTATTTTTTTCAAATTTTCTCATGATTATGTTATAAGCAACTAAATTGAATTTTTTTCTAATACTATTTTTATATAAATTTCCATTTGATTTTGCTATAAATACTTTTTTCTATTTACATATTTAGGTATAATTAATAAATAAAAAAAACAATAAACATCATTATTTAAAAATGGCTATTAAAAACCCTTTACGTAAACTTTCCTTTGAGACTAAGGGATGGATCACACTTTTCTCAGGATTTTGTTTGCACTTTGTTCTAGGTACTTTCTATCTATGGGGAAGTATTAGCACATACACAGCTTCTTATCTATAGTAGAACGGATAAAACTATAATGCAGAAACTGTTGGTGCTGTATTTCCTTTCACCTATCTTTCATTGAATTTAGGAACTCCTATAGGTGTTTACTTTGCTTCGAAAATTGGATTTAATCCTTTCATCTTTATAGGTAGCATTCTTATTGGAATTTGCACTATTGTTAGCTCTTATGTGATAGACATATTCCCTCTTTTTGTTCTATTTTATGGAGTCCTCTTTGGGTTTATCAGCGGCTTGCTTTATATGCTTCCTTTTAATTCATGCTACTTGTAAAAAGCTATTATTTTTTGAAAAATACTACAAAATAAAATTGAAATAATTTAGCAATTTCTTTATTTAATTACAAATTAATTTAATTATCTAGAAAAAATTTTTTTAATCCTTAATAAGATAATGAAAAATTTATTAATAAATATTAAACAATGCTAAATTGTTCATAAAATTATTCAAAGAGCATTTATTTTATTTCAGTTTTATGTTTCCAAAAATAATTGTTTTTATTATTTTATTAATTAGATATATGCCTCATAGGAAAGGTTTAGTTAGCGGAGTCATAGTTGGTGGTTTTGGGTTTGGGTCAACTGCGTTCATCTGGCTGATATATTCTATAGTTAATCCTCACAATGCTAAGGCAACAGACTTAATCAATGGTGCTAAATACTTTTCTAAAGATATCACTGACTAATTCCCTGATTCACTTAGGGTTTTGGGTATTGTTTAAATTTTTATTGGAATATTTAGCAGCTTCCTTCACATAAGACCTACATAAGAAGAATTAAAATAATAAGAAGAAAAAAATAAGATCAGAGCAATAAACTAAAACTGCATAGAAGAACTTCAATAGCAATAATTTATACTTATCAAGGCTTAAAGCTCTATTGAAACTCAAACAAATTAGAACAATTAAAATCAAGCTATTACTGAAATGAGAGGTACAGCAACTGAATCTGAGATTTTAAGAACAGGAACTATTCCATAAGAAAAAAATAATTGCTAAGCTTTTGAATAAAACTTAGATTAATAAAAAATTGTTGATAATTAATCATAATTAGCAGCTTAAAAAGGTGCTAAAAAAAATCAAAATGAAGAAGTTTATCACGAATTTTAAACCATGAAAGAAGGATTAATGACTAAATTTATATATATCACTGTTGCTTTGGCTTTGATGTACACTATTTTCGGAATTTTGATCATTTCAAATTACAAGGTTTATGGTGAATATTAGAATTATACTGACAATTTTTTGAGTACAGTTGGTACTGTAGGAAGTGTCTTTAACGGTTTGGGAAGATTCTTCTGGGGAAGTCTTATGGAAAAACTAACGATTCGATAAATTATTATCATCAACCTCATTTTTTAGATCATAGTAAGTTTCACCTTTAGTTGGGCAGCTCAAAATGCTGCTTTGTACTTAATTTATGTTGTCTTAGCTTACTTCCTTTACGGAGGTTGGTTCTCTATTTTCCCTACTTTGGTTGCTAGAGTGTATGGCAAAAAGATAGGAACTTAAATTTATGGAATTACTTTTTTTGGTTACACAATTGCTTCTTTCCTTTAATACTTTGTTCTTATAGAAATCAAAAATGCTGCTGGTTGGAGAGCTACTTTCTGGATCTTCACTGGTATCTAAATATTTGCTATTATCATTTCTCAATTTGTAAAATTCAATTCTGTTCCACCATAAAAATAAAAGGAGTTCATATAAGCTGAAATTGAAAAATAAAAAAGTAACGAAATAATGTAATTACCTTGATTTAGTCATGACAGTTGACTGTATTTAATTGATATAACTTTAATACAAAATATTCTTATTACTACTTTAAAAAAAATCAAAATTAAAATACCAAATAAAATATAAAATCATAAAATAAATTTATAAATATATGTAGAGCAAATCCTTGTAATTCATTCATTCATTCATTCATTCATTCTTATATATATTTATTTTTGCTTACAAAAACCTTATTAAAAAACTTCATAATCAATTCAAAGTAATCTTTTATAGCATTTATTTTTAAATTACCTATTTATAAACTGATATTGCAAATATTTATTTATATTTAAGCTTAAAATATAAAATCACAGAGAGTACCATGAATGAGGAGGAAAAATGATGTTAAAATCTATGCAAATTGTCTATTTTAAAGTTTTGCAAAGCATTATAAAACAAAAAAGAAAAGAAATTGTTAACATTTTTCCTAATTTTATTTTCTTGGTGAATGATACACACATACATATCAACCAACAATATTTTGTAAATTCTCAAATGTTAGACCCAAGGAATCTAAAAATTTTTAGATAATTTTATTGATTATTATAAATATAATAACCATTCATAAAATACTTTAAATTTAATATTTTAAATTATTTAAAAATTTACTTTTTTTATTTTCATTTAATTTCATAAACTACTAACTATTTATTGAAACTAATACTTTAAAAAGATTGTAGCAAAGACACATATGTTAAGAAGCAGTTTATTTACTCTTCCTATATCGTTAACTAAATTTTTATGAAAGCTAAAAAGCTAACTTATTTTTTATTTAAATAATCTTTTAAACATTTTTAAATTTTCTTCTTTGTTTAAACTTTTTTCTATCGATTCAGACATCAATGCTTTTAATTGTTATAGTTATTTCTTATAAATATTTTCTAACTAATAAGTTCAACATTATAATTATATCTATAAAATTTGTAAGAAAAAAATAAATAAAATAAAATTCTATCAAAAACAAAAATTCAGTAATATAATATGATTGTAAAACCCTTTTTGTAGTATTTTTTTTAGTGAAAAAATAGATAATTGGTTCTATTTTTCTTTAAATAGAGCTTGATCCTCCGATAGGAAATATTAATTTATTTTAGTATTGTTCTATAATTAATAAGCAGAAGCTAAAAAAAGTTAATAAATGGATAAAAGTATGCATTGATATCAAAAAAAGGAACAATTTTAAAATTATAAGAATAAAATAAAAATCAATAAAAGTAAAATATTTTATTTAAGAACATAAATTATTGAGAAAAAAAAAATTGTTTTTTTTGTAAATTTGAAAGTAGAAGAATAAACACTATAGAACCAAAAAAACTCGTATTTGCTTTGAAAATAAAATGAATGTAAATTAAGTAATAACTAATATACATAGTAAAAAAAACACAAACATTTAGTTAATTTTGTTTAATTGAAGAAATAAAAAGTAGATTTTAAGTTTATTTTAAAATTATTATTCTTTTATTTTCAAAAATGTTTTAAACTAAAAAAAATTTAGTTGTTATTCGTTTGTATACTATCCTGTATCTACTGGGTAATTATTAAAAAATTAATGTTCTAAGGAATAAATTAATATTGATAGATAAATTTTTATACGAAGGTATGGATGAGCCTTATTTAGAAAAAGCTTTGGAATGGATTTATTTGTTCTAAAATTTAATTAAAGATAAGTAACTATCCTTTAACACCTTTATTTGTAAATATTTAATAAAATTTATTATAAAATGATTCCTATTAATCCATCCCATAACGATGCATATAATCCTTGTAACATGTTTTGTTTTTATTAACTGGATCTATTCCATTAGTTGTTCAAATTTTATTTAAAATATAAAAGCAAAAACGTAGGAGTCTCATACAAAAAATTATGCTAATATAACAAAATTTACAACCCTCATTAATTGAATGATATCAACAAAAGTATAAGGATAATTTTAAAAGATTAACAAAAAAATACCAAAAAATATATCATGTAAATTTTACAGTTAAGCTATTATAAACTATCTTAATTTTTTATAGTTTATACTAGAATCTTATAATAAATCAGTAGCAACGCTATAGTAATAATAATTGGTATATAATTTTTACACTCTTTTAGTAGATCTATTTTTATATTTAAAAAAGCGAGTAGTTTGGAAAATTTAATAACAGAAGTGTAAAAAATGTAAAAAACTATTTATATTGTCTTTACTTCATACAAATTATGAAATAAAACTTAGATAAAATATAATATTTTAAGGTAAACAAAAATGAATTTTTATGTTAAAAAATTGAAGGTATTCAATCTATTTTTTAAGTTTAAGTAAACTTTAAATTTAAAAAAATAGGAATATTTAAAAGGAATTCCTAAAAAAAGAAATCAAAGGATAGCTAAAAATTTTAATTTAATGCTTTAAATATTCTGTCTCTACCAATTAATATAATTCTGGGAGAAATTTAGATAAAATTTTTACAAAATTTGTCATTTAATAAATTAATGTTTTTTATTTAGACTATTCTATAAACTTTGAATGTAGTTTGAGTTTACGTTCTATAACAATAAAAACTTAAAAATTGTTATCTACTCAAATAATATTGATGTGATAACCATTTTATCTTATTATTAAGATCGTGGTAGACCTTATCATCATTTTTAGATAAGAAAACAAGAACATATTTACAAATAAAAATGTGTTTGAAATCTGATACAACATTTTTAGAAATGAAAATTAATTAATTGTGTATTCCAAAAAAATCAATTAATTTGTTAAGCTGATATACAAATTTTAGTACTGTTTATCAAAAATGTACACTGGATCAAAACCAATTTTGAAAAATATAGGAGGGAAATTAATTGTAAAATAGTTCACGCATACCTAATTATAAAATAAACTTCAAAAGCGTTAAGAATAAAAATTGTGAAAGTAAATTAACAGAAATTTAGTAAGTATTAATAGCAATACTTTTAGAATGCCTATTTTTTTTAAATTTAATGTAAGGGCAAATTTTAAGTGAAACAAGCATGCATTAATAATTTATTATATTATTTTATTTTAAAACTCTCAATGATGATGTATTAAAAATTAATAGGTAGATGATAAATCAAATAACAACATCTATTAGATAATAACGAATTGGAATCTTGAGCAAAAATAATTTGACTCTCATAACTTTTTTTAAACATAACGAACAACTAGTATACATTCTATGCTGATTGATGAAACCAGATAGCTGCCATTTCTTATTATTGTTTAGTAATATTGTGCTATTTAAGCATGTCAAGATATCGAAAATATACAGTAATAGTGTGTATTAATTTTAAATTTAAAAGAAAATGAATAATAACTTCTTTAATAAAAATAATAATACTTAATTTATATAATTGTAAAAATAGGCTCAATCTGCTAGTGCTTTTAAACACTTTTCAGTTTATTTAATACAATAAAATGAATAAATAAGAGTTACAGAACATTTTAAAATTTAATAGAAAATTTTTAGCTTAATTTCTGGTTTTTAAATACTAATAAATGAATGAAGTATTTAGCCCTTTATTTAAGATGGTTATGCATAATATCTTTATTTACTTTTGTTCGAGTAAGAAGACTCTTGAAAATACTGGCGAAATTAATGGGCATATTCAATCTAAAAGTTTATATTTAGCACCAATCTTTTATTCTGATTAAATTTTACATTTAAATCCTATTGAGTAAATTATTTTTGTAATTAATTTTAAACAAGAACGTACAAAAATTTTACTTAAAATAAATATTTAGAATAAAAACAAATAAACCTCTTTGCATTCAAATCAATTAAGATGGTGCAGTTTAAGAGTCCATTTAGAAATCTCCCTTATTAATAAAGAGGGTATTTAACATTAGCATCAGGCTTTCTTTTGCATTTTATCTTAGGTACATTCTATATGTGGGGTAGTATCAGTACTTACATTGCTTCTTATTTGCAGCATGATGGATAGGATATTTCAAAAGAAGTTGTCGGCGCAGTATTTCCTTTTACTTTCTTAGCTATTAACATTGGAACACCCCTCGGACCTGCTTTAGCCAAGAAGATTGGTTTCAGATTGTTTCTCTAAATCTGCTGTACCTTACTTGGACTTATTGTAATCATAAGCTCCTTTTTTATAGCTAAATTTTATTTATTCGTCTTCCTCTATGGCTTTTGCTTCGGTCTCCTCACTGGTTTGATGTACATGGTGCCTTTTGTATCAGGATACTTGTAAAATATTTAAATTTTTTTCTATCTATTTTCAAACACACTGATTGCTTTTTTACCCTAAAAGAAGTGTTTCAAACAAACTGAATAAAAAAAAAGTATAATTTTTAAACCTACTTTTAATCATATAAAAATGTACGATTTAGTTTATTTATATAACTATTGAATAAGTGATAAGCTAATTTATGAGAGAGCACAATAAAATATAAGCTTTTTTATTAACATCATTTTTAGCTTCGATGCCAGCTAGATCATTCAAAATTTACATTTGAATATTTTTTAATTATAAATAAACCTCTACCTTAAGTTTTCTGTTTAAAACGCTTTTTTTAATTTCTTTATTTATATTTTTTGATAATATCATGCATAGCAATCAATCAATCAATCAAACAAATAAATTAAATTAAATTGTATCTTTCTAATATCTTACTTAATTATTTATATAGATACTTCCCAAAAAAGAAAGGCCTAGTTAGTGGTATTATTACAGGGGGTTTTGGTTTTGGAGCATGTGTCTTTATTTGGGTTATGTATGGTTTAATCAATCCTAATAACGAGAAAGCTACCTTCCCAATAAATGGTTAAAAATATTTCTCCTAAGATGTATGCGATAGACTGCCTAACGCTATAAGAATTTTAGGAATAATTTAAATCATTGGTATTTCACTTTCAAATCTATTGCATGAAAGACCTTAGCCAGAAGAAATTATTGAACACGAAAAGCTAGAATGCGAAATGTCTCATCAATAAGTACACCATTCAGAATCAAATTCTCCACCTCTTGGTTCTGCAGGTATCAATATCAACATGCACACTGATTAGCTCCATATAGATTAACATCACTCCCATGATAACCACGATCATCATGGAATTAACGATGATCACCATCATGATGAACACCCTATTAACAAAGATTCTATGAAATCAGATCATCCTAGCTCATAGAATCCAGAAAACGGAGCAACAATAATAAAACCTTCATCTTCATCAGGATAAATGAGTGAACAATAATTGTAAGTAACAAAATATGATGGAGAGGAATATTTTGAATTTTAGAGCTTAAAGGATGGATTAAAAACACCTTTTATTTATTTGTCTGTTTTATTGAATCTCATTTATGTTGCATATGGAGCTATGACTGTCTCTAATTATAAACTCTATGGCGAAGACTTAGGCTATTAAGATAACTTTTTAAGTGCTGCAGGTACAGCTGGAAGTGTTTTCAATGGTATTTCAAGAATGTTTTGGGGCAGTCTAATGGAAAAGTTCAAAGTTAAATAAATTATATTTGCTAACCTTACCTTACAAATAATTGTGAGTATTACTTATCAATATGCTGCTTAAATTTAAGGATTATTCATTCTATATGTTATCTTGGGTTACTTTGTCTATGGAGGTTGGTACTCAGTTATGCCAACTCTCATTACTAGAATTTATGGTAAGAAAATTGGAACTACAATATTTGGTGTCACTTATATTGGTTATACACTCGCATCATTTACTTAATTCTTTTTAGTAGCTCTAGTCTAATAGGCTATAGGTTGGGGAAAAATGTTCTTTGTATTTACAGGTATTCAAGGCTTAGCTGTTATTCTTACTTGTGTCATAAAATTTAAAGCTATCCCTCCTCAAGCTAAATATCAAGCTCAGTAAAGGCAATAAGTAAAATGAAAGTGAAACTAACTAAACTATTTTAGGCTATTTAGTCACAATTTATGTTTTTTTCAAAACAGATCTCTTCTTTGTTTTCTTATATATCTATTAAATTGGTTTCTTAAATTTAAATATCTACTTTTTAATGTAATTGAATGTATTTTAATAGCTTTAGTAACTATCTTAATTATCTTCAAATTATTAATATAGTATTTATTTATAATCTCTTTAACACCGATTATACATACATATATACATACATAAAAAATAATTTAATTAATGATATTTATATATAGTCTTAATTTATATCAATCTTTATCATCTTTCAATCAAATTTTTAATATTAGCCTTTTTTAAAAATTAAAAATGAATTTTTTATTTATTTTCTCTTTATAAATTTTTTTTTCGAAAATTTTTAAATAAAAATTAAAAATATTCAATAATAAACTGCTTTAATTTTTTTAAATGTTTAAGTTTTAAAAAAATTATTTAAAATATTTTAAATTGATTAATATTTATAAGAAGAATTAAACTAATAAAAACAGCTAATAAATAATATATTTTATTCTCAAATAAAAAGAGTTTCTTAATTAATTAATTAGCTATTTCAATTCCTCATTTTTTTTTCAACCTTAAAAAAATAAAATCAATCAATATTAAATAATAACTTTCAATTTCCAAAAATTATACAAACATTTGAAAATAAAAATATATGATAATAAAATTATTTAAAGTAAATAATAAATATATTTAAATATTCAATTTTTTTCAGAAGTTATTTTTTAAGAATTTATATGATGAGTACTGTAAATTTTAAATTATTATTATTTTAAAAAAAAATGCCTGCGGAGGGGATCGAACCCTCGGCCTCGAGATTATGAGACTCGCGCTCTAACCAACTGAGCTACACGGGCTTAGTACTGTTTATTTTTGTGTTGTAAATATAGATTAAAATGAATTTAAAATTTAATATTGTTTCTACCTATAAATAAATAAATCAGTTTGTAAGTATAATGAGAAATTAAATAAATAAAATAAATTCTACTCATTGATAACATAATTTACTTTTATAATTAGCTGTTTGGAATGTGCTATTCAAAATTTATTTTAAAGTAAAAATAAGATTATAATTTATTTATTATTCTATTTTTGAAGATAAAATTTAATAAGAATTAATTATTGAGAATTATGGAAGCAATTAACAAATTAGACTTTAGATCAAAAGGGAAGCTTGGAGTTTTAGGAGGATTCTTAATACATTCTGTGTTAGGATCTATGTATATTTGGTCTAACTTGTGCGAATATGTTTCTGCTTATTATGTTTAGTAATAGCACCAAGACTTAACAACAAAATAGGCAAATATTGTATTTCCAATTTCTCTTTTATTCTCCCCATTAGGGATATTTTTTGGTGTTCGTTTTGCTGATAAGTATGGTCAAAAAAAGGTAGCATTTTTGAGCGCTCTAGGAATAAGTCTTAGTGTTATTTTAAGTTCATTCGCTACTAAATACTGGGTATTTGTGATCTTTTATGGGATAACTAACGGTATTTCCATGGGATTTATTTACATGATTCCACTTGATAATGCTCAAAAGTTTTTTCCAAATAGAAAAGGAACTGTTTATGGAGTTATCATATGTGGCTACGGGTTAGGATCTTTAATGTTTAATTGGGTATTATATTATCTCATAAACCCTTCAAACATCAAAGCAGAGTGGAATGAAGCGTATTAAGAGTATATGTATCCTCCATAAGTTAGCGTTAATCTGCCTCATGCTCTACTAGGGTTGGGTTTAATGTATTTCGTTATAGCTTCGATAGGGTCATTATTAATTATCAAACCCTCTCAAAGAGATTTATTAGAAATCCAAGCAAGCATGGTTAGCCTGCAAAGTCTAGAATAAAATGCTAATTAATTCAAAGAAGTTGCTTTTGAAGTAGCTAGTCCTGACAATAAATGTGACGAAAAAAACTCTGAAAAAAATAAAAATTAATAGTTTTAAGAATAAAAAAAAAATAATTAATAGAGTATTTAGAACGAAGTAACGGTTATCACTTGGTAAGCTGGACCAAGCACTTAAAAAAATGATTAAAAAATTGAAAAAATGAGATAGGATTAATTATAAAATTTAGGTGCAAATGAATGTAGTAGTTTATCTGTAGCTTTGAAACAGAAAGAACTTTATGTATCCTTAATACTAGGTTGCATAGGTGTATGCTATGGCCTTGTGATAGCCTCAAATTACAAAAGCTATGGTCTAAATTATCACAACGATGACAAATACTATTACTATATTTCCACAATAAGCTCATTTGCCAACGGCTCTTCAAGATTTTTTTGGGGATATATGATGGATAAAATAAGGATAAAGCGCTTAATTATATTAAATTTGTTAACACAAATATTAATTAATATAACTTTGCCTTAAATTGTGTAAAGCTAATTATTATATGCTTTCTGTATAATATGTGCTTTCTTCTGTTATTGTGGATGGTATGTTATAATGCCCACTCATTGCTATCGATTGTTCGGATCAAAGATAGCATCCCAAGTTTATGGTGTGCTTTACATGGGATTTCCTTTATCAGGAATGATTCAGTAAGCTGTAGTTTTAAATTTTAGTTGGCAAAATATTTTTATAATTATTTTTGGCATCTAAGCTTTTGGGCTTATGATAGTAAATGCATTTTCACTAAACATAAATTGGAGAGAGTTGGCATTATTGGAAAGTATCAAAGAATCCTGCCAAAAAAATACTGAAAACGCTCTAGAAGCTAGAACAAGCTCTTAATCAACATAAAAAGATGAATAAACAAATAAAATTTAAAAAGGATTTATCCAAAAAAACGACTACCAAATAATGGATTATGAAATATGAAACAAATAAGGAAAATACTAAAACTAAAATCAATTAGGAATTTATCAAATCAATAAATTTCACTTAATAAAAGAAATAAAATTAATTAATAAATATAAAATTCATTCTCATTATTTTAAAATAAAGTAACGTTGGATGAAAACAGGTTCAATACCATTTAGGTTATTTTTTAATAATTTATTTATAAATTTTATTTTTTAGGTGTTAAAAAATTAATTTACTTAGATTCATAATTTGAGAGATTATATAAAAAATGTTTTCTTGGAAATATTATTCAAATTTAGTGTATGTAAATATATATGAATGAGTTTATTTATTCCTAAAATATTTTAAATTAAGATAAATTAATTCTTGTGACTTTGGTTGGTATTTGTATCAAAAAAATAAATAAATAAATAAATAAATAAATAAATAAATAAATAAATAAATAAATAAAATATAAACCTAGCTTTTTTGTTTACTTTTAAATTAATTTGTGTAAAATTAATTTTATTAAATTTTGAGTTGAAATAAGTAAAAAACAGTAAATTATAATTTAAAAATAACATAAAATTAAATAAACATTTTACAAAAATTTAAGACAAAATGATTAACAAATTAAATAGTACAAATAAATTTTTTACAGAAAACAATAAATAATTATAATTTTTTTTTTTCAAAATAGATTTCTGAAATTAAAATAAAAATTTTGTTAACTTATAAATTATTTTAAGCGGAAAAACGAAGTCATCTGAATGACACCATGGTTTATTTAGCATATTAGGTATATGTAGATTTTTGTTTAACTTTTTTAGTTTTTCTATTTATCTTGAGATAGTATTAGTACCATCTTTTCAGGACATTTTACAAATTATAGTATTAGAAGTAATGGGTAAAGTCTTACTGTTGGTCAATTTTCCAAATATAAGAATCTTTGTCCATCTCTAAGTATTAACCTGACTCTACTCTCTATTAATAAATCATTTAATTAAACATCATTGTGTTTCCTTGTCTCATATATGTTTAAGGGCCGTCCTTTTTCCCAGCTTCATGCAGATGTAAAAGAGAAGCACCTTATTTATCGTTTTTTTGTGCATAAAGCTAGCTTGTTGGATCTAGAGAAGAATGATAATGTTTACTTTCTGACTTTTTGATGTCCATTTTTCCATAAGCTGACTAAATATTGTGCTAACTATCAGACTTTTACCTGCCATTATTATTGTTCGAACCTCTCCTTATATTTTAATTTGTTGAAATAAGTTTGCTAGAATGTGGAATATTCCTATCAGAATGACTTTCCCTGCCCATACCAAATTGATTTCTATTTAAATTATCATCTGAGTGATAAAGTTAAGGCGATAAAGGTGCTCTATCATTTTGTATAGGTGCAGGTGACTAAAATGTTGCTATTGTTTATTTAATAATAAATTTAATTTTTATAATGAATTTAATAAAAAGTTTTTTTACTTTTTTTAGTTTATTTTTTTTTGTCATCTCTTTTGGAGAAAGCCTTTTAATTTAATAATTTTATTTTAATAAATTTAATTCAAATACTGATAAGTTTTTAGAGTATTTTTTTATAATCGAGAACTTTTTATTTTTAGAGTTTTGAATCTAAATAAAAAATTATTTCAAAAAAACTTACAAAATTATTTTTAATTTATTCATTTAAGCTGTAATTTTTTTTTTTTTGAAAATAAAGGATAAAAAGCTAGTTTGGATTTATTATGAAACGAAAATGAAAATATTTAATTAACTGATTTATCAATTAAATATGGTAAAACAATCCAAATATAAAGAGAAACTAGATATATTTACCTTTTTTGCTCTTGGAGGAGAGTTTATAATATGGTTATCATAGTCTATTTCTTCGTCTTCTTTTATAGCATTAGATCCAAAAAATGTTTCTATTACTTAATTCTATAATTGATCGCCATAGATTTGATTTGGAGCTACTGAAAAAGTTTCTAATGGAGTATTCGCTCCAGCTGGATTTGTTTTGGACTCTCTTCTTTTTAGACTTTTTTACAGTTTTAAAGAGTTTGCACTCTCCATAACATACTCAGAATTTGTGTTATTACCATTATTTTTATGACTAAGACCCATTTTATAATTAATACTTGTTTCGTCATCTGAGTTTTACTTTTCTTCAATTGACTGATTGTTAACTTCATATTTTTTACTGTACATGTCTTGCTGACTCATTTATTATTCATAATAGGATGATTGAGTTTGTTCTGTGTAATCTTCACAGTTGGAAGATCCAAAATCATTCATTTCTTAATATTGTAGAATATGATAAGCTAAGTTCCTCTGTAGAGATACTGAATTAGTGCTCCTTAAAGGATTTCTATGGTGGCCTTTGCTTCTTTCTTAGTCAGTATTTCTTAAGTGTCTAAATATAATATACGGATTTAGCTTATCAAACTAAACTTTGTTACACTCAGAAAAAGTATGTTCTTAACTTTTACATACATAACAAATAATCTTCTTACCAATCTTAGTATTTTTATCTAAATAAACTTTATCTTTCAGTTCCATAAACTTTTCGAAATCTTCTTTGTTTTCCTTTATAATGTTGAGGAATAAACTTCTTTAAATTTTAATCACATGGGTATATTTCTTAGACATAATATTAGCAATTTTATCTGTTCCTGTTATAAAACTATGCAATCCAAATGTCTCCCCATCTTTGAGAGTCACAAGGTCTTTTTTATTTTGGACATTTTTTTTCATGTTTATATTAACCTCAGATCTAATATCATAATAAATACATTTGAAAATTAGATAGAATATCATCTAAAAATATACTTAATATAATTATTTGAAAGTAGTTTTTATGCATCGTCGTTTTCTTATCCTCTGACAATACCTTATGCTCCTCTTTCAATGTATAATACAACTTTTTAAAATAATAACTTTTTAATCAATGTTTTATCTATAAAAATAAGTAAGCAATATACCACTTCCTTTGATAATTAAGTAAATATTATCATTAAGGGTCTCTGCATCACAATTAAATATAATCTGATTAGGTGCATAGACTTCCTCTTCCATAATTGAGTAAAGTTTTACCATAGTATCTTCACTGAATAAATCATAAAAAATTGGGAACATCTTTGCTAGTTTCTAGTTAGATTAAACTAAGAGTTCAGATTACATTTACTCAGGTAGTTTATTAATAATTTCTTTTTCTTAACCAACTTTATCTTTACTTTGTTACTAATAATAGTTAAGTAAACTTAAATTAGCTCTCCTTCTAAGACTCCTTTTTATAAAATTATGTAAATAACATTTTGCAATTAAATTTTTTAAATTAATTGTTCATAAAAAAAACTAATCTTGAATAATATTCTTAAAATTTAAGCTATTTATTTCTAAAATATATTATACTTTTTATCTTAAAAGATAACAATTATAATTTTTTAAAAATTGGGATTTCTTGTTTAACATTTTTTAGACTTTGCTTACTTATTCTTTTCATTTTAAAGCATTTAGGAAAATCTTATTTGTTTGAGTAAGTTAAGCATTTATTTAACATTTTTTATTTTTTTAAATAATATATAAATGATTGATTACAGGTCAATTTTTTTTCTTTTCATAAACTAGTTTAGAATGTTGAGATCTTTTTTATATTCTTCATTTTATTTGTCAATTTCGTTGAGAATTTCACCAATTGAATTTAGTAGATAAACAAATAGAAGGCTGGAAAGTAACATTATGGTTGATGAGTAAGCTAATTCAAGTAAAGTAACAGGCTTTTCTTGGGAATTGTGCACTATTTAAGAAAAAGACCAGTAAAGAGCTTCTAAATAGTAAGTCTACCAAGGAAGAGTAGCATTTGCATCTCCGAGATGCTATTAATTAATATTTTAAATCCAGCATTCATCATCTTCCATAAAATGCTCTTCAATAAGTCCAAGACTATACCAAGAGCATGCAATAATGTGCCCGAATATAACAACTTACATACAGAGTTTAAATAGAGTAAGTATATAGGGTCTTTATAGGACTTGTAGAATGTAAAATTCTAGTTTCTAAAGAATAATCATCATACCTTTTATCTTAAGCAATAGAGGTAAATGGAGCAAAATATTTACTAAGTTATTTGGGGATTTGTTTCCTTCAAAAAGAATAGGAATAATTTCAAAAAAGAAGTATTCTTTGAGGTAAATTTTCATAATAACCTTTCTATCTGTAACAAATTTATTGTCATGATAGCAAGATGTATTCATCTAAATCAGCATTTCTGAAATCCAACAAAATGTAGCTATTGAATTAAAAATATTGTAATAAGAGCCAAAGTGAGCCTCGAAGAACACTTCTACTGACATAATAAATAAATAAAAGCAGTTATAAGCTACAATTATGGTGTTGATAATTAATTTGATAGGATTTTCAGGGTTTATCAAAGGAATTTTATCTATTCTCAAGCATCTTAGAATTAAAAGAATAAATTCAATTAAAATATTAAAAAAGAAAGAAAAGTTCAATTTTCTCTTCATTAAAAACTATAAGTCATCACTAAGATCATTAATATACATTCTTATATTAGAATCTAGATATCTTACTTTACCACTGAAAGTTTTGGTTTCTAAAAACTTTCTCATTTTAGGGAGGATAAAAGTAACCATTCTTATCTAAGTCTAAAATTTTTTTGTTGTTTCATTCTTTTTTACCATATATCTAGTGTTATCATCTCCTCCATTTCTATTAAATGATAAAAAATTTAAAAATAACGAAAAATTAAAAATTATTTCTTAAAAATATTCATTTTTTAAATTAAATTTGGAAAAACCTTTTTATTTTTAACTAAATTAACAGTTCACTATTTTTAAACAATCAAAACATATCTCTATCACTAATTAAAATTTATTTGATTTTAAGAAATAACTTTAAAATTGCAAATATTCAATTATTTCTATAGAGTAAATTATTATATACTAATAACCATTCATTCATATTAGTAATAACTATTAATAGTAGAGAGTTCACTCGAAAAAAAAAATAAACTTTTAAGCAAATATTTTAAGCTAAGCTACTGCAAGACAAAGTTTTCTTACATATATTTTTAGAAGGGAAATTTCATAGCTGAAAAGTAGAAATATCTAATTTATCCTAATGTCAATTTTATTGTAAAAATGCTTACAGGTTTTTATTTTTGAAAATGTCTTCGTTTAAAGGAGTTGCGCCTAAATGCATAGAACTATCGTTGTGGGCATTATTTTTTGTATCTCCATTAATTATTCCAAGGTTTTTAATCTTGAACAAATTGGTATTATTCGATCTACTACGCAAAAATGACATAGAAACATTTGATTTCTATGTATTTGGGTTGTCTAAAAATTTTAATCCTCCTAACATATCTTTATCTGTATTCTATTTCTTATCTAAATTGATGGTGTTAATTGAAATTTTATCATCAATATGCATTGAACTTCCTATATCTTGCTTTTACGACTTTTACATATCAAGAGACTTTATGAATGAGCTATCTCCTCCCTGATTTTGATGAAAGTGGTAGCTATGTTTACTTGAATCTGCATTTTCATCATATCTTTCACTATTATCTACAGAGAATGGAGTATCTTTTCTCATATTCATCATATTTAGTTCTTTGTGCTCGCTAATGTTAAACACCATACTTTTGTTCTAACGCTCAGCAAACTCACTCTTTTTACTAGAGTTCATATCTTATAGAGACGTGTTTATTAAATTTAAAATTTCAGAAAAACGTTTGTTTTTCTACTCTCCTACTATTTAATATTAACAAAAAACTAGTTAAAGTGATATTCTTATTTAATCTATCTATCTTTTAATTCACTTAAAATTTATAAAAGTTATTTACAGTCTATAAATAATATTTTCAAGACAAGCATAAATCTAAAAATATTATAAATCCCACTCTACTTTTAATAATAAATTTATTATTTGTCACTAAAAAATTACAGATTTTTTCAAGTAACAATTTCGTTTAAACGATAAAAAAGCTATTACCTAGCTGATAATAATAATTTATTTTGATTTAATTCTAATAATTAAATAAAATTACAAAACAAAATTCACTTTTGGAGTATATTTTCAAAAATTTGGTATCGATTTATTTACTCATCTTCAAAGACCTTACAAATAAATAAATAATTATAAGTATAATTTAAAAAAAATTTATTTATTTCTATTTGTTTTTATCTAACCAGGATTAACTTTAGTAATAAAAATATGCTGTTAAATCACAAAAACAAACGAAAAAAATGAATTTTTTTACAATAAAAAGCCTCAAAAAAGATAAAGTATTGCAAATATATATTTAAGAACAATACAAATTGATTAAAAATTAAGCACTATTTATTCATAATTTTCATTACACAAACCTTCCTAGCTAATTATAAATTAAATTTATTTCTTAATGAAATAAATATACACTTGCTGAAATGAATAAATTTAAGTAATATTTTATTTCATGATATATTTTATCATTTTAAAGTATCTGAATTTTTTAGGGTGGCTATAAATAGATTATGGAGTTTGGCTACATCTATGATAATTATAGCCAGCGTTGAAATTTGAGTTTGTATTTTCAATAGTGGAGATTTTTAAGAAAAAAAATAATTTGGAGGTGAGTCTTAATTATTGAAGAATTAAAGTATATTGTGATTTATTATATTATGAATCTTAAATTGTAAAATTAAATTCTTTGGTTATAGTAGTATAAGAAAGTAATATCTAATTTATAATGATATATATGATTTTAAATATTTAATAAATGAGGTTACAAATTTATATTTATTAATTCATAAACTGATTATGCAATTTATTGAATATTAGCTTATCAATAATATTTATTATTATAAATGAATACTTAATCAAAAGCATGAGCGATTTATTTTATTTTACAAATTTATTATTTACAAAAATTATTATTAAAATAAGTAAGCACGTTTTAATTAAATAAATGCTTACTTATTTTTGTTTACAAAATTCATTTTAATACTATTTATCAATTTAAATCATTTTCACTTGTTTTTATAATGCGATCATCTTATGGCAGCTAATTAATTGACATGCTAGATTACTAGCGAGATCTTTGCTTTGATTCTAATTGAATTCCAGAGGGCCTTAGTAACTTAATTCCAGAAATGGCTTTTAGCTTAGTTTTAGTTGTTCTTAAAGTTTTTTTTCTTTTACCATTTCTAACATATAAATTATTATTAAATCTCCTAATTACATTGATATAATTGTAATAGACATAATAATTTTGAAATTCGTGTACTTTATCAATCTTCCACTCAAAATACTCATCAGTTTATAGGTTTTCTTAAGTTTGCTATTGTTGCTAGCTATAAAATTTTTTAATAAAGTTTGCATCTAAAAATCTAATCGAATGACGATGCCTTCCGTGAGTATTCATAGTGTTAATATTAGAAGTTTTGAGGAATTGATTGTTTGATGCTTCATCTTTTTCTTTTTCATTATTTATTATTAAGATAGATTTTCTAGGAGCCAAAGCAGGTGTAGCCCCGGCTAGTTCATAAAAAACAGAAGGTGATTGAGGAGATCTTTCCTTAAAAGTGTTAACATTTGATTTGGTTTTTTCATAAATGCTATCCAATTTAGATTAAGGAGTAAAATCTACTTTTTATGATTCAGTTTACCCTTTTGGAGAAATTACATCTTGTTCACTGCTTAATTTATAAAGTGAGCTTTTTTTGACATTATTTGTCATATTGTGATGCGACTTAGTCCTTGATCTAAAGAAATTACTTATCTCTTCATCTCCTATGTACTCTGATGCAAATTCTTTTTCAGTCTATTTTATTTTAATAAAAATATATTTTAAAATGATTTTTAAATTAAATCTAATTCACTTTATTCAATAAAATTTTTTAATTAAAATTAGAATTCAAATTTACTTGTTTTGTTGTTTGTTATTTTATGTTATATGGATCTTCTAAGTTTTCTGACTATAGAGAAGTGATATCGAAGGACTTTAAGGCACTTAAACTATATTTTTTTTTTATTATTGACTTAATCATTTTTTCATCTTGAACATTTTAAATTTAATCTTTTAATGATGATTAAGATTTTTAATCATTATCTTCTTAATCATCGCTTTATGACTCAGAAGATGAACTTTGTGAATTCTAAATAGGGTTTCCTTATGAATCAAAAGAAATATCGTGATCACTATCTATTAGACTATTATCTTCAGCATAATTTTTAGCTTTATCTTCAATACTTCTTTTATTTTAGAAGCAATTAAGCTTTTTTAGCTTTCTTTGTAAAACATTGTTATTTCGTATTTAATTTGGACTATAGTTAAAGTGATGAAAAATATATATATTTTATTTGTCAAAGAAAGTTTTGTTGCAAAAATCGACCATGTGATCTTAACTATGACAACCAGCGCAAGTCAAATCTTTTATCACTTTATAATTTTTATCATAAAGTATCTTATCTTTTATTTCCATAAATTTTTCATAGTCAGCCTTATTTTCTTTGATCACAGTAAGAAAGTTATTTCTATTTATTTTTATGATTTAGGAAAATTTATTACTCTGCGCACTTATATTTTTATCAATTCCAGTAATAAAGTTGAACAAACCAAATGAATCTCCGTTTTTCAAAATTTGCAGTGTCTTTTTAAGCTTATGAATACTATTCTCTGGTTATTGCTACTTCTTGTTGAAATATCTTTTTAAAATAAATTTATTAAATTTACACAAATAATAATAATTATTATTTATATTCAAAATCTCAATTTCAATATAAAAAGTTAAATATTTAGTTTGAAATTTCCAATAATATTTTAATGTTATAAGCTAATTATTTTTAAAATTTTAAAAATCAAGGCAAAGATTTTTTTTTTTAATTATAAAATTAAGTACATTGAAGTAGACTGAAAATTTATTGGCTGTCCAGATGTTTAGATTTCTTCTCTCTCTACAAAAAGGGTAACTATAAATAATAAATTAATTTGAGTTTCATTCATTTAATTATGATTTTGTTAAAATACCTTAGCCTTGCTAAATCAAAAATATGCTGTCTTCATGCCCTTAATATTAACTAAATATCATTTAATTAGGTGCATAAATGACTTCTTCCATAATATTATATAATTTAGATATTGTTTCTTGTGAAAAGGTTTAGTAAAACAATGGAAATTGCTTTAGAAGCTTATGGTTAGAAGAGTAAATAAGTTCATTTTAGATGTATGGACTCAATTTAGAGATAGTTTCTTTTTCTTAAATTATTTTGTCTCTTGATTATTAATGGTAATACTTGAGAAGATTTGAATTCACTCTTCTTCTTAGACTTCTATTTATTATTATAAAATGTTTTATTATAAAATTATTTTGATTTTTATAAAATGTATTACAAATCTATGTTTCTTCTCTTCATATATGAGTTTAAGATGTTAAGGTCTTTTTTATATTCTTCTTGCTACTTTGAAATGTCTGCTAGAATATTTCCAATAGAATTCAACATAAAACCAAATATAATGCTCGTAAGCAACATAATTAAGCATGAGTAAATCTATTCAATATCATTACTCGGTTTTTCTGACAAGTTGTGCATCATTATTGCAAAGGACCAATACAAACATTCTATATAAATTACATGCCATTCCGCTGATTGAAACTGAGCAACCCATGTGTTTTGCTCTCCTAATACATGTACCTCAAAGCTAGATATTATATTTCTAGTACAAGCAATAATATGTCCAAGGATTATAATATTCCCACACAGTTTAAGTAGGAATAAGATATAATGCTTTTCTAACATTTATAGTGCATAAAACTCAATTTTTTTTAGGATAATCATAATTCCCTTAATTTTCAGAAGCAGTGGCAAGTGCAACATAATATTTATTGGGATAGAATCCGAACTTCTCCCTTCAAAAAGTAGGGGAAGAATTTCAAAAAAAATATACTCTTTAAAATAAATTTATAATATTAGTTTGCGATCTTTGGTAAATGTATTGTTATAATATGTAGCTGTGTTCATTTGTAAAAGCATTTCTGTTATCCAAGCACCTAAAGCAATAGAATGGAATATATTAGCATAAGGAAAATGGGCTGAAAAACAAACTTCGATAGAAGTAATGAATAAAAAGAAACAATTATAAGTTACAATTATAGTATTTATTGCTAATTTGATCATGTTTTCAGGATCAAAAAGAGGTATTTTATCAAGCCGAAGTAATACACATATTTTTTCAATTATTGAAAGAAAGCATTCCAACATTTTAGCAAAATAATTTTTTGAGTAGCCTTTTCTCTTATTAAAATCACTTTAATCATCAATCAAGTCTCTTATTCTTTCATTCAAAAATCTAGTTCTGCCAAGATATGTTTTTGTTTCTAAAAATTTTCTCATTTTTGGTAAAATTTAGATGATAAGTTTGAATGATCCTTTGATTGTTTTTTTAATTTCACCTTTTTTTGAATAATCAATGTTTCTGTTTGTCATTTCTCCACTATTTTACCTATTTGATATGAGTAAATAAATATTGAGATTAAATAATTGAAGGTTTTAATTAGGAGTCAATAAATAAACACAATCTTTAAGATATTTTTAGACTCTAAAATAATCAATTCAGTAATTTATTATTGCAAAAATAATTCTTAAATGATAATTTGAGTAAGATTCTTAATAATGATTTTATTGTTATGTGGAAAATTATATTATGAGCTATTTAAATATGCTAATTCATTAATTCTAAATTATTTAGTTTAATATAGAAAAAGTGTAAATCTTTAAAAAAAATATGTATATAAGTGATTGCTAGACTTTTCAAAATTTGATAAATTGGATGGCTAATTATAAAGTATTCACTAAATTTATTGTAAATTTGATAATTTTTGTTTTTACAATTAATGATTGTAAACTAAATTTTTTTTAATAGTTTTTAGTTAATTTACCTCTCCCTTCTGTTTTAATATTTATCAGCTTCAATTAACTATATTTGCTTTTCTAATCCTAAAGTATTTCCATTCATGTTAGAAGATGCTTCGAAAATTGAATTTCTTATTGTACCTTTTTACATCAAATCTCCGTTAATCGTATTTTCGTCCAGCAACTTATTATCAACTGAATTATAATTTGAATTTTTAAACATTACAGATTTGAGCCCAGCATCTTCTTTCATACTCTATTAGCCTGTTTGATGAGTACCATTGATGTTGTTAGCACTTGATATATAATAAGCTTACAGCTATTCTAAATCATCAATTTCATGAGGACTTAAAATCTCTCTTTAGTAATTTCCATTTCTACTATCTAAGTTGAAAATAGGATTTTTTTAAAAATCTAAATGCTCAAATTCTACTATCGATTCTGTTTTTAAATTTATCTTTTTAAGATCCTCATGATCCTATTTATTGAAATTGAGTTTAGATCTATTAACTCGAATCATTCTATCAGATATTGGAGGCTCATACATTTAAGTTTAAATATTTTTATTACTACCTTTAGTAGTAAGGGCTCGTTTATTATTCATATCCTTTTCATTATATTTACCATTCTTCTAATCTCGCTTAACCTCCTTTTAATTTTTTTATCTATCCATTAATTATGCTTTTGAATACTGTTAATAGCTATTAAATTAAAATTGTAGTCAATATATATAATATATTAATAAAGGTCTTTTTATCTTTTACTTAAAATTAATTAAAAATAAGGAAATTCAGTATTTTATTTTTTCTATTGTAACAAAACCCATTCACCTTCACCATTACTATTATAAAAATAAAGCAAAACCTTTAATAATTAAGTCCTTTCACAGGTTATATATCACAACTACAGCATATTATTATTTACTAGTTTATTTTACACAAAAAACTATTTTTTTTCAATCTATTTAAACTTAGCTACTTACTTATAATTTAAATTTTATTACAAACCGAAAAATACTTATTTATTTTCAAAATAAAATTACCGAAAATAACTCACAAATAAAATGTTATAAGATAAAGAGATAAAAACTTAGGGTTTTTAAATGTTTTAAATATAAAAAAATATGGTTTTGAAGAAACCATTATATTCTTAATAGTTGAATATTTTTTAGCAGCGAGTGGAGCTCAAAATATTATAATTAATCACTAAATTAAAGATATATTGTTAATAAATTCTTTATATTTTCTAATTATTTTAATTAAATCAAAGAATGTCAAATAGTCTTTCTCCAAGCAAACAGTCTACAAAAAGTACTCCCTTACAAATCACCAAAAAGGATGATATGAAGTAGATATTTAAAAATTAGGTAGACAGGTAAATTTCAAATAAAAGAAATCAAATAATATGCGAATTATTAAATCATTTTACAATAAAGTCTAAAAATAATTAGACAAACTTTAGGAGAAGTTTAACAATTAAATAAAGTGAGTCAATTAAAATACAAACAAGTAAAAGAAAATTATGAGCTACAATTACCTAATCTCAAGAAAATAAGAAAGGATCTTGATGTTATTCATAAATCAATTGTGAAAGTATTAGTAATTGAAGAAAGAATAGAATAAATTAAGCAGGTTAGAGAGGAATAATCTAAAATTGAGCAATAACCAATACAATAAAATATCTAAGCTTAAAATATTTAAGCTGAAGAAAATATATAATAAATATGAAGAATTCCATAAATTACATGATGATAATTTAATAAATACAACCATTAAATTTAAAAATTGAAATATTTAGGGTAAAATAAGGAGCCCTGCGCTGAACCACTAATTTTATAATATATTAGAACTTAAAGTATTACTTATTTGTTTAAAACAGTAAATTATTATCAACACAAACATTTAAATTTTAAGCTAAATACTATTAAAATAAATTTTATAAATGATTTCATTTTGCATCTTTCTCTTATTCTTATTCTCCATCTTCTTCTTCATCATCATTTTCATCTCCAAATATTGATTAAAATAACTAAATTGGAGGCTTTTCTTTAATAATTTCTTTTTAATCCAATTCCATTTCTTCAATGATTTTTTTGTTTTCTTAAATTTCTGAGTCTCTTTATTACTTTTTATCTAAGTAGGATTTTGAAACATCGTACATAAAATTATTTTCTTCAAACTTATTTTCCTTTTTATTGATTAATTACATTAATTATATATCTAATAAATAATAATAACTTACTTTTTTATTATTTTTTCCTCGAGTGTCTTACTCGAAATCTTCATCTAAGTCCATATCATTTTCATCTTTATATGAGATCAAACCATATTTATTTGATTTAAATTCAGTAGGTAGTCCAAAAGACTGAATACTTTTTGATTCCTATACAAATGCTTTTGTTTGTAAGATATTTTCTCTATCTTATAGTTATTTAAATTCTTCCATTTTCTTATCAAAATACTCTTTATCTTTGTATGGTGGAACTACACCAAATCTTTTACAGAGAAGTTTATCAGGAAAAAACGGTTTAGTTGTACGAAAATTCTTTATTTCATCCAATTTTTTTTAAAGGTCATCAATTTTATCCATGACAGTTTTTTTCTAGTTTGGATTTTTCTCTTGGATTTCATTGTATAATTTTTAAAATTCCTTTTGTTCAGCCTTCATATCTTTGTAGCTCATAAGCTTCATTCATAATTTTAAAAGTTAATATAAAATGTCGAATTAATTATTTAAACTGTTTACTTAAGCCACTTGAATAAAAATCCCTTTTCCTTCTTTTTCTTGCACCCAAGATTAGTAACGTTGTTGTTTTAAAGCATCCCAAGATTTATAAGTTTAGTGCTGGCTTTCTTTAGTGTCTTGCTCATCTTCCTCTTTTGCTTTTACAAACTTCTTTGTCTCAATTTATTCCTTTATTTTATCTTTATAAAATAATTATTTAAAATTTGAGATCCTAATAAAGTTCTTACCCATTTCTTGTTAGCCTTCGAGTATTGCCTATCTTTGCTCTGCATTCAACTTTTAAATTTTTTTCTTTTATTTTTAGAATTCTATCATTTTTCCACCACTCTTAATATACTCCTGCATCTTTTTATATGGATTATAGCTCTCAGGAACGATTATCTTATTTTATCTAAAAAAAAATTAAAATAATAATAGAAATAAAAAGAAAAAAATACTTCAATTATATTTGCAAAGGTTAAGAATCTTTTATAAACAGTAAGTTTAGTCCTTTCATTTTCATATATGAATGTTTCAGCATTTTCTGTGAGTCACCTTATGATTTGATTACTTCCTAATTTTCATCTAGAAATTTCAAATTATTTTATTTAAGCAAGAACATGTAAATTAAATAATTACATTCAATAGCTTTTTTAGATTGATTGGCAAAAACATCATCTTCATCATCATCATCGTAATTGTAATCACTCTTAAAATCAGTATAAATTCTATTAGACTATTTCTTTTTTTCTTACTCTTCTTCTATCTCTTCTTAAGTCAAATATGATCTCTTCATAATCCTATTAAAATCTTCTTCTGCAAACTCATCAATATCGCTTTTCTCTAATATAAAAAAAATAGTCAGTCGATTTACAAAATTTTAATTTATGAACTATCTTCAAATCTGAAAAAAAATGATTCTCATATTTTATTTAGTATAAAGATATAATAAAATTATTTAATTTACTTTTATCCTTTATTTGTTTTAATTAATTTGAGTTGTTCATATAATTTAAATAAAGAGATTTATTATTGAATTCATTTTAGGTGTATAAAACAATAAAATTTGTAATATATTTATTTATTCTTGCTATAATTTTAATAATTACCTTTGCTATCTTTGAAACCAAAGCCATGAAAGTTAGTTTTTATTTTATAGTTTTCCATATTGTCAAAAGTCTGCTTTGAATTATTTTGAGTGAAGTCTTCATCATTTTTATCAAAGTCATCTATATTAATTTCTTCATCTTCTTAATAATCTTAATCACTTTGCTATATTTTTTGTTCTTAAATTTGCTTTATAATTGCTTCTTTTTTCTTTCTCCTAAACTAAATATTATTTAATATCTCCCATCCTATTGTCTTTCTCTATTCTACTAGAAGTTCAGAAGGTACTTCCCCAAAAAAGCTTTTCAAAATAATTTATTAGACAAATGAGATTTGTTGAGTTTTGAGTGATAAAATTTACATACTTTTCTCCAAATTGCTTGGTTTGCATTTTTTCAAATTAATTACTGAAAGTATCATAGTCTTACTTGGTAGTCAAATTTGCTCCTATTACATGGGTTCCCTTTATTATTTATAATAAGTAATTCAAGATTATTTTATTATTAATTTTACCAAGTCTTCTTCATCCATGTAATCTTATATTGACTGAGCATTATTGTTATTATTAGCTATTTTTAGTTTAATTAAATGAATATTTTTTTATTTCTACTTCTGAAGTTTGAAAGTTACCTCTGTTTTATCTTGAAGAAAAGAATGTCTTAGGTACAAAACCTTATTCAGACCCAACTGTTCCTTTATAACCCGCTGAAAATCCTCCTTTAAATAGTTAAAAAGTTAAAATTTAAGATCTTAATTCAAATAAAATACCTGTAAATGCACCATGAAACCTTTTATGTCCTTTTTCATTAACAGCCTTTTGAAAATATATTATTAATAATTAAATCTCCATTAATTTTTAATAATTAAAACCTTTTAATTGTAAAAATTTTATTTTTATTTAATTTCTTCTTCTTCAAATCGTGTTCCAATTAGTATTTTATCCATTTTTTAGAATATATGAATAATGTTAATTTATATTAAATAATTAAATTTTTTATGAATGATTTGATTGCTTGATTTACAAAATAAAAAAAAATATTGATTAGATATTTACTATTAGAAAGATATTGCATATAATCATAAACATATATACATTTAGTGTCTAAATATCAATAAGCTAATTTAAAAATAATTTTAATCAAATCTTAAATTTTTTTATATCAAACAAAATATTCAAAAATAAAAGTGAAATTTAAATTAAAATATTTTTTTCATATTTAAATCAAAATTAAAATGGATTTTCAGATAAATATTCTTATTTTAAAAAAACTATATTTTTATTTATAAATAATAATTTAAAAATCATACTTACGTCTATTTAATTATGTATTATTATTCATTATAGGATGTATAAAATGAATCTAATAATATTTTTTATTTTCTTTTAGATTTATTCAAATGTGAATTTCAGTAGATTTCTTTGATTAAATGAAATATTAACATTTATTCTCATCACATTTTTTTCAATCATAAATTAAACCTTTAATAAACTAGATTGAAATAAGTCTAAATTTATTAATTTAAAAAGAAAAAGTAGATTTTGTTAATTTAACAAAAGTTGAATAAGTTTTACATTTATAATGAGAAAATAAGTAAAACGAAAAGTAAAATTATTTTTTATTTTTGAATATAAAAAAGTAATAGTATGTATTTAATAAAAATAAATTAAAGCAGGATAATCAAAACGAAGAAAATTTAAACATATGTGGAAGGATATGCATGCTTAATTAATTAACTAACTATTAATTCAAAACAAAAAAGGAATTATTTATATGAATATGTATCTAAATGAGTTAATTTTGATATAAAATTTAAATAAAATCAATAATTAAATATATTTAGAAAAATTAACACTAGATAAACAGATCGATTGAATTTATCTTCGTGAAAATAGAATGAGGCAAAAAAAGGCTTAAATCTTAGCTGTTTTAGTTATCGCCTTGGCAATAACTTAAATTGAAGCTAAATATGCCCATAATGTTGGTGTAACTGATTGGACTAGTAAAAATATAGGTGTTATTAGCTAAGCAATTATAGATAGATCATCTATTTACTTCCTTGGCAAATCTGGATTGTTTGGACATATGAGCAGAGAAACAGGTTTGAATAATTAGTTAAGTCAATACATAAATTTAATTTACATTAATAAAAACTTTATAGGTTAAATACAAGTTAGTCATGGTATTGATGATGAAAGAATTATCTCCTGGAAGAGTTAAGATGAAGAATGTAAAATAAATTATTAAAAATTGTATTTAAAAAATGGCGTAGCAACTTCATTTAATTTTACCTATCAAAAGATAATGAAAAGATTTTAGTTTAAGATAAGTCTGGTATTTTCGCATATAATGTTGTTAAATCTAAATTCGATTAAATCAATGTAGAAAAGTAAGTTATTCAAAATATTTAGTCTCTATGACATATTTATTTGATTCCTTTATAAAGCAACATAGCAAAGATGCTTGATCATTCTTTTATTAGTCAATCAACTTTATTGGTACTTACACAAAAAGAGCTTATGCTTGTCTCCAAATCAAGTGCTGAAACACTTTTGTAGGCCTCTGAGTAATAATTTTTAATATAAATTCTTCTTTCATTTAAAAAACTAAACTGATTTTATTTTTTAATTATGTAGAAATTAAGCTTTTATTAAGTTAATCAAATCCTCTTAAAATCACTATGTTTTAATCCTAAGTAACAACAACAAGCAAGTTTGTGTTCAAACTATTTTAAAGGATGACCTCCTTAACAAAAAAATATCAATGCTCTCAAATGAAAAGCAGAAGTGTTGGGAATAATCTTCTGAAGATTTGAAGCCATAAGATCTTGAAAATATTTTAATCAGCGCTAATTATGTTATTTTCAAATCTTAAGCTTACTATTTCAAAGCTAGCAAATTCATTTCAATTCCAGAATTGCAAAAGGAAGTAAATAATAGTTTTTTTGAGTTTGTTTCTTAAGTTTAATAAATTTAATTTTTTAAGGATAAAATTCATTTAGATTACAAGACAGGAGTCTTTGTTATTACAAGAGATAATTAAGCAAGTTTTTATGTTTTAGAAGAGGATTCATTCTATTTAATCTACAAGTTCGATGAATAGGGACTCTTCACTTTTTCATTCGATCATCAAATAGCTAACAAGAAAACTTTTACTTTTATGGCTTACATGCAAAACAACAATTCATGCAAGTTACTCCAAATAAATTTAGAAAATCCAAAGATGTAAAAGCAAGCTGTTTTGATAACTGAATTCAACAACAAAGTCGCTGAATCACAACCTTCTAAAGTAAAATTAAACATAAAATTTCATATAAAATTAAATTATCTTTTATGAATAGTTTTGGTTGAAATCTAAGGATGGACAAGAATTGTTAGTTTAAAATAAAGACTTAAGAACTTATTACTTAGTTTTAGTAAATAATTCAAATTGTTAACAATTATAATTAAATAAATAAATTAATTTAAAAAAAACAGTCAAGCGTTTAACCTGAAGTACCAGGAAGTGGAGAAAAGTGGTTCAGAGAAGATGGATTGGCTCTTTTAGATGGTCTAATTATGATCGATTACAATTAGGTTGAAAATAAAAAAGTTAATTCTTATTACGAATCACTTGGTAAAATTAAAAATTATTTTATTTCAAATTAATAATATTTTTGTTTTAATTTACTAGATAAGAATGGAGTTAACAATCCTATCTTTTTAATTCCTAATTTATTGAAGAGATTTACTTCAGAAATATAAAGTGCTATTACTTATTTCAAATAGAACTCTTCTTCTATCTTGAATTTCTTCTAAAAGCTTATCAATGTAAGAAGTATTTAGGATATAAGTGCCTTAAACAAGGTAAGATTTTGAAAATTTCAAGTAAAAAAATTATTTAACAATTTTAAAACAGCTTATCACTTCAGATGATGAGTATGATGTCACATATGGACTTAAGAAAGTAGTTATAGCTGTTAATAAGAACAGGACTATATATTCTATTGATTCTAAGACTGGAGAAGTTATCTGGAAGTAATACTATACATTATTGAATCAAAAACATTAAATTAATTATTATTATTATTATTTAGGACATCCTTCATTGCCAAATATGTCACTCCCGACTATAACTTCCATGGATTCTTTTAGATTGAAAATAGAAACGGTGATACTATTTCTGAATAGACTTGCTTTATTTACCACTCCCCAGTCACAACTAAGCTTTTCATTTTTACGTAAATTAAATATTTTATTCAAACAAATGCTTACATTTTATGTTTACAAATAGCGCTGATCCCTTAACTGGAAACTTAAACTACGTTGGTAGACATTTAATGAAGTAAGTAAAGAACATTTTCAAGATTCACATCAACACTCCTAAAGTATAACAAGCAATAGCTATCATTGATTAAGATTTTAATATTTATGGATATCCTTCAGAAGTTGCCAACCCTTTAGCTGAAGATGCTCATGATAACATCTTTTACTTACATGATAAAGAAACTAATATCATCAATGGATTCAAATATAATAAGGGAAAATTCTTCAAGATTTGGAATTATTCTCTCTCATCTAAAGTAAATAATTAATAAATGATAAATTCTAAAATAAATTTAAACTTTAAAAGGAATAATTGGTTGATATCCAAAGCTCTAACAAAGAATAAAATCATCCAAAAATTGCATTGTTTGATGATACTAAAGTCATTCTCAAGCATATTGATTACAGTAATATTGCCATATTGACAAAGAAAGAATCATCAGATTCAGTTAATGGAAACGGAATTTTAACTTTGACAATCCTCAACTGCAAAACTGGACGTTAAATTTACAGCTAATACGAAAAAAGTGTTAATTTGAAATACCCTATTAATTTAATTTACGATGAAAACGGTGTTTTTGTCAGCTATTACAACCCTGTTTACTCTATCTTCCAAATTTGGACTGTCGAACTCTTCTCTAAAAAGATGGAAAATAACTTCGTCTCTATGTAAGAAAATGTTTATTTCAAATAAAATGAATAATTTTTTATTTTAATAATTGAACTAAAGGTTACAAAATTATTACTTTTCAGAAAGTGGAGCTAAGTATGAAGATTTTAACTATTTGAATGAAAATATGGACATCATAGCCCTTGAATAAAAATATGGCTATAGTTTAGGTATCAAGAAGATGGCTGTGGTAACTACTAAGTTAAGCTTAACAAAGCGTAATTTAATGATTATCACTCCCAATAATCAAATTCATTCATTGGATCGTGACATCCTTTCAACACGTAGAGCAGTTAAATTACCCAAAGATAATCAGTTGCAAAATGCTTTCTCATTTGAAAGTACTACTTTACCTCCTTACAATTATATGGTCCCAATTGATAGATTGAGTATCATATCTTATCATGCAAATGTAAACATAATTTAAGTCAATGAACTTTAATTAAATTTATTTAAATCTAAAATCAACAGTTAAATGATATCAAAGAAATATATTTCTCTGGCTCTAATTTAGAATCCACAATTCTCTTCGTAGCCTATGGCAACGACGTCTTTATGAGTTCAATTGCTCCAGATAGAGTAAAAATTCAATTTCATTTAAAATAATATTCATTAAAATAAATAATTAAAAGACATACGATATGATCAATGAAGATTTCAACTACATTTTGGTTACCCTTTCAATAATTATTTGTTTTGTGGGTGTTTTCATTGCTAAAAAATATGCATCCTAATCCAATCTCCACAGATTGTTTGAAAACAAGGAAATAGTAACACCTATGTGAAGAAAATTTTATTTAAAAATATAAAGACATAAATATTTCTATTTATTTACTCATTACATGATTTTATGTAATTATTAAGCAAGGAAGCTTTAACATTTTTTTTATAAAATGAATTGCAATTTATTTTAAAAAATTATTTATTTATCTGAATAAAAGTTATTTATATTATTAATAATTAATTAAAAATTTCATTTTATAAATTAACCTTTTGTTTATTTAATTGTTTAGTAGCTATTACAATAGTTATTCTATTACTACAATTTAATTTGATACAAAATAGCTCTAACTTTTACTTTAAAATTTGTGCTTACAATAACCTCTTTAACCTAACAAATATACTAAAATAAAAGAAAAGAATAATAAATAGTTAATCGATTGATTGATATATTATTTGTCTTTCTATCATAAACAATTTTTTCTATATAAAGACTAAGAGTAATTAATATATTTATTTAACTACATTCTTCTTTTTATTGCAAAACTTCAAACAAAATTTACAAAAGTAGATTTCAGTAATTGAAAAGTAGAACAAATTAATTAAATATAATATTTTTAACAATTTTTTTTGTTTAGATTATGAAAATGAACTAGTTAAGCTTTTTAAATGATAAAGAATACCAATATGCTTTCCGTAAAGAAGTAGAAAGTCTTAATGGTTCAAATATAAATATGATTTAAAATGAGTTTACTGAAGTAGGTAAAGGAATGAAATATAAAATGGAAAAATAAGTTATTGATAATGAATTTTGTAAAATATGCTTCAAAAGAGATTCCTTGGTCGTTTCAGATAATTCTCTATATGAAAAACATTAATTTGGTGATTAATTCAAACAAGATAAAAGTTAAATTAGACCTTAAGATGCAAGCGCTTTAAGTTCACAAAATATTGAGAGAATGAATAACCAAAGTAACACAGTATACATAAATGATAATTTATAATTGAGAGAAGTAGAAGCATCTAACTAAATTGAATTAATGAATAATACTTTTTCTTTATTGAAGAAACCATTCAATGATAAATTAGACAACAAATAAAATGAAAATATATTTCACCATGCTTATAATAAACAAGACTAAGAAACAACTATTAGGCCAAAAAATATATCAGATTAAATTAGCTAAAACTCACCTCTTTTAAAAAAATAATAAAGCAAAAAAATGCATTAATAAATAAGCAATCATACAGCTCTTAATGAATCAAGCAATCGCTATTAGAATCCAAATACTCTTCAATGCCCTGATTCTTCGATAATTCAAAAAATTAATTTTGAAAACATTGAGGGTTAAGATAGACATAATAGCGAGCAGGGTTAATAAAAAAAGAAAGTCCCAACTTTTCAGTAAATAACTTAATATTTCTCAAAATTGTTTAAAAAGATTAGTATTAAGAACATATATTAATTTAATATAAAATAATAAATCAAATTTTTTTTTAATAAAATAATTAATCATTTCTTTTGTTTATTAAAGCTCAATTTAAAATGAATTTATTTTTAAAAATGTTAACAATTTTTTAAATTTTCTAACTCTGTATTAACACTCCCTCACACAAAAAAACATTTTTTTAATTGGCTAAATTCTTTAAGAATGAATTTATTTAATTTTTAAGAAATTCTATTTATATCGATAAAAATATTAATTTAATCTTTTCTTTATATAATATTGATCATAAATATGAAAAATATGCATATTTTTTTCAGATATAATTTATCTTTGATTTTTAAGAATAAATTTATTTAATGGGCTGATTATATTTTGCAAATATACTAATCTATCTAATTAATTTACAATACCCTTTTTTAGATATATTGTTAAAATTTATCAATTTTTAAAAATGATATTTTAGTAACATTAAAAAAATTTTTTTATAAATAATTTGCTTAGTTGCAATACTCAAAATCTAACAAAAAATTAATTGCTTTATATAGAAATTTAATCTCTAGTTTTCTTTTTAAATAATAAAAAATGTATTGATTAAGTCTAAAAATTAATGATTTGATGACAATAAACAAATCAACTTCAATTATATTCAATACATTTTTATTTAAAATAAATAAATTTTATAGATTTAAAAGTGAATTTTTCCCCCTAATAATTAATTAAATGAATTATTGATGGATTGAGTTTATACATTTTCTATAGAGTTAAATGAATTTTTATTAAATTAATTTAACTATTGATACTTAATGAATTAATTTAATTTTTAAAATGAGTATTATTATTTAATAATAATTTTATTTATTTTTAAAGAAAAAGTAATGGCAAGATTAAAAAGAATTTTAAATCTGAAAATTTTGTTCGAATGAAATCAGAAATGTTCAAACTGTTTACCTTCATTAAACCAAAGATAAAAAAATTTTTGTTTAATAGGACTATGCTAGGTAGGACTAAATAACTAACTCCCTAAGTTCGTTAACACATAAATGATTATTCAGACTTCACCACTGAAATAGATAAGAGAAATGTTGCTCTTTCTTTTTTGCTTTATTTATTAAATCTATTAGAAATTTTATGCTATAAGCTCAGATTGAATAAAATACCTCTTTTTGACCCAGAAAATATTTTTAAAATTATATTTAACACAATTATTGTCACCTACAATTGGTTTTATATAATTCTTGTTTCTTTGCAAATTTTTTTTGGCGCATACAGCTAATATGACTCTATCTTTACTTACATAGCTGAAGTAGCTTGGATATCTGAAATGTTTGTTTAGATGAATACTGCATGCTACTACAAAAATCAATTTACTAATGACAGAAAAGTAATTATGAAAATATATTTGCAGGAATATTTCTTTTTTGAAGTTATTCCGTTGATATTTTAGTAAAAGACTTCAAGCAATAAATATGTCTATTTTTTACTTAGATTACCATTGCTTTTGAAGTTAAAAGGAATGATGATTATTGTAAAAAAACTAGAATTTTATATATTATTGTCCATTAAGAAACATTATTTACTTCAGCTCTTTAACCTTATAGTTGAAACTCTTCTATTGGGTCATCTTATAGCTTGTATTTGGAACTCAGTTGCTGAGTTTCAAATTGCTGTTTTAGATGTTTAAAATACTTGGAAACAGAACAATAGGATAGATACTACTCATTGGTATAATGTGTATATTGAGTGTATGTACTATGCATTTGCTACTATGATGACAGTTGGAACAAGCCCGACCACAATTATGGAAAAGTCTTTCACAGCCTTATTTATGCTAGTTTGTTCAATGCAATTAGCCTTTATCATCAGTACTATAGACTAAATTTTAAGTGAAATCAATAAATCCTAGAAAGAATATAAGGGAGACTTGAATGTCTTGAATCAATATATGAGAAGAAAAAAGATAGATTTGTAAAAAATTATTTTTATACTTAATCTTCAAAAAAATAAAATTCTCATTTTCATAATTTTCTAAATTTTTTAAATCTTTAAAATTATTTCTCAAATTTATTAATTTTTTTATTGAATCAATTAAGATAAATTGCTTTTTTGTTTAAAATATATAATAAACAATTAAAATTTTGTTTATCTAATTAGATATTTATTTATTTAACTAAAAAATTATTGGTTTATATTTTATTCATTTTAAAATAACAAATAAAAGGAGTTTACAAAGGAGAGTGAATCTACATCTCAAAAAATAATATTAGTAATAAAGTAGGGATAAAATTTTAATAGAGAAAAAGGCGCTCTCTAAGCTCAGCATGTATATGCAAAATGAATTAATTGTGCAATCAAATAAGAAAATTTTAAAAGAGTTTTCTTTTTTCTATAATCTCTTCACAGAGGGCACTCTTTCTAAAATTTATACAATAATGGAGGAAGTTGTTTATGCACCTTTTCAAATTATTTATGGATAAAAATCATATGAAGATGAATCAAAAAGTATTTACTTTATTTTGAAGGGGTCCAGTAAATATTTTAAATTTAAAATATATTTCAAATTATTCGTTTTAAATCAAACAAGGATAAAGATTCCCATTCATTTTTTTTATTATTTTTATTAATTTTCGTTAAAACAAAAAAAAAATTAGCAAGAGAATAAAAGCATAAATTATCATTTAAAAATAACCTTAATTCACTGTGAACAAGGTTATATTAGAATAATTTTTGCAATTTTGGATAAAAATTATATTGATTATTATTTTTGAATTATTTAAAAATTTATTTTACTTTCATTTTTTTTAATAATTCTTATATTATTTTTTTAATTATTAATCAAACGAATAAAAATGAAATAGTTTCTTTGTTTGTTGAGAGTAATGGATATGATAATTAAAAGAAACTGATCTTCTTAGATACTTTGTAAGATTTTTTTTTAAATATAGTCTTATTGATTGGAAATTTTATTGATTAGGTAAGGAAAATAAAAGGCTTTTATGAGCTCAGAATTTTAAAAAGGAAATAAGAAAAAATTAATAACTCTTAAGTAAGGATAGTGCTTTGGGATTTATGGTTTTTTCACTGGAGTAGAGAGATTCGTTAATGCCTACAGCAATAACTTTTCAACAATTATTAAAATAGATAGGAAAAAAATGATTGAAATTCTAAAAGAAAATCAGAGAGATTATGAAAAATTTATGGAAATAAAAGATAAAATATATTTTGATTAGAATTACAAAGATTTGAATTTAGAATGTTTTGTATGTAAAAGCACAGAACACTTATTTGACAAATGTGATAGAACTCATTTTCATAAACAGAATCCAATAATTTTCTACAGATTTAACTATAGCACTGCACAAAAAAGAAAATTCTAATAAAGAAAATCTATAAAAAAAAAAAATATAATGCTGTCTATACCACTTCATTCAGAAAAAATACAGAAATTAAGAGAAGAATATAGCTTGCAAGATGATGAAGATGATGACGAAGACTACGATGAAGAAATGAACTAGTATTATACTTATGAAGAAGATGATGATGACGAGGATTTAGATTTAGAAAATGATCCAAATTCTATTTAGCAAGACAATTTCTCCATACAGCAGCATCTTTAGAATGAAGATTCGGAACTTTATGCAAAACATAATCCTGTTTCCCCTACATCTAACATTCATTCAAATATGTAATGTAATTTTCATTCAAATATGAATTAGAGTAACTTGGATTAATAAGATGAGGATAACCAATAAGAAAAAAATAAAGCTTAATCAGATATTGATGATGTTTTAGATAAAGAAATGAAAAACGAAAGATAAATTTCTAACTCATCCTCATAGGATTTATAATCAATCAGCCGCTCCGAAGAAAGAAATTTTGATTAGGATCAGTTGGAACCTAAAAGTAAAAAATCTTTGCACTATTTAAACAAAAAAGATAAATCTGAAATTTAAGATTTAGCAGAAAAAGTTAAATCTTAAGAAAGTGCTATTCTAGTTACAAAAGTGAGATCAAGTTTGAGAAATGTAAAATAATTCAAAATCATTTTTGTAAATTTATTTTTTCATTTTACATGAAGGATTGTTCATAAATCGATCAAGAAGACACATCGTAGTAGATTGGATAAAAGAAAGTTGTAAAAATAAAAAATCCCCCTTAATCAAAAAGACGGTAATCTGTGTAAAGGACTTTACAATCACTTGATAAGTATGCAGAGTAATAAATTGATGAGCTGTCAAATGTAGCTTAAATTTAAACAATTACAACATTTGCATAAAATCCAAAGATACCGATAAATAATGAGATGGAACCTTAGACGACATAGTCGAGGAGATAGTCTATTTAATAGAGTTTATAATAAAAAATTAAATATGAAAAATCCTAAACTAAAACAATTAAAAGAGCTAGCGTTAGATATAACAATAACAGAGTTTCTATTGTCAGAAATGCTACTTTAAGTAATGCATAAAACTAGTAAATACTTTTTAAGAAAATAGGATCTCACTTTTCAGCTGTCGCTTAAATGCCAGGAGACGAAGTGCCCTTTTATTGGAAGATGGATAACCTTAAAGATTATGTAGCTTACTATCCTGAATATAATAGCAATTTTGTCATTAAAAGAGTACAGATGTTCTAGTCTTCATAGATTAGAAAAAAATTAAGGTTGTAAAAAAAGCTAGCACACTCATTATAAACAGCAAACTTAACTAGACTGAAATCAAATTAATTTTCTCCAAGAAGATAAGGCTAGGCCATATTGCAGTAAAATTAATCTAGTTAAATTCATCATTAATAATCTTAGTAGCACTCTTAAATTATTTAAAATCAGTAAATCCCTTCTACATTGCAATAAAAAACCTTAACTCGAGCTTCCTAATTTGAAAGTGAAATTTGAAATCATTTTTATAATTTATGTAAATAAATAAAAAAAATATGCTATTTTTACATTAACACTAAATTCTTTTGTAAAATTTATAAAATTAAAGTTTCTAATTATAATTTAAATATTTATATACATAAAATTATCATTCAGAAATTAAATAAATAATACATAAATATATTCATAAAACTGAAAAAAATTATGGTTTAATAACATATTTTTTTTTTTGAAAAATACAATTGAAAAATAGTTAACCACAGATTTAAATAATAAAAAGAAAATAATAGAGCATACACCATAATTCCAATAATCAGTTAACATAAGGACTTAATAAATTAATGAGCATAATTATTATTCATAAGACCATATTTGATAAAAAAAATTTTTTTTTATCAACTGGCCTTAATTAATGAGAATGCATGGTATATTTTATATATTCTTATTGTTATAATATATTATTTATTTTAAATATATTTTATGGAATTCAGTTCAATTAATGCTTTCTTAAATAATCTAAGATTAATTCACATAGTTGAAAGCGTTCCATAAAGTTATTTTTATCTCTTTATTGTTCATAGGTTAGTCAGTATAGTTTATTGCATTTTATTGTGTTATGCATTTATATTACTCACACATAATAATATATAAATTAAAAAAAAAAAAAAGCTGAAAATCAGGTTTAATTCAATTAATTGATATTTGATTAAGCTTATTTCTGATTTAAAAAATTTAAATTAATAATTAAAAAACAGTTTGAATTTTAATTTGAAGACTTTTTCAAAATATTTTGATCAAAAAACTAAATTAATTTAAAGACTTTACGTTTAAAGTAATAAATATGAACAAAAAAGGTTTATTTTAAGATTCTATTTAGTTGCTCAAAACATTATTTATTTTCGAAGATGTAGGAATTAAATTGAAGTATAAAAATTTAGTTTTTCGAATTATATTTTAGCCATTAAAATAGTTCGATTTGTTTATATAAACTTATTAATAAAAAAATAAAAGTATAAAATGTAATATTCAAAACAAATTTAATGAATCTAAATTAAATTATGAAATAATGAAATGAAAATAATAGTTTTTATTTGGGTTTAAAAATACTGAACTAATGATAATCAAACATGTATTATTATTAACATTTATATAGATATAGCGTCTTAAAGATAAAATATGTTCGATTCTAGTTAATATATCACAAAAAGTTTAGAAGATTATTGTTAGAAACATAAATTATGTTTATAATCATAAAGTTTTAAATATTATCGATTTAATAAAATTTTTTAAAAAATAATTAATTGATCGTTCAGTACTATTTTAAAAGATATTTAAGATATAAATTGGATTGGTTATATAAATTGTGAAGATACTATTTTTTAGCTGAACTAGTACTGGACAAATTAAATAAAATTTATATATATTTTTTTAATTAAATGATATTTTATAGTAAGAAGAAAAATAATTAATTAGTTTTAATAATACTTTGTTTGATTGTTCGATTTCAAGTAAAGTTAATTAAAATAAAATGTATTTTTAAATGTACTTTACCTTTTTGAGATAGAAATCATGAATTCATTTAGATTCCTTTGTGCTTACAAGAATATTTTGATTACTGCGTATTATTTTGAATTTTTTAAAGATTTTAACTATTTACGATTTAATTTTTTATGGCTAATAATTTAGTAACTACAACTACTATATATAACTAGCTAATAAATATCTATGTGATTGTTTTTAATTTTGATTATTTTTGTATTTGATTATTGGTAGTAGCTATGAAAATCTGTGGGGTAAGAAGAAAAATAATAATGATAACAATAATAATAATAATAATAATAGCTATTAGATTATTAATACATAAAGAAAAATAATCAATTAATTTATTAATTATTGGCAATAGATTTGAAAGCTGAAATAAAAGATAGAAATAGTTTGTATTGCTAAATTACTGAATATCTAAATATTTCATCTAGATGAAGTTCTTTAATAAAGATTAGCATTCAGATGATTGTTTTAAAGACAGCACGAAACCGAATAATAATAATAATGCTTTTTATAACGATTAAGATTTTAGTATGTCCAGTTTGGATAATTAGTTTGGACTTGATTAGCATAAAAAATAGGGGATGAATTTTATCAATGAAGAAAATGAGAAAGTTAGGCAGATGAGAAAAAATTCAGTAGGTTAATCGATTTTGAACTTTGACTCCATGCTTAATTAAGATAAAATATCAAATACACCATAAAGCATGAGAGATTAAAATGGGGATATGCACATAAAGAAAAATATTCATAATATCAGAACAAAAATAAATTAGGATTATTCTTCAATCTAAAGGGACGGAGCAACTAAACTAATTAATAAGTAATAAAATAGGTAAAAAATTCTCTAAAATTTAATTGCGATAGATTAAACAGATTTCAATGGCAATAACAATATTACCTACCTTTAAAACAGTTAGTTGGATTTGAATCCCTAAAGTAAAAAGGACCTCACTGTAGTTTAGAATGGCGAAGAGCTAAACAATTATGATAGAAATATACTGGCCCCAGTTGATTCTTAATAAATGATTATGTCTAAAAGAAAAAGTTTTGATACCTAAAGATCTAAATAAATTAATGGAGCTGGCTTGGATAATGCCGAGTCTGTAGTAAAGATAAATAGCAGGTACGATAACGACTCATAAAAGCGATTCGAATAAGGATTGCTCCGTAGCATAAATCATAACGACACAAATCCTGCCTTAGACTAGCAGTAATACATTTTGTAATATAGGTTTAGTTTACAATATGTTTTATTAACTACTAATTTCTTTATTGAATTAATGATCCAATCAGTTTAGATATTTTTTGTACTGCAGTAATCTAAACAAGTAAATCAATCAATTTTCACTATTAATTTTTTATCTAGTAAATGAATAGCTCTCTTTATAAAATTTACATTGCTTGTTATTATTATCAATTGTTTGATTACTCGATTTTGATAAATTTAATAAAATTTCTTTTCCTCAAAAATAATTTAATGATTTTAATTTATTTTATATTTTGCTTCAAAGACCCTAAGATAGTTATTCAAAAATGTCTTAATTTTATTAATTTGAATCACTAAAATTGAATTTTTATAAAAATCTCCTCTATTGAATTAAATTTTTATTAAAATCTCCTTTTTTGAATTAAATTTATTCTTTTTAACTTAATTAGTAAAGAGAGACCTAGAGATGGTACTATAGTTGCATCAGGACACAGAGCTTAGCCTTCCTTTAAGTTTTTTATGACGATAAAGCCTAAAATTAAGAGATTTTTATAAACAAAAACAGTGGTTGGAAGAACCAGAGTCCTTAACGATACAATAAGAAAATATATTGGCGATTTAAGTGACTTTGGTTTTGTTTTAAAGTAGAAAAATTCATTGAGTAAATTTTTAACTTTGATGTTGCTTTGGCTGGAGAGATTGTTTGTCTTTTTAAAGTTTAATAGATTACCTCTTTTTGATCCTGAAAGCAAAATTAAAATTATACTAAACTCATTGATAGTCACTTATAACTGCTTTTATATTTTTATAATTTCTATTGTTTTAATATTTGATGCTGAATTGGGTCATATAGAGCATCATTTGACGTATGTAGCGATGGCAGCTTGGATTACTGAAATGCTTGTTGAAATGAACACTGCTTGCTACCACAATAATTAATTTATTACTGATAGAAAAATAATCATTCAAATATATGCAAAAGAGTATTTTTTTTTTGAAATTTTGCCGCTGATATTTGAAGGAAAATCTTCAGACAATACGCTATATAATGTGCTATTGCATCTGCCTTTGCTTTTAAAATTGAAAGGAATGTCAATTATATTATCAAAGTTGGAGTTTTACATCTTACAAATACTAGAAAGACACTATATCTTTTAATTATGTAAATTAATTATGTAAATGCTTCTTTATGGGCATTTAGTAGCCTGTTGCTGGTATTTAATAGTTAAAATAGAAGGTAGTTTTTTGAAATCCATAACATGGCTTGATGCATCTGAAATTGATCATAATGAATGGTGGGAAAAGTACATAATTGCATAGTATTGGGCATTTTCTGTTATGATGAATGTAACCACAAAACCCACCACTCCCCTTGAGCTTGCATTTACTAGTTTTGTAATGCTCATTTCTTGTATTGCATTTGGTTATCTTTTAAGCACAGTAGCTGAAGTTATAGCAGATCTTAATAAATAGCAGGAGGAATACAAAAGAGATCTCAATACTCTAAATTCTTATATGAAAAGAAAAAAAGTCGATTTGTAATTAAATTTTTAGCGCTTTTACTTGATACTTTTTTTAAGAGAAATTAAATAGCTTTTTATAGATACTTAACATTACTTATTTATTTTCTTTCTTTCTTTTTGCTTTGAAATATCAATTTTTTTTAATTAACTCAAGGAGCGTGAAAAGAAGAGTCAATATCAATTTGAAAACTTACTACTAATAAAAGAGTAAAGATAATCTGTAAGTTGAAAAGGAGGCTTTAAATAAATTAAGTAGTGAAATGTTGCAAGAATTAAATTAACAATCAAGCTCAAGGATTATTAAATAGTTCCAATTTTTTTCTAAAATATTTTCAGAGTAAACCACATCAAAATTGTATTCCATAATGGAAGAAGAAGTCTATGCTCCTCAATAAATCGTCTTCACAAAAAATCTTTAAACTGTGGATTAGCATTATTTGTATCTTATCATTAAGGGTGAAGGTAGATTTTTAAATTACTTTGATTTAATTTTTAAATTTATCAATTTTTAATAAAAAAGTTGTAATCTCAATTGAAAATTTCATCGCCCCGAATGAATTAGAAGATCAATCTCAAATTTTCAATGAAGAAGATGAAGATGAGGATGAAGACCCCGAAGATTACTTTAACTTAGAACAAAATTAAAAGATATAACCTTGCATAGTTAGGTATTTAAAATTCTTCCAATATAAATTATATTTTAATTTTGCATTAAATGTATTATAATCATTTTATTAATTTTAAAAATATGATACTAAAAGAAAGTATCAGAATAACTAATTATACTTAATTAATTATTAATTCATTCACTTATTCATTCATTAATCTTGGTTTTATAAAAATAAAAATTTAAAAAAGGAAAAATAAAACAATGGAAGACAAAGGAGGAGTGAAAAAGAAAATGGTTCACTTAAAGTAAGGCAATATTTTTGGAGCTTACTCATTTTTCACAGGAAACGATAGATATATTGATGTTTAATGCAAACAATATACAAATCTTATAAAAATAAGCAGAGATAACTTTATCAGTATATTAAAAGAAAATAAAAAAGACTATGAAAGATTCTGTGAAATCAGAGATAAAATGACTTTCAGTAGATAAGTTGATGATATTCCAGATTAATATTGCTTTATTTGCAACTAAAAAGACCACTTATTTGATAAGTGCTGTTTTGGTCATTTCAACAAAGAAAATATGTTCATATACTACAAGTATAATTATAGTAGCACATAGGAAAGAACTTCAATTGCTAATAGGACTGGATAAAAGCTCAACTCTCTTAAGTTAGTTGTAGATATAAATAAAGAAGTTACTGACTTTAGACTTTAGAAGGGAATGCAATATTATACATCTGATGATGAAGAGTAAGAATCTCTAGCTAGATCTCAATCTGTTTATTCTCAAAAGTCTGACTCAAACACTAAAATGAAAAAATCAAAAAACATCAGCAGATTCCATCAAGAAGATGAAAATTCTAAACTAGTCTATTCATAATATCATACCTAAAGCCCTTCACAGTCCAAACTTTACCCTTCATCTGATGTTGAAATAATAGTCCCAGATTAAGAAGGAGGTAGAAAAACAATAAGTTAAAAGCAAGTAAAAAAATATTAATTTTATTTTTTAATAGAAGAATATAAAAAATAAAGATACAAATTAAAACTAATTTTATATAAAATTTTTATTTAAACAGACTCTAGACATAGACGACTAAAGCTTAATTAATGAAGAGAGTCAAATTCCTTTAAGATCTCCAAATATTTAAAAAAGATCAAGTATTGTAAGAGCTACCAAACCTAGAAGATCTTTTGTTAAATTCGATAATTAATCAACTAATGCAGCAACTGGAGTTAATCAAAACAACAATATAGTATAAATCCCTAGCACCATTTCTGCTAACAATACAAATAGTATTAATACTGCTGCTAGAGGTAACGCAGGAGGTTAAGGAGTTCCAATAAATGACTAATCATCAAATAATATCGGAAACAGAAGAAAATTATCATACCTTAATCTAGCTTCGCCTATGATGGGAGCTGAATATGACAATTTGACTGCTTAAGAGCTCATGTAAAAAAGAAAAAGTTTTAACTAGCAAACAAATTATTAAACCTTTGGAACTAATTAAAGCATAGGAAATAATTAAAACTAAATTATCAATAATACTGGTAATAATAGTAACTTAAATAACAACTTAAATTAAAATAACAATCCAAATAATTTTTATAGTCCATTCAATAATCCACCATACTCTAATTTCCACTAAAATAGGAATTAGACCATAATTCTTAACAACTAAACCTAGTAAGAAGTAGATTAATGTGCTTAAACTCAATTTACAAAGCTGTCTAATAACAATAATAACAATAATAACCCAAAAAGTATGAATAATTTGAATTTTAGAAAAACCCTTACAATGCTACCTCATTAAATGTTGGATGAATAACAATTTGTTTGGGGTTTTGATAAATAAAAAGACTACTAGTCCTATTTCCCTTACTACAATTTAACTAATGTAGTAAAAAGGGTTAATAATTATTGGACTAAGACTATTAAGCTTAGAAAATTAAAGTAATCAGGAAAAAAAATTACAGAAATAAGCTTAAAAAAGAAAAAAGTGTAGCAACCAGCTTCCAACGCTAACTTTAATGGAAAATAACCTTCAATGCAATCTATTTCCAGGAAAAAATCTTATAATATAGATATTTAAAAACAGAAGAATGACGGATTTAATCTTAACTTAGTACAAATAGATGTAAATAATAGATCTGAAAGAGCTGGTTCTAATGTTAATATAACTACAAAAGATGATAAAATTTTATAAGATTTCTTCAAACTGTAAGGAGGAAATTGATTTTAAATTAATTAAATTTTCTGTTTTAAAACATAATCTTAAAAAAATAAAAAATATTGAAATAAATTAGTTTTCTATTATTTATGTAAAAATAATAACACTCTATTTTCTCATAATTATAAATTTAATTACATAAAAATTTTTCATTACATTTCCTAATTAAAGTTAAAAATAAAAATGAATTATATATTTTTAAAGGGGTTAATAAAATGAGATTTAGGGTATGCAAAAATAAAATATTAAGATTATTAAAATTTTTTAATTTGGAAAATAATTGATTTACTCATTAAAATAAATAGTGTAAATAAGTGATAGTAATTAGTATTCTTAAATGTATTAAAGATATTAATTATCTAAGATAGATTTTAATCTTAATAATTTATCAAAATTGTAATGGGTAAAATAAACATGAAAATTAATTAGTTTGAGATTTCGAGAAGAATGAAATAAATAAGTAAACTCTATAAATAATTTATGGATACGAGTTGAATGTAGACTAATAAAAAATTGATTTTAGTTAATTAATAAGTAGGGTTTTTGAATATACGATTTTGTATCATAAAACAATCTTTATTTAATGTATTAATTTTAATTATATTTCTTTAATATTTTCAAACTAATTCTTAAAAAAATCGCAAAAAAAAAGCTATTTACTAAAGATAGCTGCAATAATAATAGTTATAAAAAAGAATTATTACAAGAAGCTTATCAGCGCAGGAAATTCAAGAGTGTAGAGAATCCTCTCATTTTTTTTATTAAAAGTTTCATGAAAAAATTAGATAATTATAAAGCTCAAAATTAACATAATAAATTGCGTAATTAGAATAATAATAATGGTAAGTTGATTAATAACAGCAGTTCTGGCTTTTAAAATTATGAAGAATCTCTCGATGATGGTTAGCATAGGTTTCAGTAAATTGCATTAAATAATACAAATGATCACTTCGATTTAGATCGAGTTAACCTGAGATAAGAGTCAACATTAAGAACTGAAATAGTTCATGATTCAGTGGAAGAAGGCCCTTAATATATCTAAATCGATTTAAATGGAAGTAGCAATAATAATAAAAATTTATAAGTTCAGCAAAAAGATGATAAATAATCAAATCAGCAAATGATTCTTTCGACATTTAACGATTATCATTAGTAGTTCCAAACTAACCAGAACATAAATTAAAATACACAGTAAACAACTTTAGTAGATATTAATTTAAATGACTAAGAGTAGTAAGAAAGGAAGTAATAACTTCTTTCTAAAAAAGCTGATAACCAATCTCATAATATAAAAAAAGAGGTAACCTTATTGAATAAATTTAAAATAATTTTATGTAAAATATCTAAAATTAATTAATTTTAGGGAACTGGAGAATTCAAAATTTAAGTAAGTTCTAACTAAAAATATTTGTAATCAAATGCTCATAGTTATTCTCAATATGATGAAAACTCTAATGTTAATAATTAAAACTATGAATTTGAAAGAAATTAGAAACATTAAGTCACGTAAAATAGATATATCAATTTATAAAATACCATAAAATAATTTCGAATATTTATAGAAGGAAATATAATTTCTGTAATCCATAAAGTTTGCAAAATATTCCAGACAATTCCTTAGGAGAACAAAGATCAAACAGAGGAGTGGTTAAGTAACTTTCAAAATTAACTTTAATTAATTTTAATGCATTTTTATTCTTTTATCAATAAAAAAACTCTTTAGAAGCTTTTTTTATTTATTTATCAAATCAAAAGAGAAAAAAAGAAATAATTAAATTTTGATCAGCTTTTCTTATTTTATTTTATTTTCTTCAAAGCTATTTTTGTTTTTGGTGTAACTAGTTTCTTATTTATTCTTACAGTAAATTTTCTATCTTTTTGATATTTCAAACTTGCTTGAAAATCTAATTTTTTAATTTATTTTTAGCAAAAAGCGTATCTGGCATCAACAAAAAAGCTTATTTAAATTTTACTTTTGAAGAATTCAAAAATATTATTTTATACTTTTTTATTTCAATAAATTCAAATAATTTGAAATTATTTTTTTTAATAAAATTATTTGCAAGATTGTCTCATATTAATAAATTAAATATTATTTTTAGCAATATTAAGAGTAGGTAAAGGATCAGCAACGTTACTTTAAGCTACTTTGATAGAATTAAGATCATGGCTCAAATAAAACCAAAAATAAAAAAATTCTTTGATAATAAGACAATATTTGGTATGACAAATCAACTAAATAATGTTATTAGGAACTATATTAACGATTCCAGTGATTATCATGTAGACAAAAAAATAGGATCTAACTTCGTAATTAGCATGTTTAAAAATTTTCTCTACAAATTATATCTTTTTTCTTAATTATACAAATTACCGCTTTTCGATCCTGAAAGTAGAATTAAGGTTATCTTTAACTCTATAATTGTAACATATAACTGCTTTTACTTATTTATTATATCTCTTAAAGTATTCTTTTAGGCTGATTTTGGTCATAATGGAGAAATCTTCCATATTGTTGCCATAACAGCTTGGGTTATTGAAATGGTTATGGAAATGAACACAGCTATGTACCATAATCACTTGTTTGTCACAGATAGGAAAATAATTATGAAGATTTATTTTAAAGAATATTTTTTCTATGAAATTTTACCTCTAATTTTCGAAGGAAGAAGCTCTGATAATATATATATGAACATATTTCTTCACCTCCCTCTTCTTTTAAAAATCAAGGGAATGATGATAAATTTAGAGAAGCTCGAGTTTTATATTTTATAGCTAATAAACAAACAGCATTTCTTTTTATTATTTAAATTAATTATGTAAATGCTATTATTAGGCCACATTGTTGCATGTCTTTGGAATTGTGTAGCCTATATTGAAGTAAATATTTTAAGCAAAGAATATACTTGGTATTAAGCTAGTCGTATTATTGATGGTGATTGGTGGAAAACATATCTTTATGCATAATATTGGGCATTTACAACTATGAAAAACATAGGGACAACCCCTAATACAGAGGCTGAATTAGTTTTCACTTCTATTTGTATGATTTTATCATGCATTGCTTTTGGTTATCTGTTAAATGCAATAGGAAATATTATTCAGGATATGGCTTAAAAAGACGAAAATTATAAAAAAGACCTAAGTATACTCAATTCCTACATGAAAAGAAGAGAAATTAACTTGTAATTTTTAATTTATTTTTAAATAAATTTTATGAATATTTTTAATTGGTTAGAGGTTTGAAAAGAAGGGCAAATATTGAACTTAAAAAATTCTATGAGCATCAAAGCAAAGAGTAATTCTCAACTGAAAAAGAAATAATTGGCAAACTTAACTAAAATATGTCCAATGAAATTTAAGTTCAATCTTCCAAAAAAATTTTATAAAACTTTCCCTTTTTTTACAAGCTCTTCTCTGATTAAACAATCATGAAATTGTATGGAATCATGGAAGAAGTTATTTTAGCACCTTCTTAAATAGTCTTTGATCAGAACAATTACATAGATGAGAGTTACAGTGTTTATCTAATTGTCTAGGGAAGTGGTAATTCATAAAATAATTTTTTTATTTAATATTGAAAAAAAAAGAAAGAAATTTATTAATTTATGTATAATTAATTAAAAAATCTAAAATATTAGTGCTGTACTATGCAGAAACGTTAGCTGAGCATGAGGAGGAAAACTACAATCTATAGACTTTACCTACAATTTATTAGTAATAAATAATTTTAGTAAAGACAATTTATTTATATCAAAATTAATTTTAATTTAGAGAGAAGTCTATGAAGGATTTAAAATAAGCAATTTAACCAATTCCAAATAGACACAATCATCACTACAAAAAAAAGGTGAAAGTGCTAACTAAAGGATAGAGTTTTGGAATTGTAGGCTTTTTTACTGGTAAATAAAGAGTTCTTAATGTTTAAAGTAATGGTTATTCCACAGTTATGAAAATAGAGAGAAATAAATTTTTACAAATTCTAGAAGAAAACAAAAATGATTATGAAAAATTCATGGAAGTTAAAGACAAACTATTATTTGAGGGTGTTTTTGAAGATTTAAATTTATTTTGCTACATATGCAATAGTAGGGAGCATTTAAGTAATGCATGCAATAAAGTTCATTTTGATAAAAAGAATTAGCATATAATTTATAGATTTAACCATAGTGCTTTTTAGTAAAGGAAAATATGTGAACGACAAAGGCTAAAAACAAAATAAACTCTTTTTGAAAGGTCTCACGTATCCAAGGCAGTAGAAAATATCAGAGAAGAATATAGTTTTTTAGATCTTACATAAAATATTGATGAAGCTGAATAAGAATCTTTTTATGAATCAAGTTAGCGACTAGGTGATACCTCTCCTAATAATCAACCTCCACGCTCATTTTCAGCAAATTAGTAAGAAGAGATAAATAGCAGTAATAATATTCAGCAGCTAATAAATAATAATCAAAGTGTAAACAACAATGAATATCAATCTAAAACAAAAATAATAAGTAATGATGAAGAAAATAATCAATTTGAACAGTGTGAAAGTGAATTGATTTAAGCTGTAAACACTTAAATGAATTAGGCTAGATTATCCACATACCAAAATTAAGACACTACTAATGATTTAAAAATGAAGTAAAATGAAAATCTCAAGGTTTTACGTCCAACTAAAGTAAATATAATTTTTTTGTCAAAGAGGGATTTATTTTCTTGAAATTGTTTTATTTTGAGTTTCTTAAATTTTAATTATTTATAAAAATAAAATTTTACTGAATTAAAATAAAAAGATCCCTCTTAAATATAAAAAAATATTTTTTATTTAATATCTTTAAAAAATAAAATTTAGTTTTCTGAGAGAGATGCTATTTGTACTGATAGAGAAAATATTTCAGAAGAAGGGAATAATGATATCTTTGATTAATCTAGACGACTTTCTTAACTGCATAAAGAACATTTAATAAGTAGCTAGAAAAAAATAAATGGATCACCTAGAAAGAAGAAAACAAGCTCATTAATTTTCGAGGATTCTTTAATCCTTGGAGAATAAAAGAAAACACATCAGCAAAAGGATTCATTAAATAATTTTGTAAAAAATATAGTTTCTTCAATTCAAGAACAGCTTATTTATGGTGGTAGCACACAAATGGTTACATTCTAGAATTAGTAAAATAAAATTTAGTTTTCTGATATGGTGTCATTATCAGATAATAAGCAAGAATAGGATAATAAGTACAGAGTTGCTAAAAAAAGCAAGCATTATGCTAACAATAATAATAGCAATAAAATGTTAGATCAGATCAATTACAAAACTTAGCAAACTATGGGTAATGGGATTTAGCAAAATATTTATGGAAATAATAATAATATTCCAAATGGATAAATTTTCAACTAATTTGAAAAGATGAAAACATTAGGAATGAATCTGAATCGAATTGGAACAAACTAATCATTTAGAAATTTGTTATTTTTACAGCATCAGTAAGCAATTTAGGAATAGCAGAGCTTTATTTACAATTTAGATGTTATGAAAAATTATTCTTTTTATTTCCCCCAATATAATAGTTAAGAAGTAATAAAAAGACATAATGCTGCTTTGTTCAAACTCTAAAAGAAAAGAAAAATTGAGAAAAAAAGATAAAAAACCTAAATAGATTTAAGAAAATTAAAAAATAAAAATTCAAATAGAATAGATGCGTTTAATATTAGTTGATTAAATTAACAATATTCAAAAATGTTAAATAATTATAACAAGGCTAAAAATATATTATTAAATTTTAATTTGTAATTATTAAGTAGAATTAAATAATTATTTATTCATTTGTATAGGATGGTATTAAAAATGTATTAAATACATAGTTCTATCTTTTATAGCTTTAACATTAATTCTTCTTTGAGTGACTTATTTGATCGAAAACCACTACTTTTACTTAACTATTTATTTGTGTTTTGTATAATTTTAAGATTAATTTAGATCACAAACTATAGTTTAGGTTATTAAAGTCTTTAAATATTATGAATAAATTAAATTTATTAATTTTGTATCAGTAAAATCTACAAATATTTTGTTTATAAATCAATGGATTCTTATGTATAAAAATTTCACTTAAAATTATCTGTTCTAGATTCTATTTAGCTTACATTTAATTGATAAGTGTATCTTTAGCATTTTAAGCGTATTAATTTATACTATACATAACATTTACAATATCATTTATTAAATAATTATTCAATTTAATTATTTTCTAACGAGGAAAGTCTATGCAATTTTACAAAGAGTGAAATGAATTTTAGATAAATAACGAGACAGTAAGATAAATACTATAATGGATTAAACTTGGATTGAAAACGAAGTGGTAATGAAAATATATGATTTTTCTAAAATAAAAGAAACAAGATCCAGTCAAATAGTAAATAATAGAGACTCTCGATTATGGGTTGAAATTTAATTATCAATAAAAAAGAAATACATTATTGAATTTACCTATCAATTTACTTGGTGGTAAATAATTTTTTCAAGTCTTAAGCTGATTTATAATTAAAATAATTAATTAAATAATAAGTACTTTTCATTCACTTATTTACTAAAATGGCTTATAGAGGTAGTTAAAATGAAGTTAATTCGGATTTGAATGTATCTAGGTCATTCAATAACAAAAGCTACTTATAAAGCTCTAAATTCGATGAATCTATAATCTCATAAAATGACATAAAGTAGGCTAGATAGATTGAAGAAACGTTTGCTTATAATGAAGAAGAAGATAATTTTGATCCAAAGAGATAATAGTTTAACTTTAGAATCAACAATAGAGAAGATTTAAGTAGAGTTAATAAACGAAAAGATACTGAAATGCAATCAGTAGACCTAGCTAATTCTGTTTCAAATAGATAATTAGGCGAAATTGAAAAATCGCCTGCAACAAAAATTAAAAACTATTTATTCATAGAAGAAAGTATGAAATAACTATAAATTTAGAATAGTGCTTCTTAAAAAAATAAGAAAAAAGAAGGCATATTGTAATCTGAAGAAGACGAACATATTTTGAACAAAGGATCAAGCAATCCATAATTAAATAATAAAACGACATAGGATTTGACTAATTAGCCTTCATACAATGTCGTGCTTCTTGATGGAGTGCCATACTTAAAATAGCAATCATCAAATCAAAGACCTTTGGAACCAGCTAAAAATGATTTAGAAAGTTTTTAAAATAGCAATAATAATCTAAAAATTGGAAACAGTTTTCGCAAAAATCTTAACAGCGATATTTCATTAAATGAAAAATCCCCTATTAATTTTGAGAGTTAAAATTTCGATACATTGAATAAGAATATGAAAGCAAGTAATAATATACTTGTTCCGCCTTAAAAAATTAACGAATCTTTTTTGGGTAGTGCTTGTTAAGACACCTTTAGACCTGGAAATAGCTAATAAATCTGCAATACACATACAATATCTAAATCAAAAGCAGTCCTTATGTAAATTTCTATTTATTCTTAAAATTATTAGTTTTTGTTTTTTAAAAAAGATATAAAACAATTTTAATAAATGTTTTGATTCAAAATAAAATAATTATTTTATAGTTTTTAAAGCAAAATTTTTAAAAAATCGAGTAAGAAATTTCTTATATTTAGTATTGAGACTAAACAAAGAGATAATTAGATAATAGGTAGTTATTGCAAAGTGTAAATTTTAGTAATATCAAAAAACAAGCAATCAATTTTTTACTCTTTTTTTGATTTACACTTTCTTTCCTTTTTTCTACAATAACAACCTTTTTTGGATTAAATTTTTTATGTTACATTCGTATGTGTGATAACAAAATAATAATAAAATAGGCAAGACCACTCAAAGCCTGGAAATAAAAAGGATTTAAATGCTCTGCTTCAGAACTCAAGGAAAATAAAACTCATCTCAAAAATAAAACAGAAATTCTGTGCTTACTTATAAAATCACACTCTTTAAGGGAGAACTAAAATATTAGATAGCAACATTAGAAATATGATAAGCGATGATTGCGATTATGGTTACAATAGATATAAAAAGAAAAAATAGATTCATTCACTATTCATAGTAGTTCTAGAGTTTATAATCGAGAAACTTATCTATTTAACACGGTTGGAAAAATTGCCTTTATTTGATCCAGAAAATCCAGTAAAGATTATTTTTAATTCTATCATTGTAGCATATAATTGCTTTTTCCTTTACTGGATGAGTATTGAAGTATTTTTTGAGGCCCATGTTGGTGACATTAATGAAATACTTGGTTATACTGCCTAAGCCTGTTGGATAACTGAAATGCTTTTATAAATGAACACTTGTCTCTATCATGATAACGAATATATTACCGACAGGAAAGAAATTATGGTTATATACGTCCAGGAGTATCTATTTTTTGAAATTTTACCACTTATTTTCGAAGGAAGAAAGTCTGATAATATCGCTGTCGATATTCTTTTGCATCTTCCTCTCCTATTAAAATTGAAAGGAATGACTATTATCCTCGAAAAATTAGAGTTTTATGTACTTTAGATATTAAAAAATCATTATTTTCTCTAGTTGTTTAAATTAATTATGCTGTTATTTATTATCGCTCATTTTGAAGCTTGCCTTTACAATGTGCTTGGTGAAATCGAAATACATTTTATGCACAAAGAAAAGAATTGGATTGACATGAACCCCATTCGTGATGGGCATTGGTGGAATTCTTATCTAACATCACTTTTCTGGGCTTTTAGTGTGATGATGAACACCTCAACATCACCTACTACTGATGTAGAGATTATTTTCACCTGTCTTTGTATGCTCTTTTCATGCGTGTTTTTTGGATACACTCTGAATATGATTGGTAACATCTTGATGGATATTCAAAGATAATAAAAAGAGTATAAAAAAGATCTGAATATACTAAATCAATTTATGAAAAGAAAAGATGCCAGCTTGTAAAAATTATTTAAAATTTTGAGGATTTTTTATAAAATTTAAAGTATTTTACAGCGATATTAAAACTAAAAATACTTTTTTTTTATATATCAAACAAATTTTGTATTTTTACATGAATTTTTATTTAATTTTAATCATCTTTAACTTATAGGAGCTACAGGAGAAAAGCAAATATAAGTCTTTAAGATTTTTACGCTCACAACAGGGAGAAAATTTAAGCTGAAAAAGAAATATTGGCTAAATTAAACCCTAATTTGGTTAAAGAAATTTTGATTGCTGCTAACAAGAATGTAATTTCGAATTATACATTGTTTACAGAATAATTCACTGAGGAGATTCTCGATAAAATATACATAAACTTGGAAGAAGAAACCTATGCCCCAAGATAAGTTATCATAAGTTCTCACAATGTTAACGAAGAGGAACAATGTATTTACTTCATAGTTAATGGAAAAGGTAATTAATTTGTTTCTTTTAATTTTTATTTACATTTATTTGATTTTATTTATAATTTACAGTTTAGATATTTGAAGTTATGGATAAAAAAGAAATACAAACAGTTTCGAAAATAATGAATAAAACAAAAGAAATAGAGAAATACGCAACTAAACACAGGATTACAACATAAAAGAGCATGGGAGAACTACATCATAATGAAAGGATGTTCAAAGAAACCAAAGATAATTATGAAATAAAGACCAAAAAATTTAAAAAGATTATAAATATTCTTACTAAAGGATAAGCCTTTGGCGAATATGGATTTTTTACAGGCATGGGTAATGACTACATGGCCTAGAGCCAAAATTTTACAACCGTTATGAAAATTAAAAGAAGTAAATTTCTTGAAATACTACAAGGACATCCTCAGGAATATGAAAGATATTGCGAAATTAGAGATAAAATTCTCAATGAAAGAGAAGATAACATGTTCTATTGTTATTTATGTGATGGTAATGATCATAAAACGATGGAATGCAATAAAGTATTTTTTGATAAGTATTATTCAAACTTCTTCTTCTAGTAAAATTACTCGAGACCATAGTTAAGAGCTAAAGATTGGATAAGAAATGGGTAATTAATGAATAGAAAGAGATAAAGATACCATAATACTCTTGTAAAAATGAAAAATTTATAGAATTGTATTGATAAAATATAAGAAGATGATCATCTTCGTGATATTTTAGAAAAATACTACGAGGAGATTGAATAATTACACTAATCTGATTCTGACTTGGAAGAAGATGATGAAGATGATGAGTATGGAGAATTAAACCATACAGATTCACTGAGTCTTGATAAAACTTTTAACAGCTTTGATAATCGCAATGAAGAAAACCAATCTTAAATGACAATTAAATCAACTAAATCTGGTGCAAAAAGAAAATCTATTTTAAACAATAATAATCTAAGAGATGATTCTATGAATGAAGATAAAGTTGAATCTCTTGTTTATAAATAAATACCTGTAAATACTTAAAATTATAACAATAATAATGCATAAATATATTTAAATAATGAAATAACTTCAATAAATATTAACTAAATTAATAACAATCTCACATACAATGATGTGCAAGACTCTCCAATTACCAAGAAAAGACATCTTTCAGTAAATACATTTTATTTTCTTATCAATATAAATTAATGAAATATATTAATTTTTATTAGGCACTGTATGCTGAAGATAAAAACTTTCTTGATCAAGATTCTAAAAATCAAATGGGCGAATTTTATTAAAATAATAATTTGCCATCACGTTCCATGTTAAACAACAATAACAATATAAGAAAGCTATCAGCTGCAAAAAAAAGTACATTTTTAAGTGAATCACTAAGTTATAACACAAAAGAATTCGAGGATCATTTCAATAGGACTCAGGATATGTTAAATCAATAAAATTCCTCAGTAAATGATTAACAAAAGGAAATTTATGAAATTTTAAATGCAACTAATTCAAAACTAAAATATATAACTGATAAGTATCGCAATCTCTTTAACCATTATGTAAATGCTAAGAGACAGCTAAAAACTATGAGAGTCGATAGTCCAAGGAATAAAACTGTAAATTAACAAAAGTATAATCACTTATAAACCATGGCTTTTGATTTAAATGAAAGCTAGATGATGGTTGAGTCTCAAGAGAAAAACTAATAGCAACCCTAATCATAATTTACACCATAATAACAAGCTATGAAATCTAAATTTTAAGAAGAAGCCTCTTCAAACGCTTTCCCTTTAAGCTAGCAAAACGCTATCAATAAAGAATCTCTTCGCGATATTGATAAAGTCACTTAAAGATATCCTCCTCATAAGGAGACTATTATTATGAATGCTGCTTCTCTTCAGTAGAATTTTATTTGGACTTTTGATAAGAGTAAAAATTATTTTAAATATTTCCCTGAAAGTAATCTAGAAAAGATGATTAGAAAAACAAATATCTAAATTCAAAAGAATTTAAAGAAAAAAAATATTAGGAAAAAAGAAACCACTAACCATCAGAAAATTAAACAGTTTAATTCTATAAAGAGTGATGGAAAGTAAAATTCTAGTCTTTTAAATAGCAAGTAGGCTAAAATTGATGAAAGTAAAAAATCTAAAAATGATCAAAACCATTAATCGATATTCCAAACTCAAAAATAAAAAGATAGAAATATGCGAGTAAAAGATACAAGCAAATGATTAGGATTAATTTAATTGTTTTCTCCTAATTCAAATATTTATAAAATAAATAAATTAAATTATACTTCTATTAAAAAGCTTTAATTAAATATTCTTTATAAAAAAATAAAAATACCAAATTTATATTTTATAATTTGCAAAATTTTACTACTAATTTTGGTCTTTATTATTAGATATTTTTCTTTTCATTTATCCAAAAATTATAGTATTTACATTTATTTAATTTAAAATCTATTTATTTTTATAGATTATTCTATTAACCATATTTAAATAAAAGATAAACCATATAAATTGGCATTTTTTTATTAAATAATAAAATTTATTTTTGAATAAAAAGGAATTTTCTTAATAAAAAGGAAGAAAAAAATATTTATATTTTATTAATGTAAATAATTAATAGACAAAGCAAGTAGAATTAAATTACCTATTCTAAGTGTAAGAAAAGGTGTAGCATTTAAGCATTGCTTTAGTTTTTATAAAATTAAGTAATCTGAAAAATAAATAATTGCTAATTTTGAGAAAATATATGAAGAATTTATTCTTCATACATTCTTTGAAAACTCCTGATTGGATATTTTAAAAGCTGAAGTAAATTTTACTTAAATGCATTTAAAAACAAATTTAGAAGAAAATACATTACTTTAAAATAAGCTAAGTAATCTGAAAAATAAATGATTGTTAATTTTGAGAAAATATATGAAGAATTTATTCTTCATACATTCTTTGAAAACTCCTGATTGGATATTATAAAAGCTGAAGTAAATTTTACGTAAATGCATTTAAAAACAAATTTAGAAGAAAATACATTACTTTTAAATTTAGTTTGGCTTTACTATTAAATTTATGCAAGAATTTGAAAATTATTTACAAATTAGTAAACATATTTACTAACTTTCAATTTCCATTACAAAAAATAGTAAATAGAACTTTAAAAATAATGTAATTAATAATTAATTTTGAGGTTTTCAATTTAAGTTAGTTAATAATCATTGAAATTAATTATTAGTAATCTTATTATTAATCTTAATATAAGTAAAAATGATAGGGGATTAGCTTTCAAGTTCTCTAAGATAATTTAATTAGACCTTTCTCGATTCGATAAAGCAAACAGGAGAACAGCTGGATAAATCAATTGCAAATAATGATCAGCTTGTTCCTGAGTCATTCTAGCAATAAAGATAGTATTATATAAGCTAGGATGCTTAAGATTTGTAAAATCTATGTTACAAGAGAGAAGCTACAATAAATTCAGAGGAGAATGAGTAAAACTAAAAAAGAAATAAAAATGAGTAAAATATAATACTAGATATCTCAAGTATAGAAGAAAGAAATAACTATAATTATGACAACAAAAATTATAAAAATAAAAAAAAAAGCTATTTCAAATAAATAGAAACCATTTTAGAAAATAATAACGCTACTCCATAAATTGATGTTGATTATTAAGAGCAATATAATAAAGAGTATGTTCCAAAAACATCTCTCAGAAAGGGAATAAATTTTTCGAATACGTAAATAATTAATGAAAGCGCTTCTGAGTAATGCAACATGACGTTTTCTTAGCAGAAAATCTAAAAAGATGGATTTAAGTATTAAAAAAAAGATAACTAAAATGCATTGATTTAAGATGATAGAAAATTACAAATCTTACAAAAGTAATACTTTTTCTTTAGTTAGATTAAATCACATATATTTAATAAATTATCTTAATCAATCAATTAATCTTAAAAATTAATTTAACTTTTTTTTTACTTACTTGATTCGCTTTAATTACAATTAAAATAATTTAATCATTTTTTTTCTCATCATTGACACTATGCTTATTTCTAATCTAATCTAATCAAATCTATTTTATTCTTTTTTTACTTTTTTTGTTTCATTTAAATATTTTTTTTAGAAAAAAGGTCAGTGGAAATGTAAATATCTTGGGACTATAAAAACCGAAATAATTAAACGATGTAATCTAAAAATTTTCTTACAAAGTCAAATAGTTTTTCACGAAGAGGACTTTAAAAGGGAGAGAGAAGTTGCTTTCATCTAAAATAAGATAACAAATTTTGGATTTATCAGATTTTTTTACTGCAGATAATGAGTGCACTTACCATCCTTCGCTTTTAAATAAAAAGATACAAATATTTATATATTTATTTAAGATATTCAGGATAGATAAAATACCTGTTTTCAATCCAGAAAGCTTATTACTGCGTATCTATAATCTGGTGGTTGCTATTTATAATTGCTTTTTCTTATTTATTATAACTTTAAATGTATTTTTTAAATCAGATTTAGGATAAATTTTTACTCTTTTAGCTAAATTTACAAATGTAATTTGGATTTTTTAAGGTGTAATCTAGCTGAATACTGCTATATATTATGATTATAAATATTCTGAATGCAGAAAAACCATTTTTAAAGAATATTTTAAATCGTATTTCTTCTTTGAAGTAGCTCCTATAGTTTTCTTAAATATGTAAGACTAAACTGCTACAAAATAAACTATTTTCGATTTAATGCTGCTATTGAAGTTAAAAACAATTTTAAACACATTTATGCAATTATAGTTTAGCTTTATATAAAAGTAAATAAATTAATTGATTTGTAAGATCTTACTTTTGGTATTAAAATTGATACTACTAGCCCACATATTTGCTTGCTTTTGGAGTTCGATATGCTATTATGAAATCCAATAAAGTGACTCTTAAAATGTTTGGTCAATTCAATAAAACTACTTTGAATAAGATTGGAAAAATAGATATGTTTCGGCATTATACTGGGCCTTTACAATTTTGGCCAATAATTAAATTTTTATGCCCAGCAGTCAAATAGAAATGCTCTATACTTCCTTTAGCATTCTTATTTCATACATTGTATATGCATACTCAATATCATCTATTATCAACATAATTAATGATTACATTAAATCAAACAAAGAATTCCAAAAGGATTTAAATGCTTTGAACAAATTTATGAAGAGAAAAAATATCCAACTGTAAAAAATTAATCAATTATTTATTAATTTATTATTTAACTGTTTTTTTAATGATTTATTTTTAACCTAAAATGTTATTTTTATTCTTAATATTTATAATTTTATAAACTTTTAAAACTTTTTCAAGAGGACTTAAAAGAAGAGCTATTGCATAATTAAGAGAGCATCATGAAACTTAATAAAAAGTTGATCATTTTGAAGAGCGACAATCAATCTTAAAATTAAAGGAAAACTTGAGAGAAGAATTACTGATTTCTGCTAACTCATAAATAATCAATAAATTTTCTTTTTTATCAACTATCTTCTCCTAAGATTGCCTAAATTAAATATAAAACTAGCTCATAGAAGTTTTATTTATGCCTAATTAGATAATTTATGACTATTCTTTGAGAAATGATGATTAATATATATATTTTATCATAGAAGGAAAAGGTATAATTTATTTTCTAAATAAATAAAATTGTTTTGTTTAAGTCTTTTAATTAATTTTTACATTTTATAGTAAAATTAATTGAATCATAAATATAAGACTATGACTCTTAAGATAGATATGAAGATATAAGTGGATTTGAACAGTCATATGCTTATCTTAACTTTGATATAAATCAACCAAATCATTTGAATTTTAGGTAAAAATTAAAATAATTTTAAATTTCATATTTTATGTAAATATCGTCGATTCTTTTCATTATTCCCCAGTGGTTGAATTTTTTATTTTTTATATCTTTAAATGGATTTTAATAAGACAAAAATATGGAGGTTATCTCTTTATAAAAACATTTTCATTTAAATTTTTATTAAATTTAATTAACATTAATAGGAATAATTAAGATTTTTCCCATAATCATAAGATAGAAGATAGTGAAAAAGGAAGAATAATTAAAGAAGGGGAATGCTTTGGAATGTTTGGATTTTTTACTGGGTTTGAGCAAATAAAAAAAGCTTAAAGTATAGGACATACTTCTATTTTAAAAATTGGTAGATCTACAGTGCTAAAAATAATTAAAAAAGAATAAAAAAATTATGAAATTTTTAAGTAAATTGGTGATTAAATATTTTTTGAGAAAAATCTATCATGCCTTGGTATTAAATGTGTAAATTGTAACTCAATAGATCATGATTCGAATGAGTGTGTTTACACACGTTTTGATAAGCTAAATCCTTACATAATTTACAAGTATAATCATTCTCCTTAGCAAGAGAGAGATACTGATTTTAAAAGAAATGTAAAAAATAAAACAAAAACTTATACACTAAAATTAAATACATTCGTTCATTAAAATTCGAATTAATTTAGAATGGAAAACAATTAAGAAAGAATATTTGAGCAAACTCATAAATCAGCTACTTCCATTTAAGATATTCTATAATCAAACAACAACAACAATAATAATAATAGTAGCAATGTTAAAAGAAACTCATAGTCTGAATAACTAGGTAATATTCTAAGTTCAAAACTAAATGAAGATAAAGATAATGCAGAAGAGGAAATACATAATGAATACTTAAACTTCAAAAAAGATTCTACATACTCAAGTTAATCATAAAATTAAAGAGAAGAGTTAAGAGAATAAACGCTTTCCTTCTACTTAAAAACAAATTATGACGCAGTATCACCAATAGAGTTTAATAGGAACTATTCCAACCATGTAAAAACGCAAGAAGTAAATACTTTATTCTCGTTATTGATTATCTAAATTATTTTTGTCTTTTATTTATACCTAAGCCCTTACAGTAAGGATCTTCTTTTGGAGGGATTGAATACACAGGCGAAGATTAATCAAGATACTCTATAGAAAAGAAGATCAAAAAAAATGTTGCCTCAAATATGTCTTAAAAGCTTATTCTAGAAAAATCATCAATTTACAATTAATTACTGCCAAAATCAAAATCACAAATGCAATTAGCCAATGAATTTTCATAAAAGCAAAAAACGCAAGGCTCTAAAGATTATGGTTTTAATTCAAAAACTGTTTCTCTTCTCTTACCACTCTCAAATATCATAAAAAATGTAAATCATATAAATTAAGAGTAATATGAGGGTGGTCCAATCTAAATTAACAACTAGCAAACTGATTTATTATTTTCAAACGAAACAGATACTATTCGGAAGTTCGATTACTACTTTAGATAATATAATTTTTAGAATGTTATAAATAGATTTAACTAGTAGCAAACCTAAAAATCTAAAAAAAACAATCTAAAATCTCCTCTTGCTCTAAAAAGCTTAAAAAACGCTTCAATAATAAATTGAAAAATAACTTGTATATTAAAAATTAATAAATTTAAATAAAAAGTTCTCTTTAAAATTAAAATTATTTCATCAAATATTTTTTGATCTTTAATAAATCTTTGCTTTTAAAATTTATTTTTTATTAAATTAAAAAATTCTTAATTACATAAAACCTATTTTTTTACAATTTTATAATTTATTTTATTTTAATTAGCTTTAATTATTGAAAATTTTGAATTTTTTCATCACATATTTAGTTAATTATTTTATTTATAACTTTAAGTTAAATATTTTTTTTTTTATTTCTTTAATTTAAAATATTTAAATAATTTTACTTAATTACAATAATAAGGTATTTATTTATTTATTTATTTATTTTAATAATGATGTAATTAACCAAATTATTTTTAAAACTCTTTTCTTTTTTGAAAAAGATAATTATTATTTAATTTTAAGTTATTTTTATTAAATTTTTAAATAAAAAATGTTTATATTAACAAAATAATTTAAATTAATTCTTACTTAAATTTATTTATTATATGAAATTAAAATTAAATTACCGTCAATCCTCTAAGTTAAGGTGCCGAAAATAAAAAATAAAATAAAAATTTGTACACCTTAACCATAACCTTAAATTAAAAGCACCTTTACATAAAGAGCACCTTAACTTTAAGAATCAACGGTAATAGATTTTAGGTTTAAGGAATATATATTAGTTTATTCTATTTATTTTTGTCACTTTAAATGATTAGTTATACTTTATAATAATTATTTTTTCAAACAGTTTAAAATTCATTTCATAATCTATTTGGTTAATATTTTTGATATATAATTGCCAAAAATACAGTTATCTTAAAACTGAATGTATCTATCTGAGTTATATTTAGTGTATAAGTGAATTAGTTTTATGATGCAAAATCAACTAAATGTTTATATTTTAAAACAATTTTAGTAAAATAACTATTTTAAAAAAATATTTTTATTTATATTTTACATGTATATTTAAATTTTTTTAAGCTTTTTAAATTATAAATCCCATATTAAATTTACTTGGTTTGTTTGAAAATTAAATTAATAAGCGCATTTAAAAAACAAATTATTACTGATTTCAATTATTATTTTCTTGATGATATTTATCTAAGCTTACACTTTATCACTCATATTCATAACATCTCAAAGATTTCTAAACCAAAAATTTGAAATCATTAAATCATTGATTCTTAGATTTTGCAAATAAAAAGAACCTAAACTCCTTCGCAATTAATACAGATTTTTTATTATTTTTTTAAATATAATTATTTATGTTAATCATTCTTATTGAATATTTTTGTGTAATAAAGTACATAGAATTTACAAATCAGGTAAAAAATATAAAAAATTTATAGAAAGTTTATTTTTTGTTAATAAAAAAAATAGAAAGCAAAATATTAATTAAAAGACTTTGAAATTTATAATTAATTATTTATCAAGTCATAATTTTTTTATTTATATTAAAACAAAATTATAGGAATTAATAAGTCATAAAATAATTTGGGTTAAAAATTAATCTTAAAAATAATAAATAATACTGTACTGGGTGGGTTTCTATCTTAATAACCTTTTGATAAATTTATATTTTTCTTATTTAAAGAAACAATTTAATTAAATGAATTTATTTATTTATTTTCAATAATTTATTCTATATTGTTACTATCTTTAATTCGAATTCCTTATAATTTACCTAATTAAATGCCATTATAATAATCTTCTAAAATATTATTTTTTAATTAATTTTCCATATGATTCAAGCATATACAAACATTATAAATTATGAAATATCAATTAAAATAAAATTATAATTCAACTGATTAATAATATTATTGTTTAAATATTTATTACACTCTTATTTTTTTATCTGAATAAATTAAATCAAATTATCTTATAATTCAATAAAAATATTCAAAATGTTTAATTAGTAAGAAAAATTATTTGATTAAATGTTCTTTCTCATTTGAAAATAAATCAAAGTAAGTAAGTGGTTCTCACTCATAGTTTTTAATTAAATTACTTTAAAATGTGATAATGGTATTTGGTTTACTTTTAATACTAGAAATCATTCATTTATAAATAAATAAATGAATTTATTTTTTTTGTTTTTATACATTAATGTATGTACGTACATATTTTTTACAAAAAATTTAATCTAAATCAATAATAAAGAAAGTAGGTGTTAAGATCATCGATTAGTTTGGTTGATTTGCAAAACTTTTTTTTTTCTAAGAAAACAAAATTAATTAATTGATTAATATTTTAAGTTTTAAGGTAGTTTGTATATTATTCATTTTACGCCATAGCAATAAAATAAAGTAATATGAATAAGCCTTTAAATGCATAAAACGGTATCGATAGTAGCAATATAAGCATTAATAACAAAGTTAATACTACTAAGAAGGATTAAAGTGAAGATTAACTTAACTATTCCGCTCCTTTAGATTAACTTTTTCATAAGTAGAGACATTATATCCAGTCAGATGAAGTTTAAGCACTGTAGAGCATACATTTAAAAAAAGAGAGTTTTTTGAGCGAAAGTGATGCAGAAATTTTATCTTATAAGGGATCAAAAGAATTTCAAACTAGCAATCTTGTAATATAAATTTCACTTTAGTAGATGCCATTTTTATGATTAATTTAATTTGCAATCTAAAATTAAATGAGTATATTTATCTAATACATTGTTTCTTCTTAATTTAATAGGTATTATAAAATGGTGGTCATAATAATGGCTCATCTATAATTGAAGTTCAAAATAATACTAATAATAATACTCCTAATAATAATCATTATGAAATAAAAGCACCTATTTAGTTTTAAAACTTACCTTAGAAGATGTTATTTGATAAGAAAAGATAAAAAAGTATCTTGCGTAATGGAGATGATAAATTAAATTTTTCTTTCGATATCGATTAAAACTCTATAGTTAATTCTCCTAACCCGACACACATAAAAAGTAAATATGACAAATCTCCAGAAAAGTTAACAACCTTTAAAAACCTACAAATAAACGAAGATCCATTGGAGTAATTAAATATTTTTACATAATCTTTTGATATTGATTAATGAATCTATCTTTCAATTTTACTATTAAAAACTTTACAGTTAATAAAAAACAAACAAACTATTAAAGTGAGATTTCACAGTTTATAATAAAATTATTAGCAACCTTACAATAAATAATGTATCAAATTAAATGTGTAAAATAAGTAAATAAATAAATAAATAATTATGCTATGGTTCTAATGAATTTTCAGTAAACATTGAAAAATAAATAAATCTACAAATAATCAAGGTGTTTGTAAAATTACATGCATAAGTTGTCCTCTTTAAAATGAAACAGATTCAAATAAATATTAATTCATTCATATTAAAGTTTGATTAAGATATTTTAAATCCTATAAATAGAATTTGGAAAGCTATTAAAGATATTGATAAATAATTAAAAAAATTGTTAAATCTAGCCAAAAAATTTAAGAAAATAAATATCTAATTTTCACTTTATTATTTATTTTCTACTTTTAAAATAGAATTTAAAATTTCAATTATTTTAAAATAAATAGAAATATCACATAAGTCCAAAATTTAATTTTATTGAAAGACAAATGAATTACTTCTTAATAATTTATTTGATTTTAAATTTTATTTATTTACTTAAATGTTTTTTCTAATAAAAAGTGAAAGTGGTTAAGAATTTTTGAAGGCTGTTGCAGGATTTGGAAATATTTTTAGATTTTATGGAATTATTCAACCTAAGATAAAGAGATTTTTTTATACAAAAACGTATGCTGGTAAGTTAAGACATCTAACTTTACCAGTAAGACGGACTGTAAATGATTCTGCTGATTATGTTCATTAAGAGACGAATAGATCATGCATTAGATAATTTGTCTTTAATGTGATTTCATTTATTGAAAAAGTTTGCTACTTTCTGAAGCTGAATAAAATTCCTATTATAAATCCTGAGAATAAATTGAAAATATTATTTAACACTATCATAGTCACTTATAACTGCTTTTATTTATTTTTGCGTTCTTTATAAATTTTTTTTCATGCTGATTTAGGAGATTATTCTCATTACTTTCACTATGCTGCAGAAGCTGCTTGGGTTACTGAAATGCTTGTTTAGTTAAACACTTCTATGTATTATCATAATCATTTCACGAAAGATAGAAAAATTATTTTCTAAATTTATTGTTCAGAATATTTTTTTTTTGAGGTTCTTCCTTTGATATTTGATGGAAAGACTTCAGAATATAAGCTGCTCGAAATATTTTTCCTTTTGACTCTTCTTTTGAAAATAAAAGGAATTATGATTATATTAAAGAATTTAGAATTTTATATTCTTTAAATTCTTGATAACCACTCATTTTTCTAGCTCTTAAAGTTGATCTTATAAATGATACTCTTCGGTCATGTCTTAGCTTGTGCTTAAAGTGTTATCATTTCTTATGAAATTAACTACAATAACAATGACTCTTATTGGTAAACCTAATATGAGTATAACTATAAAGATTGGATTACGTTGTACCTCCAATCACTATATTGGTCTTTCACCATTGTCATGAGTATGCAATATAATCCTCCATAGTCAGACCTAGAGATAGTTTTTACTTGTATTTGTATGCTAGTTTCTTGTGCTGGATTCGGTTATCTCATTAATTCTATAGGAAGTATTTTAGGTGAAATAAACAAAGAGTAAGAAGATTACAAGAAAGATCTCAATATCTTAAATTAATTTATGAAAAGAAAAAAAATAGAAATGTAACATTTATTTTTGAAAACTTGATTAAAAAATTAAACAAAAAGAATTGAATTATTTGAAACTGAATTTGGTTTTTTTTATATTATTAGAAGCTTGATGAGAAGAGCCAATATTTAGCTGAAAAAGTATTATGAATAGCAAAAGAGAGTTAGGTATAACCAAGAAAATGAAACTTTAGTGAAATTAAATGAATATATGATGAAAGAATTGTTAATCTCTTCAAATTTAAAAATAATTAAGAGATATCCATTATTTAATTTGTTTACCTAACAAACTTTGTTTAAAATTTGTACAAAAATGCAAGAAAAGCTATACGCACCTAGCTAGATTATATTTGATAGAAAAGTAGAGGAGAAAGATGATTATTTTCTTTATCTCCTCGTAAATGGGTCAGGTATATTTTTAAATTAATTAATTAATATTTTAAAAATATTTATAAATCTAAAAAAATAAAAGTTATGATTGAAGACAAATTTAAGTTGAATGTTAACGAAGATAAAAAAGATCAAAACAAATACTACTTCATTGATGACAACAAGTAAGATTTCTTTATATTAAATGAATAAAGAAATATATAAATAAAAAATTAGAACCTTTTATGACCAAGCAGAGGAGGAAGAAGAAAAGGAACACAATGAAAAGGTTGTTGGGAGGAAGCTTCAAAAAGGAGAATTTTTCGGTGTCACTGGTTTTTTCACAGGGAAAGAAGTTATGTCTAAGGCTATCAGCTAAGATTTCTCTACTGTTATGATAATCAGTAAGTCTGATTTTGAAAAAATACTGCAGGAAGAAAAGAAAGATTTTGAAAAATTTAAAGAAGTAGCTGATAAAATTTAATTATATCATGACTATAGTGATTTAAGAGCACATTGTGATTACTGCTAAAGCAAGTTCCACTATACTGATTAATGCAGCAAGGTTTATTTTGACAAAGACCCTTATTTTGTTATCAAAAAAATGAATTTTAGCCAAACACAACAAAGAAAACAGGCTGTGAGAGAGTCAACCAAATTCAACTCTATTGTTAATATTCTGTTTGTTAAGAATTCTACTTTAGATTATAAAGTTAGAAATTAAGATGATTTAACAGATTTTTTAAGTGAATACACATAATCTGATCAAGATTATTCAGATAATGAATTAGATGACTAAGTCGAGACAATTAGAGATACATAAAAATAAAAAACTTATATCCATAAAGAGGAAAGCAGAGTACAAAATGATGGATTATTTGATGATAGAGATTATAAACAAGAACTAATAAAAACAGAATCTAAATTTGTAAGCATTATTCCTTTATTAATCCTTTATTTATAAAAAATAAAACAGTATTTTTTTAAATTTATTCAAATTCCTCCTTCTACAATGAAAAAAAACTTGGTTATAATTTTTAGAGATTTGTTTAAAGGAAAAAACAATTAATTTTTAAGACAAAATAAATATTTATTAAAAAATAACTTTTAACTTATAGGATATAGGACAGAATTATATGGATGGAATAAATCCTATTGTGTTGCAATAAGGTTAAGTTCCACCAAATAATCACTCAGAAGATGACAGCATATATTATGATTAAAAATAAAACTACAAAAATTATATTGGATCTGAAAAAGATGCAATCAATAAAGAATTGGAAATGCAGTAAGATAGAGGAAGCTACCAAACTATTCAAAACACAATTCCAAACTCAATGAAGAGAGGTTCAATAGATGGAACAATATTCAATAATAGATCTTAAGTTTAGACAATTAGTGTAGGAAAAAACGAATATCTTTTAAAGCAGCTTTTAAATGGAGTTTAAGATTTAATTTCTTAATTAAATACAAGAGGAAGTTCTAAGAGAAAACAATCAACTAATGTTAGTAATATTGGCAGTAACTTAGAAATTTCATCAAAGATATAAAATATTCCTAGTAACTTGAAAAATCCTGGTATAGATAACTTTAAGCCAGCTAAATAGAGTAACTTCGATGAATATACTCACTCCATATCAAGAAAATCGATAATGAGACATACATTTAGAAGTACATCGTATGTAACAAGTAAAAAAGATAGATCTTAACCATAATAAGATTATTACAAGGAAATGTCATTCAAAAGTAAGCTTTAATCGAATCAATTCAGCTATGAAAATAACTTTATTTGGGATATTGACAGAATGTAAGACTACGAAAACTATTTTCCTCATCAAAACGCTAGTGAAATATTAAAAAAGTTTACAAATTACTAAACTAAATCCAATAAAAAGAGAAAATCAAAAAGACAAAAAGGTAATGGACAGTCTATAAAAAGGACATAAACATAAAATACCAAAAACAAAGATAGACAGTCTCTAAAAATATTCCTTTGATGTTTAATTTATTTATTAAATTTGTTATATTTTATATTTGTTGATTAATTCGAAAATGTTTAAAAAAGTATTTATTCTTTAAAATGATAAAACTTTTTCTTAAAATTTAATTTATATTTAAGGAATTATTAATTATCTTTATTTAATTATTTAGTAGAAAGGGTAGCAAGCAAAAAAAACAAAATAAATCACTGCTACTCTAACTTACTTTTTCTATTTAAAATAATTAATAATGATAGATTATTTTAAATTTAATAAAACTTTTTTTTTTAAATTAATTTAAATCCACAAAAAGAATTAAAATTTTTAGGATTCGTCTCTAACTAAATTATAATAGAAAGTTTTTATAATAAATGATAAAATATTTATTGAGTTTAAAGTTTTAAAAATAGAGATATTTTTCAATTATTTACCAAAAGAATTTTATTCAATGAATTTATGTTTGATATTAAGTATATTATTTATATTATTAGAAAAGAACACTCAATTATTGAATCTATTATAAAGAAAAATTAATTAACTGATCATATTTTAATTAATTTAATTACTAGGAATTAAGAAAGCTAATTATTTTTGTTAAGATTATTAGTCGATATAATTATTTCTACTAGATAAATATTAGGACTTATAATAGTTTTACAATAAATTTAAACAGATTTGTCTATTAAGCTTGTTCACAAAACGTTCAGATGATAACTAACGATGAAAACAATCAAGTAATTAATAGCAGTAGACTTTTTAATGAGCATAATATCACGCAAAGTGGAATCTTTAGTTCAGAAGACATGTAGAATAATTACATGATATTTAAGAATCAAAAAAAATATTTTTAATCCTAAGAAGTGTCAGATATCAAATCCATAAACAAAAAGCCAGAAACAAATACTAATATCTTTGAAAACTATGTAATATTTATTGGATTTTACTATATTTTTGACTCAGTCTTACTACAATATTAAATTTATAAAATCTTGTAAAATTTGGTTATTAGGATGATACAAGAGATAAGTTTTTTAAAAGAGTCTATAGTAATGATGAAGTACTAGAAAGTTGCTTAGAATAAAACGAATAGCACAAAAAAGATTCTTAGAATGACAGTAATTTTGAATAAAGCAATTAAAAATAGTAATTAAGAGCGAAAATAAAATAAGTGAGGTCATCTGTATCAAGTAGTAGTAATAGTATTAGCATTAGTGAAGAAGAAAATGACTTTTATGAAAAAACTAACAATAATAATTGCAAAATCGATTAGCAAGACTAAGCTATTTAAGCAAAATAATTAGAACATATGATTAAAAACAAGAAAGCTGATATTAGGTATCTTAATTTAAATACCTTTAGACTATTTTTAAAACTTATTTCATTTTTTAACATATTAAAAGCCTTGAATAAGAACAATTCATTAGAGAATTAGGGAAGATAAAGAACTTTTTTAAAATATACAAGTAAGTAATCAATGAATTAATTAATTAATATATCAATATATTCTATTTTTATAAATGATAACAAATAAAAATGAAATATGTATCAAATCAAATGCTTTTTATTGCTTTGCTGACCACTCAACCTACTGAAAAATTTATTTTAAAATATTTAATTAATTGGTCTAGATATTTTTTCATATTTGACTCTGTTTCAATCATATTAATTACTTTTAATATTTAAAAAAATCAAGTTTCGTACTTCCTAAAATAAAAAAGTTTTTTTTCCTTAAAACTATTAATGGAAAAACAAAAAAACTAACAGTTCAAATGAGAAGAATAATAGGAGATAAATCTGACTAATATTTAAATGAAAACAAGGGATTTATAGCATTTTTATCTAAGAGATTATTACTTTTACTAGAAAAGATAAGTAGATACCTCTTTTTAAACAAAATTCCTATATTTAATCCTGAAAATATATTCAAAATCATTTTTAACATCATGACAGTGACTTATAGTTGCTTTTATTTATTTATAACGAGTTTGAAGATATTCTTCGTCTCTACTTTCGGAGTATATGATGAATATTTGCACTTGGCTGCTGAAATAGTATGGGTTTTAGAAATGATCGTTTAAATGAATACTGCTATGTATTACAAAAATTAATTTACAAAAGATAGAAGATTAATTATGAAGACTTATTTGGAGGAATATTTATTTTTTGAAATACTGCCTCTTGTTTTTGATAATTTTTCTTCCAGTAATCCTATCCTTCATGTATGCTACAAGCTACCATTACTTCTCAAAATGAAAGGAATCTTGCAAAATATAAAATATATTGAATTTTACATTTTGTAGAAGCTTGAAAATCATACAGTCTTGTTTCTTTTTAAATTAATATTTGCATTACTACTATTTGCCCATTTAGTATCATGCTCTTTTTCAAGCTTGAATGCCATATCCATTACTTTTTATAACGAGTAAACAGACTGGACTACTATTCAATAAGACTTTTTAAGAAGAGGCGATTGGTTTGAACATTATCTGTGGGCTGTAAATTGGTCACTAAATATTATGTTTAGTAACTACAACAAATAGCCTTAGTCTAAATTAGAAATAGGTTTTACCTGTATTTGTATGATAGTCTCTTGTATAGGATTTGGGTATATTGTCTCATCTATAGGATCAGTTCTAAGTGAAATTGATAAAGAATAAAATGAGTATAAGCAAGACCTAAATATTTTAAACTTATTCATGAAAAGAAAACAAATAGATATGTAATTTTTTTTATTTAACTTATTTTAAGTTTGAAAAAATTTGGTTATCTATCTATTTATCTATGTAAAAAAGTTGAACAATTTTAATATTAATATTAGATCTTTAGTCAGAAGAGTTAACATTCACTTAAAAAAATACTACGATTAAAAGAGAAAAGTTAACTATGTGGAAGAAAGTAAAACTCTTTAGAAACTAAGTGATTATATGTCTAAGGAATTACAAATTGCAGCAAACATTAAAATATTAAGACGCTTTCCAATGTTTGATAATATATTTTCTGATCAAACAATTTATAAGATTTGTACCATAATGAAAGAAAAGCTATACTATCCAAATCAAGTCATTTTTGATTTAAAAAACTAACAGCAAAATAATCTGTATTTGATTGTCAAAGGAGTTGGTAAATTTATATTTTTTTATTTCATGCAAATTGATTTAATCTTTTTAAATGTTTATATAGTTTAAGTTGAGCATCCTGCAAACATGAATTATAAAAGCATAGAAGAAAACGAATCAACAGCGTCATCTATTAATTAAAAAACATAGTACGTTCTTAATTATTCCCAATTTTAAATATATATAAAATTTTAATTTGCTTATTCAAATCCACAATAATTAAATAAAGACCAATTTAATTAAACATCCTTTGATTTTTTTTTTTTAATTTCAATATTTCCAAAAAAATGGCCTATTTGCTCAAACTCACTTTAATATTTATTTCCGAGGGTTAAAGTCTCTAATAAATATAATTTCAAAATATAAATTGGTTCTATTATTTCTATTTTCAAAAAAATAATAATTGATTGATAACTGAAAAAAAGAAATATTAATTAAATTTGATTTTTTAAAATATTTTTTTTGTTTTAAAATAGATTTTATTTGAAAATTATTAATTAAAACATAATTTTTATAAGCTAAAATTAAACTCTAAGCGAAGAAAAGAAGGTTAGATATGGTTTGATGTTAAAAAAAGATTAGTGTTTTGGATAATATGGATTTTTTACTGGTTGTGAATAAATTACTCTTGCTACAAGCACCAAATTTACTACTCTTATAACTATTAATAGAGATGATTTATTTACAATAATAAAAGAAAATAAAAATGAATTTGAAAAATTTATGGAGATTAAAGACAAAATGGCACTTCAAGGTAATTTAATTAACTTAATGATACCTTGCTTATGCTGCCAACAATTTTCTCATGATTCAAATTTTTGTCCTTATACACATAAAGTAAAAGATCCTTACTATTAATGTGTAGGAGTATACTAAAATTTGTAGCAAGTCAGATCTGAATTTCCATGTAGAAGAAAAAAGTAGAAAATAAAAAATATATAATAGTAAGCTATGATACATGAGAAAGCCTATCAGTTTGTGATTGATTATGGCTTGTTTGAATTTTTAGATAATTAAACTGATGATAAAGAATATCTAGATGAAGAAGACAGCAAAATTGATAGCCTAGATGAAGCAGAGTTAGTAATGAATAGAAGAGATCTAAGACTTAAATCAAACTTTTTTAACCAAAAAGTACCAAAAAATAAAAAAGAATAAAATTCTAGTGAAAAAAGAGATGATGAGAGTAGCAGTGAAGAAGCAACTGAACAATCTTAGAAAGTAAAATATTACCTTATTTAAATAATAACAAATATTTATGAAAAAATATTAAAATAAATGAATAAAATAATTTTCTTATTTTAAAAATTACTTAATAGGATTTGTATCCAGAAAAATAATAGACAACTGAAAAAAATAATCCTAACAGCAAAACATATTTTTAAGATGAAGATACATCCAAAGACAAGCGTTCAAGTTTTGTATTAAGATCACCTATCTCAAATTTTGATAATGAAACCAATGAATATAACAATGAAAGTGAGCACAAATCAGTGAGTTTTAAACATTTAAAAAGGTGTTCTATTGAAAAAGATTATACATACCAGAATAGTGTGATAAATCCATTTAGTATATTAAAAAATAATGAAACAATTGCTAAAAATCTTTGCTCTAATCTTTATCAAAATATTTTTTCTATGCTAAATAAGGCAATCCCTAGAATGTTAAATAAATTACCATAACAAAATTCTATTCACAAGCAGAGTTTTGATAATACCAAAAATGAAGATAATATTGTAAAACTTAACTCTTTTGAAGAAGTTATTTAAAATAGATAGTAAAGGAAAATTAATTTTCGAGAAAATAATAACCAAAATCCTTTATGCAGTAACCATAGCAATATAAATTGTTGTTAAAAAGATTCAACTCTTAATCCTTCACAAACTTAACACAATATTAAAATAACAAAATACAAACATCAAAATTCTAAACTTTAAAATTCTAAATACTCTTAAGATAATTAGTTTACTTTTAAAGACGTATTAGACTAGATGTTCATTAATGGAATGGATAGGATGTGTTCATTTATTAACTTTTTCCCTTAGAATAATTATAACTAAGTATTAAGTCAGTTCTAAAAATATTAGGTTAAATTGCTCGAAAAGATAAAATTTAATGTAAAAAAAAGAAAAGTTATCTTGAAAAGGCTAAACTCAAAGAGTAAATTTGGAATTTAAAAAAAATGAGCTTAATTTTATAAATAATTAGCTTTAGTATTCGATCTGTTTTTTTTCATGTGTATATTAATTATTAAAAAATCCTAAATTTAATTTTAATTTTATAAGAAAGAATAAGTAATATTTAAAGTTAATGATTAGAATGATTTAACAAAATTATGTTAAAATTATTTTATTAATTCTTTGCAATTTCTTAAAGTAAGTAGATATTTTATTTATTTATTAAGTCATAAATTGTAAAAATATTGATTAAAATTATATTAATAGTAAAATTAAGTTAAAGTAAAATGTATTAAATGATAAATATGTAACGAAATTAAGAAATAAATGTTTGAATTTATTTAATTTACTTTTTTTCAGAAGTATAAAAACATCAATCAATCTAATTAAAATTTATTTATATTTTTTAGCTAAATATACATGATAATTATGAATAAATGAATATCTAAATTTTGATTTTAATGATATTTTAAATTTGTATATTTAAAGTCAATAATTAGAATATATTAAAAATAATTATTTAAAAAGAATAACCTTTTTGCTGCATTTGTAATATTTATCCCAGTAATTAAATTATTCAAACAGTTATTAATAACACAAAAAATATTTATTAAAATAATATTAAAATGAAAAATAAATCAATTAATAGTGAAATAGATGATTTATGAAGGAAAAAAAGAAAGAATATGATTAAACTATTTTGAATATATAAAAATAATTTTTTTATAATAAGTTAATTTAATTAAAAACAATATTTATATAGAGGATATTTAAATCAAACTAAATTTTTATTAAAAATTGATATTAGATTTTAATCACTTTCTTTTTAAGGCTTTGTCTTCATAAAAATGTACTATGAGATCACTATATCTTTTTAATAAATCGTCAGAGAAAATAAAACTGGGTATAATTTTAATGCCTTATTGCTACTTCCACTAAACTAGATACTAAAACTTAGATGTTTTATAGACAGCTTTAGATATTTCTAAAGGAATGTGTTCTTCAAGATTTCCTAAAATTTCAGGTAAGTGTTTTACCTTATCTTGTGGTTTATCTTATTCCTTTTTGTTTGAATTTGAATTTAAATAATTAAAAATTTTAAAAAATTACATTTTATTCATCAATATCATCCTAACTTTATTCTTCTTTCTTTCTTTTTTTATTGAGACTAGTGTTCTTTTATTATTATTATATAGCATCGTGGTCTTCTTTACTTTCTTTTTATTCTAAGTGCTTGATATCTTATTTTTCTTCATTCTATTATTTCTTTTCTTTCTATACATCTTTACCTTCTTCTTCCTCCTCTATTTGTTTACTATTTTATTATTATTACTATTCCTCTTCTTCTTCTCCTCTTTTCTTGGTGCTTTGCTTTTCCTCATCTACGTCTTCTTATTTAACAACAACTTTGTTTTCTTGTTCTTCATTCTACTCTCCATCATCATCTTTTTTACCCTTCATTGAAGAAATAGAAATATTATGGTGATCTTCTACATCTCTTTTTAAATGAGATCCTTCATCTTACTTTACTTTCTCTGCCTATTTCTCTTTGCTAATAGATATAGGGCTTTTTACTTCTTTTTTTTATATCTTTCCACCGCTTAATTATTGCTTTTTAGATTCACTCCCTTCTTGCAAAGCACTCGAGCTTTCAAGATTTTCAGAATTTTCTTTTTTTCCTTTATCTTTTAAGGTTTTCAAAAAATTCTCAACAAGTTGCTTTACATTTGACAAATTAGATTTGGGTTCCCAAGTTAGCTCTTCGTACCCTTCCCATTTTACTAAAAATAGATCTCTATTCTTTATCTTTTTATAATCTAATATTTTTTCTACAATGTAGAATTCCTCCTCTTCCTCTTCTTCTTCATCTTCGCTTTCATATTTCTTTTTGTTAATAGCCTTCTCTTTCTTCTCAGCCTTATCTTTACTACCTTGTTATTTACCATTTATTTTGGTGTTTTTCTTTGAATTTGCTGTTGTTGTTGTGTCACTCATTTTAATTAATCTTTTTCAGAAATTTATAGTTAGCTTTATAATTACTTTTCTGATATTTACAAAATAAAATAATAATGTCTTTTCGAATTTTAATCAAAAGGCAAACAGATAAACATACTATTAAATTAAATTAATTATAAATAAATAAATCATTTGGCTATATTTTGATTAATATCTAAAAATTAATTATATTTTCTTTAATCAAATTAAATTTGCGCTTATAATTCTAAAAAAGTGAGCCTTTTTGATGAAATATATTCATTTTCCCTCCAAAATACTAAAAAGATATTATTTTTAATTATTCTAAATATATCATTTTTAAAAATAATTGTTTGTTTACAATAAGCACCGTAAAATATTTATCAAATTAGTCATTTTTTAGAAAATTTTACTTTTCAAAATTAAAATTTAGAGATTCCATACATATCACTAAATTTTTATATAGCATTTCGGTATAATAAAACAGTTTTACAGTATATAAACAAACAATAAAAAAAAAAAATTAACACATTATGAAATAAATTTGATTGCTCTGTTGCTAAGGGAAAATTTGATAAAAAATAACTAAAATCAGTGTAAAAAATATAAATGTATGAGATTTAGATTTAATTTAAAATATGTTGAATTTATTAAATAGATTAAATATTCAATATAGAAAAAATGTAAATTTAATCAGAATATTATTATTAATAATATTAATGTTATTAAAATATTGAAATTATTCATTATATGTGAGTAGCTTTTATCTTCTGAATTCACATTTAATAAAATTACATTCTCAATATTATTTGATTCTAAAGGAGTAATCTTTAATTGGAAATCATGCTTAGGTCTACCTTGTGGAAAGTTGATACCTATATTATCTCTTATTTAAAGCACAATTTATTTTTTATTCAAGCAATACACTATTATCTTGTCTTCGGTTTCTTCTTCTATATGTGAAACTTAAACAGAATATATTTTAGGATCAATTTCTGAAATTTTCAGGTGGCTTTATATTAAATAGTATGAAGTATTCTAATAGCTTTCAATAGAATAAAGTGCCACTGTCATATCAAAGCTATCACTTATCAACAAGGTATGCTTCTTTCCTTTGAAACCTGCTTTCAGAAGCTAAAATGAGTCTCTGTAATAATATGCGCCTGCACTACTTAGTATCAAATCTGAACTCTTATCTAAGGAAAAAGTTACATCGAAAATGTAAGAATCTGCAAATTTTATCCAAAATTTATTATCTGAATATTGGATAATAGATAATATTTTATCAGTCTACTCAACCTTAAAATAAGATAAAAGGTCTTTCAAGTTTTTATAATAATACTTTATATTATTGCTGTTACTGAAATTTACCACATTTATAATTCCATCGCAATAAAATGTAAGCTGTAATTTTAGCTAGTTTATTACGTTATAGCTTATTACATTTATTTGAGAAGGAGGGTAATTTGTGCTCATTTTTAGCATTTTTAAATTTTTTTTCATTTTAATTTAATATGCATTATTTGTTTCAGAATTTATCATCCATATCTATTCATCAATTGTTATTATCTTGGAATAGTCTTATAATTTATTGCGATTTAATGGATAAAGAGAGAAGTTATCAATGCTATATTAAAATATTTAGCAATCTAATATTTATATTTTATTAATCGAACCATCACTTCCCAAGTTTAATTAGGCATTCTAAATTTACATGTATTCTTAACCAATTATGTAGACGTTGACAGAAAAGGATGTTGCTTCTATTTACTTGTAAGAAGCTGAGTCATATAGAACTACTTCATAATCAGAGAAATTTTTTTCAAGAACTAACAAATTATTTCCATAAATTAGTTTATCTTTCATCAGAATCACTTTTAAACCATAAAAAAGTGTAAAAGCATTATAATCAATTTAATTTATTTTTGATTAAATTCTATTTAAAATTGTAGCATAACTTGAATCTAATAGTTTCCAACCCAAAATGCATGAATTAATGATTTGCTAATCATCAAAAAATAGAGTTGTCCCATTTTCAATTTTTTCATCTTAAATTTGTGTTCTCAGCTTCTAAATTTAGTCAGAATTTTAATCAACAAATCCGTTTTTAGTAGAAGCATCTCTGATAATTTAAAAATTAACATTTAGCTCTTCTTGATTTTTAAATTTAAATTGCAATTGACTCTATAATATCAGCGAATTTTCGTACACTTATTCATTATGGTATAGGCTATATTCTAAGGAATTCTCTTTAAAGATCACAGAGCATTTTGTGATAGGAGATATTAAACAAAAGGCTTTTGAATTAAATATAGCTTTTATAGAATAGTGATTTCCTTCATTTAAATCAAGCATTGAATAAAATTAATTTTAAGAAAATACATTATTTACTTTGTAGAGATAAAATAAATTATTATCCGTTTTCAATATCAAGTACTCTACTTCTTCTCTAATAGGAATGAATGAAAAACTATTAACAGGAATTGTTGCAAGAGATCTAAGAAAACAAGGTTTATTTGAATTGAAATCTAGATACGAATATTGGGCTACTAGCTTTTATTCTGCATTTTAAACTACAATAAAAAATGTTGAGCTAAACAAGATAATTTCTTACGAGTTATCTGTTGAGAGTTGAGGAATTTCGATTAAATTCTGAGCAAAAGAATTTAATAAATAATTATAAACTGCTATGCTTTAATCATTCTTAATGTATAAATAACTTCTAATACAAATTAGCTACTGATAATCTGAGGCATCGAAATTAAGAACACTCTACTTTACAAAGTTTACAGTTGATTATCTAATTTCAAAATTATATTAAGTGATTTCTTTATCACATTTGATAAAAATAACTCCATTAGACAAGTCAGATGCAAATTAAAAATCTGTGCATTTTGTTGTTATCTTCTAAAAAGTTAATGTTTAACCTTTCTAGACAGGAAAGTAGATACCAGAAGAATCTTTTAAAGTAAATACACCTTGATTATCTATTTTTTCAATAGGAGAATTAAATTTCTATTAAGCCTCATAGGTTAATACTTTTCCAAAATTAGCTGTTTAATTAGCAAATGGTGTCATAGCATAGATTTTATATTAGCTTTCATTCTCTTTTTCAACTATTATTGAAGAGAATAGGCCATCAGTCTTATACTATGCTTAGATGTTTGATATTGATAACTATTCATTCTCAGACATTACAGAAGTCTAAGTAAGTGCAATACTTGCGAACATTTTCTTTTCTTAAAAGTCTGATTCTGCTAATAGATAACTTCCTTCAAAATAGCCATCAATTTAAACATAGTTTTTAGAATTCTTATTTTATTTGAGTTGAATGCTGATTAGATTATTCTTAATCTGAACATGACTAGAGCCAGATACATTTACATTAATTGTAATTTTCTTAAAGTATTACTTTTAGTATTAATAAACAGTTAAATCTAAAACCTAGTTTGAATCACCTATAAGCATTATTGAAGGGTTTTAGACTCTGAAAGGGGTAAAGATTTAAACTGATGGTTTATCATCTAGGTTTACCTTGATTATTACATTCTTTATAAACTTGTAAACATCGCTAATCATACCATCAAATTAGTAAATTTATTAGTTCTTTTAAATATTATAAACGAATGTATACATAAATGGCATTTTATTTAAATTGTCAAAGATAAGTATATCATCATCAATCAAGATAGATTTTTTAATACTTTAATTTATATAGCCAGTTTTGAATATCTCCAAACCACCTTCATTCCCAAATTTATTCCATCTTAACTTGTAAAAGGAAGTAGAAGAAATGTATCTAAAGGTTACAAAAAAATAATCTTTAAAGCTTTAGATACTATTTAGATTTCCATTTTTTATTCCAGAAAATTAACTTGCTATTAGCTTTTAAGTTTAAAAATTTACTGAAAAAATGTAAAAATGATTTTTTTAATCTTGAATAACCATAGTGCCACTATTTGCAAAATCAACTTAAATTTGAATATGTTTGCTTAACATTTTGAATTGATCCACTAAAATCAACTTATTCAAACCTATGTTATATGATAATAAGCTAACACTAGCAGTAGATCTATTAGCACATAACAAGTATACGATATTTTCATTAAATTAAACAGCTACAAATTCATCGAGAGGCAAGTGTGGTAGTTCTCTTGTTACTAGCTCTTAGTTCACATAAGTAAATTATAGAAGTTTTTAATTAATATTCGATATGATAAAACCAGAAACAGAATTATAAAAACAAGCTTTGATAATTCTTTCATTTTATTTTGTTGATCCTATTACTAGATTAGCTAATTCAGTTCTTTTAGGAATACCAGAAATCAGCTGAAGATTAGAATAAATAACAATTATTTATTCCATATGAAATCCAAACCCAAGAAGGTATTTACTATCTTCTGTGTCTTAGAAAGAGCACAGAGCTTCGAATTCGCGACCTTCAAATTTATCGTTAAAATATACTAAAGGGTTTTAAATTTATTGAGGGGAAAGAAGTGAAGGAAAATCAAAAAACCCAGCTGTGAAATCATAATAATCACCTAAATTCAACAAATATCTCTCATTTTTTTGTAAGTAAATAGTATGCTGGGTTATTTATTAGCATCTAGCAAACCCAAGAATTGTAATCAAAATTAACAGAGGTACTATCCTTGAAGGAAGTTTCATTTAAATTGATTTTTAGTTGATTTATTTTTATTTATAAATATTGTTAGTAGTAGCTATTATTTGAAATTATGCCATATATAAATTTGGTTTTTTCGAATCGAAAAAGATTTTTTAAGAAAAAGAAACTATAATAATAAATCTCAAATTAAAAATAAATTTATAAAAGATTTTCATAAGTAGGATCAGTCATTTATTAGATAGTATTTTTGATTCCGGTATTTTAATTTATGATATTTAATACCTTACTATTTCATAAATAAGTTTGACTGATCAGCGCCTTATTAGATATTAAAAAAAATTACTTATAAAAATAAAAAATCTATTTTAAAAATTTTATTAATATTAAAAACTAACTTATTAAAGTAACTTAAATTTAAATCACTAGATTTTAAATAGGTGTGATATTATATTTCTTTTCAAAATGATTTATTTTAAATTTACATGATATTTTATTTACGACTAAAACCATTTTGAATTCTCCTTCAAAAATATAATATCATTTAATTAATTAATTTACTCAAAACTCAAAGAATCCATAGATAAAATAATTTTTCTTTTTACTTAAGATTTAAGCATACACTTTATGAAGAATTTATATTATTTTAAAATAAATAAATAATAGTTTTTGTTTTTGAATATTATTAAGAATTATTTTTAAGTAATTTTTATTGCGTCTAAAACAACAATACCTGTCTTAATATATTTATACTTAAATTACTTATAATAATCATAAATAAATAGATATGACCTAAATAACATAGACGTAGGTAAATAAAATATGATTTAAGAGAAAAAATTTTACTTCTCGCATTGCGTAATTTGAGTTAATTATACTAAAAATAGTAAATTTTTTAAGATTTTTAGTAAAAAGATGACGATCTTTCTATTAATAAATTTTTTGAAATATTAAATTAAGCATAAATTGTCAAATAAATAAAAGTATTTAAAAATAATCATCTATTTTAAATTCAATAATCTATTCATAGTGAAAATAAAAATCTAAAAATTCTATGATTTATACCAAAGCCAACATACTCAGTTTGCAATAATTCAAATATGTAAAGAGAAAACAATAAAATTTGAAGTAAAATTTATTTATCTAGTTTTTGGAATTAAAATTATTTACTAGTAAAAATCGAATGTTCTTAAAACACTATCATGTATCATTCTATTTTTGAAATCTGAAATTATTAAAATAAGTAATTTAAATTTCAAAATTTTTAATTATTGTAAGAAATTAATTTTAAAATGTTAATAGGAAAACAACTAATATTTTATGAATAAACTCTTTATCAACTTTAATGTTTTCACATATTTATTTTTTATAAGATGTACTTTAATCTGTAAAATAGCATAAAATAATTTATTTCCTCAATCCAATTTATATATGACTAATTGAACCATATACACAATTTATTAAGCACTATCAGATAAATTGTTCAAACTGTAATAACTAAAAAGACTAATCAAATAAATTACCTCAATTTTTTAATTTTTTTTTTTTTTTGCATATTAGGTAGCTTACTTCTATTTAAGTGAGTAACAATTTACAAAAAATAAAGTTAAATTCAAATAATAGTGTTTCCTTACTTAAATTTATAGCAGAATATAATTCTTTTTATAATTTTTTTTAATTTCCTTTAAATATAATTTTTCCTTTTTATTATTTTTTAAATACTGTAACATACCATCAAAAAGCTATTTTGTGAGGCATACACTTTTAGAAATCATCTATTACTTAATATTATTTATTTTTAGGAGGGAAAAATTGGTAATTAAGAATTGAAAAGAGAAAATACAATAAATATGTTTGACTATTTTTAGTAATTATTAAATTCAACTAGATTTTAAACATCTTATGTTGATTAAGAGTTTGTATTATTGAAGTATAAAAAAACCATAGCTTAAACAAATTAAATTAAGAGTATTTTATTCTTCTAGTTAAAAGTGTTATTGTATGAATTTTATTAGCATGTTGAGTTTAAATTTGATTGAGTGGAGTAGTTTACTATGAAAAGAGTGGAATGATTTAATTATTTTATAGATTATTTAATGAATATGAGGATGATTCAATGAGTGGCTGATGTATTAAACATATGGAAAATTAATAACTGATTCATAGTCATTCATTGTAGTAATCAAAATGCTAATAATGATGCTAAAAATTATAATTTCAAAAGAATGAATATAAGTTTAGTACTATCAATTAAATTACAGTAATGTGATAGTAATCAAATTAAAAATTGTGGAAATCAATAATTAATGTATTCGTAGATATTTTATTAAATTTTATTATAATTAACACCATAAATAAGTTAACATCTTATCTTAATTGTCAATGCCATTAAATTATTGTATGAGTTTATTTTATCTTAAACTATAAAAGATTCGCTGGCTGAACAAATATTTAATATTTATTAAATTTACATACTTTTACTGATAACAAATAAATATTAAAAAAATATGAATTTTTAATTAGACGAAAGATAACAATTATAATCATCTTAAGTCATAAGTTAAGCTAAAATGGGTATTTAAGCAAACTTAAATAAGATTTATCAATAGCTCAGAGGAGGACAAGATGAGCTCAAGCATCTAATTAGATCAGTTACATTTTTTCGCAAAGGAGAAGATCAAATGTTATAAGCTAAGTACTATTAAAAAATAGAAGAATGTATCAAATACCATTTTGTACCAAAGGATAGCTTTCTTTTCCATCACGAGTAGTAGAGTGATTATTTCTACATCATTCTAAAAGGTAAATGTTCTGTGCTTATTCCAAAGAAGCAAAGTGAAATAAAGTAGGAGATCTCATATTTGAAAGAAATGTCAAATATCTAAGCAGCCATTAGGTAATGCTAAGATGAAAAAGAGTTCTACACAGCCGGAATCTATCAATAAAAACAGAATCAAGTATAAAAAAAGCTTGATGAACTGAGATCAGAGCAATTAATTACAATTGTCAAAGAGCAGAGCAGGTCGATTTAAGAAATTTACTTATCACAAGTTAATAAAAACATTTGTAAATACAAAGTAGCACTAACTCTGTATCAAGGTAAGCTAAAGTTATTTCTTATTTATTCAATACTGCAAATTGAGAATGTAATATTAATTAATTTTAATAATCACCTTTCTCAACATACTATTTAATTAAAACCCAAATTTAAGTCTTAACTCAAAATGATAAGATAGATTTTTATACATTTTTTATTGAAAGCCACTTGATTAAATTTTTTGTAAATATTTTTATTCATAGATTAATTTAATTGTTCACAATAAATTAACAGGTGACTATTTCGGCGAGTCAGCATTCAGTGCAATGCCTAAAAGAAATGGTTCCATTTTCGTTAATGAAGACACCCATTTTGCCTTACTGAATAGAGAGGACTTTCTAAGAATATTTTAGAATGAAATTATTAATTAAAGTGTCTCCAAATAGCAGCTAACAAAACTATTTCCGCATTTGCATAGCAAGAAGATTGATATTTTAAATAGCTTTGTCGAGGAAATAGAAATGATAAAAAATCAAGTAGTATTTAGCTAAAGCTAGAGAAGTGATGGCTTCATTTATATTGTTTAGAAAGGAGAATTCGAAGTTAGATTCAATAAGACATAGTCATAATCTGTAATTAAAAATATATCAGATAATTTAATCGAAGAGTAGCTATTCAAATACAATAAATAACTTGAGATTCCTCTTTTATCTCTGATAGAAGGTAAATAGATATTTTTAATTTTTATTTTCCATCATTCATTTCCAAAGCTAAATTTGATCTTCAAGTGAGAAAAATAAAATTAATTGTTAATTTATAATTAACATTTTTTTTCTATTTTTATTTTTAATAAAATAAATAAATCCAAAATTATTCATAGCTATTATTAGCTTTTAAATTTTTGAGCATTTCTTATTGTTCTATCTAAAGTGACCTTTCTAATACTATCAAAATTAATTTAATATCGTCTGTTTAAAATACTTCTAAAACAATTAAAATTTCAAAAATTTTTAGATGAACTTAAAAATGCTTAAAGCAATTAAATAATTTTTTATTTTAAATTCAAAAAGACCCCAAAATGTGTTTTAAATCCATTTTTTATTTTTCAGATAAATGTGTTAGTTATTTTTTTAAATTTAAATAATTTAAAATGGTTCTAAAGCAACTAATAATTATCGTAATTACTAGTAAAATTACTAAATCTCAAATAGTTCTATAGCAGGGTTTGCAATTTTAAAATACCTTTTTGACTAACTATTACATGGTTTAAAAACTATCTTCTATTTCTTAGCATTTTTAGTTCGATTTTTAATAAATTGTCATTAAAAAAATAATTTAAAATTGTAACTAAAAAAATTAAATTTTTTAAAATAAAAAAAATAATTTTTACTGACTTGAAGTGATTAAAAATCTTTTTTTTGTAATTTATTAAATTAAATTTCTAAAAATAGGAGAAATATTTGGTATTGAAGATTTAAACAGTGAATACAAGTCTTTTTCTGTTATATGCTCTTCAGTTAAGGGGAATTTGTTTCGCTTCCGTATGGCTTTACTATAATAATTAGAAGATTTTGAATCTATCAAGATAATAAAGTAACTTGGATAGTAAAGATATGAAAGAATTCAAAAAAAAATAGAATAATAAATTATTTAAAAATTCAACATATTATCTATACAGAAAATTGACAACTTTAGAGATTCTTTCACTCAGACTAAAAGCTAATTAAGCATGCTCAAAAAAATGGAAAGATGCAACACATCAATTTCCCCATAGCAAAAATTAATAACTAAAAATCAAATAAATAAGTCATTCGTCAACATCTAAGAACTAAAACAAAGTGATTTCTTAGAATAAAACAGTATATCCTTATCAACAAATTAAAACTCTTTGGAGGACTAGGATTTAGTGGATGAAATGTCACATTTTAAGTAATAGCCATCCAGATTTGATATCTCGATGAAAATTAGAGCTTAAAAGTTTAAAAGATTAAGCATCCGCAAAGAAACAGATGCTTAACAAAAAGGACAAACAGAATCAAAATCACCTGAAATGAAAAGTTTAAACACTATTAATAGTTAAAATTAATTTAACAATAGTAACAATACCCTCTTATCAGATTACTTATTTAATGTACCTATCAACCTCAAAAAAGATAGTTCAATAGATAATGAATCTCCTGAATAGAAAATCTTAAGATCAGACGTGTTAAGGGGAAGTTAAAAGTCTAGGACTATGATAAATGCTTCTTAGACTATTTCCCCTCTCAGAATAACCAGTGTATAATTCGTAAGAGATGGAAGCTAATGTTCAGAAATGTATGTTAGCAAATCTTAATTAAAATCTCCATCATTAACTCCAATTAAGAATACTTAACAAGCTGCTTCATAACAGTCATACAATGATTAATAAGAATTTCTTTTAACTACTCCAAAAAGAGTTCATCCGAAACAAATTTTACAATAGTTGAAAGTTAAACCTATGCATAAAAATCATTTTTCTATTTTCTCTAAAGACTACTTTGATGAAATGTGTGAGAAATCAGATCTTAAACCTTCTCTTAATCCAGTCATGATAAAAAAAAGAGCAAAACAAGAACTCTAGTAGAAATCTATTTACAGAGGAATAAAGTAAACTAATTTCTTAAGGTCAAGTTCAAATAATGCAAAAGATCTGATTAATAAGACCTTACTTTCACCTGATAAAATCCAGAAACAATAATTAGAAAACAATAGAGTGAGATCTATTTCTTCATCGATGACAATTGGAAATAATGAGATTAAAACAAACAGGCTAAACGAATCAATTACTTTAAGTATGCCTAAAAGCCGCAAGTAAATTACAAACTACAGACTTCAAATGATTGATTATAATAGAAAGCAAAAAATTTAAAACTATGATTTCCCTAACCTCTTGCAAAACTAGGCTCTAACTAATTATTTCAACTAGAGTCTTTATCCATCATATTTACCCTGTAATTGCAACCAATCTGCTTATTATCAAAACTTCAGTCCAAGTAAAATACCTAAAAGCAGCAACACTCCAATTAACACACTTTATGAAAATAGAAGTTTTACTATTTTACAAGAGTGAACACATGCATAAAATAAATAAACAATCTAATTAATTAAACAATATTAATTAATTCTTACAAATATTTGCTAAATTACATTACTTACTACGATATATTAAAATGATATTTTATTTATATTAATTAATTTATATTTACTGATTTACTTTCTATATAAAAATGGGTTTCCAAATTTATAAAATTTGTTAAAAAAAATTCTTTTCAAATCAAATTTTTTAATTTTATTATTTAAATTTTACATTTTCACTTCTCTCATTTTAATTAATTTAAGTAGTTGATAATTTTATTAATTTAAGAAATATATTGACTTTGAAGCAATCTACTTGCATCCAAATTATTTATGATGAAACTAATAAGTCTATAAACTTTATCTTTATATTCTTGTTCTCCTGACCTCTATTTGATTGAAATATATCTTTGGATTTTTCATGCATGATTGAATTATTACTACAATTAAAAAAGTTCTTCATTTATTTTATATATATGCAAGTGAATTGCTTTCAAGCTCTTTATATTAGTTGTTAATTTAAGAAATATATATTAGTTAGTTGATAATTTTACTAATTAATTTATTCCAGATTTAAATATAAATAAAATTAATGAAAATTAAAATAAAATATTCTATGTGTAATTATTTATAATATGATAAAATACTTTCTAATTAAGTTCAAAAAATTAAAATTAAACTATTAAGAGACATAATATATATTAATTTTAATTTAATAACTATTAACCTTAAATTTTATGTTTATTTCTAAATAGACATTCGAAAGTAAAATTTGTGAAAAAAAATGTATCATACATATTATCTATACAAATATAAATATCTTTGAGAATAAATAATATTTATTAATTTATTTGTTCTTATAATATAGATTAACTTTTTTCCCATTTTGATCAATTAAATTGTTGACTATTTTTGTAAATTTCATATAAATTCAATCGAAAATTTTGTACATAAATAGAAAGGTCCAGTCTTAATTTTAGGGTTATTCGGAGTCATGTATCTTTTTTTAAATGAGGCTTGTTTACCAAAATTTATTTGAAATTTTCTTGGATATAAAAAATATTATAATCAAATTTCTTATGCAATAATTAGTAAAATAAGGATACCTCAAAAAAATATATTAAAAATATAATCTTGATTAAGATTAATCAAATAGAAAAGACTTTAATATATCTATAAATGAGTAACTTAGTCAAAATTTTTAAAAAGAGTCAAAGTGATTGGAGCGAAAAGGATAAGACTCTCTTAGGAAATTATTTAAAGCAATTAAAACAATTCAACTTAAATTAGTAAAGTGAATTGACAGAATAGAAAATACAATAATGCATTAATGAGATGGAATATTAGAGTTACTAAAAAGATGAATTTATTTATCATTCTTATGACTATTGCGATTATATTTACATATTACTAGATGGAACTGCTAGCCAATTAGTAAGTAAGAGTGAATTAGAAATTGAAATGGAAAAGGGCATACTAATGTAAATATAACAATTAGAATAGATGCTACAGCGTAAATAGTAAATAGGTCAATCTGAAAGTGATAAAGCTGATTTGTACATATAAAAGATTAATGATCTTAACAATCAATTAGAACAAGACAATAGATTCAACTTGTCAAGGCGTTTAAAATAGATTTTTGCTAAATCCTCACTTGCTTACTGCTAGAATGAATCGTACTATTTTGACAGCAATTTTAGTAATATTTGCTTATTTAAAGAATAAAGCCAAATAAATTCAGGTAATATTTATCTTTATAATAATTTGCATTGCTTTTTGTTATAGTTTCTATTAAAAACTGACTTGCGACTCACTCATCGTTTGTCATCTACTAAATTATTTTTTTGAAATTTTGTTTGCTAAATAAGTAAAGCAATTTATGATTAAAAAAATATCTTAGTTTACAGAAAATTTACATAGATTTTAAAATTAGTAATTAATTTACATGATTTTAATTTATTATTGATTGATTGATTGATCTCTCATAAACATAATTAATCTTTTCACACAAGTTTAATATTATATTTTTGATGGTTATTAATAAACACGTGATTGTTATTTCAAGTAAATTAAATCTTATGGCTATTTTTTTCAAGCTTTCTTTCTAATTACATCTATTAACCAACCAGGAATTTAATTATTCTAATATTTAGTTTAATATTATTACTTTGATTTATTTACTTACTTATCCCATTTTACATCAATTAAAGGAAATTTGATTGGAGAATATACTGAGGAATCATTAAGAAATCAGTCTATTTTAACTAGCTCAGTGTGCCATTTTTTGAAATTAAAAGCTAGTGTTTACTATAAAATTTATAAAAAAGAAATAGTTCAGCAATAAAAAGTGAAATAATTTTTGAAGAAATTAGGTCTAAATCAAATAAACTAATCTGAAATAGAGTAGATAAGCTTTAATATTGAAAGAATTAAAGTGAAGAAGGATTAAATTATTTTCAAGCAAGGAGACAAAGCTAAATAGATTATATTCCTTGTTTAAAAAGGCTCATTTGAACTAAAATTTTATCTTAATAAATCAATATTAGAAGAGTCCCCTTCTTCTGAGATTGGAAAAACTCTAGAAATAGATGCTGATAATAACAAAAACATTTAAAACTAAAATTCAACTACATAAACTCATCATAATGGAATTAATTTATTTAAAATCAACAAATCAAACATAAGTTGCTAAGAATACAAATTATTTTAAGTTGGTGAAGGTATTTATTTATCATTAAATATTAAAATTATTTATTATCTATTGATATATAAATGAATTCTTTTTATTTATAAACTCAAAGGAGAGATATTTGGATGTGAGGAACTTCAAAATAATTTTAGAAATATTTCTGTTATAAGCAAAGAAAGTAAAGGAGTGCTTTATAAAATAAAAATAAAACAACTTAAAGAATTGCAAGATAAAAGGATTATCGAAAAGATTTATCAATATGGGTAAAACAGAATGGAAAGGATAAACAGGAGAATTCAAGAGCTTTATTCTTATGAATAAAAATAACAATCTCCTTTAAAGCAGATCAACAAATATTATTCGTCTTGCTCATCCTCGCCTTCAAACAGCCATTTTCTGACAAACCAGCTTTTAGAACAGCAACAAAAATCTCCTATGAGCAGTATAAATTTATTATTTTGTTTTGCGATATCATGATAATTTTAGTAGCTTTTTATTAATTAATTTTCAATTATTGATTTACAATTTTCTATTCTTTTGTTTAATTTTAAAATAAATAAAAGCCAAATTTAATTTTTTGCATGATTAATAACATATCATGATTAAATTTTTTTCCTAAATTTGCATGATAATTACATTTTGTTTTTCAAATTTACTTTATAATAATCTTAAAAATCGATTTCATTTACAATATTTAAATTATATTTAGATACATAGACAGATAGTACTCTCTTAATAGGCTAAATTACAGAAAATATTGAAGATGAAAATGATAACTTTGAATTAGGCTCTAATCGTATGAAAAGCATTTAGCTGTTAAGATCTCACAGATTTTAGAAATAAAATAAAAATGCTGTTACTCCTTTGTCTACGAATATGTAAACTAATTATTCCAGTAGAAGAGCTTTATCTATGATAGACTCAACTCTGTTAAAGTCTTAAAATACTTTCTGCATAAGCCCTATTACTTAAAAGAATGTAGACTGTAGCTCAAATAATGGCTCAACCTCAACAAACTTTAATAGTGTAAAGACATCAAAAAATAAATTATATATTATTGGTAATCAACAACAGCTCAAAAATTAATAATTTTCTGATTTTGTATAACTTCATTAACTTTAAGAGAAATAAGATATTTCAAATTATCAATCATATTAAGAAGGAGTTGAAATTGGATCTTAGCTAGCATTTTCGTCTTAGCCAACTTCTCCCACACACTCTAAGAGTATAGAGAAGAAGATTAATTAATATAAAAAGCAAAACAGTTAACTTAAAAACGTTATGAATCCTCCTTAATTTTTCCATAAAAGTAAATCCTTTCTTTAAACTTAAAATCAAATAAAAATTTAGAGGTAAAAGAGTCAAACAAAAACAACTCTCTTCGTAAATCATTCTCAAAATTTAATTGACTCTAAAGCATCTCAGTATGACAGTTTAAATACAAACAATCAGGCTTCTATCATTTAAGATAACTAAATTTAACAGTCTATATTGTATTCTAAAATGCTTAAATCAAGATTGATACACTTTTTGAACAACTAGTCATAGATGTAAAAGAAAAAGCAGACAGATAAAGAAAATTCAAATTCTCAACAAAAAATGATAAAATAACAATAGCTCTCTCTAAACAGACTAAAGCATAAAAACGTCAATAACTTTTCTTACTTGCAATTATAAGAGCTAAATAAACAAAAGAAGCAAATGCAATTATAAAAAACTCCTTGCTCACTGAACTCTTTGCCAGAAGAAAATAGTAATAATATGAGTTCAAACAATATTATTTAAGAAGCTTGTACCATGAAAGATTTAGGCTGCTCTTTCACTGCTAATAACTCTCCTAAACATAAAAATAGTAACAGTAAAGGAATCGTGTATTATTAATTTTAATATTAATAACCTCTCGTAAAGTAAAGAGCTTATTCAATTAATGCTTATAAACAGATTAAAGAAAGTAGAATATCTTTAACTAATTCCCCATAAAAAAATATTCATACAAAAACCATTTATCAGAGTCAAAGTAATTCTAAATACCTAGATATTTCTTCAAGCAATAAAAATAACTTAGTTTCTTTCTAAGAAACTGATACAAAATTTAAATAAACTCAATCATTCAATAATTTTATGGCTGACACTACACTAAATGAAAATTCCAAAACCTAAGGTTTAAATTCAACGAATTACAATTTTTTTGAACCTTAAGCTTTAACTTTAATTAACACTCTCAAAGAATAAGACAAACCACTTTTCAATTTAGAATTTAAATAAAATAGAAACGCTTACTAGCCTAAATATAAAACTTAAAATAACTTTTATATTGGAAAGAACTTTAACAATTCTTCTATTAACCAATCTAATGCAGCTTCAAAAAAAATAAATAACCTATAACAGCAACAAATGCAGTATCTGGAAATATCTCCAATAAAAATCAGAAATACCTTTAGAGGAAATACTTCCTAAGAGCACAACACCTAAAAAGATTTTAAAAAGACTTCTACAGATCCAGGAAATAGAAGTAAAAATAAAATGAAATAAATAACAAACTAAAATATATAATAATCATAACCATAGTGTTTCAACTGAATAGAATATATGTAATAAATTAAATATCAAATTCATACCAACTTATAATAAATATTTAATTTAAATTGTAGAGTAAAAAATTATTTCATAAATCTTTAAAAAAATTAAATATAAATCTTATTAAAATTATAATAATTTAAAACATTTTTCTTTTAATTAAATATAAATAATTGAAAATATTTAAATTAATTTTATTTTTAAATTTTGAGAATCTTTTTCTTGCTTTAAATGGAAGCAAATAAATTATTTTTGACTAAAAAACTCTCATTAAATTTAAATTCAGCATAAAAAATTTCAAGTAATTTTTATAGCAGATATTTTTTTTACCATTACACCTTCAGAAGCATAATCGTTCTTGATTATTGGTTAAGTGGAGCTACTCTCTTATAAGAAGGAAGAGGAAATAATTGTTAGAGTTTATTTAGCGACCAAACATTTTATTCTAGAAAGATTTTAATCTTCGATAAATCTCAATTTCTAATTTATCAAGTTAAAGAAAATAGAATCTCTTATTATTCCTATTAAATTTACAGCAAAATATATAATAAAATACTTAAATAAATAAATCCTTTTTATTTTATATTGAAATAAATTATTCATTTTTTCAATCTATTAAAGAATGAGAATTTAGCAATAAGGAATTCTACAAATTATATTATTTTAATTTATGTAATTAATTTTAAGTAAATTATAATTTTTCCTAACAAAAATCTAGATAAAAAGAAGATATTTTCTTAATTATTGATTCTAGTATTAATTCGAATCATAATTATTTCTAAAGAAATGCTATGGAATTTTTAATTAAATTAGAAATTTGTTTATAAATCTGTATCCTTAATTATACTTATTTATTAATATATTCCCAATTTTAACAAAATAAGGGATTTTTTTATTTGGTTTCTAGAGTATTTTAATTGGTAAATGCAATTACCTAAATTAAAATTGTAAAAAAGAATATTTTTTATTTTTTTCTTCTTTAATAAAATTAATTTATATCATATTAAAAGAATTTTGAAAGTTGGCTGTCTAATTTTTCTTTATTTTTATAATAAAAATGGTTATTTTAAATGTAATTTATTTAGATTTATATTGAAGATATTATTAAAAAGCTGAATTATTCTAAAGAATTTTTCATAATAAAATAAAGATTTGTTCTATTTTTTATATTATGTTTTTTTATGAATGTCTAATTCTAGAAGAAATATCTGTCTTAATTTTATCAGAATTGCTGATATCCACTTTTGATTATTGTGTTTAAATATAATTAATAATACTAAAAACTGTCTTTAAGAGTTAAAGTAAATTTAAAAGAAAAAAGTCATGGATATCCTTTAAAACCAATTAAAAAGCAAATTCCAAAATGTGATTTGCTAATAATGCCATAGTTTGTTAAGCGTGTGCTTAGATGTTTTCTGCAAATCTCAAAGAATATTTTGCAATACATGCTTAGAACAAAAGCAAGATTTAGATTTAGAAAATAATAAATAGACATAAGGATTATTCAAACCTTATCTTGAACAAAACTCCCATAAAAAGCATGAATAATAGGTATTTTTCATAGCTTAATTGTTAGATATGTAGAAGAAGGAAACAATAAAATTCTAATCACACTAGCTAGATGAAACTCCAGTTATTTAATAGTAAAAGGAAATTTACTTAAATCTGATGAATGAAATTGATAATTTTGAAAAATAAGTTTCTCACGAATTAAAGTTAGTAAGGTCGAACATAAATGAAAAGTACAACTTAATTAGCTCTTCTTTTGATTAGTATGTTTAAATTGATATAGATCAAATAAAAAATATCTTGCTGCAGTATAGAGAGGAGTATTAAGTTGCATTTGAGCAAAAGGTTTAAGAATATGTCAAAAATCTCATGCACCCTATTCATCTTAACTTTGCAGTATTTAAGAGCAATTTAGATAATGTAAAGGAGACAGCATTGAATCACATTAAAACTATTGCAAATTAAGTAAAGCTGTAAAATAAAGTAGATGTTATTGATTTGTTGGAAGAAAAATGGAATAGCTCTATTCACGATATGACATGCTACAAAAACTGCTTTGTCCTTAGCGGTGAAGCCCTTAGATTATACACACCCAGTAGCAATATAAATAAATTGTAAAAGTCATTTGATTTTAATATCAATGATACCATTCGTTGTGTTTAAGTAAGCAGAGACGGATCCATTTTAGCTGCAGGTGGAAATGGAAAGTTAATTCTATTTAATACAGAAAATATGTAAATAATTTTTAATCAAGTAAACAGCGCTTCTTCTATCTAATACTATTCAGTAGACATTTCACCTGATAATAAATTCTTTGCCTTTAGTGTTAAGAATAAAAAAACAAGCAATCAAGTTTTCATATTTGATATCTCTAATGTTCACTCTGATCCAAAGTTCAAGTAAGTGCTAGTAGATCACAACAGTTTAATTTTAACCACTAAATTTACTAACGACGGTAAATTCTTAGTTTCATCTGGGTGTGATTACAAGATAATAATATATGCATTCGATGAATAAGCAAAAGGTAAATAAATTTAATTAACTTTTACCAATATAATTATTTTATCTAATTTATTATTTCTAAGAATTTAAAAAGGTTCAAGTTTTGAGAGATAATGATGATATAGTCAACGAAGTATCTCTAAGCTAAGATTCTAAAACTCTGGTTAGTGTTTCAAGTGATGGAAAGTGCTTTATTTACTAAAGAAGAGACGATGAAGCTTAAAAACAAGAAGAAGATGAAGAAATTTTAAAGAAAATTTAAATGTAAAAAGATTTAGAAAGACTTAATTAAGTTCAGTACACAAATACGATTGAAGAAGAAAAACAATAAGATCTTCAATAAAATTAAATTTCAAATAATTTATTAATGAATAAAATTCACTCAAATCCATTCTTAGCTTAATCACTGATTGAAGATAAAAACTACATTAAATACAGACATGAAAATAACAAAGCTTAAGTAGAATAGGCTATTTAGAAGTCTAAGGATGAAAACATTGTCTATGAAAATTTTGAAGATATATTTGAGTTAAAGGGTTGCTTCTAAATGGTTGGTAAAAAATCAATAAGTAGCGTTGACATCAATAAATCTGGAAATTTTATGGCACTAAGCACTGGAGAAGATGTTCTTCTATACGACATTTCTTAGAAGAGTAATCCTCGTCTTCTTAGCTGTATAACAAGCCAATCAATAGCTGTCATAAATAAAGTTAAATTTTCTTAATATGAAAATTCAATATACACTTGCGATTAATCAGGAAATTTCTACAATTTTAAGTTTTGAAGTTATTGTAAAAGTGTAATAAAATTTAAAAAACATTAAACTAATTCTTTTGATTTTTAAGATAATAAATTAGTTCATAGATTAATTGATTTAATGATTGATCTTATTTGTATTTTAATTTGTGCTTCTATATTAGTAATTATGTGAAAATTTCTATATATTACTCATAATTAAACTTTAAAAAAATATAAATTTCACTTATCTTTAATTTTTTTATATTAAATACCATAAAACCTTTTAGTTTTTTTCTTTAACCATCGAGGTTAGGTAAACAGACATAAAAAATTTTATTTAATACCCCACTTTAATTAAATTTAAAATAAACTTCTTTTATTTCTTAAGTTTTACAGTAACTTTTCTACTCAACTTTATTATAAATCAATTATTAGTAATATTTATTTGATGTTTGCAAAAGAAAATATGTTCTAATTAAATTTACTTACATTTTTTTTAAAAATACTAAGAATATTAAATTTTTATATGAATATAAAAACAGATTCATCTAATTTTAGGAAGAATAATTAATTATTGCTATAATTAAAATTGAATAAAAAATATTAGAAATTTTATGAAAAGGTTTATTATTTTTACCTAGTTAGATTAAATAAACAAATAATAAAAAATAAATTTAACTAAAAGAAAATATTAGATAGATATATATGTATATATGTTATTGGAATAAGAATATTTATTTAATATTAAGAAATTTAAAATAAATTTAACGATATTTTTGTTTATAATTTGGTTATTTATTTATTTTTTAATGTTTTTAATTTTTCAACACATATTATAAATTGTGTTTATCTCAATTTCTTTGTTAATTTATTATTAAATAGCTTTTTGTGGTTCTGTATTTTCACTTTTAGCTTAAACGCTAATGCTAGATTTTTTTAACTAGTTTGATATTAGTATACACAATAAAGCAATAAGATATTATAGTATAGAATATTAAATGAGACCTATTTTAGAATGTGTAATCAGAGTAGGATTAAGAAGGTATTGATCAGAAAAAATTTAAGAAAATGAGATCATTATAATAAGAAGTTGTAAAACTCCTGACAAAGTGTATATACCAAAATTATTCAGATTTATATGCCAAAGGCTAGAAATCGATTTATGATCACTTGAATCTTCTTTATTATTTGTTTAGGTTTTGTTATTATTAGGTTATATTTGCTCAATTTTTTATTATTCCTCTGATGAAATATTAATTTTATTTTGATCTTCAGCTTTTTGGGTGTAGGTTTGTGATTCTAAATCTAACATAACCTCCTTTAATTCAATTAATATTTCTTCTTAAGTTTATGCTTTTTATTTTATCTGAGTTTAATGCTTAACAAATCTGACAATAAATTGTTAGATTTGTTAGAATGAGTCTTTTTCGGTTAGAATCATTAAGATGTATGATGGAAGATAGAATATCAAGCAGCAAACTAGCTAATCATTATTATTGAGAGGCTTCCTCATATCGATGAGAATGTTTAAGAAATAGATAAAAATAATGTTAGTGATGAAGAATTTGTTAAAGGAAAGAGTGAGGGAAATAGACTCATACAATTAAATTATTATGACAATAAGGAAAGTGGAACATCCAAATATGAGATATTAGCCTATTTCTTCTTAAGTGCTATCAGTAAAATTAAACATGTATTGGGTTATTATAAGCACAACGAAGCAGAGCTTGTCAGAGTACTTTATCTTTTAGTTTTTTACAACAATTAAAATTAATAAGGCATCTATAAAAGGTGAATCAATATTAAAGGTAACTAATCTAAATGCGCCCACAAAAAATATAACTATTGCAATAAGGATTTGCTTTTTGCTTTAGAAGTCCTTATAGGCTGTACCATATCTCAAACGGAGAAAAAGGTGGAGCCAAAAACCAACTGTAGCTAGTCCTTCTGTAGTTATTTTGTTGGAAGCGAAGTAAAGAGCGGTGATATTCAAAAAGAGTTTTGGAAGATCAAGCTTCTATCTTAAGTATATCACTTCAAATAAAAATAGGCATGAAAATACTGCAACACATATAAAAGCTACTGATTCATTAATTGTTTTGGCACTGTAGAGGTAGAAAACGTAGTAACCAAGGACGGTAAGTGGCAGTATTACAGATAATTATTTAGTTAGATAAGCTATTTTTTCCTTTTAATTGTCGTAAAGATTGGTCATTTATTTAAAAAATTGACGCAAAGCGAATAAAAAGGTGGATGCGTAAATGAAGATGTAAGCTATTGTCAAACCGGTTGTAATTGATTTGTCACCACTAAGCAAATGATAAAGATAATCTTACAAGTCAATAATAAGAGCAAAATGAGCCTTTAGCAAGCTTTAAGCTGACTAAAGCTTTTGCTCCAAATTATTTATTTCTTCTTTAGCTTATTGAATTTATAAAGAGTTCATTTTATTCTCTTCTTTTTAAAGTATTTTTACTTTTTCATCATATAATTTACTAATTTCATCATTTTCTTTTATTAATGTGTTTACAGTATTTTGATTGGATAATATTTACTAGTATTTTTTATCAATTTTTTTAAGACTCTCCTAAGTAAAAAAATCATAATCCTCTTAAAGCTAGTTCAGCAAAGTTATCTATTGTAGCAAGTTTTAATAGCTATTTTCAAATAATTGCATCACAATCTTATTTTAAAGATGGTCATCATCATTTTAAAGGGTTTTTGGCATTAATTGCAAGATGTTTCTACCATTATTAGAGGCTGGAATTTCAAAACCCAATAAAAATGATAAAGTACTAGCAATGCTTTGATCTTAAATATAATCTGATGGATTGCGATCATAAAAGGTGTAATTTCTTTTCTAATTAGTTTTATTTTAGTTAGAATTGAAAATATGGTAATTATTTAAATTAGCTTCACTATCATCCTCACCATCTTCGCTAATTTAGATTCTATTAAGTTAAGATTATCTAATTAGCTTATTTCTTTGTTCAGCAGAGTCTATTTCATCCATCAAATAACTTTAATCAAACCCTTACTTAGAATAAGCAAATAAGAATGATTCACCTTTTCCAAGTGTATTCTTACTCTCTTCGGCAGATTATTTATTTTAATTTGAATTCTCTCCCATTACAATTAAGAGTGTATCGTTGCTGATCTTCTAAATAGTGCTTTAAAGTAAATCGTTCAGATTGTGGTAAATATTGAATACTTGGACAGATTTTTCATCGAATAATTTTTTTATCTTTGCGAGAGTATCATCGTAAGCTTTATTAATAATTATCAAAATAAATTTCAATAAAATATTTATTATTTTTGTTGATCAAATAAAATCATTTATCTAATTGCTTTATAAAGACTCTTTTAAATATAATTATAATTAATCGTTTATAATTTCCTCATAATTTAGAGTGGTTTTAATTTTTTAAATAATGGAGAAAATAAATGTGAATTTTGGTTAGAATATTAGTTCCTTTTTTCAAATTTTTAAATAAGTTCGTTTTTTAAATTTTAAAGGTGGAGTTAATTTATGAATTTGAGTAGAGTAGAGCTGTCCTTTTTTTAAGTACTTGAATGGTTAAATTGAAATAAAAAACAGGGTAAAAATTAATACCCGGATCCTTGTTTAATTTAAGTAAGAAAAAGGAAAGCTTTCTAAATCAGTTTACCTTACTTGAAATTAGATTTAAAAAAAAAACAAAGTGGATAAAAGAGAAAGAGAGAAACAAAAAAGTGTTTTCTTTCAAAAGGAATAAATTGATTATTAATTTTTCTTAAAAAATAAAACTGGGTAAATTTTCAATCTTAATAATATTATTAAGATTGCATTTAAAAATATATGTTATTTTTCCCCCCCTTTTTCACTCAATTTTCTTCCATTTAAAATTAGTCCTTAAAAAAATTGATAAATGCTTAAAATAAAAAGTAAAAATAGTAATTACCTAATATAACATCTTATTTTCCATCTATCATCATATTTAAGATTGCTTGTATGTTTTTCGTGTTGTTCACATAACTAGTTGAATTTTTTCTAAGCTTGGATATATTATTTTATGAATTCAATCTATCTTCATATTTATCAGTATAAAATCTTTTCGATAACAAAATTTTTCTATCATTCAAAGAAAAACCTTAAAAAGAATCTTAGATGATTGAGTTTCCTTCAGTAAAATTAACATTTTTTAGTGCGAGAATTTAGTCTATTATAGATTTTTTTTAAAAATATTCATCAAGATCTTTAAAGTAAGAAAGAGGATCTGCAACTTATATATCATATATCAGTTAACTTATTTCAGATCCTGTCATTAAATGCTAAATTCTATTGAATTAGTCCTCGATGACTCCATTGACTTGAACCCTCTTATAGAAGGAGTTTTAGGGCTCGCTTCTTAAATATTGATTAAGTGCTCTTAAAAAAGGAGAATTGGCTCTATGAGTAGTATTAAAAACACTTTAGGCTGGCAAAAGAGGGTCAATATCATCTGAAGTAGCTCCATATAAATAGAGAAAATAAACTTTCTTAAATTCCCCAGCTATTCCAGAACTATTTTTCATAGCGATGTTACTTCCATCATGCAAATCTCTTGGAAAAATGCTTTCCTAAAGGTCTACTTGAAGCTAAATATTATTCCAAAAAATATGAAATATGCTATTTTTTGAGGATACTTAAATGCTTACATTCTCTTTTGCAATACTTTTAATCATTAAAATAACCAGTAAAAATAATAAAATGTTTCTGATCTATATGCTGCTCATAATCTCAGATAAAGATGTTTATATTTAGCTATTATATTGTGATTATTATAATTCAATCCTTATGTAAATTATTCTGAAAAATAATAATTATTTATTGATCTTTGAATAAGCTTTTGTATGTCCAGTTTATTTTGAATTTATTTAATACTTATTTTACTCAAGATATTAATTACTTGTTATATTAATTAATTTCAATAAAAAGGTGAGTGAGTTATTAGGTATGTATGTATGCTTGCTTTAAGAGAGTAGAAAATTAATCCATCCTAAGTAAATTATTAAATAATTTATTTATTTTCAGTTAATTAATTTTCTTAAACAAATTCTTACTCCATTCAAAATTTAAATAGAAAGAATATTATTTTGATTAATTTACAAGCCTTGTATCATTGACTCAGTCTTTATGATATCATAAAATTTTCTTTGATGTTTATTAATACAAATATCATTTATTAATTAATGCAAAATAACCATCATTTTTTTACCTGAATTCTAAAATTTAAGAATAAGAAGAGCGCCTATAGTTAAGTAAGAAAACTAAAATAAAAAATTTAAGCATTCTTTGATATATTTAATATTTTTATAAACTTTATTGAAAAATAAATTAAACAAAAATGTAATAGCATTAGATATTCATTTTTAAATTATAATAATTTTAGAAGAAATTTTGTTTCATCTGTACTTTAATTTCTTTAATCAATTATTTGATTGGAAATTAAATATTTCTTTAAATACTTCTTCAAAGGTGAGCATCCAAAATATTATATAAAATTTAATAAATGTAAAAAGTAGAAGATAAATAAATGTGCTTTATTCCCACACAAACTAAAATAATGAAGTAATTTCTGATATTCTAAAGTACTTTAAAATATTTTTTAAATTAGATGCTAATATTCTGGATATAAATTAATAATAATTATGGGTTGATAAATTTATTTGAAATAATATCATCATTAAAAACTTAATTTTATTGCATTTTCCATAATATTATTGTATAGAAAAAAAAAATTCAAAATTTTCTCTATCATTAATTGATAGATAACTTAAGTAATATGATGACATTTACTTTTATTTTCTGATTAATTTACTTTCCCAATCAGATAAATAAAAATGATAAATTCAAAACAAAGATATTTATACTATACATCTTTAATAATAAGATAATCTTTGTAACTTTAAAATACCACTTCATAATTAAAGAAAATATTAATAAAATTTAAATTCATCAGTAAAATATTTATTTCATTTTTATTTATATAAAATATTAAGTATTTTAGAAGAGTCAAAATACATTTTATTTAGTATTTATCAAATATTATATTTATTTTTGAAAAATCTTTGCACTCATTTTTACAAATTTCAAATTAAATTTATGTCTTACATGATTTTTTACAATTACTTGTGCGCGCATGTAATAGACATCAAAATAGTAAATTAAAAAGTGTATAGACAAACCAAAAAATAGAAAGGTAGAGTTGTTAAATTTATCTATTTGAAATACTTAAATAAAAAATTACAAATCTTATCTTATAATGTGTTGTGCTCATAGGATAAAATATCTATATGGATTTCTTACCAACTTTAAAGATCATACATAATCAAATTTACTTAGAAACTCTTTTTAAATTATTGATACAAAAAATATAACCAAATTTCCACAAAATAAACAAATTTATATTAAAATAAAAAATATTTTTTTTAAATTTAAAATTTATTGTTAAAATTTACAATTTTTAAAAAGTTTTAAATCAATTTATATTAAAATTTTATAAAAAGATGATGAATACACCAATTTAATTTAAGCAAATATTTTATTTAATTTAATAAAAACAAATAATAGTCTAGATTCTATTTATTTAAAAAAGAAAATTTTTGAATAAACCTGCTAGATATTTATGCATGAATTAAAAAATAAAGTAAATAATCTATAGAAATTACTTTAATTTCAGGTAGTATTTTTTTAATTTTTGATTTTTGTTATTTATTATTCTATCTTTTTAAAAAAAGTAAACAGCTCTTTATAAAAAATTTTATCAAATACAAAAAATAATAATATAAAAAAGGTGACATAAATAGAGAAAAATGCAAGACTAAAAGGCTGTTGAAGAACAAAAATTCTGTAGCTACATATTTAATTTAATTTTAAATAAAGGAGGTGTCAAAATGCACATGTCAATAGCTGATATTACTAAAGAAATGCAAGCTTTAGATCCTAAAGATAGTGTAAATCACTTCAGAAAAAGATTTGGAAATATGGATTAATGCTTAAGAGAAATTTAAAATCCTTTCTATACCATAGACAACCACATAGTAATTACATTCAAACCTCACGATTAGATTATCTAACTACACTCCTAAGGCCACATCAATGAGGAAGATTTCAAGCTATATGAGAAAGTATATCAAGAAAATGAAAAAAAAAAACTAGAAGATCATAAATGAAAGACCTTCTCCGAGATTAATATTATATATATTAAATAATAAATTTATAATAGATTTTTATATTTTTCAAAAATTATTTCTCAATTAATTAATATCTAATTATCAAAATGTATTTTATCTATTGTTAACATGATAATTTAAAACATTTTTATTTTCAATAATTCTACTTTATTAAAATAATAAAATTAATAAAAGTAAATCTTATTAATTCTTTTACGTTTCTGATAATTCAAATGCTAAAATATAATTTATATTTAAATATTATTTTTAAAAATCATTTTACTCTAAAACTTAAACCTTGCAATACTATTTATAGTTTAAAAATAGATGTCCTAATTACTGCAGCTGATAAAAAATATTATGCTACCCTAAAATTTATGATTCTAATTAATATAGAATAAATACTGACATTACTTAGATTTTAAAAATTAAAATAATATTTTTTTACCAAAAAATACTATAATCTAAATTTAAAAATTTAATAGAAAAATCATAAATAAAGATTGATATAAATTAAAATTATTAATATTATTAATTAAATTCTATAATAAAATTATTTATTTTTATATAAATAATATTCAAATGCATCAGCCATTCAAAAAAATAGTGATCTCAATTCACTAAATTTTTGAATGAGATTTTGACTATAATTTAATTATGAATTTATAATATTATTTTTTGTATTGAAATTCAAAAAACACCAATAAAATAATTTTTAAGTTTAAAAAATTAATTTATTCATTTCTTTTTTTTATATATTAGCATAAATTGTTAGCAATATTAAAAATTACATTTCCTATTTTAATATTTTAATTGCTTAATAATATTAAAATGCGAAAAATAAATGACTTATTTTTAAATTTGCTTGATTTTTATTTTTCTAAAATAAAAATTAAAAAATAAATAATAAAAAAATTCAATGATAAAAAAATAAAATATTTTGATTAATGCTACTAAAATAAATGGCAGTTTGCGTTTAAAAAATATTTTTTACTTATTTCAGCTTTTTGAATCTGTTTTATAATTTTTATGACATTAGATATCATTTTGTGGTCAAAACGCATGCAAGATCATTTATGTCTAAATAGTTTTGTAATTAAAATTCTTTAAAATAATCAATAATTAATTTATCAGAAATACAAACAAATATTAGCTTAAGTATCTAAGTGTTAATAAAAATAATATTTATGTAGGGTAAAAGAGCTCCAGGAGAATAGAAATTTTTGACATACATTTTTAGACTTATTCTTAAAAAGGGAGGCCTAAGAATGCTGATGGTTACAGGAGATATAACCAAAGATATGTAGACTTTAGATGCAAAAGACGATATCAATCTTCATAGAAAAAGGTATGGAAATATGGATTAATGTCTAAAGGATATCAAGAATCCATTCTATATAATTGATAGCATGGTAATAAAGTTTAAGCCCTATAATGAAATAGTTTCCCTTCATCAACAAGGTCATATTCTAGACGAAGACTTCAAGTATTATGAGCAAGTGTATGCAGAAAACGAGCTGAAGAGAATTCAAGTTCTTAAGATAAATGGATTAAATGAATGTATAAATTGTGGTTAAGAATACAAAATGATAGTGAATTAAGACAGATCTTGCGAAGCCACCTAAGATAAGCACTAGCCTAAACATAAATATTGATTTTTAGTATATTTCTAATTTAATTTTTATAACTTAAATTTGTTAAAATATAAGAACTATTTGTTTGTTTCATATTTTTTAGCAGGCAAAATAAAATTATTACTTCCAAAACATCTTAATGATAATAAAATCTTCATTCCTCTTTTAATAGCTAGTTGATTTATTTTAATATTTTTTAACCTATAAAATAAAATAATTTTTATCTACATTTATATGAATTAATTGATTTAATTGCTTTATTTCCTTTCAAAATTTTTAATTAAAATACACACATATTCAAATAAAAATCAATAGCAAGTATTTGATTGAATTAAAATGAAAAATATTTTTTATTCCAAATAAATTAATAATATTTTTTTAGATTTTGTTGTTTATAACATCATAAAGTAGTTAGTTAATTGAATATTTATTTTCTCTAAATAAATATTCACATTTTAAATAAATAAATGAAAGAATGAATAAGAGATTTAATTTATTAGTTTAATTATTTATTACTGTCAGCTCTCTTTGATTAGGTGTCAGTCTCTCTTTAAAGTGGATTTTATTTTAAAAAAGGCTTAATTTAAATTAACATTATGGAAGAAAAAAAATTTTTAATCTTCAAAAGAGAGCAAAGATGGTAGTTAATTTATTTATTTTATAATTAATTAATTTGTTTATTAGTTAGTTAATTTAGTGAATGAATTATGAAAGTAACTAAGGTTCAGTCAGACAGATAAATATTATAAATTAAGCAAATACAAAAATTTTTGGTAATTAATATTATTATTTTGGCTGGAGATGTCCAATAAATTTTTTTTAAGTGATTGATAATTTTTTGGTCATCTATATTTGTTTGTTTTAATATTTGGCATTTCATATTCATCATCATAATATGGATTTCCTTCCCTTTTATGCTTATGGCAAATCAAGGAACATGAACACACACAACCTATTATTGATATAATTAATACTGCCAAGCCTCCGTTTGCTAATGATAGTAAACTTGTATCTAAGAAGTTTAAAAGTTCTAGTTTACAGTCTTTGGTTGGTTGACCTTTGTAAGAATTACTAAAATAATAAATAGGCTATTTACTGCAGAATCCTGAACAGTCAAAGCTTGTTTCTACATAACCTAGTAATTTAGTTAAATCAGAAAGATTTCCTATATCACTTGGGATAGTAAAATCAATTGATTAATTAAATGTGGGACAATCTTAGCTTTTAACTTTACCTTGAGTCTCGCTCCAATTCCATGAACTAATTGTATTAGGATTCAAGTAGCTTTGTTTAACCTAACACATACAATCCTTTGAGCAGAATACAGTCTATGCTTTTTCATAGACCTTACGACTGTATATTAAAAAATCTTTTTTCTAACAGTTTGTGTCATCTTTAGAATCTTAAACAATTTAGTAAGCACCTGCAGAAACTCCAAAAACAATAGCAGAGCAGGCAACAACAATGCAAAGGCATACAATATATATTCCAAGTAGGCAATTATTTCTTTTTTTCCATGCAAGTAAACCTAAAGCGCCTACTAACAATAAGATAAAGCCTAAGCCAAGCATTATACCAAACGAAGCAGCTATGAAATTAGCAGAATCAGAAGTAACTTTTTTGTTTTGACCTAGTAAAACGCCACCAAATATAATTGCAAATACTCCTAAAATGCACATGATGCATGCTGAGATTTCAGTAATTCTCCTTAAGGTACTAAAAGAGATGCAAATACACATTTATAATTATAATAAAAGCTAATTTATTTATAATGTGATTAGAAAAGAATTTTAAAGTTTTTTTAAATAAAAAAATACATTTAGAGTAATTTAAACATTCTATCATTTAAAGTTTTAATATATAATAGATTCTGATAGATATTAATCAATTTTCATATCAAAAACACAAGATTTATTTCTTTTGATTTTTTGTAATTAATCTCAAAATCTGATAAATTATATCATCTCGATCAAAATAAATATATAAATTTATAAATTAACCAGAATTAAACAAATTTATTTACTTTTACATTAATTTTTTTAATCCAAATACATCAAAATAAAATTAGATTAATTTTTTTTAATTCTGTCATATAAAATACTATTTGAAAAAAAGCTTAAAATGGTAGCTAAGTAATCAGAATAATATAAAAAAATTGATTGTTTTTTTACAGACGTATGATCGACCACTTATATATTTTTTCAAAATTGAACTTTTTTTCAAATAAATTTATTTATTTATCTACAAAAAACCAAGTAAAATTTAATGATAAATAATTACAAATAATTAATTAATAAATAAATACATATTTACATTAAAATAAAACCAAATATTAAGAGATTTATTTTTTTATTTTTTTTCTATTCTTTCATCTAACAATAAATTTATTAAAATCTGAATCATTTTATTGAATTTTTTTACCATTCTTCCAAATTCCTTGAACAGTTATGCCTTTAGAGTTAGTGTACAAGCCTGCACCATCTTATACACCATTTTCCCAATGTCCTACATATTTTCTTCCATCACTCCATATAAATGTTCCAAAACCATGCTTTTTACCATTTTTATATTCACCTTCGTATTTTGAGCCATCTATTTTGAAATATGTGCAAGCACCATTTGCTTGATCTTTTACCCAGCTACCTGATAAAGTAGAACCATCAAAATATTTAAATGTTCCACTTCCTTACTTAACACCGTTTTAAAACTCTCCTTCAAATATATCCCCATTAGGATAATATTAAATGCCATTACCATTAGGTAAATCATTGCTCCACTAACCTTTATTTTCAGAATTTAAAGCTAATTATTAAGAAAAAAAATATTTTTATTGATACCTTCATATCTTTTTCCTCCAAACTAATAAAGAACCCCATAACCTTACTTTTTATTACCTTCGAACTAGCCTTCATACCTTTTTATATTAAACAAATTACAGAAATTGTATTTTTTTCTACATTTTCTTATTTTAACTGAAATTTAAATTTCAATTTTTATCAATTAGAATAGACTGAAATTACAAAATTTAAACTTGACCATTAAATATGAAAAAGAAAAAAATTATATGTAGACTTATTAATTTCTTAATAGCATTCAAATTGAATTCAAATAATCTACTTTTTGGTTTGTTACTTACTTTAACAAAATATTAAATGAATATGATAATATGAATGAATGAAATTATTACACTATGTCATTCCTACAAACTAATCGACCATTTCCATGCTTTAAATTAGATTTCCATTGTCCTTCGTAGTAGGTTTAGTCTTTTTTAGAATATTCAATTCCATTTCCTTCCCTCATAAAATTTACCCAGTCACCTATGTAAACATTTTCTGATTTGATGTTTTGCTGCATTCCCAAATTTATTGATTTAGGTTTGACATTTTCAAATTTGTATGGACCAAATTTTTTTAATGCTCTGGTAACATGCTGCATTTAAGAGCACCATTGAGGTAACTCTTCTAATCTTTTATGACCAGGAATACCTTTTTCAACCATGTGGTTATTGTTACTGTTAATGACTAATAAACTTTTTGCTGTCCTATTAATGAATTTTTGTAAGGGAGATTAAGAATTTCTATTAGCAGATGTTGTTTATTCCTAAGTACCTTTTTTATCAGGAGTACTGAATTGGTTTACTTTTCTACTTGACACATTTTAAGGCGTAGTTGATCTAGCTTGGGTAGCAACAATATTGTTGGAAGTCAACTTTAAAAGTAGATCATACAAGAGATTATTAGATTACTCTAAACAGTCTTTAAAAATATCTTACAAATCAACATAATAATCATAAACTATATCATCTAATTCTGATAATTACTTTTTCCTACAATTATCATTTATAGTTTGATGTTCAAGAAACTTTTCAGGCGATTTCTAGAAATTAAATAACTTTAAAAAATCTTTATTTGTTAGTGAAAAATAATCTTTTTATTGTAATTTTTATAGCTTTTCTAAGTAATAATTGTATTCTTCATCATAAGAAGAAATATATGAAAGTATATTCTTCTCTTTATCTTCAACAAGCTTTTGAATTTGTAGGAAAGTGCTATCCAAATGTTTTTTGATCTCTTAATAAAGCTAGTTCTATCTTTGCATACACAAATACAATAATTCCTTGTGATTAATTTTGTTAGCATCTTTCTCTTTTTTATCTTGTTCTTACTCTGATTTTCCAAGAATCTTGCTAGATTGCAAAATCTTATACCTATATTCCTACAGCCTCATTAGCTAATGTATATGTTTAGAATGCAATTTATTGCAAAAGCCACAGCATAATCTATACTATGCCTCACAGTAAGGATCCACACAAACCATAATAATCTTTTCTCCATCATGTTCTTTTATCTAACATTTAATTTATATATCATTTAAAATATCTTATTTATCTGTTTCATCTATTTGATCAATTTATTCCTTTCTTTTTTATTAATTTATCTTTTGATCTCTTTGTTACTAAACTTAGCTCTTATTATCTTTATCTTGTGTTTTATCTAAATTTAATTTCTTATTGCTTTTATTCTCATTAACCACCTGTCCATTTTAATTCCCTTCTTTCATTTGTTTCTGAGTCTTATTTTAGTTATTGTTTTCTATTCTTGGACTAAAAGTGTATAAGTTTTACATATTTGTATTCTGTAAGTTTTTACATTATAAATCTGAGTCACTACTCTTCTTTCTTTCTAAGTTTTCTGATTAGCTGTTATATTCAGAAACGACTAGTTCATTGCTTAGTCTGTAATTATAAAGAGGCATTCTATTTTTGTTTTCATTATTAGGATATTTCTCATCTAAAGGACAAGTTCTCATTTTTATAAGCTTTTAGAATTAATTATCATATTCCTCATACTGATTTTGATTTTGGTATTATCTTTGCTATCCTTGTTACTTATTTAAAAAGGGGAACTACTTATTATTATCTTAGTCAAATGTGCTTATTTAATTATTCTCTAATTAATCTTAAGAAACATGCACTCTTTCAGTGACACTATCCACATTCCTAATAGAATCTCTTGCATAAAGTTATGACTGGCTTATTAAAGTGATGCCTCCACTACCTCTTCTTTATTGATCTTCTAGCATGTCATCATACTCTTATGAAACATTCTTAAATTAAAATGGTGAATAAATTCTATCAGAATTTCCATAATTGTAATAATTCTAACTGTTTTTCGAACCGTTATAGTAATCATTTTACTATTTACTCATTTACTAATTTTATTATTTATTTCTATGCGGCGATTGGTCACCAAACGAAATATTTTCATCATCTTCTTCAAGCACATCTGTATGATTTACTGATTTTCCTGCATAATTATTTTCATTCTAATTTTAACCCTAAAAATCAGCTTTTTAATTGTTTGGATTGTTATTATGACTATTTATGCTTGAGTTTGATAAAGGATTTGGTACACTATTTGTGTTGCATTCAATAACGAGTTTATCGCCATGAATATATTTGTTTGTCCCATATTCAGCAAACTAATAACTTTGCTAATAATTCTCTTTGATAAATTAATTTTATTTATTTTTACTTTCGTTTGCCATTTATTAACTGTAAATTTATTCCTCATGAGGTGATAAAGAATTTACTCCCATATTTGTTTGTTCAATTTATTGATTCATTTCTTACTCGTGATTATACATTCCTGTGAACTATTCATTATTTTAATAAACATCTTTTTCAGAATCGAATTGTTTGATTTTTAAAGAGTCCAAGCTAAACCTGCGACTGTCTTCACCTTTTTCCATTTATCTCTTTTCAATTTGGTTCTTTTATCTCAGAATTACCTTTTAATTTATAATGATAAATTCAAAAGCAAATCAATTATAATTAGACCTATTTTGCAGTTAAATTATTTTTATTCAATCAAAAAAGTGATTTCCTACCAAACAAACAACATATACAATTTCATTAAATATTAATTTGCTAAATATTTTATTGTGCATGAATTCAACCCTTTTATCCTTATTCTAAAAAATAATCAATTAAATCCAAAATAAACATCAACATATTTAGATATTATTTGATAATTTTAAATATTCTTAATTACAATTAAATTAAAATAATTATTTTATTTTAAAAAAAAGAATTTATATTAAATATTTTTAGATATAATTCTTAATCTTTTATAAAGCAATTTTTTGAATTAAGCTTTGATATATAATTAATTAATTAATTCTTAATAAAATAAAAAAATTATTATTTTCAAAAGTAAAATAAAATAATTTTAAAATAAAACGATTATATTTTTTATTTTTGAAATAGGATTATTTTTTTCTAAATATTTTGGTTTATATTTTTCCATTTTTTTTCTTTTGAAGAAGATATAATAAATAATTTATCTTTTAGTTAATAAATATTAATTATTATTCATTTATTTTTTATATCAAATTTTATTTCTAGAATTTGACTTTATGAAAAAGTTATTAAGAAATAATAATAGATACATTTTCTAGAATTATTAATTCAAAATGTATGTGATATTATATTAATTATTAATTTAACGATGTATCTATTATATTATTTATCATTCTTCCTAACTTATTTGCATTTATCATAACATAAAACAATACTTTATTGCTAAATTTTTTATTTTTTTTAAATTGTAACTTTTAACTCACAATTCTCATTTGGAAAAAATGAAGCTTATAAAATGTATTTATTAAAAACATATAAAAATAATTAAAATATTTTTTACAACAAATCATAATGTTATTTAAATTAGTCTCAAATTTTAATATCTTATCTTAAGTTTTAAAAATTTGGAGCAATATTAGGAAGAAAAAAGCTTTATTTTGCATACAATTTTATTAAAATCTTGATAGTAAAATTATTTTGAAAAATTTCTACTTAGTTAATATGATGTTTATTGTAGTAAAATTTTTATTTTAGAAAATATTTTTCTTATAAATTTAATAATTTTGAATGAAGAATAGCTTTAAATCGTCTTAATATTTTATCAAATCTATTTTTATTTTTTATAAATAAAAGTGGTATATATAACTATCTAACTACATAATTTTTAACTTATTTAGTGAATTACCCATAATTAATGCTTGATAAATAGTAGAGAGATAGGTAAATGAAGTAGAATTTTTATAACCTTAGATTCTACTGTGTACTTTAAAGCTATTTTAGTAAGTAAATAAGTATATTTTCTTTAATTTTATTTAGCATATTTTATTCAGGTTTTTTTACTACTTAAGCTTTTAATAGAGTTAAGCAAGTAAATAGCTTCAATCTTAAATTCCTCTTTAAAATTATTTAAAATATTAATGCTTTATTTGTATTTAAAAACATCTAATTTTACTCATCTTCACCAAAGAGGTCGTCTTCTCCAAAGATGTCATCTACTTCCTTTTATTCTTTTTTATCTTCATCACTTTCATCTTCTCCTTCTCCGTAGAATTAATCTTCTTCGTAATTGTCTTCAATATATTAATCTTCATCTTCTAATTTGAAGTCTTCTGGTAAATTATCCCTATCTATACCTTCCTTTTTCCTAAAATTCAACAAAAATGGTTAATGATTTGAATGAAAATTATGTATGCAATTTAAGCTAGTCATATTTGATTTTAACATCAATAAATGATAGACTTTATCACAAAATATATTCAAAATCTTCAAAATGAATATATAAAGTTTTTTTATTTTAAAAGATAACAAATTGATATAATTACCATTTTGCTAACTCATCACTTGTCCAACAAAATCCGCATTCTTTGCATATATATTAAATTACAATATTTTTTTCTTCCTTTCCTGCTTTGTAGTAATAAACTACTTCTGAGTCTATTTTGCAATTTCTGCAATACATTTATTTTCTTGGCATAGAAGGATCTTAACCCAATGCTCTATTTTTAATATCTGCAGCCTCTGATTGGAGAATTTATGTCTTTTTAATAACTTGGTCATCTCTCACTCCTTTTAAATTGATGACACATCTTCTTTCACCGCAACTAGAGCAACTGAAAATCATTACATTTTATTCTTATGTGCTGGCACGCTAAGGAATACATAGCTTGCCGCAGTCTTTACAAAATCTAAAACCATTACAGTTTTCTACTTCACTTTCTCCTGACATTTGCTTTGTGATATTAATTTAACTAACTAAAAATTCTATTTAAGCTAAGTGCTATATTTATTTACAAATAATTGTATTGAATTATAAATTAATTAATTAAGTAATTAATATTGCTTTTTATAGATACTCCTTTATAAATATTTAGTTATTTATGTTTATATGAATGACTTTCTTTTTTGTATGATATTTAAATCTAATTATGAATTTCTAAGATATGATTTAGCTTGCTGCTTTTTATTCAATTAAACAAAATCTATCATTTATTTATTTAATTATTTCACACATTTATTTCCTAATTAATAAAATTAACAAAAACCCGCTATTTTTATTCTATTAAAGATGTGTCTAGATAGATATATAAAATAAATAAATACTCATTTTCCAGCTACTTTTCAGTTAATTTCTTATAAAAATTTGTAATTCAAACAGTATTTATAATTTATATAAAATGTTCTTTAGATAAATTATTATTATAAATTAAGCAATAAAATATATTTAATTTATTTTACACAAAAAAATATCAAAAAATAAACACTCAATTGAAAATTTGAAAATAATTCTTTTTTTAAATATCTTGTTATTAATTAAAAGTTTAAGAAAACCATTTAATTTTATTAATAGTGATAGTAGTATTTAGTAGGTATATTTAAATTATATATTTTATATTCATTAATATTTAATTAAATTTATTTTATAATTTATTCAATTTTTGACTAATTTTTGACTCTAAGTTATTCATTTAATCAAATGAAAACGTAATTTTTTACTTTTCAAATTTATTTTTTTCAATCTTTCAAATCTTTTGCAGTTTTTTTATTAAATACTTTCAATATAATGGTGATAAATAAGCATCATTTGCTTTTGTTAATCTTTTAATCTGCAAAAACTATATAAAATCATTATTTGCTATATCTTGGTTAAATAATACCTTAAACCTTAAAACCTTTTTTAATTGTTTTGTTAAGAAAATTGATAAAAGTAGTTTTTTTATATTGATTGAATGATTTATATTAAAATTCAAATCTATTTATTTATCTTATCTCCTATCTAATAATGAATAGTGTAATAATATCTTATTGAATCTACATATTAAATAATGTGAGGATAATGCTATTATAGCTTTTTATACAATGCTACAATTCCTAATAAAAGATCTGTGATTTTAAAAACAACTTCTCCATACTAAGTTAAAATTTGTTTTGAATACATTATTTTTGAATTTTGTTTTAATAATCTTTAAATTTTTTCAAATTAATTGTAATCAAAAGTGCAAATAAACCAAAGTAAATCTTTTTTTTAATTCACTGCATCATGCAAGATACTTAGCTTATTCATGTTTTCTCCCAGAAATAATTTGCTATAATACCTTTTTCTCATAGCTTGCATTCTTGAATTGTCTTCATATACTTGTATAGCATTTGTTGCTATATTTGTATTGAGTAAACCAGAGTTACTGCTATTAAATATTTTACCTGAATAGTTGCTACATGTGTTGTCATTAATTCTATTGCTTTTTTTTTCTATTTAATTTATCATGTTTTGTAAGCCTAATGATTCTCCACTTAAATTATGATGATTGATTTTCTTTTATTTTTATTGAAATAAAATGTTGTTAAAAGTATATATTTTGTTTTGATAAAGAAAGAGGCGGAAACACTCAAGAGTTATTTTTAAGCAAGGAGGCTGAAAACTTAAAAACAAAGGCTGCTACAACTATTGTATCGAAAAACTACACATTGGTCCAAATAATTAATAAATATCTTATGTTTTTGAATTTAATACTTTGTATATCATTTAAATATCATATTTTTTCTTTATTTCTTCAGACTTTTAAGTATCTATCAATAATTAATTTCTGTGTCTCTCTTAAATCACATTTAAGGCATATTTATTCCACGATTTACTTACTTGTCTTGTAAAGCTTAAGTCAGCAACACTCAGGAATCGTGTTATCATATTCCACAGCTCTAAATTCATCTCAACAGGTTTACTTTCTACTAATTTATTCCACACATACTTCTAAGATGGTGAGCTGCAAGTACTTGCTGATTTTTAATTGTAGTAGGATTATCTATCTTTAATTACAACTATACAATTCTTGCCTGTTTCTTTTGTTTATTACTTGCTTTTCATATCAGAGGAAGATTATTTCTTCTAATTTGCACTCCTCAATCTAGCAGAGTACATTCTATCTTTTCTCTCTGTCTATAATCCTTAAATATTTTCCATGTCAAATTCTTTTTATTTTAACTCAGATATAAATCCTGGTATTTCTTCTTTTGCTTTTGCTATCAAAAAAGGGTTTATCCTATTTATTCTGCTCTTGATGTTTGCAATATTCTTTTCTACTTCATTACAAACCTTTTAAGAGACAACATCACTTCTACTTTTATCATACGAAGAATGTATAATTCTACTGCGCTTAGGCTCATCTTTAATACATTCTAACTGAGATAAAGCAGACTAATTTTTAGCTCTTGTAGGGCTATTAGCTGTAGAAGAAAAATAAATTCTTGTATCTAGTTTTTCGATGCTACTTTAATTTGAAGCTTCTATCCTTTATATTTTTTGATTAGTTTTTTATTGTCTCACTATTTATCTTTCAAATTATGTATCATACTTTCTAGTCAAGCTATGGCTGTAATCGTTATTTCCATTTGAATGAATAGTATTTACTTTTGAGGTATTGCCATCAAATTCTTCATTTTTTAATATGTAAATGCTATTCTATATGTTTTAAAACTAGTTTTTTAAATCACATTATTCTACAAATTCATAATAATTAGATTTAAACATGTTTTCATTTAAATTTTCATATTAGTTTAAAGCAGATCCTTTATTTCTCTGTGGAGTTGTCTAACTAATTTAACCACGAAAGAAACTTAAAAGAGAGTTTTTTCTAATATTTTTATTAATTTAATCAGTTGTAGAACTATTTTTTTACTCATTTAAGTTCTATTCTTGAAGCATGTAATGATTTTATAGATTATTTTTGATTTTATCAGAGTTTATTTGTTGGACATGTGACTCACTTAAATTTAAAAAAGAATTAAAATTTAATATCTAGTTACTTTTATTGATATTTTCATTCTTTCTTTCAGTTAAAGATTATTCTATTAATTGCAGCTGCTAATCTTGCTGCTTTCTAATATCTTCAAGGTAGATTAATATATTATCTTATTTTTATTTAAATAACTGAATTTGATTATTCTTTTAAACAGATTTTGGAGTCAATAAATGCCTTTAATTCAGTACATTTAAAGGAGATATTTCCTCTTCTTCAGATGAAGAAGAAGTCAATTCATTTTTAATTTTATTAAGATTTAATTTTATCTCTTCTTAACTCTCTTTTTATTCTTGTTAAACTTAAATTTGATGATTTTTATAATATGAATTTTAAAAGGAGCTATTAATATCTGTCTTATTTTCATTACTTATAGAATTTAATTAATCATTTTTATTCTCTGAAAGGAATTATTCCTTTTTACTATCTGAATTTACTTTTTCTTTTTTATAGTCAGAGTGTGCTTAGATTTAATATTTCTGAGGGCTGTATCTTATTTATTATAGTTTTTTAGTATTTTGTATCCTTTATAAAATTTAATTTTTCTTTTATTTCTAAATATGTTGAAAAGGTGAGAGTTAAGTAGGTTATTATGCTTATTGATATTTTTAACTAAAATTGTGCTATTCATTGATTAAATAATTAGTTTGTTATATGAGCTTATCTTAAAAAAATGTCTTATTTTAATATTACTAAATGTTTTGTAATTAATTATCATCTGAATTGTTATTATTTTTTTAATTGTTGATTACTAACAAATTTTGAAATAGTTAATCACCATCATCATTGATATTTCTTTGTTTTCTATAACTATTATTTGCACTTTTAGTTCTTTATGATTTTTCAGTAGTACTAATTGCACTAGTAGTACTTTAAAGCTACTTAAATTATATTTGTGATGAAACTTCTTAAAATATTTAATGCTGGTGGTATTTCTAATCTTGATTTTCAATTCCTTATTTTTCACTCTCTAAAATTTCATTATTTTTTATAATAACATCTTAGAAATCTTCCTTTTGCTCCTTTAAAAATCCTAATTATTAGTAAAGGCACTATCTAAAAGATTATTATTCATTATAAACATTTTGCATCTTTTGTGGACTTTGTGAATTGGAAGAGTCAAAAACTAAAATAGGTATCTGCATATTACTCCTGTTTTATAATTCTTTAGATCCTTCCTCTAGATTAGCAGGAGTATTCGCTCTAACTACTTTACAGTTTTTCATTCTCTTATAGAAGATAGCTGGGCTGTTTAGAGGCATCATGTTTCGCAAGTAGCAAGATTAAAATTTTATTTCTTGTTGCTGCTCCTTTTCAATTTTTTAATTTTTTGGGCTTTTTTGTAAATTTGAACCAAGCACATCTTTAGAAAAGAGTTGAACTTTGTCTTATTTTTGATCTTAAAATTTGTAATATTTTATTGGCAAAGAACTCCCAATCATAAGTTTTTCTTTGCTGTTTCTATGAGATTAAATACTTTTACTATCTGGTAAATTTATATATTCTCTTGATGAGTTAATCAAAGAATGCTGCAAAAGGCTTTTTGAGTAACTATCATCAGCTTTATTATCCTAAAGATCAAAGATATGGAAATTTTAATTTACAAAAATCTAATCTTTTATGGGAGTTTAATGATTAAAATTCTTAGATTTATGTCCCATTTATTGTTTCAACTATATTGTTTTAATTCCTTTTCGCGGAGCTGATTATGACTAAGCTCTCCTTTTATATAAACCTTAGTCAATTAAAAGATTATAATTATGATTGTTCATTTTAATAGTCTTTATTTGGAAATATAACAAAACTCTTTGTATATATTTTGATTTATTTTATTAATTTGTTTGCTTATATCTAATTAGAATATAACCATTAATTTATTCAATTTATCTAAGTATTCATATATTAAATATCTTCGAGTCTATGTTAACTATCATCTAATTTTGCCAAATTATATAATAAATAAATTTTGATCATTAATTATTAAGCAATAAATATGATTAAAAACTTCAATCATATTAATAAATAAATAAATATTTACAGACTTTAATCTTTAAGTTTGTATAATTCAATTAATTACAAGTAAAATTAAATTGCTCTATTTGATGCTAAATAGCTTTTATTAAATAAAAAATAAGCAATTATCAATTAATTTCATAAATTAAAAATTAAAAAATAAACTTTTGATAGTATTTAAAATTTTTTGAAACAAAATATTTGTATTTATTAATATTTTAGTCATGATTTAAAATAATAATAAGAATTTCCAGCCAGATGACACAGACTTAGATATGATATATAATTAAGAATCAAAAAATAAAATGATTAATCTTTTATTTAATAATAAAATAATGAGACAAAATAATCTTTTTGATAAATTTATTAAATATAATTTTTAAAAATCCAATCAAAATAATTTAAAAATTAAATGTGATTCTTTTTAGATAGTTTTCGTTATCTTTTTATAAAAAAATTTTTTAGAGATTTAAAATTATGTTATTTATTTATTTTGATTTTATTGAGTATGATTATATTTTTTTTCTAAAAAAATTAAATATGATAGTTTAAAATTTTATATTTTAAGTAAGTTAAATATTAAGCAAAAATAATTTTTTACTTTATTAAGCTGAAATGATTTAAAAAATTAATTTTTGTTATTTTTATTTGACATTTAAACACATTTTTAAAAATGGAATTTTATATAATTAATAATACTTCATCAATTTATATAAACAAATTTTATATTTTTATTTATTTATTTTTTAATAGTTCATTGTTCACTGAAGGTAAGTAACTTCTTGACTAAAGGTTGTTAGAATGTTGAGTTAGTACTTACACATGAGCTATTTCTGTATAAGCAGCTATTAGATAATAAGCAAGAAGTCTTATTTAATCTTTGGCATTAATCAATATTTTGGGTATTATTTCTTGTTTGGTTTTTATTGCCAATATTCTATTCTAAAGTATAATTAAAGTTATGGGTATGATTTCTTCCAGAAGTGCTGTTACCTAATGTTAAGTTAAATGATAAGGTTTCATTGCTTGTACTATTTCTTTAGTCAGTGCTGTTATGGAAGGTATGGTTTCTGTGTCCAGTACTATTATGGTGAGTATGATTACCAGTAGTGTTATGGAAAGTGTGATTTCTATTTCCAGTGCTGTTATGGTGAGTATGGTTACCAGTTGTATTATGGAAATTATGGTTTCTATTCCAAGTACTGTTATGATGAGTGTGATTTCCAGTGGTGTTATGGAAAGTGTGATTTCTATTTCCAGTGCTGTTATGGTGAGTATGGTTACCAGTTGTATTATGGAAAGTATGGTTTCTATTCCAAGTACTGTTATGATGAGTGTGATTTCCAGTGGTGTTATGGAAAGTGTGATTTCTATTTCCAGTGCTGTTATGGTGAGTATGGTTACCAGTGGTATTATGGAAAGTATGGTTTCTATTCCAAGTACTGTTATGATGAGTGTGATTTCCAGTGGTGTTATGGAAAGTGTGATTTCTATTTCCAGTGCTGTTATGGTGAGTATGGTTACCTGTGGTATTATGGAAAGTATGGTTTCTATTCCAAGTACTGTTATGGTGAGTGTGATTTCCAGTAGTGTTATGGAAAGTGTGATTTCTGTGACCAGTACTGTTATGAGAAGTGTGGTTAGTGCTATTTTGATAAATCTAGAAACTCTTCAATTTATATGAAATAGTTGAATTAGTTGAGTTTGTTGAATTATTTATCTAGAGAACTGGGACAAAATCAAATCTAGTTGAGTTCACTGTACCATTAGAGGGAATTGTGTAATTAGAGGTTGAATTTGTTAAAATAGTAAAGTTAACAGGAACTGTAGAGTTGGTAGGAACAGTAGAGTTGGTGGGAATTGTAGAGTTTGTAGGAATAGTAGAGTTGGTAGGTACTGTAGAGTTGGTGGGAACTGTAGAGTTGGTAGGAACTGTAGAATTAGTGGGAACAGTAGAGTTTGTAGGAACTGTAGAGTTAGTGGGAACAGTAGAGTTGGTAGGTACTGTAGAGTTGGTGGGAACTGTAGAGTTGGTAGGAACTGTAGAGTTAGTGGGAACAGTAGAGTTGGTAGGTACAGTGGAGTTGGTAGGAACAGTAGAGTTTGTAGGAACAGTAGAGTTGGTAGGAACTGTAGAATTAGTGGGAACAGTAGAGTTGGTAGGTACTGTGGAGTTGGTAGGAACAGTAGAGTTTGTAGGAACAGTAGAGTTGGTAGGAACTGTAGAATTAGTGGGAACAGTAGAGTTGGTAGGTACTGTAGAGTTAGTGGGAACAGTAGAGTTGGTGGGAACAGTAGAGTTAGTAGGAACTGTAGAATTTGAAGTTGAATTAGAAGGAATTGTACTGTTAGTAGTGCTATTTGTTGAATCAGTGAAATTCATGAATATATCTTCGAAGATAGGTTGAGGTTCAATTACATTTTCGACGAAATTACAGACTTAATTAACAAAATTCCATTTACATGATTTTTGATTTTAACATTCATTTGAACTAATTTATATTTACATAAATAAATAAATATTTATAAAATTAAATATCAGAAAAATAAAAATATTTATGATAAGCATGATGAATAATAGCTAAGTTTAATTAGATATAAAAATATAGTAATTATTTAGTTTATGAAAAGTATATATGATATTTTAGTTTTTCATAAAGAAAAAAATGTCTAAAGGACAGCGAGAAAATTTTGATAAATTTAAAAAAATAAAATGAATGAGTATCTTTACGTTTTCAAAAGAGAACATGCAATTTTGTGGTCAAAATTCAAAGGAGAGTTTTTAGATAACAACTAACCGATCATGCTAGTCATAGTGGATTCCCAGGCGCTGACTGCAGCTACCAAGGCAAAAAGAGCGACGATTATTTTCATTGACTTTTATTTTTACTTATAATATTTTTTAATTAATATTTTTTTATAGAAAAAGTGAAAGCTTCTTTTGAATTTAATACCAATAAGCAAGCAAACTATCTAGAGAAAGAATAAAAGAGATGATTTTGTAAAATTAAAAAGAACTAATTAATTTATTGTTAGGCGTAATAAGATTTGATAAAAAATTTAATAATTAAATCCTATACGCATATAGTTTTATTAATATTATATATTATAATGTAAATTGGATAATAATTGATAATCCGTCAGCAGCAAATGAGCAAATAAAAACCCGAATTAAATTCAGTTTTCAAAATAAATTTGGTAAACATAATTAATTGTATTTCAGTCTTATTCAAAAAACTTTTTATATTAAATTAAAATTCTGTCCTTCAGTTAATTCTTTTGATTTAGAAGTGAAGTTTGTTTTTAAATTCAATTTATTCGGTTTTAATCAGTTTTTTCGTAAATGAATTTTATTTTTTAATGTTTGTTTTTTAAAAACATTACTTTTATAAATTTCTTTGGCTATTTAATAGCTTTTGAAATTAATTTGATTGCTCACTTTCTATTATTTTTTCAATAACTAAATAATATTGACAATAGGCAGAGATTAGGTGCCTTATAAATCAGATTGTCTAGGTGAATTCCAACCTAAATTTTCAAATTACAACTATTTGCATCAACTTATACAGCTTAAAATTTATAAAGCGTTTTCCATTTAATACTCACATTAGATAAAATACATGCCTTTTTCATAGAAATTTAGCTTTAAAACAATAAATATTTAGGCTAAAATTATTAGATTTCTAATAAAGAATAATTTGGCCACATATCAAAAAAAATGCCTGATCTAATTAGAAATTGAATCTATAACACAAGTATTATTTTTATATCAAAAACAAGAGTAAATTTATGAATGGGTTTAATTAAGAAAAATGGGTTAGATTTTTTTGATAAAGGAATCGCATTATTTTTAAATAAAAGAATAGGTGCTATATCGATTTAATTAAACTGAGTAACAAATTTATTTGATGTATTCAATGTTGAATAAAACCTTGTAATTATTTTTAAATTAATTTGTTTTATAATAATCAAATAAGTTTAGACATAATATTGAATTTCATTAAATTTTAATTTATAAATTTTAATAATTAAATAGTTTTTAGAATAATTTTATTTTTTTCTAATGAAAAAAGAATTCTTGTAATTATTTTAAAAATAAAATCAAGGTTTAAAATATTTTTAGAAATAAATGAATATTTTCAGAATAATATTTTTCTTTTCATAAGAAATATTCAATTCAAGAGATTTCTTTTATAAAAAGAAAAATCTTATCGAAGTGATAGATTATTTACTGAAATAAATTGATAATAATAGAAATTAACACCAGTAAGATCTTAATTTCTGTTGAGTGTAAATAAATTTTTATTACCTATTAAGCAATATTTTAAATCTTATGAGATACTTATCTATCTAGATATTTAGGAAGTATTATAAAAATTAAATAATTTGTTAGAATAGCGTTGCTGTTTATATCTTTTTTGTTTCTTTTACAAATAAATAATGTGCAAATTTTCAAATTATTGTTTATTTATAATTTATAAAAGATAAAAATATTTTCAATTTACTATTTTATATCTCTTTATCTTTGTTTTTTTTAGAAAAAATATTTAATTATTAGCTGAATTCATAAATATAAAGCGATATTTGAAATAGTTACTATTTAATGGGTATCTAGAAGAGAAATTAACAGAAGTAAATTTTTTATAAAAGAGATTCAATATAAAAACTTTCTAATGGCTCCTTCCTTTATTAATTTCAAATCATCCAAAATTTTTTCAAATTAAAAATCATATTTATAAAAAATATAATTAAAATTTCTTCAAATCTTTAGAGAGCCTTTATAAATATGCATTGCAAAGAAGAGAAAAATTCTTGTTAAAATTAGTTTTATTAAAAAATAAATTAAATTTAAGTAAATTATCTTATTTCATAACCTAAATTTTTTTTCTTTCTATTTTATAGATTTACTTTTTATCATTTTTTAATATGAAAAATTTATTAAAATATTTTTTTCCAGATTATTAGCATAAAAATAATCGAGTAGAAAATTTAAAAATATTATTGAAAGAATGAAATAGTCTTTTAGACTATTTAAATCTATTTTTAAAAAATACTAAAGATATTTAAAAAAGGATAAATAATATATATTATTAAATTTATTTTAAGGTCTTTTTTTATATTTCAGGTATTTTCTAAATTCTTCGAATTGAGTTTCCATTTATAAATTTTTTAAAAAGCGATTTCATTTATTAAAAACAAAAAAAACAAGAATCATTTTATTTTAAAAAAGTTATAAATATTAGATTAACAGTTATCATTTAATGTGAATAAAAAAACTTTATTATATAAAATATTGAATATTGGTATTTACAAATGGATTTTGAAATATTTTCATAAATTTGTCAAATTAAGTAAGAAGGTAAAACAAACAAACATATAAATTTTTTATAATTTTAACAAAACAACAATAAAATTATTTAATGCCTTTTATGTAAGACTATCCCATTTAAGTGAATTTATAATATCTTTTTTTAAAATAAATATTTTGTTTAATTATTCTTATACTCAATCCTATTCGTTTAATTTACACATAATAGAAGGGAGTAAAATATTAATGTATTTGGATTTTAAACAGTTATAATGACAACATAATCATTTTTAAGATCAGAGTTAGTTATATATGAAAAGACCCTACTTTATTTATATTTAGTAGTAAGCAGTTATATGCTTAATATTTTCTTTTATAAAAAAATGCAAATCCATAATTCATCTGTCAAAATTTTTAAATACCGATGTTTTCTTTTTTAATCATTTTTAAATTATGTAATTTATTGTATTTGATAATAAAAAAACTAGTTTTTATAAAAAAAGGATCTTTTCTTTTAACAAAAAACAATACATTAAATTTTTTTTTGAGTTCCCAAGCTCATATAGTTAAAGCATAAAATCATAATTACTTAATAATTTTACTAGTTTTATTTAATATGAGCACTTATTGTTTTTAGTTTATGTTGCATCATAGTTATAAATTTTTTATTTGTGATACGCAATATTGTTAACTTTATTAAGTAAAAAATCTAAATTATTCATTATAATGTATAGAGTATTTTTACATTTTATAAATATATGATAAAATAGAAATAATTTATTGACCTATTTCAATAATATCTCATCAAATTTTATATTCTTTCACATACTCACTCATCACATTATACAAATCATTAAACATTATATACTGTTTTTTATTAATTTTAAATAAATCAGATATTGAATTCTTTGCAAAATACAAATATTAAAGTGTTTCATAATTTTTTATTTTAAGTTATAAAAGAAAAATAAAAAACTTAATATTTTACTAAAACAATTTAACAAATTTAACTAGAATTATCTTTTAAAATTAATCAAATTTAAGCATTCTAAATTTAAAATATGTTATTTATAATTTTAAAGTAATTTAGAAAAATAAATTTTCCATTTTTAGATATTTTAATGAAGCCTGAATCAAGCAGTTTTTAAAATGAGATTTTAAAAATAATTCACATCGTTGTATAATTAACAAATAAACCAATTATATTTTTAAAGATTAACAAATAAAAGTAATTTTAGTTGTAAAAAAGAGATATTTATTGAAAAGTAAATTTTTATTAATATAAAATAAGTATTAATTTCATATGAAATATGACAGACTCTTTGTATAAAATAAAATAAATTTAATGTGTATTATTTATAACATTAAAATATGGAAATATTAATTAAATTATTAGTTTTCTATATATTTTTTATAATTTTGTTTTAATTAAATATTGTTTTATATTCAAAAATATTGAATTATTTATTATATTTATTTTATTGTTATTATTTATTGAATTTAGGATACAAATAAAAGTAAATATTTTTTTATAAAATCCCTTTGATAGCAAAAATCATTTTTGTTTTTCAAAGTTATTCATTCAATCTTCTGATAAAAATGATTAAGTTCACTAAGTTTTTATTTGCACAATTCTAATTTATAATCTATCAGAAAATTAATTAATTAGCTATCCTTTATTATTTTAGATTTAGTCTAAAACAATATATTTATGTTTTAAATAAAATATATTTTTTTACTACTGATAACTTAACTTACCAAAGTAAAAATAATATATTTTACTTAAATTATTAGAATATTCTAGGGATTAAATTGTGGTTAGTTGATTTACATTAGAATTACATATTGTTTTAATTAATTAGTAGTCAAATAATTCACATTTATTTAGAGGTTTTCTAGAATTCGAAATAAATAATTAATTGATAATTTTAAATTGATTTAAACTAGTTATTATTTTATTATATTTTGGCGATTGAGCGATTGTATTGAGTTACATTATAAATTATTCTTTTTCTCTATTTTAATTACCCTCATCTACAGAAGATTGCAGGAGTGCATTTGCTTTTTTTAGAAGAACCTGAGTTCTTTTATTTTGATGACAGATTCTTTTATTTCTAAGAAACCTTTAAATCCCAGTTATTTATCATTGGAGAACTGAACTCAAGCATTTTCTTTATTTAAAAAAAATTATTTAAAAATCATTACCAAATATTTTTGATATTTCAAATTATTTTCACTCAATAAAATAAGAAAATAAATTGTTAAATTTCTAGAATAAAATTATTTTTGCTAAAAATTAAAAAAACTTGATTATTTTGTGATAAATTTGTTAATAGCATAATTCCGCTTTGCTTGATTAACAAATTTAGAGGATATCAAAACAAAATTTTCAAGTTTAAAAGAAATTTTTCAGTTAAAAATTTGAATTAATTAATTTCAAAGACAATAATTAGACAACTAAAAGATATTTAAGAGAAACAAAAAAATAGATTAATTACCTTGATTCCTTAATAGTTTTTCTTGGAAGAGGAAATAGAAGAAGAAGTTATATCTCTCAGAGGAGTTCTATTTGTAGAAGATTGCTAGACTTATTGATTCCTAAAAGTATGATTGGTCTATGATGCGCTCTATAGCAGAGTTTATTAATAGATACTGTTGTTGTTTGAGTTTATAGAATTATTAATATTATTAATGCTGTTAAAATTAACATTTTTATTGCCTTCATCGTTATTATTTTCGTATAAATTTGAAAGGTTTTAAAATCCGTTTGTGGAATCAGAATACTGTGTTGTGTTTGGCTCAAAATCAACAATTGTTTCGAGCTAGTTTTTGAATTTTACAACATGTTCGCTTTATTCTGATTAATTATTTTAAGTTCCTACTTCTTTTGTGTTATGTTGTCTATAAATAATGGATTTTTCTTTGCTTTCGTTTGATGAAATTTAAGAAGCTAGATTAAAATCGAATTCTGTATTTTTTTGAGAGTAAAATACTTCGTCTTAATCCATTTACAGACATTCAAGAGATTGTTTGTGGTGGTTTTCGTTTGAGGGTGTCATCAAGTTTTACTCAAATACATTTTATCTTTTATTATTATGAGCACTCTTTTGATTGAAGCATTAGTGAATTTAATCATTTTCTTCAATATCAAATGCATCTTCATTCACATCAGCTTCCTTTTAAGAGAAAGCTTTTTGATAGTGGAATGGTGAAACTTCTTCTTTTTGTTGGCACTTGTTTTTTAAATCAGCATGCTAACTTTCACCTTCATTGTCATTCTCTTCTTGGATCTCGCTCTTTAATTAATCTTCTTCTGACAATTACCTGCTCACAAAATTGTTATTCATCTCTAGAACTTCGAATTATTAATGAGCCATTACTGGATTTTCTAGAGGGTCTCTATTCTCTTTGTCTTCATCCTCCATTGATTCACCGAAGTTTTCTTCAGTAATGTAAATATTGTCAAGAGAACTCTCAAAGCCAAACCTAGCTGCTATAGGTACTGCACAAGGGAATTGGCTAGTAATATTTCCTTAAAGACCATATTACTGAAGTTTGGAGGAAGTGCTTGTCTTTGTGAAACAATCCTAGAGAGTTTCATACAAAGAGTTACCGAGTACATCGAATTCTATGTCATAAGGAGACATCTTTTCTTTGTTCAAATGACTTTAATTATAGCTGAAGACAGCAGTGTTATTTACTAAGTTGTTGCTACAAGAAGAAGTCTTAACTTAAAACTATTAGTTTTATTGCAATGAAAGCTCTTATTCATCACAGATGAATTGATCTTCTTCGTCTAAACTTTTGTAATTGGAGTAATTTGAGTTAGAATTAGAAAACGTGTGAGAATTGTTGTTGCTCTCTACAGTGGATTTAAGGTGAGTGTTTCTGTTCTTCAATGCCACTATTTTCTTTTAAGGAGTCCTATGAAAATCGTTCTAAAAAGCATCATACACTTGCTAGAAGCTGAGACCGATAGTGTCTTCTCTGCTCATATTTGATTTGGTTTGTTGGTCAATTATTTGTTTTTTACCTAATTGAATTATCTATTGTTTTTTTTCTTTTATTTGAATTAATTACTAAAATTTGCTCTGATAATTAATTATTTTATCAGCCAATTTCAATTATTAAATCTATTGATTGATTCAAAGATAAATATCAGTTTAAAGTAAATTAAATAATCTTACACATTCTTTAAAGACCTCTATTAAAAACATAGTAGCCTGCCTTAATCAAAATATATAAAAATTGATTTATTTATTTATTAAAATTAATAATAACATTCATAATTTTTATTCATCTAGAAGATTTTGAACGTAACTTTCTATTTGAATTTGAATAAAACACAATAGATCCAATTTTTTCACTTTACATAGAAGTATTTGTTTATTTAACCGTCCAAAACATTCAAATTCAAAATTTTAAGAAAAGCAAATTGTTTGTGATTTTTCCCCCGCAAAATATCAATCATTCGCCTTTATTATTGCTTCATTCCAACGCGATATTTACAGATAAAATACTAGAAATTAACATTTTATGAAAGAAATAAATAAAACAGCTAAAATATTTTACAATTAAAACTAATAATTTTTATTTTTAATTTTTTATTTAATATTAAATTAAAAAAATTAGTCATTTCTTTCTAGTATTTGTCTACATAAAACATAATTTCTGTCTAGAATTAATTAGTGAAAACAACCCTTTTTTATTTGTCTAGCTAGTAATTTAAATTCAATTAAAAACATTTAGGATTTGTTTAAACAGATGAATTTATATTATGTTAACTGTTAATACTAATTATTTACTCTATTAGTATGCAGACAAAACTATTTTCTCTAAATAAATGAATAGTCTTATTACATAAATTAATATAAAAATAGTATTTATAAATTTAAATATTGAGTAAAAATTGATAGATTTTCTGATGAATTATAATTTAATTTAAAATAATCAATTGCAAAATATATTTAGAATAAATAGAGTAAAAACAAATTTATTGTCAAAAAAAGATTTTTTTTAACAACAACAACAAAAACTGGTTAAATTAATAAAAATTAAGTTTGCCTTTTTTTATATGCTTCTCATTATATTTTATATAAGATAATGTGAACTATCTAAATTTAAAAGTATATATATATTTTTCTATTTTCAAAAATTGTTTAAAAATTTATGTTAAAATATCTAAGAAACTAGTAAAAATTATTGTTAATAAAATATGTGAAAATAAACAGTGAATAAAATATAAATATTAGGTTTATGTACAGTAAAAATATATAAATGATATAAAATATAATTACTCAAATTATTGTTTTTTATAATTTTTTTTTCAAAATTTATTGTTTAATCTATTGCTAGGTGATACTGTATAATTCATTAACTCTTTAATTGGAAATTGTTTTAAAGATTATTATTTTTAGTGAAGGGAAAATTTATTTTAAGTGCCAAAATCGCTAAATTGATTTTAATTGTAATGATTATTGGAAGATAGAGATTATTAGCTATGATGTGATTAGATATATGATTACAGCTCATCACCTTCAGTCTTGTTTGATGGACGATAAGAATCTCTTTTAATCATTTTTTATTCTAACTCTTTGACTAAATTAGAAGTGGCTTCTAACTGCTATTGTAGTTCAGCATTTCTCTAATTTATTAAATTGAATTGCTTTGATTAGAATTACAAAGAGTTTTATGATGGGGTTCTGTCATGGCGAACTTTGAAAGAATACTCGCTACTCTAAAAGTTAGGATGTTAATTTTCTTTATTCGCATGAGTGGAATTCTAATTTAAATTCAATGATGGCTAAGATTAGAATTATAAAACTAGCTTTTCTAAGTATTGGTTTTTGTTAACCAAAGATTGCATGTTGCATTTTAAAGTACTCAATTCTGTTGTAAGCTATTGATTTTTTACTTTAAGACTTATCAAATTACTTTCATTTTAGCTACTTTCTAGACTTGCTTTAGAGTTATTTTAAGCTTAGATTTATTGATTATCAATTTAATCAATTAATTGTTTAATTTGCAAATCTTTCTCTTTAATTTTGTTCTCTAAATAAGAAACTTTGAGTAAACTTGAAGGCTAATTAGATTTTTATAATTGGGCTATATGATTCTATTAATTGCTAATCTCTTCTTATAATATATCTACTTGATTCAGTATTTCATCTCTCATGAGCTAGAGTCCTTCCACAATGCAGCTAAAGTTATCTTCTTTGGATTTAATTTCTCCTAAGAGGTTTTCTACTTATTCTCTCAACTACTCGTTTTCTTGCTTTATTTCCACATTTTCCATTTCATAATATTTATTTGTTCTTTAAAGATCTTCTTAATTATGAGTTAAATTTTTTAATTCTATTTGCAACTTATTGCATTCATGTTACAAACAGGCAAATTTATTGCATAAATCTTAATTATTGCTTTTTATCTTTTTGATTTCCTCTTCTTTGTCATGAATGGCTTTTTTGATGCTTATTTGATATTCGCTCTATTTAGGCTGTGAAAATTTATCACTAGCTGCTGTATGTCTATTTGATTAACTTTCAACTAAGTTGAAATATTCTTATAAAATTTTGTCAATACATGAGTTAAGAATTTATTTAAGTTGGTTTGATTGATTAAAGCATTACTAAATGCTTTCTACTTAATTCTATTAAACAACTACTTCCCCATATTTATATTCAGATTGTTACTCAGAATCTTAGTAGTATTAATTTTAAACAGTGTTTAGATTATTATTGTCATAATTATTACACAATTATTCATTATTTTAGATATATACCTGTTAAGAAGTTGTGTCATATTGATAGAAGAATTGCTAAATATCTTAAACTGCAGGAGCTTGACATAATTTGTTGATGCTTTCATTCATAGAATTCATAAGCAACTGAATACATTAGTCTTATTCATCTAATCTCTAGTTTAAGCACTGCTTTTCATATTCCAAATCAGATATTTCCTATTTCAATTCGATATTTTGATATGCGATATTGTCATAATCTTCTTTTTCTATTTTTATCATTTGGGAGACCTTTTGTTTCATTAATTCTGCTTGTTCTTCTTCTTCTTTTTTCCTTTAGAGATATTCTAATTTTTATTTCTGCACTATTTATTTGCGTTTTTTTCTTTCTTATTGAACTAAAGTTTGAGTTGCTTAAAAGAAAGCATTTCTTAACAATTGAGTGGAATCTCCAAAAAAACTCTTTGTATTGTTTATTTATTCTTTAATACCTTGAATATCATTGGTATATTTATTGATCAAAAACTCGCAATTAGCTCCATTACTAATTAAAGATGGTGCAGCCTAATTATCTTAGTTTAGCTTAATATGCTGAGATTTACGCAGATCTTCAATCAGAGAGCTGATAGATTTCAATAAAATGGTTCTAAGCTAAGTATCTTCACAAATTAATTCTAAATCTTGTTATTTCTTATCCATCATAACAATTCTAATATACTACTGCTCAGTAAAAGGCGAAGGTAGTTTCCTACCTGCTTCAAGTTTTGTCTGAACTTCTCTAATATTTTTAATGAACACAAGCTGCTTTTTTTCAGGGAAATTATCTTTAGTAGATTTCCAGCAAAAAGCTTCAAGAGAAGGTGAGTAGAAAAATATTCTAAGATTAGCTTTCTTTTTGTTTGCACGGGACACCTTAAAGACAGGAGTTCCCTTAAGAAGCTTATGCAAATCTTAATATTTTTACTCCATCTTTCCAGTGAGATTGTAACAAATCTCAAATTATGCTTCCAAATCAGTAATTCTGTCTTCCATTTATTTGAAAGTAGTTTCTACTTTACCAAGTACAGTTTTATCTACATCAAACATTTTCTCCCAATTTCTTATTTCTTCTAAAATCTATTCATCACATAAACTCTAATTAGTAGACAGTCTCATGGTAGTACCAGATTTACGATTAGAAAATATACCACCTTTGAGGCTATTGTAATTATTATTTTCTTTGTTCACACTATCACTAAATTTGTTAAGATTTCTATTAATTTTTATAGGAGTCACAGATTATGATATTTCTTCTACTTAAATAGGATCATCTTCTAGAATTCTTTGACTCCTTTCGAACTCTTAGTTTATAATTTTAATATTCTAATTGAATTCGTTATTTTGTTCTCTTTCCTCACCTTACTTTTATGAGCTGTTACTGTTTTCCTCTATAAAATTTTTTTTTAGATAACTAATTTGCTGCTAATCAATAGGAATAATTTGGCTTATTTGTGACTCATTAAAAGCTACCCTTTTACTCTTTCTCATTACTTATGGGGTTTCAGAAAGCTCAGATTTTACAGGACTTGAAAATGAATTAGATTCATTGTATCCTGGTTTTTGAGCTTAATTATTCAGTTGCTTTGGTCCTATTGGATTGCTTGGGGCATATTAGTAAGAAACATTATGAGATTGAATATCATAATATTGCTTTATCTGGCTTAAATCTATCTTTTAGTTTTTGTTGAGTTTTTATCTGAGCATACTAGCTATTGAATTGCTGCTATTAGCATTTGTTTTGTCATTTTTTGGCTCATTCTATTAATTTAATACTGATCCATAGTCCTTGTTTTAGATAGAGTTCATTTTGATCAGCCACCTTTTATTTTATTTATTTCTTCAGTTCTTTTTTATTATTTTTTTTTTAAGTTAATTTTAAACACAAAATATCCTTTAATTAATTAATTTACAATCAAATAATTTTTTATCTTAATTAATATATCGTTTTTAACTACTAGTTTATTAAAGGTATATTGAGTTAATGAGTGAGTGAATACCTACTTGAATGCATAAATTTTATTCTAAGATTCTTCTTATTTTGAATTTAAATTTTAATTTCTTTCTTATTTCACATTTTAACACTCACAAATATCTATCTGGATTATAATTATATTTATTGTTTGTTTGTTTGTTTGTTTGTTATTTTAACGTATTAAAATTTTTTGACTGTCACTATTATTTTATTTCTTCAATTTTTAATAGATATTAATGGTAATCTACGCAAACAAAGCAAACCACTTTTCTATTTTTTTTGTCTAATAATATTATAATTAATATTTAAACAATGATTTAATTTCAGTAAGACTATTTTTAAAATTATTTAATTCATCATAAAAAATTTAAATATTTTAAATTTCTTTAATTTCTTTTATTAATAAAATTATTCATATAAACTTAAAAAAAATAGTTAATGTATATTTTTAAATAGTTAATATTAAATAAAAATTATTTTAAAGGTTTAATTAAGATTCTAGAAATGTTTTATTTGCTAAATATACAAACATTTTTTTACCTTCCTTAATGTGGGTTTATGTTATTTGTTTTATTTATTTATATTATTTTTACTATTATTTCATTTAGTATTTTGCATTTTATCTTAATTATTAGCTTAATTTTTCTATTTTTTATCAAAATTAGTTGAAATAATCCACCAAATTTGATAGGTTTATTGAATTATTGAACCAAAGTTTTGAGGGAAAACCATATTTAAAGCCAATGAACTTAAAAAACTCTAATTAAAAAAAATTCAACTAAATGTTAATTTAAATTAATATATTTTCTTTTTAAAAATGGCAGACTAATTAATTAATAAGATTTTACAAAATATTTATTTTGTGATCATAAAAATAAATAAGACAAATTGATTTACAATCAAGAATAATTTATATTTTAAAGAAGAATTATTTTATTAAGCTTGAAGCATGTTGAGATTGATTGATAGGATAATAAGAATGCTTTATCTTAATTATATAATATAAATAATAATAAATATAAAGAAATAAATTTAATGAATATTTTTTATATAGATCAAAAGATCTTTTAAAATATTAACTAACTAACTAGCAATCAATCACTTGATCGATCAGTGAATTATGTTTTTTATAGTTTAAGTTTATCTCTTTGATGACATTGGTGTATACATATCTTACCTTTGATTTTGGGTAGTCATATTTTATATATAGGGATCTTTAGGAACTAAATTAAATATTTCTTATCCATATAATTTATCCTCGAGTTGTCTTACTCTCCTGAGTTAGGTTTCTATTTCGCTTTCTAGCTAGTTTTTATCTCTAGTTAATTTGGCTATTTCTTTATTTAATGAAAATTATTCTGTTTTGTGCTTTACAAAATCTTCCTGAATCTCTGCAGCTATTTTTTAAGAAGTTTTCTTAGCTTCGTTTTTAAAATCATCAACATCCTTTTCATATTTTTGTTTCATCTCCTCTATTTCTTTTCTTAATTCATCTTTCAATTAATTGTATTCATCTCTAAATTTCACTGCTGCTTTATAATGGTTCTATTTATTTATTAATTAATAAAAATTCAAAGGCTATTTAATATTTCAGTAAAATTTATTAAATTCTTTTAAATCTCTTTTCTAAAAATATTTAAAGTCATCTTAATCTTTTATTCTTTGATAAATAAAATAAAAGTCTTCAGTAGTTATTTATCTATTTATGAATATTAAAAAATTGTTTCACTTTTAAGGGAGCAGATTAATAGATAATGGCTTATTAATATTGTTTGAAAATAAATGACTATTTTAGGTATTTTAAATAATAACCAACAGCATTTGTTAAAATCGTATTGGATGGAAAGATAACTTACTTGTTTTAAAACTGCAAATTAAAAAATATTAGTTAATTATTATTTTATTATCCTATTTTCTTTTATTTATTTTTGTATTGATTCTAATTTTATGTATGTACGTATGAATGAATAGCTAATTAATTAATTACCTCAATAAGTGGAAAGTTGTGAGGAAATCCATTTAAAAAAGCAATTGAAGAATTAGGATTTTCTAGTTTGTTAATGTCTGTCTGAAATTAAAATTGATAATCTTCGTTTATTTAATTTTCATTTAAGACAGGCATGTCGTTTGGAAATAGTGGCTTTGTTTCTTACATAAAGTTTTCAAAGAATTATTTCTAGGTTTCATTAAAATTGTTAGTATCGTAATCATCAGAGTAATTAGGTGATTATTCATCTGCAAGTTATTATTTTTGATAAGCGTTTGAAGGATGATGGGTTGAAAATCTCTCAGCTTAGGTAGAATAATAGGCTGTAGCTTGAGGAGTTTAGGAAGATTAAAATTAAGAATAAGTCATATATCCAAAATTAGATAAATGCTATAATGGTGATTCCATGCTTAATCTTCCTCCTACTTTATTTAAATTTTTGACAGAATAGCTGCTATGGCGATGCTGAGGTAATTTAGCAAATCCTTAACCAACATTATGAACATATAAACGTAAAGATTATCTTGAAGGATTTCTGGATTCCATTGGAGACATCATCTAATTTCTAGGTGATATCTATTAATCAATTTAGGGAAAATCAATGTTAATTTTGCTGGTTGCATCTTTTTATTCTTCTATCTCCTTAGGAGTATTCAAATTATGTGAATTTGGAATTCCTCCTCCCAACTTGTTGTTAGGTAGGTTTTCTATTTTTATTTAAAATGAAAAAATTTTTTAAAGCCAAACCTTAAAGTAGTAAGTAAGTTGTTTATTTACCTTCTGTATGCTAGCGTTTTATGAATGGTAGAGTTCTAATTAAAATAGATTAGCGCTATTTACTCTAATCTTATTCCTACTACTAATTACGCTAAAAAATTTCAAATCCTTTATTTAGCACTTGGCTTCCTTTATGATTTGCCATGCTTTTGTTTGTTTACTATGATTATCTCTTCATATTTTTATATGCAATAACAGCTTCAAACTAAATGCTTAGCTAAAATCTACTTCAACCTTAAAATTTTTATATAAATTTGTTGAATTTGTTCAATTTTTTTATTTGGTATGTTTAATAAAATAAATGATATTCAATTTATGACAAAATTTAGTTTGCTAATTTATTAATATACAATCTAATTTATAACTTAGTATATATGTATGTATGTATGCATGCGAGGTAGTTTATTAATCCTCAAACTAAGAATTTATAAAAAATATGCAGACTAAGTACTTTGTTAAAAAGTATAAGAGCTGATTTCTAATGGTTATTACAACAATCAATACATTCAAGAGCAAACATATATTATATGTTTTACATGTTTATTTATCAATATTAACTAAGTCTATTATTTAAAAATCTCATAATCAAATTTTTTATTTATTATAAAGCAATAATAACTGCCAAAAATTTTTTTAATTTATTATTCACAATACATATCTCATTAAAATTATAGTTTCTCAAATTACAATTTTGTTTAATTTTATAATTAAAATAAAAAATAAATAAGTTTTAAATTAATTAATTTTCTCATATTTCTTTAATATTTTCAATAAAGTATTTGATTTGATGACAATAAGTAAACTATAATCAATCTTATTTACAATTAGCTGAATTAATCAATTTAATATTTAAGATTATTCCAAGATAAATATAAGAATGAAAATTATTAACAAAAAATTTATACTTGATATCTGACATTATTTTCATTTATAACAATTTTTTTACATTCTTAAGCTTTTATTATAATATAAATTTTTAAAAAAATACCTTAATTTTATACAGTAAAAAAGAAATTTTAAAGATATAAACATTAATTAATTCATATCAACAATTTATACCTTCTTTAGCAAATAATAATAGAAATCAGTATATCTTTGTTAGTAATTCATTATCATATAAATTAAAAAAAAAATACCTTAATTTTATACAGTAAAAAAGAAATTTTAAAGATATAAACATTAATTAATTCATATCAACAATTTATACCTTCTTTAGCAAATAATAATAGAAATCAGTATATCTTTGTTCGTAATTCAATTTTTTTTTAATCTTGATTTGATAGGAGAGGAATAGTATTTATATAAAATATAATTAAATAATAAATTGATTGCTTTATCTCATTTTAACCTTTCAATTTCAGCTTTTAACTTTTGAATATCTTCATTATTAGGATTTAAATCATCTGCAAAAGAAATGTGCTCAAAAGCTTCATCATATTTTTTAAGTTATTTTTAAGTTATTGCCATATAATAATATGGCAAATAACTACAACTAGGGTTATTGTCTATTGCTCTTTAAAATAGATCTTCTGCAATAAAAAATTCTTGATTTTCTAGATAAGCTTGTCCAAGAGCTAGTGATATTTCTATTTTTTCTTCTACTTCTTAAGCTTCATTTAAAAATTAAATAGCAGTGCCTATTCTATTCTTTTTAAGGAATGCATAACCTAAATTATAAGGAGCGAACCAATCATATGGATCTGCCTTTTACCCTTCTCTGCTGTAATAAATAGCAAAATCATGCTATTTGATACAGTTGTGTGCAAAAGCCCAATAACTAAAAAATGTATTATTTGAAGGATTTTTTTCTTCAATCTCCTTAAAAATTTCGATTGCCTCTTAGAATTTATTAAGTTCACACATAAACTTAGCTTTTTCTGAAGTAACTACATCAATTTTTGGATTTTTTATCTCCAATTCTTCAAAATACTTTAAACCTTCTTCGAATTTTTGGCTGGATCTAAATGACTCGCCTAGTAATAAATAAGGTTGAATTTGATTCGGATTTTGTTCTATAGCTTTTTTTAAGCTATCTATTGCATCTTTATAGCTGTCCTATTACATGAAATACTTAGCCTTTTTAAGATTTAGATCAAAATCTCCTTCCCCTTATCTTAATTCCTCATCACTTACATAAACATTTTCAATAACTCTTTTGTAGGATTTTATTTACTAAGTTTAGGTTTTAGGTATACCTCTTTACATAGAAGGGAAACCAATTTGATTTGGTTCTTGATTTTAGATATTTTAGAAAATCTATTATGTATTTGGAAGCATATTTGTTTATTCCTTTTCTTTGAAATATGTTATTTGCTTAAAAATAATAATTAGTTTTTTAATTTATGTTGGTTTAGATATTTCACTCAAAAGCTTTTTTTAGTTTAGTATACTTCAGATTTTTTTAGTTATTTTATTCTAATAACTATTTTACAAAAAAATAAGTAAATAAGTAAGTAAGTCGTTGCTAAGTGAATTTATGAGGCTGAAAAAAAAACAATGATTTCTAAATATTAAATATGGAATAAATTTTATTCTTATTTTAATTTTAATAGCACAAAAAATTCTAAATATGTGTGTCTAAAATTGTAAAAAAAAGAGTCTAAAAATCCTAATAAATTTGAAACAAAATCACACAAATAGTTCATTTAAAAAATATTTTACTTAAAAAAAAAATAATTCAATAAAATTCGATATTTGTTTTCCAAAGTTAAATTATTTTTTTTAATTGATTATTATATATATAGCACGCTAGGACACTGCCTTTTTCAAGGCTACATACATGAACAATAACTGAATATTTTAATTTTATTTATTTAGTAGTTTTTTATTTCTTTCATGTAATTATTATTATAAATATTTTTATTAAAAAAATAATATAAAATTTATGAATACATAAAATTAATAATAAATAATTTATGTATCAAATTCATAAAATAAAAATTTAAAAGCATTGTATAATGTTTTTTTAAAGAGAAATTGAAAAAATTTAATTATCTACTAGCTCAAAATTTATTATTTTTAAATTAAGAACAAAAATCAAAACAATTCCACAATTTTATTTTTCAATAAATTTTATTTAGTGTTTAAAGAAATTAATTATATTTTTAACCTGATTTGATAAAATAAAATTTAAGATAAAATTTGAATACGAATATATAATATATATATATAAATATATAATTATGTGAATAAGAATAAAGAAATAGATTGCTTGATTATATTGAATAAATAGGATTTTGGGATTTAAGTATAAATGTATTTGAATATTTTTTGATTATCAAGTAGTTATTTATTTACTTGTTTATTTCATCTTTTTTAGAAGAGAAATTTTTAACACTTTAATTTGATGCATAACTTTTTATTTTGTGTTACTGTATTGCTAGATCAATTTTCAAAAATTTCTTTTATGTTATTTTTTTAAATTACTTTTGCTTATCAAATTGGCTAATAAGAAATTTTATGATTGTCAGTCAATTACATGCAAATCAAAAGTTAATTCCTTAGGGTTCATTGTCATATGGTCTTTAATACTTTTTTCATAAGCATACAACATAAGTTAGACTGTTCTCAGGTGGGCTTGCTTTTTCATTTATATTTCTATTTGTTGTTGAACTATTTGAGACATTTTATATTTTTCCATTATAACTAAAATTTGGTTTTTTAAAAGCAAGAAGTCTTTTTCATAATTACTTTTTTGAAGATTTGTATTGCAAACATTTAATGACTCATCTACTCTACCAAGAGCTTATAAGCATAGAATCTTGATTTTGATCGCAATTTATAGAGCTCTCTTGTTGCTCTCATTTAGTGTAGCCTAAGATTCAATAATTCTATTGCAGTAATGTAGAGATTTTTCTAACTCATTTTGAATGTAGTATATTATAGCAAAAGAAGAAAGAGGAACCCAAGAATGAGGTTTTAATTCCATAGCTTTTTCAAAGCATGAACGGGCGTTATCAAAATCGTATCTTGTCATAAATATTTAGCCTTTTTTGATGTTAGCACCATAGCAATTGGGAAGCATTTTGAGATATTTATTGCACTCAACAATTGAAGACTAGGATTGATAGTTTGATGAAATTATATGAAATGCTTAAAAGCATTTTTTATCCTCCTTGTTAATTTTATGGGCTATTAACTCAAGTTGCTTTACCTCTTGCTACAAGTTTGGTGGTTTTTCTAATATGTCATCGTATAGAGGATCAAAAAATTTAATTTTGCACTACTCTAATAATAGCATGGCTTCGTTGTTTGATGGATCTACTTTTATGCATTGCTAGTAGAACTCAGAAGCATTTTTTCTAGAGTCTTTGATCAACTAGATATTTCCAAGATAGAAGTAAGGATGAGAGAAAGTAGGATATCTGAGGATAAGCCCATTTAAAATATCTTCCCCTTTGCTATAATCCTCTAATTAAATAAGACAAATAGCGTATACTAACTAAGAAAAGAAGAAATTTTTTGGAGTTTATAACTATTTGCAAGAAGCCATAATACGGCTGAAGTCTTCAAAGTTTTTTGGATAAAGTCTATACATCAAATCAGGTAAATTTTTGTAAATACTTTTTATTCCTTTGTAGGTTTTCATTTTCTCGTAATGCTTGATTTCATCTAATTTCAATAGCATTTCTTTTACTTCTAATGCTTAGTCAACACCAAAGCTACAACCTATTCCTTAACCCATTATTTTTTGTGATTAAAATTTTTTAAAGTCTGATTAATCGCTTTTAATTTAATATTAATTAATAATACGAACTAGTTATTAATTATTTTTTTATTAAAAACTTAGACTATAAAAATTAATTTCTTTTCTATTTTTCCAAATAATAAATAATTGGTTTTTTGTTCTATTTATAAACTTGTTGATAACTCTGGCTAAAACTAGCTTTCTTCTACTTATTTTCCTACCATTTTTAAAGCATAATGTACTAGATTACTCAATATATTACAACCTTGATATTTTTAAATTTTAAATTAATTTTATACATCTATGAATCAAAACAAATAAACTAAATATGATATTTTGCTTTTATGATAGTTGCTTTCAGTTAGTTGAGAGGATTTTAAATTTTATTGGGTTAACAGAAAATTTATTTATTTTGTAATCACCTTAAAAATTTAAATCTGCAGCAATAAATGTTTGTTTTACAATTTTTAATGGACGCAAATTATAATGAATGAATAATTTATTTATATATTTTTTAAATATTGTAAATTCAATTGTAAATAGTTTTAAAACCTGTAATTAAAATATTTGTTTGGATTATTTTAGGTTCAATTTTTATTTAGTATTTTTTTCTATTTGATTTTATACTCTATTCTATACATTAATTTATTTCATCCATAAAATTCATAAAATTGAAAATTAATCCTCAATTGTGATTAAATTTGAAACAAACAATATATATAAACACAAAATATCTACTCTTTTTTCTTTTAATTTTTTATATTTGAAATAATCTATCTATATATCTATACATAAGACTTTTTTTCGTTTAAAATAGAAAGATAAAATTTAATAAAACGTGATTAAATAACTTATACAAAAATAAAAAGGAAAATTTAGTATAAATTTAAATCTAATTCTTTTTCCACTTTAAAAAGCAAAATAATTTGTCTTCAAAACCATTTAAATATAAATTCCCTTTTATAAGTTTGTATTGATTTTTCATTTTATGAAAACAAATTTTATTTTTTGCAAATAAACTTTTTAGAAAAAAGTATTTTTGAAAGTTGTTTTAAAAATATTTAAATTAAAAAGGGTAAAAAGTGTTCAAAGTTAAATAAGAAATGAATTATGAATCATTCAATTTATCTATTTCACTGTAATTCATATTATCTTTTATTGTAAATTGTAATTAAATGTATCATTAAATTTAATAAAATCAGAAGAAAATAATTTAATTTCATTTTTTTATCACAAATTAATATTTTTAAGTTTGCAAAATAATTAAAAAATAAATAATTTTAACAAATAAAATACTTGCTTTTTTAATAAAAATTCTGATGGATAAAAGCATATCAAATGAAAGTTATTTTAATTTTTAAATAGAATAGATTGATTGAAGTAAAATTTAATTAATTATTTTTTTTAGTGCATTTTGAAAGTACATAATCATTAAAATAGAGGTTATAAACATTAAAATTATTATGAGCTGTGTTTAGATAAATCATAATTTATTTTGCCAATTTTAAGTGTTTAAAAATAATCTAGAACTATTTATTATTGAATTATCAGGTTTATTTTCAATTCATAAAATTTCTTCTATTCAATTATTTCTTTAAGTATTTTTTGATTAGCTTGTTGGGTGTTAAAATGAAATACTTTGTAAGTTTTTTTAGTTAAGACAAATAAATATGCTAGACTAAAGATAAAGATAAGGAATGAATGCATTAAAAAGTAATTGGTATTGGCATTTGTATTAATTTTAATATTAGTTTGAACGCAAGCAATTTATTAATTAATTTATTTAATATTTATCTTATATTGTTGATACAGAAAATAATTAATAAATTGATTGACTAATAATTTATCTTCATATTTTTTTTTGCGTATAAATAATTTGATAGATAGAATAAAATTTAGAAAAAAAAGAGGAGTTATATACACATAAAAATAAATAACAAATCAAACAAGATAATTACGAAATTATTAAAATTTTGTATTAAAATCAGAATAATCTTTGAGGTTTAGGAAATGGCTGACTATATAACTGATATTAAAAACAAAGATAACAAAATTTCTATTTTGTAAAATTTAGTTGAAAAGAATGATGGTCATGTAACACGATTAAAGAGCATGATTGAACAACTTAAAAAGGTATTTAACATAGCATTTTTCAATTCAAAATACTTAGCTTTTTTGGTTGTGTTTGTTTATATTCAACTTTTGCATTATAAGCTTACTAATATTTTTGTTTGCGTTAAGACTCTCTCTTCAATTAGTATAAGCAAGTAGCACAAAAAATAGCAATTTTCTATCAAAATGATAGCAAAATATTTGGAATTCTTTAACTTCATATTTCGAACCACTTTTAAATTATAAAAAGCAATTAAAGTTCGAATAGGAGAAGAACAATGAAATGGCAAAAGACATGAATAAGCTTAGAGAAACCATTTAATAATAAAATCTTAAAATAAGAGAGTTATAGGAATCTCTATTTAAAAGCAAGGAAAGTGAAAGGTAACTTCAAATAAAAATCAAAGATCTTCAAAGCAATAGTCCTTTGAAGAATACAAAGGGAAGTTCGACAACGACAGCTGCTCAATCAAAAAATAGTGATAAATAACACAACGAATAGATTTATAATATAAAAAGTATGATTGATCTAACCAAGCTAGAAGAATCTGAACTCAAGCATCAAGAATATGAAAGAAATTATTAAGAGAGTATACTTCAAAATAAAAGCAGTATGATTAAACTTTTTATTTTGTTTTAATCCTATTTGATTTACATCTGTTTATTATATGCTTTCCTTTTTAAATTATAACCTGTTCTTTAAAACATTAAACTGTCAATAATTAATTCACTTTTATCTGTCTCCCTCATTAACTTTTTTTAAATATTTAGCAAATGATCAATCAAATTCACCTTTATAAAGGTCAGTAGAAAGAAGCTAAATTGCATAAAACGATGAAATAAGTTGGTAAAATTCAGAAAAAAGAAGAAGAAATAACAATTTAAAAGTCGATTCTTCAGTGCTTAAAAACTCAAGTTTTCTTGAATCACCTAAAATACAAAGGACTATGTTAAGCGTAGTGGAAGAAGATCTTTCAAATATCATGAAATCAGCCCAATATCAAAAGGAATTAGGTAATAAAAATAGAGGATATCTTGTATAAACTTGTATGTTAAGGAGTATAAGAATTTGCTTTAAAATAAAGTATCTTAAAAATATTTCTATCGTAGAACAGATAGAAAAAAACTAGTAAAATGAATGAACACATTATAGATTTAAAATAGTATTTTAATTTGTAATCAAAGAGATAAAGCAAACAACAGGTTCATTGATTGATTCCCATTCAAGATTAATAACAAAATATTAAAAATACTTAGTAAAATTAATAAATACGTTAGGTGCAAAATACTTAAATAACTTTGAAAAATACTTTGAATTTTAATTAATTAATTAAATTTAATCATAAAGTTATTAAAATTCATTAGATATTTTAATAAAATAGCACAATTAAAACAATACTTTTTATCTTGTTTTTAAAGTATTATCGAAATAAATGAACACTCTTTTTGCATAAATTGATTTTATTCATTATTAATTGAAAAATAAATAAACAATTAATCTATGCACTTCCTTATTTTTTTCATTACTATGTTATAATCTTTTGTCCATATAAGTTTATCACTATTAAAATGATATTAAATTTATTTTAATTACTTTATTATTACAGATCCTGCCTTATTGAAGACTATAGCTAAAAGTATTGTTGCAATTAAATACACAAGCAAAGTTATGGAAAGTAGCACATGCTCTATTCCATGTGTTTCAGAATAAGGAGATGAGTGTAATGAAATGCATATTGACAAGAATTATAATGCTGATAGAATTTTAACAAATGAAGATAAGAATAGCTTATTTCACATAAAACTTAATGAGGTAAATATTTTTGCAATTTTTTGCTAAGATTTTATTGAAAATTATCTCATCAAGTCTGAATTTAGAATGTTTAATTTGATTTAGTTTAAATTCTATTTGTTCAAGATTTCATAGCAAGCATAATTTCTGTTGCTTTCTGATATTTTTTAAATCAAATAAGCCTGATTTTATCAATAAATTAATTAATCGATGATTTTTTGTAATGATTTTCTTTTGTTTATATTAACTTCCTAAAAAAAATACCTGTTTTCGCTATAAATGTATTTAATTGTTAAGAATTCTAAGGAAGTTGTTTATGTTTAGGAAATTTAAGATGACTAAATATCCCTAATTGCACAATTTGCTCCTGTAACAAAAAAATAAATAAAACAATTTAAATCTAAAGAATCACTTTCTATAAATAGCATCAAAAATATTTAAATTTCATGAATGAATGAATTTATTTGCTATTAATAGGTTGAGTAAGACGAGCTAAACTCTATTGAAGTTAGAAAGAAAAAATCTTCAAGTATGTCAGATAAAGCATCAAGGAGAATTAGCTTTTAACCTAAAGGGATACATTATCATAATCATCATGGTAATTTAAAATCGAATAATAGCTAGTTAACTCCTACCAGCTAGAAAGTTTCATCAAATGGTATTATTAACACTAATTAATCAGACAATTAGTAGCAAAGCACTCGCTAAAAGGGATCTTCTACTCCTAGAATAGATACTTTTGATAATTAAAAGCAATAAGAAAGCTAAACAAGTTTAGGAAGTTAAAATCAGACATCACAAAATGGGGCAGGCAGCTTGAGAAACAATTAAATTTAAGATGAAGATATTATAGAAATTAAAGAAAGTATGGTTTCAGGAGTTTATAGTGAAAGTACATCGGGAAGCAATTCTCCCAAATGCTCAGAAGACGCTGATATGTATTAACCATTTAGTCATTTTTTTGTTTTGGGATGTGATAAAGATGATGTGAAAGAATTTGATAAAATGGGAGTTGATAGAGTCTTACTACCAGGAAAGCTTCTTTATAATTACTCAGATAGAGTTAGCAAATCCAAGAATGACCCTTTCGAGTAAAATCCAAATTCAAATTCAATAAATACATAAAAATATTAATTTAAACAGAATAGTGAAAAAGCAAGTTTCAGAATATGCATTTCCTTATGGGTTAGAAGTTAAGAAAATAGATGGTGATATGGGTTAAATTAAATAGATAATTATTCCTCCAACAAAGCATGGTATGAATGATAAATTTTTCTTTTTTAAAATGCGCAGCCAAGAGAATTTTAAGCAAGTCTAAGTAGAAAAACAAAAGAATGACTTATTGAAGATTGTAAACCCTAATAAAGTTCTTTTCTTTACCTGCCTGTAGATTCGAGATTTCATCGAAATTGTATGAATAATAAATTACATTTTTTGTTTTATTAACAATTATTTGTAATTAAATTAAGACCAGCGATGACGATACTTAAAAGAAAAGCTATTGGAGGGTTCAAAAGATATTTTGCTTTGTAAGTTACTTCCCATTCTATGACCTATTAAGCCGTTTGCTTTAAATCGTTCAAGACTCGATTAAGGTGGAACGACAATTCGTCATGCTGAATGCAGATAATTTTACTGAGCTAGATAAAATAGATAGCGACTCAGTTCAATTACATATCAGTAAAAATATAGAATAATATTTATAACAATGGTAAAGAACAGAGCTTAGAATACTAGGAAAGGAGTATAAATTTAGCATGGATTAGCAAGGATTCTTTCAATACAATTTACCCAGCCATCCTGACTTCCGTAAAAAATCGCTTAGCTGGAGTTTGATTGGCCCTATCAGTTGTCTATCTTTTCAAAATTTCCTTTTCATTCTATTTGCAATTTTGTAGGAATAGCATATTATTTTTGTAAGCACAAATCTTTGTCTTTTGACAAAAGCAATGTAAATAATTTTTAATTCATTAATTTTTGTTTAAATTTGTTTCAATAAAGTCCAATTTTCAATTTGAAATTTAAAAAAACTAGCTTTAAGATTAAAATGTTTTTATCTTAAAAATTGTAAATAATAATTAAATAAATAAATGAATGAAAAATTAGAATTAAGTTGATAATAAAAATTAAATTATTTTTTTATTTAAATAAGTGCATGCTTTGAAGCTTTAATTATGCCTTTTTAATGGCCCTATCCTATTGTTTACACTCTCCCTGAAAATCTAATGGGATTACTGGGATCACCTTAACCTATAATTCTGGGTATTAACAGAAGTGGAAGATATGTTCTCAGCTAGGATTTAGTTGAGAGTAATCCTGATCATATTTTTGTGCTTTTAGATGAAGGTACTATCCTAACAAATAACAACAACTATGTGAAGCAATATTAAAAAAATCCTCCTTCTCTTTCATTAAAATAATAATTAGCTGAAGACTACTCTCGTGTTGGACTCAGCTTAAATGATGCTCTAAAAGTATATAATTAAGCTTAATATTAATAATTTAATAGCAGCGAGCAATACAAAAGATCGTTCCCAATCCCTAAATTCCATGTAAAGAATGATGAAATAGTTGTTCTAGAAAATATAATGTAGACATGCTTTAATATATTTTAATAAAAAATAATTTCTTTGCTCCCAAAGCAACCTATATATGACAGTGATGAATAGGTAATTTACTAATTTATAAATTCATTCTTAATCAAATTATAAACATATATTCATTTTTTTTAATATCAATAAAGCTATTAGATTATGATAAAATTAAGAGTATAATTCTCTAGCAGTCTAGCGAAGAAGATAAACTTTTCCTAAACAATTTTTGTTCATAAAGTAGCTAAATTTTCCTCTACTTTTGTGAAGATTTTTACAATCTTGTTGAAGACAATAATATGAAAGAACATTGATATTTTAATTAGAAAAAATACCATAATTTATAGAATCTATTTTAAAAAAGGAATAAGAGTAAAAACCAAATTAATAACAACAACAAAAACATTTTAAAATAAGTTAAAAAATAATAATAATAATAATAATAACAACAATAATACATTATTTATCAATAAAAATTAGATAAGAAGAGTACTTGATTGATTGAATTATAAAAATAAAATTTTATGATTATAAATTATTAGCTTTATAAATAATTAAATTATGAAATTACAATCACAAATTTCAAGTAAAATAAAAAAACATACAATTTTACTATTTAATTTATAACATTTTAAGTAAAAAATATATTTATTTATTTATGTAAACACATATAAAAATGAATTGAATTTATCAATGAAAGAAAACAAAGCAATTTACATTTACTTTAATTGTGAGAGATATGATATAAAATATTTTATATAAATAAAAATAAATATATAAATTTTAATTGACTTGGCTTCCTTTTTAAAATAAAAAATAAATAAAGGAAAATAAGAAAAGCTGTCTGTCTGATACTAATTCCTTCTAAATAAATCGAATGGGTGGAAATTAATAAAAATAAAATTTTTTTATTCTGAAATAAGAATTTTGTTTCTCTTTTGCTCACGATTATTGTTAATAATTAAATAATATTAATAACCTTTTCATATTTAAGAATTATATAAAACAAACATTTGTTCCATTAAAAATTTAAAAAAAGGAAAATAAGAAAAGTTGTCAGATACTACTTCCTTCTAAAATTAATTGAATGGGTGAAAATTAATAAAAATAAAATTTTTTTATTCTGAAATAAGAATTTTGTTTCTCTTTTGCTCACGATTATTGTTAATAATTAAATAATATTAATAACCTTTTCATATTTAAGAATTATATAAAACAAACATTTGTTCCATTAAAAATTTAAAAAAAGGAAAATAAGAAAAGTTGTCTGATACTACTTCCTTCTAAAATTAATTGAATGGGTGAAAATTAATAAAAATTAAATTTTTTTATTCTGAAATAAGAATTTTGTTTCTCTTTTGCTCACAATTATTGTTAATAATTAAATAATATTAATAACCTTTTCATATTTAAGAATTAAATAAAACGAACATTGTTCCATTAAAAATTTACATATTAATATTAATAATGAGTCATTTTGAAATAGCAATTACAAAATAATAACTCTTATTTGCTTTAAATTGTTTCTAATTTATTATTGTTATAATTATGAATTAATAATAATTTATTAATTTGAAAGTAGGAAACCAACCAAAAAGTGAAAGTAGAAGTAATAATTTAAGTAAAAAACTAACAATAAAAGAAAAATAAATGGTTAATTATTTTAGAAGAATTTTAACAAAGCTAGATATTTTTGGCTCGAATGTCGGTTTAAACTACAACAAAAATAATATGTTTTAGACCTCCATCGGAGGGGTTTTAAGCATATTCTTTTGTGCTTTAGTAAGCATATTTTTTTGGAACAATGTAAGATTTACATAATTTAAATAGACATTTTATATTAAACTTTATCATATTTATAAAATAAATAGATCATAGAATTTTTGAGAAAAAGTAAGTTTGTTTTGATTTAGATAATATATGGAATGAATTTGATTTAAACTATACTCTTTATAATAAATAGCATAAGTCACATCATCAACCACACAACAATATTCGCCAAATCCTGATCCTATAGTAGTTAATGCTTAAAATTTCATGTTCGCTGTGAAAATTTAATAAGACAATTTCGTAAAAAATCCAGTACTCAACATCACTCTTGAAACAAGAGATTATTAAAATTACGATAACGGAACTACAATAAAGCTTAAAGTAATAAGAAATAACTCTAATAGTATTTATTTTATTAAGAGCTCATTTTAAAAAGATAATAAACATCAATATTAATATTTTTTTTTCAAAAGAACTACTTTTTATTTAATTTATTTTTATATTTTAAATAAATGAAAAAAGTACAAATAATACTTGGAACCATGCACCCAATAACATTTTGCTTAATTACCCTCTTATGGAACAAATTGGACTGAAGTTTTTATAAAATATCAATTCAATGACTATTTATGCCCACTGTAAATAAAAAATGTGATATAAATAAATTTTTAAGTATCAATATTAAATTTTTAGATTAAATTACAATTTTACTGTTGGAGGAGACTACAATAGCCCTCATTTCTTCCATTGGAAATTTAGTGTTGGGAAATGTTTTAATTCTACTAATCCTAATGCCACATGGTAACCAACTTGTTAATCAACTGATGCTATAAATAATCTTTTTGCTACAGATTAAAATGTGAGATTTCTTTTGTATACAAGTAACTATATAATAAATCCAAAGAACAGTGAAGGTTATGTTTCTAGTTTTGTAGAAGACTCTCTCATATTTTCAGTATAAAAAGAAGTGGTAATTAAATATTTGCCCACAATAATTATCAATACATAAAACATTTCTAACTAACTAATTAATTAATTAATTAAAGGCATACACAACAGCAGATATATTTTTTACATAAAATACAATTAATACTGATTAAAGCCTTATCCCATTTAAAGATATATAAACTGAGTAATATCTACGCTACTCATTCGGAAATCTCAGATAGCAGTATGTCATAGGATATTAGCCCGTGGTCTATGGAGATTTTTATATCAGAAAAGATTGTATGTCCTACATTCATAATAGGTCTTTCACAAAAATAAGTGAAATTTTGTCTTATATCGGAGGATTTACTTAAGTTTTCATATTATTTACTGCAATAATAGGTAAATTACTTAATTACTTACTTACTTTCTTTAACCTTTGCCTCAAATAATACATATACTTTATAATAATTTTTATTAATTCTTTTTTTTCAATAAAATTTATAAATGAAAAGCTTTTGTTTTGTTGTTGTTATTTTATGATACATTTTTATTCTTATTTTTTGATGATTTTTGTGATTTAAAAAATTTTTACATTTTATAATTTTGTTTACAAACAATAATAGTCAACTATTACAACGATTATATGTACTCTATATCATTGGCTAATAAACTATATGATTTTGAGTTCAGCAATTAAAATGATAGTAAAAGCAAAGATAAGAAAAGTAATCCAAAACCTCTCACTTCTATTTCAAAAAAAGATGAGATATTAAACAGGTATAAGCAAAATAAATTAGATAAAATTGTTGAAGAAAACGATAATGTTATTGTATCTAAATAAGAGCTACCCATTATATAAAAACAAGAAAAAAATTAAAAAATAGTGGAGTAATAAAAAGTAAACAATAATTAAATTTAGATTGATATGTTAAAATTAGAAGATACTTAGAAAGTAAATCATGATGGTTTAAAGGAATAAAATAATCGAAAAAGTAAAAAGAAAAAGGTCACAACAAGAGAAGATGATGGTTTAATATCTCTAGATAAGTTAAAATTCATTTTAAATGAGAGATAGCAAAATCAATCAAAAAATTAGGAAAAAAATCAACTTTTAAGCAAAGGGAATGAAATTTAAAATATCAATAGTGAGATTGATATAAAAAGTCAATATACAAATCAATTTTATGAGAATATGAAAAGAGATAGTCAATAAGTGGAATAAAAAGATGTGATGAACGAAAGTATTACACCTGAATCGCCTCTTAAAAAAATAAAATAAAATAAAAAACAACATCAACAAACAGAATTAATTTAAAAAGCATCGAATAAAGCAGCTGAGGAAAATGAATAAAAGTCTGAGTTTTCCTAAGGAATAGATAGCCAAAGAAATTAAAATTATTTGATGAATTAAGAACTTACTGAGCTGACAGAATAAAGAAGTAAACAAAATTCAATTATGCCATAGGGAAATAAGGATCTGAATTCTCCTAGTCAAACTCCTAGGTAAAACTAAGAATAAAAAAAGCTTTTGGAAAATCTAGGAATTAGAGATAAGAAGCACTTCTTAACAAAAGAATTCGAATATCTTGTTAAAAGGCAGAAGAGTATTACTATGACTTTTAAATTTTTCCTTTACAAAATATCTTTTGGAAGATTTTTCAGGACAGAGCAAGTACTACTTTTAGACAAAGCAGAAAAGTAAATGAAAAAAGATCTAGATGTTTTCATGATATTAAATAGGATTAAAGAGCTAGAAAAATTCAAAGCACTATTTTTAGATAGGAACCAAGAAATACTTTTTAATTTCTTCCCAAAACCCATTATTTCGATTACAAGTATGTCTAACATGCCATCTAGAGCAGAAATGACTGATTTATTCAACTAAATTTCCAAGCAAGAAGCTAAAAAAAAGAACATGACTAACACAATGAAGAAATTAAAACTTAAATTTAAAACTGCTTTACTAGTAACAAGGGCAGTCCAAATTCTTAAAAGACCTTTACATAAAAAAGTTACTTAGTTTGATACGATTTCTGCCTACAGAAAACTATTCGATGCCTACGAAAGCTTGAGATCCTCAAACTAGAATATTTCGTAAAATAAATTTCATCAAATTATTATTAAAATTTATAATCAAATATTTGAAAGTTTAATTATAATTTACAATAAAATATAGTTTTAATACTAAGCTAATAACCTTACTGGGTGAAGAGATGAACAAGATTCTTGAAATAGCAAATTTGTAAATTTTGCAAAATATAAATTTAAAACTTAAGTATTTCTTTTTAACAATAGGATTGAAGTTAAGAACGATAAAAGGATAAAAGAAAGCTCATTTAATAAATTAAATTAAGAAATCCCCAATAGTCCTAAGCTAGGTTAATCATAATTAAGTAGCTTTTTCCATAAAAATGAAACATATAGAGCCAATAATTCTTTCCAATTAAAACCTGAAGAATATATTAATTCGGGAGAAAATCTTTTTAGCAGATAAAACTATAATTCTGAGTTATAATCAGTAGAAAAGATCAATTTTAAAAAGAATTCATCTTAGAATTGAAAATAAATCAATATATTTGAGTGTTAAATAAATTATAACTATTTTATTTGTATAAAAAATTATATATGTTCATTAAAGCATATCAAATAAATTGTCTTTAATTCTTTGAAATAATCATTTCTTTAAATAAATTTTTGATAAATTTATTAAGAATTGTACTATTTTTGAGATACATTTCTTAAATTTGTTTGTTCATTTTTAATAAAAGTTGAATGCTTTTCAAACATAACAATTAATATATTAAAAAGCAATCTACGAAAAAAATAATTACAAACAGTAATTAAAAATAAAAAAAATTGACCATAAACTAATTATATTTTAAATCCTTTTCAGATTTTTATGATGATTTAAAAATAATTTTAAAATTTTATATTTATTTATTTGTACCTATTACTTTTGTCTGTAGTTAAAGGTATTATGGCTATCTAAAAATTTTAAATATATAAAAATTAATTATTTTATTTGATTATTATAACCTCAATACTATTTCTACAATATTTAATTTATTATTAACCCATTAAATGATAGATAAAAATTTTTTTATTTTTTAGAAAAAGACAATTTTAATTTACAATCAGTAATTTAGAAAAAATATTAACTCAAAAAAGATAAATTAGTAAAGATAATGATTTTTAGTCGTTTTAGCTTTATAAAAATATATTTAACTATTTTTAAAAGAATAAGAGGCTGATTAACTTTTGTAAAATTAAATTTTTGATGAAGTTATTTTCTTATCAAACAAACGAATTATTTTTAAAAGATATTAGAAACTATTCTAAAATATTGATTCTTTTTTATTATAAGATTATATACTTTTGTGAAAAAAATAAAATAAGATTAATATATAATTACTTATTACCTATTTAAATAAATTTTGAAAATATCTTTATTCAGATTTCTGAATTTTATTTTATTTTCAAATTACAAGCTTTGATTAGAATCAAATTTAATAAATGATGTAATAATCAATGAAGTATTAGTTGAAAAATTTAAATTATTTTTACTGTTTTTTTTAAATTTAATGTTTTTTGTATCAAATAAATACAAAAAAGTTAGAATAACCTATGAAAATATTACAAATAAAAAATAATTTATTTAACTAATTGATATTAGTAAATATTTATTTTTAAAGGATATTTTTTTTTGTCTTTAAAGTTTAAAGCATGAATTTGAGTCATTAAACGTAAATTGGTATAATAAAAATATTAATTTAATCAGTGGATTTTTGCTTAACAGCTCAAAGTTGAGAGATAAACATGAATCTTTGCTTTTAATTTTAGGGGAGTCTTTAATTTAATTAAAAGGTCTTTTTTTTTCCTAGTGAAATCTGCTAGAAAGATGATCTGTTTATAAAAAAAGATATATTTGCATTTTTTAAATTTATTTTTAAAAACAAATATAAAACACCACACAATCTATCTAAAATTTGAATATTTGCTTCATTTTAAATTTTATCTCATTTAATTTGACTAAATTTTAATATCCAATATTAAAATGCATATTAAAATTAGTTTTCTAATTTATTTGTAACCTTGGCATGGTAAACGATTTGATATCTGATTAATTACTTTTATTGATTGCTGGAGATATTTAAAGGCGTTACTACTTAGTATTTTTATTGAATATAAAAAATTAGAATTGATTGCGAATATGAAAGTTAATTTCTTCTAGATATTAGCTAATTAATGCAATTAGTAATTCTAATTATTTTAAGAGTTAATTTAAGCATTTTGTCAAAAAATAATAATTGATTTTGTAGAAGATTTAAATAATTATTTAGTAAACATCTCTAACATAAAAAGAAAGTAGAAACATGACAAACTTTGTAAAAAGAATTCTTACAAAGCTTGATATATTTGGCTCTAATGTAGGCTTAAACTATAATAAGAATAATATGTTCTAAACATCAATAGGAGGCATTTTGAGTATCTGCTTTTGTGTGCTTATTGGAGTTTTTTTTTGGAGCAATGTAATTTTTTATAGCTCAATTTAATGTAATTTTAAACAAAATCATTTTATATACAATAGATTTTAGCTTTTTTGAGAAAAGGTAACCATTTTGAGTTAAAATTTGAGCATTTTAATTGAAAAAAACTAAAATTTTTAATATTTTTCAAATTTATTGATGAATAAATAGATCAAGTGTTTTCAAATACTGTCAAAACATATTGGACCAACCCTTCACCAATAAATCTGAATGCAAACAAATTCATGTTTGCAGTTAAAATTTAATAAACTAATTTCATTGGTTAGCCTTATCTAAATATCAGTTTACAAACTAGAGATTACGAAAACTTTGAAAATGGAACCCAAATCTAAAACAAAGTAATTAATTAATTGATGATTATTATTTTTTATATTATTTTACTTTTTCTCTGATATATTATTAATTCATAAATACTAATTAAAGAATCAAATAAAAATGTAATCTAAATGCTTATTGTACATTCAAATATTAATATTTAGTTTAATCAGTTTTTGGAACCTTGTACCCTTGAGCATTTCTCTCAACTCCCATCTCATGGAATAAATTGGACAGAAACTTTCTTTAAAATAAATTTTACAGATTTTTTGTGCCCTTAGTAAATCAATAAACAATTAAATATTTTATTTATTAAACATATTAACATAATTATATTTATAGATTAAATTACAACTTCACTCTTGGAGGAAATTATAATAGTCCTAATTTCTATCATTGGAAAATTACTGTAAGTAAATGTTAAAATAATAGCTTGCCAGATGCACTATGGAAACCAAAATGTGCTCCTTAAGACATAATTAATAATTACTTTTAGCAGAACTAAAATGTGAGGCTTTAAATTTATACAACCAATTTTATAATGAATCCTTTGCAAAGTACAGACTATGTCACAAGTTTTATAGAGGACTCTATTATATTTTCTATTTAATAAAATGTTGTAATAAATTGCTTTTTTCTCTCTTCTAATTATTCTTACATTTTTTGATTTACATTTATTAAATTGATATTTAAATTGGGATTATTTCTATTTTTATAATTTTTAAACCTTTTCTCAATATAAAAATTTTTAAGGCTTATACTACTGCAGATATATTTTTCACAGAATCAACTGTTTCAACTGATTAGAGTCTGATTCCTTTTAAAGATATTCAAAATGAATAATATTTGACATATTCTTTTGGTAACCTTAGATAATAGTATGTAATTGGCAACTAATCTACAGTTTTTGGAGATTTTTATATTAGAAAAGACAATATGGCTTACACATATAATAGGTATTTTTTGAAAGTTGGTGATATACTTTCATACATAGGAGGATTTACTCAAGTATTCATTTTAGTAACTGCTATTATTGGTAAAAAATTTTTATTTCATTTTAAAAATTCTTTTATAAATTTCCAAAAAAAATTTGTTTTCATTTTCTATTTTTATAATCTAATTCTTAACTTTTATGACTTAAATAAATAGTAAACTATTATAATGATTACATGTATTCTATTTCATTGGCTAATAAAATTTATGATTTTGAATTTGAGCTTGATAAGGATGCTGAAATTGACAAAAACAAGAAATAAAATAATCGGGGAACTATTAAAGGCTTAAAAGATAAAAAATCTGCTTTTTATGGAAAATCAAAAATGGGTCAAGTGTAAGTAATAGAAGAAAAATAAGAAAATGAAGTGGATATTTCTGATACTTCTTCAATAAAAAATCATCATAACTAAAATAAAGAACTAAAACCAGATATAGATAAGTTTAAACAAATATAAACATAGGCTAATAGTGAGTAGATTAAAATAGAGATTCCTACTGTAAATGCCAAACAAGATAAACCAAATAATGAAATTTTTTAAGACAGAAAGAAGAAGAACAAAAAAATCACAAAAAGAGAAGATGATGGGCTCCTGCCCTTAGATAAACTTAAGCAAATAATTGAATAGAGAGCTAATTATATTTCATCTAAATAAAGTTAAAAAATAAAGGAAGAGGATGAAGTTAGTATTTGCTAAAATGATATAAAAGAAAGCTAAATTGTAGAATAAAGAAACAAACAATACACTCATCAATTTTTTGAGAATGTTGTAAAGAGTGATTTTCAACAGTTAGAATAAAAAGATAATGTTATGAATGAAAGTGTGATTCCTGAATCACCTAATCCATAAGATGTAAAATAAAAAAAGAATATATTTTCAAATGACTGCATAAAAGCTGATGATATTCAAAAACCTAATGAAAAATAAAAAACTTAAGATGAAATTTAGTTATAAAGCTAGAAAATAATTTAGGAAGCCAACACAAATCAGTAAGATAATACATATTTAAAGTAACAGTAAAGTTGGTAAAAAATTTATAGCACCAATTAAATCAACCATATAAATCCTCTCTCTTCTTAATCAATTAATTCTCCTTAGAATAATTAGAATAAGTAGCTCTTTGATGGACTAGGCTTTAGAAATAAGTAACAGTTCTTAAAAAAAGAATTTGAATTCCTACTTAAGCGATAGAGGGGAATCACAATGACTCTAAAATTCTTTTTGTACAAATTGTCTTGTGAAAAATTTTTCAAAACGGAATAAGTTTTGCTTCTTGATAAGGCAGAAAAATAGCTTAAGAACGATCTTGATATATTTATGATTCTTAACAGAATAAAGGAATTGGAGAAATTCAAATCCTTGTTTTTAGATAGAAATCAAGAAATTCTGTTCAACTTCTTCCCTAAACCTATTATTTCTATTAAAAATAGCAATAGCATACTTTCATATGCAGAAATGACAGAACTTATGAAGGAATAAAAATATTAAAGATAAAAATCAATCAAAGTAAACACAACATATATGAAAAAAATGAAGCTTAAATTTAAAACAGCTTTGCTAGTTACTAAAGCTATTTAGTTATTTAAAAGACCACTTAATAGAAAAATTGATAAATTTGATTCTTTAAATGCTTACTAAAAGCTTTATGATGCTTACGAATAAGTAAGATCACAGGGCATAAATAATAAGTAAGTAGATTCAAATTGATAATTCAAATATTTATATTAATGGTTTTAAAAAAAGGATTAATACAAAACTAATTGAACTGCTTGGCGAGGAAATGAACAAAATTCTTAACATAGCTAGCTTGTAAAGAATAAAAACACATTTCATATACTTAATTTTAATATTTAAAATAAATAGGCTTGAGGTCAAGAATTTTAAAAAACCAGAAACTCAGACTTTAATTTAAGAAAATTTTAACTTACCAATGAATTCTAACAGTATGAGATAATTATTTCCACAAGTTTCACCTAGAATAGATTCTTATAGAAGCTACTCATTTTAACAAAAGTAAGGTGAACAATTTCTTTCAGCTGAATGTTTGAATGAAAACAAATAATATCTTATTTATAACTACCCTTCATAAGAATGAACAAATTCAAAATTTAATTAGAAAAATGATCATACAATAAATTAATTCATTTAGATGTATATATTCACACAATCACACATAACTAGTCATATTTTTAATAATCAGACATAGACAGAGGGAAAATTTTTATACTAATTTTATGTTTTGTATTTTATGATAACTTATATGGGAATATATAATATAATAAATATATAATTATAAATATCTGTTCCAAAATTTAAAACTTTAATATAAAAATTATTTTTAATCCATATTTTGATTTGTTTTTACAGTTTAAAAGCTTGTATTTGAGTTATTAAAGTAAGTTGGTTTTAAAAGAATATTAATTTAATCTGATCAAAGTTGAGTTATAAATGTGAATCTTTGTTTTTAATTTTAGAAAAGTCTTTAATTTAATTAATAGGTATTTTTTCCTAGTAAAATCTGCTAAACTCTCTTTTATATCAACCATCACTAAAATTAAAAAAATATTTATGTTTAGAAAATTTTTGATTAAAATATTCTATAAAACTAACTATCAGTTTTTAATATTTATTGACAAAAATAATTATTATTTTTTGTGAAGTAAACAAAAGCTAAAAATAAATAAAATATCTTACTTTTATAATTTGTAATTATTGTTAGAGAAAAGGTGTAAATTAATTAATGGTTTAAGTGTAATTTACTAGATAAAGCGACAAAATATATGAATAATAGAAAATAAAAAACTTTTTAATTCTTTTATTAATAAATAAATGAGAATCTATAGTAAAAAATGTTAGAAATGGGAATAAAGTTAGCAACTTTTTTAACATGAAATAATTTAAATAGAATTTATAAATAAACTAATAAATCTAAAGAAAAATATATATCTTTATTCATGATTTAAGTGTAATTTGATAAGAAAAAGTGATAAATTATATGAAGAATAGAAAATAATAAACTTTTTAATTCTTTTATTAATAAATAAATCAGAATCTATTGTAAAAATAATAGATATGGGAATATAGTTAACAACTGTTTTAATATGAAATAATTTTAAAAATATATTTAAATAAGCCAATAAATTTAAAGAAAAATTAATTTTTATATCCATTAATATATATTTAATGGCATTTTTTGCTGTAAAAGTAAGTATAATATCTCTAAAATTAATTAGAAAAACCAGAATGTTAATTAATGAATTTAGGATTATCAAATAATATCAAATTAATCTTATTAAAATTACAAAAAATAAATTGTTTACCCCAAATGTTCTATTTAAGCATAAGTATGTAAAATTTATGTTATTTTTAGATATATTTTGATAAAATAAAAATCTTTTTTGAAATGTTTCAATCTTTTAATTTAATTCAACAGCTTTTTTGAAAAAAATATGTTCTTTAAACTTAAAAAATAATTTTAAGCATAAATAAATATTTTTTGAAATTATTAGATATTAAATTGGCATTGATAATATAATAATTATTCTTTTAATATTATAGTTGATTTTTAGATCAATAGAGCAGAGATATAATCTAATTTAGTCTAATAGTTTAACAAAGGATATTTTTTTAATTTTTGATAATATTTTTGTTATCTTCTAAATTTAGAATGAGTCTTGGTATCTTTTACAAACTCAAATAATTTAAATAGATAGCTAGCTATTTTTTTAAAGTATCTCCTTAAATATTCAAAAATAAAACATAATCAGTCTTAGCTTTTCATGATTTATGTTGTTTATTTTTCAAAGCCAATCAATTTTAAATAAATTTTTTATCTCCAATGTCAACAAATAATAGAATTAATAGAAAAGATTATTTTTTATATCTTAAATAAATTCAAGGGCTTACTGATTAATTTTAATTTAATTGTTCTTCTTCTTCTAATCTTTAGTTATCCAAAATAAATGTATGAAGAATTAAAGCTTTTATTGCTTATGATTATTATTAATTGTTTTAAATTTTTTAAATATAAAATAAAATAAATTTTTAAATCAAAGGAAAATAAATTTAATTCAAAAAACCATTCCATTTTTTTACTCCAAAATATAAAAACTATTTTTTTAGACTCATAAAAATATAAATTAATGATTTTTAATTCTGATTGAAAAATTGAAGGTATTTTTATATTTTTCTTGTTTTACAAATTTTTTCTAGTATTTAGATCAATATATAATTTTTCATTATTTTTACTGTACAATTTCAGTAAAATTTGATAAGAAGTTAATTAAAAAATAGGAAATTAATTACACAATTTTATTAAAATTTTAATCTTTTTATTGTATGATTTCTAGATCATAAATTTGATTGTAATCTCTTTTCAGGCTATATGAATTTATTAATTTCATAAAGTAATAAACAGTCAGCGCTTATACTTGAATGTAATTTATTCAAGAGACTGAATTTTCTAACCATTTAAATAACTACATTTTAAGGCAAATACTTCTTAAGCTATTCATATAAATTTATGCAAATAAAAAATATAACCTCCATCAGATTATATCGTATGATAGAATTAAAAGCATAATGCTAAATAAATAAATTCAAAATATGTTTATTTTTTTGAAAGTAAATTAGTGGCTGAATTTATGATATAGAAAATATAATTTATTTTACAAAGTAAGAAACAAATTAGAATTGTTTATTAAAAAAATGCTTGTTATTGTCAAATGGCAGAAAAGGCTATAAATTAGATATTATTTCATTAACTTATTTTAATTTTTAAGATGAAATAATTATTAAACATTGTTAAATCTTCTAAATTTTGACACAAATTAAAAAGAAATCACCTAAAAAAGTTGAAGAATAATAAAATTAAAAAAATTAAAAATATTAAAAATTAAAGAAAGAAATGGATTTTTCAAAATTAGATATCTTCGGATCTCAAATAGGATTTAATTTTTAAAAAGATAATGTCTTCAAAACTGCTTTTGGTGGATTTATGAGCTTAGGCTTTATTGCCTTTGTGTCTATTTTCTTTTGGAATTAAGTAAAATATTGATTTTATTCTCATTTATTCAAAAAGCTCTATATTTATTTATCTATAGAAATATTTTCTCTTTGTATAACATTAATTGAAAGGATTTTTAATGTATTTTCTAAAAATAATAGATATTAGATTTCTTCAATAAAAGTAAAATTCACTTATAAAAGTTATATTTGCATGCCTATTAGATGATATTCAATATTTTAATAAATGATTAGATAATGTTACATTCACCACTAGTAAAGACTGGACAACTCATCCTTAAACAGTGAACGTGAGTAGTCACCAGTTTATGTTTGCAGTAAAATTAGATATGCCTAACTTCTTATAAAATCCACTTTTCAACATAACATGGGAGAAAAGAAATTACATCACTTATGATAATGGAACCTTAATCAAAAATATTGTAACATTTTATTTAAAAATTATTAGCTTTTCAAAGCTAATGTAAAAAAAATATATTTATAAATTAAGTAATCAATGTAATTTGAACCATGTAGACCTGACCATTGGAATGGATTACCCGCATATGGAATAGATTGGGATCAAGCATTCTAATAAGGAGGTCTTTCTACTTATTTATGCCCAAGGTATAAGAAATAAATAAATTGACTCATTAATAAAAATTTAGTATTTGTTGCTAATTGTATAATTGTAAACTAATTATTTAATTACAATAGAATATAAGATATTATATCTTTTGGAGGTACATATAGCTCTCCGCCTTATGATTTTATAAAAGTTTAAGTCTCTCCGTGCACTAACAATACTGACCCAAATAGATTTTGGCAACCAAATTGCCAAACCTAAAGTTAGGTTTATAAGTTCTTTAACAAGACACAAAGTGTGACCATAATGTTTAGAATGGTTAACTATGTTGTAAATCCTAACGATCCCAAAAATCCAATTAAGAGCTATATCGATGATACTCTTTTCTTTCCTGTTTAGGCAGGCACTGTAATATTATTTAAATATTGATTTGTTTCATACTAAATAAAAATATTACTTTGATATAATCGCCTACTTATTTTTATCGAGCTTTATAGAAAATTCACTTAGATTTTCTCCTTGCTCTCCCAATCAAAATAATTTATTTGCAAATTACAAAAATTGGTTTTGATAAAAACTTTTACTGAAAAAAAATTGATTTGATAGAAAGAAAAAAGAAAATTTTTTAAAAATGTAAATTTCTTGCAAAAACCACAAAAATAAATCTTTCATAAGAATTATCGACCAACATTAATAAAAAAGAAAATAAATAAATTAAATTTCATGTTTGTTTATTACTGAATGAATTCAGCAAATTAATTTTTTATTTTCTCAATAAAATACAATTTATCTGAATTCAAAATAATATTTTAATAATTTATTAGGCTTACTAAACAGCTAATATTTATTTGACTGAAAACACTTTAAAAACGGATTAGAGTATAATGCCATTTTAAAATATTGAAACTAATTAATTATTGGTTTACAATGGAGGAAATTTTCGTCTTTAATATGTTATTGGCAATACAAATCAAATTGTTGCAGATTTTTATTTCCTCAAAGATCCTATTTCATATACACATAATAGATAATTCACGAAAGTAAGCTAAATAGCATCGTATATTGGGGGTTTTTGCTAGACGTTTATTTTGGTTGCTGCTATTGTAGGTAAATGATTGAAAAAATAAATTTCTATAAACTTACATTTTTTTTTAATTAACTTACAATTAGTGCATCAGTATAACAGCTATGTGTGTGCTATTAAAATTGCTAATTAATTATATGATTTTGATTTAGGGGGTTAATATTATTATAAACCTCGAGATAAATAGATTAGTTTTTAGAGGGATAATTTTAAAGCAATTGATTTAGAAAAATCCCATTTACCCTAAAATACTGTTCGATTCCCTAATTAAACTATTTAGAAAGAAAATGACTAAGAATTGAATGATATACAAGTGCTAAGATAAGAATCAACATAACCTTAAAGATTGATCTCTCATAAAAAGTAACTCTCCATTTTGAGTAAGCCTAAAACGAGAGAAGAAGGAGGACTGCTCTCTTTAGATTAAATTTAAAAGATTGTAGAAGGAAATAGTGTAAATATTAACAAAAATCTTATTCTAAATTAAAATATAAGCCAAAACACGCAAGAGTCTTAATAGTTAATAATTACATAAAACAAACAAGCTGGAACGCTCTTAACATAGCTTGAATAAAAGTAAGAGTCACAAAAAAATTTAGATTAAATTTCCATACCTTAAGATATTATGTAATAAGAAGATAAACAATAGATCATTTCAGAAAAGATAAATTAATCTAAGAAATAGCAAATTGATTATAAAAAAAAAATAGAGTAAATTAGTGTAATTGATGATTCTGTTTAACCAGAAACTCCAATATAAAATTAATAAATACAATTTAGTTCGAGTCATAATAATTAGTAAGCTGAATCAACTCTCTAAGTAAAACTAGATGTAAATTTTGATGATTATGCTAAAAGACTAAATAACTCGATGATTTAGCTTGATTTTACTAAAACAACTACTACTCTTCCATTAAAATAAAAAGAAAGTTAATATTCTAAATAAATTGCATAGAGCTCCACCAATATTGTTTAAAATGACAAAAAACAGTTAACTCAATCAAAATTTAATAATTCTGTTAAATAGATGAGCTAAAGTAAAACAACAACAACAATTGTAGATTTTAAAAATTAACAAGAGTTTCTTGATGAAAAATAATTCCTAAAATAAGAGTTCGAATTCCTAGCTACAAGAGATAAAAGTATTAAGCTTTCAGTAAAGTATTTTATATATAAACTATCTTGTGGAAAGTTCTTCAAAACTAAAGAAACCTAATTAATTGACAAAGCTTAATATCAAATGTCTTAGGATTTGGATATATTTATGATTTTAAATGGAATAAAAGAAGTCCAAAAGCTGAAAGGATTACTTTTAACATAAGAAGAATAGATATTATTTAATTTCTTCCCTAAGCCAGTGATAAGTATAAATGAAAAAGAAGAATTACCTTCAAGAATATAGCTTGAGCAAAAAAAGAGGTAAATTAGTCAATCAATCTAAGTGGAATCTAAAAAAGAAAATGAGTAACTTCAAAATCACTCTAAAAAGCTTAAATTGAATTTAAAAATTGCATCTATTGTTAAAAAAGCTACTACAAAATTTAAATAACCTCTACTAAATAAGAAATAAAAAAATTAAAAATACGATGTTGATGCTTATCAAAAGCTATATCAAGCTTACAAAGCTATCTCAAAAAATAAAAAAAGAGAGTAATTTTATTAAAATATTTAATATTTTATACAATTTTTTTTTAACATTTAGAATGGATGACAAGCTTATTTAACAATTAGGAGATGAAATCAACAAAATATTCTAAATTTCAAACCAGTAAATATTAATTTATCTTTATTTTTTGATAATTCATCTCAAAATTTCTTTTTCTTTTTTAGAATTGAAAAAAATAAAGAAAGATATTTGTCCAAGATTCAAAATTCTAAAAAATAACTGATAAATACTGAGAACTAAAATTTATTGAGCCCTGCCAAAAAATAAGGAGTAGATGGATAAAATTGTTTGAATATATAGTAATTAAATAGTTAGTCAGAAAATAAATCTAATGTTAACAGTTTTAATGGGTACTTAGAATCAAATAGACCTTTTAGATAGAAATTATTTGAGAAAGCAAATTAAAAGCAGTAAAACATAAAAAATCCACAAGCAGAAGAAAATAATGATCATGCTTTGATAGTATTTGATGATCCTTCATAAGACTAGTAAACAATTAACAACAGCCACAATAGGCATTTTTCATAAAATTGATAATAAATACAAAAAATCTAATTACTATATTTAACATTTGATAGTGTAAATAAATAAAAAACTAATAAAAGCTATTAAAAACTATTTATCTTTTAATATAAAATAAGTAATACTTATAATAATTTAATATTACATAATATTTATATGGTGTATTTTACTTGTTTTCAGAGTATAAAAATATATTTTAAGTTGTTCTGATTGGATTAGTTATTATGTTTGTATGAAATTATTTCATATTTTTAATAAATTTAAGTATTACTTTTTTGTTTTGTTTTGAGAACCAAAAATTAGTGAATGTTTTTTTAAAGATTGTTATTTCATTTTATTTGTATTATATTTTAAAAATATATATTACAGTAAAGATTCATATATTAACTCAATTTCAGTTAAGACACCTTACTTACCGGCCCTAATTAAACTACATTTTCAAATTTTTAAAAACCGGCCTTAATATATTGCGACCTTAATATATGAACCTTTACGTATATATGATTTTTTTTAAATAACTTTTATTTTTAAAATTTTTTTTCTGTCATGAATAAAGAATTTATTCATATTCAATTTTTTTATTAACTAACTTAACAAAATCTTACTTTAATAATTTTTTTTGAGGGGAGGCTGGCTGTTTTTGAAGGATCCCATTCGCTTATCACTTAAAAATAACTAATCAATTTTCATCATTTGTAACTTTATTTAAGCTTTTCTTATTTAAAATGAATGAAGAAGTTGATTTTCATAACTAATAACGATGGTAATCAAGCCAATGATAACTAGTAATCTCAAAGCACAAAAAAATATTTTTGCTTTAAAACTCATGGTTTAAATTATTTCTAAATCACATTTCTTCAAGATATAAATATTCCAGATAAAAATCAATTATCTAAAACAATTCTTATAAAAGCATAGACATTATCTTGAAATAGTAATTATCAAAAATTATAAAAATATTTAATAGCTCAGAGTTAGGATATTTAAATTAACTGCATTATCATCAATTTACCCTTATAAAATTTTAAAACTTTAATTAAGCTAATAAATAAAGCTTATTTATTCAATTACTGAAAATAAAATTTTAATTTTAGCATTTTCAAAATTAGATGTTTTATTAGAATTAAAATATCATAAATTAAAATAAGAAGATAGATAGATAGATAGATAGAAAGAAAGAAGGTTTATTAGTAAATTAATATATATTTAGTAATTGAATAGAAAAAGCTACAAATTATATAATAGATTATTGAGTGAAACAAATTAAAATTACGATGAATTATCTGTAAATAAGGAAATTTTAGAAAGCTTTAATAATAATTATTTTAATTAATTTATTAAACTTATTTTAAAATACATTTAAATTTAATAGGTATTTGAGTTGCTTATTTATATTAAGAAACATTATTTATTCTGTGAAATGCTTTAATGTTTATAAATTAGATTAAAGTTAATTCAAAATAAAATATTGTTATAAATATTAAGTTTATTAAGCAATTATAACATTTTTAGTTATAAATATTATTTAAAATAAGTTATTATATTGCTTTAAAAAAATTAGATTAATGTTTTATATTGTGTAATTTTATCCATTTATTATTTTGAAGTAAAATTCATTTTGTATCATATGTAGCATTCATTTATTTTTATTATTAACTATGTTTGGTATTTGTGTTTTTTTTTTTGATTTCTTTATAACGGAATTTTCATTCATTAGAATTTAAATTGTTAGTAAAAATAAATTCTTGATGATGAAAAAGAGTATTGAAAAAAGCCTGAGATAAGCAATAGATAAATAAATAATTGTTAAGAATCAAGTAGATGTTTTTAAATTGTTTTCTTTGATGATCTAATTAAAAATTTTGTTTTTTTTTTTGTTAACAAAAAGAAGTTAGTTTAATTTTTTCTCACTCTTTTATGTTTGTATTAATTTAGCTAAATCTTCTAGACCTTGGCTCTTACTTTTCTTGAGGTTTACTTTGCCTGCTAAGAGAGTTTCCAGGTTTTTAAATTGGAGGGAGCTATACTTTTTTGTTTGCATTCCCATTTTGGATTGAATTCCATGGTTGGTTTTCTTTATTGTCTGCAAGAATTTTTTACTGAAGTAGAAATGCTGATAAGGGATATGGATTGAAATATTCTTCGTATTTTTTAAGTTGATCATACAAAAAGATAAACCATTATGTTTACTTTTCAAAATGCTTTGAGTGGTTGGTTTCCTCATCATACAAAATTTCCATATTTGAATATTATTTCAGAGTTTAGTTGAAAATTTAGTTAATTTCATTAGAATAGTTAGCGCTGTATCTTTTTTTTAATACCTACTATTTAAAATCTAAAGCACAGAGACATCCAATAAGATAATGTCCTTACTCGTGACTTAACAGATAATCAGTTTACTTTCTCACCCAAGATTTATTTGATATCTTCACGCTGACATTAATGCTTCTAACCTTGAAATCTAAGTATCTGTTTTTATTATTTTATCTTTACTCAACTTAATAATTATAGTTTATAAACCAATAAATATGAGCCCAAAAAGACATTTCAGGATCAGCTTTTCCTGGGAAATCGCTCCACTGAACCTTTTTAATTTGAATCCCTGCTATTCTTGTTGGCAAATACTCATTTAATCTAATTTCGTACTGCTTTTATTCACTACTGGTTTCTGTCTATATTTCTACAGAGCCTGAAGAGACGGTGCAACAACAACGGTAGCTTTATAAATTATGTTAAGACTGCAAAATTTATTAATGTGACTAACATGGTTAAGTAGGTATAGAAGAAGATGAATTTTCATTATTCAATCTCTCTGTAGAGAGCTAATTCAGCTAAAGACAAGAAATCTACTTCTAATCTTTATCTACTTTCCTTAAATCTTACTTTTTATTAATATTTTCTATTTTGTTTTCCTAAAGCATCCCTTTAAAAATAATGTTTTTGCTAGTTATTTTTTATTTGATAAGTAATCTCTACTTGCTTATTTTTTAAAAAGGATACGTTAAAGAAATTGCTATATTAATATTAATCTAAATAAATAAATAAAAAAACATGTTAATTTTTCAAAGATAAATTGTTCTAAAAATAAAATTTTATAAAGCCAAATCAAAAACAAACATACAATAACTTTTAAAAATAGTTTTTAAGTTAGTGAGTTAGTTACAACTTTTTAGATAGTTTTTTTTTTAAGTTTTCTTTCTACTTTTTAATTTATAAGTTTTTCTTCTACTATTTTCTTTCAATTAACAAAAAATTATTAATCAAGATTAAATTAACTCATAAAAAAATATTTAAATTAAGCATAAAAATGATTTTTAAATAATTAAATTAGTTTTAATTAATATATTCTAATTAAATTAATATAAATTACTAATAAGCTTATAATAATTTTTATTTCTCTGTCTAAAATAATAAATAATCAATCTATTTGCAAAAATAATATAAGGCCATAATTATTATATAGAGTTTTTAAATATGCTTTTTATCAAGAAAAAATAAATATTTGTTAGAATATTTAACCCAAATTCATAAGTTAGTAGATTTTAAAATCGTTTATATAACTCATACAAAATTTATAATGTATTTAAATAAAATTAAAAATGAAATATTTAAACAATTTGAGTTTGAAAACTAGTTCGATTTCATTTTAAATATTTTATTTGTTAAATACCTTAATGTTAGAAAAATTTTGTATTTTCTACTAAAAAATTTATGTTTTAAAATATAAATTAATAATATTTTTTTGGATTTTTCTGAACTGCCACTCTTGATTTTTGTAAAATTTTATGTAATTTTGATGAGAGTATTAAATCTTTAATATAATACTAGTACTAATAAATATATCAATCAACCTTAAATAATCAGTATAAGGAATTAATACTTATTTATTTTTATTATTGATTTTTTTTAGATGATCAAAATATAAAATCAAAATTAATTTATAGAGATAAAATACTGAAAACGTACAACATAATTAAATATATTTTTGTTGTGTTATAATGAATATATATATTTTTGTTTATTTCTTTGTTAAAATTTATTACATATTTAAGATATCGTATCAAAAATTGTTATAATTGTTATTATTAGGGTTGCTAATTTCAGATTTGGTAGGTTATTCAGCTGGAGTAAGGTCACTACTGTTTTCTCCTTCTTCTTCATTTTAATCTACTATTTTTAGACCAGATTCGTGCTAAGCATCTACCTTAGTTCTATTTAACTCTACTTTTAAGAATTTAAGAATGACTAAGCAGATGAAAAACATGGACATGTTACAAACTTATACAACCGTTACAGTTGCCTTAGTGTCATCTCCTAATATTGCTGAGTAAATATTACCAAAAGCGAATCCAAGTAAGTGAGAAGATCCTAAAAGAATTCCACTTGAAACAGATTCTGAAACTGGATATGCTATCTCAGAGGCCAATTCGAGGAAAATAGGAAAAGCCTACAAAGAAACTAATCCTATGATCATATAAGGAACGAGTACCATTACCTTATTTTCAACAGGCAGAAAAACGAGAGTTAAACCAAATCCAGTAATTGATCCTTTTAATTTAATTAAATATTTTTTTAATTTTAAGAGTTTTTTGAATCATTAGAGATTTTATTTACCTATTATAGCAATCAAAATGTAGAGTCTAAACCTAGGTTTAATTCTGAACAATTTTCCTCCAATTGCTGAGCCTATGATTCCTGAAATAACTATTCCAACACCAGCAAAACTAACTGTATCACTTCCATAACCGTAAGGTTTAAAAATAAAAGACATGGTTACACCAGTAGCTAGGAAATTACCACAAAATAGGCCATAACAAATTAAAGTAAGTAAGTAATTTTTACTTTTCAATAAAAGTTTAATAGAAGGTCCCATATCCTCTCTTTTTTATTCAGCAGTAAAGCTAGGAGGAGTTGGAGGCTTTTCTTTAAAAATAATACAACCAACAATTGCAATTACTGTTACCACAATAGCTTATATTTTCATTAGTGAAAATATATTTGATCTACCTTCTTTATAGCCATTTAACTTATCAGCCTATTCATCATAATCTTTCATCCATAGTCCTGGCAGCAAGCTACTAATTAGCATTACAACCATAGTTAGAACCATCAATATTTAAGTGATCATTTATCTTTAATTTAATTTAAATTATCATTTTTGTAAGAGAATATTTTATAAGAGAAAGCTAAAGTAAAAAGGATTATTTATTTTTTGGGAAATTAGTTTAAAAATTAGGATTTTAGTGAAATAAAATATAATAGTAATATATGGTTTTAGACATATTAAAGCATGAATCTAGTTTGAGTTGAGGTGTTTAAATTGAATAAAGGATTTAGTTACACTTCGTCATAAATATGATGATGTATTTAATTTAATTAAGTTCTAGATTTTTGTAATTAAAAACTAATAATAGAAGAAATTATATCTAATAGTTCTTCCGTTAAGCTATATAAAATTTTTTATATCTAATAATAAACAATTTACAGGCTACTTTAATATTATCATAAAACCTTATCATTTTTGCAAATAAATTTGCATGAATATTCATTTTTAATACTTAAGAATATTATAATTTTCTAAAAATAGATGCTTTTTTATTAAAGACTTTGATTTTCATCTTTTATGAATTTAAGACTTAAGCATAACTAACTATAAATAATAATGGAAATAATTAAAATACCTTTTATCAGTCCTGAACCAAACTAAAGAGAGCTTAGTAACCATGTTTTGAGTGAAAGGAAATCCTAAACCCATCAATATGTGTGCTAAAAGAGTATAGTAATAATTAACATTAACTAAAAGTCTAATCCAAACACTTATTAATATGATAATTGCTGCTATATAAACACTTGCTCGCATTCCAAATTTCTCAAGCACAAAACTTACAGGGAAAGTGACTGGCAAGAAGAGAATATTTTGCATTAAGGAGTTAAGATTAACTACCAGAGGTGGAACATCATAAATATCAGATACGTTTGCACTAATTGGATTAAATACATTAAGTGTAAATAAATAAGAGCTAGCTACCAAAATAAATCCAATCAAAGTTATGATTCTTTATGGATATTCACGGTATTCTGGTTCTGAGAAAACACTTTGCTGTTTGCTATCTAATAAGATTTCTTCTTTGGAATCTAAAATATCCTCCTCTGATTTTTAATTAGTGCTCATAATCTCTATAAATCTATTAATTTTTTTGATAAATTAATATATTATTAAAACGTTGATTTTTATAGAATAAATACTAACTTTACCACAAAATTTATTAATTAATTACTACTTGAATCAATGAAGAAAAAGAAATTTGATGGAAAAATTGTTAATTTATTATAAAATATTACATCGATTTTTCTAATTGAATATACCACTTTGTATCTCATAATGAAAATATTATAAAATTCAAATAAATTAGCTTACTCCTATAAATTATTTAAAATTTTATAATTTAATCAGTTAAGAAATTAGGAAATGCTTTATTTTAAACATTTAGTTATTACAATTTATAACTTATTTAATATTTAATAGTGCAAAAATAAAAATGAGTGCTATGAACTTTTTCATTTGAAAATGTTCATTTTATTTATCCATTAGATAAAACAAAGCTAAAATTTCAATCAGAAATATAATTTTTGAATTATTAATTTTCATATAAAAAATAGTAAATAGCTAAACAAAAATATATAAATAAATAAATCAATTATATACAATATCTAAAGTTCAACTTTTTTATATCAGAAAATGCTGCTCTGTTTTGAATTTTAATTTTAAGATAATTAAGAAAGACTTTAAAATTATTCGAAATACGTAAAAAAGTCAGATTTTTATAGTAATTTACACTGCAATCAATTCATTCTGCTTGTAGATAAAAAATTTAATTAGTACATTAATTAGAAGAACATCAGTCATTAATCAGAGCTGGTAAGCATTTTGATAATCTCAAATTTTCTGGTAAATTTTTTGCTTTTGAATTGTAAAGATATTATGTAAGAAAATTTAATTAAATAAGTAAATAAAAAATGTTCAAACTCTAATTTTTAAAAGAATTGAATTATGACTAATATTTAATATTAGAATTATTACACTATTAAAAAGTAAAATGTATTTATAATATACATTATCTACTCTCATTTTTATTTTTGAAAAATTTTAATTTTTCTAAAATATAAAATTAGATTAAATTATGCTTTAAAAATACTTAATCAGAATGTAATTTTTTATGAGTTTACAATTAATAATTTATTTGATTTGATTTTAAGTTTAACTAAAATATTTTTTAATACTTTTTTATTTAAAAAGGTTTTTCTTATCAATTTAAAAAATATACACTTTTCTTAGTTCTTTTTTATAAATTTCTAAAAAAATAAAATCTTAATAGCTACCTTTGAATTAAAACTAAGTATGTAGTATATATACCTTTCTTGACTCTATCTATCTATATTTGTATTTATAATATTATTAAAGAACTTTACTAACTGAATAAATGTTCAAAATAAATTCTTAAATTAATCACAGAATTAAAATTTAGCTTGAATATATTCTTTTACTAAACATTTTCATACAAAGGTATATACAAATAATACGTCAAAAAAATAATGAATTTGAGTAAACACACTGAATATTTTTTATAATCTTATTAATAGAAAAGCTTCTCTACTAGTAAAATGTTATTAAGAATATATCCTTTTTATAGAATACCATTAAACTTTCTTTTGTCTATTTAAAATTTAAAATATTTTATCAATAATTTTGATTGATGATAGTTTTTTATATATTCAATAATAAAAATAAATAAATAAACTAATTAAATAATATTTCCTTTTTAAAAGTAGAAAATAATAAGAATTTACCTTGAATAAATACACTTATTTGATAACACTCAATAATTAACAATTTTTCCAAGATAAAACTTTAGGAATCGAAAAAATAAATTCAAAAGATTTTGAAAACAAATTTATTGATTTTATAAAAATAAACTTAGTACGATGGAATAAAATGAATAGTTAATATTTTTTTTAAAACTAAGAATTTTTTCAGGTACCAAATTATGTATCATCAAAAAAATAATTACCTAATATTTTAATTTTTTAGAGATATATTTTACTCATCTATTTCAAACCATTATTTCCAAACGATTTTAATGAAAAAAATAAAAAAATTTTTATCAAAACCATCAATAAAGTAAGGATAAGTAATAAAAAATTAAGTTTGATAAATTTATTTCATAGAGGATAATAGAAATCTCTTTATAGAAATGATATTTCAACTCTACATTCCTCTAGTATAAAGAATAATAATATAGAATTTTATAATTATCTTAAAAATATAAATAAATAAAAGTAAAATAATTGAAATTAAAAGAGTAGCTTAACAACGAAATTTGAAAGGAGCTATTGATACTATTTTCATAAGTATATACATTTCCATATAAAAAATTGTATTTTTTTTTGAGATAATGCTTAAAGTATTGTGTTTTCTTCAATATTTATTTTTTATCATTAAATAAAACTATTAAAAATAACATTATTAATATATTATTATTTAATTTATATAAAAATATTATTAACTCTAGCATTTATATTCTAGAAATAACAATATGATAATTAGAAGACAATATTCTGTAATATTCTTTCGAAAATGAAACAATAACCTATTCACTTGAAGAATACACAAAATATGTTGAATAAAAAAATATGGATTATTTTCAAAAAAAGTATATAAATCTTTGGAAAAATAAATGAAAGAAATATAATAAGTAGAAGAAAGTTAAGTTTCATAATCTATCCAATATTCATTAAGATATTCAATAAACTGTTAAATTAGTTAAAAAATTAATTTAATCTCAAATTTCTAATTTAATATAATCACCAAGCTGAATTTCTTTTAAATTCTAATAATAAAAGTCATTAAGTGGTAAATCTACTTCATCCTCTTAAAATAATTTAATTTAAGATGATCAACTAATAGAATTGAATTAAAATTAAAAAAGCATTTCAAAAATTTGTTCACTAACTACTGTATATGAATCTAAATAAAATGACAAGACAAGTTGTTTAAATAAAAAAAATAAGTAAAAATTTAATCAAAAGCTGAATTAGAAGAAGTAAGATTTATAATAAATATTCAAAACTTATTAAGAAGTAGAAATATTGGTGATTGAAAAGTTAAATCAATAAAATTTTTAAATAAATTAATTTAATCATTTTTTATAATCTAAGAATAGATTACAACTTCAATTATTAATGAATACTGAAAATTTAATTTTTTTTTTTTTAGAAAAAGCTGTATTACTTAAATCTATTTTAATTTAATTTATGAGGATTTAGAGTCATGATATTTTTAAAGCTGATGAAAAACGATATCGTAAATATGCTATTTATTTTTTTATAAGTGGTTTTTTCTATTCATTTTTGTTAAAATCAATCAAATCAATTCATTCTAATTATGTAAAAAAGATGAAAACCAAATTATTTTAGTTATTATATTGAACTGATATTTCATTCATTTTTTTGAATGAAAATTAAAATGGTTCTCTCAGTTTGCTTTTAAATTAAAATTTTTTTATTATTTAACTATTCTCTAAATCAATAAAATGTTATTTTTTAATAGCTTCTTTAACATAATTTTTACTTAGAATAATGAAATTGTTGACCTTTACATAATTACAAGAAATATGTAGATTAAAAATTATAATTTACAAGGACCATGTTCTCAATATTATTTATTGCCTTATATAATTTAAATATTTAGATGAAACATAATAATTATAAATATATCTATAGAACTTTAAGTAATTAATTATAATGAGTGAATCTTATGGTTGAAAAAATTTTAATGGACTCGATTTGGATTTTTAAAGTTATTGATAGATGAGATTATAAATTAATTATTAATGTCCATTTAAATTTCACAAAATATGCCAGCTAGTTTTTTATTTTGAATATTGTGTGTAATAGACTATTTAATTCACTAAAAATTCTTTAATTAATAAAAAGAATAAGAGTGAATGTAAAATAATAAGTTCAGTTAACTTAAATAATTTTATGTAACAAGTACGAAGATACTATTATGATTTAGTGAACTAGCTGGTTTACCTTAAAATACATAAAATATTTGCTTATCAAAATCACAAAATACAAATTTAATATAAAATAATAAAATGGATATATGACTTGCGATTGAAGATAATTTAAGCTTTTATAAGTTGACTGATACATTTTAATATCATAAAAAGTAATTTATTAAGGAAAGTTGTAAATTAATGCTACATACAAAAAATAAAGTTTAGGATTTTATGAAACACCATTGGTTTTTTTTACTTGAATGAATTATAAAACAATTTAGAGTGAAAATATTCATTATCAATTAGAGAAATGTCCTATTTAGATATGAAATCCTAGTTAAAAAATCTTGTTTTTATCAATTTTTTAAAAAGCAAAAAAAAAACTTAATAAACATAAGCTTAATTAAACAAACTAATAAATTAAAGAGGAACAAAAAAAGATGCCAAGTATAACTAAAAAAATATTATCAAATTGTGATGTTTTAGGTTCCCCAATAGGCCTTAATTTCTAAAAAAGAAATATTTATAGAACACCTTTCGGAGCATTTATTAGTATTGTGTTTGCCGTTTTTATGGGGTTGTTTTTCTGGAATACAGTAATTAAATTATCTTTAAATTCTACATGAATATATTTATAAATGGCTGTGTATTTAGCCTTTTATTTTATATTATACACAATAATTAATTTTTAATCTAATTCTATAAAATAGATAACTCAATTTCTTTCTAAGGGTAATATATCAATCTTTATTTCAGCATTGTTGAAAGTAAAATGATCAGCTAATATATCTTAAAATATTGAAAATAAATAATTTAGATGTAGTTAAAGTAGCAATGAGTAAGACTTATAGTACTAACCCTAGTCAAATTTAAATAAGTCCTACAGGTTTGATGTTTGCAGTAAAAGTTGACTCTCCAGATTTTATTAATCGTCCTATTTTTAATATCACATTTGAAAGGAGAGATTATGTTAATCATCCAGATGGAAGTTTAGATAGAAATCGTGTAATAAATTATAAATTTTAAGCTTTTTATATTATATTATATTATGTTTAATTAGACATTGCTCTAATTAAATATGTAAATACTCCAAATATTTTGAAAATTAATGTATTCCTAATTATTTGTAGTATCCTATGTATTTGGAGCCATGCACTCTCGATCATTGGACATAACTTCCTAGCTACAATATTAATTGGACAGATCAATTTATCAAAGCAAACTTAAGTTCTTATTTATGCCCAAGGTAATATAAAAACCATTCGTTATATTTTTTTTCCTTCTCTCTTTAGAATTTATAAAATATATTTTAATATAAAAAAACACTTTTAAATAACTGAAAAATAAATATTGAAATTAGCAATATAAATGATTCTCATAAATTAATAAATTTTATTTGTTACGAATCGTCAAAAATATTTAAAGGCTTTGCATTGCATTCAGAATGTTACTTTTGAAATTAAAAATCGAAATATAGGAAAATATACACTTATTTTTGAGAAATGTGTGTAACTATTACGCCCTTTTTATTTTGAATAGTTTTTTCGTTAAATATATGAAAATCAAAAAATAATTCTTGATTGATTTTAAAACAAAAACTTTAATAATTTACTTATTTTTGATTAAACAATACTCTAATTTAATGTATTTTAGAAGACCATCGATTATAATAAATAAGACTATTTAATTAAGAAAAATGATTTTTTATAATATAAATTAAAAAATAAATAGAAAAGATGATATAATAGAAATAGAAGGTATCTTTTCAAGTGAGCATTTTAAACATATAAAGATAGGGATCACAGATTGCAAGAACAATACTCCTTTAAACAATCCTTGGAGACCAGTTTGTGCCTCTCCATAGTTTATAAAGAGTTATTTTGATGCAAATAAAAATGTGAGAGTTGTAATGTAGGTTGTTAACTACATTATAAATCCTCCTGACCCAGTAAACTATATAACATCTTTTCTTGACAATTAATTGTTTTTCACAGTTAATCCTTAAGTAAATAATTTCATTTTTCTTCAATCAATTGCAATCTATCATAGAAATAATTATACAGATTTTCCATAATTTCATTGTTGAAATGAAAGTAATTAAACATGTTAGTTATGTTATCCTAAACTAAAAAATATAAATTGTATAAAAAACATGAATATGATTTAATCTAAAATCTATTTAGTCAATATATTTTTAAAAAATAAATAAATTTTATTAATTGGATAACTAAGGGAAGGAAAACGAGCTTACATATAAGGTTTTCTTAACATTTTCATTACAAATTATTTTTTCATCATACATTATTATAACAGAAAAAAAAAATTTTTTTTTTCAAATCAATATGTTTAAAAATAATGAGTTTGTAATTTATTAAAATAAATATATTTAGAGCTACTAAACAGCAGATATTTACTTTAATTAATATGAATTCATCACAGATAATAGTATAATGCCATACAAATAAATAGAAACTAAAAAACTGCCTGTTTTAGAAAATGGAAATTTTAGAGCCTAGCAGTTCTTATATACTCAAACCTCTTATGGGGATTTCTTTTTTAGAAGGGATCCAGTAACATATACATTAAATAGACAATTCTAAAAAATTAGTGAAGTTATTTCTTACATAGGAGGTTTTTCTTAAATATTTTTGAGCATTTCAGCTGTTTTAGGTAATTAATTTTAATTGTTTTATATAATTGAAATTTAAGGTTTTTTTATAAAATTTTATAAAGTATGCTTTTACAATGATTACATTTATTCTGTTAAACTGGCTAATAAGCTTTATAATTTTGAAGTTTAGGCAAAAGATAATTAAAATACAATACTATAATAATAGCACATAAGTTAAAATATGTACACTCATGAGTCTTCACCGACAATTAAAAAAGGTATTAATAGCAAGAACAATAATTAACATCAAGAGTAAATAAATTTAATGGCATATTAAAAACAATAATTTGAAAATACAAGACAATCATTTTAGATAATTTAAAAGAGCAATAACAGCATAAAAGATAATAATTGTATAATTGAAAGTTAAAAATATATTGATGAATTGAACAATAAAAATTTTAAATAAAGTAGTACTCAAAAGAATGATAATTTATAATTAAATTAGTATGATAATTCATCTAGATATTTATCATGCTAAGTTGAGAATCATGATGAAAAGCTTAATGAAAATAAATTAATTTAATTCAAAGAAGATACTGACAGTTAAAGAGATAATTAGCATTAAGAACCTATATAAAATGCTAACATTTTAAATTTAGAATAGTCATAAGGATCTTATATTCCAGACGAGGGCAACTAAGCATATGTATAAATATAATTTGATAAGAGTTAAGCTTTTATTAAAGAATTAAATTTGAAAAACCTAAGCGAATTCAAATAATAGAATTAGTTAAATCAATCAGATTATAAATAAAAAAATTTAAAAAATGTAAATTTAGAAGAATAGTAATTAGGTATAAATGAATAAGCTAATAAAAATGTAAAATAATATACTTAACATATAATTTCTCCAGCTTCGGAGTAAAATATTTAAATTCTCTTACATTCTGAAATAAACACCGAAAGAATAAAGTTTGAACCTGAAATAGAAAACATGATCATTGAAGATGGAACAAATAACATTTATAAAAAAGTAAATAGTAAATAGGATCAAAATAAACCTGGTTTTTCCATCTAAAATAATCAGCAGAATACATATCTGACAGTTGAAAATAATACTTTTAAACAGACACCATTTAAATCTGATAATAACCTTCGCAAACCTTAATTATTTGATTAATATATACTTCCTGCTCAAAAATCATATTCTAGTTAAAAAATACTAAATAAATAGGTTGAAATTAACACATCTAAAAATTATGTTAAGTAAAAGATCGAAAATTCTCAGGCATTTACAGATAGACAAACTTATTTAAAGAATAAATTTTCTTAAATTCTTAAAAGAGAAGAAAATCTAGATATGACTTATAAATTTTTCATATACAAATTAACATGCAAAAAGTTCTGCAAAACAAAGTAAGTCATGCTAGTAGAAAAGGCTCATAAACTGATTAGAAAGGACCTTGATGTTTCTGTAATATTATACAAATTAAAGGAATTAGAAAAATTTAAAAAACTATTTTTAAATGAGCAGCAGGAAGTATTATTTAATTTTTTCCCTAAACCAATTATAAGCTCAGATGTATAAAAAGAATTACCTTCTCGATTAAATATTTAAGAAAGCTAAAAAGATGAAAAAAAATATTTAAAAAACTTTATAAACAACATAAAAAAATCTAATTTCAATAAAAAAGTATAAAAAACATTTAATATAAATGAAAGAGTAGCTACTAAAGTTTCATTTGCTCTATAAAAGCTTAAAAAACCTATAAAAAATGCTAATTAAATATTTTAATATGACTAAATGAGTGCTTATTAGACGCTTTATCAAGCCTATATAGCCATCTTGCACAAAAAAGAAATCACTGAGTAAACATAAAATTACTTAATTCACTTTCTTATTATTAAATTAATAAATTTAATTTTGTTTTAATATAAAATAAAATCAATTTAATAACTTTTAAATAAATATAAAATTTTTTTAAAAATAGATTTGATAAGAAGCTTATCTTTTTATTAGGTTAAGAAATGAATGGTATTTTTGAAGAATCAGAAAAGTAAATTATTAATTATTTTTCGTTTTTTAGATTAATTTTGTTTAAATAACTAAAGAATCATAGAAAAACCAACAATAATATCAAATAGTAGATTGTTGCAAGCAAATGCAGCAGATAATTAATTTACTAAAAATGATGTGAATTTGATAAAAAAGATGAGTTAATGAAAAAAATATATTTAAATTGAAAAATAAATTAATTAATGATAAAAATATTTCTTAAATAAAAAGTTATTTATTAATTATTAAAAATAAGTTTTCTTTGGTAAAAAGATAGTTGCTTAAACTGCTATGTAATTTATTTACATTTATAATATTAAAATCTATAAATTAGCCAAATAATAATAATAATTAACTTTTAATGATAGAGTTCGACAAATTATAAACATATAAAAATGACTTCAAACAGTAAAAGAGTGAGTTTTATTTCTTTTTTAAATAATAAATTAATAAAATAAAATATTTAAATAATATGTATTAAATTTATTTTCCTTGTTTATAATAAAAATTACTAATTAAGATAGTTAAAAGAAGTAATTTTTTTTTTAATTCTCATTTATGGTTGATCTAAATAAATTTTTACCCTTTTGTAGAAATAATTTCATTTTATTAAAATAAAAAGTAAATTCTAAAAATATTTTATGAACAGAAATTTAAATCAAAAATTCTAAATTAATTTAAATTAAACAAATATAAAGTTTACTTATTTATTTTATAATCATTAAATTAGGTTTAAAAATAAAGCTAGTACTTCTTTAATTATTTAGATAGAATCATAAATATTTAAAAAAAAATTGTTTAGCCTGATTAAGCTAAACATTAGCAATTTTATCAAGTAAATAATTAGAATGAGTATTTTGATTTCAAAAAATTAGATGTAAACAAATTATGTGAGTTAGCTTGTTAAAAATTTAATAATTAATTATTGCTTTTAAACATAAATACTAAATGATATTCTTTATGTAGAGTTAGTTTGTGGCGGTAAATAATTATATTCATAATTTGAATTTATAAAAAACGAATTTGAAAATTGTGCAAAAATAATTTGTTTTTAAATCAATATTAAATAAATTAATGCTAAATAATAATTAGAAACTAATACTCAACATAGATATTTCACAAAAGTAGATATAATAAAAAAGGTTAGCAACTTTATTTTAAAAATATTAAGTTTAAAAAATTAAAAGATTAACTGTTAATAGATCTAAATGATGGTTAGGCAATAAAATAACTAGAATACACAGAGTTAAAGCAATATCACAACCAGTGTTAGTCAATATACATCAGAAGATTCCTAAAATTCTTAGGTTCAAAGAGAAAACAGGAATAAAATAATCTTAAAGTATGATGAAAACATTGCCAAAATAGTTGCTTTGGGCATGGAAGAAAAGCTCATAAAAAATTAATTGGGAAAAATAGATATATCAGATGCACTTGTCAAAGTGAGTAGTAATGTTAACATTTTTAGTGTTAAGTAGAGTGCTAATTTTTTGTTTGCAATATCTAAATTGATAAATTATGGATATCTCTCGCTAAATTAGGAATTAAAAGATTTCTTTGCAAGATTTAAAGATTAGATTATGAAGTAGTAGTAGCAGTAATAGTAAAAAGAAAAGTAACATAGATCTAGCAGAAAAAATTAGACTAAAAAAAGACTCAGAGACGCAGCAAAGGAGATAGCTGATAACTTAAGCAACAGCATTGATGAAAGATCTAACACTTCTATTTAGTAACCTAGACATATTTCTACAGAAGAGAGACTGAATATGCAAGAATAGAATCTGATATCACCTCTCGCTATGATGATTAATTAAAGATCTGATTTAGATTCAGATAATGAAAATTCAAATACAGGTTTTAGCGATAATTTACCTGATCCTAATTAACAAAGACTTATGATGCTTGGAGAGGTAAAAATAAAATATATTTTTTTTATTTAAACTCAAAAAAATCCTTTAAGAACATTCATTTATTATTAAATAAAATCCATGCTTAGTAAATTATTTTTATTAATTAAAAGGATAATTTAGCTGGGATAGAATTTGATGGGGGACTTGGCATGGATACAGGTTTTGATTATGATGGATTTTAGTATGATTTTAGTGAACAAGATAGTTAAAGCTAAGGATTCAATAAGGTTAATGGAAATGCTATAAATATCTCCCAAGAATTAAATTAAGTTGGCGACATCTCTGAAAGATATATAAGAAAAATTACCAATTATGCCAATTAACAATCTTCAAAAAAGAAAAAAAAAACTAAACAAAAATAATAGGGACATAACAAAGAAGGCGAGCATGCAATTCTTAATGAAACAGTAGATATGGATAATTAAGAGTTTTCAAAAGCTATGGATGAAAAATTAAATTAGTTCTATAGTAGCTAATCATAAAGAGTTAATAAAAATATATCACATATTTCAGATATATCTAGATTATCGACCACATTATAATAGCCATCAATATTATCACAAAATTTTAATATCTATGAAGAATCAATCAGCGAAGCACCTTTCTAATAAATTAATATATCGAATTATTTAAATGCTTCCACCCTAGTTGACTAACCAATTTTGAATCTTACTAAGAAATTTGATGAAGCAATAAGCCTAAAAGAAAATGATAATAATGTGCTCCTTTCTGAAGAACTTATTTCTAAATTAGAAAAAGCAATGCAAAATATAAATATTGATTTAGTAAAATAAGACTAAGGTGGAGTGGATATGATGGATTTTAACTAGGATAACTAAGGCGGCTACATGGATTATCCTGATGATTTTGGTAGCTTAGATTAATATAATCAATAAAAAGAAGAATAAGATGGAGAACTAGAAATTCCTGTTCAAATACCAGAAATATAAAAATCTAAGCTAGAAAAAGATAAAAAAATTGATGAAATTGATAGTTTATAAGACTTTGATATTACTCCTCTTGATAAAAAAATTCTTACAGAAGAGGAATAAAGAGTTCTTCAGTAATATGACAAATTATTCACAAAATTAAGAGATATCCTAGACAAAGAACCAACTGCTGAGTTTAACGATGTTTATTAATCATTCAAAAACTAAAAGAGTAAAGCAGAGCTCTTCTACGATATTTTGGAGTTATAAAAGCTTGGTCAGATTTCTGTTTCTTAAAACGATAATATTCATTTTTCACCAATACAAATTCTTATCAAATGAGAATTTCTATATATATTTTGACTATTATTTAATAGTTAACTACAAACCTAACTAATATTTATTCTAAATTTTAATGGAGTTAAATAAATTAACATTTTCTAATACATATTCTGTAAAAAATTAATATGTTTCCTGTTTAAGATAGCTATGGCTTAGATTCACATATAATAAAAAAGAAAAAAAATTACTATTTTATTAAAGTAGATATTTTCATAAAAATTAATTATTTTCTTAGGTTAATTATTTATTATCACCAACATGCATGCTATGCTATTTACAAACTTTATAATTTTTTATTTAAATTTGAGAGATAAACCTATTTATAAATACTAAAAGCAAATAAAATTTTATTTAAAAATGATAATTAATAATCAACAAGTCAAATACAGAATTAGTAAGACGACAAAGAGTAAGAAATTGCAGAAGAAAATGATTTTGAATAAGATAAATCTAGTAATTTGATGCCGTATTTTAAACTTTTTCTAAAAAATAATTATTATTTAATAAAATTTTCAAAATTTATTAAAATAAATTTATATGAAACAAAAATGAGCATAATTGATAAATAGTAAGTAATATATTTGTTTATTTATTTTTGTTAAAATCACTATTTTCTAAATTAATTTATTTGTTAGTTTAAAGATTTTTTATTAATTTATTAATTTGGTGTAAGCATGAATTCGATGTGTGGTTAAGATAGGGGAAGTTATTTTTGTATTATTGGTGGTAATTTTTTAGAGAAGAGGAAAAATAAATGAACTATTTTTACAATATTATCAGAATCAATTATTTTAGTTATTATTTTCACCAAACTACTTATCTGCATAGAGGACATGTGTGATGATTAACGAGCCATACTTGTAAACAGTCTGAGTGATATAAATGCTTGCATTATAAGTGAATAACTTTCTCTTAAAGCTAAATTTATAATTAACATATAGAGCATGTAAATTCTTATTTTTCGACTGATTCAGAATCATCACCAAATACAACAAAATCTTTCTATTTAATTAAATCAGAAGCAACTTCACTTCTGATACTGTTTCTTTAGTTATTATTGTTGTTTGTTTGATTTTGATTAAATGTTTCGTTTAGAGTAGAGTTATTTTGCGATTATGAAGATATTGAAAACCTTGATTAACTATTGATCATCTAGAGATACTACTACAAAGCCATATATTCATTTGGTCTAATCTGGCTTTAAGCGAGTATCCTATTTACAATTGTATTTTTCATTCTTCTTTTTAAAGTGTAAATTAAAAGTAGATTGTTGTAAAAGCCTAATATGAGTTCAGCAAAGAGGATTATAATGCAAGCAATAATTTAGTTGGGAATCGCAACATATTCAGTAAATGTTTTATATCTTTCTTGCAATTGATTATAAGCAAAGTTGCTGATCAGAAAGAATAAAATAAATAGATTATCTATAAAAAATATAGAACAAAATGTGATCATTAAAATTTTTGGTTTTTATGAGTTGAAAAAATCATAATTGTGGCGGATCAGCCTGAATCTTATAGCTTACTAGATAAATTAAACCAAATAAAAAGTCAACTAATTTATGTAAATAGGTATTATTTTAGGCGAGGCATATCCTAATGTTGTTTCTGAGCTACCTGAGATGTGGATGACAAAGACAACTCCAAAGAATAAAAAGCAAATAAAATACAATAGCTAAATTCCATAATGAATCTGTCTTTCCTTTTTGTTCTACCTCAGATATTCTATAGTCAAAGACTCTCTAAAGTTATCTCTCGACTAGATATTACTATTATTTGCGCTATTAGTGATATTTTGTGGGTTTGTGATCAATTAATTCTACAATGAGCCTTGATTTTCTTAATCCATTTATGAATATTATTTACTTCTTTTTTAGTTAAATTAAATTTGAATTTATTCATTAATAATCAAATATAAGTAAGTGAATTTAGAATGAATTAATGATAATATTATTATGTAATAATCGCTAGCTGTTTTTATTGTTTAATTTGATGAAGAAAATATCTAATGATATTCCTTCTTTTGTTTAAATACTTTTTTTCTTTTTATTTATATCTTTAGCGTTTGGAGGATTTGTAAGCTAAATATAAAGTACTAAGTTTCTTATAAAGCTAACTATATTTCTAATCTATTTTTTATTTATTTACATTTCCTAAAAAATTTTTAGATTTTCTTTTCCTCTCAAAAAGAAATCATTTAATTAAGTTTTTAATTAACATTTTTAGCCTTTTTAAATGCTGTTACTATCAGCCTCAATTAAATTTTCTAGCTGTAATTAACATAAGTTTTGAATATTATTCTAATAATAATAATAATTTACAGATAAATATTTTTCTATGTTTAAATTTAATTTATTTTAAATATTTCATTAAGTATAAAAGTAGTTAATAAACATACGCACTAAAAGATTGTTAACTCTTTAGCTCTTTATTCATTCTTAATTCAACTTTTTAAATTAATCTAATTAATTTATAATTGTGAAAAATTTCTTATTTTTAAATAATTAATTAAAACCTCTTAAAATACAAAAAAATTCTAAACTAATTTTTAGTTTTTTTTAAATCTTTTTTAGTAAAAACTTACCGTTTGACAATATTTTATTTTTAAATAAGCTTTTTAAATATAAATCAGCTGCTATAAGTATTAAATATAGATTTAAATTCGAGGATTATTTTAACTAAATTAAATAATAAAAATAAATCAAGTTAATTGTTTCAAAAAGGTTTATTTATTCTCTACATATTTTGTTAGTTGCATATTTTAATTTGAATAAATCTTAATTAAGCATTTAGATTAAAATATTTTAACTAAAAACAAACAAAAAGTAATACAAAATAATGTATTTATTTTTTATCATAATTTAAATCTGATTAATTTAATTATTTTTTTCAAATAATTAGAATATCATTTAATTAGAAATTTAATTTAAGATACATTTTTGAATTAATTAACAAAAAAAAAATATTAATGTATAATTATTTTAAATTATTTTGTATTTTTATATTCGAATTGATTTAATTGATTATTAATATTAATGATTTAAAGATATTTTTGAAATATATATATAAAAAAAAATAGTATTTTAATTTAGCAGTAAAAATACAAAACTTTATTTTTATCAAGCAAAATTATGTTCTTAAATATTTTAATTTAGAGTTAATGTTCAATTTATAATATGTGCTAGATTTTTTGAATTACTTAAAATTATAAAATTTTAACCTAATTTTTTATTCAAAAAACGTTAAAGATATATTAAAAAGAAAATTTTATATATTTAAAAAATTAAATCATTTTTTAGCTAATCTATAAATGTTAAAAATACATTTTTTAAATGGTTTATTTTATTTACTTATCCAAATTATTTACTTATTTTGTTTGTTATTAATCAAATAGATTATTTAAGTTATTAAGGTTAATTTCATATCAGTAAATACATTTAAAAAAACAATTAAAATAGACAAAGATTTCTACTGATAACTAAGTAATTCGCACCAAATTTATGTTTTCATCATAAGTCAAGTATTGATTTTTCTGTTTTTTTGAAAGATTGATTTCACAAACAATCTTAAAAATATAAGATTATATTTTTTTTATACTTTTTTTATTACTTATGTCAGTCAAATTAAATATATAAGATTGACAAACTATAAAAGATTTATAAGATACAAACTATATTTTATATTCAAGATAAAATAATTTAAAAGATTGTATTTGTTTGAATAGAATTTAAAGTATTTACTTATTTTTAAGTTTGTAAGTTTTTTATATTTGTTAAAAGAATAAGGAAGGTAATAAATTTACCGCTTTTTAAAAACATCCTGATTTATTAATTTGTTATGTTTTTATGGTAAAATTTAAGGAATTAGAAAAAAAAATATAATTTTTTTCAGATGATTTTTAAAAGAAAGTATATAACTTATAAAAGTTCAGATCTTGTTTCAAGCAATCAAGGACTGATTTGAATATTTATTTTGTAGTAGACAAATGTATTAATCAAATAGAGTTGTTTTAAGTTGTGCCCATGTATTTTATAGATCATTGCAAATTAATAAGAACCAGTAACGATTGAAATTTTTTATTTTCTGTAAATGAAATAACTGAATCATTAATTTTAATAATTTTAAGTTTTTTTTGAAATTTTTTTATTTTTCTAGATTGATTACAAGGTATTAATTAATTTCCATCTAATGTATTTTTAAAATTATGGTAAATAATTGACAACAATATCAAATTATTTTTATGTTATAAATTATTCAAAAGTGTTTGTTTATATATGATTGATAACATACAATATTTTTAATAATTTATGAATGAATAGTCACGTAAAAAACGTAATATTAATTTTCTAATCTTTCTATTGATAACAAATAAAATCAAATAGACAGAAAAATTAATAGTAAGTTAATTTGTTTCTTCTATTTTTTATTTTCAAAAATTTATGTTAAATATAATATATTCATTTTAAGCTTTACATAAACTATTTGAAAAAATAAAAATAAATAATTGTTATTACTGATCATATTTTTTATTTTTTAGTAACAGCAATATGATGTGATGTACATATGCTTTTCGTAAAATAGACAATAACTCCTTCAGATGTAATTTTAAATTTATTAGAAAAATATGATATGTTAAAAAGCAATTTTGCTATTATTTAGCTTAAATTTTATAAATTTTTTATTTTGTTTTGGATAAAAGAATATCTATCTCTGTTTTATGAAATTGTTGCAATATGTATATATTTATTCAAATGGAATAATATGATATAAAAAATGTATTTTGTTTTGAATACTTTTTAGTAAAATAAGTGTATTATTTAAACAATATTAATTAATATAGATTATCTAGGAAAAATAATAAGTCATATGTTCAATTATTTATTTACATTCAACATTTATAATATAAATAAAAGAGTCCGTCAGCAAATAAGCCTATCCAGCAACTGCAATCTGCAAGAACATCACATGGAGGACATAATGAGGGGTCATCTGAGCAATTGAAAAATCCATCATCACCAGAATCATTGGAGTTAGATCCATTAGAATTAGAATTATTAGGGTCACTGCTGGAAGAACCAGAATTATTAGCACCACTACTGGAAGAACTAGAACTATTAGCACCACTGCTGGAAGAACCAGAATTATTAGGGTCACTGCTGGAAGAACCAGAACTATTAGCACCACTGCTGGAAGAACCAGAATTATTAGCACCACTACTGGAAGAACCAGAACTATTAGCACCACTGCTGGAAGAACCAGAATTATTAGGGTCACTGCTGGAAGAACCAGAACTATTAGCACCACTGCTGGAAGAACCAGAATTATTAGGGTCACTGCTGGAAGAACCAGAATTATTAGCACCACTACTGGAAGAACCAGAACTATTAGCACCACTGCTGGAAGAACCAGAATTATTAGGGTCACTGCTGGAAGAACCAGAATTATTAGGGTCACTGCTGGAAGAACCAGAATTATTAGCACCACTACTGGAAGAACCAGAACTATTAGCACCACTGCTGGAAGAACCAGAATTATTAGGATCACTACTAGAAGAACCAGAACTATTAGCACCACTGCTGGAAGAACCAGAATTATTAGGATCAGAACCAGCATCTTGTAAGTTTCTAAGATTTTTTGAAGCAGCTATGGTAATCATAGCTAATAAAAGTAAAATTGTAATTTTCTTATTCATTTATTTAATTTAATGTAATTTTTTTTTTTATTATTGTGTATTTTAAACAATTTATTATAAAGATTTGAATTTGTAAATTAATAATTTGAGTAGAAGATTTCGTTTATTAACACTGAATAATTAAAAACATAATTTTAACAAGTAATTAAGTAACAAAAAAACTCTATGAATCAAAATTTATAAATTTTTTCAGTTATTTTGTTTTTCCATGGCTGATCCAGTTTTTGGCAATTAAATTAATTAGCGTTAGTTGAAAGTAATAATAGAAACATAATTGCTCAAAATTTAAATTATAAATTAGTTGCAAAGCATTTAGTTTTTCTCTGGTTAATTCATATGCAAATATAGAAGGGGAGATTTATTCATTTAAGAAAATTATTCCTTTACCATATTGATTAATTAATTAATTTATTTTTATTTTTATACTTGCTATTAAAGCAAAATCTTTTGTTAAAGAATTTAAATATATTTTTTATTGGATAATCATTGTTGATGAAGCAAATTTTATGTTATCTATCTTAAATCATTAAATCAAAATAAAATAAATAAATATGTAAACAAAAAAAATATTTAATTATTACATAAATAGATTCAACTGTTTAGATTTAATTAAATCACTCCATTTATTCTTCTTAATTATCTCTAGCAATCAAATTTCCATGCGCACTGCTTATTGAAGGGTTCAAAAAGACATTTGATGTAATTGGGAGTCTTGAATTATATTTTATACTTAGCTAAGGAATATTTTAGTGTAGCTACTTATAGTGATTAGATTTAGATGATGTCGCATTATTTATATGATCGTGCTGTGTGAATATTTATTTTTTTATGACAAATATCTTGAATTCTCTTATTATATAAGAATTCTTGTCAAATATTCTAATTAAATACTAACCTACATCAGATGCCATTGGTTATCCTCCGATTATAATAGATCCATTTATAATTTCAAGTGCGTTCATCCATTAAGGAAGCCCATAATTTTAAGTCTAAGGGCATTATTTAAATCCTATATCTCTAAAACATCTATAACTCCCCCATTTTTATTGAAATGCTTTTTTTATTAATTAAAAGAATTAAATGATTTCATTCAAATTTTAAATGTATTTTCTTACACCTGTTTCTTACTTTTTATAGTATCTAAATAGACTAAATTTTAGTTTTTTCCTTATAAATAGTTTCTCCAAAGCTTCTTTACTTCCATCTCCTCTTCTATTGATAAAAAAAGTTCATTTAATAGTTTAATTAGTAGAAATTTTACTCTTTTTTCTTCGAAGCCATAAGCAGTCGATATTAACGACTCTTTAATAATAATAAGCAAATTTTAAATTTTAAAAGGGAAAATATGCTAAATTATCTAAATAGTTTTGCTAAATACAAATTCATTAACAGTGATGACCGGAATCGAACATTCAGAAACATCATCTAAATCTGATGCAATATTTGTATATGCTTTATACCAATCTAAATTATTAAAATTACTAACAGCCATAGCTTTTATTTTTTCAAATATCAACTACAAATCTTAATCTAAGCTTATGCAATACTTAACAAAAAATCCTAAATATTTTAACAAGCATTTAATAAATAAAATAGCTCTCTTTTAAACAAAAATATTTAAAAGTACACTCTATATATATAAAAATTCAATTTCTATCCTAATTAAAAATGTTTGAATATACTAATCTAAAATATTTAACATGAAATTCTTTTAACAAAAAGTTTTGCTGTTATATCAAATAAATTATTTATTTACCTTAGAGGATTTTAGAAATCTTAGTAGAAGTGTTGATAATATCTTCAGAATTGACTCTTTAACCTAGCGATAAATCAGGTTGATTATTATTTATTTGATCGAAGAAAATAGACATCTATTTCAATATAAAATTGTAGTCAATCTCTCCATTTTCTACAAAGTATCTAAAATTTTATTCTTAATCTTCTTTATTATGCTTTTTTTTATATCTTTCTTATTGAGATTCTTTTAATGCAGGATCTTCAGTAACTCCCAAATTTTCTTGATTTGGTTACAGCGAGCTTTAATCAAATTGATTTCTCTTTAGTAAGCTCTTAGGATTAATATTTTCAACTTGAATCATGTTTATTTTATTAGTTGATAAACTTTTGCTTTCGTTACTTTCATCCTTTATACTTTTCAACTTTTATAATTCTTACTTTAAAATTTCTATTTCTATTTTTTTCTTATATTGCTCCCATATAATTTTTGCTACTCTAAACATCTCATCTCGGAGTATAATTTGCTTAGTATATTCTTTTCCTTTAAACATTTATAAATTTGTTAATTAAAAATGATAAAAATAATAAATCAATTTTATTTATTTATTACCTATTTCTATTGTTTCTGTAGAATAACAGAAATTTTGAGTAAAAAAAAGATTGTAAAAGCTAGATTTAAACTAAAGTAAGATTAAAAGCGCAACTATAGGAACAAGAATAACTAAAAATATTTTTAGAAACAAGCTACTATTGTCTTTTTTAACAGTAAATGTAAAACTATCTACAATAAATGAATAGCTATCAGTTGCATTCACTTAAATGGTGATACTTTATCCAACTTATTCAAGACCAGGCTATCCTGAAAGAGAGTTTGTTGTTTTATCAAATATTAACCAATATTTTTTTGAAAGCTGTAAAACCTAGTCATCAATCAATAAATTGACATTATATTATGTCTTTTATTGGCTTAAATTAATAAAGATACTATCGCTTATTTGAAATTTAAAATACTCATTTACAGGAATTGCTCCATCAGAATATTATTAATTAAATTCACATTATAAATTACATGTTTTGCTTACTTATATATTTTCTAAAATTTTCAAAAAAGATACTTCTTAAAAAGAGTAAGTTTCTTCAAATTAGTAATTTATTTGATCATTAGCACTGATAGTTACCTAAATATTAAAAAATATATTTTAAATTTTAACATATTTACTTTCAGTAATTTCTTTTAGATTTAAAAAATAAAATTTAAAAAATTAACTAAATATAAAATCAATATTATTTGAGATAATACTATATTGTTAATTTCCAAATAAAATTAAAAATCTTCAAATTTAAATGAAAAAAAAAAATAATTTAAATAGAATTAAAATATTTATTTAGATTTTTAACTTAAAAATATTAAGAATGAGGTATATTTTATTTATTTTTTGTAAATTTTAAAATTAATTTGATTAATTTAAATATATTTGTGTATGTTCTTAATTACATTAATGTCTTATGTACGAAAGAAGTTTTAAATATAAAAGCCTTAGGCTACCAACTAATTGACTTGGCAAGTCTCTCCTTAAAGCATGATTGTGGATGAGTCCTGAGATAGCGAAATTAATGCTCCTTTATACTTGATATCAACAAATCTAGCAAAATTAGGGTCTACAGAAATATACATTTACAGAGAAGAAGATTAGCTTAAGATTATATTTGTGGAATCAGAAACATTTAAAACAAGAGAACTATCAGTAGTAAAATAAATTGGATAATTAATAACCTTCATCTTGAGTATCTAATTGATGTACTACTACTCTTTATTATTTTTATGGTAGAATTCATTTAAAATTAATTTGAAATATTTTTTTAAATGAAATATATTAGAAATAATTATTCGATTTAAAATTTATTACATGCATCAGTACCATTAAAACCTTATAAACTGAATTGTGTATAAGGATTAAAATATTCAGTTATAAAGCCTACATTATCAATTATACCTTATGATTAGCAGAGTTTTTTTATATATGCAGATAATTTCTGATTAATATTATTTTCCTAACTAACAAAATCTAAATCTTGAATTTCTTATAAAACTAATAAAATAATTTAATGATTGGTGCGTCCCAAAACTCCATTTATATTTGTGTTTAATGACTCTTTAGTAATCTAATTTTGAAAAAAATTTAAAAAATTGATAATTAATTCATAAATTAAATATTTAATAGATTACTTTCAGTTATAACTCTTAAGCAGCTTATTTAAATGAAATCCAAGAAGGTAAATTATCTTTATTATAATTCTCATAGTAATAGCAAGATTTTATAAAGAGTTTATGGTCAGAAAATAAAGGAGTTATTAGAAACAAAACATCCATTCCAACAAGCAATATATCGTCCATGTGAAGAGTTTGTACATAGATCTTGCCATCACTGCCAACTTAAGTTTAAAATATTTCAGTTTGCAGAATTATTTTACTTTTCAAAGGTATTATTAGATTCTATTTTGTTAAAAAGTTTATCAAATCTTTTATAAAAGATTTTCAAATTGTGTTTTTAAATAATTTTTATAAATTTATTTTTTTTAATTTTGCTTTATTAACATAATTTAAATTATTCAAGCAAGATAAGAGCGAATAATTTAATTATTATTAAATAAATTAATTTTTTATTGGTTTATTGTTGATTATTTGATAAATGTTAAACAATTTTATCAAAATTACTCCTGTTCGACCCATTAAATATGCGATAGATTGATCATCATTCAGGCAAACATCATATGCAATATCTTCTGAAAGGTATTAATACTTCTGTATTAGTAAAGGTTATCTATTCAATTATTATATATACATATAACTTCACCAAGTAAATGAATTTACCCTATCTAAGTAATGTCTACGAGTGCTAGCTATCCCTTCTCTTAAAGTGTAACTAAAATAAAATTATCGTTAAAAATAGATCTAATATGAAGACATTAACCATCTATTTTTACTTCTCCTAAAATTTAAATTTAGTTGATATCTGAAATATCAACTAAAAGGGATAATGAATTTAATTGCTTAATATGAATGACTAAATAAGTAAGTAATTTACATATCTTTATTCCTTTAAATCCATTAGAAAGTATTAAGAAATTCTCATTTTAAGTGAATATTATTGATTCAGCACCCAATGTAATAAATCTGTTTTTAATCTATGGTGTATAAATATTAGTAACATCTATTAATATCAAGCCATATGATCTTACAGCTGCAAATATGTACTAGCTATTTTATGTAATAAGAGCATCTTCGCAAGTTCCAATAATTTAGTAGTCTTAAGGCACAAAATTAGAAATAAGAGTCATATTAGATAAATTTGTTGAGTTTATTATTAGTATTCCTCTCCTACCCGATGCCACAACTAGAATGGTTTCATTTTAATTTAGGTAGATAGAATCAGAATCATTATCAGTAAATCCAAATGTAGAGTTAAAAATAACCTAAGGATTTTTCAAATCCAGATAGTCTACTACTGCCACTCCTTAATTAGAAAGGCCAAGAATTAAATGTCTTTAATCTTTTAATACCTTTAAACCATTTACCCCTGTTTATTTACTTTATTAATTCTTAAATATTGATGAGAGTTGTTATAAACCAAATCCACTCCCTGATATCTGAAGTGCTAAATTTCCTTCTCTACTTCTTGCTCTGTTGTAATAATTAAGATATTTTTATTTATATAGAAATATAACTCAAAAAGTACTAAATTTATATTCATGGTATAAAAACAAATCATTTTAAAAATTTTAGATGGTCATGTTAATATATCCTTCAAATGTATAGAAAGTGGATATCAATATACCAATTAGTTACTATTTTTTCTTTACTTTTTAATAATTGGAACTTTCTATTCCCAACTTTAATGAAATGTAAATGTTTTATCATTACAAAATTAATAATTATAAATCAGTCAAAATCTTGATTATTATAAATTCATTTTTTAACTCAAAAAAATGATAAAGATTGTTTAAATAAATTAAAAATATTTATTATCAAATAAAAAACTAAAGCTAGAATTATTTAAATTTTCTTTGAAAAAATGGATTTCATAATTTAAAAATAAATAAATATTATAAAAAACCTTTAAAGTGTTTAATAAAAATTAATATTAAAAATGTTCTCCAAAATTAAAAAAAGTTAAAAATAAATATTTGAATTACTAAAACAGTGTGTTATTGCTAAATGCACATCTCCAAGACCAATTATCTGTTATATTAAATAAAGTGTTTGGATAAAAGAAAGCTTGGTGGTCATTAAGAATATTTGGCTTTTATAGATTAAAATTAGGCTCTTGTTTTTTGAAAGCTAAAAGACTTTAACCATTGGAATAAAATACGTATTTACTATCTTAGCTTAATTCTATCTTTAGTGCTAATCCATTAATACTTATTTATTGAAAAATAACAAAATTAAATGGGTCACTCAAAGAAATAATTAATAATCCTGTGGATCTAACCCCTAAAAATAAATAAGGAATGGAGAATGAGTATGAATTAATTAGCATTGAAGTAGTTTCTGCTGCAAAATCAATTTAATTTAGTATTTTTAACTAAGAACAATCTTAAGTCAACCAAAACTGCTACAAATCTACCTAAAATAGCCCACTCAACTCTTGTAAGACATACATATACTTATCTTAAAATATTATTACATCGTAAGCGCTTGACCAGCTAAATTAGGCAGAGCACAAATATTCTAACTTAATTAAATTTTTATAAACATTAATAATTTTTTTAATACTTTTATTAATTTATTTACTGATGGATAATTATTTTTGTTCGATTAGCTTATTTTTTAGTTAATTTTATAAATCGAGACTCCCTTTTCATCATTAGCAGCAAATAAAAACGTTTCATTCTTCGCTAATTGAACAGAGAAAAATGCTTATTGATTAATTATTTGCTGTGGTAAAGATTATAACAAATTAGGTTAAAGCACGTTTGATACATCGTAAATTTACAGCTAATAGAATCCAGCAACAAATAAAATTGATTCATTGCTAGAAAATACAAATTTATAAACAAATTAAGTTGTAGCTATTGATATCTTGAATTTTATATGACTCTTATCTTTAAAATCAAAAATTAAAATTGTACTATTGTCTAAACCCACCTATTTTTAAATTAAAAATTTAACTGTAATTTATTTATTTTTATTTTATAGATAACAATTAATTTTTCAACTTTTATAAAGACTATTTTCATTTATTTTTTGTATTAATGCTGGTAGTTAATTAATATTTGTTAAATAAGTTGTTTATTTATTTATTATAATTAAGAAAAATATTTTTAACAACAAATTATTTTGCTAAATCACCTTAAATATTTAAGCAATTTCTTTTAAAAATTTAAAGGTAATGAACAAATTTTATTTTAGAATGAAAATTGATTACAATAAATTGATTTTTTAATATTGAGAATAATATACTTATCAAATAAAAAGGAAATTTATTTAATTTTTACCCAGAGTAATGATTCATTTTAAGTCAAACAAAGAGCAGTAACTTACTAACTGTAGCTATAAAACCAAATTGGTAGGAAATTGGTTATGTTCTATGTATTAATAAGAGCCACTCCACAATTTGTAATACCAATAATTATCAAGTTTTAATTTTCAACATTTTATAACTAAATGATATTATTTATGAGCGCAATTTAATTGCTTGGACATAAGCTATCCAGTTAAAATAAACTATAAGGGATTTAAGAATACAGGGGTAAGTTTTATTATAAATTTGAAATATTAGTTTAAGACCCTATTAGAAAGTCCTTTTGTCTATTCATTTAGCTTTGTTCTATTTAAGATATAACAATAATTTAACATATTTGAAGATAATTAAACCAAAAAGAAATACATAATAAGTAATGTTTTTCAGCAATTTTTGAAGTAGATTATTAGACTAAAGCAAATAGTAATATTATTGAAAATATATAGAAAACTATCATTCTTATTTATAGGATATGAGAGTCGTAGTTATGCTCTTTGATTTAGCAAATTAAGTTTATTATTATGTGAATTCGTAATAAAAATAAGATTAAAATTTTAATATTTTATCTTCTACTTTTATTTTATTTGTTTCATACAATTAAGTATTAATTATTTAGTTAAAAGTCCTAACTTCTTATATCAACTAATTGCCCAATTAAAAAACAAAAATACAGAACCAGTAAAATAAATTCAAAACTAATATAAAGCCTAAAAAGTTAGTGAAAAAACTATCTAAAACAATTTCTATTTTAAAAAGAAATTAAAAAGCAAAGAAAAACTTCATTTATAATTTTTGAGAAATTCATAAACAACTATTGTAATTAATATAAAAATATTAAATATCTAGATGTAAATTAAAAATACTTAATAATATAATTAAGTTATTCTTTAATATTAAAACGATAACAATATAATTTTCGTTTAGTAAACCATACCATATTATCAAAAAATTATTTTGTAATTTGAATAAAAAAATTTAAATTAATATTATTGAAATGCATTAGAAAATAATATGGTAAAGCTTATGGATAATTAATATTATTTATAATTTTTGAGAAATTTATAAACAACTAAAACAATAAAAGAAATGTAATTAATATAAAAATATTAAATTTCTAGATGTAAATTTAAAATACTTAATAATACAATTAAGTTATTCTTTAATATTAAAACGATAACAATATAATTTTCGTTTAGTAAACCATACCATATTATCAAAAAATTATTTTGTAATTTGAATAAAAAAATTTAAATTAATATTATTGAAATGCATTAGAAAATAATATGGTAAAGCTTATGGATAATTAATATTATTTATAATTTTTGAGAAATTTATAAACAACTAAAACAATAAAAGAAATGTAATTAATATAAAAATATTAAATTTTTAGATGTAAATTTAAAATACTTAATCATACAATTAAGTTATTCTTTAATATTAAAAGGATAAAAATATAATTTTCATTTAGTAAACAACACCACATTATCAAAAAATTCTTTTGTAACTTGAATAATATAATTTACATTAATATTATTGAAATGCATTATAAAATAATATGGTAAACATTATGGATTTATTAATATTGTAAAAATATTAATAACTTGTATTACCTTTATTAAATAATTGATAATTATTTTAGGAGATTTTATAATATTAATTTAAATGATCAATATAAAAAAAATAATTAATTATATTTAAAATCCTCAACGTTGATAATAAGTAATGCATAAATGAAAAAAAATATAAATTATTGGTTTTTACATTTAAGTAGAAGTTAATAAAAATAATTAAATTATCATCTAATTATAATATTAAAAGATTAAACAAAATCTATATATTTATATATTCTTTAAATTATCATACAAATACTTATAAAAGAATAGTAATGCTATTTACTCAAAGCAATTTATACATGAATATTCTTCCAATTCCAGAAACTTTCATTAAAAAGCTTTCATGAGGATCTTTTACTTTTAAGTAAGTGTAACCATTCTTCTTATAGAGACCTTAAGCAGGCTTATTTGTTGATATAGCTTTGAGAGCAATAAATTACTTACCATTTGACTTGGCTTCTTATTCTATTAACTTAGAAAGTTGAGAAGCAATTCCTCTTCCTTTATATTTATCACTTACTGACACTCTAGTTAGAGAAACACCTTAGCTGGGAATTTAATTAGGGACTTCAAAATCAACACTATCTTCATAAGAAGTCATTCCTATTACCTCATCTGTATCTTCTCTAATCGCTAAATATAATCTATTTTTCTCTACTGTATAGTATTCTTTCATTTTTGGATAAATTGCTTCAACAAAGCTTTATTTAAGAAACTTCCAAGCTTCTTTTTCCATTTCTTTAGGGATAATGTAAAAGACCAGCAAATGAACAAATACAATATAGACAATCACAGAGTTGAAAAAACTGAGGAAAGAAGAGGTCAAACTTGCAAATGATAAGAAACTAACTATAACAAATGCTAAAACTTTTAGTATACCATGTCTCTTAACTGGACAAAGCAACAGTTCATAACCTTAAACTTTAGCTGTAGTCAAAAAGTTTGACAAATATAGATCTAGGATTTGTTTATTATACTTATCTTCCTCATACTTTTTGTACTTAATATTGAATTATTCTATTTAACTAGCCATTTTATTATTAAATAAAAACTAACTTTTACTTTTTTTAAATGTAAATTTTTATGTTTTGTAATTAATTAATTTATTAATTAATAAATTAATTACTATATAAATTTTAATAAATGTCTTTAAAAATATTTGATAATATTAGATAAAGATACAGATAGTTTTTTTCACAATTATAAACTCATTTATATATGTATGAATTAATCAATCAATACTAGTAATAATTCCTTCAAATCAAAAATAAAAAAATTTTGGTATCTTTTACAAGTTTATTAATGGATATGCTTAAATTAATTGATTCTCTTGCTTTTCAAATAAAATTATTTATTTTTATACATGAATATCCAGAAATCATAAGTAGAATTATATATAGTTAATTAATCATGTAAATTATATACGTTTCAATACATTATTAGTAGGAAGAAATATTAATTATAATTATAATTTAGATAATCTTAATCTTTTTATTCAATTTTTTATAAAAAATTAAAATGTGTTTACTCAATCCTTTTACATCTATATTTGAGTATTTGATAAGATTTTTTCTAAAATAATTGGTTGTATTAATTTTTGTGTTTTCACTAAAAATTTGAGTGAGTGGAAATTCAATGAATAAAAATAATATTTAAATAATAAATATTTTGTAGAAGTTTTTGAAGCGAACGAAATAAATTAAATAAAATTTATATTCTGGAAATATAGATTATAGTCTATCATGTTCTGTGATTCAAAAATGAGACAGACATTTTTTGTTTAAAACATCATAAATTGTATATTTTATATGCACTGTACATTTGATATATTAGCACACCCCTTTATTCTGTTTAATATCATTCATAAGGGTCTTAATATTTTTCAAAAATATTTAATAATTTTATTGTGAAAAAATATTAAGCAGTTTTTATATTATATAAAAATGAAATTTAAAAATTGAAAATTCAATAATATTTTTATTAATTTTAATTAGGGAAATGTATTATTTTAAATATTTATCATATCAAGATTAATCAAAAACTATTTTTGTTCATTATGAGTATTCTTGTTTTGTTATAATAAAAAGAGGATAAACAAAATAAAAATAAATTATTTTTTCAAAATACTTTATATTAATTAAGTTAGATTTTTTTATTTAATTTTCAAGTTTTATTTTTAATTTAATATTGTTTTAATTTTTATATCATAATAATATAATTTAATATTTTTTTAATTTATATATCATAATAATATAACTTAAATATTCATATTAATTTTAAATAATTTTAAATAGTTGAAGTGTTAAATAAAAAATAAATAATTTAGTTTTAAATAATTAAATAAACTTTTATCTTTTTTATATTCTACTTCAACTTTCATGAGATATCAATCATTAAAAAAAGTAAATAAATTCATGCTATTAAATTTCTTAAAAGTTTGAACTATCCATTTTTATTAGTCAATCACAATAGCTAATCTAAGACAAATATAGTTATTATAAAAAATACTAATAAAATTAATAAATCTATTAATATCAAATAAGTTGAATATAAGCAAAATCTATAATAAAGATTGTATAATAAAATATATAGATAATTAAAAAATGATTGATATAATTTCCAATTTATTGAATTGAAAACTTTAACAAAGATGAAGCACTGATTTTATCATATTAGCATTATAATTTAGGTTGTTTTAAAATAAAAAAGTAGTGCATGAATTAATTTTTTATTATTTTATGACAAAGTCAAGCTTTGGAATCTAATTTGATGAGTTTTCAAACTAAAAACGAAAATAATTTTTGACATGGTTTAAAATTTTCAATATTTAAAATATAAAAATTACACAAATATATATTATATTTTTAAAATAATATTTCAAATACTATGCCTTTTTATTTTATGTGTTTTTGAAAAAATGACTTCAGATTAAATTCTTTCTAATTTAAATCCTATATTTTCCTTGTCAGAAAAACTAAATGAAGTAAAATTTAATGAACGTAAACATTGTTTGATAAAAAGACAAAAAATAAGTCTGATTCTTAACAAAAATAATAGAAAGTCATATTAATTAGTTATACTAAAATGAATGAATAAATAAATTAATGAAAAAAATTGTAAAAAATAATTTGCTTATTAAATAGAAAGAGTTAATAGAAAGAATACACAGAATAATCAATAATATATATACATATTTAGATACATTCACAATAGACTTAACTAATTAATTAAATAATTAATCATTCATACATATATAATATAATATAGATAATCAAAATCTTATTATAAATATAATATAACATTGAAATTTAGATAGTCTTCATTCAAAATTGAATATAATATATTTATATATACAATTACTCGTAATCAAGACAATATAAAAGGAAAAATATATTTGTTAAAAAAAAATATTTTAACTTGTAAAATAAAATCAAATAGTTATTAACTCAAGTATATCTACTGATATTTAGACAAACAACATCTTTAGCAATTTAAGTTTAGTTTGAAATATTATTTAAATGAGCAATCAATAAGACATACTCAATAATAATTGTGAATCTGAGGAAGTATTTAGTAAATCTGATGACTTTAATCACTTTGGAGATTAAGATTTCTCAAATTTAAATAGAGAAGATTACCCACCATAGTTTTACGCTTAGAGAATAAGCTAAGAAGGTGATTAAGCAATTAATGATTTCATAAGAGGAGACATTGGATACGATTAAAATTAATTTTTAACATAATATAATTATAGTGACCAATATAATAATAATTATGCTGCAAGCGAAGTTAATCCCGACAACTAGAAGAATATTCTATCAGGCCAAAACAACACAATTCAATAAAATCAATAATATGTTTAAGCCCAGTAATTTGTACCTCAAAATAACAAAAATTCTTCATACACAGCTTCAACTTGTGATTATATGTCTTCTGATTATTGTAATTAATCTTAAAGCGAATCTTCTCACAGTAACTACTAAGCAAATTCTTTTAGGCCTACTAATAGCCTACCTTAAAACTAAAAGAATCAATACTATCAATTTAACTCTAACTCGCACTAAAGTTAGCATTAAAATGCAACTAATATTAATCAAGTTAATTATGGTTCTTCTCCTGAACATTTCAGTGAAAATTCTACATAAGGACATACTCCATACTATGTTACTGAATACAATTCTAAGTAAAACTAAATCTATTATTATTATTATTGAGTTAAATTACAAACAAAAATTGTAGAAATTACAAAAGAGTTTATTGAAATTGTTTGAAATATTAACAAATTTGCTTAAATATTTAAGAAGTTATTACAAAATTTAACTAAATTGTAATTAATTTTATTGAAATTTTCAATAAACGAATAGAAAATATTAAAAAAAAGCAATTATTTTTTTTATGGTTTTTTATAGCAAAAATAGATTTAAAAACATAAATAATTTTCTCAATATAAAAATGCTCCTATTAATAAAATTATATAATAAAAGTTAAAATAGCAATGGGATTGATGACGAAGATGCTGAATAAGAAGAAGGAATTGACAAAAACAGCCTTAATTAGACAGGTTTGAAGATAAAAAAAAATATTGCAAAGAAAAAATATGAGCCTCTTTATGATAATAATTAAGTTTATAGATACGAAGACGACCCACTTGAATACAAAAAAGCTAGAAAGTAAATTATAATTTTATTTTTAAATATTTTACTAGACAATTGAAACATTATTATAGATTTTTAACTATTTTTCTAATTTGAAAGCATCTAATTCAACTAATGCCCTGATAAAGCCTGATATTTATTTGATTTAATATTTATATTTAATAGGAGAATACAAAATAGACAAAGTGCTAGGAAAGTGCGTAGTATCAAGAAAAACTAGACTGAAAACTTAGAAATGAATGTCGATTAGCTAAAATAAGAAAACTAAGATTTAAAAGTATAAGTTGCTAACCTTTCTGCTTAAAACAAAAGACTGCTAGATGAAGTAGAATACTTCAGAAGAATGTATGGAAACATAATTTAAAACTACCACTAAGAAAATAACAATTCTAATGAAATTAATGGAAATGAAGATAAAAATGGTTAGGAGTATACTACAAAAATAATTAGAAATAACCGAAATCATGAAGGTATGCTTCCAACCACTAGAGAAAGAATTAATGTAAAAACACCTTATGGTTAAAACTAGCAATTATTCATATTAGTAGTTATTAGTTGCATTTTGGTGATGTCGTATTCTTCTACCTCATACGAAAATCAAATATAATCCAAGGTAAATGCTTTCTTGAGCATTAGCGAAATCAAGAATATCACCAAAACTGTTTAGTTAGAGAGTGAAATAAAACAAATAGTTTAAGATACAGTATTTTATGATTCGTGGAAAATTATTGGTTGGACTTTAGCGATTATAGCATACCTCACTTACGCTACCTTAACAATATATAAAAATTTTAAATCCAAATTTTATTTTAATAAAAATAAACAAAAAGATAATTGATTGAATGAAATTAAAGTAAAAATCAAAAAAAAAAAAATCCTTTTATTATTACCTACTATTTTAAAATTTATTTATTATCAATTTATTAATATAATAACACATATCAAATGCTATTATTATTTAAATATAATATTTTATGAATATACATACCATCCATATCTGTCTGTAAATTATTCAAATTAAAATAATTAAAAAAACTATCTCCCACATTTTAATTTATTTATTTAACATTCAATAAAATACATTTTCATTCTAATTTGTTCATTATAATAAATTTGATATTTTAAGTCATTCTTTAAAGTGTTTTTAATTTATTAAAAATATTTTAAATTTTAATAAGAAGTAAATATTAAATTACAATAGTAATTATAAAAAGATATTAAAATAGTACAAATAAATTTATTTTGGCAAATAGCTGAATAAAAGTGACTATTAAGCTTATTTAAATGCTTAAACAAAAATTAATAAATTATTTCAATTATTTTTTCAAATTTTGATATAAATTTGAAATTAAAATTGATTTTAAACGATTTTTGTAATCACTTTTTTAAAACAACAAGCCTTAAAGACTTAAAGATATTATACTTTTTTCTATTTAGAGTGGTTTGCTTGATTGGCTCTTTTCTTTTGTATAAAAAAAGATAAAAAAAATGAATTTTTAAATTTAAGATATTTACTTATCGCTAGAAAATTTGAATTATAAGTAATAAAGGCTTTTTAATAGGCTGAAGTTCTAATTGATGAAATTCAAGTCAATCGTAGATAATTAACTATTCCTATAAATTAAAAATTAAATTACAATGTCAAGTTTGTTTTAAGTTTTACGTAAAATTCAGCTTCAATGAATTTAATTCTAAACCTTAAGTTATTAGCTTAGTAAGTTCTCTCAAAGTAATTGAGCTTATTGAATTACCACTATATATAATAATATTTTATACAAATTAACTAAACAAAATTTACTTTTGATAGCTAATTTTATTTAGTCTAAAATCAAAAATAAATTTAATAATAAATAAATAATTTTTTTATTTGTACTAAAATGCAAAAATGTGATAAAATAAACTAGTTTTTACCTAATATCTAAGCTTAAAAACTTTAATTTTGAGCATTTAGATATGTAAAATATCAAATCTTTAATGTCTTAATCTTGCAGTTGGTTTTGTCTAGTATTAAATAATAAACTTTTAAGCTAAAAGAGTTAATTACTACATTTATTATAGTTATCAAAAATTAAATTATTTGAGCTTTTAATTTATTTATCTATTAGTAAAAAACCATATTTTAAATAATAAAAATAATTTTTTATGCATACTGTAACTCTATTGTTAGCTATTTAATACTTGGTAAACGATTTAGACTCTACCCGAGATATTTTAAAGAGCTACCTATTCCTTCATTGTTTCTATAAAAACATTTCTTAATTAAATTTATGTATTTCATCAAATTTAATTCAAAAATACCCAAGAATTAATGTTAATAATTCCAATTTTTGAAGTTAAACAATTTGTTTTGATAACTTAGTCAATTCTTCAGATCCAAGTTAGTTAAGTCTATTTTTACATCAATATAAAATAAAAAAATAATAAACAATATATTATAAATCTTCTTAATTTAAAAACAAAAAATATTTTTATAGTAAAATTATATTAATTTAATTAAAATTTAACACTGAAAATAAAAGGGTTAGAGATTAATTTTATTTAAGGTTAAGCAGTATTCAAAATGTAATTTATGAGATACGTTTATAAAAATTAATTTAAATATTACTTTAATTAAAGGTATAGAATTTATAGATTTTCAAATAAACACACTTCTTTTAAAAGTTTAAAAAACCCTCTTTTTCCAATATTTCCATTTCTAAAATTATAAAAATTACTTAGCTGCTATCTTTTCTATCTAAAATAAAAGATATTGAATACTAAATTGATATTTTTAAACATAGAAGTGATTGGCACTGCCAAAATTCTTTAGCTAAAAGCGATTCATTTCCATTTTGAAGAGGAATTTCACTTTAAATAAATAAATAAAATATATTAAATGATTATATTTTTTTAAAAGAAAAATAACTCTTAAATAAATGTATATGATTGCAGATTCAAGCAAGTGGCTTCATAAACAAACTATTACACATATTCATCCTTATAACTAATTCTAAACTCCTTTTATTCTCTTAAAATAAAATAAATAAATATTTATATTTTTTAGCTTATTTACGTAAAATCTAATTGAAGATTTTTCAGATTTCTACATTGAGATATGAGCTGTTTAAATGAAGTAGATCCTCTTTCAGATATTTAATTTTAACTTTATAAATTTTAAAGAAATTAAAAAAAAATTCAACAAAATATGCATGTTAATTTACCTAAAATCTAAATTCAATAGCTCTAAACAATATGATTTTGAAATTCCTTTACCTAAAATTTCTATTTGCTTATCAGTTATACATCCTTTACTAAATTTACAAATAAATTTAAAATTGTTAAATTTATGAATAATTTAAACCTGAAATCGACTTTTAAATTTTATACAGTCCATCTAGAAATCTCTTTACTTATATTAACAAAAGCTCTATCCTTAAACTAGTTGTGTCTATTTAAAAATTTCATTTAATTTTCGAAACCAAATATAAAATTTACTTAAGGAATAGTGTTAAATTATTTAGATTCTAGCACTTTGATATTTCTGAACTGAGCTTAGAAATTCCTTCATCTTATATGAAGTTATTTATACTAATACAAGTTTAATCTTAATTAATTAAAATTTTCAAAATAAAGAAGCAAAAGCATACTTTAAATTAAGAATAAGTGTTGTTAGACTTTACAACTAAGATAAATATTATGCAATTGACAACAAACCTTAATCACCAATTTAATTTTGGCTATAAATTACATTTATTTATTTAAATTTTAAATTGTATATTTAAGTAAAAAAATTACCTAAGATTGATATTTAAATATTGAAGTTTTTAAAATTTTGGGATTTCTCTCATAACTTCTTAAGCTCCATGCTATTAAATGAAATTGTAGCTTTTTGATTAATTAAATTTTCATAATTGTAAATCAATTTAATTATTATAAAATGCTAGTAAGTAAGTTAGAGCTTTAAATCATATTGAGAAATATTAAATTATATTTTTAAGCAAATATTTACAAATATTTAAATTAATTATTTTATTTTAAATAAAATTATTTTGAATATAGTGTTTTATTACCAAAAATCAAGAGTTAAATATGTAAGCAAAAGACATTGAGTCATTCCTTACAATAGTTATTAAATTCCTTCAGAGTTAATTTTATTAAAGCTTTATAATTATAATAGTATTTGTGAATATAAAAAAATAAAAATATATGTTAACCTAATATCTATACTTAACTTAGTTAAGTTTGCACATTTTGATATTTCAGCTCCCAAGCTCATTAGCCCTTCATTATTTATTTTATTCCTCCTAATTTAGCTTGATTTTAGTTTTATATCAAAAAAGTAAAAATTACTTAAAATTAAGATTTAGCTAGTCTATTAGATGGATGCTTTAGCAGTTATACTTTGATATTAAAAAAGTAATTATTTTCAAGCATTTATTAAAAAAATCAACTTACTTTGCTTAAAAATTTAAAATCATTCCTTTTTTAAGAGGTTTGTTTTAACTAAGCAGTATTTCCCATTGTAAATTATAAAGAATAATAATTATTATAAATAATTTATTAAATGAATTTATTATACTAAAGTGGGATCCTTAAATTATCAAAAGTAAAAATATAAAATTCAAATACATTAACTTCTCTCCTTTAAGACCTCTTGTATTAAGTTAAAACTTCGAAAATAGGTACCTAACACTAAGAATTGTTATTCTTTTCTTTCTGTTGGGACCTTAAAAGAGTTTGTTTGTTGTGTTTAGATATCATTTTATAGAAGAAATTATTAGTTAATTTGAAAAATATATTTATTACAAAGTGAAGATATAAACATAATTAATATAATATAATTAATAAATTGGATATTTATGAAAAATTTATTATCACAATCTTATTGTGTTTGGGTTAATATTAGCACTTATGTTATTTGAAGGAGGGATATTGATTTAATTATCATAATCATTTTATTGTGCTTATTAGCCGTTTTATTCTAATATTTTCAAATCTTTTTCAAACTTAGCATCTTCTTTTGTTCTCTTAAGATCGATTTTCATTATTTTTACTAAGACTAAGGATGCAGCAAAAACACCCATATAGCAAATTAGCACAACCATACACATTCCTCTGTTTTCACCATCTAATAGAGTTGTGTAGATTCCACCGAATATAAATCCACATATCTAAGAGCTTCCTTACAGTAATCCACTTGACATTTCCTCAGGTACTGGATAAGCTTGCTCAGAAGCTAGTTCTAAAAATATAGGGAAAGCTTGCAAAGAACTTAAACCAATTATAACATATGGTAATAGGATCAAGTATACTTTCTCAGTAGGCAGCATTGCCATAGTTAAACCATACCCAATAATAGATCCTATTTATAAAAGTATAAGTTTAATATGTTAATAAGAAATAAATATAATATTTTAATTAATTTTTCAAATAAATAAAAATTACCTATTAAACCAATGAAAAGATATAATTTAAAATTAGGTTTATCTCTAAACATTTTGCCTCCAATACCACTACCAATCATTCCAGAAAAAACAATAACAATACCTGCGTAACTAGTTATGTCTGAACCAAAGCCAAAAGGTTTGAATATAAATGATATAGTTACACCACCAGCCATAAAAGATCCACTAAAAAATCCAAATGCTAGGAAATTAATAAGATATTATTTATTCTTAAATAAAGATTTAACAGATTATTTAAATGTGTCTCTTTTAGTTTCTGCAGTAAAGGAAGGAGGAGTAGGAGGCTTTTCTCTGAACATTAACAATCCAGGTATAGCGAGGGCAGAAGTAAGGTAAGCTTGAACTTTCATAAGCAAAAGTATTTTATCTTTTCCATCCTTGTATCCATCTAATTCATCTTAGTCTTCATTATAGTCCTTCATCCACAAGCCAGGCATTAAACTACCTCCCAAAATTGTAACTAAAGTTGTAACCATGACTATTTGAGTGATCATTTATCTATTTAAAATTATTTTTTAATTTTTGTTGATCAAATTATTTCTAGAAAAAGAGTTTATAAAATAATTTTCTTCAATTTCTTTGAATCATTAAAAAAGTTAAAAAAATAAATAAATTAATTTGGATTTTTTCATTTGAAGATAAAAATGCTAAATTTTATAAGAAAATAAATAAATAAATGAATTTATTAAAAAACAAACTTAAATTACCTTTTTTCAGTTCTAAACCAGACTAATCCTATTTTAGTAACTAAATTTTAATTAAAAGGATAACCAATTGCAAGAATAATATGAGCTCCTAAAACTATGAAATAATTTGTATTGATCAAAGTTCTAATCCACACAGCAACTAACATTAGGGTTGTAGATACCCACACACTAACTGTGAGTCCGAATTTTTCGATGAAGTAACCTATTGGAAAGGATAGAGGTAGATGCAATAAATGAAGAATAAGCATGTTCATAGCTACTACAATAGGAGGTACTCCATAAATATCTGCAACGATAGCGCTTATAGGATTGAAAACAGAAGTTGAGAGAGAATAAGTAGTTGTAATCAAAAGAAATCCAACCAAAACTACAAAGCGATAAGGATATTCTTTATATTCTTCCTATTAAACAGATGGAAGTCTATACGCATTGTCCTCTTGAATACTTCCCTTAGGATCTACAATTAAGTGATTCTATTTTTAAGTAATAGTGGAAGCTATTGATTAATTGGGATTCATTAAAAAAGGTTATTTGTTTTATTGAGCTAACTCGTCTGAGTTACCTTTTTATTCTTCTGGATTAGTCGTTTTTTAAAATTGCTAAATAATATTTTTTTTGAATCAAATGTCAGAAATAATTTTAGATAGAGAGTAGAATCCTATACTAAATATGTACTTTATTTTTGCTTTTTAACTAGCCTTTTATAAGATTGAGAAAATATAGTAAAAGCTTCGTTTGATTGTTGTGATTTTAAGTTTTTGTTTGTTAAAAATTATTTACATTAATAAGTGAAGGTAGATATATAGATTTAAAGAGTTTGATATTTTTGATTGCAATAAGTGATTGAAATAGATTCAAAAGGAATGTAAGATTTTATCAGCAAGCTTTAGTTGGACAAAATCAAATTTTAATTAAAAGCAAGTAACTTCTTCATTTTTTTGAAAATTTTCAGGTATATTTTATTCCTTTAATTAAGTAAGTGGGGTCAAATTCAATTTTTAATCAGGCTTTTAATTTGATAATTAAAAATTCTTTTTTGCAGCGACCTAATAATTTTTGTCTTTTCTAAAATTCAATTATTCAATTTTAAATATATTTTTTATTACTATGTAAAAAGAGTGTATATTCTAAACAATTTCTTATTTACAGCATCAAATAAGACGATTTTATAATAATATTTTAAATCTTTCTATTTTAAGATTTTTAAATTATATACAGATTTTATCCAATTTTAGAAGTTTTAAATACTTCTTTATAATTTCGATAATAAAATAAACTAAAATAACTCAAGTGAAATTAACCTATAATCTTTTAAAAAAATTATTTATCAATTTAAAGCTTTTTGCAAGCTTAATTGAAAAATTATATCATAATTCATAAGACTTTGCAAATGTATTTTTGATAAACTTACTTTTTGTTTGTTTGCCAATAATTATCAGATCTTATACGAATTCACTTGATGTTGTACATTTTTATTAATTGAAAAAAATTTTAAAGTAATTGATCAAATTTTTATACTAAAAATAGTTTAAAAATTAAGAACTTACAGTATTTTACTATTTTATTAAATAAATAACTCACTTTTAATTACTCTAAATCAAAATAAAAATGTTTTGCTATAATTTAAATGAGAAATAAAAGTTTAAAGTTTTAAATTAATATCGCTTTTTTGAACAATATTGTTTTTAAATTCTATTTAATATAATTTTTTATCGTTAGCATTTTAAAATTATTAATTTATAAAACTTTAAATAAATTAGTTTATTATTTACTTAGAATTAGCTTTGCTTTTTGCAAAAAAAAAATGTTTATTCTATCATTTTTAATTTTAAAAATTGTTTATTTAGCTTTTTAAAGTATCAAAAATTTTTGATTTAAATTTTTATTATCATTTGTTTGGTATTTTAAACAAATGAAATTAAATGCTAAAAATTGACAATAAACTCACTTTAAAATTTAAAAAAGAATATTTTTAAATTTTTAACTACTATTTTTTATTGTCGAATTCTTAATAACACCATAAGAGACTTAATTATCTATTTATAATTTAAAAAAAGAGATGACTAATTTGATTATTAAATAAATAATTATTCTTAAATTGTTAAATAGTTAAAATAAAATTTTTAGAGTATTTATTTGCTTTGATTTTTTTAAATTTTTTATTCATATAAAATATTTTTATTAAACCACTTAATATTCTTTTTATATAATTATAACAATTTTAAAATAATATGGGTATAATTATTAACGTTCGTTCTTGGCTCAGATTAACTAAAATTTAATACAAACAGAAGGTATTTTGAAAATAAGTTTGCTTTTGATTATTAAAATTTTCTCTTTATGAATTTTCTTATTTCAAATAATAACATAAATGATTTTTAAAATGATGAGGAAAATAGAAATAAATTTTACAAAATAAAATATAAATTTAATGATAGATTTTTGATATAATTTTGTAAATTAAATACAAAATAATAAAGATGATAGTATGCAAAAAATTAGTATCTTCATTTGAAGATTCAAATTATAAACAATATTTGAAGGAGAAGAAGATATTAACTAATTAATATTTAATTTAATTATGAAGATATTAATGAATGAATGATTAGAGAAGAAATTATTATTTATTTGTAAAATATTTTTTGTAGTATATTAATTATTATTTTTGAGTGATTTAGATTAATTATTGTTTTTTTGAATATTATTTTAATTATTATTTATTGGTCATCCATATTAATTATTATTGTTTCTATCTTAAAAATAAACTCAAAATGTCTTTGATAAAAACAAGAAAAGAATACAATCAACCCCACCAAACAGGACGAGAATATTAAGGATTGTAGTCGATTGAAACACTCTGCATCGAATTTCCGCTGTAGTTGTTATAGGGATTTTTAGAATTTTAATATAAATTAGCTATTCTTGCATAACTATTGATTTGATTTATAGAATTAACTCTGTTTCTTAGTGGATTAATGGAGTTCACTGGATTTGAATACCCTGTATCCTTTTTAGAAATTACAGATATAGTTGGAGAGTTTATTGACCTTGGTTGTTAATCATATCTATTATATTTTTAGGAGTAATCTTCATTGTAGTTACCACTTGAACCATTTTAATTAATTCGCTTTTTTGGCTGTATTTCCTGCAAGTAATTTCTGGAATCACTAACTATGGATGAAGAATTTTCATATCTGTTGCTACCTATTCTAGAATAAATATCATTTTAGCTACCTATAATATTGCTATTATTTTGTTATGCCTGTAACTAGCTGTTACTTATAGGTTCTAATATTTTTTATTATTATGATCTGGGAATTAAAGGTAAAACAACATCTTTTCCTTCCTACTCCAACATTAGTTGCTATTACTATTATAGGTATTAATGCTATTTATGGTTGGTTACAGATTATATCCTATTCATTTTTACAGACATATTCCTATTGTGGTTACGCTCCTTGCGTTGTATTTCTCCATCATATGAATTATTTAATATCTCTTTATCATATTAAGGCTTTGGGAGCTTTTCCTTAAGCTAACGAGGGTTTTTAGGCATTTTGATTGTGTTTAAAAGGTCTTCTGGGCTAAGGGTGTTTTCCTTATCTTATTACTCTTCAGGAGATTCTGCTAAAAATTAGGTATTACGCTTAAGAAGTACATTGTTTAAAAGCTAAGTAACAGAAGGACGTTATACACTACTAACCTAAAGGCATAATGCAATAAACTTCTACAAATCATTAGAATATCTTTATGGAATTCTCTCAAATATACCTTTCTATACTTTTTTATACAATCCTTCCATATCTTTAGCTCTAAATGGTGGATTAAGAGCTGCTAATTCGTATAAAATGCATCCAAATGACCAAATATCGCTTGAACTGTCATATGGTTCATCTCTCTAAAATAAAAAATATAGTTATTAATTTATTTGTATATTTAATTATTTTTCATCATAAAAAATAAGAGGATTTTTTTATTCTAGAATTAATTTATGATTAAATTTCTATTCAGTATATTTAAAAATTTCTTATGAATTAATTGATCTATGCTACCCTCAAAAATAAACTCTTTAAAATTTATCTTGCTTGATTTTAAAATTATAAATTTTTTTATATGTGCGTTGCTTCTCTTTAGTCCAAACAAATTAAGGAATTAATTAGCTTTTAGATTTGATAATGAGTTAAAATTTATAATTTTTTTTGTATTTGTTATTCTATAAAGGCAGCAATAATATATAACATTTCATTCATGAACGATTAAATCAAAGATTGACTGAAAAAAGAAACGCAATTAAGATAATATCTTAAAGAATCTCTTAAAATTTAAAAATTCTATTTTTAATAGCAAATTGAATGGAACGTAAAAAATAGAATCAAAGATTAAATAAGAGTTATTTTTGACAAAGTAGTTAATAAATCAATAGGAATTTGTTGTTTGTTTGTTAACTTGTTCTTTAATTCTATTTATCAAAACTATTACTAATTATTGCACTAAGATGTAAAATGAAATGTACCATCATTCATTTGGTAAGATAACCTTTCATTTATTTGCTTAATATATTTCCATTTTTTTTTTGAATGTTATTGGCTTGATAAAAATTAAAAACATACCAATCCTCTTCAAATATTTAAATCATGATTTGTATAAATTATTTTTTAAACTAAATTACCCAAACTTCAGGTGATGCGTAATAAGGAGTACCAGTTTAAGTGTATACTAGTCCTCTTTTGGCGACTTTTGAGACATTGAGATCACCAATTTTGTATTCATCTTGCTTGGAAATAAAGACATTTGCACACTTGAGGTCTCTGTGAAGAATCTTTTTGGAGTGCATAGCTTTCAAACCTCTTAACATATGCAACGCTACTGTCCAAATTTCTTCTTCTGGAACAAAGCTATTTCTTTTTTTTGCACTATCAATTTTTTTAGAAAGATCACCGTTGACGGCTAACTCCATAACAATGCAAAGTGAGTGAGAAGATTCATCAAAAAAGGCATCCTTATATGCAATCATGTTTGGATGAGCTATACTTGCTAATATTCTTATCTCATTAAGAGCGTTATCTTTCTCTTTTTCGCTTAAACCAGATAATTTAACCTTTTTGAGGGCGTATTCTTAGTTATCTGAGATCCTTCTTACTTTATGGACACTTGAGTAAGAGCCCTCACCTATCTTCTATAAATTCACAAAATCTTTCAAGGACATTTATTTACTTATATTACTTGCTTTAAATTAATCTATATTAAAATTATTATTAGTAAATTGACTTTGATTTTAACTAAAAAATGAATAGTTTCTTCAATTATTGCTATCAAAAAGATATTTTACATTTAAATATGATTCAGGTGTTAGCTTTTTTAGTTTTTTTGTTGCTTCAAATATGTTTATTGCTATTAAACTATAAAGAAATTAATGATTGATCCTCTCTTAGTTATTAATATTGATTATCCTTAGATTATCTTTTTATAAACTTATGTATTTATTATTGAAATTATCAATTTTTTTTTATATTAAAATTTTTCACTGATATTAATTATCCACTCATTCAATTCATTCATGTATGACTGCTTGTATACATAACATATTACTCTAAATAATTAAATTCGTAGTAGCCTTTCAAATTTTATATCAAAAAACAATATTTTAAATCATCCAAACAAAGTAAAATTGAATTTTAAAACAAACATAATCAAATTATAATTTTTTTTTCTTTCTAACGTGATTATTTCTTATATGTTATCTATTATTTGCCAATAAATCTATTTTTTATTTACCAATTCTCAAAACAAAATCACTTTAATTAAATTAATAGGACAAATCTCTATTATTTAGTTTAATTTTTTGATACTTTAGCTGTTATACAAATTATCTTTTAGATCAATCAACAGTAACAAAATTATAATTTTTTTATTGTCTCTTTTTATTTTTATTTATCAATCCTTTAAATTTAAAGCTTTCTATTCCAAAATACTATAGTTTATGTTTATGTTTATTAAACCTTAATAGTAATAATTAAGCAACTATTAAAATGTTTTTTATTTTAATAAACTTCCTTAAAATATTAATTTATAGCACTTCCAGTATTTATTAAATTCTTATGGATGTGCAAAAGTAAGAATTTAATTCCTGTATTTGTTATACATTAGATTAATTAAATACTTTTTATGATGAAATATTTATTTTATGATTTTTTATTATTACTAAATATGTGAGAATTTCAGATATTAAATTTTTAATATATAATATATTTTTATTTTATAATATTATATGCTTACTTCTTTTAAAAGAAAATTTTAATTATTTAATAAGATTTTATTTAAATTAGAATAAATTGTGAAAAATTCTTAATAAGAAGAGGAATCTTAGTAGCTTTTTAACATATTGAGAGAGAAATAACTCTTCTAAAAATTTTATTATTATTGGATTATTTTTATAAAATAATTAGAATTGAATCTAAATGATCTTTTTTTATTTAAAATTATATAGATTTTATGATAAAATAGAATGAAATTTATAGTATAAATTAAGTGAATTTATTTGTAGTTAAGATTTAATTGTTTTTAAATAGTAAATACAAATAAATTATCTTTTAAATTATTTAAATAATTTATTAAGTAAATAATAAAACTTTATTGACATTTTATTTTATTAATAGTTTTTTAAAAGAGAATATTTAGAGTGTAAAATAAACAATATAAAATTTGATAAAATAATTTAATAATATAATAATAAATTTATTAAAAATAAATATTTATTTTGATAGAAAAGTAAGAAAATACTTCATCCCAAATTTACAAGCCAAAAGTTATTAGAGTAATGTTCATACATTAGTGGGAAATTTCTATATCTTTAAGTCTCTCTCTAATTAAAAATATACTCAGCAAGCTTATTTTAATCATAAAAATACCTAACAGCAATTTATCCTTCTACAAATTAGTTTTATTATGTGTGATATTCCTATATAGACTCCTGTTGATTTAGCTTTAAAACAAGGAGTTCTATTTAGAGTTCTTGCAATTCTTTAACCATGCTTTTAAACATGAAGTTTATTTGGCAAATATTTTACTCATCTGTAATGTAAATGATATATTTTTTTCTCAAAGAACGTCTTACATCAGATGTATCTTAATCTTTTTCAATATATTTTTTAGATTTTTAGTGAATTTTTTTGTATTTCTAATTTAATTCATTATTTTAACAAAAAAAAGATGAAATACCTTTTCTTACTCCTTAATGAAAAAATTAATCTGGTTAAATTTATTGCTAATTATCTTAATTTTAAAAAATTCTTTTTTATCTCTCAATACTTTTTGAAAAATATTATGTGTGATATTTGTTTATTAAGTTTTTTTAATTATTTTAATCACTATTGTTTTCAATGAATTAGGTTTTGCTTCTTATCAATTAAAACTTTTATTTGCTTTAAATAGAAATATCAATTATTTTTTTTTATGAAACTTCTTCTGTTTGAGCTTATCTTGACTAAATTTAATTCTATTCAATTGCATCTGGTTTTTACTTAAAAGTTTATCTTCTTTAATTTTTTTGATAGAGATTGAAATCAAAAGAATTATCATCATGAATTAAATAATTTGTTTTTTTTAATTCTTCCTAGCTTATATCTAATTGGGATTCAGGTTATTTTTTTATATTTTAATTATGGATTATTTTTGAAGCTTTTATCCCTGATTTATTTACATTTTGTTCTATTTAATTTAAATTTGATTTAACACCTGTCAGATTTAAGTTTGATTAATCATTTTGATCTATTAAATTAATATTAGATTTTATATCTGTCAAATTTAAGTTAGACTATGGATCGTACAGCTCGTTCCCGTTTAGATTATTTTTTATTTATGGAGATGTCTAATAAAATTGAGGACTTAAATTTCTTTAGATCTAAGAAAAGCTCAATTCATCATCAGTTTATTTATTTTTGATATCTAAGCTATTTTAAGTTTTGCTATTTATGCTTGTTTTTTATTCCTTCTACAAATCTTCATAAATATTAAAATTAGAGTAGCTATTCATTTAATAATTATTGCGGGCATCAAGAATTTTATTGTATTTACTGATCTTTTAATCTAATTCTTGAGGACTTTCTTCTCCTAGGTTGGTTGTGTATTTTATTTCTGATAATTAAGAGCAATCTAAATTTATTTTTTCAATATCTTACTTCGATTTTATGTAAGAATATTGCTAAGTACCAGCTAAAAACTACCTAATATTTTAGTTTTCCAAATCCTATAAACTGCAGGGACCGTTTTTTTATTGAGCTTCGCTTTCGAAGGTTACAAATCTATTATTCGTAAATTGATCATAATCATTAACCAGGTGACTTTCATTAAATAAATCTATCTATTGTTGTTTATTATTGAATAAGCTAATTTCTAACTATTTTGTTTGATCTTGTTTTTATTCTCTATTTGTTTAAGAACGGTCTAAATTAGTAAAAGATTTTGCTCCCTTTTATTTTGTTTTGTTGAAATAATTTAGTTATAAAATATTTCTATCTTACATTTTTAATGCATCTTTGTTATAATTAGATTTTTCATCATTTTTGTATTAATCATTTAAATCTAATATGTTATTAAAGTTATTATCAAATAAGCAGGAGGAACTTAGTAAGTTAAATTATTGGGGGATATATGAGTTTAAGTGATCTAAATATTACTTTTAAGCCGATTTAATCTGCTAAATTGAAACCATAGAGATAATTTCATCAAAGGTTATCATTTAATTTTTACTTTATTAGCATATAAGACCAAATTAATCATTATTAGAAATATTTAGAATTTCATTCAAAAGGACATCAATTAGTATTCTAGTTTTTTTGAGTTAGCTTGTAATTTTACATGTTGAAATAACTCCAATAGAAAAGTCAATTTTAAAATCATAAATAATCTTCATTTATTATATTGGCTGAATCAATTTAGGTATTTTAAATGAAATCTTGTAAAGCATACTAAGCAAATAATATCTGAGTTATCTTGATACAAATTTTGTTTCTTCAAAATAATCAGTCATTATACCTATTGCTTCTTAAAAATTCCTTTCTGATTAGAAAATAAGACTTTAGGTATAAATTAGAAAACCACACAGTAGATCTGGAGTATACTCATACTTAGCTATTGAGTCTAAATCCAAAATCATTTGAAGTTATGATATTTTTATAGGTAAGTTATTTAAATTTATTTGCTGATTGATGTTCTTGATGTCTTCATTTACTTCACTTTTTTAGCTATCATAATTATGCTTGTTACTTAGTTAAATCGTTATGCTATTACTTAAATTGCTTAATTCTTTGGTTAAATTTTACTTTTTATTTATTTGTATGCTATTGTTTTTGCTAGGTTAGTCTTATATTTGTTGGCTTTCATTTTAATCTTTGTTGTTATTGAAGGAGTAATTTAATTCTTAATTATCGTTTCGGTAATTAGCATTGTTAAAATTTATTTGTTTATTATTTGGGATTTATTGATTTATTCCAGTTGTGCTGTAGACAGAATGCTATTGGAATCTGATATTATTTTAAATTGTTAATCTTGGAGCATCTCTTGTACTTAAAGAGTTGTTTTTTGCAATTTTTTATTCATACATATTAGTTTTGGAAATAGCTGAGTTTTAGAAAACCCCGTTGTTAACTTGTTGACTTTGGAATTCGTTTTGATAAAAGCTTGAACGATTATTTGAATAGACTGTGTTATTTTTAGATATTTACTTTTCCAAAACTGGGATATTTTCTAATTAATTGTTGTCTATTGAATTAATTTTTTTATTTTTTGAATCTTAATTATTTTATAAATCAGGGAATTATTGATGATATCTATTTTCTTAAACTGATAAAGGCTAAAGTTTTTAATCATTATTTTAAATAGAATTAACTCTGGTATTTATCTGATTTTTTGTTGAGTTAATCTATATAGTTGTATTCTACCTTCTATTTTCAGGGGAATGCGAACTCCTTTAGTGAGATTTCTATTGCTAATAATATTACCTTTTACTCATATTTTCCAATTTAGGATGTATTTATTGATTCATTAAATAATTGTCCTTATTGTAGAGGTATTTCAGTCCATTATAATACTGATCAAGTACATAATACACATTCGAATAAATATCTGTATATTCAAATTTGTTAAATTTCCATTATCTTACATTAAAAAATTATTTCTAATATTTCTTTTTGTGTAATAATTCTTCTAAGCTCTCTTATGAAAAGATACTAGATAATTAATTATTATTATGATCATTCAATTTTTAATTATTTTTTTATTCCTATTTATTATCATTTATGTATTAATCGTTAAATTAAAATAAGGTCTCTCTATTTATTTTTTGTAAAAATGTCATATTTTTCTTTATTTTTTTTTGATGACCTTGATAAACTTAATTTTTGAATGTATTTTATCTTTAATCTTTCTAAAAAATTTCTATCTTATCAAGAATATTATTAGAAATATCATAGAATATATTTAAATTTTCTTTTTGTTTCTCTTTAGATAGTGAGACGTCATTTATCAAAATGAGAAAGGAAATATAATAAAAATTAACAATAAATGTGCATTCCTTCTTGTTATTCAAGTATTTCCTATTTATTTCAAGCAATTCTTCAAAATAGCAAGAAATTCCATCCCAAATGTACTCTTTGTTGAAATTGTAAAAAAGAAAATATTGTAAAAGAGCTTTGGTCAGATTAAATTTTCTATTAAATAGATTCCAAAATAGTTCCTCTTTATCTTCATGAACTTCTTTTTTTTCAGTTTTTTCTGATTTATAATTATTATTGAAACTTGATGGGAAGTATGTGCTTTTTTGCCTATTATTTTTAGTCGGTAAAAAACTGTTATTTTGTTGGTTTTTTGAGTCAAACGAGTCATTTTAAATTTTCTACTTCACCACCTAAGGTTAATTAAATTCATTTTTAACTTTGTTTTTTTAACATGAAGATTCGTACAAATTGCTATGACTATTCAGCTAATTGCTATTCACATTTTAAGTTTCGACTTTCAAAAAGTTGTTTTCAAAATTTAACTTATTTTAATCATTATTATCATGCTTTTGTGTCCATGCTTCTAATTCATTTTTTGATTTAACGTGCTACTGAACGGATTTGATAGTCTAAATACTTTTTCTCTAGGTCACACTGTTTCTTTTATTATTTTAATTCAATATTTAACTAAATTTATCATTTGAATTTTTGTAGAAAAACTTGGAAATTTTATCTAGAACTCTACATAAAATAGATTAATTTTTCTTTTCAGATTAATTTCCTTTAATTAAAGTATTTTGGGTTTTTAAGTTGTATTTTTTCTTCTCTTTTTTGCTCATACTTTCCTCGTAAAAGGATAATTCATAATTAGAGCAAATAATAGCTTTTTAATAACATTCAACTGCCTCCTTAAATCTTCTATTATTAAGGTGAATATTTCCCATATTATTGTGCAATACTCCAAGAGCTCGATAATTATTAAACCTATTAAAGTGGTAGGCTTACTAATTCAGCTTAAGCAAAGTTGAGCAACCTTCATCATTTACATCAAAAAAATTTTATAAGGTAAAATTAAGAGTCTGAAATAAACTTTGAAAACTCATAAATAGAATTTTCATGTCTTCTGCATGAAAAAAAAATTCTTTTTTCTTTTTATAATTACTATGGTTACTTTATGAGTCCATTTCATCTAAATTTTCATTCCTCTCATAATCTTCTTCTTATTCATCATCTTAATTTTGAGACGACATCTCTCTATCAAGGTGAAATATTTGATCTAATTAGAACATCTGCATGACCTTTGGATTAAGTTTCTTTTCATCGAATTTAATCATTTCCAATATTTTAGTTAAATGTTCTATAGGTGTGTCAATTAAGTTCCCTAAAAAGCAAGAGTAGTAAGCAAATACAAACAAAAATATAGTAAAAACACAATAAATTATTATACTTATAGGTAATAGCTACTGATCTAATTCATTAGTTAGCTCAATTTATTTTTTTGTAAGTAAATTTTTTTATAATATTTCTATAAATAAATAAACGTTTTTTATTTTATATTTAATTGTTCCGTCTTATTTTGATTTATCATTTGCCATATAACTGTCTTGAGGTCTTGATTGAGGATAAATTATTGATTTATCCACAGATCTAATAACATTTAAGATTACATAATATTCATTTTATTAATATTGGTATTCGAATGTTTTTTAGAATTAACTTTCATCAAAAAGCTCAGTCAAAGTAATTTAATCTTTCAATTCTGAATGAAAAATTAGATACCTTGACTTAATTTCATTTATCAAATTATTTAAGAAATCAGCCTAAACTTAATTTAAATAATCTTCCATTCCATGAACTTAGCTTAAATTTCCAGAATTCAGAAAGTAATTTGTTTAATTTTACAATCCTGAATGGTAGACTAATCCATAAGTTTCTGGATTAACTGTTATAAAAGTAGATTGACTCATTAAATATTCATTGAAAAAGTTAAATACTTGCAATAAATTTATTGTTAAACACAAAACAGACTAAATTTATTTATTATACAAATTTCTTTTGCAAAGGACGCTAGCAAAATAGGGGTATTTTTAATCATCATAGAATAACAAAGGAGGGAAAACCTTTAAAAAGGGATCATTAAATGTCTATTTATACCAAAATTGACACCTGGTATCAGGCTTGTAAATTCCAGGCTCGCAGCTTTGATCTTAATTAAGTTAACTATAAGTTGTATTTGTACTAGTTTAATAAAGCATTCCATCTAATTAAAATCCAAATATGATATCTTAAAATTTTATTTTTTAATCATTTCCTTATCTCTATTAATTATTTTCGAATTGTATTGACTTTATGAGTGGATCTAGATGTGTTATGTCTTTTAATTATTATCTAGATTTTTAGTTTAAGTATTACAGTTAAGTAATATTCTTGTGGTTCCTATTTATTTTAATATATAAAATTAGAAAAAATAAAACATATTGCTATAAAATAAATTTTAATTTTATTCAACTTGAATCATATTTTCTTAAATAATCCTTTTTTTTTATTTCTTTTTGATTAGATTATAAACTCTATTTATACTTTTATAATCAGCCACTATTAAATTAGTTATTGGTTAATTTTGCTGTATTTGTATTAAAAAAATAGACTTTTATACTTTAATTATTGTAAACAAAAAATTGAAATTTAGCTAACATACTCTGCAAGTAATTTGCATATTTGCACAATCAAAAGCAAAATAAAGGAATAAATAAATAAACAAATAATATTAATGAATACAAACAGCTTACCAACTGGAGGTGAGTATTTTGTTTTATAGATATAATTTGATTGTTTCTAAATTTTCTAAATCTCTAAAAGTTCTTTGAATGTTTAGTAAGGCTGGTCTGTATCTACCATCAAAAATTTCCTACCCATCAAGTGTTTTCTTATAAAAAGCTAACATAAGATTTATTTCCCAATACTTTTACTATATTTGATTGTTAAACTGTGTTATAATTGCACCATTTTACTTCTTTGAGAACATTTTTTACTACTAATAAAGGTTGTTGCCAAACTCTTGTATGAGGGAGTCACTAAATTGCTTTAAAATATATCTAGATAGGATAGTGAAGATAATTTATATTAACATGGGAATAAAAGTAATCATAAAAATCTGAAAAAAAGTCCTTCTGAATAATGAAATATCTCGATTCATCCTGCTTTAAGTTATTTAATTTGATTCCTGGCTTATTTATTATTACATTATAAAACCTGCTTTCTAATCTTCACTTAATCCTCTATCTAGCTCCTTTTCAAAGCATTATTACATTATATTTATTCAAAATTTAGCGAATATATAAAAACTAAATAATACTTATTTAAATTTTTTTACCTTTAATTCTTTTGATTACCCTAAAAACAATCAATGATCACTTCAACTATAGTAATCAGCTGTATACATCTTATCTATCCTTCTTCATACTAAACTATTACTATTATTTTTTTAAATAGATATCAATTTTTTTGTCACCAATGCTCTACTATTTCCTAATATTATAAATTACTCAAGCCATGTGTGAGCTAGAGATAATTTTGCTTTACAATTCTATTTTATTGATTAATTTACTTACTGTAAATTCCTTTAAACACTACCTCTATATAAATATTCTATATTTAATTTATTGCTAAACACTAAGGCTCTCTACCATTTATATAATCTGGAGGGGATTACAGGCCTCTATTAATGTGGATTGATAGTTTATTTTTTCTATTCATTAAATATCAACCAAAATAAAGATAAATACTTATATAGAAATTGATTGAAATAAAGAAATTTAGCTTACTTACTTACAAACAATCTAATCGATTTTTAAGAGCCTTCATATTTTATCATTGCATAATAAACTTGAACATATCAAAAAAATTTTCAGTAGCTAAATCTAACGAAAATATTCTAGCTTTTAAAAATCAATAACCAAATTTTTTAAATAAAATTTTATTTAAAATTTATAAAAATAAATAAAATATTTTCAAAGATATGAAATCTCATTATGAATATTCGACAACACAAGAATTTTAATTATTAATACTTATTTTTTTCATCTTAAATGAGTAATCAATCTTTTTATGAAAAATATTTTATTTATTTTTTCAAAGTTTTTTTAAAAAATAAATTTAATTTAATATTTTAGTTTTATTTTGGAAATTTAAAAAAAAAAATAAAAAAATAAAAAGCTCCGAGACCGGGAATTGAACCCGGGTCTCCTGCGTGACAGGCAGGAATACTAACCACTATACTATCTCGGATTTTACAAAACTTTATACTTTTTATCATTAGATTAATTATGATAAGCTTTTTAGCAAGGATATGCATTGTCTTAATATTTTGAAATGTAAGATTTAAGTGTAAGTAAATCAAATCGTTAATAAAAATATTAAAATCTTTTTTTATATTTGCTTATACAATATTATTGTCAATTATTTATTTATCTAGCCAATTATCATTAACTAGAATTTAATAGATTTTTTAGTATATAAATTCATTGTTTTTATTATATTTCTTAATATTAAATTTATAAATTTTTATTTGATAGAAGAAATAGTTTAACAGAATGATAGGCACACATCATTGTAAAAATACTATAAAGAACTATTAAAAACTGCTAAATATTTAAGTGAAAATATTTTTTTGCTCATCCAATCTTGGTAACTTTTAGAAATATTAAATATTTTTAATGTTTAGCTCTAAATAAACCTATTATACACTATTATCATCTTTAATTATTATTTGAGTGCAAATTATGAGGCAATTATATCATTTATAGTCAAGAATTTAACTCAATTTTATTATAATAAATCTAATTATATTGTAAAACGTTTTAAAAATATTAATAATCACTGTTCAAAACTAGCAATAAAACGGTGAAAGGAATTTAAAAAACATAATTAATAGACTCATTAGGGAAAATTAATTTCTGAATCAATCTTTTTTTAAATTGATTATTTGATTGGTATCTTTAAGTAATTAAAAAATTAAAAAATAAATAAATAAAAAAGAATCTTATAAGAATAAAGAAAAAATGAAATTAATTTAATAAAGTTTAGACAGTTAGATTAATAATTTAATGTAAGAAATGTATTATCAAATTTAATTTGATAAAAATTAGTAATCCTCCATAATATCTTAATGCTAAAGATAGAACTTATTGAATTCAATCAACAAAAAAGAAATATCAAGATCGATAAGATTATTTAATAGTAATACAGAGTCTTCTAGAAAAGGTTTTAAACTTTTGGGAGGTGGTGGTTGTTGCAGCAAAAATAATGAGCCTTAATTTGGAAATATAGGCATAAATTTTGAGGAAGTAAAAGAGAATAAAAAATAAAATGAAATAGATCCTAAATTCAACAAGTTTTATAAAAGTTAAGTAGAAAACTTATCACATATTTAATCTATAGTTGAAAAGAATGAACAAGTCTCTGAGATCATCAAGGTTTGTGAAAGTGGTCTTATTAGATCAAAAGATCTATTTACTATTAATGTTCACATGTACAGGGCAAGTGCTATTTAAATCTTTAACCTGTGTTTATAGTATATTATTACAGGAGCTTAGAGCATAGATAAAGATGACTAAAATCTAATATTCAAAAAATTAGACGCGTTTATTCAGCATGTTAAATAAAACGTTGAATTATTTCCATGCTAAGATTTAGAATTCATTTACTAATTCTTAATGGATATTAATCAAGAAGATTTTGATTATAGCAATGAAAGTCAAAAGCAACTTTAAATTGTGTCATAGTTTGTCACAATTAATATTTAAAAAAGAGGCAAACTGACTTTTCCATTGTTAGTGAATGATTCATCCCAAATAAATAATAATTAAGGATAGGATTTAATTCAATTTTTACAAGATATAGCTTTTAAGTAGTCAGATAGCTTAGAGAATATTTGGTAAATTGTTGATAGGGCTCATTAGAAGGTAAAATCATTTACTAAAGACGCAATTGTTAGATAAATAGTAGCTATTTGGGCTTTAAAAGTTAGTAAATTAGGACAAAATAGCACTGACAGTCAGGATCTCTTATTTTTCATTAACCAATTTATTGAATTGTCTATGAATGGTAAATCAAGCTACTTAGTTCTCTATATTCTAACTCAGGTCAATTATATTTTAGAGAAAAATATTTAAAATGCTTAATTTACTAAAGATTTAATCTAATATTTTCTAGTTGACTAAAAATTTAGCTATTTCATTCAATTGCTTAAACAGGAGTCTGATAAAAAATAAACAGCTACTGAAAGTTTCCTTCTCTTTTTCAAATTTACTGTGACAGATATAACTTACAGATTCCTTTCTAATTAAATCTTGTTGAACATCTACAATTCTGTTATCTAAGAGCTGCTCAATTAAAATGATTAGCTACTTATCCATCTAATATATTCCTATGCAACTGAAAAAAATGAAAGGGTGAAACTTTTATTTTAGGCTAACAAAAAATTCGTCAATTATGTTAAGAAGATGACTTCCTCAGATACAAAAAACATAGCAGAAATAGTCATGAGTTATTAAAAGAAGAGAAAAGAGGAATTTTAAAAAAATAAATTATCTAAATAAGAAATAGAATAAATAGAAGACAATATCAAAGATGAGAGTGATTTTATTGAAAAAATCACACTTAAATTGATAGAAAAGTGGGAATTAGAAGCAAGGCAAAGACTAGAAAAGAACATATCTCAAAAAGATGATATATTGCTAGAGGTTTAAGATCTTTATATTGATTAGAATATTGAATATCTAACAGGAAATGACATATTTAATGAAAAAGATAAAAAAGTAGAATTTTCTTTAGATAAGGATAATAAGCAAAACAAATTGAATGCTGTAGATCTTATAATGAAGTACTTTTTGCTTCCAAATTAATTAGAAGCTTAAAACTAAAACAATCCTTAAACTTAAGCAAATAAGTGCAAAATTATAGGTATTTTAGCAGAAGGAGGTACTGGAAAGTCTATGCTTTTTAAAAGAGTAGAAACCCTCCTCATGAAAGATAAAAACTAAAATTTCTATACATCTAATGAAAAGTTGAATTACATAACACTGTTAGTTAAGTGCAATAACCTAGACTCAAAAAATCCTTCTTTAGATGACTATTTGATCAGTTAAGGTTTAGATCAGAATTAGATAAAATAATTGAAGAAAATGCAAAGAAATAAGCTTATTTTGTTAGACGGTTATGATGAATATACAGGAAATTATTTTAAGGTGTATTAAAAGCTTGGCTTGTAAGACTGGACGAATACTCTTGTAATTGTTTCATCAAGAATCGAAAAGTTTTCACAGTCAGATGCAGTTGCTTACTTTAGCATTGAAGACCAATATGGATCTAGGGATAATAACTCCTATTGTATTGCAAAACTTAAAGAATTTGAAAGAAAGGATATTGATGAGTACTGCAAAAAGTTTTATTAGAAACAAAGCAATTTAAATTAATAAATTGAGCTTAAAGAAGGATAGTTTTTAAATATGATGAAATCATGTTTAAATAGTTAGCAACTAGAAAATTTACTCCTTCTACCAATAAATTTGTATTTGTTTACGAGAATGGTCATTAACAAACAAGAATAGGAATTAGAAGATCTAATCAAGGATATTTAAGATTAAATTTAAATCTAAGATATTTTCTTTGCTGAATAATTTAACAGAGAATCTCTTGATTTTATGGTTTAAATAAATGAGAATTTATCTAATAAATAGTTAAAAGAATAAATCAATTCGTCTTATTTTTAATATTTCTAAACATTGGCTTTGTAAATGTTCTTAAATAAGAGTTTTAAATCAAACTTTTTACAATTGAATAGAGAAGAGGTAGTGTTTGAACTAAATGATTAGATTAAAAAAATGCTAAAAAAAGAAGATTAGCAGAAATTAAAGGATAAAATATAGAATTATGTGAATACTAAAATAATTACTAAAGTCAAAGACTTATAGGAGGAATAAGAAGAAGAGTAATAAGCCTTTAGCTAAAAAATCCTTGAATTTAAGCATAAATCTCTTTTTGAATATTTTGTTGCCAAAGCTTTTAAATATGATTTTGATGTGCACAAAGAAGATATTCATAAAATGAGTTTATAGGAGTTATCTAAATTTAAAATAAATTAAAAAATTATTATGAACCCAGGAATAAACTAATCTGAGCAGCAGATACTAGTAAAGCTTTATAAATTGTTAAAAAAAGATATTGACTCTGACTATTTTAGAACAAGCTATCAATCAGAGGATATTTCATAAAATAATAGATACATTTAATATCTTAGAAAATCAAGCATATCTAAACCTTCAGATGTGAGCTAAATAGATATCGGAGCTTCAAACCTTCTCTCAGCTTTGTTTGTAAGTAAATACGCTTATGAAGGTCTCAAGTTAACCAAGTGCTCCTTTTCTTAAGCCTACATTCCATATCATAAAAGTGATGATATAGTTTTCGACTCATGTAATTTCAACAATGCCTATTTAGAATCATAAAATTTAGGCAGTTTCGAAACATGCTTCATGAATAACTCAATGTTTTAATCATTTAAAAAAGAATTCGATCTTGGGGATATGTACTTATCTAATGGGGTTGAATTCTATTAAAATAGTTTAATTTCTATTTCAAGAAGTGGATTTATCAATAGTTTTTCAATTGAAAATAGTGAAATTTTATAATAAAAAAGAATCTCATGTTTACCTTTATAGAAAATTTTGCTATAAAAAGATAAATTAATTGCAGCAAGCTAAACTTGTTTATTTGAAATAAATCCAGTTAATTTGGAAGTATTTAATTCAACTGGCTTTATTGATAAAATAGAAAGATTACAAGCTTAAGAAAATTTATGTTTAGTCACCCTATCAAATGAAGAGAATTTCATAGGAAATTTTTAAACAGGATTTAAGCAATTAGATTTACAAGGAAAGAATCCTATTTTTTCAAAGAATTAAATAATCACCAATAATTAAAATTAATTATTTATTTATGACCTCTAAAATTATTAATTGCAAAAATAAATTAATATTGACAGTTTTGAAAAAGCTATTTCAAGTATGGATGGAAAGACGCTAATTCTAATCTAAGATAAAACATTCCAAGTTTGGAAGTCCGAAGCAGGTGATTTAAAATTAATTAGAAATGTGGAAGGACATACTTAAAAAATTCTTTCTTTTGAATTCTCCTAAAACAGCAAATTCTTTGTTTCTTGCTCATCAGCTGAATATATAATATGGGATATATCTAAGGACTTTGAAATAATCAAGTAAAAAGAATAAAAAGGTATCTAAAATGTTAAATTCTCATCCGACAACAAGTATTTAGCAATTTCATTAGCTTTAAAGCAGATAATAATGAGTATTGAAAATAATTTTAGTGAATTGAACAATATAAAAGGTCATGAAGGTATAATTCCTATTCTTAATTTTTCTCATAATGATAAATATTTAGCTACTTGCTCATCTGATAAAACTTTTAAAATCTGGGATACCTCATAAAATTACAAATTAATTAAATCAATTTAAGGACATTAATAACCTATAAAGTCAATAATTTTTTCTCCCAACGATAAACTACTGGTTACAATTGATGATAATACATGTAAAATCTGGAACTTTGAAAAAGAAATGTAACTTATACAAGAATAAGTTTTTGAAGATAATATTGACTCAGTTGCATTCTCTCCAGATGGAGCTTTATTAGTGATAGCCACTATAGGAATTTATGAATTAAACTGCAACATTTATAAAACAGAAAAACTCGATCTGTTACATAAAAAGCTCACATAGGAATGCGATTAAGAAGGTGGACTATCAAATTTTTTTAAATAAAATTAAAATTTAATTATAAACTAATTTCAATTTCTTTATTTTTAATCAGACCAATCACTTTTCAGTCTATTTTAACTTAGTTTAAAAAGTTTTTATACAGAATATTTTCGTCAATTAAGGAACAGTTTAATTTATTTTGGACTTTTTTGAGTGGTATTTCAATTAAGGACTAAATTTTTAAAAGAATTTTGATTTGATTTTGTACTTAATTAACGAGAAACTACTCTAATTAAAAAACTTGCCAACTTATTTTTATTTTTAGAATTTTTTTAAAAATTATCTTTTGATAGAAATTATTTTTAATTTATAAAATTTTATTTATTTTGAAAATTCTTTTGAATTTAGATGAAAAATTTTTTATCATTTCTTGATTTAATTTAAAATATTCTCTAAAATTTATAGATGCTAGTGTTGACCATCTAAAGGTAGCCTTTTCTTATGACGGAAGATACTTAGCTGCTTCATCTGCTTACTCACCATGTGCAGTTTTTGATGTTAAAAATGATTTTTAGATTTTAGATGGAATTCAAATTGATGGAGGGAATGCTTCATCATTAGCTTTTTCACCTGATGGAAAATATTTAGCTGTAGGTCAAGGAGAAGAAGATTGTTTAATTTTGAAAGTTTAATAAAATTTCGAATTGCTAAAAATTGTACAAAATTCTAATGCTTCCAATCTTTCTTTTTCTGCTGATAGTCGCTACTTAATTACAGCATCTCAAAATATAAACTGTAAGATTTGGAGCGTAGAAAAGGATTTCGAAATGATTAATAAAATTGATCTCAAAGTTAGAAATGGTACATTTAAGTCTGATAATAAATACTTTGCAACTTCTTGTTCAGACGGAACATTTTAAATTTGGAATATTAGTGTAAGATTCGAAAGAATAAATTCTATCTAAGGTCATGTAGGAAAAATTTATTAAGCGGTATTTTCTCCTGATAATAAATATTTAGCTACTGCTTCTAGTGACATGACATGCAAAATTTGGAATGTTGAAAACAGCTTTGAGCTATTATACACCTTAATAGGCCATTAACAAGAAGTATACTCAGTTTCATTTTCATCTGATGGATAACTTCTTGCTACAGCTTCTGATGATAAAGTTTACAATATTTGGAATGTAAAAAATAGCTTTTAACTGATTTAAACTTTATAGAATACTAAAAATGAAGATCTTGACGCCATTTCTTAACTACAAGAAAGAAAAGTTATTTATTTAAATACGAGTGATAAGAGTATTAAAATACCTTAACAGGGAGAACCAACGAGAAAACCATATAATATATTTGGAAAGGGTTTTTTTATCAATACATTTTAACATTAAACTAATGATTTTTCAAAAAACTCTAAATATTTTGCCACTAAATCAGCACATGAATTAGTTATATATAATAGAGATAATAACTTTGAAATATATAGAGTTATATTTATATATGGAGGAATGTTGGAGTAGTTTGCTTTCTCAGCTAATAGTAAATATTTTGCAGTTGCAACTAGCTACCTTGATATAATAATATGGGATCTATCCAATAACTTCTCATTAGTAAAAAAATTATCAGATAATTTGCTTAGGTTCTTAAAAATTGACTTCTCTAATGATGGACAGTTTTTTATTTCAGCATTTGAAGATGGATCTCTCAAACTATGGAATCCTTAAAAAGACTTTGAGCCTATTACTACGATCAAAGGTATTTATTTATTTATTTGTTTATTTATCAATTCATTCATTTATTTATTATTATTTGCATTTTAAATATAAATTTATAAATTTCTTTAAATTAAAGCACATGACAAGCTACTTTCTTGCCTAACATTCACTTCAGACTCAAAATATTTATTCACAGTATCTTAAGATAAAACTTGTAAAATTTGGGATACCTAAAATGGCTTTTCTCTTATTAATACAATTAACAACCGTAGTATACCTATGTAATTTGTATCTTCGTCAAATAATGGAGTGTATCTTGCAACTTCAGATTTATAATCATGCAAGATTTGGAACATTTTAAAAGGAATCGAGTAAACAAAGGCCTTAAAAAGTAAAGATAAAATTGAAAACAAACAACTTGAAAGTTGTTTTAGATTGTAATATGAAGTTTGAAAGTTTTTATTATGAAAATTTTAAATTAATTTACAATAGAAACTATAAATAGTTTAAATACAAATTAATTATTATATGAAATAATTATTAAATCAAACATTATTTATATTTTTACTATGTAACTTTGATTTTATCTGATATGTGTTTCATGACAAAGATTTATAAAAAATAAATAAAAAAAAGAATAACTAAAAAATATTTTAAGTTTAATTTCAATTATTTCAGCATTTTTAATAAAATTTTTTATTTTTAACAATTTAAAATGATATAAAATATTTCATGAAATCATTTTTTATTTGCTAATTCTTTCATAGACTAGATTATAAATTAATTTTATTAATTTTTTATAAATTTAGAAAAAGTGATCTTTTCTTACATAAATTATTTCCAACTGTTCATAACAAACATGTTTTTATACAAAAAATTTCTTTGATAAAATCTTCTATATTGATTTGTAGGAATTACAATTTGTTTTAGTGATCTCTGAAATTTTAAAACTGTAACTAAGATCAATAATTTCTAATAGTTAAATTTATATATTTACAGAAAATTTTATTAATTTACTAATTAGCCTCTTATCAATGAATTTTAAATCTTTCATTTATATCTTTTATTAAATAGGTCTCATTTGCTTTCATTCTTATTTATTTTGAATTATCTATAAATATTTTAAAACAAAAAGAATAAAAAAATAAAAGTTGATGTAAAAAAAAATTAACTTTATCTAAATAGCTTTGACTTTGATTATTCTCTCAATTTCATTGAGACAAGTTTTTTCTACTCCTCTTTGGTCAGTTGAAAAGGCAAATGATTGGTATAATAAAATAGGATGGAGAGTAGGATGTAATTTTATTCCTTCCACTGCTGTCAATTAGCTTGAAATGTGGTAGGAAGAAACTTTTGATCCTTAAACTATTTAAAAGGAACTTTAACTAGCAAACAGCATTGGCTTTAATACAGTTAGAGTATTTTTGCATTATCTAGCTTGGGGAGAAGATAAAACTGGCTTTAAAAGTAGGATGAACACATTCTTAAATATTACTGAGTAATTTAACATAAAAACAATTTTTGTTTTATTTGATGATTGTTGGAAGAATGATCCTCACATTGGCTAACAACCAGCTCCTATACCAGGTGTTCATAATAGTTAGTGGGTTTAATGTCCAGGAACATCTCAGCCGGTTTATGGCAGTTACAAGGAGTATGTTTAAGATATACTTAATGAATTTGCTGATGACAATAGAGTTTTATTCTGGGATTTGTATAATGAGCCTGGTAATTCTAACCATAATGAAAGCAGATTGAGTTTATTACAAGATGTATTTAAATACGCTAGAGAAGTGAATATCTCACAACCAGTTACTGCTGGAATTTGGAATTTCTTTAAAAAGTTGAATTCCTTTTAAATAGAAAATTCTGATATTATTACTTTCCATTTGTATTCTTTACCTCAAGTACTTGAGATTGAAATCAAAAACCTTAAAAAGCATGGCAGACCTATCATTTGTACAGAATATATGGCCAGAACTATTGGATCTACTTTTAAAAATTCATTACCAATCTTTAAAAAGCATAATGTTGGTGCTATAAATTGGGGGTTAGTTTTTGGTAAAACATAAACTGTTTTTCCTTGGAAATCACCAGAAGGAGCTCCTATCCCTAAAGTTTGGTTCCATGATATCTTTTGGAAAAATTCAACTTGCTTCTCATAGGATGAATGCTCATTTATCAAAAATATTACTTCTAATTAGTATACAGAAACAGTATGAAGACAGAAAAATATATATTTATAAAGTAGATTATTTATTTTTAAAATTTGTAGAAACTAATTGAAAAAAATGACTTATATCTATTTATTTTTATACTTTTAATTAAAATAAAATTAATTTTATTTTTTCAAATTTAAATTTTTTTTATTTTAATAAATATTTTTTTTTATCTTGCATTAACTCTCAAATATAATTTTCTAAAGTTAATTGGAGGTAAATTTTAAGTAAATTGAACATAAATCTAAAATTCTGGTATGGGATTATAAAAATTTTGCTATAAACAATGAGTATCACATTTATTTTTTTTATAAATTTTAAAAAAATTAATGTTATTTATGAATTTAATTAAACAAAACAATTTTTCAGAAAAATTAAAAAATTTTTTTTGTTAGTTTTTTATATTTTTACTCTATATACCTTCAATACATAATCTATTGTAAATACTAATAGTTGATTTATAATATCTATGGCAGACACAAGGAGTGAAAAACCTTTAAATTATACAGTACCTATAAATTACAGAGAATTTATTTATGGCCATAAATACTGACTGGATCTGCTTTCGAAAATTTACTGTAATCTTAAAAAGCTGCAATATTTGTGCAATAAATTAGGAATTTTTTTTGGTAAAAGATAAAATGTTTTCCCTTGAAATCAAAAAAGCAACTAATATTCCTAAAATTTAGCTCATGAAATTTTTGGAAAAATTCAACTTATTACTCAAAGAAAAAATATTATTTATCAAAAGTATTTCATCAAATAAGTATTAAAACTAAAACAGTTTAAAAAAATAAATAAAGTGAAAAAATCAAAAAAATAAATAAATAAAGGAAAAATATTTTAATATTTTTTATTAATAAAAAGATTTGGCTTAAACTTTTTAAAATTTAGTTAAAAAAAAGCAATTCTTCTTTAAGCCAACTTAAATATATTTATTTTTGTGAAGTCTGTAATAATTGTTTGATTGATTGACACAATTTGCGTCATTTGCTTATTAAATTATGTGCATTTCACATTTAAAAATGTGTAAACTATTAACATCTAAATATTATATAAAATCAATAGCGTTTTAAACAAGATTATTTATTTAATCAATTTTGTTTTTAATTAGAAAGCGAAAAATATTTGAATAGAAATACTTAAAAATAAATGAGAAAATTTGTTAAAAATTTAAATACCTTTATAGTTATTTTCTCTATTTTCTTATTCACAGTACATTCAACTCCTCTTTGGTCTGCTGAGAAAGCTAACAGTTGGTATAAAAGTATTGGATGGAGAGTAGGATGCAATTTTATTCCATCAACAGCTGTTAATTAGCTTGAAATGTGGCAAGCTGAATCTTTTGACCCAACTACAATAGAAAAGGAATTGTCATAAGCTAGTAGTATTGGATTTAATACTATAAGAGTATTTTTGCACTACTTAGCTTGGGGAGAAGATAAAAGTGGTTTTAAATAGAGAATGCATACATTCTTAAATATTACTGAGCAGTTCAATATCAAAACAACTTTTGTTTTGTTTGATGACTGCTGGAATAATGACCCTCACGTTGGTTAACAACCAGCTCCTATTCCTGGTGTTCATAATAGTCAATGGGTTTAATGTCCTGGAGTTTCTTAGCCAGTTTATGGTGATTATTAGGAGTATGTTTAGGATATTCTTACTGAATTTGCTGAGGACACAAGAGTTCTATTTTGGGATTTATACAATGAGCCAGGAAACTCGAATTACAACGACAGCAGATTGAGCTTGTTAAAGGATGTATTTAGCTATGCTAGGCAAGTTAATATCAGCTAACCTATAACATCTGGATTGTGGTATGATAACTAGAAATTAAATGATTTCTAAAAACATAATTCTGATATTATAACTTTCCATAAGTATTCTGAGCCTAGCGCACTCGAATTAAAAATTTTAGAATTGAAGTTACTGGGAAGACCAATTATATGCACAGAATATATGGCTAGAACTATAGGATCAACTTTCTAAAATTCTTTACCAATTTTCAAAAAGCATAACGTTGGAGCTATTAACTGGGGATTAGTTTTTGGCAAAACTTAAACAGTTTTTCCTTGGGGATCTCCTGAAGGTGCTCCTGTCCCTTAAGTTTGGTTCCACGACATATTTTGGTAAAATTCTACTTGCTTTTCTCAAGAAGAATGCTAATTTATAAAAAATATTACATCCTAGTCTTAGGCTTATGTTTATTGAGATAAAAATATATAAGTTAATAAATAAATAATTTTTAAAATAATATGACATAAAATATAAATATAAAAAGTTATAATTATTTGTACGAGAATCTTTATAAATTTATAAATAAAAGAAGATTTATTTTTTGATTTTTGAATAGATTCATTTATTACTCATTTTAAAATACAAATATAAAGAAATCAGGTTTTTACATTATTCTTCAATATTATTCATAAATTAAAGGAAATTATCTAAATTTATATGTTTCTCTCTAATTGTAAAGGTATTCTGCTATCTTATTTTCATCATAAAAATATCTCACAACGATTTGATCTTTAAAATAATGCTAGGAAACCTTTTATTCTTGTAAAGATGACAGTTTGTTGAGCTATAAAATAAGAAGCTCTATACCTAAGCTGTTTAACTCTTAGCACATTAATTCAAATTTTTTGTCTTTGCAATCTATATCATCTTGTAAGATGTAAACAAAATATTTTTTATTCATTAATCTCTACACATATGAAACGTGTTACTTTTCATCAACAAATTTCTTTGATTTTACACATTTTTTTTACATATAATATTACTAAAAATCAAAAGAAAATAAAGAAACTATTGCTTTTTTAACTCCTTCATGAAATCTCAAATTATTAATATTTTTTTTATCCTTTTGTGTATCTTTGAAATGAAAATCATTTTTTAATTACTTAGTCTACTCGTATAATCCATATTCTTTGTTAAAATTTGTAATGTTATTTATTTTATAAATATTTTCAGATATTTCTTACTAGACTAAGTTCTTGAATTGATTACTAGTTATTTAGTTTTCTCTAATTTAGTCTTTTATATTCGTAAATTGATTTTATTTAGTTAATTTTGGTCCTATTTTATTTTAGTTTTATAAAAAATTATTATTTAAATTATTGTAATTATCCTGATAAAATTAATTAGATTTATTTGATTGTTAATTTGAACTGCTAGTTTCATCTTTAATTTCTAAATACTTAAAATTAATTGGACTAGCATCATATGATTAATAATCTTAATATGTTATTAATTCAAATTCTTTTTTAAAATCTGTTTTTTCTGTAATTAAATATTAATCGCTTTAATTTTTTGTGTTTAATAAAAAACTTTGTAAATTATTATTTAGAATCTAATTTTTATTTTTTTAATTATCATCCAAGTAATTCAGGTTATTTTGGCTTCCATTATTGTATTAATTTTACAATTAATTTGATTTTTAAAATCTTAGATTATTTTCATTTTTTTAAAAATTTTAATCTTAAGAATTGTTATTTACTTAAGAGAAGTTAATTTAGCTTTTGTTTTAGAAATTGTTTTATTAAGATTTATTTGTAAAATATTCATTTTATAAAGGAAGAAATTAATTTATTAAATTCTAATATTACTTCCATAACTACTTTATTCTTAACATTTAACTAAAAGCAATCACTTCACTAAAATAATTATCTGATTAAATTAGGCAAAACTAATCTAAGTCGGATGTAAGAATTTCTTTCATAATTAAATCAATTAATTTTCTTGATTTATATTAAAAGTTTGGGTTTTAGCATCCAGAAATTACAACAATTGAAAATGTGATCTTAAAATCATATATCACCTTTAGTTCTAATATCGGTTTCTTAAGTAAGGGAATGCTACTTCCGATTTTAAATAGAAAATCCAAGAGATGATACCTTACCTGTCTTTGAACAAACTTTAGATTTTCAAGATAATCTGTCATAATTTATAGTCCTTAAATAATTTTTTTTTCATGCAGGAGGATAATCGTTTGTGAAAACATTAACAGGCCACACATAATATCTGGTGTGTAAATAAATCTTGATAGATGGTATAAATCATATTCCATATAAAGTTAGGATAACTTTATACTTTTCAAGAATTAACTTTAAGATTTTAATTACTCATTATTCTTTGTGAATTATTTCTATTTAATTGTTTTATTACTTTGTAAGGTGTTACTATTGTTATTATTATTTTATTACTATTGATATTATTTTTAATGAAATTCTTTTGTAGTATTACCTTCAATGTAGAAGCTCTTTTATTAGTTATTATTTTTATTTAGATAAGTACCTGTGTTATCTTTATCATCAAGACTTTGCTCTTTTAATTATGTTAGATTAAATTATTAAGTACTACTTACTAAGCTATTTTAAGAATTCTAATAATATTAATTGAAAGATACTTCTATTTTGTTATAAAATGAGTTTTTACTTGTTTAAATTTGAATTTTATCTGCACTTTAGGCTTGCCAATAATTTTTATTAAAACTTATCTATTTCATAAGATCATAATATCTCTCTAAATTAATGTAAATATTTTCAAAATTATCCAAATAAGATTATTGTAAATTATTTTTCTTTTAATCAGATTATAAAGAAATTACTTTTTAAGAATATAATTTTTACTAAATATCAAATGACTAATTTTTATGTTTTGTTTAATTAATTTGTAATTTATTTTTTTCTTAATTAAGATCATTTATTTGGAAGAAGTCACATTACATACAATTCTATTTTTCTCTTTAATCATTTTATTTTTTTTAAAAGTCGCTTTCAAATATTATTGTTTAGTGCTAAAAAAAGGAATCCTTTGTTTATCTCTTTAAATTTTAGACTCCTTAAATGTCCATCAATAAGAGAAAATTATTTGTTATTTATTAATATTATTTGAAACTTTAAATGATCCTTTGCTTCGCTAATTATATCTCTCCAGTTAGAGAGAGAAAGTTGGTATAATAAAAATTTACAATAAAAGTAAGTTAGCTTTAATTATTTAAGTATTTTCTATTAATTTCTAGCAGTTCTTCGAAATGCTTAATTATCCCATCAGATAGAAATTGATTCAATTAATGCTTATTAGTATAAGTTATTAATGCTTTGGTAAAATTAAACTTTCGATTAAATAACTTCCAGTATAATTCATACTTATTTTTTATTTTCTATTTAAAATACTTTTTAAATTAATTTTCATTTTGAATATGTTGCTTACTTCTGTCAAATGAACTACTTTACACATCTGATTGCTTTTCTTATTTATTTTTTTATGATTAAGATAACTTTAAATTGGTAAAAGTTACATTAGCTTAATTTTAAAAATCCTATTAATTGCTTACATTTTTAGATTTTACAGAGGTCTACAAAATTTTTTTGTAAATTGATCCAATTATGTTATATTTACTAGTTTCAACACTTTAGTCTATGTTATTATTATTATTTATTTGATTAGTTTAACTTGATTAAATTTTATTCATTTTTTTATTAGACTATTCTAGTTTACTTAACTTATGAAATTAGGTTACATTTGATTGAAAGGTTTTATCATATTCTTTAGTATAAAATTGTGTTTATTCTACTTTGTTTTCTTGCTAGTCTTATTCTATATTTAGCTTGCTAAAATTTTTAGTTTAAGCAGTATTTCTTTTAGTTCGAAGGTTTATATTGTTAGTGTTATCTTTTTTTTGCTTTTCCTTATAAAACTAAAGCTCATAATTAGAAGAAATTATAGACTATTAGTAACATTCCATAGCTTCTATATATCTTTCATTATTGAAATGAATATTTCCCATATTATTGTACAATACACCAAGGGCACGAATATTAGAAAATTTACTAAAGTGCTCCACTTATTAATTAAATTGCAGTAATGTTGAGCAACCGTTATCGTTTTGTTCATAATAGTTTTAAAGAGTAAAATTTAAAGTCTTAAATAAATTCTAAAAAGTCATAAACAAGGTTTTAGTCTCTTTAGTTGAGAAAAGGTTTTCAATATTCATTTATGAAATCTAACTTTTTTCAATATCAAAATTTTATGTAAATTCTTAATGGACAGGAGTATTTTCTATATATTAGCCTTCGTCTTAATATCTTTTTAAAGCAGATTTACTATCTTCTAGAGAAAACTATTTCAAAATTTGTGTTAAGTGCTCTATAGGATAGTCAATTAGCCTCTACATAAAAAATGAGTAATAAAGTAAAACAACCGATGAAATTATTATTATAAATAAAATTAGATAAATAGATAAATTAAAGTAGAAGTTGTTTTATTTTAGTTTTTCGCATAATTATTATTCAGAGTTTTAATATTAGCTTTTAGATAGGGTATCTATCAATAAATAAGCTGTTTGAATAGAATACTGAGCAGTTTATGAATCTATTTATATTTTGTCAACAACTTTTATATAATTTACAATCACATAATATTCATCTCCTTCTATCTAAAGCACAATATTTTATTAGCTTTAATTTAATGTTTCATATAAATCTATCTAATTTTTTATTTCTTTAGTTGAAATTTTATTTTATTTTAAAATTGAAATTATTTTATTTATTTCGTTAATTTAAGCAGTATCTAAATTTTGAATTACACAGTAAGTGATGTTCCTCATACAAGATTCATTTGAAAGATAGTTTTTCTTATCCAAAAAATACGAATTATAAATAATATTTTTCAGATCTGCATCGAATATTGACTAAGAAAATGAAAAAGTAGTTTTGAACTAAAAAAAATTGTAAAACTGCTAAAGATCAATCGATTAACAAATAACAAAAAAATTATTATTTTCAAGTTCATTTCTTTTGCATAAGAAAATAGCTTAATAAGGTAAATCTGAGCTATTATAATATTAAACAGGTGGGAATATTTTCAAATCTAGTTATTATGCTGTATCACTAAACCAATTCAAACATCTTACATCTGGATAATACGCTACAGAAGAGCAATTTACTTCATCTTACTATTTTGTGTAACTAGTATTTGTGCTAGTTTAATAAAGAAGCCCATTTGATGAAAAACCATAAAATATCTCTTCAAATTAAATCTCCTAATTATTCTAATTTGAGTTAATTAAATTATTTTAAAATTCTATAGGTTTCATGATTGTGTTCACATATGTAATTTTTTTCAGTTATTACATCGAAAACTAATTCAATTCTTATAAAGTGTTATCATTAATATCATTCCTATTATATATAATTAATAATAATTAAATTTGTTTCTATTTATTTATTGCTAAATATATACTTATATATTTACATTCAATTTATTAAATAGACAATTATAAACTAAAATATTTAAATTTTAAAACAAAATAATTACCAACTTGAGGCAAATATCTTATTTTTTTAGTATATTTTTATTGTATTTGTATCTTCTAAGTTATTGAAAGTCCTCTAAATATTAAGCAAGATAGGCACATATTTATTGTTTAGAGAAACATTTCCTTTCTCTACCTTCTAAAAAAATTTTGCCATTAAATTGATTTCCCATTACTTCTACTAAAGCTAGCTATTTAGCTATATCAAAACTGCTAAATTTTGATTTTGGCGAAGATTAAATTGATTCTAAAAAGAAGAATTTAAGTATTCATTTATTAAATTATCCTGCTCAACTTTGAGCAAATAACTCGAAAATAATGTAAAAATAATGATAATTAATTGAGGGAACAAAGTAATTAAATATATCTAAACGAAAGTATTTTTAAAACAAGACTATTTCTTCTTCTTAAAATCTTTTTAAATATGGCTTTTTTATTGTTTCAGCACATCCTTCTTTGCGTTTCTGTCTTGTTATAAATTTTTATCAGTAATAAATTTTAGATCCATGCTATTTGTACGTATTCTATCAACTATTTTCCTACTTTTTAATAAATAGATAATTAGAATACAACAACTTTACTAAATTATTAGCTTTAAGCTAACAAATGTTTTTATTTTAATTTACTAATACTTGTTTATTTGTTCATGCATTTAGAGTTATTTATGATTACTTTACTAAATTATCATATTTGGTATTCTCATCAAGATTTCGTATAATTTAATTAATTTTTAGATAGAAATGAATATCTCCATTAATCAATAGTAAAAAAATAAACAAGTATAATTATCAAATTATTAATAATATATTATCCAACATATAAGACTCTTTAGATATTTTTTTTATATGTTAAGAATTCTGTTTACTCAAACTAGATTACATTAATTATGTATGTTTTGAAAAATAAAATGTAAGAATAAAAAAATACTAACCAAAAATTTGTAATATAGAGATAGTTGCTGCTATTAAATAAATTAAAAGATGAAAATTTACACTTCTAATCTGTTTTCTATGATAATTATTAACATAAATTAATTTAAATATATTTCTAATCAAAAGCAAAAAATTTGAAACCAAAGAAGAAAATAAAATTTATTAATTAAGTTAAAAATAACTATTATAAATTAAAATATAAATGTAAAAAAATTAAAAAAAGAAGTTAATTTTAATTTGATATGTTTTCAATATCTAAAAAATATATTATTTTTTGTTTATTAATTAAAATTTTTATATAAAATCTAAATTTTGGGTTTAAAATAAAAATAATTTTTAAATAGAATTGAATATTAAATTGTTAACTTTGTGAAATACATCTAAATAAGAATTATATTTATATATTGATAAAAACATTACTTACAATCTTAAATAAGCAAAATTTCACCTGTATAATTAAAACTATAAAAAAACTTTTTATTTATAAATTTTGTCTATTTAAATAATTTTTATGCTGGATCAATATTTGGTTTTTTAAATTCTCTCTAGCTTAATATTTGTTATTCAAAATAAAGTTATTGAAAAATTCAGTTTTATATGTTTTTAGATTATAATAGAAATATTTTTATATACAATTGCTTAAATTATTTTGAGCTAAAACTATTTTTATCAAAATTCTTAAAATATTGTAGGATTAATTTTACTGTATTTAGAGTTTATGAAATTTAAAAGGCAAAGAAATAGAGTTAATTCACAATAGAAATAAGATATTTCTGAAAAATTCACTTGGACCTTTAAAAATCCATGATAACTTCTATAGTTTTAAGGTAGTCGCTTTGGGTTAGAATAACTTTTTTGTCAGAAGTGCTCTATTATTGTTGGAGTTATATTGTGGTATTTAGAATTTCTGCAGTTTAATAGGTAAAGCAATAGATTTTACTCACAATAGAAATAAGATATTTATTAAAACTTCTCTTGGCCTTTTTAACTATCCTTACTATCTTCTTTAGTTGAAAGATGCTCATTTTGGATTAGAATACACAACTCTACATTTAATTTTATAAGCTCTGAATGAAGCATTTCAAATTCTGGTTAAGTCTAATCTACCATATTTAGATCTTAGATTACTAAAATTATGAATTTTTTAAAGAGCTTTTCTTAAAATCTGTTAAGGTAAAGGATATCATCAACATATTCCTTTTTCATATCTATCATATGCTTTTCCATAACTTGGTTATTTTTATTTTTAAATTTTGATTCCATTAATTAATATAATATAGCTTAACCTGTATGTTGTCCTGTTACTTCTTAAAGAGCTTTTCTAACACTCAAATAAAATATTTATTTCTTTCTTCTCTTAGCATCTTCTAAATTTATTTATTATTAATCTTTTTACTATTTTTCAAAAAATTGTATTTAATTTAACTTCAGAAAACTCTTCTTAGAAGAAGATGGTAGTTTATCTAAATTTTTTTTGTTTTTTAAGTCCTCCTCAGATAATATTTTAGGTATAGAATTTTAAAGACCAAGTGAAATTATATTTTTATTATTCTTATAATTTTATTTAAAAATTTGATTTGTAGAATCTTAAGTTTAAATTTTTTAATATTTGCTCTATTTTTTTTAGTAAATAGATAGACATTTATTTACATCGTTTTTTGTTTAATCCAACTATAATTCCTCTATCATAAGATTTTTTCTTGACACTTCCTCTTAAATTGGGCTAAGGTTAATATTTTTTTCTATCCTCTAAGATGAACTATTTTCATTTAAATCAGTCTCATCTAATTAACTTCTTTATTAATTATTTAAGAGTTATTAACTCATTTGCGAATTATTGATAGAGCTTATTTTTTAACCCAACAATTATTTTTCATCTATTGAAACTTCTAATATACTTTATTGTTCTTCCTATTTAGGGCTTCTTATTTAATTAATTTACTACTTATTTATATTTTTATTCAAAACACTGTTGTTGATTAAATTTTCTTAGCATCTCTGTAGATTTGTTTAAATTTATTAAAAGTTTGATGCGCTAGGGCTATTTAAAATTTATTTTGAATATTGATTATCCAATTAAAAATTAAAATTTAAGTTTCTCTTTTCTGATTCGATTGAATAATTTTTAGTTGTCTTTGGATATTAATTTTTAGGATCATTTATTTATTATTTTTATAAAAGATTATGAAAAGTGAGAGATCTTTATTTAAGGTTCACTGGATGATTCATAAGAGAATGAGATTTAATTCTACTAAGATCTATTTAATTCATAGGATTGGTTATTTTCTCTTCATTTGATTTCATGTATCGAATTCTTAATTTATTTGCTTTGTTTAATTAATGTTGAGATATTTATATTGAATTTTAGGTTTCTAATTAATCAATATAGTTATTTAAAACAGAAATTATAACATTTCTTTTAATCCATGGTTAATTAATTATTGAAATGTGTTACTTTATAAACATGTCTCTTATCGAAGAAGCTAAAAATCCAAAATAATCATCATCTTTTTTGATCACTTTATCTAATATAGCAGAACACAAATTAACTACTCTCTCTTTTTAATTTATTTCCTCTAGCTATTCAAGTAAATCTTGCTGCTTTTTTTATTCTTTCAAATGTTATTTATCGTTGTTATTAATTTATTAATTTACAGTTTTGTTGGTATTTTATAAATCCTCACTATCTAAATCTATGTGAAGGACACAGATTTTAAAAGAAATATCTTTAACAAATTTAATGTAAAACTGCTCAATACATTTATGATTTAGTTTAAACTATTCAAAAATTTTTAATAGTCTCTTAAAGCTCCTATTGAATTAATAAGGAGTAATTATATTGCATTTCTCAAACATCTCAGTAATCTCTTCAGCTGCTTAGTAGTAGTTTTATTTATTTGCTTTGTCATTTGCTCTTTAATCCATTAAGAATGATAAAACAGCTTCTTCATGTAAATCATAAGTATTTCTATCTTCTCCAAATCCATGTAAGTAGAAATTACTTGAGTTGTTCAATCTCTCGCTAAGCATATCTGATTGTTTTCTATTTTTTAATTTACAATAAGGTTATCCTTATATATCATTGAGTCTCTTGCTATTACTAGAAATTAGAAATTAAGTGTCAAGCTAGTTTAGATTTTACTTTAAACTATTTCTTGTTTTTTTAGTATGCAAATTATTACTTCCTATAATTTTTGATTTATTTGTACTTTGAATATCATAAAAACTATTTTGTTTTTTTCTTGTTAGGTACATTGAACTCTTTTTTCTAAGATTTGCTTAACTTGAAGATTACTTTATACATTTTGGTGTAAATTGACTTAATTGGTAGTTAATGTTCTCCTGAAAAAATTAAAATTTTGGAGATTTGGGAGTATTTAAATTCGAAATTATAGATTTTTGATTAAGGAAATCTTAATTTTAGCTTTCTAAATTCAAATTAATAACAAAATTTTAAAAGTAGCTTTTGCTTTCGTTTTAAATTGTATCTTATTTTTTTTCAAAGTACTTTCTTGGATATTTTGCAAATGCTTCTTATCCTGGTGAGCTAATCTTATTATTTTTAATTGGAGAGTTGAATTCAAGTGTTTGAAAATCAGTTTGCTAAGACTAAAAATCTAAATTGGTTTTTGAGTTATTTTTTATAAATGGATTATAGGTGGAATTGGCTTGATTCTGAAAACTCATTAAATAATCCAAAATAGGTTTTTATGTAGTTAAAATTGACTGGTTTTGTATCGGGCTCAAGCTATTTAATTAATATTACATTTAATGATCTTGTTTTTCGTTTTTAATGAATTTTATAGTCTATTCATTATTTTCTGAAGCTTTATTTATATTATAACTACTGCAATTTTCTATTGTTTCATATATTGTTAGCTCATGAGCCTATTTAATTTATTCCTAATTTTTTGAGTCATTTTATTAAATTTACTAATGCTATAAATATTCAGAGTCTTTCAAAGCTTTTAAAGCTTCATATAATTGTTCACTGTTTTCTATTACCTTGTAATTTTCATTACAATCTCCTTTGTTAAATTTTATATGCATCATAACTAGATTCAAGAGAATTCCCATTTTAAGTTTCAAATTATAATTTGGAATAGCTAAATTATTTAATTCATCAACTAGACTCTCTATAGTATCCCAAAGCCAAATGTATTTTTGATGCTGAATGTTATAATATACCAAAGAAATTAGAAAGTTATATTTTCTATTATATAACATTTAATTAAACTCATTTTATTCTTATTAAATGTAATATTGATTATCAATTCTATGAGTAAACAGGTTGTTGATTAGATCTTTTTAGTTTTGAATATTTTACTGTAACATTTACTCACCTTTAGATTTTAATTTTTACCTGATCTAGATAAAAAATTTTCTCAAAATATTTAATAGATTACTGATGTATTTAAATGTACAAAAATCTGCTTTTTTAATTTAGCAATCATTTTATTCATTTTTGCATACTTGCTCTGTTTTAGATTTTTGAGTTAAGCTGACTTTATCTTAAAACTCACTCATTTCATATTTACAATAAATTATTGCTTAATTAAAATTCTCCAATGCTTCCAAAAATCTGCTATTATTGAAATGAATGCTTCCTATATTATTGTAGCAAATTCCTAGAGCTTTACAATTCTTAATTTAGCGAAAATATTTTATTTATTTTGATAATTCTATCAAAGTTAAGCTTTAATCTTAACCAAAAATATTTTAGGTTGTAAAAATGAGTGTTTAAAATAAATTTTAAAAGCTTTAATAGAGCAGGAGCATATCAGAAGATAAGAATAATTGTGAATAATCAATTTCAAAATCCCCTGAAAATATTCCATCCTCAAACAAAATCATATTTTTTGTTTCTTCATCCACTCTAATCTTCTTTAGAATATCAGTCAGATGTTCAACAGAGTTGTTAATCATCTTGCTTATCCTTACAGATTAATATAAAGTTATTACGATAGATATGAATATTATGCAATACATTAATATTCTAAAGGTTAAATCTACTTATTCTATCTATTTTCCTAAAGCTACTGCCTAAGCTTAGAGCTAATCTTTAGACATTATTGTAATAAGTAATAAATTATTCAGGTAACAAAACTAAGCTTGATTTTTAACAGTTTGATTTGATATTATATTTTTATCTATCACATAGGTAAATTAAAGTGATGCAACCATCTCCTGTTTTTATTGATAAAAGTTAAATTATCCTATCTTCTATTTATTGTTTAAATTTAGAATGTAGTTTTTGTCAAAAGAACATTCTTCCAAAATATAATTTTGATAAAAAAAACTTTAAATCTATTTCAAGAATAAAATCTTCTAATCTTCTTCTAATTAATACAAATAGGTTTCATTTAGAGTATGAATAACGTTTGGCTATATTTAAAAATAAGTTTAGTAGACAACACTTTATGTAATTGGTTCAATTAAAATTCTTAAGGCTTAGTTATTACCTAAATTTTAAAATGTTATTATATTCTACTAAACCTAAATTCCTTAGCAAACAATTGAAAAAATATTTGAATTTTGAGTGAAGCTGCTTTATAGCTGGCTACTATATTTCTAAAAAAAGCTCTCTGGAGTATATACTTTTTTACAGAATCCAGTTGACAAATAAGGATTGTTATTAGAGTCATACATAAAAAGCATAGGAAAATATCCAACAAAGGGGAATTGATAGAGCCTCATGCTGTCTTAAAAGTATCCTTAACACCTAGAATCCATATTATATTTACTCATTTAGCAAGGTGGTGGATCTGTAATATTCTAAAAAGTCATATTAGCTCCAGCCCCGAAAAACATTCCATCAGAATTAAAAGCCGTAAAATAAGATTTATCTACTATATTAACGATATTAGTTTACTACTACTTTAACCGATTAGCAAAAAGGGCAGCTCTTGAAAAAAAATCAGTGATACTTGCATTTCTGAGTTAGTCCAAAGATAGTTAGTTTAATTCTCTTATATTGAGAGTGTCTTTTTGATGCCTTTTAATAAATTAAAATATTAATTTGCAAAATATATTTTTTAAAGTTTGCCATAATTATTGATTCTAAAAAATATTTGCTAAAATCAGATCAAATTTAAGAATAAATTATTTAAATAGTAAATATTTAATTGATGATCTTTCAAAAATAAGATAAAATTTCAAATAAAAACATTTGATTTATATGATAAAATAATCAATTTTTAAATCAAGACAAAAATAAATTGGAATCTAAACCAGAAAGTTTAAAATAATTATTTAAAAATTTATTTTAATTCATGGTGAAATTCTTGATGAAAATAGAGGAAAAATAAGACAGACAAATCTACAAAAAATACTGAAAGATTTATCTAAATGAATAAAAATCAAAGTATGATATTTTTTATTAAATATATCAATTTAAAAATTTACCAACTTGATACCAAATAAGAACTATTTTTTTTATATAGATTAAGCAAATAGCTATCACCAATATTATTATAAGTGTTTTAGATATTGAGAATAGGACTTATGAATTTATTATTAACTATAATCTGCCCATTTAACATTTTAGTGTTTAAATTCTATAGCAAATTTATAACCCACTCTTCATGCTAGATATTTTGATAAAGCGGGTCAAGTTGAGCCTTATTTTATATTTAAACTAAATAAATCTCTTGCTCATACATGTTACTTGAGAATTCATCAACTTCGGATAGAGATTATTTATAATTTAAGTTTATGTAAATGAGAATAATCACTAAGAGAAGCAATTATGGAAATCCTACAATAAATATTATACGAAACTAAGTTCTTTGAGTTATTTCTATAATTTTGCTTTACGCTTTGATTAGGATATTCATATTATACTTCAAAAATTTTAATATCACAGCTTTCTTTACACTTTAGTTGCTTTGTTATTAAGTAAATTTCTCAATAAATTAGATACTTTGAAGTTTTATATGATTCTCTTTTCTTCTTTTTTGTTATTAGTAAAATAATTGAACAAATTATACGTATGAAAAGTCTTTGCGCAGTAATAGTTATCAAAAATTAATTAATTTTCAATATTCACTCACTAAATCACCACAAAGGTATTTATAAATAAGTGATGACATATAATTTGATATACTAAAAAAACATAATTCGTCACTGATAACCTATAAATAATCTTTCCATTTAATTACTTAGATGATTTTTTAAATTTTTAAGAAATTTTTTATAAATTCATCTTTGTATTTATTTACTATTTTTTCTAGAAAATATTGTTTGTAATAATATTTTTTTTAGCATTTATATTTTAGTAAATAAATAATAATTTTCTATTGAGTTTGTATAAAATGAAAATATAAAATAAAACATGTAATAGAAATTTTAGATTTTTTAATGAAATTAAGACTTCTATACAAGTTAATAAAATATTCTATCAAATTTTGTTAGCTGTTCTACAAAAATTAATTTAGTGAATCAATTTTTGATTGGAGAATGTTTAATTCAAGTAAGAAAAATTCATATTCTAATCATTAAATTATAATTTTGTTATTATTAAAAATTCAAATTATAGTTTTTTCAATGAAAATAAAAATGCTTGAATAAATACTAAACTGAAGATAAAATTTATTTAAATATTAATTTTTTTTATATATATTTTAATGAAAATTCAAAACTATTTATTTTAAAGCTCATGAAATAAAAAGAGTTAATCTTCAAGTAATCAATTGAATATTTTAAAAATATATTAAATTTTTGAGCACAAATTAAAATACTTGTAATTGCTATTAAATATAATTTAATTAAAAAGTATATTTTATTAATTATAAGTGGTTAATTCTTCAAAAATGTTCCACTATTAATGGGTGATAAGAATGATACTAAGAACATCTGCTATTAACTAAATATCTTAATAAATTCTATTCAGAAAAAAAATAAAATATTGGCGATTTCTTGCTCTACTAAGATATGTCACTTTCATATGTTGAAAGATTATTGTCTTTAATTAAAATATATAGCTCTATCTAATGATATAAAAGGCTATCTTCTAGAATCAAATACTCTTTAGATTTATTATTTATAATACTTAAATCGCTTGTAATAGCAATTATTATTTTTTTATAAATTTTTTTTTGAAGCTGAGTGTTTTCTATCAAGTTGTTAATAAATTCATTTTTGTCATTCATTTGTTGTTTTTAGTTTAATTGTTTTTTTTTCTGGTATTACTATTAGAATCTGAGTTTGCTAAGATATAGCATTATTTACTTTGTATCTTATTTCCCTATTATTTCCATCATAGCCTTCCTTATTGTAAAATAGAATAACTCTCTCTTTCTTTAATTTATTTTTATAAAACTTTCTTTTGAAATTTAGTTGATTACTTAATTACTTTGAATATTTTCTAATTTTATTTCGTTTTTATTTTCATTTTAAAAGCATGTTTTATTATCTTAAAATCCATTATTGATATATTAAATTTTATCTGAAAGATTTGATAATTATTATTATTAATTTTGAATTTAATTATTTAATTAAAAATTAGTGGAGTCATTAATTTATGATAAATCTTTATTAGTGTTAAGTTATAAACTATTATGGTTACTTATTGAAATTTTATTATTTTTAATAACAAAATTTTAATTTTGAGTTGGGTTGAAGATTTCATAATTATTCAATTCTTAAGTTTTAAACAAAAACTAATTTTAAGTAGCATCATTTGCTTCATCAAAATTTTATTTTGTTGTAATAAAATCTTCTTTATATTATATTTTTGATTCAAATTCATACAAAATCTAAGTCTTTATTTCATTTTATTTCGTATTTTCAATATCTTAATTTTACACTGGTGTTGGGGTTCTAGGAAGGAAATGTGAATTAAAGTTTTTGATTTACTTTTTTATTGGGGTATCTTACATAGAGTATTAAAATTAATTTTCAAAATTTTAATTGTTTAAAGCATCATATGATGTATTTGACTGTTGATTCTACTTAATATTTTATTATTAAATATCATATTCAATATTTTACTATAATAAAACAGGGGCAAAACAATCAATAATTTCTTAAACAACTACGTTTTTCTTTATATCTAATTAATTTATCATGCATATTTTTTTTCTGATTTACATATCAGAAAAGCTTGAATAAAGAAAACCAAATTAATCATCTTATTTTCTTATAACTTATTCAATTATGTCAAGGCATAAATTAATTATTTTATCTTTTTAGATCTCCTTCTCCTCTAATTCTTCTGATTGTTTGAAAGAATTGTCAGAAAAATCAGTGTTTACCCAATCAAAATAAACTAAATTAATCTAAAAAAATATATCACTATTAAGCATTTAGTAAATTTTATCAAGTACAATATGACTTAATCCATGTCTCTCAAATATTGAAAGCAATTATTTAAATGACCTGTTAAATAAAAAAGGAATATTTAGCTTATTATTTTCATACGTCTAAGTAATCGTTTCTGCTGCTAAATGAAATTTATTTTAAATAAAATAAGTTGTTGCAATTTATTCTTAGATAAATCCAAATATCATATTATCTTTAATCTCATAATAATTCTTATCTTCTCCAAACCCATCAACATATAATTGTTTAGATAGCCCATCACTATTCACATATGTGCTTCTTTTATACATTAAGAAACTTTAATAATCAGACAAATAACTTTTTTATGAATCTCTAAATAATATTTCGTTACTGCTATTTTAAGAATCTAACCTTTATTCTCTTTCATTATTTTTCTAAGCATTCTCTTTCAAATTATTATTTTCAAATTTTTCTTCTTCTTCTTTTTCTGGTACCTATTTTTCTTAGTTATTATAAACTGTTTTATCATTAAAGATTTTGTTATCTTCATAGTTTTACTTTTTACCATCTTGGTTTATTTGGTTATTTGCAGTAATCATTTTTCTAAGAAATTGGTTTCTATTTTAGTCTTTAAAAATGAATTCTTCATTATTATAAAAGTTTTCTTCTTTTCTTTTTGAATTAATTTAAGAAATTTTTTTACATCTTATTTCATTTTAGTCATTGTCTTTTTATATATTAAAGTGTAAATCATTATAATTGACTTTTTAAGTTTTAGTTAGTTTATCCTGTCTTTTTTGATTTGTTTAAATAAAATTCTTTTCTTTATTCTGATAAACGTTGTGATTTATTTCATTAAAGTCCTTCTTTTAGTTATTTTAAGCTTTTTGTTTTGATAGAGAAATTTTCTTTTTTCTTTACTCATTAATAGGACTAATGGAATTTAATTAATACAAATAATTTATTTTAGAGTTCAATTACGTTTAATTTGTTTTTTTGCTTATTGAAGATATATTTTTAGTCCTATTAGAAGGTAGGCTATAAATATTTAAAGTATTTAATTAATTTTAGCAGTTTTACAAATAATTATTATACATCTAATTAAAACTTTTATCTTAAATATTTAACTCTGTAAATTAATTTTATTTATTAAATTGAGTTTGTTAATTTAATTTTGGAGAGTAATTTAAGTTTTATAAATAAAAAACTTAGTCTTTTTTTATCTAATTATTTTATTGAGAAAGGAAAAGGTTTTTATTTTTTTCCTTTTAGCTACTTCTAATTTTGCTAGTTTCTATTTAATTATTATTTCCATTACAAACTTACTAAATGATAGTATTTTATTAATTTAAAGGACTATCTTTAATAAGCAAATTTTATTTAATTTATAAATCTTTAATTTATTTTGCATTCTGAATTTAACTATATATCAATTTATTGTAATTAATTTTTTCTTCTAAGTCAGAAGTTTAACAACTAAATTGTGAATAAAAAGTCTAAATGCAATTTAATATAATGCCCATTTTTAATTTCAAACTTTACAATTTTAATTGTTAATTTTACTAAATTTAATTTTTTAATTCTTAAACTATTTCATCAGCTTATTCCCATAAAGTTACTATGTTTTAATTTTTTATATTATAAAAAACTAAAGCTAATAAATAATTATATTTTCTGTTAAAAAGCATCATTTTAAATTCTTCTTCTTATTGTTAAATTTATTAACTTTCCAATTCTTTATTAAACCTGGAAACGAGTTCTTCCTATTTTATTTTATTCTGAATTTTTATTTACTTATTTTTGCTTTAAAAGGCACTCTTTAATTTATCAAAAAATTCATTAATAAAAAATTTTTTTGATATTAGTTTATTGAAATCATTTCTTTTTACTTGAATTTTCTTGCTAACTTGATCTTAGTTGCTTGAAAATTAAGTTAAATTTTATTGTTTTTTATTTTCGAGATATTAATTTTCATTTAAAACATCCTTCGAATATTCATTCATTTCATATTTGCAACAAATAATTGATGAGCTATAATTTTCTAAGGCTTCTACGTATCTCCTATTGTTAAAATGTAAGTTACCTATATTATTATAAATAATGCCCAGTGCTCTGTAATTTTTAAAAAGGCTAAAGTAGCTTATCTACTAATTAAGCTCTATCAAAGAGGAGCTTTCGTTGTTTCTAAACAAGTTTTGAGTAGTAAATATCAATGTTTAGAACAAATTTTAAAAACTCTAGTAAAGGAGGTGCATGTCTGTAGATTAAAAAATCAAAGAATAATCAATTTAATAATTATAACCAAATACCCCATCTTCAAATAAGATAATATTCTTTTTTTCATCATCAACTCTTATCTATATTAGAATATTTGTAAGATGAACTATTGAATTATTAAGCATTTTTGCAATTCTATTAGAATAGAATAGTGTAATTAAAATAGAAAAAGCCAGAGAAAAATGCATAAATGACTCAAATGCAATATTCATACTAATTATTTGCTTCTTTAGCAATATAGCTTATGATTATATCTAGTCCATAGATATGATAGTTATTAGGATTAAACTATTGTTAATACAGTATTAGTACTGTTAAGTATCATTTAAAATTCTGTTTTTATCAATCTAATATAAAATTTATAAAGTTGCTATCATTTGTTGATTACCTTATTTAAACTAAAATTTTTAAGTTTATAAATATTCCCCTAATTAGAAGATATATTCTTTATCAGATGAACAAACAGTTTTAAAATTTTTTGCAAAACCTAAAACTTAGTCTAAAAAATATTACTATTAATCTAAATCTAATTTTTTTAGGTAGGTATCTTATAAAGTATAAATTGTATTAGGTGACATTTAAACATTACTTTAATAAGCCACTTTCAATAACTTATAATCAATAATAATTCTTAGAGCATCATTATTTCCTAGTTTTTAAAAATCTAATTAGCTTTATTCTAATTAAACAGCGTTACAAATAATAGAAAATATCGATTGATTTGAATTGAGAAAACCATAATAAAATTAGTTATAGTTAGAAGGTGTGTAAATTTTTTTACACAAGCCCATAGCAACTAAAGGCTAGTTATTATTATTATAATTAAATTTAATTGGTGAGTAACCTGCCATTATAAGCTAAGGTTTAAGTAATGAAGCTATAAAAAACTCCTGACATCTTGAGTCTAAATGATACTTACTTTAAAGACATGGAGGTTGATCGGTAAAGTTTTAATATGTCATATTTGCTCCTGTCCCAAAAAACATTCCATCAGAGCTGAACGCTTGATAATATGATTCAATTATCATTTTTACAGCTTTTTATGAATTGCTTGACATTCTATTTGCAAAAAGTGAAGCTCTCTATACAAAATCTATTATACTAGAATTTCTTAGTTAATCTTTCGAAAGTTAGTTCAATTCTTCTTAAACTAAAGTATCTTTTTAATGCCTTTTTATTATCGTTTATTTATTTTCTTAATAAAAAAAACTTGAAAAGTAATAAATTGGTGAAATTATTTATATCCATACATTTCTTTGTTAATCCTTAAATGTAACATCAATAAATTAAATATTATATTTTTTACTAATATGTTAGTTAATCATCTGAAATTTAAAAGTTTAAATAAACTTTCTTATAACTTGTTTATAAACAGAAAATTTATTCTGAAATTATTTTTTTTTTTCTTTTTAGAATATTTACCAGGGATCCTTATTAATAAAAAATTTTTTTATCAATATCAATATCATTTTTATTTTATTCAAAAATTTTATAATTGAAATATATAAGGTAAAAAAGGAGCTTTGAAGGGAACAACTATTTTATAATATATATAAAGTAATTAATTTAATGGATTTTTAAATTCTTTTGTGTAGATAGTTAGGATAGGACCTGATATAATTGTTCTAATCTAATTATGAGGCTATCTAAAATATTTATTTTTAAAAATTAAATATTCAATAAATAAATAATTAATTAGCATAGCCTACTTAAGGATGGATAATTTATATTCTCTAAATAATTTCTGATATTTCTATGGATATATTTATATGCATGTGTATATGTATGTAAATATTGATTTGTTTTGTAAAAGAAAATTGATTAAAAAAGAATTTAAAATGAATGAAAAATAATAATAAATTTTACCAACTAGAAATAAGATAAGAAGCTTTATTTTTATAAAGGCTTAAAAGGTAAGGATCTTCATTTTAATTATAGGTTCTCTATATATTTAGGACAGGTTTGCGGAATTTGCTATTAATAATGATATCTCCTTGCATAATTTTTAACATCAAGTCTCTTTGAATACTAAGGGTGCAAATTTAAGCTTCCATAGCTGTATATAACATGGATTTTGTTGCATTGTTTTAGAGTTCGACCATATTCATAACTTAATCATACATATTTACAGAAAGGTTTTGTATTTAATTTAGTGATTCTGCTTAGCTTATACTTACATAATTAAGTAAGATAATTATCAATAAGCACTGAGGTATGCAGGCAATTAGAACTAATTAAAATTCCATTTTTTAAAGAAATTTAAAAACAACATTTATGCATGATACTCTTTAAAGAACTCTCATTTATATTATTTAATTAACTTTTTACCTAATTTTATTATCAGATATTGTTTTTTTAAAGTTGTATATTTAAATTTTTAATATGAGAGATGACTCATTATTTTTTTTGATTATAAAATTAAATGAATTGAAATTAACTTTTAATTTTTTAAATATAATACAAAATGCATAGAATTTCAACCACAAACATATTTAATTTAAATGATAAATTTAAATAAATTGAAAAATTTATAATCTAATAAGCTATTAAAATAACATATATTTTCTCCTGATAATATATTAGAAAATCAAATAGAGTTTTTATTTATTAATTTGGCAATTATATTTTATATAAAAATGGAAATATATTATAAAGCAATATATTAGAAATATATTTTCAACTCAAGAAAGAATTAAAATTGCTATGATTGCTTACAAAAATATTAGTTGAAGTTTATCAAAAATATTAACAAAATTAATTGAACATTAAAGTAATTTGAATAAATTTAACAAATCTTTATGAGATAATATTGAATATTATTTTTAAATAAGTAACTATTCAAAAATGCTCAACTATTAGAGGTATATATCCATAACACTTGGTAGATCTATAATTCAGTAGATAAAGTAGCAAACTTTATTAGCTATAAAAGTAAGAAAGCACGCATATCTAATCTATATATTTAGATTTAAAAAAATTTTTCTCACTTGTAGAAATTTAATCATTTTAGAATAATATGCAAAGTTCTACTTAAAAATTTTTTAAATTGTTTAAAAGTAATTAAAATTCTTATTCGCTTTAATCAATAATATTTTGATCATCTATAACAACAATAATTAATTTTTAAAAATGTTTTTTTTTCTTAACATTTTAATAGAATATATTGTTCATAAACTCTTTTTTATTTTTATGGATATGCTCTTTCATTGCAGCTTTGTATTTTGCTTCCTTTTTTTTCTAATTTTATATTTTGTTAAGTTAAAATAATATTGGAATTCCTTCATACTAACTTACTACTTATTATAGAGCTTTTCTTATTGTAAAATAAAATAGAATTTTCTTTTATTTAATCAAAATGCTACTAAATTAACACACGTTTGTTTAAGGTTTCTCTTCTTCTAGTTGGTTAAGAGTAATTTAATCTAATTTTATAGATTATAACTTAGGTAAAAATCCTTAACAGTTAAATTTATTTTCGATTGATTGATTTATTTTTGATTATCTCTATAAATCAAATCCCTAGAAAGATAAATCATCTTGTTCAAGTGAATCAATCAAAAATGAATTTTTATCTTTAATGTTTTTCTCAAAGTGATTATTTAGTTTTTAATTTAATTTTTAACCAATAACTTACTGAATCTTTTTTTATTAGATTTCTGTTTCATCAAAGATAAATCGCCTTGATATTTCCTCAACAATAGGAGTTAATAAGCTAAATTTTTTCTTCTCTAAATCTCTTTGGTATGAACCTACATCTAATGTTAGATTTACCTTTTCGATTTAAATTGAATTATCAAATTGGTTAATGGAAGAAACCTCCGTTTTATTATTGATGAATTAAATACTTGTATGAAAAGTATTTTATTAATTTTTTTGTTATAGAATAGAATTATCTCCTTTAAACTTTCCTAAACTCTTAATTTTATTTTCATTTTTTTAGTTTTTATCTGCCAAACAAGATGTATTATGATTTTGCTAACTTAATTATTAAATTTATTTGTTTGTCTTTTTATTACTTTCCATTTTTAGATTATATGTATTTAATTAGAATTAATCATTCTCATTTTATTTTTATTGCGCTTTCTAAATTAAGGTCAAGCTATTCTTTTTTGATAAAATAGATGAGAAATTTAATAATTAAGAATCTTCTTGCACTTGGTTCGTCTAGTTATTTTAACATTTAATACTTTAAAAAAGATTTTCATTCTTTGGTTCCATTTGTTACTTTTGTTGCTAAATTGTTTAAGTTTCAGTTTTTTACTTTTAAGTTTTAGAGTTTTTATTTTCTTTTTAATTCAATAAATCGCAAAGTGTTTCCATAATAACTTACTAGTTTACTTAAATATTATTAATGACAGAAATATGCTCTGTTATACTCATATCACTTAAGTTAGAAGAAATAAAGCCAAAATAATCATCCTCTTTAATTACTACTTATTCAATAATATCAAGGAGTAAATCTAATAAATTTGATTCTTTTGAGAAATTTTTTTAATCAAAAATTTAAAACGAATCCGAAGGATCCAATTCAGTTTTACTACCTTAAGATGCAAATTCTTATTCTTAATAAAATGAAACAACACAAATTTTAAAAGAAGTATTTTATGTTAGTTTTTTGTAAATTTAATCTAAAAAAGGACAATCTATCTTGAAAGCATCAAAAATACCTAATAATCTCTGAATGTTTCTACTAAATTACTGAGAAATTACCAATTTACTTTATTCATACATTTTTGTTATAGCTTTGGCAGCTTTATAATAATCCTTTTACAATAAATACATCATTGATATTTATTCTTAAACTAAATTAAAAATCTGGTCTTCATTTATATAATATTAATTTCTATCACTTCCAAATGAATCATAATGTAATTTAGCTTTAGATCTGCATGATAAAAAAGAAGAGTAACATGAATCATCTTTTTCTGAATAATAATCATTTTAATTAAAATTATTATTTTACATTTTAAAGTCATCTTCGTCATGGCCATTTATTTTATTATTGATTTATTATTTTTTACTTTTAATTAAAGAATCTAATTACTTGTAATTTTCATAACTTTTGTTAAATTTTTATTAATTATTTTAGCTGCTAAATTATTAATTAAGTTGCATTTTTTCAAATTTTTAAAAATGTTTTAGGTTTATTCTTGTATCTATTGCTCTTTTTGGATTATTATTTTATGGATTATTTTAACCATTGTTTGTAAAATACTTTTATAGGGATTATATTACATTTAGTGATTATTTTTAGTTAGAAGCTCGAGGGGTAGATTAGTTTTACTTTGGTGAAGAAAATGTATTTACTTTCAATTAATCAGATTAATTTAATTAAGGAGAATTTTGTTGGTTAGTTTTTAGAAGTGAAGGTTGATTTATTTTAGGAGATTAAAAGGAATTTATGCTTTTAATTTAAAAATAATTTGATTTAGGTGAAGCTTGTTATTAGGTTATTTTTGGTGAATCAAAATTATCAGTTTTTGTATTTTTACTTTATTCATCTTTCATTTCTAAGAAGTGTTAATTTCTTTGATTTTCTTAAATTGATTCAAATTTTTAAATTTCCAAAGGAGTAGTATTTTCTCTTATAAGCTTATTAAAACTTAAATATTGTTGAGAATTCAAGGGAGAATTTGTGTTAAATGAAAATCTATCTTAGTCTTTAGTATTTTCAGGAAAGCTATTTAAGGGTTTTATAAAAGAAACTTATTTAGAATTGAACTCTGTCTGTTGGTTTTACTATGATTGAGGTGTATTTTTAGTTTGAGTCTTTGATGACATTTAATATCTTGTTGACATAAAATAATTAGATTAATTTAGCTGTGGGCTAAATTATGAAAGATTATTTGTCTGTTGGCTTTCTTTTCTGTCTTATATTCTTTGTGATTTTTGTTTGCTTGATTAACAGTTTTGAGGTTTAAGAATGCTTATCTACTTTATTTATTGATAAAGCTGATGATTTTCTTAAACTATTGACTCGCATTTTTATTGTTCTTGCTAATTAAAATATATACATTAAAATAGCTAATTTAGAAGTATTTTCTGCTTAAATCCTTCAATTCTATCTTGGCTCCTTAAATTTACTAACTCATTTACAAGATCTTCTAAGATATCAGTAAAAAGAAGAAATTTTTTTTAATTGAATGTATGGAATATTAAAGCTCTAACAAAGTTGTATTTTCTGTTAAATAGCATTTATTGTAATTCTTTTTTTTCTATTTAAATTTCATAAATTCCGTATTTTTAAAAGTTCATTAGAAGATCATCTTAGCATTTAAAGTCAAGTTTTTCATTTTTTATTTAATCTATTTTGCTTTTAAATATCGAAATAGAATTTATTTTTTGAAGAAAAAACTCAAAAACGCTATTTCTGCTTTTCTTTTCTTTGTTTTAGTTTAATTCTTAAACATTTTTTAATGGGTTTTAAAATGAAGAAAGTTAATAGACTTTTAATTCATAATTACAGCAGACTATTGAAGAGCTGTAGTTTTCTAAAGCTTCCACAAATCGGTTATTATTAAAGTGTATATTAGCTATATTATTATAACAAATTCCTAGAGCTCTGTAGTTTTTAAATTACTAAAAATAGCTAACTTATTTAGTTAGGTTTATCAAAGTTAAGCTTTCGTCCTAGTCAAACAAGCTTTGAGTAGTGTATATTAGAGTTTAAAACAGATTTTAAAAGCTCTCATAAAGTAAACTCAAATCTGAAGAAAATAGCAGCTCAGAGTGGTCTATTTAAAAATCTCCAGAGAGCATACCGTCTTCAAATAGGATAAAATTCTTTGTTTCTTAATCTACTTTTAACTTTTTAAGAATAATAGTTAAATGTTCTAAAGAGTTTCCAATCATTATAGATATCTTTTGTGAGTAATAAAAGCTTATAAGAATGGAAAATATTATAAAACTATATAAGGTTAGCCTAAAATAAAAATTTATTTAATTAACCTATATACTTAAGGATATAGATTACGATTGCAACTAATTTTAAGTAAGAATTGTTAACAGCAGAAGACTACTTTCAAAACAATACTGAACTTAGATACTTCCATCTTCTTATGTAATAAATATCTTATCAATATAAAATGTAAATTATTGAATAACTATAATCTTCTAATTTTAAACACTAATTGTAAATTATTCTACATTTTAATTTGATTATTAAAAAAACACTTCCTCTTTATTAGGAGTACAAAACCTTTTGAAATTATTTCGTTTGAATAAATTAACTTGATTTAAGAAAAATGATTTCTATTCATCAGATTGTAATCTTGTTAAATAAGATTCTTCTAAAGTTATTATAGTATTTTTTTATATATCAATATCACTTTAATAAGCTACTCTATTCTTATAAGGATCTATTAATATTCTTATAGCACTTTAGTTGCCAACATTTTAGAATTAAATCATTTTTTTTTCTATATCAACAGAGTTGCACACTATGGAAAAAGGAATCATAGTGGTATTTAAAGTTAAAGGGATGTTATATTTTTCCTTTAAATTTTAGTTTATAAAAATCTTTTTACAAAGGCCTAATGCAGTATATGGTTCATTATTTATATCATATAAGAAATGAGTAGGAATATATCCTTCTAATTAAAGTTAATCCATTTATGTTACCATTTAGAAATACTCTTGACATCTAGAATCTAGATTAAACTTGCTTTTAGGGCAAGGATAAGGATCAATTATATTTGAGTAAGTCATATTAATTCCTGAACCATAAAACATCCCATCCGAGCTAAAGGCCATAAAGTATAATTTAACATAAACATTTACAAAAGGTTATGTATAGCTCTTTCTTTTTTCATATAAAACTGCTTTCCAAATAAAATCTATAAAGCTACTATTTCTAACTTGATCAAAAGATAACTAAGGTAAGTCTTGAAGTTTATGAGTATCTTTAGAGTGCCTATTTTTTAAAATAAAATAATATTTATAAAAAATATAATTTATGTTATAAAATTTAATATTTAAAAAAAAGAAAATTTTAACATGCAAATTTAAATGATTCATTTCTAAAAAATCTATCAATTTACAAAGCTATTATTCCTTTCAAAAAAAGTAGTAATTACTTGCTCAATTGTTTTATTTATTATATTATTAAATTTTTTATGGTTAATAGTGTTTCTCCAAATAAAAATTGGTTATTTAATACGTAATATGAGCAAGCATTTAACTTGCAAAATTAAATAATTTTGTTAAAACTATCATAAAATCTTTAGCAAAAATTATCATAATCAAGCTTAAAAAATGATTTAAAAATAAAGAAAATATTATTTTACCAGCTTGAAATTAGATAAGAGCTATTAAATTTATAAAGGTTGAGCAAATATTAATCTCCAATGTTATTGTATGTATCATAGACATTCAATAATGGTGAAATAAATTTTGGATTTGTGTTGACTTTTCCATTCATCATTTTTTAATTGAACCTCTAAAGCAAATTTATAACAATAGATTCTTCTTACATAAAGTGATAAAAGATTTGAAGAGCAACATCATTTTAGATTTAAGCAAATTTTGTCTGCTTTTAATACATGCTTGAAGAAAATGAAGATATTTAATCTAGAAATTGATTAGAACTTTAATCAAAGTATATTATAAAAAATGTCAAGAAAATTAACTAAGGAATTACTACAAGTAAAGTTAGCTAAACTCGTATTTTTTAGAGTTATTTTATAATTATGATTTTAATATTTTTTAATTTAAGCATCTTCAACTTATTTCTCTTGCTAATACTTATATATTATTTAAGTCCCTAATAAATAATAATTTACTTCTACTTAAATATTGTTTTTTACTTTTTCTTTTTTCTATTTATATTAATTCAAATAAATTTTCTTTCTCTTTCTTTTCTTATTGATTCCTAATTATTATTAATAAATGATTCAATATTTTAAAGTTAAATGATTTTTTTTGTGTGGATTAATTGAACGTACGTATAATAATATTAAAATATTTACATAAACAAATATAAAAATAAACAAAAAAACTCATTTTTTTAATCAAATTAATCTTGAGATATTAATTTATTAAAATAATAATAAATTATAAATTTAATTTTTTTTCCAATAAAATAAAAATCATTTTATTTTATTTTTAATCAAATAAAAAATTTACAAAATTTACTTACTTAATATAAGTTTATAAGTTTAAAACTAATTTAAAAATAATATTTTAGTTATTTTAAATAATTTTTTTATTTTTCTTAAATTGTATTACAAATATTGCTCTAAGAGATTATTTACTTACTTACTCATTGAAATTTTTAAATAGTACATTGAAGCTTGTTTAAACTGGACATCTATCAGACCAAATTTTGCCCAATAGATAAAGGCACTCAGATTATAGATGATTAATTAAATTTAGGATAAAAAATTTGTCCCATTTCTAACGAATCAGTTATTATTTGTTCAAAAATGCTCAATAACAAGTGGAGCAATATCATGGAATTTTGTTATTCTGTTAAAAATTAAATAGTTTATTAGGTTTTATTCACAAAAAAAGTATGAAACTGTGCGAATATTTTCTATTTCTTTGTATGTATATGTACTTTGCTCTTTGATTGTTATCTCTGAGCTTTAAATTAGAATGCATAATTCTATTTATAAATCTTTAAGGTTTTTAATTAAAAACTAGAATTATTGGTCATCTTAATCAATTAAATTCAAGCTATCAAGAGCTACTATTATATATTTTTTATAATATTTATATTCTAATTTTTTTGAAGGGTTTATATTCAGTAATTACTACAACTTAACTTTGGAGTAATGCTCTTTAAGAATATTATATTCTTTACTGCTAGGAGTGTATTTTTATTTTTCATATTATACTTTGCATAATTATAAATTTAATTAACTTTGGCTATTCTAGCTTGATAATTATTAAATGGCTTTTCTTATCGAAAAATAAAACAATTTTCTCTTTTTCAAATTTAGTTCCTTTTATAATACCTATTTAGAGTTATCATCACTATTTTAAAATTTTGTAGACTGCACTTCGAAAAATGTATATTTTTAATTTAAAAATATTTACTGATATTTCAAGTTTTATTTATACAAAAATTAATTTGATCTACTTGAATCCCTTTATATGTCAAAATTTTAAATCCAATTTAATTATTTTTATTAGCTAGAATTGCACTCATTTAAGTTTTCAAAACTTCTCATTTTATTAGATTCGTTGTCTTTAGCATATTCTTTGTTTTAAATTTAATTTTATAAAAAAAATGTTTTCTTAAATTAGGGTTCTTCGTAAATTGGGCTGAGAACATCACATTTTTTAAGTTATTTACTTGAATCAATTTTAATTTCATAAGTGAAATTTAAAGAAATAGGTTTGTCTAAATTCAATTAATCACTTTGTTTTTTTTCATATAAAAAATTTCTTTATCTCTAATTAGTAGTATGAGAATCATAAATCGATTAATTGAATATTTCAGTAGAATTTAAATCGAAGGAATCTTTGTTAATTACTTCATTATTGAATTTTTCTTGAATATTGAATTAAAACTTTTATTTTTATTAAAATTCTGAACTGTGATAATCGGGCTGAATAAATATGTTGTTTGTTTAAAATTATAAAAATAATTCATTTTAAATTTGAAGGAAACTATCGACTAGTTATTATTTAAGATATTTTTTATCCAATTAATTTTAATTCATAAGAGTGATATGCTCCTAGATGAACATATCTCCAAGAGAGGCACTGATAAATCCAAAAGAATCATCTTATCTAATAAGTACTTAGTCTATTATATTTAAACACAATTTTTATATTTTTAAAATTTGTGATGATATTTCATTTAACAAATCCAAATTTTAATCAAGTAGTTCTTATTTAAGATTAAATTCATTAAGTAAATCACCTTATTTTTAATTTTAACAAAGCTTTTGTTACATTAAATAGTCTTCGTTTTCTAAATAAATAAAATGTATTTAAAAGGAAATATCATTTTTTATTTAGGAGTAAATTTATTCAATTAGATTATCTTTAATTTTAAGTTTTTCAAAAACTAAAATCAATTTTCTAAAATTTTTTTAAATAGCAAAAGGAATTAGTACATTACTTTCTTCTAATATTTTAGTTATAGCATCACTAGCTTTATAGAACTATTATTTGCTTAATGCAACTGTTGCAATCTAATCCAAAACAATACCATGAATTATATCTTCATTAAAATCATATAAATTTTCTTTTTCTCCCTTGTTTTCTAAATATTCTTTTTTTATATTTTAACTCATGTCTAAGTTTTTTAAGATTAGCTTTGAGAATTTTCTAGGTGAGTTAGATTAATTAAGCTGTGATTTCTATAATGCAATAGTACTTTTTTTTTTGTTATTTTATCTTAAAATTTTAATCTAACTATTTTGAGGGGAGATTTAGATTTCTTCGCTAACTTCATTTTTAGGAATTATTTGCATATTTTTTTCAATTTGAATGCTTTTGTTAATATCATGAAAATAAGAAAGATTTCTAGTTTTTTTTTTTTTTAAATCCCTTTGATTGAATGTAGAATGCTTATTATATGAATTAGTTAAATTAGGAGAGTCATCAAAATCTTACTTTAAGCTTTTTTATTAAAAGTTTGAAATGTTATTATAGTAGCTAGATTTAGAATTTTCAAAAATTAAATTTCTTTAAGAGTTATTTTAGCTTGGAGTTTCTCCTAGATTATCACTTAAAAAACTTTCCTATTTTGTTATTTGTCTTAAGTGAATAGGTGAAAAAGGTTAATTATTTTACTAATTTAAGAATTATTCAGTATGAATAGATTAATTTAATTATTATTATTATTTGTTATTTAATATCATATTATTAATTTCTTAATTTTTTATCAACTTTAGTTATTATTCAAGTTAAATACTATTGTTTAGAACATCATCACACTGTTTTAATTTTTTTTAATTCATCAATATATAGATAAGAAGTTGATTTAAAATAATATTTTCTTTAATATTAAAAACTAATTTTTTACTTTTTATATTCATCAACTACTTGATATAACTTTCAGCAATCTCCCAATTTTGAATATTGTTTTCATTTTGTATCATGTAGTATATCATTGTAACAATTTAATTATATTTTCTATTGAAAAGTATTTGATAGAGATCTTGGTTTACTTCATCTTCTTCGGTTAATTAAACTTTTTAGCTTAAATAACTATTTGATTAATTGTTCTCTTCAAAATCTTTTTTGTTTTTTTTATAAGTTTAATTTTTAAAAAAAAAGTTTTTGGAACTAGATTCAATATTAACAGAATTTATTATTTATTGATATTATTTTTTCTAAACACAATATTCATGATTAAATTCATTTATAAAAGATTTTGAACAATTTTCCTTTTATAATGATTAATAATTATCATTGAATAAATTTAATTCATATTAGCAACATATTATAGAAGAGCTATAATTTTGTAAAGCTTCTACATATCTACCTTAACCAAAATGAATGTTTCCTATGTTGTTGTAGCAAATACCTAAAGCTCTATAATTTTCGAACTTTTTGAAATACTAGACTTGCTTACTTAGATTCAATAATGTTGAGCTTTAGTTTGATTCAAAAATATTTTGTGTAGTATAAATTAAAGTTTAAAACAAGTTCTTAAAACTTTCATATAATAAAAGCATATCAGATGATAGAAAAATATTATCTTGTTCATCCTCTTAAAATAAAGGATTTGCATTATTAGATAAAATTAGACATTGAGTTTCTTTATCTAAATTGATTTTGTTTAGTATTTATGTAAGGTGTTCAACTGAATAGTTAATTCTACTTGCAAATTTTTTTGATATGTAAAATGTTAATAGCAAGCAAAAACAGACAAAAAAATAAAAAACAAGTTTAAAAGTGATATCAAGATTGCTAATTTACTGCTAAAATTCAGCTGTCTACTAAATCAATTAATCTTCAGGAATTATTGTCATTAGAAGTAGACTATCTTAAAAGCAATAAATTGTTTAAGATTTTCCTTGATCATTTTCTATATTATTTTTATCAATCACATAAGTAAATTCCATTATTACTATCATTTCTTAGTCTTAAATAAAAAAACTAAATTAAAATTGTTCATGCTTATATTTGAGTCCAAATATGTATTTTTTATCGGTAGAGCAAATATTTAGAATTTAATTATCTGTAAATATTTTAATTTGATTTAAAATTCTTTCTCTTTCCTAAAAAGATTCAATTTTAAAAAGATATGTATCATATAAAGTTAAAATATTGCTACTTTTCTATAAATAATCACTTTAAAAAACCACTCTTAATGTTTAAGGATCAAGTACAATAAAAGTTGCCTTTAAATATTTTGGAAAATTAAAGATTGTATAATTTTAGAGAACAGGTATTGAGTTACAGATAATAGATTAAATTTGCTATTTTTATTCACCAGAAATACTTATATTCTACTATGAAATATGTGCAAACGATAAGAAAATCTTCTTGCAAATACCTAAAGAGATGTAAGGCTAACTGTTAGAATCATACATAAAATTAATAGGAGGATAATAAGAAGAAATCATTAAATTATTTTGAGTAGCAAATTTATAATATTCTTAACATCTAGAATCCATATTAAATTAGCTTTTGGGACATGGTGGTTTATCTCTAACATTTTAATAAGTCATATTAGCTCCAGTTCCATAAAACATACCATCCTACTCAAATACAAAAAAGTAAGATTTTACAATTATATGAGCTTATTTTAATTATAAAGGCAATTAACTCTTTGCTATTAAAACTGATTTCCAAATAAAATCAATGAGGCTAACATTTCTTATTTAATCTTATGACAATAAACTCAATTAATTTTCTGTCAAAGTATCTTTTTAATACCTATTAATTAAAAGAAAATAATTTAAATAAATGTCTAAAGAATATTAAGAACCAACCCAAGTTTTAATAATGTAAATATAAATTACTTACTGAAATTGCTTACACTTTATTTCAGACAAGTTAATATTATTATTATAATACTTTTGTAAAATAAATAAATAAGTTGATTTGATAATTAATGTAAAATATTTTTTGACTTCCAAAATAATTATAATTGTGTTAGGAATGTTGAAATTAATTTATTTTACCAGCTGGAAATCATATCTGATCTATTATTTTTGTACATATTGAGTAGATAGTGATCTCCAATTTAATCATAAGTATTTTGTATATTTAGAACAGGTTTAGAGAAATTCTTATTGAATATGATCTATCCGCTCATCATTCTTTTGTAAGCTTATTAAATTAAGTTAATGATATAAATTTCTTATTAAACTTATTCTTGATGGTTTTAAATCATCAAACTATTTTAGCATTATATCATTATTAATTATTTATCATGCATTTATTAAAAGAAAAATTCTGTAGAGTCAGATAGTTGCGCATTACTCCAGCTAATGCAAGCAAGTGAAAAACATAGCATTATTATTTATGGAATTAAAATTAGTATTCCAATTTAGATTTCTGTCTTTTAAATTAATTTATTTAACCATTTTTTAGTCTGAGAAATATATTTCATATTAACTAAGCTAGTTAACAAATTTATTCTACTTTGCTCTAAGATTGATTAAAATATTGACAATTAAATAATTAATTATTTGTCTTATATTAATAATTTATTATGTTGATGTATATTTTTCTAATTACTTAAAATTTATGTTCAAAAACTTGAATTGATTTTCAGCTATTTAGGTCATCTATTTGGATTTTTTTAATCTGTAAAAGCTAATGTTTCTTATCTTTGTGATTTTACTCAAATAAAAATTTATTTAAATGGTTTATATTAATTTTAAATCCAGTATTTATTAAAACAAGTAATATAAATTATAATTTTCACCTTTTAAAATGTATTTATAAGCTACAATTGTTAGAATTAAATATATAAAATTTAAAAAAGCTTATTTAAAACTGATATTGATTGGTTTATATTAAAAAATAAAATTTCAAAACAATTTATAATGAATAAGTAAAATATTATTAATTTTATTAAAAATGCTCAAAAATGCTCAAAAAATACTGGTGAATTATCGTAATATTTAGTGAATCTCTTAAAATTATGATAATAAATTAGGTTTTTTTTCACTGCAATAGTAATATTATAGAGTAATTATTGGTATTTAAATATTTATGGTCTTCTTGTGTTTAAAATGCTTCATTTCTAATTAAATTCAATTCTATTCTGAAATTCTAAGGTATTTTTATAGCATTTAAAATTCTTAATCTTTTTATCAATTCAGTTAAAACCTCTAAAGTAGTGATAATAATGCATTTTTACAAGTTTTTTTCATAGCTTATTTGAAGGGATTACATTTTACAAACATTTCTTATTTTAACTAAGTTTACAGTAGTTAAATATTATTTTCATTGTGTTTTATTATTACTTGCTGTATAACATTTTCTTACTGTAAAGTAAAATGATTAATTTTTTTTCATAAAAATTTATTTTTAATTTTCTCTTGAGTTACTTTAAAAGTTATTTTCAGCTTAAAAATTATTTTTAAGGTAATTTATTGCTCTCTTCAAATATTCATTCTTATTTATACAAAAAATAAAAAAATAGTTATTGATTTATTATTGTTATTTTTGGTAATTATTTTAATTTTTATTTTTTTCCATAATATATCTCAGAATTGATAAAATCAGATGTATTTTGGTTTTCATTATCTTTTTTATTTCAGAAAAAATATTGCTATATTCTTAGCTTTCTTTTATTTTCTTTAATCTCATTTCTTAATTGGGACTTAATAATTATTCATAATACTTTTTTTTTAAAAGCATTTATAATATCGGAACTAAATTAGTTTTATATTTTACTAAAATTTATAAAATTTCATCAATTATTTTTTTTAATTTATATTTATTTCATTTATCATTTCATACTCTTTTTTTTATTTGATATCTGAAAATTTATCTTTGTTTTAAGATATATTTAACTTCCAAAATAAAATTTTGAAATATTTTAACTGTTTTCTCTTGGTCTAAATAATTAATTAATTATTTTTATCCTAATAAAATAGATTTATTAGTGTTTATTTTGTTATTTCTCAATGAATAACTAGATAAATGTAAATCATATAAAAAAGATTTATCTCTTTTCTGTAATTACTAATCAAATTTATATTTTCTTACTTATAAATTTAGTTTTGTTTTTTTAAAAAACAACATTTTAGGATTTTATTTTTTGCATTAATTTTGATTTAAATTATAATTATATTAGATTTGTTCACTTTCTTAATTAAAATCCATATGATTCTCGCCAATCAAGAATTCTCCGAAAAAGAAATTAATCAAGTTTTAATTTGATTATATTAATTAGATTACAGCAAAATACTCTTAAATAGATATATCTTACAGATAAAAAGCTGAAAAGCAATAATAATCACTTTTATTTATCAGCACATTATCTATGATATTACGGCATAAACTGATTATCTGTTGATTCTAATATTGTTACTCAAATTTTTCATTTTAAAAATAATTAATTTTAATTTACTCAGAAAAAGAGAAAACATCGATCTTTGTTACATTAAATCTATTAAATCTGATTAGTTATTATCCATTAAAAATTAATAATTTCGAAAATTCTACCAATCAAATTAAACTATATAAGTAAGAATATATATTTAGCTGCTTAGCTGTTGGTAAATTTAATCTAAGAGGGGATGTGAAATCCTAAATTAATCAAAAATAGAAATCATTCTCTTATAATTCTATTCTATCATAAAAGGTATTATAAATTAGCTCTCCTCTAAAAGCTTTGATATAGCATCAGCTGCTTGATAAAAATTTTATTTCATCATATTGAAAAGAGATACTTTGTCTAGTAGAATTATATAAATTTGATCACTTTTGAAATCATATAAATTCTATTCTTTCACCTCTTCGAGCTAAATATCTATCCTTTAAAGGTTAACTATTAGCTTAAGAAACCAAACTTTCTTAGTATTTCAACTAATTTAGGTTAAATACATATTTGTATTCTACTTGTTATTAGATTTCAATATTTTGGCTATCATTATTGGAGTGATTGATTTTTGAGAAAATTTTTATTTATTTAATCCTATTGATATACTTCGATTAATCTGATTTGTAAGAATTCTTTTATACTTTTTTTAAAGATAGAAATTTGTGTTTATCGATGGCTTTGTTAAACAAAATAGGTCCAGTAGTTTAAACATTTATAAAATATATAAAATGAATTATATACTCTTCTTATTTAAAGTAATTAATAGTTAATAATACTATCCATTTTTAGATAAAATAGATTTAAAATTATAATTAATTAACAGATATTTTTTTCTTCATAAATAAATTATTTTTATGATTGATTAAATTACCAAAATTTTAACTTTGTAATTTGTTAAAATAATATTTTTTAAATGAAACAAAAAAACAAATTCAAAGATAGATTAAATTATTTATAAAATACTTGATTAAAAATATATTTTTATAAGAATACAAATATTATTAAATAAATGAATTTATTTATTTTTTAAAAAAGAATAAATCAATCAATTAAAAATATTAACAATTTTTAGATTTACAGGCATTTTTTTATAAGTATAGCTCGTATTTTAAAATAAAGGTTGATTAAGTAAATGGAGTTTGTTTAAAATAAATTAAAATTACACATACTTCAGTAGTGTTCTACAATTAGAGGAAACAAATGTATATTTTTAGTCTCTCTCTAATTGTAAAGATATTATAAAAGCTTTTATCCATCATAAAAAAATTTTATTACACATTCATTTTGATGGTATTAATCTGGAAGTTGACTATACTCTTCTGTAGAGTCTTATTCATTTAGAAGAAGTATAAGTAACTTCACTTCTTGTTAGTAAAGTGTTTCTTTCAGTTTGTTAAATAAACTGCCAATAAATATTCCAGAAAAATCTGTTGAAAAGACTATGAATTATTTTTGTACATATTTGAACATTTGAAAAAAGTTTTTTGAATTATTTTGAATATGATTTGTTAGTTATATTTTAGTTTAAGATTAAACTTATTTTTGCTAATTACAATTTTTTGTTTAATATATCAGATCTTAAAAACTTAATAAAGCTTTTCTAATTCCAAGATGAAATAAGAAATTATTCTAAGAATTTATTTATTATTAGATAAAATTTATGTTCTATGTATTCTCTCTTTAGTTACTTTATTAATATTAGAAATTTTTTTTTTAGTCAAAAACATTTGAAATTTAATAATTATTATAAATCTTTGGTCCAAACGAATCTCTTTCTAAATAATTATAAAAAATAAATAATTTAAATTTTGTTAAATTGTCTAATTAAGACAGACTTAATTTCAAATTCAAATAAAATAAAATATTTTGAATAAAATTTACCAGCTTGTATAATTTATGTTTCTTTCAAACTTTGGTGGGCTTCTTAAACATGGAAAAAACTGGATCTTTAGTGCTTATTCATTTGTCTAAGTTATTGCTATTACTATTAGGGTTAAATATTTTTTTGAGAAAGATGTGCATTTAAGTTGCTTGATGGTACTTTTAAGTTATGACTGCTCCTAAATTAAATTTTTTAGTTTGAGGTTTATTATTCATCCTAAAAACTCTAATTTAAATTAAATGGCTCATTATCGGCTTTATTTTCTGTGAATAAGCTAAATTGCTCGCTATTTTAATTATACCTCTGTTACCTTTTTTATGGTTTAGAGTTTTAATCTTTTTCATTATATATAAGTGAATATTGTCTTGTTGTTTATCTTCTTATGTTGCCTCTTTTTATCTATTTTGGTTCAGGCAAAACCTCTTCAGTTATTTTTTAAGCTTATTTCTAATCTTAAACAATAGAATTGAATGATTAAGAAGGAATATTTCTTGAATAAAAGCTGTTATTTAATTTAGAGTCAATCTAAATTTATTGTTAGGTTTTTTGTTTTTTTAAATTAGGCTTTATATTATTTTTGGTTTTTTGACATAAATTGTTGTTATCCATAAGTTAATTTAATTCTATATTCTACTAAGCTTCTACTTAGATATCATCTAATTGCATTTAATTCATTACTTCCAACTATTCGTTTACTATCTCTGCTGGCTGCAACACATCTATGATCATATTTATTAATTTTTTATATTTCTCTAAATTAAACTTTGTCATAGTTGGAATTATTTATTGAAACAAGCTATCTTAATAGTTTATAAAACCAAATTTGTCATCATTTTTAATAATTATTTAATCTATTATTGCTTAAACAATTGAAATAGATTCAAATTTTCCTTAATTTGATGTACAGAAGGACACAAATTAGATTTTAAATTTTATATTTGGATTAAAACTGTTAATCATATTCGAAAGATAATCTGATTTGATGTTGTGCTTCAAAAATATATTTTTTAGCTTACACAATTATGAGTATTTTAGCTATGGAAAATAAACTTAGCTTTATTCAAAGCATGTTGTGAGTAGCTTTGCTGCAAGTAAATATTTTTCTTCCTTAATTAGAATGTCAGAATCTACATCCAACACATACTAGCATAAAATATCTTCAGGAAACTCATAATAAGCTATGTTTTTATCACCTACTGAAAATCTAGAAGGTCTTTTAGAATTATTTTTTAAGTTTCTGAATGAGCCAATTTTTAACAAAGGAGGAGATGCCATGTGCTTTGATTTTTTATTATTTAACGAAGACCTTTAATTATCAAACTAGCTAGAAATAGATGCTTTTTTTAAGTTATTCATAGACTCAAAAATAAATTAGTTATTAAAGAGGCAATTTTTCTGTAGTAAAGGAGATCTTTAAATTATATTAAAACTGCTTTATCTACTCAAGCGTGAATTTGTAATTTAATGATAATTTTATATATTAATTTTGCAAAATTACTCCTGTTGTGGAGAAACTTTTGCAAGAGTAATTTAATCTTTAGTAGGAGGGGTTATTATGTTATTAACTTCCAAATTTTCTGTTTCTTTTACTTCTTTTGAGATATGCTAACCATTTTATATGCTAAATTAAATCGTTTACTACTCTGGTTATACAAAATAGGCTGATTAATAAAATGTGTCTTACTTGCTTCTTCCGTAAAAACTTTGTCCTCCTTACTTCTTTAAAGAAAAAGAAATTATTTATTCTTTTCCTTCTTTATCTCTTTCTGGATGGATATGACTAAAAGTTTATGCCTTTTGACTTTTAATATCATGGTGCTATTACAGCTAACTTTCTAGTAAGTGTTTATTTATAAGTGAAAGCTTAGTTGTTTAAGGTGGTGATAAAAATATATTTGGATAAATGTATTCTTTTGTGTTTAAAATAGGAGATTATGATGGAGATTGATCTTTAAACTACTCTTCTTATTCATTTGAAAGATAATTCCTATCATCACTTGACTAATTGCTTGATAATTTTTAATTTAATTGAGAATTTATTCCTATTTTAGGCAATCGATTTGAAGGTTCAGACTACAAATTATCTTGTACATAATCTAATATTATTCGATTATCATTTTCAATTATATTGTCAAATATATCTTTTTAATTTTGTTGAGTAATTAAGAGTCTGTCCTAATCAGTCTCATTATTAACATTTTTATAAGTATCTTTCTAATCTTAAGAGCAAGTCACTGCTTCTTAACCTTAATTATCAGCCTTAAAGTTAGTATTTAGTACATCATTTAATTCTAAAAGAGTCTACATCTTTGGAGTTTCTTCTATTCCTTTATGCAATTATCTTGTTGTTAGAGGCTGAGTCTGCTGAGTCATTAAAGCCTATTCTAAATGCTCATAATTTTTTTAATTGTGCTCTTTTATTGTTTTTATGGAGTTAAATGAATGGTCTCTTTAATTTTTTTAATTTTCTTGAAGTTTCTACAGCAGCTTAATTCCAAAAAAATCTTCCTCGTTTTAATATAATAAATTCTATTGAGTCTAAAATAATTCATGATCTTTTTTGGGTTAAGCGTTTTTAGAATCTAAATCGATAAATTAGTATTATAGATTAAGATTTTAATTATTTTAACTAGTTTGGCTCATTTTTGTATTTCTTACTCTTGTAGTTTAAGCTCCTTTACTTGAGAGCTTATTATCATAATGTGTTTACCTGAATGAATGAATAAATAAATAAAACAATTAATATTAAAAATAATTATAAAAAACATTACTAAATGTTTTATTGGGTGTTAAAAGTATTGTTATACTAAATTTTATTCGGAGCTTTTAATTTTTAAAGGACTGGAGACTTAGCTCTTAAAGTTGAAGGAGATTTATTAATCTAATTAGAATTTAAACTTAAATGATTTTCATCCTCATTTTAATTAACATTTTATTAATTTTGAAGGATATTTCTAATAATTTACTCATTATTTAATGAAACTTATAGAAATTACTCATTTGATATTTTGTAGAGTTTATTCAGAATTAAATACTTAAAATGATTGAGCAAAACTAATCTAGATGTACTTTCAATCAAAAACACATTGCTTATTTCATATATTTCTTCTATTATCACTAATGCATCTTCCCAAAAGTATTAATTTTAACTATTATTTGATTCTATGTACATAATAAAGCTCTTCAAAAAATTGAATTTTCTGTTGAACAAATTCCAGTATAAATCTAGCTATCCATTTTCTAAATTCTCATCATTTAAAACTTGTAATATCTGGGCTTCTATATTTTTTATATAAAATTCATTAATAAAAATAAAATAAGAATTTAAGTCTTTAAATTGTTACTTAGCTTTCCTTTATCAGTTATTTTAGAGCTTTGTATAGAAGAAGATTTCTTAGTTTTGATATTTTAAATATCACTCTAAATCTGTTCTTAATAGCATTTTAATTCATATTAAGAATAAATGATAGCTTTTTAATACTCTTATAAGGATTCTATATACCTCTGATTATTATAATGAATATTTCCAATATTATTATGGCATATACCTAAGGCTCTCAGGTTTTTGAATTTTTCAAAATGCTTTACTTGATTGCAAAGATTTAGTAATGCCAACCCATCATTTTATTAATAAAGCTCTTGTGTGGTGAATCTTAACATATCAAATAAATTTTGGAAACTTTCAAACAAAATTTTGGTTTCATATGAATGATATGACTCTGCCATTTCATTTAAATTATCTATATCAACCATATCTATGCCGTTTGGGATATTTCTTGTCTGGAGTAATAATGATTGAAATTGAATTGTTTATAATATTTCTGTCAGATTGCTAATAGGTATATCGATCAGGTTAGATTTATCAAGGGCATGCTTAGTCGCCCTCAAGATAAAAGCACCTACAAAAAACAAATTGCATGAAATCAAAATTATTTCTATTGTATTGACATCCTTTTTAAGCTAAACTCCTTCAGATATCAAGGTTTCTTTAGAAAGCACGTCTAAAAACATAAATAAATTTACCAGTTAATATCCTTTTGTCTCATTTACATAATTTATTTTGCTATAAACTCTTATAGCATTGATAATAATTTCGTATTCTGAGTTATTTTTAGTATATTTTATTACTTTTTAGCTTTGAGTTGTATCAAACGAGTCATATAAATTGACTTAGCTAAAAAATTAGCTATTTATTTAAGAGAAATAATCTTATATTTCACTTATAATTGAATAAGTTGGTTCTTATTAATCTGAATTAGGATCTATGTCATCCATAAAAAAACTATACTCTTTCAGGAATTTTATCGAAGCCGAGTCAGTACTGTTTTCTGCTGAGTAGTAAACTACTTTGAGAGAGGCAGGATCAACAACCAAGCTAAAATCACTATATAACGAATACTCAGAAAAGTATTAAGCCATACTATCAATATTAAATGAATTGCACATAACTGAGAAAGGCTTTTTACTTAGAACATAGTATGTCTATGATCTTTGACATATTAGACTAGCCTTAAATTTATTTGAGCATGGATCTAGATAAACTTGTGGTTGAATTGGGTTTAAATATTTAGTTTAAATTGATTTCGTGAACCATTCAAAGGTTCTAATATCTTTAGCTTGAAAATAGACGTATTGGCAGCCATTGCTTTATTCTTATTAGACTAAATTATTGGATTAAACCATCGTTGGATCATACACTTCGTATGCAGAACTCAAAAAATTAGAAAAAAAAGAACCATCGTATTCTGAACCAAAAAATATATCTGCAATTTGAATTTATCGAGAATACAATTGATTCATCTTATACGAATTTAACAAAACTGGTCTTACAAATACATTTACTACAGATTAATAGTATAGAAAGTACTCCATACTGTCAGTAAAATTTTTATCCTCATTATATTGTTTATTCTGCCTATTTATAAAAATAAAAAAATAAATTAGTTGTTTGTTTGTTTGTTGGTTGGTTGGTTGTGCATGAACTAATAAAATAATAAAAATAGTTCGCTATTTATCTACTTAAACGATGTTTTAAATATTTATTTCATAATAATAATAAAATAATTAATTTTTAATCGTTTATTCTAATTAAATCAATTTTCGAAATAATTAATTAAGATATCTTATAATATTTATAAAATTGTTAAAATATTTTTTTAAATATTCCTATTTAAAAAATAAATTATGGAATCAGCCTGCAGATCAGATCATAATAAAAATTTGCTTAAAATATCTAAGTATAAATTCGTATTTCAAATTTATTTAATTACCAAAAGCTGAAGAAAGGACTAGATATTTTCATTTACTAAATTATAAAATCAAGCGTATTTTGATCAAGCAAAGTTTCTTATATATTATAAGCATCTACACTAAAATTTAAGTTTATATATTAATAGTCTAAAAATAAAACACTTCTTTAAAATTTATCTATACAATAAGAGCTCCATGCTATATTTTGAAGCTAGCTATTTAACTAAATTATTATTGCATTGTTTTAAATTCTAGAATAATTTTATTTTGTTTAGTAGAGATTGTCTATATATTGATCTAATATTTAATTAGTCTAATCTAATATAATCATAAAAGAAATTATGCTAGCGATAAGCATAAAAAATAATGGTATAGATATTAATGCGCATATTGTTCTTCGTGTAGAAGACATACCTGAAAAGGGATTTATCTTTTAAATAAAGCACTCAAAACATTTTAATTTATTCTATCGTAGTAGCCTTGCTTTTTCTTCTAAACTTTTATAAATATTATAATTTTAACTTTGCATACTATGGTTATTTGGATCATTCAGATTCAGAGCATGCTAATTTTCAATACTTAATTTTCTTTCACTATTCGCTATATTCGTATTGAGCATTTCTTAAAAAAATAGTAATTAACTTAAAAAGCTGCTTTGCAGATTTGTTAAAATTCACTCACTATTCAGAAGGCTTATATTTATTTATAAGCTTTCTTATCTTTCTATTTCTACTTGTTTGACGATTTAGAAATACAATTAATTAATATATTAATGTTTGTTTATTGTGTTAGTTTTTTAGTTAATTAAAAAATAAAATTTCTATGTAAATTATAGTAATGCATCATTAAAAAATCAGTCAAATATCAATCCAAATGCTTTAATAATTGTGTATTAGGTTTTTATTTATTGATTTCACCCTTTTACTAACTACACAAATTTCTTAGCTAGCAATACTCTTTTCCAAGCAAATCAAAGCTTTTTTTAAATTTCAATCCTAATATCAAATTAAAATTTCAATCATTTTCTTTACACAAAATCCATATAAAATTAATAAAACTTAATTTTACCTGATTTATCCATACACTATTTTTTTCCTATTTAATTGTAGAAGTTCTTTAATTTAGATACTTTAGCATTTAAAATCAAGCGATCTTTGTTATTATCCTCGATATAAAAAAGTTATTCATTTTTAACAAACTGAAAGGCTTTAAAAAAATAAGTTTTTCAAACTATAATAATAAAATTGATATTAATTAAAAATGATAATCAAAAACAAAGAGGGAATCTAAATTTTTTATGTTGAATATTTTTCTTAATTTTTATTCTCTCTTTTGATATTACATTAAAAAAAAAAAAGTTAGAATTGAATATTTTAAGTTGATTATGTGGTTTTTAGTTTTTTCCTTTCTTAAAATATAAAATATATGATTAACCACAAATTAATAATCAAAATTTTTTATAGTTTACAGGTGAATAATCTTTTATAAACCCACATATTTGATTAAAAATTTGTGATGAATTAAAAAAAGTTGCTAATAGAATTTTATACTTGCTAAATCTTCAAATAAACTTGCAATTTATAAACTTAAATATTAACTCTGTATAAAAACTTTACATTTTATTTTTTAAAAATAATAAATATTTGAATCAATTGGATTTTCTAAAATGTAAAGAGTTTACTTGCTTTAATTTCTTGTTTTATTACATTGAATGTGTATTTTTTTACTTGTTAGTATTTTTTTTACTTGTTAGTATTTTTTTGCTTTTTAGTAGCATTTGATGAGCATAATACTTTAATAGTGTCATTCTTCTTATTGTTTTTAATATGTAATCTCCATACATAAAATTTATAATAAAAATCAGAATTCTTTTGGTTATTATTTAATTTATTGAATTATGTAAAATTTTTATAAAAAAACTATTTTCAAAATTTTGACACCAATATTTTTAAATAGATCAATTGAAAAAAATAAGAACATTAAAATATTTTAAAATAAAATTGATTAAATTTTTTTAGAAAAATAAATATTGCCATGAAAAAAGGAATTAAAATGACCCTAAACATTCACAAGCCTCGCTTGTGAAGCTAATGGAATCATAAACAATCAAAAAATGAATACAAATAAGAAGGTCGTTTAAAAATGCTCCACCGCCAGCGGTAATAGATTTGACTGGTAGTCAGAGCGTTGATTATAAAGATACTACAAAAGTTTTTTTGAAGAATAAAAATATTAAATAACACATTTATTTTCTACAAATTCTTCTGAACTCTTGCTGTGCTCATCAATAGACTCATCTTTGTTAAACTATAAGATCAATAACTAAATATCTAGCTAAAATAGTAATTCACATAGCTGATAATAGAGCTAATTTTTTTGTACATTATATTAATCTGTTAAGAAAATTAAATATTTTTTATAATTTTTCTCTTTTATATAAATATTAGTTGCTTCTTAAAATACTTTTTGAAAGGATTGGGATTACTTTTACTTTTCTTATTAACTAAAATTGTAAGGATTAATTTATTTACTTTCACTGATTTTATTTTTTCCATTTGTTGTTTAAATCCTTTAATAATATTATTGGTTTTAAATATTTTAAAGCTACTGCTGGGGAACAAAGTGAGTAAGAGCTTTTCTTATACCAATATGGAATATTTCTTAAGGATTTAATGATTTTTCAAATAATTGGGTTTCTATAGATCTTTTAGATGCTTGTGTTGTTGTCTTTCTGCTTTCATCAGCATTCACTAACTAAGGAGCAAAATCATGTATATTATTTTATGGGTTTTTAATTGAACTCATTAAAATTTTATTTTCTTGCTTTAAAGAAGAGCGATGATTTATGATTTAATTATTTATTTTTTTAACATTTCCAACTGTATTTGATCTTTATGACTTATTTTAAAGTTATTATGGCTATGTATTAAACATGGTTATGTTTGGACTATTATTTGCACTTAAATTAATTGATTCATGATGATTAAAGTTGTTATTTTGATTCTACAATGTTTGCCATTAGTGATTGCAATTTTTAGAAAAGCTTTGGTCAAGCGATAAAAATGATGTATCATTTGACAACGATAACTATTAATTAGTTAAATCATCTAATTCTTGATGATGAGTGTTTGATTTTTCATTTAAATTTGTTGCATTTGATTAGCTTTTATTTTTTATTTTTGTATTTTTTCTTATAACTGCACTAAAAGGAGATGTTTTTTCTATGAAATTGTTTCTTGTTGGTTTAATCAATTACTGTTGAGAGTGAAATTTTATTTCTTGTGTTTCCTAGTTGCTTGAAAAGAAAATCTATCTTAATGTTTTTTTCAAAATGTCTATATTTTTGTTTAGTGTAATGTAAGAAATATTTGAGATTTTCAAATTAAAAAGCTAATCTTGATAGGATAATAATCCAAAAGTATCTTCTTCATGCTTTAAAATATCCTTCATTAAATCTTTACAGAAATAGTAAGAGTTCTTTTTATTTTTATCTAAAGTACAAGTAGCTATTATGCCTACCCTTTAGTAAATTTGCTTTTTATAAACATTAAGAAGCTCGTTTAATTAAAATGACGATTTTCCAAACCTTTAAAATATTAACTGTAATTAATATAAGATTCTGAAATTGTAGTGTGGTAAGTATTATAAACTTTATTCAATATAATCTGTAATTTTATTAGCAGCTTCTAGGAGTTTATTCTAATTAAGTAATATGGCAACATTAAAATTTATTTATATACCATGCAAAACGCAAGCTGGATATTCATAATTTTGCAAATTTTTAGAATTTTGCTAATTTTTTACCTTTGAAGTGTTTTATGCTACAGAATTATTATTAAAATTATTGTTACTATTTTAAAAAGTTCTATTGAACGCCTATGATTTTTTTGTTTTTTGCAATTAATATTAATAAGACTGATTATGGTAATTTGAGTCTTATATATTTGAAGCAGGAATATTTTATTATTATTCATTCCAAATTATATTATTTTAAAGTTCATTTAATAAGACTAGATTATTTTATTATTCATTTTGTTTTAAGGCTTAAACATCGTTTTATTTAATTGACTGTGGTTCGTATGCATAACTAATATCTTCATTTAATTTTTTAGCAGAAAATAGCTACTAATTACTTAATATTATGTTTAGCTCTTTGTAAATTTCATGGTTGGAATTAATAAGAGAGTTTTCAATAGAGTCTTCAATCTAATTAAAAGACTAATTCATTTTAGTTTGAGGTTTTTGAAAATCTGGTTTAAAGGGAAGTTATACTTGCTGATTTTTTTATTTTTATTTCATCTTTTTTATTTGATGCAATTCTTAACTCATTTATGATTCTGTATGCTGCAAATCTTGATGTAACTAATCTTCCTCTTAAATTACTTCATTCACACTTTTATAATATTAATTAATATTTTGCTATTCCTTTTCCTTTAAAGCTATGATGTTATTATTTAATTATGGGGAGGTATAATTTTTAGCTTATAAAGGAGAAATTTATGCGTTACTAAAATTAATCAATAAATTATTCTGCTACTTTATAGAGGATAGTTAAAATTATCTTGGATTCTCTTGGTTACTTTGACCTTGTAAATTCAAACTTTAGTAAATACTTGTATTAATATTATTTTAGTGGTTTTCTATTTATAAATTCTAGTTTTAGCTGATAATTTCTTATTTTTATGAGTTTGTTTAATTGCTTCCTAAAAACTGTAATAATTATTATTAATTTTTATACTGAAGTATTCTTTAGTTTATCAAGAAGCTTATTAATTTGGCATTATTAGAAGAGGACTGATTATGAGTATTGTGTTGGGTATTAAGTGCCTCTATATGATCTTTTTGGCTTATCTTATTACTAATTTTCCTTTCATTTAAATGCGTAATATCTTCTGTTTGCTTTATGCTTACAGACTAAAGAGGTACCATTTTATTAGAAACATAAGTTTATGAATTTCTTTTTTTATGGTCTGTAAAAGCTCCCTCATTTTATTAATTATTTAAAAACTATTATTTTTAAATAAAATCTCTGATTTCGTTATTTTTCTAAAAATTAGTAGTTTCTTTTAAACTTAGCTTTTTGGCAATATGTTTCTAATTATTTTATAAACTCTAAACTGGATTTTAATTCTTATTACTATTATTTTAAATTAAAGAAGTAGCTTTGTTAACACGCAAGCTCTTATCTAAAACTTATTTTGAGGTATATGTTTAAGAGGGTAATTCAGAAAAAAAGTTAAATATATCTTAGTCATTAAATAAGTTGTCTTCAGATAATTCTTGATAAATTTAAGTGTAAAGTTCATCATATTATTTATTTGTATGGTCATTATATTGAATTTCTTAGTGATGATTTTCATATTCATATGCTTTCATGACATATTCTTTTGCTATCAAGCAGCTTTCTTCTGCTTCTTTCCACTTTTATTGCTTAGTTTGAATTAATGATAAATATGAGTAAACTATTGTATTTCTCCCATTCTTTTTAGGGAAGTACTTAGCAAGACTAATTAGCTCTTAGGCTAAAACTTCCGCTTCCTCCCATAAAAATTGCTAAAAAAAACTTTATTTTGAGTTTAAGAAATTGATAAAACATTTTAAATAATTCATCTTTCTGTGATAGAGGTTAAAAATCAATTGATGATATTCTCTTGTTTATTAAAGCAAATAACCAACTATTTGTAATTCTTCCTCTTCACTAGACAAACTTCCTTTTTCTTCACTTTTATTTTGCTTTTCGTTATTTTACACTAAATTAAAATTGCTCTAGAGATGAGAATCGTTATTATTTAAATTCACATTGTTATTATTATTCTATAGTTATGATTTATTGTGAACTTACTATTATTAATTTTGATCATTGTTAATTAAATTTTGATTGTGTGGTGTTTAGCTTAGCTTTTTTTTCTTTTATTTTAAAATATTAGCTTACTTCCCAGCTTCCAAATTATTTTATAACTAATAAGCCGAAGAAGCGACAAAAGAAATATTATTTAAATTTTCAATCTTGTTAATTACGCTTGCTTACATATTTTAGAATACTGTTTGGTTTTAATGAAAGCCTGTTGATTAGTTAAGGATATAATTACTCTATTATAGTTTAGCTTCTCTTTCAAACTAATCATGATTAATATATCCATTTTAATTACTCACCTAATTGGACTTAGGATTCGTCTATGCTTGGGTTGAGCTCTTTCTATTAAAAATGGAAGGTATTCTTTAATGTTCACTCTATTTCCGATATTGGTTATTAGTTACTTCAGAAACCTATTTACTTTAAAACATTCTCAAGTCATCTGGTTTTTCTCCATCTCTTACAAAATCTTTCTTATATAGACCTAACTCCAACTTTGAATAGACTATAGCGCTTTCATAATGCTAGAGTGCTTCAATATACCTTTCTAAATAAAACAAGATATTAGCAATATTATTATGGCAAACACCAAGAGCTCTATAATTCTTAAACTTTTCAAAATGAATTATTTATTTATTGTAGTTGAGTAATGTAGCACTCATTTCGCTGTTGAAGTAGCTTTGATTTGTAAATGTTAACATTTAAAACATATTTTTAAAGCTAATAAAAAGAATCTTCATGTCTTCTGAGTAGAAAAAAGACTCTACATTGATAGAAAAGGCCTGATTAACAGTGTTGAACCTATTTAAATCGCCAGAGTCATTTATTTTCTTCAAGAAATTAGTTAAGTGCCAAATCGGAAATTAAATCATATGTGTGATACATATAGATTGGTATAAAATAAATAATGTTAAAATTGTTAAAATTGAAAAAATTGTAATATAGCTAATTTTAGAATAGTAGTCTGTATCGCTCAACATTTAAATTGAGAATTTCTTCAAATCGTTTTATGATAAGACATCTATCAATAAGAAACTGGCTTCTAATCTATATTTTTTATTATTTTAAATGATTCTTTTTTATTAATTTTGCTTTTTGTTAAATTGATTGCTATTCTATAAATTTCTATCCTATTTATTTATAAAATTTCTATTGATATGGCTTTTGTTAGAATTAGATAGGTTAATTAAAATATTATCACTCATATATTATTCGTTACTATTAATATTACTATAATTATTATAATCATGAGTATTGACTAATTGATTTTCATCATCATCAATTTATTATTATTATTCATTTAATTAATTTTATAATACTCTTGCATTTGTTTTTGGTATTTTATCAATTATAATTACAGGGTTACATATTGCAAGAGCTTCGCTTCCATTTCTATAATAAGTAAATGTTTTTTGATAATTAGGAAGCAAAATTTCGTCAGCTTAAACAGAGTCAACTTCAGAGATCACCCAATTTCCAAAATTTTTTTTCATTTAATCTCTAAAAAGCTATGCTTATGTTTAGTCCTCTAAATTATCCAATTCTACACTTCCAAGAGTATTTGCAATAGCTCTCTATTAAGGCACTATAGAATGGTAAATAACACTATAGTTTCTTGGATCTATTACCATAGTATAAGTAGAAAAATTGCCCATATTTGCAAAGAAGCTTTACATCTTTTGTAAATTAAGGCTAGTACATTTAACCCAATGCATAGTTTTATTGTATCTTAAAAGCTTTTAACATAGCACGCTAGCTAAAAAGGGATTGCCTTGGTCGCTAAAAAATAAATCAGGAGGATATAAAATCATCGAATCCTACTTTACTGTTCCTGTATACCAATACCTGCATTTTCCATTAAAATGATTAGGTCCAGTAGGACAGCCATCTGGGTCTCTAAAATTTTTAAATGTTGTATTAGTGGCACTTAAATAACCCATACTGTTATGATCAAATACATGATAAATGCTATTAAATTTCAGATATCTTTCAGATTAGCTACTTAATATATTATCGTATTCAAACAATCTCCATAACAAATCTGAATATGTAGAGTTTCTAAGATGATCTTGTCCTATCTAATCGTATTAATTCACATATAAGTATTCATATTAATGCCTTTTATTATTTAAAATTGGTTGAAATTTATTTTATTTGAATATAACTATTAGTGAAGGATTAACTTATTGAAAGGAGTTTTTAATAAATGACTTGAATGGATTAGCTTAGAGGTACTTTATTAGTACTATAAAATAAGATAAATTTAATTTTTATTTTTTTGCAGATTTCTTGCTTTAATAATATGTCATGACTGAATTTAATTTATCTAAATAAGCTTTTGAAAAGAAGTCATGGTCAGTATTCTACCAATATTATTTACAAATTATCAATAGAAAATTCTTTATTTAGATGAAATTAAATTTAAAGCTTTGTAAGTATTTAATTAATTATGTCCATAATTTTCATGAAGATTTAAAATTATCAATTTAAAATCTAAAATATATTCAAATAAAAATTTAATTTAAATAGAATTAAAAACATATTATGTTATGTTAGCTAAAAATCTATGCTAATACCTATGAAATATATTTTTAACAGATTTATTTATAAAAAGGAAATCGTTTTTCTAAATGATAGCTTAAGTGTAAAATAAATATTCTGGTTGAGAAAATTTAATTTCAATTTCATCTAAAATTTTAAAAGGGAAAAAATTATATTTTTTGATAAAGAAAAATCGTAATTCATTTTTAAGCAAGTATTAATAAGCTAATTTATGTTAGGTAGAATTATATTATTAAGATTTTAACTTGAAAATAATTAATGAAGTCACTCTATTAATTTTTTTTGATGTAAAAGATTAAAAAAGGATGTATGATAAAATAGTTAGTCAGTTATCATAAAAATAGTTATGAATATTGTATATTTTAAATGTGTACTTTTCTAAATTTAGATAAAAGATAGATCTTAATAATCACATTTTATTCATTTTAATATAAATTGAATATAATTATTACCAAGTTCTAACTTGCACAACGCCGTATTTATTTTTCTTAAATAAATAAGTAGCCTTAGGTTCATCTTTATTTGCATATGTTCTTTCAGTATTTAGGAACATTGATTTATAATTTTTATTCATAATTACTTCTCCTTCTATTACCTTTTATGAGAATTAGTTCATAAGCTGAATAGACCAGGATTTCCTTTAAACCTACTATGATAACTAGAACTAAATTGCATTATTGAGTATCTTAGAGTTACTAATCTGCTACTCGTAAATAGATTAAGCATAGTCATTCACTTGCACATGCGTTTTCTATTAATAATAAAGGATGATAGTAAAGCCATAAATTGTCATCAGAATTGTGGGAAAGGCGAATATGACAGATATTTGAAGGAATAAGTACATTTAGCCTAAATTCCTTTCACTCTAATTTCTTTTATTCTTAGATTTGATTTCTTTCAATAAATTATTTGATAAGGATTAATTTTTTTTAAATTAATTTATAGATGAATGTTAATTTTTATAACTCAATTGTTTATTGATTTTTTTATTCAAAGACCAGCATCATTGTTATTTTTCTTAATCAGTTTAATGCGTTAAAAACTCAAATAAATAAATAAATAAAACAGGATTATCTATTTTAATATTTATTGATAACTCCTGATTATAACTTCATTTTACTCTAAGTTTAATAAAGTAAATAATAATATTAAATATTTACAAATGCAATTTATATAATGATCACAAAAGATATTTGGTGATTTTCATCTAAATTAGCAAAAAAGTATGAATTTAAGCATTAAGTAATTTTGTTTATGAATTTAATTCAAGTTTTAATTGTATGTCTCTTGTTAAATTCAATAAAACTATTAAAATAATTTTTTCTTTTAATTTTCCTCTCTAGCGAAATTATGAAAATCTAACTCTTGAATAATAATAATTATAAATAATAATCAATTAAAGGTTTGCAAATTTTATATAAAATTTAATAACATCATTTTTAAGTTTTAATTTAGAGTAATCTCACATTTTCTTTTCTTAATTAAGTAAGTAAGTAAAGAAAAGGGAATTTACAAAATAACAAAAGGAAACGAAATAAATAATTCATGAGCAATATAAATCATTAATAATTTATTTTAAGTATTCAATTACTTCCTCTATTCAATCTAAGGATAAAAATTGGCTATCTATCCACAAAATGTGAATAAGCATAAAAAGATACTTAAAATTTAAAATAATATTATAAAGCTTATAGTTTAAATCTGCAAAATTAAGATTCTAAAAATATTTATAAGTTGAAATACAGAATAAAATAAATAATTCATGAGCAATACAAATTATTAATGTATTCATTATTTTCTTCCTTTGCTCAATCTAAGTGCTAGAATTGATTATTAAATGATTAAATATGAATAAGCGTAGATAAAAGTATAAAATTTTTAACGCTTTATTAAATTAATAATTTAAATAAATTCACATACTATTAAGACTTTAAACTCATTTATAAATAAAATTACAGAAATAAAATAAATAAATTTAGAATATTATAAATTATTATTTCATCGAAGGCATTAAATTTTTCTTTCTCTATTGAATTTAAGTTTTAAAATTGGTTATCAAACAAGAAATTAATTATTACAAAGTATTAAAAGATGCACACATTTTAAAAGATTTTATTTGACCAATACTTTAAATTGAATTCCATAAAATTAAATTACTAAACACATTTTTTAATGAAATAAAATAAAATTATTTTTTATTCTTAATAAATGAAATTGTATGGAAATAAATTAAATTCTTTTTTATTGTCTACCTAAAATTATTTATTATAAATTCACATACTATTAAGACTTTAAACTCATTTATAAATTAAATTACAGAAATAAAATAAATAAATTTAGAATATTTTAAATGATTATTTCATTGAAGACATTTAATTTTTCTTTCTCTATTGAATTTAAGTGTTAAAATTGGTTATCAAACAAGAAATTATTACAAAGTATTAAAAGATGCACACTTTTGAAAAGATTTTATTTAACCAATACTTTAAATTGAATTCCATAAAATTAAATTACTAAACACATTTTTTAATGAAATAAAATAAAATTATTTTTTATTCTTAATAAATGAAATTGAATGGAAATCAATAAAATTCTATATTATAGTCTACCTAAAGTTATTTATTATTGATTCTTTATTCATAAAGATACCTTAATAATTTATCTGCTGAAAAAAATTATTTTATTAGAAGCCTTTAATCATGTTTAAGATATTCTAAACTAGTTTTTTCTTGTTAGCACTCAATATCATTTAATTGCAGAATAAGTAATTTTATTCTCATTTCTTATAAAAATGAATTTAAATGTTAAAATTAATCATCAAAATCTATGTATGGTTTATCTATTATTAAGACTATATATTTACAAATTGAAAAGTCACAAAGCAAGTCTTACTTGTTTTTTTTCTTTTAATTAGTTATAAAAATATTTAAAAATAATAATTTTTTATAAAAAAATTTACTTTAGTCTTTTTCTTATTTAAATTATTTTATTTAATTTGGTTTAATTTGCTGTACTCAATTTGCTCTGCACTTTTATTAAAAAATATATTATTCACAGCGTTTCTGATGCATAAATGAAATAACTTATTAAAGTAAAATTATTTCATTAACTCCTAGTTATTTTAATAGAGTCTTTCAGTTATTGAAATATTACAAGTTCGACATGTGCTATTTAAAATATTTTTAGATAATTTTTATTAAATGTCTGAAGGTTGGAAATTTGCATCGAAAATATTATCTTATAATTTATTCCCAAGGTATAATTATAATGAATTGTGGTTATATTGATTGTTATTTTGGCATTTTAGATTTTCATCCTCTTCATCATCAATTTTATTCAATGAAAAAGTACTGGAAAAACAATTGCATGTTTTTATTAAGATGTCTTCCTTATTTTGGTCTTCTTGCTTATAGTTTATTATCTCTTATAACTAATTCTAAATCAATTAATAATTTTATGATATTTAAGACTTACAAAAAAGTTTAAATAGTTGCTGGAAATGTGATTCACCAAATCTATATTTAATGACTCCTAATCCATCTTCTTAAAATAAGAGGATATTTTAAATTATTTCATTAATTATCCAATGTGAAATCTCTCTATTTTTTTGTTTTGAGCAGCATACTACTACTGCAATTTTAAACAATCTTTTTTGTTAAAATTTATCTATTATAGAATATAATTGTTTGCTATGTAAGTTATTTTCTGCGAATATACTTTAGACTAACTAAAGTACTTAGAACTTTCCTTTGTAGGAATAATATTTTTAATCTTCCAGACTTTATGTCAATACATTTATTGCTTCATATGTTTTTCCTTATGCTAGTAAGAATTTAGCTTTAGCAATAGCCATAAAGCTTTAAAGAATATCACAATTAAAATCATATGCCAAATTTTTTAATTCAATTTGTTAAGAAAATCTCTTATTTACAATTTTTTAGAAATTAGAAACTTATTGTGTTGTTAGCCTTTTGATAGGTTTTGTATTCGGACTTGAGTCGATTGCATATGATATTCTTTTATTCGTTAATTAAAAATTTTTATAAATATTTCCTGTTTATTAATCTTATTTTTGGAGGTTTAAGCAATCATCTTTATAGGTATTGTAATTTGAGTATGATTCGTTTTTATCTACACTCTCACCAACATTTTAAAATAATACTTGAGTTAATCTTTATGTATTAAATTGTGATTATTCATTTTTGTTATTTGCTTATTACTCTAAAAGCAAATCTTCTGAAGCTTTTCTATAAGTATTCAATTCATATATATTTAAATTTTTTGGTGATTTTTCATTTGTATTTTGAGGACTATTAAGAGTAGCAATATTTTTTTATCCTCTGACAAAAAATTATGCTAGTAAGTTTTAATTTGATTGTATTGAGTTTCTTGTTTTTATCTCCAAACCTATCTCATCCAATTGTGTCTTTGATTCCTTATCGATTTTTATATAGTTTATTTCCTAATTTTCATCATCTTCTTCAGTTTTGATATTATTAAATTTTTTTTCTAAATTCATACTGCTATTTTAAACTGTTTCTTTTTCATCAATTTAATTTGGTAAATTAATATTTTCTATTTTTAAAAAATATTTTAATATTTAAAAACTTTTTAATTTAAAGATTTACTTAATTTGATTATGGCACTATTTTTACTGGTCTAGATTTTTTGATCTATTTAATTATTTTATAATTTTTTATCAATAGATTTATTAAATAAAATGCTTGTAGTTTCTTTAATGATATTATTTTGACGTATTATAAAAGGAATTTGTTTCGTTTCTTTTTTTAAAAGAGGTGGACTTGCCCTATTTTATTGGCACTTGTCTGAATATTAGGAAATTGCACTTTAATTCTTATTTCTGACTTAAATAAAACTTTAGCCTCTTACTGACTATTCCAAAGCAAATATGTTATCTTGTTCATCTAAATATTTTCTATCGAACAAATTTTTAATAATATCATATTATATTTCTGCTTACTTTAGCTCGTTAAGAATTAATTAATATTCTAATATATAAATTCTTAGAATTATTTCTCTACTCAGATTCTCATCTTGCAACTTAGAAGATATCTTTAAAAGATCATTAGCTAAAGATATTAGCTCCTCTATATAAAACAAATCTTAACAAAATTAAATATTTTAGTTGCTTGGATTTTGCTATTTTTGTATACTAATTTCTTACTGATAATAAGTATTTAAGCACTTAAACATATTAAATTTTCTATTAAATAAATTTTCTATCAGTTCCTATTTTTCAATCCTACTTTAAAGCATCTCATTCATATCCTTTCTTTTTAATCCTTAATCTTATTACGTTTAAGAAAGATTATAGCTTGTATCAGCTTTTTTTTTCTAATTTTAATTTAGAGAGGTTTTTGTTTAAGTGGTTTGTCTTTGCAAGTTAAGGAATTTTGATAATCTTTGTTATTAAGATTTTGATTAATTTCCGTTATCTTCTTAATAAATATTAAGCTCTTCATACGCATAAATTATAGAACGTTCATAATGATCTAAGGCTTCTAAATATCTTCCTTACAAGAAGTGAATATTTGCCAAATTATTGTGGCAAATCCCTAAAGATCGTTTATTTTAAAACTTATCAAAAAAGTTTATCTGCAAATTTAAATTTAGTAAATTTTCGCTAGGATCTTCTTTGAGCAAATTTAGTGCTGAATATCTAAGCATTTTAACCAAACTTGTAAAGCTTTCATATAACAATCTAGTATCTTCAGAGTAGAAGATACTATAAAATTCACTTTATTAGTCTAAAAACTGTGTATTTTAAGCTATTATAAATTCATTTATATCATCTAAATTAAGTTGAATGTTATTAAATATTTTAATTAGTCGATCAATAGGATACTCAATCATATGTGAAAATATAATAGAATATTATAATATGATGCAAACCACTACGATAAGCAATAATCCAAATATTACGATTGTCAGGATGAATACTATCTTTAATTTGTCTAGAATTTGTTATGAAAAACTCATTAGCTCTTTCTCAGATAGTATATCCATCAAAATATATATTGTAATGTAATTAAATTTATTAGGAAAAGTAGAATTGTATGATTAATTATCATTATCAACATCACTGTCTAATTTTTCCACTGTAAATAGTAAATTAAAAATAACTAAATAATTATTATCATGATCATCTTTAATGTTGTATTCTTATTGAAATTAATTAGAAGTAATAGTATCAGTAAAGTCTAATCGTTTCTCTGTTTTTATTTATCTATTAGAGTATTTTTATTAAATCATCTTATAAAATTCCTTCAATTATTTAGAGTGTCCTATTGATTTTTAAAGTAAATCTTAAAGCTTAGTCGTTTTAGAAATATCTAAGTCTTGCCTAGAATCATAAATTGCCACAAAAGACTAAGGATCAAATATTATCTAGTGAGTCTTTATATTTTAATAGCCTCTAAAAAATTTTTTAAGATCATCTACAAACATATAATCACAAAATACAGCATAGAGTTATTTAGATTTATCTAAAGTTCTTTGGCATATCAAATTTACTAGTTATTGTTAGCCATAAAAACTTAATATAGGTAAAGGTGGATAAACCACCAATCCTGGACTTTCCTTACTAGCCAAGTACCAAAAACGACAACGGGTATTAAAGGGATACTTTGTTTTGGGACATTTTGGATCATCAACTTAGTTACTAAAGGTAGTGTTCATATAATTAGAAAAAAAAACACCATTAGAATTAAATGCGAATATTTAGTAACCTAAATTTAATGTAGAATTTTATTGGTTTAAGTATTAGTGGACATAAGCCCTCAAAATATAATTAAGCCTATCATTTCTTACTAGTTCTATTTAAGACAAGCCATCTAATTCATTATAAATAAGAGTTTAATCGCTATACCTATTTTGTTACATTTTTAAAAAGTAATATTGATTTTTGGTAAAAGAATAAAAAAGTAGACAAATTTGTTATTCATGAATAAAATAAAGTAGAACAATCATTTTACTGATCAATATATATTTATAAAAAATCAGGTTATTTACCAATTTGATGCATAATATTCATTCTATAAAGCTATCTAAGTTTTTATGGGGTCTTCTTTATTTTAGTAGATTAATTCTTAGTTTAGCATAAGAGGAACATATTTGAGGTTATAATTGTATTTGTCATCAGAAAGCTTAAATAATTGCTTTCTTAAAACATAAGCTTAAATTGAAATTTCTTAGAGTTGATTGTTAAGATTTAGAAATGAAGCTTTATTTAAACTCTTTGAAAATTCAATTTGCGTTTAAAATACACTTTGAGAAAGCTCTGTAACTTTGTCTTTCAATATATTGTATTACAAAAGTATCATTACAATTGGTGGACTACTTATCATTATAATGTTAAAAAAAATTAAACAAAATATCATTATTTAGATCTTCATTTTAACTAAAATGCTGCTTTCTTAAAAAAATATTAAATAGCTGAAAGTAGCTATGATATCACGTTTACAGCTATTCGCTATACGTTCTAAAATTGTATAGCTAATAAGACCTGATTATCTGTTTTGTGAGAATCTTTTGCTTATCTGCTTATATTTTTACTATGTTGTTAATCAGGTTTTAATTACTACTTTTCTTATTAAATATAGTATAATAATTAAATGATAGTTGATTGGTGTCGTAATTTTTGTTTGTTTTATTATTTTTTTTATATTTTTTGTGCAGTAAAAATTGCTTATCTGTTTGAAATTTACAATTTAACAAAAAATACAAAGTAAGTGCTTTGAATTAATAAATTTATGGATTTTTACAAAATATATTAATATAGATTAATATCTTACTATTCTTTTTGCATTTCTGGCAAATAATTATGAGCGCTAATTTAATAGGATTAAATTTAAGTAAATTCAAATTTTATAAAGGTTTCAAAAAGATATAAAAAAAAAATGATAATTAAATGAAGCATTTTGCTTAAAAGCAAAATTACTCTCAAAAAAGCATAAAGAAAACCGTTTAAAAATACTCTACGTTTTATGCAATAAATTTTTACTATATTTATTCTCTTTAATTAAAAATATATTATAATAATTTTTCATAGCTATAGAAATATTGAATAAAAGTCTATTAGCAGTTTGAGTAATTTGATATTGTAGGCTATTCTTAGAATTATTAACTTTCACCCATTTATAAAAAGAGTAGTTCCACATTAATACTTTCTAATAAAGTACAGAGCTCTTTGTAAAGAAGATTATCTTATAATCCTTCTTAATCTATCAATAAGATAATAAATTTTTTAAATACTTTACTAAATATCTTATTTTATTATGCAAAGTCATCCTATCTAGTTTCTTATTTTTATTATTTAGTTTCTTAAATTTAGTTAAAATTTAAATTAGAAATTATTTTGTTTGTCTAAAATTATACTTTAATTGGCTATGTTTATTATTTTAAAAAATCTTGCTTATAATTATTTTATTCTAGCTATGAAGCATGCTAGTTGAATTATAAATGTCTTTTACAGAGTTAATAATTTAAAAATTAATTATTAAATAAATGAAAGAGAATGCTTTTGCGTAAACCTAAATGAATGATTAAATTAACCTTTTCTTAAATTTAGGCAGTTATTTGCTTTTCACTCTAATTTTAATAGCTCTATATTCCATCTGTTAATTAAGTATCGCTTTCATTCAAAATTGAATCTTAAGCCATAAATTTACTGTTATTATATTACTGACTCATTCCCTTGCTTGAAACTGAGAATCTACTTTCTAAATAGCTATTGTTATTTTATGTATTTTTTGATGAACTTGCTAAGCTCGATTATAGAAAGATACTTTAGTTGTGATAATTCTCCAATGTATTGCTTTTCGATTTTTCTGAATAAATATTTTCTTGTAAATTGCTAATTTAACAAGCATCATCAGTACAATCTTAAGGTGTGTTGTTAAGTTAACAAAAATTACCATAGCTTTATCTTTTTTCATTTTACTCATAAGAGGAGTCAAAACTTTAAAATTGTTTTCTGCTTATTGCAAGTGGACTGTTGCTATAGATAGATTTAGGACTACCTGAGTATTTCGAATAATTACTTATATTTTTTTTTAGAATTGGGGGATTGAAAATTTCTAAATAGCTATATTTCGTTTATTCACGTTATTTTATTTCTTTTTCTTGTAAAAAATCAAGTAATAAAACGAGATTATCTTCAACGAATTCTCTGTTATTATTTATCTCTGATTTTTTAATAGGGGGTAAAATTTGCATTATTTCATCTAATTAACTGATATCACTTATATCTTACAAATAAGCTAAAACACCCAAAGAATCTTCTTAATTTGTCATAACTTAATCAATTATTTCTTGACATATTTAATAAGAAATATATTTATTTATGTCTTATTAACAAAAAACAAATAAGCTTATTTTAAAAATAGTTATTTCATTAAATCCATTTATTTATTTCTTTAAAGGCTCGAATTCAAAGTTCATATTTTGTTTGAAAATGCTATTTAAAAATCTAAGCAGCTTTTACTTTGGATGTGTTTGATAGCATGTAGAATTTTTAAGAGATTTAGAAATCATTTTAGCTGCTTAGTAATTGAAGCCTTCTTTCATTAAAATTTAACTTTCTATAATTGTATAGTAAGATTTCATAATTTCAAACGGATAATCATAATTTTGTATTAATCTCTAATCAATATCTTTAAAAAAACTCACTTTTTTATATATTTTTTAAAATTTAATTAGCTTTTTTATATGTTAAGAGATCATTTATTTTTCTTAATTTTTAGGCTCTATATTTTAAATAGAAGTTAATGAATATTTTGGGCAGCTCTCAATTTCTTTCGAATCTTCTTTAATTCTAGCTTAAAATGAAAATCTTTCCTTATTTTCTACTTATTTATTAAAACAAGAGTAATTTAAAGGCTTTAATTATTTTTTATGTAAATTTGTGTCTTCTTCGATCTTTTGATCTTTATTAATATTATTGATTATAAACTAACTTTGTGCCTTTTACCTTTCTTGATAAACAAGCAAGTTAAAAGAAAATTATTTTTAATTTTCTTATTTTGAATTGTTTTAAATAGTTTTAACAGTTTGAATTTTTTAATCCATTTATTATTTTGTTTTAGAATCACTCATTTTTTAAAAATTTGACTGTTTATTTTGTTTAATTGTGTTTTATGATAAATTACTAATATTTTAAAGAGAAACCTTTTTTTGGCTAGCAAAATATTTTAAAAATTGAATTTAATTATAGTTTTCTCTTTCTTCCTTATAATTTTTTACTAATTTTGAATATGATTATTTTTTTTTTCTTTTTATTTGACTTTGTAAATCAGAATTTTACTATTCAGATGGAAAGTCAATTTAATTGCCAATATTTTTTCTCTTCACTTTTTAATATCTTTAAATAATCTTTGTTGCATAGACTCTTTCGTGATCAAAATTATTTTAATCTTTGCTTCTTATCTAAATTAAATCCAATTCTTCTTTTAATTCAAGTACTTTTTTTACTTTCTCTAGCTATATTTTTGCCTATTAGATATTGTTTGTCGAATATTTAATAAAGCAAATTTCTAATTCTAAAAATATATTTCTTCCATGACTAAATTCTAAAAAACTTCCTAAATTATCAAGTTCATTTAAAAGTTATTCAAGCTCTTCCCAAAGCACATTACTAAAACCTTATTTTTCATAATACGCAAGTAGGCATTTATAGTAATTATATTTTCTATTGAACAAGTTCTCTACTAAGGTAAGATTTTTATTTTCAAAAAGAGATGCTACACTCTTTCTTTTAGGTTTTATTGAGCAAACTAGTTAATTTATTAAAAACATTTTAAAATATATTATTCATATTATAAGATTCTATCTTAAATTTATTGAAATAAAGATTTTAATTAATATAATACCTATGCTAGTTTAATAATATGAATGAAGATTTTTTTTAGAAGTTGTTTCTTGATAATATTACAATTATATTTTAGCACATATTATTGAATTTTGGTAGTTTTCAAGAGCTTCAAGATACCTCTACTCAAAGAAGTGAATATTAGCTATGTTATTATATAATATGCCCAATTCTTGATAGTTAGTAAATCTCTTAAAAAACTAAGTTTAAATATTCATAGAAAGTAAAGTTTTGCATGAATTTTCTAAAAATATATTTTATTATCTATACTTTAACATTTTTATTAAATTTTTAAGAGATTCGTACAGGGTAAGAGTATCTCGCGATCCGAAAATATCTTCTGCTTTCAGATCACCAAATATTTTATCTTCGATAATTATCAATTCTTTTACATCTTCAGGTTAAGTTTGAATTTACTTGAATAAATCAATCAAATAATTGATTGGATTTATTATTGTATTATAAATTGAGCTCGTGTAATAAAAGATTGTTATAAAAATGATGCTAAAAATAATGATGAATACCAGTGCTAATATTCGATATTGTTGTTTAACTAAAACTAACGAATTTGTTGTTAGGATTTCTACTTCATCAACCTTAAAAAAATCAGAAAATAAAAATAGATAATATTTATTAAAAGTTTTGTTTTGATTACTCAAACCTTAATAAATTAAATACAAAGGCATATACTCCATTACGATACTCTCATCTTAGTAACTTTGCTCATTTTTATAACTTTGATTATCAAAGATATTTTGTATTGCTACTTCTTGAAAATTTTTAAATGACTAATCGAATATTGATAATTATTATTAAAAGGATTATTATTGTAAACATTCTTCAGTTTGCTAATTCTAACAGATATATTATGAATAATTGTTTATAATTTCTTCTTTATTTATGTGGAAATACAAAATGTTATAAATGTTCATGTCTCCTTAAATAATTTAAAACATATTGTCATTCAAATTTAAATAAACTTAATAACACATGATTACATTTTATTCTTTATTATTAGTGCTATTAAGTTATTTGCTAAATATCTTTTTGCAAGAAAAAAAACTTTTTACAGTTTGCTGAGTTTAACTTAGTCTATCATTATCAACTTTAGAATAGTAAAAGTAGTTTTCTTAAATTTTAGCCTACTAAAACCATTCAAAGCAATTTAAGTCAAACTTTTGTTAGATATCTATTTAACAATTTAGATCATTTAATGATTAAGGTATTTACTTAATCAAATAAGGAGACATTATTATAAATTATGGTGAGAGCTCAAAATCTTCATCTGTGTATTCTAAAGCGAAAAAAGGTTAACTGACCTATATTAGATTTTATTTAGTTTGATAAGCTGTTTTATTTCTTTCTATTTAGAAAGGCTTCGTCAATACGCTTAATTAAGTCAGATATATTAATTCTGACTAATTAAAGGTCAGCTAATTATCAATATCAAGTTTTTTACTTTAGAACCTAATATAAGTAGAAGTTAGGTGAATAAAATAGCAATTTATGTAAAATTGAATAAAATGACTTTTATAATAGAAAATATTCATTGGAATAGTCTTTTTCCTAAAATAATTATAAGAAAAATATATTTATTAATATTACCAGTAAGAAATAGTTAAAGGATTATTCAAATATAGTTGTTTTATATGATCATCTTCAATTCCTTCTTCTAATTTCAATATGTTAGCTAATGGAGCTACATATTGTTAATTCATTATCACTTTATTGCTTTACAGCTTGATACAAAACTACTAAATTAAGTAAGTTTGTAGAGAATTCTCATTTAAGTTATTTTAAAACACTCGTGCTTTAAAATAGTTTATTTATTAGGTCACTACTCTATATTCACTTTCAAGAAACAGCATAATGTTATTTTTGTTTTAAATGTAATTATCTATATTCAAATAGATAATAAAAATTACTCCTAAAACCTACAATAATATTGGAACACAAATTAAACCCAGAATTTGCATATACAATTTCTTAATGCATTTCATTTTATTGTACCTACCTTAAAGTTTGCTAATTTTTAAACTCTAGATAAAGTTTAATTGCCGTTTGTCTAATATATTGATTAGATTGATTATGCTTATTAATAAGGTCTTTAATTATATTATTTTAATTTTACTAAAAAGTTAATGCAATTCAATTCAATCACTCAATCAATTAGTTTATTTTTTATTTTAATTTCAATTATATTTTGAATAGTTATCAAGGTTTTATTTTAATCTTTAATTCATTTCTAAACTGTTTATTTTCTATTCAAATTTTTTTGTAAGCAATCTGAAAATTACATATTTTAAATTGAAAAAAAAACATTTTATAAATGTTTTATTATTAAAAAAATCAAAATTTTTAAATTTAATTTATTAAAAAATAATTTGAAAGTCAAATCAATCAATTTTTTCTTAATTTAAAACTTGGCAAAAATAGTTTAAGTAATTATTTCATTATCTTTCAAAGTAAAGACTAAACTTTTTGTCATTTATATGTTAGATTTTTTTTGCTTTTATTATCAAACAAAAAAAATGGCAAAAAAAAAGCAAAAAGTTAATCTACCATGAGATTCCTAATTAAATAAGTATTATCAATTTCAAAAAATTAGAAATCTTACAATTTTATAAGAAATTAGTAATGGTATAATCTATCTATAAATTTACTTAGACCCTTTTCCTCTTTAATTATTAATGTTTATAATTAACAGATCTTTCATTAATATTTTTGATTAATATTAAAAATTATATTTTTACAAAGTCAAAAATTACTAAAGTTAAGAAAAATCTAATAAGATAAAGAAGATTATTCTTAATCTTTAATGAAGAATAAAAAGGGATCTTTATTTTTATGAGCAAAAATTTTAGGTTAAGTTATATAAAGGATAATGAGAATTTGAATTCACTAGATAGTAATCAATTTTGTCATTTCTGAGAAAGCCTTTGAAAATATTTTTTCCTTTGTTATGTATGAGATCTCTATTTTCGAATTAACAAAGAAATACGGTAATAGTAAATGTTAAAATAGAAATTATAAAATACAAGGATTGGTTTTAATGAAATTAATTGAAAGCTATCCAAATACTATTTTAGCAAAAGCTACTATTGCTTAGTATGAAGTGAAGTGATCTAAATTTTAGATTAACTAAATTATTGTAGATTAATAATATACGTTTTCAGTAAATCTTCATTTATTATTGCAAACTTTTGTAAAAAAATGTATGAAAATAAGGAAAATTAGTTTTACAAATAAAATTATTAGATTTTAAAATAACATTTTAAAAAAAAAGCACAAAGGGATATTTATCCAATAAATATATTTATTAATTTTTAATGAAGCTCCATAGTAAATGAAATGCAAAAGGTTAAATAAACCAATTTTTAAAATTAGATTATTGCTTTTTTTTGAATTTTGAATGGAATATGATAATTATATATATTTAATTTCAAGGTTTGAGTGCAAAACTTTTATATTTTAAAAAAGTAAAATAATTAATCATAATATGGTTCATTTTAGTAAACAAACAAACAAACATAAAGATTAAAAATTTTATATATTTATGTAAGAGTAAATTAGATATAGTGAATTATCTAAAAATTATAGTAAGATATGAAGACATTTTCTTGGAGTTCATTACTTTTTAATTAATTAAAATAAAGGCTTAATTCCTTAAAGTTTTATTAATTTTGTCTATTTTTAACTATTAAGTTAATCAACTTAAAATTATTAAAGTAGACAAAACCTTAAAATAGAGTAATGATTCTGAGAAAACAAAGTTATTTATTATAGACAGACAAACAAAGTCTATGTTTCAAAAATGAAGAAAATAGATAATTAAATTAGTAGTAATTTTTATTTCGTGTAATTTGCTATCTATCAATGATATAGATAGAGTACTGATTAATTTAAAAATAAAAAAACTTTTTATCATACTTATCTCTTAATTTAAACATTAAATACATAGATACAAATTTTTTAGTTCGAACTAAAGATTCATAGAATAATAAGAAAATATTTTTAAAAAATAACTATGTTTTTAATGAATTTATACTTAGTTATTTTCAAAAAAGAGGTCTCTTAAACGTATATTTTATTAGTAATAGAGAATTTCAAATTTTTAAACAATTTAAATTAAAGTAATTTTATTAACTAAATTTTTAGCTCAGTTTAAATTCTTGATGAAGTTTACTCAAATATAATAAATAATTAATAAATAATTAAACTTTACACTAACTAACTAATTAAAAAAAAATTATTTTGATAACTCAATAAAAGTAGTGTAAAAAAGCAAGAAAAATGCAGGTAAAGAAGATAAGTACCATAGCTTATATGTTAGTTATGGTTTTCTATGGGGTATTCACATTAATTCTAAGGTATATTGATCATTCTTTAAACTTTGATTTTTGGTTTTAGATTTAAATCTTAAAGTTAAAAAGAAAATACATACATTTCTTTATGAATAAACAAATAAATAAATAAATAAAACCTTATCATAAAATTTTTATAAATTAGTATTTTTGCCTTTACAAAGTTTTCTGATACAAGCTAGTATTATGATAATATTGTGACTAACTTATAGTAAATTCCTATAGTTGATGTATAAAGCAAGTCAACTTAGAATTGTGACTCAGATTACAGTTCTTTGTTTAATTGGAATTGGGAAGGCATGTTCAATGGCTGTGACTGCACTAAAACAACTGACTGGAAAATTTAGAAGAAGATGTATCGCGGTTTATGCACAGGTAATATGATTATTCATGCCTGCGTAAACGCTTCAGGTATTAAAGCCTAACCTTTTAACTTTTTTGAAGGTAATTTAAAAAATAAATCACTAGATTTTATTATTATTGCACTAAAAATATAATGTTAAATTTTATTAACTTTAACTTAATGTATTTATAAGGAACTGCAAACACCTAAATGAATGTATGCATAAAAAGAGGCTCAAGTTAATATGCATATTATAAGGTTGCCGATTAGTAGAAAGGAGTTTAATGTGTAGGTAGAAAGCTATGTGGTAACTTAGCATATCCTAAAAGTGTTTTTTGTGTAGCTTTGACTGATCCTTGTCCGGTTTATGATATATAAGTTTCTTCAACTAAAGCTGATTCTAGATTTATTGGATATTAAGTAGCTAATCTTCCTAACGGCAATTATCTTTATTATGATAATCTTGGTACAACTGCTACGAAAGAGCCTTTGAGTGAATTTAGACTAACACAAGGAGAAGGAGTCTGTCAATTCGTAAATACTTAGAGTAAAATTCAATTTTTGAAATTTACATCCAAATTAAAATAGTAATTATTATGTAAAAATAGAAAATAAACCATCTGGATAATAAGATTATGTCCTATCAAAATCCAATAGAACATCATGCTCTACTTATGATCCCACATTTGTCTAAAATGGATTCTCTGTAAAACCAACTATAATATTCTCGCATATTTATTTATTTTATTAAATTTGATAAATAGATACCCGAAAATAGATATTATATCCTAAATATGAATCCAACTGATTATACAACTCTCACTAAGTATCCAGGAATTTAAATCCCAAGCTCAACTTCTTAATTTTATACTTTCCAAAGAAACTATTTATCATGGAATATTACAAACAGAAATTTAGTAAAATAATTTATTATTATAAAATTTTTTTATAAATTTAAATTTTTTTTAGATGAAAGATTTTGTTGAAGCATCAAGCTCTTTAAATGATTTATATAAAGCTTAACTAGTTGTAATGATTATCAACATATTTGTTTGCTTAATCGTATCTATTATCCTAAATGTTTTAGAACTACTAGGTCTACTGGGCAAAGATGTTTCTTGCATCAATGGATAGGCTAAAATTAAAAAAATCAAAATGGCGCTATCTTACGGAGCAAAAATTTTGTAAACTCCTGTAATAAATTAATTTAAAATCTATTTTAAATAAAAATATTTTGTGAAATTTATTCTACTTTTTTAAAAATTAATTAATAAAATTTTATAAAATAAATAGTTTCTCCTGTGGGTATTTATACTCTCAGCTCAAAAAAAAAGTATTATTTCTGAGGTTGCAAATGCTGCACCAATGGATTCCACATTTAATTCATAAATATCTTCATTTTCAACTTCATTAGAAGATTCAGTTTACAAAAATAATTTAATTTCCCTCATTGTGCTTGGACTTATCATCTTATTAGACATACTTTTGTTTTTAATATCTAAATGCTGCTCTAAAAATAGTCCTGATACATATGCTGAATCTGAAAAATTTAATTTTTCTGAAAATTAGAAACCTGAAAATTAAAACTAATTCCCTATGCAATAATAGCCTTAACATTCTAATATACAAATGCAAAATGTATAACCTAGTGTTAATTAAGGTTATCCTGTTCCTTTACCAGTTACTTATTAGCCTAGCTATATTTAGTAATAGCCTATATAATAATAACCAGTATACGCCTAGCCTATGTAATAGTAATAACAATACGTTTAACCAGTGCAATACAATTAACCTGCTAAACAAGTAATCTTCGTCTAACCAGATTAATAAGGTTAAAATTACTATTGAGAAAATATATTCTAAATAAAAAATAATTACTCATTCTTTAATTCTAATTATTTTTTCTAATTAAAACCATCTGCAATAAATAAATAAAAAGAATAAAAATTATTTTATTTAACTAAATAATATTCTCTTCATAAATAAGCTTAAAGGCTAAATAATAAATTAATAATTTTTTTTAGTATTAATTTATATCATTATTTAAGTGTTATTTGTTGCTTTTTTTTCTTTTTTTGATAATAATTTTTTAATTAAACTTTGATCGATATCTTAATACTGTTAATTAATCATTATAAATAATGCTTTCTCCTAAAATATCATTTTTTCTCAACTTCATTCAACTCAAAATTTTATAAAAAAAAAAATACTAAAAACATAAGATATTTTAAATAACACAATAATTTACAAGAAAATACATTAGTGAACTTTCTAATTTATTATGTTTTACACTTATAAAAATAAAAAAATTATTTTTTTTACAAAAAACTAATTTTCAACACCTCTTTTTAATCTTATTAATGACATAAAAATAAATCTTCTACCTTATTTTTAAAAACTATACCCATAATTTTTTATAATTAATTTACTGTGAAAAATAAATTTTTTAATTTTATATTAAGTTAAAAGACAAACAATAAATTTATAATCAATAATGCTAAATATAAATGGGATATTTATAGTGATTAATGTTATCTCTTTATGATTTTAGAAAGACTGAAATATTTTTTGGTTAATATATAACTTTAATAATGTCTTTATGCAAGTGCTAAAAAGTTTAATTTGCTTAGGTTTCAAGAAAATTATTACCTTTTTTTTATGCTTAAATGATAATCACTATATCAAAGTAAAATAAAAATTAAACTAATTCATCAAAAAGAGAGTCTCTTAAAATACTTATTTTATCAGTGCAATAGATAATATACTTTTAGCTTACCTACCTTTTTTATCTAATGCATTCAGTAAAAAACCTAGCATCATTTTACTGAAATTTCAATTTTTAGAGTTTTAAATAACTTAACCTATAGTTTATTTCTTAACAAAAGAAAAAATTTAAAGCTTTTCTTATTGCCAAGTGGAAAGTTAAATTTTTATTTTGTATTTAAGTTAATCTTTTATCTTTTTATTATTGTTTTATTTCTTAACAATCAAAGCATCTTAAATTCTATCTCAAATACTTTAATTATTAATTGGCTTTTTATAAGATTTAATTTTTTGTATTAAACTTATTTTGAAAGATAAATTTCATATTATTAAGTTATATATTAGGGTAACGGCTCTCTAAAGGTTTAATTTAAAATTAAGGAATTTAA